TTTTTTTTTTTTTTTTTTTTTTTTTTTGATGTAGTACAACAAGTGTATATTACCCACAAAGTCTACTGTCTATGCAGACTCCGATTCGACGTCTCACGAAGACTGTCCGAAGGAGAACTCAGGAATCTTGATGGTGCTAACAGTCCAGGTCTTGCCATTATCGCTGGTCGTCATGTCTCCGGTGACACCCTCGCCCTTGGCCATGGTGTTGATGTAGTTGGGATCGGCAGTGTCCAGGATAATGGTGGTGTTGGTCCACGCTACAGTAACACAATGCATCAGCCAGTGATCAAAGAGCCAATAACTGGAGATACTGTCTGAGATCGGAAAAGGGATAGGAAGGAGAAACTTACAGTGAGCACCAACAGTGCCGCAGTTGTCTTCGGCGCACTCGACGGAGCTGCCCCAGCCCTGGGCTTTGCCGTCGCTGGTGGAGAGTGTCGAGACCGTCTTGCCGTTCACAAGAACAGTCTGCGTGTAGTTTCCGGTGCTGCCATCGAACTTGTCTATAATCGTTTAGTTTGATGATTCCGTCCTTGGAAAGATTCGGATATTTCTTACAGTGCATAGTAACCGCATCTCCAGCAGAGGCAGAAGAGGAGTCGCCCTCTACGGGCATCTGCGTGTTTGCTACAGAGTTATATGTCAGCATTGCCATTCGAATAACCAAAGTTATTCAACCTTTAAAGTAAGCATACTAACCTCCAGTACTCAGGAGCGTATAAGCATAGATACTCCAGTCATCCGACTGCCAGTTATCGGCGATTGACTGGATCAAATCACCATTGGAAGTACCCATTCCAACCCAGAGAGAAGCATCACCAGAGGATCCACTAGGAGCCTTGGGCAGGTGCAGAGTGGAAGTGGCCTCGCGGATAAAAGTGTCATCGGAAACAGGACCAGTGCTGAAAGCAGGGCCCATGGCGGCATTTGCGCCGTTGAACGCCATCATGGCGAGGACAGGGAGGGTCTGACTGATGGAAGGCATTTTGTTGGATGAAGAGGTTTATCTCGATCTGCTAGATTGATTTGATTTTACAGTCAGTAAAGCTAAGTTGCAAAGGTCTTTACCCTTTATATATCTTGTTTATCTCCTGGGTCCGTGGAGAAGACGGATACATTGCTTAATAAAATAAGCAAGTGGTCTGATTTAAGTGACACATAGTCCAGAGCTACTAGTAGCACGTCGAAATCGCTGTCTCATATAGCTGCAATTTAGCTATTGTCGCCGTCGATGAAGTAGCTCTATGGCGGTATGATCGTCAGGATGCTATGTCTGAAACGTAGTCAAAACGTGGGAATCCACTTTTATTAACATTGCATGGATGGATCACTTCGTATAATATACGAGTGTTATATGTCTATGATAATATTAATCTGGGGATTTCGTCAAATCTGCTGTGTATATTGATCGTTTGGCCTTTCCTCAAGGGGTAATATTGTACGCCACTGGCATTCTACTAGCCATCTACCCGGCCTATAAAGATCGAGTAATATATAGCCTATTTAAATCATCCAGAAAATTTATCCTCCAATAGAATGTATCACTGCCATTTTCTCCATTTATCCTCCACCTATTCCGGGCTGTCTTCTTTCCATTCTTTCTCTAGGTTTACTTTCCCATATCATCACCAGTTGAACAATTTCATTGACAAGGTGTTTCCTTTTTTTTATGAAATATTCTTGATAATTCCTATGACACTCAATCTATGTAGGCTTTTAGATTATTTTTCTAATTCTACGTTGGAGAAAACACTGAGTCAAAGGAATCGGGAAAAAAAGATCGGGGATGAAAAAAAGACAAAAAAGAAATGCATCATCCGTGAATCGAACACGGGCCTCATCGATGGCAACGATGAATTCTACCACTAGACCAATGATGCGTCTTGATGTAATGCACTTGATTTTAATGTTATATATTCTTGAACTCTATAAAACTCGAGATGACAATCGCTTCTTTGGGTTGACATTTATGCAGTCCTGGAATGAATGTATTTTCGTGTTGGGAAATCATAGTAAATATCAATTCGGCTCTGAACATTATCAAAAAACTGCCAACACCAAGAAAAATGGCCGGATCCGTATCCTCCTGTGCAATATATATATATCTATATATGGTGTATGTTTCCTTGTTGATCTTCTTCAATCTCACTAGGCTTCCGGAGTCCATACTTGACTTCCACGTCATCCTCATCATCCCTAAGATAGAGATCCCGCAGTATCTCGAGCTTCGGTATAATACAAAGCGGTATAGCCCCAATTCTCGGTGCTCCCAGAGCAATAAAAGCACATCGAAGACTTATAAATGGCAATCCACGGCATGGTTTGGGTGTATCATCCATGACAGGCGTTCTTTGCATATTTCCAGCCAGGTAGAAGTATCTATATAGCCCACCTTCCTCGTCGTCAGATATGATGTCTTGTTGGAGTCGATGGTCGCGATACATAGAAAGACTCATGATAATCTTCTATCTCTTTCTTACATCGCCCGAGGCTAACTTAGAATACATATTACAGACCCGTCTAGGATTGTGTATATTCTCAATGTATAACCTTGATCACCCAGATGACGTGTAGCTAGTGATCTCCTCCTGACTGTCTGGCCGATATACATGTTCTGGCGATTCAACTGGAACCTGAGACTCAAACTCGTCTTAGTCTCTCTACTCAGTCTCGGGATATTGTAAGTAAAGAAAACACAAATATAGTTTAAACCACAAGATCTAACTGGATAGAGCGCTATGGCCGCTTCCCTGGTCAAGACAATCGAATATCCAACCATTATCAAATCGACAATCCCCGCACAAAACAAAGTGACTTTCTTACAGTGGATGTTTATCGAAGGCGACATCGCCCTAATCACCGCATAACTTCCATGTCCCCGGCCTTTAATTGTAAATTGGGTCAAAAGTCGGATAAAATGGCCTCGATCAACACACAGAAGACTATGTTCAGCCTCGGAGAAAAGGCTACGAGGTGACTGGAGCCAAAACTGGAAGTCAAGATGGATGACGTCCGGTGGAAAACGAAATGAGGGAGATGACCTGAGAGTCGGATCCTTGTTAATATAACAACGCATATCTTTACTGGGGATTGGAAGTTTTCTAGACAAGCATATGCCTGGGATTGTAAAGCAAGTGGAAGTGACTGAGGTTACAGATGAGATACCCCTGACGGAATCAAATTATTGACATATATGTTGTTTACTGGATCCCATCTTTACGAAGCAGTTTTTCCTACGATATTTACGATTGAGAAGCCTTGAAAACAGGAAAAGAAAGGTATTCAGAAATGCTCTAATCTAGTCCCATCATTGGCGCTCTTACAAAGCATCCTGGAAAGCCTTGACATAAGTCTGGCAGTCATTCTTCTTGCCCTTCCACACGTTGTTGTACTTGGTGCCAACCTTAGCAGCTGCGATGAACTGTTAGCTTTTGATCCCCAAGAAAACAAGAATGAGAAACTTACCTTCCGTCTGGGCGTGTTCAACCTTGGACTTCCAGTCTCCACTGAGCTCCTTGGGTTCCAAAAACTTCAATGTCTTGGTGGTATCGCTCTTCTCCCACTTGCCCGTCTTCGGGAAAGTCTTGAAATATACTTGTCCACGATGGCGCTCAGTTTTGGAGTCCAGGTGGTAGAATTCGCCCTCAAAGTCCAGCTCGAAGTCGGTGTTCTTCTGGACTTTACCAACGAGGATGGCAGTATGGTCAAATCCATACTGGTTTTGCGTCGCCTTCATTTCTTGCTGGGGGGGCAGGTCGGTCGGAGTCGAGGAGCCGGCCTTACCCTTGGTCCAGGTGACCTGGATGGCATACTCCTTGCCTTGCTCCAGTTTCTTCTTGCCCAGAGACTTTTGTATCTGCCGCAAACGCTCGCTCTCTTTAGGAGGGGCGCGTTTTTCGACGTCGCCATAGTCGACGCTGTTATTGCTGATGTCTCCAGAGCACTCCTGGACATCGCTGGGAGCGCCAATGGGACCGGCACCGACACCCACGGAGAGAGTGGCCAGGAAGACGGAGAAGAGGGTGGAGAATCTCATCTTGACTGCTGCAGGATGGTTTCAAAGATGTGGTTTGCTTGAAGATTGAAGTGATGAAGAGAGAATTGGATTGCTGTTGATGATGATTTGAATTCGAGGAATTCTGCTTCAATTTATATCCTGTCGTCCTCGCTATATCCCTCATACATGGCTATGCGAGTCCATACTGGTGACGTGAGAGTCAAGCAACGAGGAGCTGGCAGGAATTGAATCCATCCCGCTGATTGTTGCTATGCTGAAGCAGAGGCAATTCTCCTGACCAGCAATGGATTGACCATGCATGGTCAAAGTCATGGGGGCTTATCATTTCTGCCTTGCGTCCAGTGAAGCCTCAAGGTGAAGCTGCGGCAGAATTTATCCAAGGTGAGCAAGAGTTATACTTTTCTCTTGGCACAGGTTCAAGCTCAGCACTATAACTTTCATAGGTCATCATAGCTCCCATAGGCTATTGAGATGAGTAAGATTATGCCTAACGGCGCAGGCTCTTTGGGGCCATGCCACGGTCTATTGCCGACACAGCCTCGCAGCCTCGTCCCCCACTCGATCGACAGCCGCGCTTTATTAAAACAAAACCCCTCAACTTCATTTCAGTTACACACCAACCCTCTTCCAGCAATCGGTCCTTTTACTTGTCTTTGTCACTCAATCAGACTTCTCTGACCTGTCACATCATTTCTGGCATCTCCCACTACCCGATATGAACGACCCCCGACATTGGTACGAGAGCGTCGACGAGCTGGCCGCCCAAGGCCTCCTCACTCCTGATGCCGCGTTCAACAAATTCAACCGGAATATCCTCAGAAGGGGCGTAATAAACAAAGAAAAAGAACTGCCACACCTTCAAAACACCTTTGACTCTCTTTCTACGGAAGAAAACGGCACGAAAAGACTGACCCAGTCTGCATTCCTGTTCTTCCTCGAGTCCCGCGGGTTTCTTCCACCGTCTCTGAAAGAGGCAGGTGCCCATGTGTATCGCAGTCTTCTCTACCTATCTCAATATCCATTCTATGAATCGATTCCAGAGGCTCTCAGCTACGAGGAGTTTATCCGTGCGCTGGCATGGACTATGCCTGAAAGGCCGAGGGTCATCTATGATGAAGATTCTGACGGTCGGACCAGAACACCAGCTGACTCTAGGAGGAAGCTGTTCCAAAGTTTTGCAACAGTTCAAAATGGCCAGTTTGCTCCCTTTGATGTGGAGCACGCGAAGAAGCAGGCGGAGAGAAGAGCCTTCACTTTCACTGACGCTCATGCAAGACTCTGTGCTAATTACCCCAAGACAAACTACGACGATGACGGTGATGAAATGTTTCATGATATTCTTGATACACTGTACGCCATTCAGCCCAAGGAGATTGGGTGGGCGGCGCCTCCTCGAGACTCCTTTCGGCCGACAGCAAAGAAACTTGTGGGGAGTGAACGCGTCCATCAATTCAGCATCCCCCAGGAGGAGTTTCGAGCTCTTGTGAAGCTGCTAGTGGCTACGTATCATGGAAAACCCAGAGTTCCAGTCGAGCAGGACACTGGGTTGGACCATGTCGTGGATTGCATTGTCCATCCTGTTGTCCAAAATTCTGATAGTGGGGTTACCTGGGATATGTTTGAGGAGGCCATTGGGAATGGAGCAGTAAGTTTAGTGATTACTTTTGTCTGGTATCGAGCGAGACACTGACTTGTCTAGCCACTTCTTTGGTTGGGCCTTGAGCGTTTCCTGTGGCCGTTCTACAAAGGCACCGACGATGAGAATGTCACTCGAGAGCTCCCACCGCCAGGAAAGATCGCCGCTTATCCTGTTATGGCACAGCTCAATTCTCTGGATATCCATCCCTTTGTCAGTTTCTGTCCTGATCAATACAAATACTACGACGTCAGGACAACGCCAGTCACGGCTTCCACCCTGGAAGACGATATAAGCGCATTGCCATTGCACGCAATGATCTTTCTCCTCTCCGGAAAGAACTCACAGACTGGGGAGAAGACCATATTCGGCTACTACCTTCCTATAGAAGAGTTTGGATACCCACCCTTCCTGTTTCAACTTAGTGGCATCCAAGACGCTTTCCGTGGAAAGGGCCCCAGGCCAGGCCGTAAGCTGGAGAATGGCGAATTGGTTTTCGGGCAGAGAGGTAATGGTACTTCGTTGGTGCTGCAGAATGACTCGAAGAAAGCAATTGTGTCTCACAAATCTTCTGGACAAGATGGACCTATGTATGCTGCTACTTCCTGGCGAGGGGACTGGGAGGTCGAAGTCGAGGTGGAGGAGATTGAGATGTGGCTTGGGCCGCCGCCGCCTGATTTCGATGACTACTCTAATGATGAAACAGAGCAAGAGGGAGAGGAAGAGCAGGAGAAGAGAGAGGAAGGGGAAGAAAACTGATTGTGATGGATTATACCCACTTTTTCATGCCAAAATACCTTCGTCCATATCTACACAGCTTGATATTGTAGACAGGAGGAACATCATAGAATAGAGTTCTTGGTCGTATGATCCGGAGGAAAGCAAAGATATATATAGATCATTTCTGACTACTATAAAGGGAAAAAAACAAGACAAACTATCGTCAGATGAATGTCTCTTACTCGCCAGTCATACTGGCCATGACAGGCTCCGCCACCAATTCCCTGCACTTTCACAGTGTCTTAAGCGGAGGGATGCCAATGGAGAATGGACTTGTCAAACCAAAAACAATAGCCGATCCGCCGAAACCGAAAAAGTGATTATATGAACAACCCCTCATGGATCAGCATTTTACTTATCGAGTCAAATCTGGGGATGCTTTTCACTGCATATCTCTATTGACCCAGGGATCAATCTTGTTATCTGCCTGGTATCTAGTAAAGCTGCCACCCGCAACGATGCCCGCCTCTGCTAATATCCCACCTATTGCACTGCCATTTGTGAGCGACCATGCTAAGAGGACGCTGGACTTGGTAGGATGCCCGGATTGAATAATCCCATCTACGTACCTAGGCTGACTGAAACGTCAGGTGGAGAAGTTTGTGGAGGAAGAATGCATCCCAGCCCATGCCGTCTTCGAGACGCAGTTAGGGCACGGCAACGCCCGGTGGAAGAGCAAACCAGCCATATTAGAAGGCCTCAAAGCAAAGGCCCGTCGGATAGGGCTATGGAACATGTTTATGGCCGGGGATCACGGAGCTGGGTTCAGCAACCTGGAGTATGGGTTGATGGCGGAGTATCTGGGGTAGAGTCACATTGCTTCCGAGGTATCTTGAATCCTATTACAGTGAGTATACATATGTTGATATTATGAACAGGCAACCAACAATTCGGCCCCTGACAGGGAAACATGGAACTTCTAGCCAAGTATGGCACTACGGAACAGAAGCGGCGATGGCTGGCCCCGTTGATGAAGGCAAGGTCCGGTCTGCCTTCTTGATGACAGAACCTGATATCGCCTCAAGTGATGCGCGCAACATTCGCTGTGATATACGCCAGGACGGGGATGAGTATGTTATCAATGGTTCGGTATGTACTCTTCATTCCTTGCTGCCAGCCACCGACTCTGCCTGGATAGCTAATGGCGTCAGAAATGGTGGTCTTCCGGTGCTGGCGATCCCACCTGTGAACTGTACATCGTGATGGGCAAAACCACCACAGCGTCTGATACAGGCCCGTACAGCCAACACTCGGTTATCCTGGTTCCGGTGGATACGCCGGGTATCACCGTTCATCGGATGTTGTCCGTGTACGGACACGACGATGCACCGCATGGACACGGTTATATCACCCTCCAGAATGTCCGCGTCCCGATGTCCAATATAGTCCTGGGCAAAGGACGAGGATTTGAAATCATCCAGGGTCACCTTGGGCCAGGTAGGATTCACCACTCGATGCGGACTATCGGAGCTGCCGAGAGAGCACTAGAATGGATGATTGCACGAGTCAACGATGAGACTAGGATGACTTTTGGAAAACCACTCTCCGCGCACGGAACCATTGGCGAATGGATTGCCAAGTCCCGGATCGAGATTGACACGGCCATTCTGGCCGTGTTGAACGTCGCTATTAAAATCAACCGAGACGGTGCAATGGGGGAAATTGCTGCAGCCAAGGTGTTGGTGCCCCAGACGGCTTTACAGGTCATCGATCGGGCTAATCAAGCCTACGGTGCTGCTGGGGTTTGCCAGGACACGCCCCTACCGGGTCTGTGGGCATCGGCAAGGACGATTCGCATTGTCGATGGGCCGGATGAAGTACATTTGCAGCAGCTGGGGAGGAGAGAGATCCAGCGTCTGGGTAAATCAGCGCCGGAGAAGATTGCAGCACAGAACGCAGAGGCTGGCCGGCTGTTGGCTTGCGATGGGTTCTCTAGAGGTATGCTCAAGGCTAGCCTGTAGGTATAAGACAACCTGTACTCAACATTATGGAGAATCCTAGCCGTGAAATGACCATAGTGCATTGGCCTAATATAGCTCAATGGATATAACTACATCTAGACACTCCCTGTGATATACCGTCTCAGAAAACCATCCAGATCCTCCTGCGGCAAGCCCAACTTGTCATTCCACAATCCATTTCTGACTGAAAACTGCGCCAGATTCCCCTTTCCATAGACAGCCCCAGCAATCATGGTCAGCACGCCCATCGGCTGTCCTTCCTTCCACTTGGTCGCTCCATCCGTCCACAGACCATCAACGGTGCCGTGGGATAAAACGAATTTCTGATTGGTGATTGTTTCAAGTGACATCAAAACCTGATTCTGCGTGATGGTGAAGCTATTTACATAGACATATTGATTCTTGGTAAGATCAGGCTTCGTCAGACACTTGGCGATAGCCCTCCCAACCTGGTCAAGATTGGTAGCTTCAAAGGGGATATCTCCACCGTCAAAAATGGTGGCCGTGCGTGCAGGTAGATTCCAGCCCCCGAAACCAGGGATATTCAAGCCCCAGTCGAACATGCCTCCGGTGATCACGGCAGTCCAGGAGATTTTGTCTTCATGCGTCTTCAGGTACTCGACTGTCTGACGCTTGTCCACCAGGAACGGGATGAAGTCTGGTGCAGAGCCGTCTGAAGTGTCGATGCCATATTCAGATGGGATGAAGACCTTGACTCTGACTGCAATGGCGACGTCGATGAAGGATTTCTGTAGGGGAAATACATCCCCAGGAGTGATGCTGGAGATGGTGCTGATGACTGCATCTTGGCCCTGAAAGATCTCTTGCAGAGACGCTGCAGAGTAGTCGGTTTTGACATGTCGCACGCCCGCGGGCATGGTGGCCTCAGATGACTCCCGCGTGAGTCCAGTCACCTTGAAGCCTTCTGCCTGTAAGGCTTTGATCGTTGATTTGCCTACATTGCCGCTCGCTCCGATGACAAGGACGTTTTTAATCAGTGGAGAGGACATGACTAATGAGAGGTAACAGGGGAAGTTGCTTGAGAAGGACAAGATTGAGACTAACACAGTGAAGTAGAGATGAATAGCCCATCGACCATATTTATAGCATTTATATCTCTTCGCAATATGATAACAGATATTGTGGAAGTGGTGATGACAAACCGGCGCCACCCGAAAAATCGATTACTGATATCAGCCCGACTTTGTCTTCTTCTGATCACTTCTAATCAAATTATTCTCCTGGGTGGAATTAATTTTACGTTTTGAGTCGTCCCGAGCCAATAGCCTGACGTGTAAGTTTTCCACATATCATCTATTTGTAAGCCATCCGTTTCTGTCGTTTGAAGATGAAGAGAGATTGCAAACGAAAGAGATAGGAGCATAGAGTGCAGGATGATACTTACCTCGGCTAGATTTTGTTTAACTATGATAGTTATATTGATATATCCTGATCACTAAACGAATAACTATTTGGAGCCATACATATATAAACAGTCGACTGCCCATACAATTCTTTCCAGTAAACATCTTCTACTGTTTCCTTTTCTTCCCATTCAACCAGTTACCATGACAAGTCACCTTCAAGTCGACGTGTATGTCGCACCAGCGATACCGATAGCGAATAATCACCCAGATCCATCGAAAAAATGGTTCTCCCCAATCTGCTGCACCCTCATTCAAGGCCCTACCTCCGCCGTCCTGGTCGATACGCCCCTGACAGTCGAACTCTCCCAAGGACTAGCCGAGTGGATTAAGAAGACGGCACCGGAGAAGAAACTTCTCTTCATCTATACCACCCATGCCCACGGAGACCATTTTCTGGGTAACCCGGTCCTCCGACACCACTTTCCCGAGGCCAAGTGTGTAGCGACTTCGTCAGTCGTCAGCGGCATTCAGAAGGGGTGGCCTGGTAGTGTGGATAAGTGGAGGAAGATGTTCCCAGACGACCAGGTAGCAGAAAACCAGGCTGTCCCCGACCCGCTCACGACAGGAGGCGAGTTTGAAATCGACGGATATGGTTTCTTCGGCGTCAATGTGCCACATTCCGATACAGAGGCTTCGTCGTTTCTGCATGTGCCTGACCTACGATTAGTCGTTTGTGGCGATATCGTCTACGGCGACTGTTATCAATATCTCGGAGAGGCCAACACGGCAGAGAAAAGGAGAAAGTGGTTGGAGGCTCTAGATCAGATCGCGGCCTTGGACCCGCACATTGTTGTACCTGGTCATAAACGGGCATCACAGGCAGATGGGTCGTATCTGATTGCCGCGATGAAGGAATATATTATCGCATTTGAAGATGAGCTGAAAAAGGCCGGGAATGCGAGTGAGCTTGAGCAGGCGATGCTGATGCGGTATCCCCAGCGGTGGAACAAGTTTCTCTTGGAGTGGAGCTGCAAAAGCTCGGTGGATGAGTTATTGGCCTAAGCGCATGTGAATGACATGGCGCATATGTTTGTAATTCATACATGATGAGAAGCATAGCTATCAATACTTCCATGGAGACACCAATCAATGTGATTTCCAGCAACCGAAAAAAGGATTACTGAACCCGAGCCGGGTGGGACTCAAACCCTGTCATCGGCCAATGAAGTCTTCGGGAGAAAGAGTCACTGACGAATAGAAAAGTCATTGTGGCTTCGACAGCTTACCAATCATACGATTACGCTGCAATTGAAGAACAGTTCATATTTGAACTCCAGCGTGGCAACACTCACTGCCGACCCCTCTTTCTTTCGTCCGCAGGAATGCCATCTTCGACACATTCTCAACATCATGCCTTAGAACGAGACTCAGAACGACTCATAAATGTCATCCCCACTCACTCCGCTCGGGTCTAGCCCGTCAGATCTAGATCCCACACCAGAACTGACCTCTTTGCTTTCCGCCTCCTCATATCCTCTCCCAGTACAACTTATGCCACAGCCAGAGAGTGACCAACAGTCGCATTTGTACGGTGGATATGGCGGGGAACAGTTACCCACATCTGATCCACCTGGATCGCCTATCCAGGAAGTATCGCCCTCTCACCTGCAGAGCAACGAGTCGGCTAGTGTAACAGAGCCGCCTCGCCGGAAACGTGGGAGACCTCGAAAAGGGGAAGTTGTCACAAAAGATGATCGTCCAGATGAGGTGCGTGTAGAATCACTCATCTCCCATCCGGTAGTGCCGGTAGGTTAATTAGATATGTATTCCAGAGACGCCGGGTGCAAATTCGAGTTGCACAGCGCGCCTATCGCAACCGTAAGGACGAGGCGCTGACGAGATATGAAGCCCGCATTGCCCATTTAGAGGCAGTGATGAAGCGGATGAATTCAGCTGTACAGTCATTCAGTGAGGTGAGCACGCTGCGCATAACAGTGTGTTTACATCGAATACCGATCTCCAATCTCATCTGCGGGAAACTGTCGAGATGTGTGAGTCTCTTGTGCAGGAAGCTGGTCCGTCCATTGAGAACGAATCCACGATCGGTGGCATCTCTTTGCCTACCACAGAGCCCCTGTTGTCCCTGTCCATAGAGACAGAGCAGGAGAACGCAGCTCCATTGATCAGACAGGGACAGCCAGCGTCTCCGTTGGATAATGCCACCAACACCATCTCAAACCTCAGAGGATTCCCAATGCCTCTCAGCCCCGGATCTCCCCTTCTGTTCGACACTGCGGCCAGCACTATTGTAAAACTATCCCAATTTGTTTCCCAACTCCGCTTGGCGTGTGTATATCACGCGTACTTCTCGCTGCGCAACCCATCATTCAAACTAGACAACCTGCGCCGGAAATTTCGCTTTCTTCTCAGCATGTTGAGTCGCGAGCGCCTCACCTGCTATTTCGAAGCCACATTACACGCCCGGATCCAGCCAGAACGGATGACCGAGTGGGAAGATATCCCGTTTTTCAGCGTCGGTGGCGCGGGAACGCATTACCTCCGGCCTTCTTCATCGAATATCAGCCCTCTTCCCCGGAGAGATGGAGTTCGGGGCTCTGTGCGCGAGGACCCCTTGTCCGGATTTCCTGTGGGGGTGCAAGGGGAGATGAGTGGGGAATGGTTTGATATTCGAGATCTCGAAGGGTTTCTGCAAGAGAAAGATTTTGCTCTGCTCACGCATCCACCGACGGAGAAGCAGGGCTCATTGAGGCAGGCTGTGATTAGCGCTTCGAGTTTGATCAAAAGTAGGTTCTTCTTCTGCTTTATTAACTCGTATCTAATGCCTCGGTAGTTCTAGTAAGCACGTGTATCTGCCTCGGCCGCTCGCCTGGATGGCGACGAAATGATGTTGAAAATGCCGTGCGAATAGCCTTGTGCACATGACGAATTCAAATGCCAGAAATAAACAGTGCTTGAAGTGTATTGCTCCAACAGAACAATCTCGGAAGCAGCCGAATATAATATCAACTACCCTATGCTGTGGTGGAATACGCGATGAACTAGGGTCAGAGCGTATTCATGGCCTATCAGAAGCTGTGACAAGACCCACCGATTGTGCAAGTGTTGCAGATGAAGAGAACATGTGGGCGTGTCAGGCTGAAAGTGAAAATGAGGAACTGAGAATGACGGGCCCAGTTTATATGCAGCTGCAGCCAATCGGAGGCGTGCTGACTATTTATAATTGCTGCTGTGTTTGTTTCAACTCACTCCACCTATCAATATGAACAACCACCCTGTATGATTCTTTATACCATTTCTATCATTATAGATGCACATTTCAATAAAACTAATAGGTATATAGATAGTGATGCTACATTTGAAATGTCCTCAACTGAGCTCCTCCCAACTAGTATCTCCGCGCGAGCCACTAACGACCGATCTGCAGGAGCAATTTCCCGCCTCATGCAGCAGTGGAGCACGAGGCCCACTGCCGATAGCTGAAATCTTTTCGGAGCTCACCTGCGGCTGCGCAGCCCAGCTGTGCGTTTAAATGAACAACCAACCTGGACCTCACTCTCGGATGCTCCAGCGCTGCCAACATGCTCAAGAGGCTCTGCTGCTGCAAGTCGGACAGAGCGGACGGGCACCAAGTCCCGCCCAGCCCCGTCGCGCTGCGTCAATTGCCTCGCCCGGCAAGTGGCCAGGTTGCGCAGAAGCCAGCGACGCCCAAGACACCGATATCGCCGCCTGCGCCTGTTAAGCAAGACGCGTCTCCACCAGCCCACGTGGATGAGAAGCCGGTCAGACGCGATCTCTGGCAGGAGGCGTTTGATGCGCTGAGTGATGACTGTAAAAAATACGTATCTGTGCATGAGGGCGCTTCGACGGCCGCTGCGATCGATGATGTGATCCAGCAAACGGAGCAGAAATACGCAGAGTGGGCGAAGGAGGCACTGCGGATCAGAACTCACGATGGGAATCATGTCGATGTTCGTGATGCGGCCAGGAAGATTTTAATCTCGGCGATCCAGGCCAAGGATGCCATCGCGACGTGGGCTTCCTTTGATCCTGCCGGTCATGGTGAGTTGCCTCTCGATATTACTAAAAGGGATATCTGCTGAACAGGGTCTAGCATCGGCTGCATGGAGAATTGTTTCACTTGGATTGTTGGTAAGAATCCATGGCAGTCTGTTCTTTGCCTCGTGTGCTTGAGCTGATCAGGAGGCAGATGGTGCAACCTCATATCCATCGGCGAGATGCCGCTCTTGCTGCATCACAGTATCTCGCTGATGCTCTTGCCTTTTTCACCCCGGTTGATTCGCATCGCCGAGGCGAAATTGGCAGCAATCAAAAGCTGGACGATGCGCTTCTGGGCGTTTACACTGCCCTCCTCGACTATTCAGCAGAAGTGAACAAGCTTCGGGAACAGAACCCTGCTGGTATGTTCATAGAACCAGATTGTCATGATATAGCAAAGAGCAGGCTGACAAACCCAAAGGTAATGGACTTACGAGTGTCGCTGCAATTGCCGATCAGCCACTGTCGCAACTCAAAGCAAGTGTAGAAAAGAAGGGGCTCGGCGCTGAAAAGTGGACCAGCCCCAGCAATGACCCCCGTAAATTAATTCTCATTCTGGAAGTGTTCGAACCGTGCTGATGTCTGACAGATGCCCGGGAGGTTGCTGAGAACATACTGGCCAAGATTGATCAGTCCATCGACCGCAAGAGTGTTCGATCCAAAACTTCGAGTATGACTTTGCCAGACCAAACCACGGTTTATCAGACTGACAATTCCAGGTGTGGAAGAATACGAAAATATCGTCGAATGGATGTCTACTGCAGACTATTCGAAAGTCCAGAACGAAATGCAGGAAGCTCGAACCCCCGAAACTGGGAACTGGTTTCTCAATTCAGGCCATTACAAGGGCTGGAAGGCTTCGCCCGGAAGCATCTTATGGCTGCATGGAGCATCGGGCTGTGGCAAATCTGTCCTCAGGTAGACAAGTATCCATCCGCGCGAAAACTCACACTAACCGTCTTCAGTTCTACTGCCATCCGGGATATCCAGCAATTCTGTGAAGAGGATGCATCGAGATCGTTTGCATACTGGTACTTCCAATTCGACAATCGCCAAACGCAGAGTCCGGAGAGCTTGATCAGGTGCTTGATTCGACAGTTCAGCCAGAAGCCACTGGCACCATCAGTAACCGAAATCTGGGAGGAGCACAGCTCTCGAGGAACTGAGCCCGATGGGAAAACATTATCAAAAGTTCTGCATGACGTGCTCTCAAATGTCCCCGGTGAGACTTTTCTGGTGCTGGATGCATTAGACGAATGCCCGGATGAACCGCGACGCAAGGAGAGACAGACAATTCTATCACTTTTGGTGGATCTTGTCGAGCAACATAAGAACAAGCTGCATATTCTCGCAACGAGTCGGCCGGAGGAAGATATACACGCCAAGCTGGGAGAATTTCCAGCACTCAACGTGGACACCCGTCAATCAGAAGATGTGGGAACTTTTCTTCGCGCTAAAGTTGGCGAGGGAATCTTCGATAAATTCGATCAGCAAACACGAACCCAAATCATCGATGGGATCCTGCAAACTGGACAAAGGTACATTCTTGTTATTCATTACTTCGCGCATAAAGGGTCACTGACATATGGCTGGCTGAACAGGCATTTTAAATGGGCTGATTTGCAAATTCAACGATTCGCGCAATGTGATACCAACGAGCAGATCGAGAATGCCCTCCAGACGATTCCAAAAAATCTCGAGGATGCGTATCAAGAAGCTCTAGGCAGGATCCAACAGAGCGACCATGAAAAGGCGCGCTCGATCTTTATGCTCCTGTGTCTTTCACCTATGCCACTCGAACCGAAAACCGTTGCAGCCGCAGTGGACTTTCCCGCCGCAGATCTTGTCAAGATCTGCAACCCTTCTCTGGTCACCGTCAAAGATGGCCTGATCAGACTGGCTCATTTGTCGATCAAGGAATTCCTCGTAATACAGATCGTCCCCGAAGAAGATGAAGAAGATTTGGAGGAAGATCCCGAAGAACTTCCTGAAGAAGTACCCGAAGAAAACCCCGATGAAGATGCCGAAGAAGATCCTGAAGAAGACTCAAGAGAAAACCATCCGTGTCGGTTCACGGAGGAGGAAGGCCACACTGCCTTGGCCAAGCAAACAGTTGACCTTCTGCTTTCTACCAAGGATGGGATCTTGACCGAGGAGATCGCTATGAATCAGCCCATGTTAGTCTATTCGGCAAGGCACTGGTACCTTCATGTGGCTGCCCTGGCCAATATCCACCCGGAGCTAGTAGGCAAGGTCAGTCATATCTTCTGCGAGCCCAACATATACTATAATTGGATGCGGATATCCCCGGGTCGATACTCTGCTCAGGATAACCCATGGCACAAAACACTCGAGCAGTGCCACCCGGCAATCTGTCAAGCCTCAAAGATGGGATTCTACCGCCCTGTGCAGGCTCTGCTTGCGGAGGGATCAGATCCTTTGGCGTCATTTGATGCATCTGGAGAGCAAAATGCATTGACCGAGGCTGTCAAATACGGTCACGTGGATATCCTGAAATACATGCTAGGGTACGAAATTACCATCCCCAAAGCATCAGTCCAGCACATTTTCGGATCCATCGATCTTCGCGTTATCGGAATAGAGACGTTACAGACCGTCTTTGACATCTTCTGGGAGATAGGTGCGCTGCGAAGTGCATCCGAAGAATCCGAGGATGTCGTCGATAAAGATATCGTGAATCGGATCGTTCAAAACCCGTCTTCGGGGCCGGAAATCCTCGAAATGTTGCTTTTCTGGCTCGAGAAGCCATTTACCCTGGCCATGGACGATGTTTTGAAAGCAGTGATCGGTTCCAGCCGTCCGGAGGAAATCATGCGAATGCTTTTCGAGAAGTGCAACGACGATGTACAAATCACCCCCTCGCTTATGATGTCCTTTTCCAAGAAGCTCGGCGTGATGGATATCCTTTTGAAGAAACGGGGGGCTGAGCTTCCTCTGGGTGACGAGGTTATTTCGTATATCGTCGCTAATGCAGACTGGAAAGTCATGGACCTTCTCCTGCAGGCTCGTGGAAGTGACATCCCAATCACCGAGGGAGTGTTAATATCAGCAGTTGCGAAGGGCTCACGGGCAGGAATGATTCGGTTTATCTTCGAAAAACGACAGCCCGGCGCCGAGATTAACGAGAATATCTTGACTGCCGCCGCAAGTAATCCCCGTGGACAGGAAATCATGCAATGTTTGCTTGCCGAACTTGCCCCAAGCACACCCTTGACCGCGAATGTCATCCAGACACTGGCTGGGAATCTCGAATCCGGAATCAATATGACGAAGATGGTCCTGGTCCGACAACATCCAGGCTTTGTTGTATCCGAGACAGCGCTGGAAATCGCTGCGTCAAGAGAGAACAATCCGGTTGAAATGCTGCAATTGCTTATCCGCAACGGTGGCTCGGATATCCCCATCACAGAGAACGTGGTGTTAAGGGCCGCTGAGAATCCCCATTGGGGTCCTTCTGTGTTTGAGTATCTGTGCGAGTTGCATGGGAACACCCTCCCCATCACGGATAAGGTGCTTGTCGCCATCGCGAACAGTACCCACGACGATGCCACCCGATTCCTCGAAAAGACCGTCAAGAGATTTTCTCTGCCACAGTCGGTCTTGGAAGCAGCATACCAGAATCTCGGCGATTCTATTGGATCTGCAGTCTAGATTTACCGTTCATGTCATGACTTTTCTAAGATTCCCACGTCTATACCAGAGAATCAGTCATGGTTCTAAATACCCTACGTGGGTGACCACCCGCGAATCCCTGTTGTTGTATGTTTCTGCGACTTTTTGTATATATTCCTCAATTTCACGATTTCCATCCGTATATACCTACATGGGTAATCAATAAACCATGGTTTTTCCTGCACCATTTTTGGCAATTCTGAGGTCTAGCCCGACCTCCTTTTCTCCGTCTGTAGATCAACTCCAAATCCTTCCCCGTATTCTGGTTCCGGCCCGGAATTCGCTCTCCCCGCATTCCTTCCAAAAGTCAAAATGGCCCAATTCGCCACACGAGAAACTCTGTATAAACTTACTATTAAATCTTAAATGCCATTTCCGGGTGCAGTCACACCCCGCCTTGAGAAACTGCCATTTCTGCCAGCCGTACATGTCTAACTCCACCAACCTCCATGTATCACGACCGATGGATTAAGTATGCCGGCCTTGAACATCGATGCCATCTATCGCAATGGCAAGCGAAACATCCATCGTCCAATCGACGACCCAGATGACTTGATCCTGGAGAGCTGGTCGCAAGGCCTCATGGTCGGGTCTCTGCTCATCATGGCCGCCATCACCACCGCCAACATGCGACGCGGTGTTTTGCTTCACAAACTGATTTTCCTCGAGGTATACATCTACCAACGGCAGTTCATATACCTTTTACTAATGCGATCGTAGTTGATTCTTGCCATGCCACAAGGGACTTTCATATTTGTTCCTGAACCCGCGTACGGCTGGTATCTCGCCGCCACGACCATCGGGCTGATCATCTCCTGGAATCTGCACAATGTCGTCGCGTGGATGAAGAACCGGCCGTTCCTCAGCCGAATAGGATCAATCATTTACATTGGCACTGTCGCTCTTGTCCAGCCGTACTGGGTGCTCGAGATATACGCCAACTTCACCTACTTTAATAACATCAATCAGCTCTACTTAAAGGTTCGCCCTTGGGAACCTCTTTTCCGGTAGGACAGAGCATTCTCTCTTCATAGGATTATTTCTAATTTTGCAGCGATCCCTGGTGGATATACACCACCTGCAGCTTTGTCTGGGTGATCAAGACGCAATACAGCTTCGGCTTCGTCGAGTTGGTGCGCCAGAGTCCTCGGTTCGGCATCATGCTCGTCTCCATGTGTCTGACGATTATCTTTATCATCCTTGATATTCTGAGTGTGACTGGTGTTCTCGACGGTGACATGACAACGGGCATCAATCCATTTTGGAAGGTATTCAACCGGAAGATGAGAGATGTATAAATCAACCGCTAATATATGCAGCTATGCTTCATCTTCAAATGTCTATGCGATACCATTATCCTCGACGATTTCAAAACAGCACTGGATAAGCTACGGACTCGGTGGTTCTCACAACATGGAGGATGGGCAGGTATTTACTATCTTCTGCTATTATTGCTGCATGACTTACTCACATCTTGCAGGCTCTCAATTGGACAGCAATGAGACTGGGCAGAGCATTCTGTCAAGGAATCGGACTCTGAGTGGACAAGGTACTTTGTGATGACTGACAGCCTTTCTGCATCCGGATATATACAAACTTTAATAGATGTGAATGTGAAATTTAACATACAAACTGAAGTAATTTCAACTCTGGTTCATTTCCCCCTCAAAGCTTCAACATTTCCGCGGAGATCTCTAAAGTATTTTACCTAAGATATAACCCTCCACTGAGATGTGTTCAGTACATACGACCACAGGGTGTGGAGAACAGGGCTTCCCGTCCGCTCAGCCGTACTTAAGCCACATATTGCGCTTAATAAGTAGTAAATGAGCCTTTCTGCCCTCTAAACCATTATAGCAGATATTAGGGTGAGTGCTGGTGAGAGGGGTGTGAACTCTATACATCTGACCACTAGGGGGTGATATGGGCTCACTAAGGGGTGATTAATACTCACCACCCCATGAAATAGATGGTTTTTATCAGAAACTAGAAAATATTAGGCATCCAGATGCCAATAAATAGGCCGTGAGCCCTTATTACTAAGTTCTTATTGTTTTAGGTTCCTTTCTATGGCTTCTCTTTCTATCTTTATCTTCCTTAGGAGCAACACATGACTATCACATGACTATATATACTGAAGGCAGAATGCCGCAAACTTACAATATCACACGGTTTTACTATACTCTGTATGTGATAAACCTTCCTTTTTTTTTTTTTTTTTTTTTTTTCCAGTAAGAGTATTGCACCAAAATTTACCAGAGTTGTGACACACTCAAAATACGCGTAGTGAAAACGTATATGTAGTAATTCAACTGAATTCTAGTATTCTAGTATGAAGAGAGAGAGAAAATACAATAGCCGTCTCTTAAGTCAGCAGACCCACGCCCCTTTCAGCGTATTGGTCTGCCACACCCATACGATAAATCCCATGTAAATAATAAATTTAAGGCTATTCAACCTCCCATACACCACTATCATAGCTAAATTTAATGCTAAAGAAGAGAAATATATCTCTAAAGCTATATAAATCACTAGAACCCAAGAAAAGCCTAATATCAGTATATTAGCCAGGGATTTTTATATAAATTATTAAAAACTCTAGGTATATTTTAATAACTATATTAATCTTACCTTATTGTTACGGCACCCTTATCAGTGACCGTACCAGGCAGAATCAGGCGGTCAAAGGAAATGGATATTCTTATTATAGAGAATTACAATTTACTATAATAATGCTCTTTATAACCACTATCTAATAACTACCCATATCATGTGATAGTGCCACACCCCGGAACCCGGCAGCGACCTGACGGCGACCTCACGGCGAGGTCTAGGCGGGTTCCCTGAACCACGTGACTATAGCTAAACGAGACTGTATTTAGAAGACTGCACAACAGATGACTGCAGGGCAAGCGATCGATTTTAAGCAATACCACCCATACGTTTAACCACGCAGGGTTCTCGCTCATAGTACGCAGGCGACTCGCAACCAAAATTACCAATCCACGCACCTCCGGCTCCTGGTGCTTTACAGATAGGAATACTATTTAATATACTATAAATAGTATATAACATAGTATATAGGTACCTAGTAGAATACTATAGAGTTTCCCAGCGCTTATAAGAAAGATAACCCCTTATTTAACTTCAGTATTTACAGTGGCTATAAGGACTATCCTATGCCTGGTCTAGAGGTTTAGACTGCTGGGTCAGGCCATAGTACCTCTTCTAAAGTGGCTAACACCAATGCTACGGACACTACTTCCTATCAGAAAAATGCGGGCACTTGCAGCAGCAGCCTTCACATTCACGAGTACACTCATGATTTCAGCTACTGAAGCGATGGGAAACATTTGTTTGGTTCTATCATTGAGACTTTGGGGCAAGATTGATCTGAAAAGGTGCAACTAGTGGTCTGTTAATAAGGCTGTACCTTATAACTGAGTTAGAAAGACGACTTTGTCACCTAGAACTTGCAGTAGTAAATTTAGGGCCTATATCGGACTATGTAAATGTTTCAGTCAAATAATTTACCATACATCGTTGCGCCACATTAAGAACTACAAGCGATCCAGGAAACACCAGGATTGGAAAGTAACCAATATGTAGAATGCAAACATAAGATTTCCAGTGTATCAAACCGGGTGCCATGAAAGCATTCCTCAAGTGCAAGCGAGAAAGGTGGGGAGGTTGATAATAATAATCAAGTGAGATAAAACGCTGGGCGCCCTATAATTAGGATACTAATCAGTTTCACGATTGCAATCGACTTGATTCTGCGAACGTCTGCGTCTGATATAGCCTAGCTCCCTGTTCAGTAACATGTTACCTCTTTGTACGGCATCTTAGCCACTTAGCATATGCTGAATTATGAAACTTCATGACATTGCACCCTCCAGGATGACTTCATGATCGTAAAGCTAGCTTTACCTCACAGTCCCACAATCAAAGGATTATACAGACGTAATCAGGAAGACGGTCTCACTGTGTGAAATTTAAGGATTTTGATTATTCTTCGTCTAGGTTGTACGCGGCTGCGACGCTGTGTAAAGAGGATCAAGACGGCGTTTAGGAAGTTTCAAGCAGAATTTGGCAAAGGCGGATGCCACGGATAGTAAAGGCATTCCGATAAGGTATTTATCTATCTAGGTAATATTATTAGCTTCTAGGGTGTTCTACGGTACAATTGATTCTTAATTTGATTTAGTCATTTCATATATTCAGACCTCTAACTACCTCGTTGTCGTGGAGAAGGGATTTATTTATTCAGGCTGTTAAACTCGTTAGTCTGCGGCTGGATCAACCCCATTGAGAATACTTACGATCCATTCGAGCTCGCCGTTGATGTTGTCAATATGAAGGTTCAAGTTGATACCCTGGGATCCACGGGATCCTTGGTCGCGCGTGGGCAACTCGGCAACTAGCCAAGGGCCATCATCACGCTCCTCCAAATGGATATCTTGAGCGCTCGCAGTGAAATTGTTGGTGTCACGGCTGAACCAGCCTGGTGGATTGTCAGCAACGATCATTCTATTGCCATGAAAAGAACGCATACCGTCATCGTTGCCAATCACCTCATCGAGGTTGATGCTGGAGTCGACCCATTCGCCGGATCTAGTTTCGGATTCGGCATAGAGCCAGGTGCTGCCATTCTGTTGCTCAATGCGAATGTTACGGGAAGTCTCAGCGAAACCCATTGTGTTTGTGTGGATTGGAATAGAAATTGAATAAAAAGAGTTGTGGAAGAGTGAGAGAGTGGTGACTTGAATGACTCTCAATCCCCCGGAAAGAATGGGGTTTATATAACACTTCTACCCCTCCAGGGCGGATCTCCAGTTAGCGCTGAGCTGATTCAATTTAGTAGACAGTCTCGCTCTGAGGGACCTGGTAGGATATCCAGAGCCCAATCAGTCTCATGAACAGATACCTATTTCAGCTCTCAGCCATCCAGCTCGTCAAATGAGGCCATCCACAGCCATTCACATTCAAGCATCACCGCCTGACCCACCGCGGCTGAAGAATTATGATAGAGCTGAAATGACGTGTCATGTAAATCACATCACATAGTCGACGGTACTGGCCAATTGAAAAATTAAGGTGGAATTTTGCATCATTTTCCGATTATCGGTTTGATAGCTCATTCGTCCTACTCGTGGGTGAGGGGCAGACACTGCAGATCGATTTTTCATCTGAACCTCACAGCCACTAGCCTGACCCAACCACAATGATTCTATGACTCTCTGGCACTCAGCTACAATCATGGCTAGCTGAATATATCGGGTATACATGACGGTGCGGGTTATCTATTCAGCTCGCCACATTTAATGACATAATAACGGATACTATCCATCACTAGCACAACATCAGCAATTGGACATAACCGCCCGTATGTGGAGATGGTCTAACTCGATACAGTTGCTCGCCTAAGAACTGTTCTAATTGTGGCTATCATCGTGTTCAGGTCAATTCCATGAGGTTCGGCAGCTGTTTGTTGATCCTAACCTACCACGGAGTTCTCTGGTCCGTTCTTTCGATTAATTTCTGTAATTGCCTTTATTAGACAGTAATTTATACTGATGATTCATCTCAGAAAGACATCTGTCTGTTCAATACTCTCATAGCAGCTGATGCGGCAGTGGCTGCCTAGTATATAGTCTGTCTGGCACCACACCTGCGGGCGCAATAAGATCCCGCGTTAAATGGCAAGTGCACTGCACCTGCTAACAAGTTATAGGTTAGTCTCTCTTATAACCTTACCCACCTTTCCATAAGCTCTACCTCTCTTTCCTAAAGTTGTTTCTCTTATAACAGTTCTTCTCTTTCCTTTAACTGAAACTCACGTTCTCAAAGCTCTTAAGGTTTGTATATGGCTTAAGTATAACTAAATAGATAGAATGAGTAGATAGGAAGCCCTGCTCTCCACACCCTGTGGTTGTAAATACTATCTTTTTATCAGCTGGGAACTATATAGAAATAAACATGATCTTAAAACTTGGTTATATCGATGTGCAATCAGAAATCGTAACGTAATCGGACAGCGAGCTGCGCAAGACACCGAGCTGCCCACCTTTGTATTGCATATAAAATAGGCCTTTTAAAGAGTCTGATATCTCAACCATCAGATATCGTAAGTTATTTCTATACTAATTAAATATATATTTGTTCTGAGAGTGTTTATATATATTTTTAGGGGTTTAAAATTATTATAAGAATATCTGAAATACAGAAGTACTTTAAGACGCTTTTAATATAATATTAAGAAATAGGAATTTTAGAAAACTATAGATTTAGTTAATAGGTAATATCTATAACAACACATTGATCCTCATCAAAAGGTATGTAGAAAGGAGACGTCTGTATTTCCGACACACTCTTATGAATCATGTGATTCTAACACCAAGATCAACAAAGCGTCCACTTCAAATCCAACTTCAACCCACTTCAACGTGTGCCATACCCCTCTTCCTTTCTTGACATATTACAGAGCCTAGTTTTGTCATAGGATGTCAAGAGAAACCGATTCTGAGGCCATTCGCCTCCCAACTGTCGCAGAGATCGAGGCCGCGACGGAAGTCATAAGCACGCCAGACACATCCGCGAAAGTCGTCCGGGTAAACGAGCGTTTCGCAGTGAAACTGGGTCACGGCGTGACCCTGATAGAGGCTGAAAATATGAGGTCTCTCGCAGCAAACAGCAAAGTTCCAGTCCCAAAAGTCCACGCAGCGTTCAGGGACCCCAACACCAACAAGGCTTATATTATTATGCAATATCTCCCTGGTGATACCCTTCAAAAATTATTGCCATCCCTTAAGCCAGTGGAAAAAGCTACAATATGCAACTTGATTAAAGATGCTATCACGGAGCTACGGAGTATACAGCCACCAGATTACCTTTTTATGTTGAATCGCCGGCCTTATCTTGATGGAGTGCTCTGGAGTGAAGGTCTAGATCCTAAGATTTCAGGTCCTTTCGAAAACCAGGAAGACATGAATCTTGCTATTATTGAGAAACTTCGCCAGACAGAATCAAGCCAGTACATTCAATTGTTGCGGAATATGTTTAATCGGACCCTGAACAGCCACCGCACTGTTTTCACCCACGGTGACCTTCAGCCAAAAACTATTATGGTTGAAAGGCTAGGAGATCGTGACGGATGCCCAGTGTTTAAGATCACTTTACTGGACTGGGAAAGCGCTGGATGGTATCCGGAGTTCTGGGATTTCTGCAATGCTACAATCGCCTGTAGGTTCAAACCTGACTGGCTTGAACTTGTGCCTGATATTCTGGATCAACACTCAGTGGAGTTTCTCATGATGCAGGTGGTATATTCTTCTATCTTCTACTAGGTAGGGAAATAAAGTGGATAGACACACCTTCAGGTATAAGGTTTATTTGTAGTGTTGTTCAAAAAATAGATACATTCTCAGTGTCACGCTCTCAGGAACAAAGGATTTACACCCCTATATGTAGATTTATATAAGAAAATTGGGTAAAGAGGTATAATACCTAGTATAGTATTTATAATATTACCCATTGTTTAAACCTTATCTTTCACTAAATTGTGAAAATGCGCTTTCTATGTGTATAGTGAAAAACACCCAGGTGGGTGAAGGGTAGGCTGATTAGATAGGGCTGCGAATGGCCCATAAATAAGCAGAGGTTGAGTGACCACCATACGTGCTCCTATCGTATGTTTTTGCTCTTTTTTTCTTTCTGGTTCTTTACATAAAGGATAGCTTGTGTTTGTAACCTCGAAAACACTCCGGACAAAAAAGCATTTTCAAAGAATAACGTTCACCTCGTTTCTCACACAGCCATTGCAATTTAATAGCATCCATACTGTCGTTTGCTCCGAGGTCCCAGAAGGACTCCCTTCTCAGGCCGGTTCTTTACTTAACTAAAACTAATGGCTCTGTGGGGTATACTTAAAGGCGCCTAAGGTAGGATCTCAGAGGTTAATGGTTTAATTTCCGAGTCAGACGCCAGCAGCCGGCCATCTGGAGAGAAAGTGAGGCAACCCGACACTGGGGTCAACTGGCGTACGTAGACTGCCCCGGCTGCTAGGGTATTATATCATGAATGGTTAGATATACCACATAATGTCGCGACATAATCGGCCTTGAGCTGATCTAGATCCATGTGTGAATTAATTAACTAATCAACTAATTTTACACTTCTCATCTACTTGCCCGCCTATGTAAAAACATCACCTAAACTACATGCAGTCACCCTGTAAGTTAGTAATATATATAGAAAGGCAGCAACTGAACACATGACATATACTCTATTCTTTATATGCATGATTGCTCCCCAATAGCCCTCTGAGCATATTCTCTCAAACCAGAAATAAATTCTGTTACAGGCTGCAAATCACTGACTCGATCAAAAACACTATCGCGTCTTAAGAAAAGACGAGCTATGGTCGTTTCGGCCAGGGCCAAAAGGTGTAAATCATGTCTTGCACCGTCCGCATGAAGGTTCTGAAGCAGATTGCAGAAGATGGTTATGACTGCGGACATCGGGTAGAAGAGGAGGGACCTAGCGGCGATTGTCAGAGATGGAAGTGGAAGCGAAGATGGGTTTTGCAGGATTGATATACCAGAAGCTTGTAGCACTTATACGGGCCTCGGAATCGTCTAGAAAAAGGAGCAGAGAACGGCTTGCCTCGAGAGAGAGTGAGAGGCTGGAGTGGAGGCCATCTAACATTCCCATCAGCTGTGGGGCAGTCGAGCGCCAGGCACTGCATCGACCACCGGCGAGGTGAATGAGGTTCACGCAACAGTAATAGTTCATGTATGTGAGGACGATGTATGTGTTTTTCGGCTTGGAATGTCTAGGTGCAAAGGAGAGCTGCGGGCGAAGATGTTCTGGTAGAGATATTCTCCAACGCTCGAGCTCTTCGTCTAATTCGCGTATTGAGCGGAGAAGGTCGACGTCAGACTTGTGGAGAGCCTTGTGGGAGTAAAGAGCTGCAAAGGTTTGTGACTTGATTTTGCTGAGACGGAGGTCACATGGGAAAATAGGGCCACCGATGTTGGTACCGGCGGTTGTGGGGGAGTAGTCTAGACACAGGTGGAGGTTCTCCTTGTACATTGGAGGAATATCGAGGTTGCAATCCTCGTCCCTGAGGCAGTGCGGCTGTCCGGTACGTATGGCCAAATCTTTGTCGAGCGTGTAGCAAAACCAGAATAGATTGCGGAGATGTTTCCTGACGGTTGATGATACACTGCTATTGCAATCCATGTCGTCTGATGCTGTGTGAGCCCCGCACGCTATTAAAAGGCGCGATGCAATGGACGTATAGTGAATAGCTGTTTGTACCTCACCAGCGAGGATACTGATAAGTGCCTAGTGTGATACACGAGAGTCGTTAGCCAGGAAAAAGGAGAAGCTAGGGCCGGGGCTACAGCAGGGGCGCACTACCAGTGAAATAGCAGTCTGCAGGGCATCGAGATTGGGAGGCTCCTGGATGATAGCCAGAAGAACCGCACTCGCATGTGCAATGTAAGCATCACGGGGTATAGAAGGAAGTTGGGTATCATTGTAGCTAGGGTCGAGATGATTCAGGGACGAAACCAAAGCCATAAAGGTGAGTATACATGCCTGCGCGCTCTGGTTCTGTGTTTGCGGCCAATTGGAATGCGAATAAGCAGCTTCAATGGTCTGAGAAAAGAGCTGCGAGTCAACAACAGGAAAGATCCGGTGCAAAGGAGAGGGCATGTGCACGTCAAGGAACCTCTTCAGCATCGACTTTGTTGGCAGCTTCGGTGCAGGCTCCCTTCTTCCTAGTGTTGACGGATGTGGTTTTTCCCAGGGTGCATGTTGTGAGGTTGGGAAAGGAAGTAAAAGCCCAGTTCGAGACTTGATCCATTGGAGACCCTCTGGCAGCAGATTTGGCACGCCAGTCTGAAGATTTCCGACCTCCCACCCCGCAAAGTGAATGATTCTTGGTGGCAGTAAAAGCGGGATGGACCTGGGGTCCTCCACAGTACCCTTGGCTTGGGCATTGGTTAGTGAGCTGAACATGCAAAGGCAAGGAAAGACCCACCATCCGCGACAGCATCTTCCTTGCGCTCGTCCATACGCCTGATGCGTTCGACTAAACCCACTCGCCTGACTGGATTACGCCCCCGCTTCCGCGGCCTGGCCCTAACGTATGTACAGTCGGACTGTTGGTGGAGACACCAATTACATGGACGTCCGCTGTCGCACTTGATCTGAGAAGCTTAGAAGCGAAGTCCGTAATGGGTGGAAGACAGGGAGTTACCTTCCGTTGATAGCACGCATCGCAAGCCGTGAACTTGGGAGTAGGATGAGACATGCTTGCAGACCGGGGGATAGCAAGAGAGAACTCATTATTGAACAGCTACAAAGTTTTTAAGATAAAGAGCAAAGGCGTAGTTTGCCTCGAAAATTCAGCTTTCTCCTGTTTAATTCCCATTATTGCTACTCCACACTGACTTCAGCCAAGGTCCACCGACAAGGCTAAGATCTTAGTATTGCCAGTAGTTCATCAGCTGGTGTCACATGATGCCTAGCTACCCTAGCCCTATTTATCCAGCCAATTCCGAACCTCCGCTTAGCTAATGATTGTCCTTGTGACCATACCTATTGACTCCGGCTTGTCATCTATCCACTTGCTACAAGCTGCGCAGCCTGCTTCACTGGATCTGATGGCCATGTAAAGGCGAACATGTCCTTGGGTAGCTCTGCGTTAGGAACGTACCGGCGGAGCTCATCCATCATTTCCGCCCGTCGCTCGTCGTTGGTTCTTGACATCATCATGACTGTGACTGAATGCGAATACCGAAGCTTGTTGTACATATCGAGACGCTGCGGTAACTGTTCTGGAGTAGTGTTCGCTGTCAACACCCCAGCGAGAGCGGCTGCATCTTCAAAGGCTTGCGCAGCGCCCTGACCCTGGTGAGGAAGCATGGGATGAGCTGCATCACCGATCAAGGCAAGCTTGCCCTTGACAAACGTAGGCGCCGGGTCTCGAGACGCTAGACTCCAGAGCTTGACATCCTCGGCCATTCGACACAACTCGAGCAGGTCCTCATCGAAACCGCGAAAGGTGTTGACCAATTGACTGACACTTCCTGCATTATGCCAAGAAGCATCCATCCCAGTCTCTTCCACTGAACTAGGCGGGTAGATCCCGGCACAATTGAGCAACTGCCCCTGGCGGCAGGGATACACTACGAGGCGGCGGTCTTGGGTTGAGAAGACGTGAACGCCGTTGAGCCCGATTCTTTCCAGAAGGCTAGACGTGAGTGGGTTGTTGTGCATCTTTTGGATGGGGACCAAGAATCGGAAGCAGCTTTGGCCAGTGTTTACGATGCCCCTGTCTTCTCCCATGATGGCATGGACGGAATGGGACTGTGTATGTTAATTTGGGCTTCTGTTAACCTCGATCTCAGGGTTACTCACGTGAACACCATCGGCACCGACGACTAGGTCGGTGACATACTTGGTTCCATCCTCAAGCATGACTTCTCCCTTTTCCGCATCCTTTGGTTGCACTCGATTAGCCATTGTGGTCGAAAGATAGACGTCTACTTACCACGGACAAGACCCGTAGGGAGAGTCGTATATCAATCTTGCGGCCGTCAATGACCTGGGCGGCAGTAGTGCGCAGAGCATTGTGTAGGTCCACTCGATGGGTCAAAACCCATTCGTCATTCACATTCAAAGCCTTCCGTTGCTCTTTCGTGATCTACCAGTGTCAGGATATAATTCTTGCAGGTCAGCGAGAAGCAATCTTACAATTGGCGTCCATAGGAGCTTCCCGTTCGCATCCCAGACTTGCAGCTTCTCGCAGTGAACAGGCTGTAACCAGTCCAGGTTACACCCCCAGCCTTTCAAGATGCGAGTCGCATTCGGGGCCACGTGGATGGCAGCACCGACCTCATTAAGAAAGCCGGACTTTTCAATGACCTTATCTCCGTCGCGTTAGATGACTGCCTCGTCAACTGTAAGAAAGATACTGACCGTGACATTGTGCCCTTGACGGTTCAATGCAATGGCAGCACCTAAACCACCCAGGCCTGCCCCAACAACGATAATATTGAGTGGCATTTCGAGTTAATGCTCGTTGACGGAAAGGGTATGGATAGATGAGTATCGATTGACAGAATCTTCCTCTGCAGCAGGAACTGGGCGGCTTTATCGTTTCACAACATGCATCGTGGAGCAATTTAAATTCTCATTCGACCATGTCCGAAGCTATAGGTGCGGATCTATCCGACTGCCTAAGTATCCGCACGTACTGACCCTATGTAGAAAGTCAGGTACGGCACATGGCTGAAATACAGCATTATCCCAATTAGGCTATATTAAGCCCCGAAAGTCCCGCTTACCTCATCGGACCCTGTGGGGACAAGAATTACTTCCAGTTCCACCAGGGGCCGATCGACAACCTAACAGCCCAATAATTTGCATCGCTGGGCATGACCATTGAATTCTGCAAACTCTTGGCTTCCGCTTACCTCATCGGACCCTGTGGTGACAGGGATTATCTCCGTTTGTGGACCAGGTGCGAGTGGTTTGATAGTCTCTAAATCGTTATAAAGAAGTCTTGGTATGTTGAGGATGTACCGTCTGCTAGAAGAAGGCCGTCATCATCTCTGATCGATCGTGTCCTGAACTTCCATCGGACTTCTGGTCATGTGGACCTAAAAATAATGCGAATAGCTGATATCTTGCTAATTGCTAATCTTGGGTGCGTGGCAAATTGTCATGCCCTATGGACCGTACTGACGAAGCTACCAGATTTGATCAGTGTACTATCTATATCTACTTCTAGAAGCAAACATGGCTCGGGTTATTCCAGTTCGGACTTTTTATGTCCGAAACGCAACGGTGACCCCTACGCATGTCATATAAATTACCTTCAACCCACGGTCAACTGCTCTAAATACACCCAATCCTTCCGTTCCTTTACTTCTCCTTGGTTACTTTGAAGGAACCATGTCCCTTAAACCATTCTTTATTGCCATCATTGGCGCAGCAGTCTCCTTACAGGTGCTCATTCTCGCCAACATGAGCTACCTCTACGGCTCTGCCTACCACGACGGCTCGCGATACAGCTCAATGAAGGTGCTATACATAGACTACGACCAAGGTCCAGTGGGCGAGTCCGTGATGAGAGCATATAATGCACTCAAAGACCCTTCAGTCCCGACCCTCATTCAACGTCCCCAGCAAAACTACCCGACACAGGGAGACATCCAACAAGCCGTCTGTCGTGGCGACTACTGGGGCGCCATCTATGCTACCCCGAATGCATCCTCCCAATTATCAGCTGCTCTTTCTTCACCCGAAATTGCACAAGGGTACGACAATTCCCAAGCACTAGGGTACATCTGGAGCAGCGCCCGCTATCCCGCCTACGCGCAGGGTGTCTACTCCAATCTGGTCCAGATTACCGAAGCCGCAGCGGCCGTATACAAACAGACAACCGGCACAGACGTACTTCCCTTGATAAACACCTCTGATCACTCCATCGCGCAAACAATCCTCGACCCGATCTCCGCCTCCTCAACAGACCTCCACCCAATGCCCCAAGGCGTGCGCTTCTACTACAACACCGTTTCCATGGTCATGCCCATCATCATCCAATTCTTCTTCATCATGGCACTCACCGGCATCACCATGCAAAATAATCTCTTCAGCACGCTCTCGCCTAAACAAAACACCCTCCTCCGTTTTTCCATATCGGTTATCTACACATTCATTGCGTCACTCGTAATGACAGGCTACATCTGGGCCTTCCGCGAAGACTGGCACGTTACGGCCGGCCAGTTCGCCCTGACATGGATGGCCATCTGGCTCACCATGCACATTCATTTCCTGATAATCGACTTCGCAACAGCCATCATGCCTATGCCCTTCGTGCCCTACTTCATCTTAACCTGGATTATCCTGAACGTGACAAGTACGATTGGGCCGTTTGAGCAGTCTCCTGGTTTCTATCGACTGGGGTATGTCTTTCCTGCGCATGAGCTTTATGAGGTTTTGCTGGATATCTGGACGCATGGGTGTAACCCACATTTGTATCGCGCGCTGCCGATTCTCTTTGCGGAGTGGGTGGTCGGGATTGTGTTGTTTGTCGCCGGGATAAGGCTGAGAATGTGTGGCGTGGTTAGTCAAAGTACTGGAAGTGCGGCTGGGGAGAAAGTATGATGGGCTTCTCATAATCAGGCAAGATCGAACGATTTGGTTTCGTTTTTCAGGGGTTTCAAAAAAGTGACCTGTCTTAATTCATTTGCAATATTAAGCATATACTGTATAATGAGGTGTGTGGCTATATCTGAATATGAAATGTCCGACTTTTGGCACTACACTTGTTATTGTCCGCTGTACTATGATGACACCTGGTGTCAGAATCAACCTTCTGGCTACTGAGCAATTAACGGGACTCATATTCTCATCCACGGATAGTTAGCAGAAGTTTAGAGCATTATAGATATACCAATACCATCTCTTATTTTCAAATATGTGTTCAGTAGACCATTTTATTCTGAGAGTATTCCTCTTTATTGATGCGTCCTGTTCCTATGCTCAGTCTTCACTTAACAAATCCGAACCAGACTTGATGCTCTGTAGACCTGATATAATCTATAGCCAATATCAACGGTCGTTGTCCTGCATCCACGGACTCAAAGCCTGCAAGAGAGCAAGATGAACCTGGGGATCACCAGTCCGCTTCAGCCCCTCCGCAGCAGCATCCTCGCCAAGCTTCTGCATGAACAGGAGCACCCCCGCCCAAACAAAGTCAGCGTAGCCCACCGTCTGCCCCGCAAAGAACGGACCATCGCTATTTTCACTCAGCAACTCTGTTATATTCTTCAGAACCGCCTCCGATTCATTCCATGCCTCTTCTCCCCTTTCCTTTGCTAATATATCCAACGACGTACCAAATGGCTGGGAGCGGGTGGCGTCCCAGTACTCAGCACTGGGCGGATTCAAAATTCGACGCGAGACTTCACTTCCCAAAGCAGGGAGGATAGCCTCGAAGAGTTTCGTACGGAGTGCTTCGATCTTGAAGAGGTAGGGCGAGTCAAGCTGGAGGGATGGTTCCGGGTATGTCTGTTCAAGGTACTCGGCTATATTTTGATTGTCCATCACGTAGGTTCCGTCGGGGAGAAGCAGGGTCGGGATCGTGTATTGCCAGCCCTCTTTGTTTGCTGGGACACTGTGGATTGTCAGAGGCGATCTGGTTAAAGGGGGGCTGATAGTACTGAGGTTCAAGTCTTGGTTTGATCTCTGGGAATTCGAGCTAAATGCAGGTGCACATATTAGAAAATCAAGATACGGGAAATGATAGTCCAGGCTAGACACATACCCATTCAGTGTGATAGTCGACACCTTTGAACTTCAGCGCGAAACGAGCTATCTACTATGTTAGTGAAGTACGGATTATGAAGGCATTTGCTCGGCTTACCCTTCCACGCGTTGGGTGACCATCCCGTGACGGGTGGTTTGGATGGCAGATCGAACAATACAACTTTTTCCGACGTCATGGCTGCTGGGACAGAGTCTTTTGAATATATTATGAACGTACCCAGGAGAAAAAAGAGAATGAGGATCTATTCCGGGGAGTGACATTACTTATGAAAGCGAGAGGGGAAATTATGTGATTGAATATTACATGAGCATTTTACCCCTCATCTGCTGCAATGTGATAGTTCCTTCCTGTCTAGAAGTACCTTTTTCTAGCCAATCATATTACATGAACCAGGGTTTATGGCACTAAGTAGGTGCCTATGTACGGGCCTTGTTGCAAAGAGGCACAAAGCGCACTAGAAGGAGGGGATATCATGAAACAGCGGCTATATCCTGTAAGCTGACGTCAGTTTATGCAAGACGCAAGTTGGATCACTTTTTCGCTTTTTTAGACTCAGCAGCTGGCGCTCGTCAGGTAAAGTACGTGCATTAGTTCTTCGATTCAAGATAATAGCGATAAGAACTACGAATACGCCTCGCCCGGCACCCGGAAATAAGTTCCAAATAGATTGGCTGAGCCCGAAGTTTAGAAACTGCTTTTATAACGACTGCCCTCAAGGTATGATAGTGAAAATGCATATAATGGTACCGGGCATATAGAGGGAGGTCTGCATGTATCCCAAATAATATGTATTTATAACATGGTGCCATAGGTATCACATGCATACCTTAGTCATGATCATGTATGTGCTGTGTGAGTCACTATATAAAAGGACACTCTGATCAGCTATAAAGAATAATCAGTTTATCTTCTGATAATAAAAGGTTACCAGCGAAAGAAGTGGTTCATGACTGGGAGGTTTTCTGTCAGGAATTAGAGACATCCCCTTAGAGTATAACTTCCTTATATCGGGTACTTTATTGCTTCAAGTCAATTTGGGTCATTGAGAAGCTCATGAATAGCAAGATTGGATAAGTCTGCTGATTTACATACTGCGAGTTCATGGGTTGTAAGCTATGTAAGTGATCACCAGCATAGAGTAAGATATCAGGTCCAATGGAACTATACGGAATAAAGAATGCGATGGAGGAGTCAGACCGTATTTATGTCAATATTGAAGCTATTCCCTAAACTCAATATATATTATTCTGGAGGATAGTATGGGTGCCGCCAAGTGTAGAAAGTCTTGGGGGCAGTGGTTGCTAGAGAAAGTATGGCATGGGTGGTTTATATGGACTTTAGCACCTAGTGTGGAATGGGGATTATTTGTTGCAATAGACGTCTGTTTACAAATAATTGACTCAATACTGTTGGCCGTTGAGAGGCATGCCAGCACTGTTCAACTGTTGCTAGATAAATACATATCATATCGCCTGATCCTGAATATTCTGTAGCGAGTGCAATCCTCAGTGTTCGTGCTGACTTTGAGAACAGAGCATGCATGGTGAAAGGAATAAATATAAAACGCTCTATCGGTTGTTATATCTTGCTGGAAAAAAACCCATTTTTTATCATTATAGGCACAAAAGATGTATCCATACATAATTTGACCAGTGGCTTAGTATCGTCATGTCAAGATCTAAAAGCGTACGCTACATTATATGCATTCATGTCTGTCAAACATGCAAAGGACAGAAAACACTTGACGTGCGAAGATACTTTCATCAGAGATAATTTCCAATCAGCCCATCGGATTTGTTCCAAATAATTGCGTCAAACATTTCGAGAGCAAATTCGGATTACAAACCAGAAGATCTTGCCGCCACTGTCCGTCCGATGACTGTCGGACGGAACGACGGACGGCGTCACCTACGCTCAGCTTGCCTCCGTCCAACATTCCGACGGGGAAGACGAACAGCCCTTGAGATCGAGATTCATGGCGCCTAATAATATGACGTCTAATGTCGTAATCGCTGAACGCCCAGCAGTATGTGTGTCATGCGCACTTGTGCCACTATAGGGACGCGAGCTAACATACAGAGGCAGTGCGACTTTTGTCATTCGAGAAAGGTTCGTCAAGCACAATAGGAGATACCCTCAGGGTCTCGATTCATGGGTCATTCACGCTGTCTCCTCTTGTATCATGGAGTCGTGGCTATTGACATCGAAGTATCCCAGATCAAATGCGATCGGCAGGTCCCATGTGCCAACTGCATCGAGGCTGTAGTAGATTGCCGCCGAGATCGACCCAAGAAAAGCAGGCGCCGGAAAGGAGCTCGGTAAGAAGGACAATCCGTTTGATCAATAACTGCGCTCACATTGTGAAGCGTGACTTCCGTGTCTGAAAGGCTTGCTGCGCTCGAGTCATCGGTTGTCGGTTTTCCGTCTCACGACAGCCCGACTCGTCATGCAGTAGGGAGCGGGTTACTAGAGCAGGAGATTACGACGAACGACACTGGTGGCGTTTCTCATAGCGGGCAACAAAACAATGAAAGGATTGACAGTCGATCGTCGAACCCATTTGATACCAACGCCAGAGATGGCTTGGCCCAGCAAACCTCAGAGGGTACTCGATTTCTGCAAAGCGAGCTTGAGTCAAACCCATTCCTTGGAACAAGCAGATCTATACTGATGAGGGAGGCAATTGGCTTTGTCAATCGCCTCTCTAATACATCGAACCCATACTTTGCGACCGATACTTTTGACTCGTCTGGAACAAGTGATGATCTTAAATCAAAGGCTTTTCCGCCCGAGCTGTTATATATGATGACAATGGGTGAGTCTGCGGATCTCACATGGTGATCTATCTCGCTGATCAAGCGCCCCAGACACTGAGCCAAATACTATGAAGCAGTCATTCTGGCCTGACCACGTTTCCTTTCAGACCTTGGAAGAAATGTGCTTGTCCCTTATCGAGGGAAAAGAGGACCGACACACCCGTGCTTGTTACCGTGTCTGCGTCTATATGAAAGCTGCCGTGTTGCTTAGCCGGCTTCCAAAGAAAGATCGGAGTGTACCACTTCGAAGGCATCTTGAAAAAAGTAAAAAAGAATATGAGCACGAGATGCATCAAGCTCTTTCCGAGATTGACTATCTTTCACCGCCAAGTTTGGTTCTCTTGCAAGCGTTTCTGTCGGGTGTATGTTGGCCAGCGTTTTCCCCGTTCGACTTTATTGACGTCCATACTGATGTACTGGCTACCAGGCACTATTCATGCAGAATCAAGGTGACATGTCCCGAAGCTGGACATTGACAGCTTTTGCATCTAGAACCTTGGTATCCCTCAACTATCACTCGATTGACTTGGTGACTCTCGTTGATGAAACCAAACGGGACATCTATGGGTCGTTGTATACGTGTTACTATCTCGACAAAATGCTCAGTGTGCTCCTTCTCAGGCCGCCCTCACTGCCAAAGCTGAAGATTAAGCCAGCAGACCTGGTTCGTTTGGACCCTCGGCTTCCTCTCAGCGCCATTGTCAAAATCATGGTGGAGTTTGCACAAATCCAGGAAGGTGTCCTTGATATACTCAACTGTACCCATCAGAATGATCAAGTCACTGTCATTACCAAGCTTATCCGGGACATGCATGGAATACATGCTTTGCTCAAAAAGGTAAGTAACACACGTATCCGCACACTAGGAATGAAACATAACAGATCAGCATCAAAATCAATTACCCTTCCGAGGAACAACCTATGAATGGGTCGCCATCGAGTTTGGCTATTATGCACTACTCGCTAGTGTGTTGCACTTGAACCAACGTGTTGTCCAAGATCGATCAACCCGGGAAGATTGCCTGGGGGCTTCTCGACAAGCGCTCATCCGTCTAGGAAGAATTCAGGACGAGATCTACATGGGTGCGAACTTTCTTGATCAGTATCCGTACTTTCTCACTTGGTCAGCCTTTCCTTGTACGGTGATTACAGTTTTGCTTCTAACTTGATCAGGACACTACTGTTCTACCCACTGAATCCATTTTTTGTCCTTTTCTGCAACGTTGTATCTTCAGCGAACCGGGATGACTATGCATTGATGGCGGAAGTCACCCAAGGAGTTTCGCGCTTTGTGGAAATGCATCCCTCCATTGCGGACATCCATAAGCTTTTCTCGGCTTTCCTGGGAATAGTCAGGCCTCTGATCCATTCCCAGCCCATTGCGGATGCTGCAACTCAAGGACATGAACACTCCAATATGGCAAGCATGGCAGCTCAAGCAAGCATCGACAATTCCATGAGCTCAAACCTCGCCCGAGAAAGTGGGATTGAACTACCAGAGCAAGGTATTCTCAGTCAAGACAGACAGGTTGTTCTAGACGATGAAATCCTGTGGGACATGATGGACTCTCAACCATGGCTGGGTTGGATTAGATCGGACGCCTTGACGGACAATCCCACCTCTAATTAGCTGTCATATCCAGATTATGTGATATAGAATCTAAATAATTTTATATGTCATTATACCAGGAAATGAACAGCCCGGATGGACGGACGGACGGAGATGTCAATGGTCCGCGCACAGAAGGACGGATCGGAGGTGGACATCAAAACTGTGTAGTATTGGACTTTCAGAGCAGTTTTGTAGATTAATTCAAGGCATCTCAAAATGAATCAAGGAAATCAGTCGACATGACGGCCATTTACGACTGATGTAATGTATTGAAATACTCAAGAAATCGTACCATATATATTGGACTTCGGGCTGGATGGACCGTCCGGATTCCGTCCAACACTTGGCGCCGGACAACCGCTCGGTGTTGACAGAGAACAAGAATCGAGACCGATTCATTATAAATCCAAGCGGTATATAAGTAACACACTATCCGTCCATCTCACAGCAAATCGAAGAACGCTTGTTTGGTCAACCCTGGACCTCAAAATCGATACAACATGCTTGTCTTGATCGCTGGTATCACCGGGTTTGTTGGCATTCCATGTGCCAGGTCCGCATTTGCACGAGGTCTCCAAGTCCGGGGCCTAGCTCGCAATATCGACAATCTCCCAGAGGATGTTCGGAATCGGCTTGAAGGCTTTGAGACGTTGTCAAGCCCCTATGACATGGCCGCAATGGACCGGGCCACCAAGGATGTTGATGCCATTGTCTGTTCCTTTGCGGGCCTTCCTGAAATCTTCATGGAATCGCAATTGCTGCTCATCAGGGCCGCAGAGCGAGCTGGAGTAAAGGTACGTCGCATCTCCCCTCCTGCTGAACAGTTGGCTAAGTGATTTTGGAGATCTTCCACGCGACCTCCTGGAACTACGACTGGACGCGTGCTTCTGGTTCACACGAGATTTACGATGACATGCGGGGCTTCGCCCACCATGTGGCGATCAGCTCGGCCATCAAGCCAATCTACATGTACACCGGTGCAATCGCCGAGTACTACTTCAAGCGAAGCCGACATGACTGGGACCCAGACACCAAGACCTTCAGCTTCCATGGGCCTTCGACATTCCCCACTCGATATACCACCGCAGAAGACATCGGCAACTATGTGCTGGAGGCCATCACGGCTCCGGATGCTGCCGATGGAGGCTTTGTTCGTGTCCAGAGCTTTGAAGCCTCCCCCGAAGACATCGTCCTAGCATACCGTGCTGCGAGAGGAGGCCGCGCCACTGCTCGGCTGAACTGCTTGGGCTCAGTGAAGGACGCAGAGGATAAGCTGAATGAGGGAAGGGCTAAACATGGGAAGGCCGGTTGGCCCAACTTTACTCGGCATTGCTATCAATATCATATCCCGGCGCGTTCTTGGGATTATGAGCCGGTGGATGTTGCGCGCTTCCCGAACGTCACGCAGACCACCTTGGAGGAATTCTTCCGCCGCAACCCTGACGTGTAGTCAACTCCTCTTGTCCGAGCCTGGACATATCATGTTGGATAGGGAAATGTGACCGGGGTTCATTTTCCAATTAGTTCACCAAATCGTAGAAAAGCCCTCACGAATAAATTGTCTTCTGGCGTTTGAACATATTTGCGCGATTTATATGACGTAAAGACCGTGGAGTGTAGCAATATGCCAACCGCAGATTTTTACAGTAGTAATTCAGTAATTCACCAAAGTCACAAATTCTATCAGCTTTGACTTTTACCTGGCGAAGAATCACTTTGATCAAGGGTTCGTCATACCGTCGGACGGAACGACGGACGGACAGACGGACGGAAAGCGGACTGTCGGCTTTTGATTAAGAATATACCAACCAATTTCTGGTCGTTGTGGTGGATGGCAAGCTGAATAATGATAAATCTTCAGCAATGGCAGACGCGGAGTCACGACGAGTTTAAAACGGATAGATCATGCGATGGTTGGCACATCCCCTCTATCCCCCCTAACCACACTGGCATAAAGCATTCCATTTCCGTTCTACTATCTGAAAGATCGACAAAACCATCTCTCCACACTCACCATGTCCAACTCCTCTCTGGTGCATTACACTACCGTCACCCGCGACATCGACGCGCCCATCGGCCAAGTCTGGGGCCTCGTGGCCGGCTTCGGCGCCGAAAAGGCATGGTATCCCGGCGCCCAGTCTGTCTCTCTGGAAGGCTTTGGACTCGGCAGCATCCGCACCTTCAACTATGTCTACCCCGCCGGCAAAAACCAGGGCCAGCAATACACCTTCTCCGAGGAGCTGACCGCGTACGACGCCGGCAAGCACTCGATGACTTTCCAAGTCCGAAGGCCCGATTACCCCGACATGACTGCCTTTGGAACAACTGTCTTGGACTCACTCGGGCCTAACAAGACCCGTTTCCGCTGGATTGCAGAGGGCTCGCCCTTGCCGGATGGGTTTCTGGCGGTTTTGCGCGAGGATCTCAACGAACGGTTCGATGGGCTTATTGTTGCCATTGCCAATCAGCTAGTCTAGGTGGTCAGATTGATGTTCGAGAAGGGAGGGTGGAGCTAGATCTTTTTACATCGATTCAGGGGATGCTATATCCGTATGTAGGATAATTTGTATCTCCGACAGTAACTGTTCAGCTCGTAAGTGCATCTGCTCAAAACGAACGTGGTTTTGTTTATATTTAGTATGTGTTTTGGTTAGAACCCCATTGCTGGTGTGTTAGAGGGTTATCCTGAAAGTAATGGATATCTGAAATTGCAGGTTTCAATGCAGCGGCCCTGGTTGTTGTGTACAGGACTCGACTGGTGCACTCGACATCCTTTGCAGGCGGTCGATGGCTTTCCACAGTAGACCATGGTGACGTGATAATATTGAGAGAATGAAGTCGAAGTGAGCTGCAGCCCGGTGATAAATAGTTGGATACACGATCGACAATTGGCAGGCAATATGTGCTGAGGCTGTGTTTTAGGCTTCAGCCAAGCTTTGATGATCTTATCTATCTATTTATCTATTACAGCCTTATGGGAATGAGTGGTTGGATTGCACTTTGAATTCCTCTAGCTACAGATTCTGCGCACTGCCTAAGATACCTCAGTTCTGGCACATCAACCATCTTCTTCTATGTTCTAGCCCCTGTTTATGATCTATAGTTCATCACAGCGGAGATGATCGGCGCGGGACTTATGCGGAATTACGCTGAACCTTATGGTGTGATTGTGGCTTGATATAAGAGTCAATCGGTCAAAGAGCAGGGTCTGACCAACGATTATAAGTGATTGTCTAGAAATGCGGCGATAAATGCGGTTCCAGGGTGTATTTACCCACGTAACACTAAATTGCAATCCAATTGCCTTGAGGTTTATGTCGAAAGTTATCTTGTGTAAAGAATTAATATATTCTCACGCCATGCTCATAAAAGACATTCATCTTTGGTTGTATTTTCCGATAAAAGATTGACTTGGGATAGAACCAGAGCAAACAAATCAAATGATATATTTCTCGCCCATCAGTTTCGAAAAACATCCATACATGTCGCACATAAAGACCTGAATCGATCTTGTAACAATATTTCCATTCGTAATTGACAGATGCAATCCTTATACACCCAGGATCCCTATTATAAAATAGTATTTTGTAAACAAAAAGCAAACACAAAATGTATACTCGAATTGCGTGCGCGGAGAGCTAAATGTCGTCAAAATGCGGGTCCATGTTGTGCTTCCGCCAGCACAGAGCAACAATGCCAAGTTATAAAAGCAAATAATATGCATACGTCTACCTATGAGAGTGCTTATTGCTCTTCATTATGGGGTGTATATAATATTTGTGATTAAATGGACTCAACAAAACCCGCGATGGATTTAGCATGGCGGGATCGTCCGATGGAGTGGAATGGGATAAATAAAATGGGCTCCTCGACCAGATCTCAACAATATCCACCTATCTAATATTTTCAAAATGGCATCGCCATCATTCCAAGATACAGCCGACTATGAAGCGGCTGAACGAGGCTTCATCGCTGCCCTGGAACCGGGCATCATCACAGACGCCTCCGGACAGGTAGTCTGGAATATCGATGCGTACGACTTCATCAACGGAGAATGTCCATCTACCGCACATCCCCATCTATGGCGACAAGGCCAGCTCAACTCCAAGCACGGTCTATACGAGATCTGTCGCGGGATTTACCAACTGCGAGCGTATGATTTATCGAATATGACCATCGTCGAGGGAAAAGGGGGCATCATCATCATCGACCCGCTGATTTCGTGTGAATGCGCCGCTGCCGGACTGGCCTTGTATAAACAGCATCGAGGAGACAGAAAGGTCACAGGGATGATTTACTCCCACTCCCACGGAGACCATTACATGGGTGCAGCGGGGGTAGTTGAACAAGATGCACAGATCCCCATCATTGCTCCAGAGGGATTTCTTGAAGCTATCATGAGCGAAAGCATCCTTGCCGGACCGGCGATGCGCAAGAGAGGTGCGTTCATGTACGGCAATGCCCTTCCACGTGGTCCAACAGGCCAGATTGGGACCGGGCTGGGAATGGCGTCGAGCGTGGGGACAACCAGCCTAATCCCGCCGAATATCCTCATCCAGACGACGGGAGAAGAATACGTTATCGATGGAGTGAGAATCATCTTCCAAATGGTGCCGGGCACAGAAGCACCGGCAGAAATCAACTTCCACTTCCCCGATTTCAACGCCCTGTGTATCCCCGAAACAGCAACAAACTGCATGCATAATATTGTGACCCTCCGTGGTGCCCAAGTCCGCGATGCAAAGGCGTGGTCGGGGTATCTGGACGAAGCGATCGTCATGTTTGGTCGTGGATCGGACGTGCTGTTTGGCAGTCACAATTGGCCGACTTGGGGACGGAGAGGGCTGATACGGCGATTGTCCGAGCAGAGGGATCTGTATGGCTACATGCATGATCAGACGGTGCGGTTGATGAATCTGGGACTGAGTGGAATTGAGATTGCAGAGAGGATGCAGTTGCCGGATGCGATATCGAGGGCCTGGCATTGTCGCGGGTTTTATGGGTCGTTGAGCCATAATGTCAAGGTATGCACTCCTTTATAATATTCCTAAATATTGATCTAATATTGTTCAAGGGCATCTATCAAAAATACATGACCTGGTTCGACGGCCGCCCAGAGCATCTCTGGCAATATCCCCCCACCGAAGAAGGACAGCGATATGTCGAATGCTTCGGCGGAGTCGACAAGCTGTGCGACAAAGCAGAGAAGTTCATCAACAGAGGTGACAATCGTTTCGCTGCCACACTCCTCGGCCATGCTGTGGCAGCAGACCCCGACTCTCCCGATCAACGGGCTAAACTGCTTCTCGCATTCACGTATGAAGCTCTCGGGTTTGGGTCTGAGAATGCCACATGGCGGAATTTCTACCTCACTGCGGCACAGGAACTGCGGACTGGAAGAAAGGCCGGGATGGTGGCTGGTGGACGGACACCGCTGGGTGAGAAGTTGAGTATCGATCAGTGGTTTGAGATTATGTCGGTGCAGATAGATGGGGAGAGAGCAGCAGATACATTGTTTACCATTGACTTTGACGTCGCAGATGTACAGCAGAGGTGGAGGTTGATTCTTAGCAATGGCGTTTTGACACGGCGGTTGATCAAGAGCGACGTGGAATTGGAGGATGCGAGGGAGAATCCTGCCAACCTGGAGATTGTTCTTACCAAGAAGCAGCTGCTGGAGGTTATACGAGGAAATAGTGTGGGTGTCGAGCAACGTGGCGATGCTGCTGTGTTGGATCAGTTGCTGGATTTGATTCTGGTGCAGGACTCAGTCCGTGGGCCCAGTCAGTTGTAACGAGACCTTCTGAATCCACCATTACGTTATTAGTATCATTATATGCACATGGAGTATTCAAGCAAGGGGCAGCTCAACCATCAACCACTCTGTAAGGCTTCCCCTTCTGCAATGAAATAACCTCATCCTTAGACCTAAATCCAGATGGTAAATCATCACAGGACTGTCATTAGATCCAACATGTTCCAATCTAGTCACTTTCCTTCGAAGAATATTTTGGTCATCAGCACGTGGAAGAAGTTCTCCAGACATTACTTCATACTTCCTCAGAGGTGGCACATTATGATTCCCATCCAGACATCCACTAGAGGTCAGTTTGCCCAGCTCAGAATGAACAACAACAATGATCAGCCGCAAAACCAACCTCTGGGGGTTCTCCCGCCCTTCGCTGTCCAGACTCGCCTGGGCTGGATGATGGAGCGCTTTTCACCCGTTCGAGCAGCGGATCATCGTGTTCGACGTGCGCTAATATCACACAGGCAAGGATCGCGGTTTTAGTGCCAGAATTGCGGCTGAACGTCGAACAAGCCTATCAGGTTGGCCAGAAATTCCACTTGTCAGGTAGAGTGGATTCATCTATTTCAAATAGGCTGGAGGCTTGACTATTTGAGGCCCAAAGACAATCTGATGCCAGTTTTAAGGCATGCAACACCAGTCACAGTGACTGGGATATAGATGGTTTGAGATGGAGGTCTATTGAACAGGATTCAAGTGATTGTTTGTGGGAGTTGTTGTTATGGTGTGGATCAAGATAATGCCTGAGGCGGAAACACTCTAACCTTGCAATATTGGGTCACGTGGTCTACGTTAGCTGCGATCTGCTATGTGTTGCTATAACACGACCCGAGAATTATGGCATTTTTTAGTTATCGACGCGAAAATTAAATGAAGAAGGAACTTATAGATGACCTAAAAAGAAACACCGACAAAATATCAAAAAACTTTAAAAACATACAACAGCAGGGATTCGCTGGTGGTCACCCACCCAACTACTAACCTGCCGGCGTGTGGCTTAAGTACGGCTGAGCGGACGGGAAGCCCTGTTCTCCACACCCTGTGGTCGTATGTACCGAAAATAACATATGAGGGAGTTATATGTTATTCATTCTGATGAAGAGACTGCTTCGTTCACATCATGGCCCACTTTCACCACGGACTCGTGCATTGAGTTGGATGTAGGCTGTACTCTGTAAAATTTATACAAAAAGAAAGCCAGTCTTTTGTGTTATAAAGCCCTGTAGACCTCAGTTGAATCAACTGTAATAAATGAAACTGACAGTATACCCTTCATGCAATTAATTGCTTCATGAGTGGAAGTGTATATATTCAATAATAGACGATTAAGACATACAATGAAAGGTGACAATCTCCAGGTGGCTGCCTTACCTTGCATCCTCCGTCGCTGTGTCTGTGTCCGTTCGCATGTGGAGATGCTTAACTGGCATATGGATCCACGTTGAGGCGTCTTGCTGCTCAGCCTCAATCTACTCCGATGCCCGACCCGGTATCCGTCGGATGAGAAATCAGCCATGGCATCGTTTGTGCGGCTCATTTGTAAGGCATCAGCAAAGATTTGAATACTAATGCAGATGCGGTTCCCATCACAATTGGTCTAGTGCAAACGTGTTATTATTATCCTAGTATACTTGACGCAGCATTGACTCATGCAGTTTGCCACTTGTATGAGTTTCTAACTATTCCCTCTATCCGAATCGGATATCGCCGTTTGAAAACAAGCTCCCCAAAGCGCACTAATGCATGCTTTAGCGTCGAGGAACAAGTCTCAATGCTGAGCCCATCCTGAGTGTGCCAGACTTCCTAACCCGGTTGATGTAGGATAAATTGGCTCATATTCTTTTATTTGTTATTTTCAAAACCGATAACACTCTCGAAAAGCTTACATAGTAGTCTAAAACAGCGTACAAGTTCATAAAATCCAACATAGCTGATTATAAATCCCATTCCAGACATACAGCCCGATGGATTCGAATCCCTGTTCACCTCGCTGCTGGGTGCCTGAAATCCCATTAATGAGGTCAATCATCACTTCCAATCATACGAAATAGCGAAGCGATGGCCGTCCATCCAGAATCCGACAGATCTTGAATTGACACCTCGGATATCGGCCAGGATCGAACGAAAATCCTTTGCAGTTCAAATGAGGCTATGCGGGAGACGATCATACAGCCTGGGCACATAGTTCTATCGTTCGATTCGTTCATTCATCTCTCTTCGGTGGCTGAAGTGGAACGCAATGTGTTTTACTGCCTACTTTGGTGACGTGTAGTGCTTATCGACTGCGTATAGCCTCATTCAATGGCATCGAGTATTCGACTAGTAGGCAAGACGTGGTGCAAGGTACCTTTATCGAAGATAGATAGTTGAGGCCAGAAAAACATAAATAGAGAGGAACGACCTCGAGTATCTCAACATCAACAACATCTCAAATCATCCAGATCACTTCAAACCAATCCAATCCACTCTAACCGTCAACAACCGCCACAATGAAGTTCTCCATGACTCTCCTCCCTCTCATCGTCGGCCTCTCCTACGCCGTTGCTCTTCCCGAGCCCAACTCCAACACCCTCATGACCAGAGCCAATGGTCACGACTGCCCATCCAACGATGCCACTCAGTGCTGTGATGTGAGTAGTCGCATATCATCTCCTTGAATGTCTCTAACATATTCAAATAGTGCTCCAATGGCAACGGTTACTGCATTGCCTACGTCTGCTACTGCTTCAGCGGCCCCAACAACGACTACTGCTAGATGGCTCGAGTTGAAGATCGACGATTCTTGACGATATGGATGGTTTAATGTTATATAATATCGGGGATAGTACATACGGAAACATATAGATTGGATCTTGAATAAATATAGTCAACAGAGTATCAAGTAGAATTGCCCGTAAATTTTGCTATGGTAGGTCTCTCGAGGCAGCATTGCCAATAATAACCTACTTTTGGAGAAATCTCGCTATACCTTCTCACCTTTAACCCCAAATAAACAAAAATATCTTTACCCGAACGTCACGAACTCCATCTACCATATCCCCCTCTCGGCCTCCCATAACCCGACATAAATCTATAAACACCCCTAGCAATACACCCGACTGCCAAGGCACGTGAACGCAATGATCTCATATGTACACCCAAAAAACCAGACCAGATCGCCATGAGCAACAACCAGCTTGATTCGATCGAACGAGTCTCTGAAACATGTTATCCAGGGGTATCTTTCGGCTGCAGATCCAGACCCAGCAGAGCACCGACCAAGGCACCATACCGAGCGGAGTCTCATGGACTGTGCGTAGCTGAGGAGGCCAGAGTGGTGACGCGTGTAACCCAAGCTGCAGAGACTTCACTGAAGCTGGGTGGGAGGTCGACCTGATGGGAGAAGCGAGGAATATTCATGACTAACAGATGTGTGCATATTAGCAAGATTGGCCACGGATGAGATAATGTCAGACATACAAAACTCGGATATAGTTTAATGTATATGTTTCATCCACCGAGCACACAGCACACAGTACACTCGAGCAGACAGCTGGCCTGACCTCGTTTCATCGTGAACCACGATGATGAAATGCCATAGCTCCAAGGGTGACAGAAGATGCTACATCCCAAAGTCTAAACAAACACCCGTGAAGAGTGCATAGGGTGATACCCAGCGTTCCATCCCGCGATGTCAATTCACGATAGCGGCAGATATAAGTCCAGTCCAGTCAAGCCAAGTCAGCCCGACGGGAAGCCAATAACTCACCATCCCATTCGGATCCATCCCGTGGGTGTTGCACCTAGTTCTCCCCCCTTGACTTTTTTTCTGTGATGAGTCGGGAGAGCAGAGAACCGTACCCGTGCCGTGGAGACGCCCCGCGTTTGTGTAACAGGCGCATGGGGCACTCTGTGTGGCGAGCTAATCGGATAGAAGCCTCGACGTTGGACAGGAGGATGAGTGGATTGAAGCTATTTAGACGGGAGGAGAAAATTTCGCCGTCGGAAGGGCGAGTAAAAGGCCCTATTTGATGGTTTCGTCGGCAGATTTAGCGGTTTGGCAGCCTTGTTTCATGTATTGTTAAGTATAATATTAGGGTGATTAAGGGGATATTGCATTGCCTTGGTCTACCTTGGCTGTCTGGAATACTGACTTTTCCCACATTCCTGATATCCGCCGTGTAGCTACAGAGTAGTATCCGAATACCTCAACATGGATTGGGAATATTAAACAACGTATTAATTTAGCAAGATAATATTTAAGTAATCGTAACAGAAGTGATGCTTTGATCTATATATGAACGCAAACTAGAAACATTTTGAATTCATCCATCGTCATCCCTTGACCGTAACATTAGTAATCTTTATGGCTTTTGATCGTCGAACATCATTAATACTCAGTTCCAACCAGTCCAATCCACCCAAAGAAGCAGTAGGAATTCAACCCAGCAAATCCCACGCATAAAACCGTAATTATAGCAGCACACACAGTTCAGTTACACCATCTTGAATGCCCTGGCAACAACACATAATCCACCCATAAGGGCCGTGAAGCCAGTAAAGGTGATCATGGGCCCATAGCCACTGCCATAGGCGCCCCCGACTGTCCCCTTCCATGGATCCCCCTTGAGGAGAACACCGCTCAACGGCCCGCTGAGGACGAACCCGATTCCTCGGCCGGTTTCCATAAATGCGATGACCATGTTTGTATCTGCTGATGGTTCATTTTTGTTAATCTCACGCGCAACGGCAGACCATGTCGAGGAGAACCCTCCCGCAAATAACCCATACATGATGGAGAATATATACAGCGGCGCGAGAGACGTAGCGAGACCCCAAATCAGAAAGATGGAGGTGATGGCGCCCACCGTCGACATGAGGATACAGTTCGACACGTGGTATCGGTCCGTCATCTTGCCCATAATCGCACACCCGATGATGGTAGTCAGGTTGAAGAGCACGACTGGGACGGAGACGAGGAAGCCATTGTGGCCCATTCTGCGGGCGTGCGAGGGCATGAAGATCGCGGGGAGGAAGTAGCCGATTGCCTCGATGGTGTTGCCGAGTTGGTAGACGATGTAGACGAAATTGAGCTGGAACTTCATGTTGAGGCTGCTGAGGGAGGAGGTGCGGGTAGGGTTTCGGGGCTTGAGGAAGAAGAGAAAGGGCAGGCCGAGGATGAAGACACCGACGGAGGAGGCGCGGAGGGTTGTTTGCCATCCATACTGGGATAGGAGGGCTTGGAGGACGATGGGGAGGATGATGCCGGTGAGGCCAGAGCCACCCTGTATACGTTAGCTGGGTATAGATATGGGGATGATGAGCATACCCAGACAACACCGAAGGCAAATCCTTTCCGTTCGACGAACCACTCATTCATAAACACAATAGCCGGCGTAAAGGCAAGACAGCCACCGATGCCGAATGCTACGCCCTGCGACAGGATCAGGTGTGTGGTGTCTTTGGAGAACGAGGCAGCGGCTAATGCCACACACATGATAATATGCCCGACAGTTGAGAAATAGCATTGGACACGAGGAAATAAGATGACCAGTGCAATGACGATGGGAGTGAGAAGATACGGCAGGCCCTATTCACGGTCAAACAGAACCACAGTAGAGGCTGAGTTGAAGCACTGACTGTAGCACAGGTTCCTACCACCGCGATGTTCCCTGAGGTCTGGAATGGCTCATGCGTTTCGTAGTAGTTTTGGAATACACCATAGGAGGAGGAATATCCTGGATGGGAGTTAGCTGTGGTCGTCAAGAGATGGTGAGGAACACACCCCAGACGATGCCTTCAATGATAAAGGCGGATATCAAGAACATCCATGCGTGAAATCCCCGATCAACGGGGGGCAAGTTGGCATCATTTCCATCCTCGGACTGAGTCGAAAAAGGATCAGAGACGGACTCTGCCAGCGGACTGAGGTTTTTGGGAGTCTTCTCTGGGTAGTACTCGTGGGATTCCATAGTGTCCTGAGGCTTCATTGTGCTGCAGCTCCAGAGGATAGGCAAGGATATATATTGAGACTCGGTAAAAAAAGAATTGGATGTCTTTTCAGAGAACGAACAGGAAGATAAAATAGCAAGATCGATATAGTGTCGGGTGATTCAACCATCATAGCTTCTTGACTCCCACCTGCTGTGACATCAATCTAGTCCTGATGAGGGGGAGCCGTACGTCAGCCGACAGTAGAATTTGCAACATCTAGGGCCATCTTGCATGTGTTGTGGTATGCAGGGTACCCAGGATGTGTTGTACGAGGCAGGTACTTTGCCGATCCTCTGAGGCTACGTACGCCTCTGGTATGCAACCTAGCCCAGAGTCATACAACCCGAGCACTGCACAGAGGCTGCCCCCCTCCGAATTCCCCCCGAAGATGCGAAATGGAAGGGGTTGGAAAGAGAACAAAAAGCGGAACTATCATCTTGATCGCCAGTGTATCTTGCCTGTTGGGACTGCTGTGGCCTGGAAACTATCAAGTATAATAATTCCCCCCCCTAGAGAGATGCATCTAGCACTAAGGGGAGCAGGAAAGGATCCACGGGGTTCCGTACTTTTTCACCATTATTAAATGACTCGCTACGGTGACTAGTGGTGACTGGATTCTCGGGCCTTGATGAACCGATCAGAGATGCTTTTCAGGGATGGACCGGCGAAGCTTGATATAAATAGTCCGTGCTTTATAGAGCGCCCAGGCGTTGGAATGGGGCACAAACTACGGCTATCGGCATATATTGTGATATAATCATGAGCAAAGACCGCCTGGCCAGCAGGTTGTGCTCTCCCATCTCGGAATTCCCATGGAGGTTGATGTAATTGCCACCCTTATGCTTCACAATCTTCAACTTACTTTGGATACGTACGTTGAGCACAGGGGCAGTTAGCTACTGTCGTACCCGTTGAGCAGCAGGTTTCGAGGCAAGTGGGGATGAACAGCATCTGCAGATGTCATCATCGATACGAAGCCCCTGTGAACCATATCGCTGGATACACTGAGAAGCATGTTTTATGGAATGTAAAAGATTAAACTCGAGGCAGCAATACATTAATAAGAATAAAGTACTCGCATGTGAAAGTACCTTCTTGACGTACATGATGTACAGCAATGAGTAATGCCAACCACTATATTGCCATCCACTACCGAAGATAGCGAATTTTAGCCCATCTACCCGCCATTGGATGACTTTCCGTATTCCCAATCGGCTCGCACGCCACATATCTCAGATATAAATCAAATGGCGCAGTGGCGCTGCTGCTAAAGTCATGCAGGCGACTCTTCCACAGCACAAGTTTCTGCCTGTCATAGTAAGCCACAATGACTCTGCGGCGCCGGCCGATCAAGGAGAAAAGCATAATCCATATCATACGACCGTTAGAGGGAGTATTTATAGCCGGACGGAGATCAGCTGCCTACCGGAATAGGCATATGGTTCTCGAATGTTTCACATGTCATGCGGCTGCTCATGGCGGCTGCAATGACCAAAACCTCGCCTTTCAGAAGCCGGTCATCACCGATGATGCCGTGCTTTATGGCGAGGATTAAATAATGGTTTTCGTATGGATGGTGGGCTGTCAAGGATCCCAATGGACGGAACGTGCTCGAGTATACCGAATGATAGTATCGACGACGAAGCATTGACTTGGTGAACCCACTTGATAAGTTAGCAACGCTTGTTTCGAACAAGCTGGAAGATATATAATATACTCTCGGTATAGCCATTTAGTAAGGTACGAGAGGGGCTGAAGGCCGAATCGACAATCTGGTATATTTACACGAGCGATGCCGGAGAACAGATGTGCGAGCTCAGACTTGTTCTCGTCAGGGCCTCTCATAGGGACTTCATATTCATCCATTATTCTATGCTCTCTCAGACGATTCTGTGTTTCTTCATCTACAGGTGGATGAGGTTCCGTTCTTGGAGAGCGGCTGGAAAAACATGGGGCCTTCACAGACAGTGTCAGACATTGTATGCCCTTCAACCCTGAGGCCCAGTCTAGCAATATCCCCATCGTCCAGGGATACTTTTGAAAAACATTCAAGATCCTCGATAATCGAGTGGATAGTACCCCAAATCCTGTCTCTCGCTATCCTATCTTTGTCAGAAAGGTTTCGCTTATTTTCCAATTTTTTACTGACGACGTGGTGGCTGTTGGTGTAATAAGGGCGTTCCAGGGATGAAATGTATCTTTTGCATATTTTATGGATAAATTGAAACCGAGAAGAAAAGGAATACTAAAGGTAGAAATAATGTAGTGTTGCCCGGTACCTACCTAGAATAGATGGAACCATAGATCAAACTCAGAACATAATAAATAGACCAAGATGTGTTACAATGAGGTTTTTTTTTGTGGAGGTGGGATATACGGCTATGGAAGCCTGCCTTCTTTGGCGTCTCTTCTGCTGTGTTTTATATAGCTCCGAGCGACATCCTGGTGTGCTGGCGTACAACAGATATTTTGATTGATAACAAACAGTGCAAACCATGCAAAAGTGTGTGGCTACAACAATACAAAGAGGTATGTTTGGTTAGATTAGGATTAATGTAGTAGCTTTACGTACATATAAAGATCAAACACAAATAATTGATCATCACTTGCCAGCTTTACCCTTTTCAAACGCAATAGAATAACACGCCGGCATAGCATGTGGCAAAAAGGCTATAACATCAACAATCGCCACGACAAGCGGTTTTATATATGTTACAATGGGCATCCCCGCGCTCTGTAATAACAGCATAGTGATAGTATACATGGCTAGCGTTCTGGTGGGCGTCAGCACCTCCTGTCTGGCCCAGTGAAGATCCTTGCGATGACGAAATATCGTGGACAGATGTAGATCGACAAGAAGACGGTTGACAAGGATTAAAGCGAGGAATGTAGACGGTGCTACGATGAGTTTCGGCGATGCGATTACCTGCCGCACGCCCCATTCGAAGCAGGCGCTGGCTTGAAATAAACATCCAGCAAGCATGTTGTACCGGAGTGTCTTTTGGGCGCCCATCAGGGAGAAGATTGGCTATGAAAAGTTCAGAAGAAGCGTGGAAAGGGGTAAAAGGAGAGAAGGTATACCTCGCAGGAAAGTTGAATAACCGGAATTAAATGCGACCAAGCGGTGGGGAGCACCTTCGTTAATGATACATAGAGAAAAAAATTCATAGCCGTCAAGATCGCGGAACGGTTCCATGAAATGTCACCCAAGCCTGTGCGCATGTGCTTGGTGAATCCTAACATGCTTCCTTGTCTGATACTGATGCGGCGGTTCGGGAAAAAGCCATGTAATCCGTCTGTGATGATGATGAAGACTGCATAGATGGAAGTGCCAGTGAAGATGATAAAGCCAGACTTGAGCGGGGGACTCCCAGGGCACAGATACACCACAATAGAAATGATAATAGCCAGCGCCGCCATTCGCAAGCTGACAAAGTAGTGATACTGCCGTATCAGAGACCGATTGAAACTGAACACGACCGCTAAGGAGTCAAGAGCGGTGCTTGCCAGGAGGGCGAAAAAGATATCCACGCAAAGTGGGACGCCTTGATCATCAGGCGTACTCAAGATGCTGGTCTCCGGTGCTGGGGGAGAGGTTGACAATAAACCAGCCATCCACGAAAACACCATCAGCCAGAAAAGAAAGGCAGCGCTGGAGCATAGCATGAGAAGCCAGAACCGGCGGGTATTTGGGGTTTCTGCATTGAACAAGTGTGATCCGCCTATGCGTGAGTATTTTTCGCTTGCGCTGTGGAGGTTAGTATAATTAGAGGCATGAGATGGATGAATACCTTTGATCACGCTTCACATCGGGAAGCTTCATTGCCATTGATGATAGTTCGCATTAAAGGGGAATAGGGTGAGAATGGAGATTGAAGAAGTTTGATATATGCCCTTTGGCAAAAGCATCTTTATGTAAACCGTCATGATGGAGCCATGGTCTAAAAAATGTTGAGTTATATCGGATGCATTTATTCTGCAGAGATGACTTGGAAGCACAAGAGTTTGATGATAGACCTAGAGATCGGTATGGACAGCTCACTCATGAGATGTATGGACTGAGTCGGTGAATGCAGACTGTGCATATTGTATTGTAATTGCTTTTATGTGACTGACGTGGCTCCGTTCAACGGGTCAGCCCAGTCAGCATACATGGGATAGGTCATCCACCAGTTATCGTCCGCATCCTTGCCCATCACCATCCCAAACACGCTATTCGCATGATCCGGACCCAGGACAAGTGACGGTTTCCCGGGTCTCGATGACTTTCGCATATAGCAGGAGAAAAGTTGACTTCGAACAGACGACCCTTGTGCCAATTGCTGCATATGAAAGGGAAGAATTCGAGTTCTCTTCAGCTGGGAGGGGAGTCTCTTCATAAATGCGTTTTGCGCAGAAGTAGAACTGTTCAAGGCACTCGGGCTTATCGTGATCTATAAGTGACCGTTGAATATCAGCTTTCAGAGCTGGTATTAGTTTCTATAAAATATCACGCGTCGTCAAAAGAATGTTTGCTAGCACTGCAGCATTAGTGACGTGGCCAATCTTAGGGAACAGGACTGCAGATCACATATCAAAGATATTCGACAGCGTCACCGGTCTGTCTTGGTGAGGCTTGAAAGCTGCAATGGTGGTCTTTGCCCACCGGGCGAGAAAGAAATCGCTTTCGCTAACCCAGAGTTTGTTGTTCTCTGAACCGAGGCTCTAGACAGTCCGTGTTTCCAGTTCTCTAATAATGTCCTCGGCAATTCCGATCTGTTGCTTTCTGCAACAGGGATTGAGAGATGCTAAGTAACGACCAGAATTTGGCAGCCCATCCGCTATGGATATCGATGCTCTCTGTGCGAATTTCCTCCTACCATGAAGCACCACCACCCCAGATTTCAGCAGAAGTGATAGTGATTCAATATCCACGAAGCCATGTGGGTATGTGGCATTCGAAGTGACCATTTGCCTGAAGCGGTCAGTCGATGTCCTATATATGTTTCTATATTGTAGTGCACGCCGTAAACTTTATTACAAAAGGACATGGAGGGGAATGGTGCGTGTTAGGACTGTTGCTTACACTAGTTTAGAATTAAATGCATGCATCTTGGTGTACACTGTAGTGATGAATATTATGTCTAATAACTCTATATATGCACTATTTAACTAGCTTCTGCACTCCATGGCACTAGTATGTAGGCACTCTATGTAGGCACTCTTAACTCACTGGGGCAAAAGCATTCTTTCAGCTCCCAATAGCAGCAGTGGATCAGGCCAGATTAGAACCTGCAAATCTCATAATGTCTGCAAATGGCTCCATCACCGCTTGAGCTAAGCCACTCTTGCAGATCCTTTCAATACATATAGCTATTTCTTTTACAAACATTCCTATACCGGCCATTCTATTGCATATTGCAGTTTTTTTTAAAAAGATCAGATGTACCCGTGCATCACATTTCAACAAGTGATCTGATCTTATGAACAGTATTACCTAGGAAGACGTCTCTTTATTACATGCAATATAAGGAATTAACGGTTTTATATGGCAGCCTGTACAGGATGCTGACCAACTGTGCATTTAGATATGAAGTCGTATACTTATAGAGTCTGATGTACTACCTTTGGGTGCCCACCCCTATCATATTGTAGCATTCAAAGATGTCCCCCACTGTTGGAATATTCCCTCTCCTTATAACATACCCTGTTAAACAGCTCTACTACTACCGCTTCAAACAATTTGAAAAATGGCCACAGTTCAAATCATCCCTCCTTTGGGGCCATCTAGGCCACGTAGGCGAGGCCGTGAAAGTCGGTCCCCCAGATAGACATATTGGTATAAATACAGTATACCCATATTGAATGAAATCTATGCTTACCTACAACAGACTTTGTGTTCGAGGAAATGCGCCGGAAACTCGGCAACCCACCCGCCCTCATCTTCGATCTACGTCCAGCAAACAAACTGCTGTGCATCGTGGCCAGTCATGAAATTGCCGAGTAGGTCTCGTCGCGAACGAAGAAATGTCCATACAGCCTGCCGAAAACGCCGGTCGAGCGCGAGTTTGTGCCTTTTCTAGGCCATCGTCCAATTCTCACGATGCAGGAGACGGAGTGGAAACAGTTGCGGCAGAGGTTTAATCCAGCGTTCTCCAAGAGCCATGTGATGACTCTCATGCCATTCATAATGGGGCAGGTATCGATGTTTATTGATACCCTCGATAGCGAGGTACGAAGGAGAAGGGACTGTTCGTTTCAAGATACCTGTGGAGATCTCACTCTGGGCGTTGTTGGTAAGTGATACCTGGCTCGTGTTTCAGCAGGTATTCATAGAAGACTGCAGGTGGGTATTCCTAGGTGCCAACAACGATGACCCCACGGAAATGGGAGAGCAAAAGGAAATTGTACAGTCGTTTCGTGACTTGCATTCCTCCTACGCCTTCGACCCGAATGTACCGCCCATCTTCACCGATCCACGAGCCAGGTGGCACCGGAATAGAATGGAGAAAAAGCTGGCTAAGCTGGTCAAAGACAGAACCCGCGAGGTGTTTGCAAGAATGAAGAAGGATCATGAGAAACACTCCACCACACAGAGGAAGAGTATACTAGTCCTGACCCTACAGACAACCGATTATTTCACCCCAGACATCGAGGAATGGGTATGTGACCAGTTCAAACTGTTCATGTTTGCCGGATTCGACACAACCAGCCTCTTGCTCGCCTGGCTATTCTACCGTCTCAGTCTCACCGCGCATGCCCTGAAAGCCATCCGCGACGATGTGATGACATCTTTGGCCCGGATCCCAACTTGCCAGCTACCAAAGAGAAGATCCTCTAGCCCAGTGGAAACACTCGGCCGCATGTTTTATACTTCTGTTGTGATCAAAGAAACACTGCGCTTGAATCCACCAGCGGCGACATCCCGAACTATTCCTAACGGATCGAATGCTTTCCTGCGAATGCCCGACGTCAGGGATCTCTTCATAGACGATCTATCAGTCTACAACTGTCATACGATCCTCCATCGTGACGACGCCATATACGGGGAGACAAAGGATGACTTCATCCCAGAACGTTGGCTGCCATCAAACGGGGATACAAAACTGGGCAGTGAGGAGGTATGGCTTTAAGAAAGCCGGACTGGGTGAGATTGCACGCGACTCGAATAATGAACCTATCCTAAAGCCAAGTGGGGAATATGAAGTGAAGGAGCCGGTCTACAATGTGAGATAACCATTATCATATCTTGAAGGTATGTTGGATGCTGAAAGTACAGCTAGGGCCGAAGATTCATTCCCAAGCCAATTGACGGTATACAGATGCGCGTCAGGTTCAGTTCGATGATAAGTTGATATATTTGATGTAGATAATTCAGCTGCAATAGAACGTGTTCAAGGGAGTCCCTTTCCTACTCAACATGTTTCACCATCGGAGATTCTGCTTTGTATAGATCACTCTTCTCATTTGCATTTTTGTTCAGCTCCTCCTGCTCGTGCTGAATATACTTCAACGGGCGCTTCGTCGAAATGGCATCTGGGTCTTTGAAGACGAGCAGCGGAGGGTTGGTGCGGTAGTATGCATCCAGGTCTTCGAGGGTGCGGTTTGCTGATATCGTTAGCTTCATCTATCTCTCTTATTGACCATGCGGAGAATAGACTACCTGTCTCTGGATAGAAGCAGTATATAATCGGGATAGAAACAGCGTTGAAAACGGTCCAGACAATCCAGAATTTCCAGCCAATATTCTGGATGCCAATGGGTGTGATTTCGACAATGACAAAATTCGTAATCCTTCATAATGTCAGTATTCATATTAATTCCCGGCATAGGAAAACCATACCAATTAGTAGCTGTCGCAACAGAAGCCCCCTTCGTCCTCATTGGAAGCGAACTGATCTCAGTTGGATATAACCACGGCACCCCCAGCATCCCAAAGCTAAAGGCAATATAGTATAAAAAGAAGAACACAATCGAAGCCGACGCAATGCGATCCCCATTCCCTGGGTTCTCAGAAAACCTCAACAAAATAGTGATAATCAAAAACGACAACAACTGCCCACACGTCGAAATAAGCATCAACCCCCTCCTCCCCAGCCTCTCCACCAACGGCACAGCAAAACACGAAAACACAAAATACGACGTTGCATTACATGCAGTCAACAAGCGGGACATACTATTCGACAATCCCACCGCATCAATCAACACCGTCGGCATATAGTACGACATGATGTTGATTCCCTGGAACTGCTGCATGAATTGCGTCCCTGCGCCGAGGATGAGTCTGCGAAGGGTTTTTGTGTCGTTGGTTTTCTTGCGTGTGAAGAGGTCTCTCCAGGGGACGGCATTGTCGCGTTCATACTGGATGCTGTATTCCATTTCGTTGCGTTGGGTGGAGATGTATGGGTCGTTGAGGGGTTTGGCTTCGAGGCAGGAAAGGACTTGGAGTGCTTCGGTGTCGTGGCCATGGGATAGGAGCCATCTGTCTAATTAGCTGGGTATATATGATGGAATAGGAAGGCATACCTTGGAGATTCAGGAAGCCATGGAACGGTTGAGAAGAGGACGAAGATAAAGACGAATTGGAAAGCGATGGGGAATCGCCATGCAACAGCACCTCCATGGAAGGACAAGCCGTAGTTGATCCAATTAACCAGCATGTACCCAGAGATATTCATCACCATTTCAAGAATGACAAGTTTTCCTCTCCACTGCGCTGGTGCCGTTTCAGTTTGCCAGATCGGGGCCGTAGCGGTATTGATACCATTTCCGATACTATCAGGCGTTAACAAGAACCATTATAATAAGATGGAAGCATACCCAAGGACAATCCGTCCAACAAACATCTGCGCCAGACTATACGAGCTCGCCTGGAGAATCACACCAACACACATAATTGCTGAGCCACACAGGACTGATTTCTTTCGACCAAAGCGTTCGCCCAGACTGAATGCAATGATTGCGCCAATGAAGCATCCTATATCATAAATAGCGGTGACGGTCGAGAGGACTTGCGTCTTGGATGGGCCAACCAGATCGTGGACTTGCAGGAAGTCTTGTGTAACGACCACTCCGCCTGTTTCGATTAGATTAGAAGGAACATAGGGGATAGGTAGACTCACTGAACACGCCTTGGTCGTAGCCGAAGAGCATCATATCAGTTGCACATGCTACCTGTTAGACTGTTGGCAGGAAGATACAAAGTATACTCAATTTATACACACCGTAATCCAAACAACCAACCACCCCCCGGTCAACCCAAAATAAGGCTTTTTCTCAATCGCAGCAGTCATATCGAACGCAGAACAAACAGTACACTCGACAGAAATGAAATGGAAAATGGAATCCATGCATCACTGGGAAACACCCCCTATTTATCCAATGCAACTCTACATCAACAAGAATCATGTTTGTCACACGCGTGTCACCCGATAAGGTTTGTGGGGGAGTAGATTGCGGGGAAATCTTTTGATATAGGCTTATTTTCCGGATTAGGGAATTTAGGAGTGCACTTCATGACATCATATGGATCATTTGGGTATTTGTTCTTCCGCTTCTGGCTTGGATTCTGGTAGGGTGTGTATGTCAGTATGATGATTCATTATTGGTGAATGTAACCGTAGCTTTAGATTATCGGAGACGTTGGCGGGAAAACAATTTAAAATACTCTACATTGTGTAACAAAGATAAGATGATATTTAGACTGTAGGAAAGATAAGACAACTTTCGAATGTCATAGATAAACCTGATATCAGGTGAGGCACTGGTCGTCCAACCGAAGATCTACACCCCGCATAATGGGTAAACGTCATCGCATAAATCACACGCGTCGATGATCATTTCTGGCAATTTAGCCGGGTGGAATATTCTATAATGCCCGTCATTATACCCAGATTTCACAGTCTCAAGGCGAGTAATGCAGTGTCAGCACAGAATAAAGCTGAAAGCTTGACTGGTATTAAATGATACACATGCTTCAATATTGGTGTTGACCATGAGAATGAGTGTCTTTAGACGAGTATCATTGGCTTATTTGCCATGAAGATTATATATCAAGCTATAATGATGGACGGTATGATGCGTTTAACGAGTCAGCAAATGGTATCCAACTCGACATACCAGGACGCAGTCAAAGCTGTGGTCAACGTATTTCTCAATCATTAGGTACTTCCCCGTTACCAACGGATGGATTATCGTACCTGAGGCGGATCGAAATGATCGGTATGCAGACTTTATCATTCTGTGCGTGCAGCGCCGGTTTCCTGGCGACCGGGGTGCGGTGGACCATACGGTGGTCGAGGCCAGAAAGGCGACCGACGACTTGGAAGCCTCCCTGGGGTAGTTGGACAATGTGCCTGAAGAGTCAAACACGGAGTTTGGGCCATGGTTTTACGAGTATCATAAGAATCTCCACGAAAATACTAAAATTATTCCTTGGGGACCTGTCGAGGAACCGTCGAGGAACACTTTCCATCTGCGCCATGACTGTGCGATGATCGACTGGATGCTTCGTCATACGTATCAGACCGATTCTCCCAACCCTCACTGAGTTATATGTATCGCCCGACAGGCCATGGAGGCGCTGGGTGTGCTGGAAACCTGCAAAAGAGCCGGTAGATGGGCAGCTCCATCTCATGTGTTCTCCAGTTTTTTTCGATGCCGACGATAGGATATTTAGAAGGTCGAGAGAATCATTTATTGGATCAGAATTGAAGAGCACTAAGAACTTTACCAGAACAACAGAGGCAATGTCAAAGCACAAAGCTCCGACAAGCAAGGAAATGACCCAGAATCCGAAGACAGGTCTCAAAGTATGCACAGTGTTAGAGTATCATTCTGCATTTTGAAAACTCCGTCAATATTAAAGACAAAGATTATAGGCTAGTCCAGAAAAAGCACCATTGAACCATATACTGTAATCAACATAATAAAGAGAAGCCCTCGCATAGCTTCCTCCCCTGCGCGGTAGTGTTGTCAGCCGTTTATCCAGCAAGCATGGACCGAGCGTTTGGATACACCCATCAACGACCACTTCAAGGCCCATTTCCACACGTTTCGTACGTGATGTTTGATGGATGCCGTCGATATCGAGGAATGTGCAGGTTTGATTTTGCTGGCAGTGAGAGCAGATGTATTTATCATCCAGTGACTGGAAGTTTGGGATGCACTTCAGGTGATGCCAGGCATAGCATACGGAACAGCGTATACCCTCCACGTCAGAAAGGTGACGGTTTCCACAGCAGGATATTGTAAAATCAAAGTTCCGAGGTTTTAAATCTCTGAATTGAGGGATAGACGAGTAATACCACTCCTGCACTGTAAGTGAGGCTTGGGCAAAGGATATGATATCTCTGGATTCCATGTTATGTAGTATCATGTCGCGTATTTCAAAAGGGAGATAAACCCCCCACCACTCCCTGTGATATATGGATGGTTTCCAGCATGATGAAGTGAAAATATATGCCAAAAGTCGAAATCCAGGCGAGCAGTGCACCACTGAATCATTGGTAATAAGCGGAATGGTTGAAGAGCAGCGGATACTCTCAGCAGAGACCTCAACGAGAGCGATATCAGGCAGCGATACGAGGATAATCCGGACAAGAGACTGCATCCTTCTAGCCTTCAGCACAGCCATGTTGACTGCTTTTCCCGTCTGCCCTGCACCGTGGAAAATAACCAGAAACCCATGGAACCAGAACATGTCCTCATCGGGAGCCGTCCATGATGGTATAAGGGGGTAATTGATGGGGACCTCATCATCGTATGGATGAGGTACAACCTCGAGATCCCAAGCTGCCAGGCGCAGAATAGCAATGGCAAATGTCCTGAGCTGCGGACAGGGACGTTCCCATGCCCGTGTATCGTCAAGATAGAATCGCCACGAATTGACAAAGTGTGTAAAAAGTCGACATTGAAGTTCATTCAACGCTGAGGGCATCCCAATCTTGAGATGCAGTTTGTCGCATATCGGCATGGCCACATATGGGCTATCGTCCGACGTGACCTGGTCTGTTTCATTCACATCTTCAAGAATAGCACCAAGCGATTCAACCGAAGTATCTTGGATCTTCTTAAGATCTGCTTGTCTAACCAAGCGTGTCCTGACACCATTGACTTTCCTCCACTGCGACAACTTCAAGTATCCCCTATCCCTATCGATCGTGAACACATATCTGAAACTAGTCCACCCTGAACTTGGAAAAGGGATGGACTGCCAGTTACTGATATCAGATGTTGAAGTAATACGCCTAATCTCCTCCAGACTAGCAGATGAATCGGGCGAGTAGCGAGATCCCCGCACTCCATAGAGCCAGCGATACCATTTCCCTGTTTCTGTCAGCACTATAAGCAGGCTGCACTCGGGTGTCTTACCATCGATGTGCATATTAAACAAACTTCGCATGGGCATTTTGAATATTCCACTTGCGAGATAGTGCTGGGTCAGATACGTAACAGTTCACAATAAATGGATGCCGTGGCGGTGTATTTGCCTTGCTGCATGATCGGAGTAAGGGGCCTCGACGTGGTTTGCATCGATTCGTCAATAGCAACAGGGATGGCGGAGTTCAAGTGATCAGAATATCTCATCAATTTTATTGATCATCATGACTTTCTATCAGACATTAAATACTCATCCTCAGGATGTCGGTGATTTCTATTCTATCCATCCAGATTGACCAACCAGATACACATCTTCATATGTATCCCTCTCGTTCTTCAACCTCTGTCTGGAACGAAGATGCTCCATCATAGCTTCATCATCCGAGTGTACCTTCCATTTCCATCCGATTTCACCATGCAAAACCCCGACAAGCAATCCAATCACCCTAGGCCCAAAGACTGGTTTTGCCGGACAGACAAAAGGTGCACTCCCAAAAGGAAAGAATGCGTTTCGTTGCTCGCTGGTCAACCGTGTCCACCTCTCCGGATTGAAGACAGTGGCATCATGCCCCCAGATTTCAGCATCTGTATGGCAGCTTTCCACATCCGCAGCAACAACCAGAGGCTCGGCATCTGTCCGAAGTTGGAAAGCTCGATAGATCCGTCGTGTCGGGGGATAGAGCCGTAGAGCCTCGTTGACCAGGAATTCTGCGCAAACACGTCTGTTGCCGTCCAGCTGCTGGAATTGCGTTTTTGTTGGTGTTTCGGCAAAGTGAATCAGGATGTCGCGATGCTCGTTATCGGCAAACTGAACCTCAAGGAACAACCGCAACACAACACGCCACATCGTTTCGAATCCAGGTAGAATGAAGTTTAACGGATTTCCCTTTGGGTTGTGCATGTCTTGATCGGGGAGGATGGCGAATAAGCATTTTTGCAGATAAACATTATCTTCGAACCGAGGCATGGTATGTTCTTCTTTCGATGCCATCCATGCCCAATTTATTGCTCCAGCAAGGTTGATCAAATCACCATTGGCACCATCCCCCAGAACTTCCGATCCCAGTCCGAAGAAGGTGAGCAGGACGACCCGCAAGGATAAAGCCTGAATGAGACTTGTCAACTTGATCCGAGGATTGGGCGAGTGGATCAATTTTCCATCTTGCAGCCAGCTTCCAGCTGCATCGCCAATCTTCTGGGACAAATCGATCCAGTCTGCGGATGGGACGTTGGCATGGCTTTTTGCCCGTTCCACGAACTGTTTGACATAAGGCTGGTCTGTACTCGTAAACGCGTTGTCAATACCAAATGCAATTCGAAGTCGGTGGTTTGGACGCGCTCTGGATTCGAATTGAGACAGTAGATTTTCGCTGCCGTCGGGAAGCCTTTCTCCTGTCATGATAAGGTGACAACTTTCCGGGTCTTGGAATTGGCGAGGTGGTAGAGGGTTTTTAGGTCTCGCTGGGCTCACAGAAAAGTATACGCAGGCTATTATGCCGACTAGGCTTACTAGGCCAATCAAGACTGAAGCTTCAAAGGATGTAACGGCCATGTCTAATGTCGATGCAAGTGCTTCTGGGTGTGATTTATGCAAAGATGGAGAATAAACGCCGGTGTTGTATTACAATCACAAATGGAAATTACGGGAATATATAGCCAGCCATGGATAGAAACCTACGTGTATACCACTATGGATCATTTTACAGAGCCATCAAAGCTGGTGAAAAGAAGCAATATCGACATTGACAGCAAAGGGAAGCACAAAGACTGCGGCAATGAAAGAACAAAGGGTATTGAAAGCAGATGACATCATCCAGTAACATACCTGCAGGCATTAACGACAGTAAAACAAAGAATATAAAGCAGCCAGACAAATCCTACATGATTAATGGTGACAGCGTCACATATGTGCAGGTGGACTGGGCAGTGCATACAAACAACTAAACAATCGACCTGCAGCTAAAGAAATCAAGGATCCATGGAGCAAAAGAGATGCTAACTTAGCAAGTAGCATGGCCAGGAACATTAGTTCTCCTTTCTGTAAGGTGTAGGACTGGCAATATAGATTGGTGTAGCCACGAGGGGTAAAAGGCCGCAGTTATGCCAGCACAACGATGCCGCAAAGAGTAACAGGGATGGGCTTTATTCATATAGTATGAGTCATGATAAAAAGGAACGAGACAACCATCGTAGATATTTCCCCCAAATCCCGCGAGTTCGTGTCGTTGATCGGGATCATGTCATGTTCCTAGGTGATTGGCATGATGGACTACTGCCATGACACGTCAGTGTGGTGGAAGAAACGCTCGAGTCATGAGCAACGCCATAAGTACGTGCGTTATCAGCATGGTATGGGCTGATTGGCAGAATGGAAGAAAAGCAACTGTGATCACGAAAGGCTGTAACTCATCAAACCGTTGGTCGGACATATCAACAGGGCTCTATCTCGAATACCAATATAACATGCAGGGTTTACAAATGACGAGTATCACTTACATGCTATTAGACTAGAAGTGGAAGGTCACAAGGTAGGAGGCGATCAGTATATAGCAGAGGGGGTATGATTATATCAATAATATTTCCTCATGTTCGACTCTGGCATAATAGTCAGAGTATAGATAACATCTATCGTAAAGCCTGTAAAATCAAAACCACGCAGTATAAAAATTTGCAGGCAATGCGTTTATAATCCAATTTTTGGTCAAGTGTGAAGCTGATTTAAATATATAATGAACAGGCGGTCTACCGATTATTAGAAGGTGTTTATTACCAAATATCTTTCAACGGGAAGAAATATCTAAAGCACTACATCTCTCGTCTACTAGAGTATATCTGACCACCAAAAGTACAAGATCATTTCTGAGCGAGATATGAATATCATGCTCTTTAATACACTCATGATCTCTAGGTGTCAGCCTCACATGATTATGATGAGTTGGCGAAGCGGGGCATCAAAACAGGCGGTAAAATGACCAGCCTTGTGCGATGCTCACCTTTTACGCTGTGACAACAGAAAACTTGCAGGGAAGCCTAGATACGATGTCATCGTACACATATGCAGCCCTCCCGGAAGAGCATATTCGAATACTCGTTCTAAAGCCAAATCATGACCATGACGCCCCGATCGAATGTAACTTGGTGGAATATTCCTTGGAAATACCACGCAAACACCGCTACGAGGCGCTCTCCTACGTATGGGGAAACCCAGCTGCAGCCAAGTCAATTCTCTTGAATGGATTTGATTTTCCCGTTACGACAAATCTCCATGCGGCACTCTCCCATCTGCGAGATCATACATTCGACCGAATCCTTTGGGTAGATGCGATTTGCATCGATCAGAGGAATGACGCAGAAAAGGTTGTTCAGATTCAGTCCATGGGGAGGATATATTCTCTAGCCAGTCGTGTTGTTGTCTGGCTGGGGGAGAAATCGGAGGATAGTCATTTGGCATTCAAATGCATCCAAGATGCTGCTGGAAACGATCCTGTCGAACACCAGTGCTTGGCGGACTCTAAGGTTGAGGTAGATGACAACTCTTCCAGCGACAGCTCTAGCGAAGAAGATGATGATGAGAAGCGATCAATTAAGGACAATTCCAGGCACAAAAGGATCGATGATCACCACTCTTTGCCTGTACATGCTGAGGGATATACAGCATGTATGGCACTTTTGAAACGGTCTTGGTTTCAACGAATCTGGGTAAGGTAATACTTGAGATATCCTAGGCATATTCTGACTGATGGATACAGGTCCTTCAAGAGGTTGGCACTGCGCGATGTGTTCTGATTCAGTGTGGTCGTGATGAGATGAATGGCAGCGCTTTCTGCTCAGGCCTCGGGAATTTGAACCTTACGTATGAAGAGCCCGAGCTGCAGGGTATTATCCAATCTGCCACCTATCTTATAGGAGAGGCATGTCTTCGGCCGATTGGAATGTCGGCGTCGAACTCGCTCTCGATAGCGCAGTTGGTGGATATGTACCATACACACCAGGCCACCATCTGTCATGACAAGATATATGCACTGCTCGGGCTGTGCTCTGATGATCTAAAGGAGGCTGGATTAGTCCCCGACTATGCCACTCCATGGAATGACGTCTTCCGGCAGCTCATCCAGTACATACTCCCGGGTGCGATATCTATCAATACCTGGGTTGATAGACAAGTTGCATTCATCAAAGGTAAAGTATACAGTTTAGGTCGGGTCATTTCAGTCGAAGCTGATGGCTCCCGATATGGCAGACAGCATGTGGGGTTTTTCTTCAACGATATGGCCATGTCACAAGAGTATCAGAGTCGATGGGGGAAGAGATGGAGACTCTGGGCTTCTGCCAAAGCTATACAAAAAGACGATATTCTCTGCCTGGTCGAGGGGTCCTCGAAGCCGAGCATAATCAGAGCATGCAACGAGCATTATGCGGTGGTTCTGCTGGAGGTCACAGCCCAGCAGAGGGAGACACTACTGGAAGTGGACTCGGAGGACCAGAATGATCCAACCGAGAACTCAGTCTATGAAGTTATTCTAGTCTGGAATTGGGAGCTCTGCTTCGATAATGTTCAAAAGCACAAGGCTTTAATCAAGCTAAACCACATTATGCCAGATTATGTAGACGCAAAGCCGGAGAAAAGCAATAACCGGTATAGCGACGCAATGATTTTTAAAGGGGCAGGCCTCTGGAGACAGGCAGCAAGAGCACTCGAAGAAGCAACCGCAAGGAACCCTAGAAAAGACTGCTCAGGAACGGTCGAACGTCTAGACCAACTCGGGTTACTCTATATGCAATCAGCCTATGGCCGCAAGAAAGTTATCTACAGGAAACGCGCGGAATATACCTTTGAGAAGGCGTTGGATATAATGGAAAGACTCGGTGATTTCCACAGTCCGCGTGCATGGAATATCAGAGCAAATCTTGCCAGCACATATTTGATGGGATACGACGTTTCCAATCTGGAGACGAAAATACGTCTTCCCAAAACGGTCCGACACAATCTCGATATTTCTGAATGGCTATTAGTTGATATAGCCAGGCATTGCAGTCGCAAACTCCTGAAACTTCTGTTCGACCAACAAGGGGACCGCCTGCAGATTACTGGGTCTGTTGTCAAGGCCGCAGCCGCAAATCCGGCACGGGAGGTTATGGAGCTTCTGCTTGATCAATGCGGAGAGATATCCGTCTCAGAAGACACGCTTATCCTTGAGGGAACAGCAAAGAATGAAGATCCAGCTTCTGCTGGAAAGTAAGGGCAGGACATCCGTCCCAAGCAACGCTCTTAACGGTGTAATGTTGAATTATCGCTGTGGAAATCGTATTCTAAAGGTTCTCGATTAATGGTTATCATGTCGACTTAGCAGTACCCAACATGCGATGTGGGGGTAGAATCATGATGATTCTGCTTGACAAACTAGGAGACACTCTACGCTATGAAGGGAGCGAAGAATGATGGATGTGGAGACCGAGTCCTGGAGATTCTTCTGGAACAGAGGTGCCAATTTACCAGTCGCAAAAGAAATGTTTGAGAACGCCGAATTAAATGGCCCTTGTGGAAGAAGGATCTTCAAGCTTCTAGATAAATATTTATTTAGGAATAAATCTGTCCCATTGAGATGAAATCACTTTTCTTGCTGCGTAAATGATACATCCAGCTATGAACGATCCCAATGGACCAGCTATCTCAGTACACCCTGCATCGCACCTGCATCGACGTCGCCCGCATCATCTCAAAGTCTGTTTCATCGTCCACCACCTCGTCCATACCGAATTCCACCCGTTGGTATATACTGTCTTTTCTGCTGGTGGAGTTGTGTGTGAGGCCAAGGTGTGCGTTTGTTGACCGGGCTTGGTTGGCTGTGAATTATGTGTATCGGGCGTGGGGATTGGACAGTATGGATGGTTCGGGGACAGTGCAGGAACTGATGAAGAGAGCGAGTTGGGTGAGGGGTGTTGGTATCTCCTAGTCCGGAGAAATTACTTCATATTCATTGTGAGGCATCATTAAATGAATGATTTAAAATATCAGGTTCACCTCGTTTAGTTCTTTGTATCCCTAGTTGATGTTGCATAAAATATACTTCTGTCGATAATTGTTTCAGCTCCACTAATCCAACTTAGAATTGACCCAGAACGGTCAAAAAGCGATGAAAATAAAATAACACATAAAACAAGTCAGTATCTCTATTATCATCAACCCTATTTCAATGTGTCCATCTGCTGGAATACCATCGACTCAATGGTGACGGTCGGCAAATGTCCGGACTTGCTCTGCCGAGTCAGCTGACCATAACAGACAAGGGTTAGTCTCAACCTGTCGCGTTTCGCGTCCTCCACCAACTTGTCTTTTCATTTCATCAGCTTCATCAACTTGATCGTTGCAGTTTCAATGAGCAGATGAGAATTTCCTACCGAAAACTTAGCAATTTCGTCGCGTAAGTCGAGAAAGGAGTGTTAACCAGGTATTGTGTGGGGATAAACATCGCCCGCTGTGCCCTCGAGACGGGAGGAGACTTCTACGCAGCTTCAAACTATGACAAGGCTTGATCAAGTTTCCACCATTTTCTCATTCTATATACTCTCGTACGAACATTTATAATATCTGGAATGATTTAAACCAAGAGATGTGTCAACCTATGCTTTTCCTGAAAAGCTCTTGCTCGCAGCCAGCGCACCAACATTGGCAATGGTGGCACCACCAAGCATGTTGAAAATAGCGATTTCAGCCTTCAGCTCCTTCGCAAACCAGTTGCGCAACTCGACTGCCACCAACGAGTCAACTCCGTAGCTGTGCATGGGCTTATTCACGTCGAATTCCTCCTTGGATACAGCCAGCGTCTTGGCCAGTTTGGCTACCAATGCATCAGTGACGATCGCGCTGGCCGAGGCCAATGAATCAGCGGCAGCGAAGTCTGAAGAGATTTGCGTGCCACTGGATGAGGTCGAAGAGCTTGCATCACCACTTTCTGCGGCGACCAAGTGTTTGAAGGCTGGTTTCTCGAGCCAGTAGGCGGCATCGAGACCGCGTTCTTGCAGTTTCTTGGTAATACCGATTCCGACTATTGCTTGGGAGGTCTGGTCGCAGGGAGCTTCTCTGCATGGGTCACAGTAGTAATCGAGGACAGCGTACAGCTCGGGTTCAGCTACAGGTCTGAAGAGCAAGTCCGATGCGTATCGGTCCTGTAGCGCTGCCGTTTCTTTCACGACACCAGCAGACAAGAAGAAGCCCAAATTCAACGACACGGCTTTCTCACCCATGGCAGTCCGGTAATGGGCCAGACCATCCATGTATGTATTGGCGGCCGCATAGTTGGCTTGACCCCGGTTGCCCATGATGCTGGAAATGGAGGAGAGCATTACGAAGAAGTCCAGCCCGCGGGGTAGTAGTTGGTGAAGGTTCCAAGATCCCTGGATCTTAGGTGCTGCTGCCTCCTCCCACTGCTGGAATGTCATTTGCTCGAACATCATATCCTGAAATTCGTTAGATCAATCGAGGGTAACCGGGGAGGAGCCTACTTACCCTCAAAACCATCGTAGCTTGAATGCATCCCTTGATAGGAGGCATGGTACACGGGAGCTGTCCCAGTACGGCTTCCACTGCCGATTGACTTGTGATATCGCAAACGGGGGCGACAACTGTAGCTCCTTGGTCCGTTAATTCTTTGATGAGAGACTGTGCGTCTTTGCTCTTTGGGCCGGAGCGAGACAGCAGCAAGAGATGGCGGGCGCCGCGCGATACGAGCCATCGGGAAATACCACGGCCCAAGCCTCCGAGTCCACCGGCTATCACATAAGTGCCAGCAGGATTGAAGGAATACGAAGGCTGGGGAGGGAGGATTGTCTGAGCCAACGAGGTTAGTACTGGTGTCTTTTGTGGTAGTATGGAAGGCGAAATTACCTGAACCAAATCGTCATGACGCATCTCCAAAACCACCTTTCCTGAACTCTGCCCTCCTTGCAATGTTCTCAACGCCGCTTCCAACTCCCCGATACCGTACACATGCTGAGGACCAGGAAGAGTAAAAGTCCCATCGGCAATCAGCGGCATGACTGCACGGAGAGCCCTGCCAACTAGACGGGGTCGCTCCTTGACCATCATAGCGACATCGATGGCATTGAAACCGACGTTTCGAGCAAAATGGTACATGTCCAGTGAACGATGAGCAAGAATATCCGTCTTGCCAATTTCCACGAATCGTCCATAGGGAGCAATGCACTCCCAGGATGCCGCGAGTAAATCTCCAGACAGGGAGTTCAGCACAACGTCAACACCCTGGCCGCCAGTAACCTGTTTCACGCCAGCGGCGAACTGCACGTCTCTGCTGGAGAAGATCCGTTCTTCAGGAATACCGTACCGATCCTTCAGGAGTTGCTTCTTTTGAATGCTTCCAGCAGTGGCAATCACTTTCGCTCCTAGGTACTGTGCCACTTGGATAGCGGCCTGTCCTGTTCCTCCCGTAGCTGAATGGATTAACACGGTCTCGCCTGGCTCAAGGCGCGCGACTTGGGCAAAGGCATGCCAAGCTGTGATGAAGTTGATTGGGATGGCGGCGCCGGCAGCAAAGGACATTCCATCCGGCATTTTCACAGCCGTGTCGCGTTGCAACCGAACGTGGCTCCGGTAGGTGTCAAACTCACAACCGGTGACGCGGTCTCCTGGCTTGAAATCACCACTGTCGCTGCCAACACGAGTGACAATACCAGAGCACTCGAATCCAACAGTCGTTTGATCCAATCGACCAAGGGCAACGAGAACATCCCGGAAGTTGACACCTACACTTTGTACCTTCACCTCTAGCATATGTGGTTGCAAGGGCAAGTCACGGTCTTTATCTTCGACAAAGTGAAGGCTGTCCAGGAGACCAGGTGACCCGATGCTCAACTTCAGTGCAGAACCGCAGTTCCACGGCTGCAATTTCATTGTTTTCGTATCCTGTGACTGTGTAACGGCACGGTCGAGACCGGTGGCTTCTACCAGTCGGTTAATCTGGAGACGGCCGTCTTTCTCGACGTACTCAGTTTCAGGCTCTGGAGAGCTAAAAATCGCTCGCATAACTTTGTGGATCTTCTGCGATTTATCGGCGTCTGTCTTTGAATTGTCTTCCAAAGAGAGCGTGGTGAAACTTCCCCTCGAGTCTTCAGAGTTCAGAACTCGGAAGAGACCATCTACCACGCGGAAACCGGGCGATGATCTGATATCTCCCCCAGAGCCAACCCAAATAATCCGATGGGCAACAGAGGGAAGATGCTGGAGCAGTTTGAAGAGCTTGGGATCAAGATCAGCTAGGACGGGTTGGCCAACTTCCAGAAGCACAACACAAACGAGATCATCAGGCACTTGATTGGGCAGATCCTCATGGACGGACCACTGCTGGACAGAGCATGGCTCTGAACGCTTCAGTGTATGTTCAACTGTTTCGGCCAAGCTCTTTTGATTCGCTGCACTCGGATCAAACAGGAGGGCCACGTTGGAGATTGTCACCGACGTTTCCTCTGGAGCAACGGCAGTCGAAACGATCATCGTGATCTCATGGCAGGCTGGGTTGGTATAATCAACCAGAGAAATTTCAGACCCCGAGAAGCTGGTTTCCAACAGCACTTGTTCCCATCTGCCTTCGTTAACGCAAGGGCTTTGTTTTCGGTACGCCTCGGTACCTTGCCACCATCGTTCAAGGGAACCGAACAAGAAGCCATTTCGGAAGGTTTCAGAGTTGGTGACTTCGATAATGATGAGCTTCCCACCGGGCTTTAACAGATTTCTCACGTTTTTCAATGATGCTTCCAATGACTTGGTGGCATGGAGGGACTGTCGAAGTTAGCACTGAGTTATATCGCGCATAAAAAGAACTCACCAAAGTAGCGACAACAAGGTCGTATGTCCCCACCTCAATGCCCTGATCTCTTGGATCATCATTAGCATCAAACGTTTGGAACGACACCCGTGGGCCATAGTCATCAAACTGCTTCTGGATCGTAGTCAACTGACTGCTAGAGCTGTTTGCAACATCAAAGCGCGCATAGCGCGGCGCACGGCGACTGTCAGCTTCTTTACCCCCTAGAGCCTTGACTATTTGATGAGCAATAGAGCCCATATCGGAGCTGAGTTCGAGAACTTTCATGCCGGGGTTCTTATGCGCCAATGCATCAAGGAATGGCTTCCAGCGCTGAGCACAGGCCAGCTTCTCCCACATCTCATCAGTTGATCGACAGACCAGGTCGAATGGCACGATTTTTGAAGCCGTGGTCTTTCCTGATGCGACGGCGACCAGATTTCTTCCAACTGTTGCAAACAGCTTGCCCTGCTCGTTGAGACCTTCTATGCGAGAGCAGAACCGTTCGAATTCCTCGTCGTCTTTGATTTTCGCTTGCCAGAAGGCCGAGCTGAATGGTGAAAGCCCCGTTTGCAAAGCTTTGTATTGGTCCATGAGCCAGGTTTGATATCCACGCAGGTGACCTGGAAGTTCTGTGCCGGTGCTGTTCAAGGCAATGACTGCTCGGACAATGAAGCCTGTGATCATCAGATCAACGTTCAAGTAGAAAGCCATTGGTCCTTCTTGATTAGAAGCGTCAGGGCCTGCTTCGTCGCACAACTGTTGGATTTCGCTGGGACTGAGAAGATCCAAATCCGGCTTCCATTCGATGTTGTGACAGAGTGGACCTGTGGCGGTTTCCTCGTCACCATTACCGGATTCATTGGATCCCACTGCAGCAAAGGTGACGCCAGCCATGGTAATGAGGAGCTCATCCTGGGCCTTGTTGAGAGCGGCGATGCTCGAGACGGACTCCTGGCGACCGATATGGTGAATTGTTGTTCCAACATTGATCGAGTCCGTGGATGCGTAGTCGAGCCCACGGTTGGATATCCAAGCTTCACCGATATGTACCGGGATGGAGACAGGTATCTGCCTCCGGCCTCCCTGCGATCGAAGCAGGGGCGTGGTTTGCATCAAACCATCCAAAGTTGTGGGGTGGATGGTATAAGTCTCATTGAATGTCAGCGCACTATCAGTCTCATACGTCTTGATCTGAGTGATCAGCTGGTTTTCTGTGTCAGTCATAATGCCTTCGACTGTCGAGAATGTCGGCCCAAACTGATAGCCGTAACTGCCGAGCATTTTGTAATAGTGCGCTGCGTCCAGAACCTCCGGACAAGCTTCTTGCATCGCACTGAACGCAGCAAGCTCAAGAGCCTGAGTCTTCCTCGAGACACGACCGTTATCAACTGGGTTTGCTGCTCGCTGACGAACAGCTTGGATCGAACCGGTGCAGTTCTTAATCCACTCTCCATTGTAGTTACAGAGAGTGAAGTCATACCAACCGTCGCCCTGGCGAGGTTGCATGTAAAAACGCGTCTCGATTCCGGAGCCATCTGTGGGAACCTTCAAAGCCGACAGAAAGTTGACATTTTTGAGATTGAACCCAGTTATAACTTCCTTGGGATCGGTAACCTGTTTGACGGCCTCAATCGCCATCGTAACCATGCTAGCTCCAGGCAAGATAATGGTATTGTTGATCTGAGGAAGGTCAGTTTGGGCAAATCATACTTGAATCCGAAACAGCATACCTTGTGATCTTTAACCCAAACTGGGTCTGATGGCTGCAGGAAATTGCTCCATTTAGCCTGCAAAGGATTCCAGTCATCATCCTGCCAGCCCAGCATTTCGTGTCGTCCATATTGACGGAATCGGAAGCCTTTGCTCACACGGCCTTCGTGCCAGTAGGATTTGGTATGGTTGAAGCTGTATGATGGCAGGTCACTCAGTACCTTCGACGAGCGGTTGACTCTTTTCTCTCCAGAGTATGTTGAGTTGACAGTAGATAGATCTACTGGATACCCCAGACAATACAGCTGACTGACGGCGTCCAAGGTTGTCTGGATGGCATTTGCCTTGCGCATCAAGGCTGAAACATAGCCGATCTTCTTGTCCTGGCCGAGTCGTCGCAATGTATCTCGGACAGGACCTCGCATTGCGGCGTGTGGACCAATCTCAACAAGAGTATCGACAGTGAGGAACTTGTGATGGCTGCCGTCCAGTTTCTTTGTTGGGGGTGTCGATGTAGCTACGCAGATTTTCTCCAAAGCACCCAGGAATTGAACCGGCGAGACGAGGTTCTTCACCCAGTAGTCGGCCTTGGATAACTGTTCACCCAACACCCACTCACCGGTGACTGAAGACACCATACGAGATTTTCTGGATGAAGCACCCCGAGGAACGCTGGTGCAGTCTCCCACACTGAGTCGATATTTGCCCGCAATCTCCTCCATCTGGAAAGAGTGGTATGCCACGGGGATTGGCAGCATACGAGCAAAAACCTTCTCTTCATCCAGCCACTTCTTCAGCGTCACGATCTGGTGGCGTAAGCCGGATAAGGTGACGCCCTTTGGACTGTTGATACAAGCCACTGTCACACGCAGCATATCCCCGTTCTCAGTTAGTCGCTCGAGGTAAGGCTTAGCATCTTCAGCAGAGAGACCGACGGCCATCATGGTGCCATCCGTCGTGCTGGTCGCAGCGAGTGTGGCGGCACAGGCACCACGATAGTATGCAAGTTTCCATGCATACTCTTGTGAGATGGCGCCCGAGCAGTAACTGTTTAATGTTAGTAACCCTTTCTGGAGAATTATAGAGTGATACTGACGCTGCTGCAATTTCTCCAGATGAATGGCCGACGACAGCTTCAGGAATCACACCAAAGCTTTGCATGAGGTCGACCAGGGCGACTTGGATTGCGGTGCAAAGAGGTTGTGCAAAGGTTGGCTCGTTTATTGAAGATTCAGAATCACCCTTTTCAAGCTCCTCTGTCCGGCAGTTAGCGAACCAAATGTTCATGTCAATGGCGATAAGCGCTTCACATACCTAGCAAATCCCAGGAACAACCAATAGACCGCAAATACATCCCCGCCATGACTAGGCTGTTGCGGAAAACTGGATAGCAGGTCAGTAGCTCACGGCCCATGGTGGCCCACTGCGCTCCTTGCTACAAAATATGGTCAGCTATGGTCAATTGTGGACAAAGAGTCTACGTACTCCGGTAAACACAAATCCCAGCTTAGGAGACGACTTCGATCTGATCGGGGAACTCCATTTGCTTCCGATCTGTTTGATGTCATCGTCGGGATTCACAATGGCATAGGCTGTCCATGGAAGTCGACTTCGCCTCGTGTTCAAGGTGTACGCCAAGTTCTCAATGAATGGCCCAGCCTCATTCTTAGACAGTGACGAACTGTTGAAGTATTCTTTCCAGACTTCATCAAGTCGAGAAATACCGGCCTCATCGGCAGCTGACCAGGTCAACACACGGGGGTTGGGCTTGGGTTGGTCGCCGTTCATGACGAGCTCTGTGACAGCCTCATTGATTGTTTCCTCACTGTTCTCGCTGGCTGCATCATTGACATAATTGCCGTTAGCATGATCACCGCTCGCACGATCGCCATCGGCATGATTGCCATTTGCGAGGTTTTTCTGTTGCCGCTGCGACGGAGGCTCAATCACAGTGTTGTGGAAGCCCTGCAGACCTGCATGTAGCAAAAAGTGATGAGCATCTTCCAGGATAGCATGACTGTTTGCACCGCCGAAACCAAAGGAATTCACCGACGCCCGGCGCAGTCCTCGAGGCCAAGGGGTGGGACTCGAGACAACCTATTTAAGACATGAGTCTTAGTGCGTTCCCGCATAGCCAGGATCTAAACACTTACCTCGAGATTCAAGTGCTCCGTGTCAATCTTTGGATTGATCGATTCGAAGTTGCCACTGACGGGTGGGATGATGCCTCTTTCCAAGGCGAGGATAGTCTTGATCACTCCTGCCACACCACTTCCACCCTCGAGGTGTCCAATGTTCGACTTGACGGAGCCGCTAGAAGCAATATGCACCGTTAGTAAAAGGTGGCAATGCCTTGATTCGATCCCAGATATCTTACATGTAGAGTGGGCTTTCCTTTGAGCGATGCTGACGGAACACACCACCAATCGCCCGTGTCTCGATCGGATCTCCGACAGGGGTACCAGTTCCGTGTGCTTCGAAGTATCGTGTAGCTGCCGGGCTCAGCCCAGCTTGTCGGTAAGCCTCCTCGATCAGTGATTGCTGAGCTTGCCGACTGGGCTGGGTGATACCAGGAGTTCGACCATCCTGGTTCGAAAGGGTTGACCGAATCACAGCACGGATGGTATCACCGTCGCGGATGGCATCTTGAACAGGCTTGATGACCAGTGCACCTAGACCTTCACCCCGAGCGTAGCCATTTGCACGGCTGTCGAAGCTGAAACATCGATCGTCTGACGAGAAGAATCCTAGGTTATCCAGCGAGTTTGTCCACTCTCGGGCGAACATCAAGTTGATACCAAGGACAACTCCCTATCCCGTCGGTATTAGTATAATTTGAATTAACTGATTTTAATGAGCTCTTTGCTACTTACCATGCTGGACGCTCCGCTCCGTATCGACTGACATGCCATATCCAGCGCCACAAGACTACTGGAGCACGCTGTATCGACATTTGCACTGGGACCACGCATGTTGTAGAACCAACTAATACGATTAGATATCATACACATAGCCTGGCCAAAGGCTGCATATTTGGCTGGTGTCTGCGGGTCTTTGGCATTGAAAGTACTATAATCATTTGCCGAGCAGCCTGAAAAGACACACGTCTGGCTACCAGAAATGTTCTCAATGGAGATTCCTGCATTCTCCAAGGCATGATAGGTCGTTTCCAAGGCCATCCGCTGCTGGGGATCCATTCCCTCAGCCTCGGCCGCTGTGACCGAAAAGAAGGGGGCGTCAAAAGCTCCGATGTCTCCCTTGATGAAGTGTCCGCCCTGGACAGACAAAGTATCTAGTCGTGTCTTGTCTGGGTGATAATGAGCGTCGATGTTCAGCCGGTCTGCTGGATATTTGGTGGATGCACATCGCTTTTCGTTCAGCATTTGCCAGAACGATTCTGGTGTAGTGACATCTTCGGGGTATCGCATTGCGAACCCTACAACAGCCAATGGCTGCATGGGTGTGGTGGTGTCAATGATCCCCGGCATTATGAATTATATTATGAGTTGGTTATGATTAAGGTTGGTGAGTTTCGAGGATGTAGAAGGGGATGTATAGGGGATACTGGGAATAGAAATCAGAGCAGGGTTCCGCCATATATATACTCTAACCTATTACCCAGACGGGAACAGGTGGGTAATGATAACAGAGAGCACACTTGTGTCGATCACCTTGGCGTGGACCTGAATCCACGAACGGACGTAATAGTTCAACTGAATACTCGTCATATTTACCACCGAGAAGGCCAACCAGGTCTTCTAGACAGTGTGATAAAGGATGGAGACCAACATGCGGTCGGATGCCTACGCTTCTCCAAAGATCAGCCTCGAGGACTCACGGTGTGACAGAATGGTCCACAAACAAGGCTTTCGGTACGGCAATCTGCGCTGCACCTTGGTCTGCCCAACAACCTTGCTTTGCCTCTGACCAGATGACCAGTTCGGCAGATCGGGCAAATCGAGATCCTCCACTCTTGGCACCATTGACCTTGGCAATCTCAGCTGAGTGACACAGTCTCACGATCATCCCGACGTCGCTGTCGGGGGGTATCTAAGCTATTGGCATCGAGAAGGCATATGTGGCTTATCTGCTACTCGAAACGGAAGATATGCTGCATATTGCCCGTAGTCCTTTTTGCGTATTTTTGGGCTCTGAACCTGGGAATAAACAGACATCAGCGCCCACTGCCCGGGTAGCAGGCATGTCTGTGAAGACTGGAGCTTTTCGCCAAATTTCATAGAGCGAATGAAAGCACTACTGATCAATCGTGATTACTTATCAAACATTGAGCTGTGTCACGCTGCAGGCTGCACGATCTATCGGAATCCAGATCCACATGGGCTGCATTGACGATGCACAGATCAAATAGACCGAGATGCGTGGCTCCACCGTTCACGAGTCGGCATAGATGGCTGTTTCCGCCTTTGGACAATTTAATGCAAAAGACTTTATTCCACGATCCTGGAGTTCACGTCGGATTCCTCAATCTACTTGACTTTTCACATATTCAACAATTGAACCAGCTTTGTATCTTCATTTTCACTCTCACAATTATGCATTTTCTCTGGTATGGTTGATTTTCCCGTCAACCGGCTGTTACTAACGGTCTATCTAGTCTTCATGGTGTAGGAACCAATTCAAAGGTGAGCTCATTGTGTCCAAGCCGGAATAGAATAGCAGGGCTTAATTATCCTCCAGGTTCTCGAGATGCAAACAGGTGCGGTGGTCAATACCTTGGGCCATTGCTGTATCTATACTGACATACACAGCGGCCCTCCGTTACGAACTTGGAGACGGCCACACCTACGACTTTGTCGAGGGCATGTTTCCTTATGAACTAGCCCCTGGTACTCTACTCCGACCAACACAGTCATGATGCACAGTGCTGTCTAACAACCACGCAGAAATCAAAGACTTTGTCTCAGAAGGCGACCAAGGCTTCTCTTATTTCGACCCAAACTCCACCGACGCCTCGTTACGAGCAGTATCTGACCTCCAACGACTAATCGTCGAAGACGGGCCCTATGATGGTATTCTCGCCTTTAGCCAAGGCATGATGCTAGCATCCACACTGCTCGTCCACCTCCAGCGACAAAAAGCAGCGGGAGAAATCGCCGCCTTCCCCTTCAAGTGTGCGGTATTTTTCTCCCCACGACTGGGTCCATTGGACTACAAAGAACTCGAAGCAGGGAAGTTTGTCGAGGTGGATGGAGACGCGATTCCGGAGTTTCTGTCTATTCCAACTACCCTGATCTAGGGCTCGGCTGATCCGTGTGCCCCGAAGGCAGTGGATATGCAGAAGATGTTCCAGGCGGACCTGCTATCAACGTACGTCCATGGTGGGGGTCATGAGGTGCCGGGAGTTGGTGATAAAGAGGCGGTCACTCAAACGGTCAATCGCATCCGTCGGACTGTGGATATAGCAGCTTAGCTTGTGTATCTAGTGGCTTGGACATATATTACAATCGCAATTGTTTGATTCTGTCGTGGATAATTCGTTTAACAATAAGATACAGAAGATATATACCAAAGAGATGACTGGGAGTAGCAAATCTTCGAAGACAGTTTCTTATTGCATGAACCTTGCATGATACGTGTCAAGGTATTACATGTTGGAATATAGTTCCACTTGACATCGGTTCGCTAGCTTTATCCCAGAGAGCTCTGGCGATCGTTCAATATGCCAGATCGAGAAGTGCAATCTAGCGGTGTAGAGATCCGATGTCGTTGTGTAACCCGTCGGTGAAAACGTTGAGTCTTCACTTTTTCTTCAAAATGTCGCATCGAGCGGCATTCAATATTCTTTATCACTTGATGCATCTCTGCTTCGGGTAATTGGTGATATTATCTTGTGTCACATCGGATATATTGAACGTCTATCCTGCTTCTCTTCCGATCCATCAGAACCAGAGGAACTATCCATCTATCCCATATCCACGAGGTCAGGTAACTAGCAGGCCACATGTAATGTCTACTCGCTTATTTGTTTTAAATTCCTATCATTCCAGGCGGATAAATAGGCCCTATGTTTGGAGTGTTCTTTTCGCGGCGATCTGCATCATCCACAAAAAGCAATATATCTACCCTCAACTCACCCTCTCAACCCCCCACTTTTTTTAAATCATAGCCATCGAACCCAACATCGAAATGTGCTGTTCTGACTTATTCTCTGTTTTGAAGTAAATTGGTCTCACTATACGGAAGAATAATTTCTGTCGTTACTATGCATTGCGGGGATAGATTGTTGTGTTTCGTTATGTTTCTGTTTCATTCAAAGAAATATATTTATAGGCTTTCTGATGTTGAGATTATCTGTTCAACTAAAAAGGTGATTACCGTGATTACTCTTCGTGGAATTGATACCTCTAAGAGGCATGGCTCTCTGCTGCTGATTGCCTTGCATTGGCATCGAGTAGCTGTCTTTGTTGTGTATCATCTGTATAAAGAATCGGCTGTATCTATACGAACGAAATGGAGATTGACCTACGCTCCAGGAACTGTGTAACAATTAAGAAATGTTGCGAATGGTAAATAATCGAGTATAAAGACGATATGCCTTTTTTCATGACAATAAAGAAGATATAAATACAACTCTCCTTGGCTGTTTACTGTTTCATCTAAACAATGAAACGTCGAATACTCATTCTTTGTTCTTCCCATCGAGTCAATATATAAACCTCCATCACATCATCTTCTCGTCGTCTGATGTACGATCAACTTTCAATTCACGTTCCAACCAACACCCAACTATCGCAATAATGCCTGTAAGTCCCTCTCCCCTCATCATCGTCACTGGTCTAACCAAACAGTACAACGACAACGAGTACGTCGCATCCCAGCTCCAGCTAATCACCCGCGAGTCCACCGACCGCAGCATCGGGGGCATCTGGTGCGAAATCCTCAAAACGATCTTCCCCTGGCAAGACTACATCCTGGAATACAATGAACACGAGATGGAAAAAAACTACTACGACATTACCAAACTCGACTACGAGACTTACGAGGAATACAAGCAATCCCGGACCTACGATCAACTCAATGGTCTCGAGCAGCCCGACACCATCAGAGTGGCCATCCGGTCCCGAAAGGACGAAGCCAACAGCATCCCGTTCTTTACCGTCTTCTGTCGATCAGCGCTCGATGAGGATCGCAGGACGGCGTGGGTTCAGGAGCAGAGCCATTTGCGAAGGGCGCTGGGGAAGGCGTATCAAGAGAGAAAGGAGTGCCATGAATGTCCTCTTCGGGGGGCAGTTGCTGTTGGGCGGATGGTGCAGTTCTACGAGTACAAGGCGGATGGGGATCTGATTCCTGTCTGGCCGTGGGGGACTTGTGAGTGGCACATTCGGAGGGATGCGGAGCATGTCCAGGGGCTTTTGGATGAGATTGCGAGTAATCATCATTAGATAGTGTATCTTTGATATTGTATTTAGTTGAATTATTGCCTCCCCTCGCATATCAAAAACGGAAATGGCAGACTCTCTTCCTCCTTCCACTCGCTCACATCTTTGTCCATCGTCCATCCGACTCGTACACTGACATCCTCAAACCCAACCTTCTTGAGTAATCCCTCAATCCACTCTCTCTGAATCCCATGTCTCTCCACCCCCTCCAACTTCGACGGCGGATGAAACTTGATCGCAGCAGGCCCGAAATCCTCAAAATCCGTCAACGCGACTCGGCCACCGGGCTTGAGACAGCCAAGTAGCGTGCGCAGGAACGCTTCTACATCGGGAACATGGTGAAGAACAAGATGGGATGTGATCAGGTCGAACTTCTTCCGTTCACCGGTTGGATTTGCGGGGTTGGCCGGTGGGAGGGCTTTATCTTCTGGGTCTTCCAGGAGGAGGCAGATGGGTTTGATATTGTCTGGCGCATCGGGGGAAGTGAGTTTATTCTGGAGCATCTCAATCATTCCCTGTGCTGGGTCGATGGCGACGATTTGGTTGACTAATGGGGCGGCGCGGAGGGTCAAAAGGCCTGTTCCGCAGCCTACTTCGAGGACGTCATTGGATTGAGAGAGGATGGGTTGAAGAGTGTCGAACGCTAGACGAGTTGCTTCTTGGACAGAAGGATTGTTGTCCCAGTTGGACGCTTCATCGTTGAACCGGTCGTTCCCTGCCATGTTGTTGATTGAATGTTGGTGGTTAATAAAGCGAAGAGGGGTTCTTTATATCTCCGCATTGCGGGGTAATTACCAATTGCGTCATCTGATTGGTTCCATATAGATTCACATTGATAGACTCTTTCATCTATTATATTTATATGCATACGATAGTATTGTCAATAACTACGAGGCAGCCCCAATGCCTTCTCGCCCACATAATTCATAATCATCTCGCGACTGACCGGCGCAATCCGCGGCACCAGAATCTCCCTCAAATATCTCTCCACATCGTACTCCATCGCATATCCCATGCCACCATGCGTCAAGACAGCCCGTTCACACGCCGTGAATGCCGCCTCGGCAGCAAGATACTTGGCACTGTTGGCTGCCACTCCGACCGAGTGCATCGGGATAGACTCATCCGCTGCAGAGGCATCGTACAGTCTGGCTGCATGGTAGGTGGCCAACTTGGCTGCTTCGAGCTTCATCCATGCGTCGGCGAGGGGATGCGCAATGCCCTGGTTCTTTCCGATGGGCCGGCCAAAGACAACGCGGTCGTTGGCGTATTGCACTGCTTTTTCGAGTGCGGCATAGCCCAATCCCAGCGCTTCACCGGCGAGCAGGCATCGCTCGGCATTCATGCCGTGGAGGATGATTTTGAACCCGTCATTCTCAGCCCCAATGCGCGTGCTGGCTGGAATATCGTAGTTATCAAAGAAAACCTCATTCGCATCCACGGCTCGCCCACCCATCTTCTTAATCTTCTGCACATCCAACCCGGGATGTCCACGATCAAGGTCAATACAGAAAAGCGACAACCCCTGACTCGACTTCTTCACCTCCTCCAACGGGGTCGTCCGCGCCAGCAGAATCATCTTCGACGCCACCTGCGCACACGTAATCCAGATCTTCTGCCCAGACACGGTATACGTGTGCTCATCTTTCTTCTTTGCTAGCGTTTTCAGCTTCAGCGTCTCCAGCCCCGTGTTTGGCTCTGTCACGCCAAAGCACGTCCGCCACGTCCCGTTGATGATCTTGGGAATGGTCTCGTTGACTTGCTCTTCGCTCCCGAATTTGGCCAGTGGTTGTGTTGCATACACGTTTGCGTGGATGGCTTGGGCACCGGCCATTCCGGCGCCGGATTGTGTGATGGTTTGCATCATCATTGTTGCTTCAGATATACCTATAGAGGATTAGATCGTGGATTGTATAGAATGTAGAAGGCATACCTAATCCCCCACCACCCAAGTGCTCAGGAAGGGCAATACCCAGCCACCCGTCTTTGGCGAGTGCCGCGTGGAAATCCGTCGGATCTTGTTCTTTCTGATCATGTTCTTGCCAGTAGGTGTTAGGGAAGCGAGAGCAGATATTAGACACAGCATCGCGGACGGTTAATTGTTCATCGCTGAAGCCGGTTAATTCCATGATGGGGCGATGGGCGGAGGTGGAAAAGAGACGACATGATGGACGGATTGTCCGGGCTGTGCGGGTGAGAGTGCGAAGCATTTTTATTCTTTGGGATTAATGGATGAATTGATTGAAGAGGATAATTGAGGATCAAGGGATGTTTATAAGCGATCGATGATGCTGTGGGGAGACATGCATATAACCGCATACAGCCGACTTTCGGTTATTCGATGTGTTGCCCGACTATATCATCCTCTATCCCACTTGACATTACTATCTATCATTAACAAGTGAACATGTCTATCGTCAAGATGATGAACACAATGAAAAAAAAAATAAAACCAGGTATCCCCACCCGACACATGTCAACTGCCCGAAAACCCCTCTCTGGCATCACCGTCGTCAGCCTCGAACAAGCCATCTCCGCCCCCTTCGCGACCCGCCAACTCGCCGACCAAGGCGCACGAGTCATCAAGATCGAGCGGCCCGGCGTCGGTGATTTCGCACGCAACTACGACACCCGCGTGAACGGGCTCGCCTCGCATTTCATCTGGACGAACCGATCCAAGGAGTCTCTCGCGTTGGACGTGAAGAAGCCATCCGACCATGCGGTGTTGATGAAGTTGCTGGAAAAGGCGGACGTGCTGGTGCAAAATCTTGCACCGGGGGCGAGTACCCGACTGGGACTGTCTCATGAGGCGTTGAAAGAGAAACATCCTGGTTTGATTGTGTGTAATATCTCCGGTTTTGGGCCGGAGGGACCGTATCGGGATAAGAAGGCGTATGATCTGCTCATCCAGAGCGAGGCGGGGATGCTCTCCGTGACAGGGACTGGGAAGGAACCAGCCAAAGTGGGTATCTCGATTGCAGACATCTGCGCGGGAAGTTATGCATACTCGTCTATCCTGGCCGCGTTGTTCGAGAGGAAGACGACGGAAAAGGGATGCAATATTGACATTTCCATGCTGGAGAGTATGGTCGAGTGGATGGGTTTCCCGATGTACTATACATACGAGAACGCACCAGGGCCAACACCAGCCGGCGCATCGCATGCAGCCATCTATCCGTACGGACCGTTTGAGACGGGCGACGGCAAGTCGGTGATGCTGGGGATCCAGAACGAGCGGGAATGGGCCAACTTTTGTGAGAAGGTGTTGAGAAATAGTGAGGTTACGACGGATGAGCGGTTTGTGAATAACAGTCTGCGGGTGAAGAATCGGGATGCGTTGAGGGGGGTGATTGTGCAGGCTTTCTCTCATCTTACGGCGGACGAGGCGATTGCGCTGCTGGATGCAGCGTCCATCGCCAATGCTAGTGTGAATGATATGCAGGGCGTGTGGAATCATCCCCAGCTCAAGGCGAGAGATCGCTGGACGGAGGTGAAGACGCCAGCTGGTGTTGTTCCTGCATTGCTGCCGCCGGGGATGAATGCGGGTGAAGCCAGGATGGATGCGGTGCCTGCGTTGGGCGAGCATAATGAAGCTATCTTGAAAGAACTGGGATTGACTAAATAGATTACTATAGCTCAATATTATCCATTATGCATTATATTCCAAACTGGAACGGGCCGACAGGCTTCCCCAGCAAATCCAACAGAGTATCAACAACGCCAACGCCCAACGCACCCAACGCACCAGGGTCAGTCAAGCTGGTCAGCGAAGTGGAGTTGCTGCAGCCTGGCTTGAGGGCTTGTCTATTCATACGCTCATTCAACCAGATCATGGCGTCGGGAGCACCGACGATGTCCATGGCAGCGTGCTCGGACAAAATGTCGCGTTTGTATTCGACCGTCGCACCATTACTGCAGTAGTTCTGGACCAGAGTGTCGGTGTCATTGACCGGGCTGATCTCATCGCCAGCAGACTTGTACACGAACAGCGGGATCTTGGGCGTCTTCTGTCCCATGGCGTTGGCATCCATCACCTTGGCTGCGTCGGGCTGGGTGAAGATGTCCCTGTTCCTGGTGTAGTTGTAGACATCCTGGCCGAAGAACTGAAAGATATCACCAGTCAGACAGAGATGCTTGACCTTTTCAAACTCGGCCATCTTCTCGGGCACGATGTTCTCCTCGATCAACTTCTGGATGACGGGGTACTCGTTCGCCAGTCCCTGGATCCCAGAGGGAATCAACCCAGCAAAGGGACTCTTATTCGCAGCCTCAATCACAGGCAGAATGCGAGGCACTGTCCCTCCCAGCGCAGCACCGGCAATGTCCAACTCGGGCGCATAGCTCGGCTGCAACTCAGCCGCGAATCCAGACGCAAGACTGCCCCCCGAGTATCCCCACAGCGAGATGGTCGGGTGGTCTGCGATGTGGGTGAAGTTGCTGGACAGCTTCGCAGCACGGATCCCATCCAGCACCGCATGCCCAGACATAGTATTCGCGAGGAAAGTCCCCTTCGGGCCGAGATGGTCAGGCACCGTCACCACCCAGCCCTTTTCTAGCGCAGAAGCAATAAACACGAGTTCCAGCTGGGGCATGACGAGACCCAGTGGACCGTCTTCGGCGGCAGAGTGGAGTTGGAAAGCATACGACGGCGCACAGTTGGGGTTTGATGCATCTTCCGCAACTTGGTAGGAAAGCAGCTTGGTATAGTCTGCATTATGCGGGACGAGAATGGTCGAGACAGTGGCACTGGCATTGCCAAACGTGTCGGTGGTTCGATAGAGCAGCTGATGCGCGGCAGCAATGTTCACCTTGGCCAGGCTGAATGCAGAAATGGGATACGGAGGGGTTCTCGATCGGAGAATTGTTCCTGGGGCAGTGGATTCATAGCCCACGGGGGGAGTGTAGAACGAGTCATTCAAGGGGCGGACAGGAACAGCATCGCGAGAGTAATGCGATGGAAAGGCCAGAGTGAGAGGCAGGAGCAGCAGCTGCAGGAAGAGTAGGAAAGCCATGATTGCTGACTCTGGCCGAGTGATGATACAATGGCGTTGATCACTGGTTTTATACAAGAGTTGAAGCCCAAAAATGGCCAGGAATATCGCAATTAAAACAGCGCATTTTTGAGCTGAAAATATCCAGGTTGGATGTATTATTACGCTGGATTACAAAGTATATTACAATACCCTGCCCAAGGTAGTTAGCCCCGCAAGCACTGTGTGATATGATTGGACAATGCAATAATCGAACATAAACGAATACAGCCGAATACCAGCATCAAAACAACTCAATTTCCAACTATCGTATTCATCATCGTATTCCATCCATTTCTGCATCTACATGTGCTTAAAAGCACTGATGAAACCTCGGCTGCTCGAATCCCCTCTTTTTGGGCTGTCGATCACCGACGATCATCCCTCAAACGACCGTTGAAGAAGTCAAATGTGGAGAAATAATGCGCCCATCGGATCGGTGGCGGCTGCTATCCGTGGATTATATTCAGGAACGGAATTCAATTGCAGTTATCTTTACGGTCTAAGCATATGTTATGCTGGTGAATTATAAGTTGTGTGTTTCGCCATGTTTCACTCAATTTTGGTCATGGGTGCATTTAAATACCAGCATTCCTGGTAAATTCTGATGGTGATTAACATTGAGATAATCAAAATGTATCTCATAGGGCTGCTGGCTGCACTCCCCCTTGTGTCTGGCTTTTCCGATCCCAAGCATGCCTGCCAGTCGCTGTTGAAGTCGCATTCGAACGCCACTTTTTACTCTTTAACGCCAGAGTATATCGAGGCCAACACTGGTATGTCTTCTTCTATTTTATAAAATATATCTGACAAGATAGACTTCTACACCGCAAACGCCCATCTCAACCCCGCCTGTGTCTTCCAACCAACCACGCCTGAACAGCTGGCAGAAGGCATCAAAACCCTCGTCAAAGATGAGACGCTGTTTGCCTTCCGTGGTGGTGGCCACATGCCCATTCCGGGATACAACAACATCAACTCGACCGGCGTGTTGATCACCAGTGCTGGATTGAATCAGCTTGAGATTGGCCCTGACAACGCTACAGTCAATGTCGGTCCTGGGAATGTGTGGACTGACGTATACAAATACCTCGAACCATACGGCAAGTCTGTCGTCGGCGGTCGACTGGGTGTTGTTGGTGTGCCTGGATACATCATCGGCGGTGGTGTATCTTTCTTTGGCAATGAGTATGGATGGGCCTCTGCCATGGTCAACAGTTTTACAGTGCGTCCACCACCATCTCTACACCAATAGAGCTAATGAAGAATGTATAGGCCGTCCTGGCCGACGGATCCATCGTCAAAGCCACTGCCCACAACGAATACTCCGACCTCTTCTGGGCTCTCCGCGGCGGCGGCAATGCCTTTGCCCTCGTCACCAACTTTGAGATCCGCACCGTCCCCTCCGCCAAAGTCATGGTGGGCATGGCCACCTTCTCCGACGAAGTGACCTCGACGCAGTTCCTCGACGGCCTCTACGAATTCGGCATCAACGGCTCCAACGACCCCAAAGCCGCTGCCATCCCTCTCGTCGAGTACATCTCCGGCGCCGACAAACCCACCTACACCTCCTTCCTCTTCTACAACGGCGACGACGAAGACCCCGCCGCCCTGAAAGGCCTCAGCTCTCTCCCCACCAGCAAAAATACCTTCCAGCACCGCTCCATGTACCAATGGTCGACGGAGATGGACTCGGAGGTGAAACTCGCCTACAACCTCAAGCAGCGCTTCTGGGTCCTCCCCACCTACGTCAACCGCACCGCCATCTCCATCATCCACGATACCTTTACCGAGGCAACGAAAAACTTCGACCCAGGACTGGGCTTCTACATCCTCGGACTGGCCATCATGCCCGTTCCCAAGACCTTCTTCTCAGCCTCGCAGGTCAACGGCGGCGATCCCCAGGCCATCGACCCCAACAGCGGGCCTCATATCTGGGTGGAGGAGAGTTTCAGTTACCTCGGTAGCTGGAAGGACTCGGACGTGGATGACTTTTATCAAAAGGTGAATGCGAACATCACGACTCAGCTCAAGGAGGCGGGCATTCCCGAGAATGAGTTCTTCTATCTGAATGATGCGAACAAGTTGCAGACGGATGATGTGTGGGCGGGATATCCCAAGGAAAGCGTGGAGAGGCTGCAGAAGATTAGGAGCAAATATGATCCTGACAATGTGTATACGGAGTTGTTGCCGGGTGGGTGGAAGGTGACGGATGCGAACTGATATTTATATATAGGTAATGTGAATAAGGACTATTGCTTGATATTATATTTATCCATAATTATATTTCTATTATTTTAGGCGAGGTGTGCTATGTATGCCCATGCATTAGTTTGTTGTTGGTGACGTATGCTTTTTTTAGCTTCTTCAAGGAATCCACTCTGTTTGTGTGGGTATAGCCTCATATTACGGCCCTCAGGTTGATTCATGTTTTTTCTCATAGTAGGAGCAACTACAGAGTTATAAATGCAGAACTTATTCAAATAGATGTTACTTAAATTGGTATAGAAGATATATTAATCAGATCTCAATATATGCCCGGATAATCATATAAGCCCCGTCGGACATGGTATGCAGATGCAGTTAGTCTACAGGATGGATGCATGAATAGCCCACTTTACAGCAGAAATTGCCACTTCTGGATAAACATCTGAGCACATCCCGTATTATTTCAGATGCTTGATGCAGCGTAAAATCTGAGTAAGAACTGGAGGAAAATTAAACACCCAAAGTAGAAATGATCTGCAGATCAGGATCTAGTTCGTGCGACTTGATTGGCCAATCAGACTGCAGGATGCACAGCCTTGTACACCCTCCACCAATCAACAGCATCACAGAGGCTGTGCACGCTAAACGAGATGATTCTGTCTGCCAGCCTTGTCGTCTTTCTTTTCTCTTCTTCATCCCCTTCTCTTGTCTGCTCGACAGCTCTGTCTGCCGTCAAAATGGCCTCAACAGCGACAAAAACAACATCAACATCCACAACAACAATCAAGACCGACGCTTCGTCAACCCTCATCGGTCCTCTCACCACCACTTTCTCTCCTCCCAGCTCTTGCTTCAACTATTTCCTGCCCACCAGTGTCGACCCGACGGGAGTAACATCGTGGTGGCTCAATCTCGGCCCTCTCAAGACCGCCGACTGTCTACCTCCTGGCTGGGGAGCTTCAGCCTGGTATTCCCCGGCAGTATGTCCCACCGGCTATGCGGCCATTGTCGACAAAATCGTCAACAGTGAGACCCAAGCCGTGTGCTGTCCAAAGTAATTAGTCCACATACACCAGATAGAGCTTCACTAACAACCCATAGCTTCGACGGCCAGACCTATACCACCCGCAGTCAACCAGACAACAGCGCCGACTTTGCCTACTGGCACTCGACAGAGCGATGCTATTCGCTTCAAACCACCGGCACCTCACTCATCAACGTGACCAGACCGGCCCTCGACGATGCAACCACCAGTGAATCCACCAAAGTAATGACATCCGGCGAACTCGTCAACGCCTTTGGTATCTCCGTCCGCTGGAAGGATGGCGATCTTGCAACTGCCCCTGCGACGGTCTCAGCTACCCCCACCGCCACAAGCTCCTCCGAATCATCTTCCTCCCCCATTTCCGCCTCCAACACAGGTCTATCCAGTGGCGCAAAGGCAGGCATCGGCGTTGGTGTTGCCATCGGCGCGATCGCCATCATCGCTTTCGCACTGGCTTTCTTCTTCCTCCAGCGAAAGAAGCGGAAGGCCGCGGCCGTGCCTGCGGGTCAACCATACATGGGAGGTCCAGGTTATTACGCCCCTGTGTACGAGCAGCCGTCGCATATGGATGAGCTGGCTGCTGCTAGGCAAAAGGCCGCTACTGCGTATTATAAGCCTGAGCTGTCTGGGGATGCGGTGAATACTATGCAATCGCCGCAACCGGCTGAGCTTCATGCACGGACGACGCCGGTTGAGATTGATGGGGGGAATGCGCGATAATCTCGGATTGGTGTTGCGGGGGTGTGGACATGTTCTTTTCTTGTATATAAACGAATACCCGATACATAATTAGCGAATAATCATGACTTGAGACAAGCAATCTTTCTTTGTAATTGAATATCCTGGGGTAAAAGTACCGCAAAGTAAATGTACCGATACCGCGGTTCAAACTCCATACGGCATGATCATCGATGATCTAGAACGTGTCACTATCCATACTGCCGCATATCGGCTATACCCCGCATCCTTGGAGAAGCCAAGTCGGCTTTATGATATCACGTACATACCATATAACGTCACATTATTCATTTCAAAATAGCACAATCATACCAAAATGAATCAGAACAACTCAATTGTCTATCCAAAATGGTTTGGGGGAAGTGCATCGTGTATGGCGGTGGTTGTCTCTCATCCGCTGGATTTGAGTAAGTGATATATAGATATATATCGGACTATATTAACCCGAACAGTCAAGGTTCGCATGCAGATGGAGTCCAAGACAACACGGACGGGAACTTTGTCGACTGGTCTTCGCATTATCAGAGCAGAGGGAGTACTTGGCTTGTATAGCGGGGTATGTTTATCTATCTATATCTAATGCATGGCAATACTTATTTTTTAGTTATCTGCAGGATTGACACGACAGCGTATGCCACTCTCACCCTTATCCTCATCATACTAATAAACAGTAACCTACGGCTCCGTCCGCATCGGCCTCTACGAATCCCTCAAAGACTACACCACCAAACACAACATCCCCGCCTCGCCCCCCATCCTCGGCCTCCTCGCCGGCCTATCCGGCTTCGTGGGCGCCATATTCGGCAACCCCTCTGACATTGGCAACATCCGCATGCAAAACGATGGCTCGCTACCACCTCACGCCCGGCGGAACTACGCGCACATCTTCGACGCGTGGAAACAGATCTACACACAAGAAGGGTGGAAAGCGTTCAGCCAGGGGCTATGGCCGAATGCGTTCCGGTGCGCGATGATGACGAGCTGTCAGCTTGCTTCGTATGATAGCCTAAAGGGGGTGTTGATGCGGGTGAGTGGGTTGGGGGGCGATCATGCGGGTGTGCATGTGTCGGCGTCGTTGTTGGCTGCGTTGGTTGCGACGACGGTTTGTAGTCCTGTTGATGTGGTCAAGACGCAGTTGATGGGGGCGTCTGGGAAGGAGGGGATTGTTGGGGTTGTGAGGGCGTTGATGGCGGGTGAAGGGGCGAGATGGATATTTCGTGGATGGACGCCGAGTTTTGTGCGATTGGGGCCGCAAACGATGGCGACGTTGATTTTGCTGGAGCAGCATAAGAAGATATATAGAAGTATGGGGGTGGGAGTGCCATACGGTATGAGCATGTAGTGTGGATATAGCTGCCAAGGAATAGACTGTTATACTTCAAATTCAAGATAGGCTACATGCTCGGTACTTCATGACAGTGGACCCATTTTGCCCAGACGCCATTCGCGGGGTAATTCTGGGGCCCCGGATTCTATATTCCTTTTTCTGTCTATATAAACCCGTCAGTCCGTCTTGTTCAATTGGTTTTTTTCATCAACATCATGCTTCGCGGTCATTCCCTCCAGTTAGCCCAAGTCGCCCTCGTCGTCTTCCCCTGCTTCTTCCTCTTTGGATACAATCAGGTCGACGTCGGGGGTCTTCTCTCCTATCAAAGCTGGACGGAAGCATTCCCCCAGATTGACACCATCCACGCCACCGATGCCACCGAATCCCACAGATCCGTCATCCAGGGCGTGTATGTATCCTCGTTCACGCTTGGAGGTGCAGTGGGATCGCTATCCTGCTCCCTCATGGGCGATGTTCTCGGTCGTCGAAAGACCATTTTCCTTGGTGCGATTCTCACCCTTGTTGGTGAGCTGATCTCGTGTACTTCGTTCCATCTGCCTCAATTGCTGGTCGGTCGGATCGTCACTGGTCTTGGGGTGGGTGTGTTGAGTACGATGGTGCCTGTTTGGCAGTCAGAGTGTTCTCCTGCTGTCAATCGGGGGAAGCATGTTGTCATTGACGGCATCTTTATCACGAGTGGCTATGCTGTTAGCCAATGGGTCAATTATGGCTTCTCTTATATCGACCAGCATTCTGTTTCGTGGAGAGTTCCCCTGGCCATCCCGTGTGTCACGTCTCTCATTCTCCTTTCATCCATCTTCTTCTTCCCTGAATCTCCTCGCTGGCTTGTCCGTGTTGGCAGAGGTGAACAGGCTGCTCAGATTCTCGGAAGAGTCAAAGATAAAGACCCTGAGAGTGCCGAGATCCGACAAGAAGTGGCTGGAATTGAGTTCTCACTGGAAGAAACAGCACGAAATGCAGCCTCGATCAAGGACATCTTCACCATGAAAGACGGCAAGCTCTTCTACCGCTTCATGCTGTGCATCGGTCTACAATTCTGGATCCAAATGACCGGCGCGAATGTCATCAGCACCTACTCGACGACCATCTTCCAGCAGAATCTGGGCTTATCCAGCGGTCTCTCTCGCATCCTCTCCGGAAGTGCCTTGACCTGGAAATTCCTCGCATCGTTTGTGGCTTTCTTCACGATTGACCGGTTTGGACGACGCAAGCTGTTCCTGTTCTGTGGAACTGGCATCACCCTCTGCATGATGTCAATGGCCATTACATCCTCCTTCTCGAGCAACAACCACGGCGCTGCAATCGGGAGTGCCTTCTTCCTCTTCCTGTTCAACTTTTTCTTCCCCATCGGCTTTCTGGGCCCGAGTTTTCTCTACTGCACTGAAGTGGCCCCGATTCGACTGCGGGTGGCGATGACTTCGATTTCGACGGCGAATCACTGGCTATGGTGTGTCTTTTTGTCCAATATTCAGAATGAATGCTAATAATGTAGGAACTTTCTCGTCCAAATGGTCACCCCTATCGCGTTGTCGGAAGTGGGTTTTAAGTACTACATTCTCTACACCCTGATCGGCATCACCTTTCCCACCACCGTCTATTTTATGTATCCTGAAACAATGGGCCAGAGCTTGGAGAAACTGGAGGACTTGTTCCAGCAGGATTTGTCGGTCTTTGAAACGGTGCGCATGGCGAATAAACTGGCCAAAATGCCCGTGTCGGAGGGTGTCGCCGAGGATCTCAAAGCGCAGATGGAGCAGATTGAAGACACAAAAGCTGTATAACCTCATATAACGTTATAAATCAATAGATAAATCAAACACAATCAATTCGGTGAAAAACCAACTGCCCGAACCACTCGGCCTCTCCCCCCGAAACACACCCTATAAATCCCTCCATCCCCATCGGCTATTGCATCATCATACAGCCGAGCATATACCCGCATATAGCCGACTCCATGATGCCACCGACTTTTATACCCCCCGAGTCGGCGTTTCCCTTTCCCACCATCTCTCCGTCTGCTATCCACCATATTCCCGATCTAACTTATTCCATCATGGCCGATGAAGCGACCCGGCATGTGCGCACGCGCGCGAAAAAGGCCTGCATCCCTTGTAACCGACGGCGCATCCGGTGTAATGTGTTGCAGATGCAGCCGTGCCAGAATTGTGTGGCGATGAATGCACATTGCGAGGTGGGGGTATCGAGGCGGGGGAAGTACGTATCTATCTATATATTATTTTTCTTGGTGTTTTAAATATAGATGTTAATGGGTGAAGATATCCACGCCATAAAGCCGCCCGGCAACGCACGCCGGCGTCGGATGTTTCGCCGTCTAGTCTGCATGACGATGGAGCGTCGATTGCCAGTCCGGTGCAGTCGTTCAAGGATCATCAGTCTGTTCCTATTCCTGCTCATCCAGCTGGAGTAGTGCAGACTGTCTTTCTGGGTGAATCTAGTCCATTGACATGCATGATTGACGAGGGCCGACGATCTCCAGATCGGGGATATACTCATGCCCTGCAAAAGACAAGACTTCATTATCCTATTCCAGCTCGACTGGAGACAACTGCTCGTGATGAATCGATACATGCGTATAAGCTAAAGACAGAAGAGAATCTCCAGCGCGATGGTGCATTTTCATACCCGCCAATCGACACACAAAAGACACTGCTGGAAGCATACTTTACGTGGTTCCATCCGTGCTTTCTTATCCTCGATCGTGCGTCTGTCTACAAATCCTATACAGATGGGTCTATCTCTCCTCTTCTTCTGCAGTCGATGCTTTTTATCGGCGTGAGTCTCTGTACAGATACCGCATTCGCGAGTACAGAGTTTCCGGTCCGCTATTCAGCCAAGTTCCTCTTTTACAGTCGCGCAAAGGCGATCTACGATGCAGACTGGGAGACGAATAAAGTCATTAAACTGCAGTCGATGTTCATGCTGAGCTTTTGGAGGGGAGGGCCGTCAGAAGAACGCGATACGAGGTTCTGGCTAGGGATTGGGATTAGTCTTGCTCAGAAACGGGGGATGCATATGATGTAAGTTTCTGATGGGATATAGGATATGAAGCTGACCATGAAGGTCAAAATTGTCATTTACAAGTCCCGCTGAGGAGAAGCTGTGGAAGAGGATCTGGTGGGCTTTATATGTGAGTCCTTTCCCGTGATGGATGAATGTATACTTATGATAGATTCGCGATCAACAAAGCTCGGCTGCACTTGGATTGCCCCCGAGGATCCGTGATGAAGATTGCGATGTCGCCATGCTTGAGCCTGAGGATATCCAGGAAGACGAGGCAGTGGATGATCGGATATTCGGGGTACAGACCGTCGAGCATGTCTACTACCCTGTTGAAATGGCCAAACTGGCAAGAATATGTATGTCTTCCCCTCGTCTATCCTTCAGTACTAATTGAACAGTACGTGCCATCGTGTCGAATCAATATCTCCCCAATCAATCAACCTCTGCTCCCTCTCGAGCAACTCTCCATCAACAGCTGCAATCATGGGAGTCGAATCTCCCGTCTACAATGAAACTCGATAATAAATCAACACCAGGCGCAATATTCCTCGTCGGTCTACTCCATATGACATATAACAATCTCTATATCCTCCTCTACCGCTCCCTCTTCCTCCAACCCCCTTCCACCCCGCATGAAGACAACGGCCACATCGCCCTTGAAGCAGCCACGAAAAGCACCCGCATCATTGAAGACATGCTCTCGTATAATCTCGTCCAACACGGACCTACCCATCTGTATGTGCCATCAAATCCAAAGAATGACATGTTGCTAACAGGAAATGTAGAATAACCCACGCCTTCTCAACCCTCTGCATCCACACCATCAACTGCTGTCGCACAACAGGCACATCCCGCAAACTAGCCGAGCACCGCGCCCGTCTATGCCTGCTGGGTCTCCAGGAGTTGCAGAAATCATGGGATTTGGAGAATTGGGTGCTGGATCTTTTCTTTCGGTGTTTGGATGATGGGACGGCGCGGAATTTGCGACTACAGGATGCGTCTGCTGAGGTCGGCCAGGAAAATGCAGACGAAGAAAATGTTATGCCGGATGTGAGGACAGGACAAGATGGGAGTGTGGACGTGCACAATGTCACTGGGGACCTGGCAGCACCGCAGGATTGGTATGGGTTGTTTAATTTTACGGATGATTATACGGATGTGTTGGCGTCGTCGCAGCCGGATGCGTTGAATTTGCAGAATTTGGAGTTTCTATATAGGTTTCTATAGTCATAATCAAGTCAAATACAAGGTCTAGTGGCATAAGTCGTAAAGGTCACAGTAACACTGCTGGGTATCGGGGCATCTGTATTTTCGTTAGTATTTTTTCATCTATCAAGATAGGAGACCTACGAAACATAGTCCTCCATGAAGATAACATGCCACACCATCTCCAGCACCGACCCGATGGCGAAATTATGCAGCGACGAAGTCAACGCCCACTCGCGCATCTGGATATACTCTTCCCGCGACCGTTGACGGATTCGCTCTCTACTCACTGCAAACTGGCCACAGCATACACCCCCTACTTCCCTGGGGACTTGCTCGATAGGGATACGGAAGAGGTCCGCGTAGAATGTTGCAAAATCTTTATACACGATGTTATGCTTGGATGTGTACTCTTCATCAAAAGGACGGACTGCAATCGGACATCCGGGGCGATGATCGCAGCGGAGATTCGAGTAGCCTTTGTCTTTGATTGCTTGTGGGCGGAGTCTGGAGAGAAGGTTAGATGTGGTTGTGTCGCCGATGTCGTTGTGCCATTGCTTGGCGGATGCGTGCATGAAGGCTGTGATGTCGGCGAGATTGTCGTAGTTGTCGATGATGTGTGTTAGATAGGCCATTCCCTCGCGGCCTTTATTTGCCGGGACGGGGATGAAGCCGTCTTCATTGTCGACGGTGTAGATGTATGGTTTCCATCTGGGGGGTTAGCCTGCATTCTCTGTGGACGATGTCATCTTACCGAATAGAATCAGTCCAGGAGACATTCTCATCTCGTGTTTTTGCCAAAACTAGTGCTTTGGGCGCATTTGGAGATTCAATTGGATCTACACGGTCAGTAAACATCAACAGAACTCCATCTGATGGGACACACCCAACGAAACGAGATCGTTATTCCTCAATTGCGACACGAGCATCAACAGCAGCGATCCCAGCAATGCTATATAAAGCACAAAGAAACACCACGAGCGGCGCAGAAAACCGCGCATGCACTCGTCCAGCATGGGCCTCATGATGATCCTCGAGAGCGGATCTCAAGTCTCCATGATGGTCGAGTGTCGGAAGAAAACAGCTCACTGGGTTTGGCAGCGGGGCTAATCCAGCTTTCGGGCGAATCACAGCCAGCCATTCTTAGTGTGGCTGAGCCGTTTGTCTTGGTCTGCTGTGATTGGCTGGACGCGATATCAAACATGCAGGAGCGGCAGGTGGGTCCGCCCCACAGCTGCTGCATTACCTAACAATCTCACCGGTGATTTCACCTGGAGGGGTATTGCATTATTGCCCCTCTTCTCTTTTTCTCTTTTCATCCCCTCATCACCACCAAGACTCAGTCCAAACAAGCAATTGACACCTCAACAACCGCCAAAATGGTCTACAACATCGTCGTTCGTACGTATCCCTCATCGCTTCCCTCCCACCATTCAACCACTAACCAATGCGTACTAGACATGCGCGCAAAGCCCGACCAAGAATCCATCTCCAAGCTGCACGCCAAACTCCTCGAAGCCTCCGCCGTCTACTCGCAGGACAAGGAGACCCTCTCGTGGTTCGTCATGCAGTCCGTCCACGACCCCCAGGATTTCTGCATCGTCGAGCGCTACCTCCACGAGAGCTCGCAGCAGTACCACCTCAACAACCCCTACTGGAAGACCTTCGACCCCTACGTCATTCCTCTGCTTGAGAAGGAGATGGACCTCAGACGCTTTGAGGAGTTGGAGCCTAAGAAGGAGTAAACTTGGAATGGGATATGGTATAGATATCGTTGTACTGTAGCTGGTCTCGTGTATTTGTCTATACAATAAAGTCATAAAATAGAGTTTCTGGTCATTCTTATTGTCCATTTTCACTGGAGGCTGTTGGATGCTATTTAGTACTCCGTATGAGTCACTGAGATAGGCAGCAGCTTCTAGCTTATCAGATGCAGCGGGCTGATCTTGCCGCTTCAATCGTTCTTCATCCCGGTGGGTCTAGCATGGGGAGGTACTCTGTCGACTCTCGCAAAGCCACAGCTCCCAGCTGCCACCTGCTTTCTTCAGGTAGCGGAGCACGGCCTGGGCTGCCATTCTACCATGTGCCGTATCTGATGGTCCAAGACCTAAAAGCCAAAGTCCGAGTGCCGCGCCTCATCATTCTGAACCAGACCAGAAGATAGCGGATGCGAACATAGTCCAAAACTCGCCCTTTCCCTAACTGAGGCGCCATCGCATACTTCAAAAACAGGTCGTCCACGAAATCTGGAATGATCAAGTACCGAGAAAGCAGACGGTAGATCGGGTGTGCCCAAGTGTGCATATGCGTCTCCATACCAGAGTTTGTCAAAAAAGAGCTAGTAAGCCGCTACGGACGCATTTTCAGGGTCCCATGGCCGTGATGAATTGTCTTTGATGGCAAGCCCACGCATTACGCGTCGCGTTTTGCTGTGTACGCCATCAGCGCCTATGACGATGGTTCCATTATAAATGCTCCCACCGGCGCATGTCACTTCCACACCGGTTGTGTTGGATTCGCTGTCGACTAGTATCTTGCTCGTCAATACATTCTCGTACGCTGTTTCAATCAACTGGGCGCGGTAAAAAGCAACGGGCCCGTAACCATGGCTGGAAAATGGTCAGTCAAGCATCGCAATGGGGTTATGCAATCGAATTTGCTTCTATCCGACCATAGCGTGGGCCTTCTTTGAACACGTAACCAACTGCGGTGAAGGACAAATGGTGATGAAGCTTGCCTCGCACAGGTAACAGTGCGTCCAAAATACCAACCTGATGCATGACTCTGAATGTATGAGGGTAGACCACTAGACTGGCGCCTTTAGAAGCTAGCCATGGATTCATTCTGAATGTGGATAATGATCGTCTGGATAATATACGTGCATCCGGTTGTTTGATACTACTACTATGTTTCCATATTCCCGGCACACATAGAAGGGCCGAGTCAGTCGTGGCCCTGGATCCATGTCATGCGTTTTCTCCTATCGCATCATACTCAAACCCTTCTAGAAATTTAAAAAAAAAAAAAAAAAAAAAAAAACATGAATGCCTATCATAGTGAGCCACAACTTCCAACGGATCTTCCAATATCAGTATGTAATTTTCCCACTCAACTTTTGCTCGACAAGAGTACCGCGACGGAGAAGATCATGGATTGCTAGAAACCCAATGTCAGTTGAGATATAGCCCTTCTAGGCTTCCCACGCCCACTGGGGGAAGCTATACCTTCAGGGGGGGCAGCCATAGGAGCACAAGCCGGGACCTTGCGATATGTAATTGGAGTCGGTGGAATCCGAATCTAGGGAGTTTTCTCTCATTTAGCCCAGTCATAACTTTGCAGATCTCACATCCGACTGCAACATTAGTATCAGCATTACATTATTCTCTTCAAAATCCGCATAAAGCAACTCCGCGTTTTCCTGAAGATGCTTCAACTGATTCTCCAAGTCGTTTGTCTGCGACGAGATGCCAAACAACGATAACCGATACTTTTTAAACAGCGACTTGCAGTTGTACCATTTGACCGATGATGCGGGGATGGTGAAGTTATATTTCACCAGCGAGTCTATAAACTCCATGTGTATGAAGGCTAGGAACAGGCCGTGTTCGGCACATTGTGAATTTTGTCTCGAGGCATTGATGAGTCGCCCGTCAGACTCGGCTCGACGAGCATACTCTTTGAGGGTATTTCTGATCCTGTACCTGTCCAGTCTGTTGCTGTCCAGGTTGACTGCGATGTTCTTGATGATGTCGGCTAGGTTGGATAATAGCTCAACTGCTGTTGTGGTCTGTTCGCACATGTTTGCAATATGACGTACACTCGGCATAATATATATTGATATATTATCGTCAAGTCGTTGGAGTATCTCGACGTTTTATGAACTCTTCGCATGAATGGGTACATGACTAAATAATGACACCATAGACTTAAGGGCAAGGGATCAACAGGAACAAACCAAACAATGGATTATTATATTTGGCCACGTTACATCATCACTTGCCTCTATGGTGAAAGGCTCAACAGCCAGACTATGGCGCAGCCTGACCATGGAAGAACAACTTTTGCACACGCCAGTGTTTGTTTTTGGACAAACAGAATAGGCAAATTCCAACGGTACCACCCCGGCCCAGCCCTCGTCCACAAAATCGGGGCACTTGGGCTATGTGGGCCCCCGACTTTTATAGCGAATTAGCCTGGTACATGGATAACTTTAAATTTGTCCTGTCTGACATCCGCTATCACTGGGACTTTTCTAATATGGCTGTGCTTATATTTATATATCTTAACCTGGGGAATGTGACTATCATGTTTTCTCCATGCTGTGGGCTGAACCATGTGTGAAAGAGACTCTCCTCTACCACACTTCTAAGGAGGAAATGGATTTTGACACGCAGCTTATTAGTCGTGACTGGCTAGTGAAGTAGGGGTGGAGGAGTATATGGGGTGTTGGATGACATGTGCTGGGAAATTAGATATTAGACTATTGGCCTGATGTGAGCGGACTTAAAATTGAGCATGATGCGGATCGTGATTTGGTGAATGGGGATGCACTTATGGAAGAGGGATGTTGGTGAGCCGTTTTCTGTTTGGGGACCTCGGGTTCTTATTGATTTTAAAGAGAAAGGAACATGATTATATTGATTGACTATATGAGAGACACGAATGCAGGTGATTACTCGACAAGACCAACAATTCTACCAGACACATGCGATCCCTTTTGTTAGAGGTCAATTGATTCTAAACTGACCAATAGGAGAATTAAGAAATTCGTCATCCAACCAGATCAAGTGACATCATCACCATAAAACCATCAATCCCATCCCAAATGACCCAAATGATTCAACATCTCAATATCTAACATCAATATCAAAATGCAAGCAATCCGCGTTCATCCATCTTCAACCTCTCCCTCTTACTCCCCCTCCAACCCCGCGCCTCCATCTGCCCTGCATCTCGACAACATCCCCATATCTAAACCCTCTCAACGTGGCGACTTGCTAGTCCGTGTAAAAGCTTCAACTGTGGTTCGGGATATGCTCACATGGCCTGAAACCTATCAGCATGAATATGCCATCCCGGGTAATGACTTTTCGGGCATAGTTATTGAAACTTTCTCGGATGGGAGATTTAAACCTGGAGATGAAGTATTCGGCATGGCCAACCCAGATCGCGGATCGACGTGGGCCGAGTACGCTATTCTCAAGGAGAGCGAGGTGGCGTTGAAGCCCAAGACCTTAACGTGGGAGGAGGCGGCTTCGTTACCGTTAAGTGCGCAGACTGCGGTTGAGGCGTTCCAACATGCGGGTATCAATGTCGATGGAGGTGCAAGGAAGAAGGTGCTGATCACCGGTGCTGCTGGAGGAGTAGGCATGTATCTGGTGCAGATCGGTGCCATTGCTGGAGTGCATGTTGTTGCCGCGACGAGTTCGAATGCGCGGAATGAGGAGTTTCTGAGGGGTCTTGGTGCTAGTCAGGTTGTTGAATATGGGGACTTGCACGCGAGTGAGAATGAGTTCGATGCTATTATCGACACAGTCGGAGGAGAGATTCTGGAGAAATGCTGGTCATACGTCAAAGGCAACGGAGCATTGATATCAGTCGATTCAGCCAGCTTCGACTTCGTCGCCGAACACAAAGAACGAGGCTTGCGTAGAGAGGGAGTAAAAGCTTTGTTCTTCATCATCAAGGGTGATAGCCATAACTTACAGAAACTAGCGAACTGGACGGATTCAGGAAAATTGAAGCCATTCATCGTGGACAGCTTCCCCATATCACAAGCACAACAAGCATACGAGTACGCCAGCGGACGCTATTCAGGCCGAGGAAAGGTTATCATTACAGTCTAATAGCTTCTAAATACAGTCTAGTGGCGTCTAAATACAGTCTAATAGCTCTAAATACAGTCTAATATTTCCTCCCGAGAACGCTCAGTAAAACAGCACGCAGTTTCATCCTGCATTCAGCATCACTTAATATCTCTGGGCATCTCCAGGCCACAACACGATCGGGTCGCACGAGGACGCATCCTGTTTCGTCGACGTTGCGGATTCGTGCCCAGTCAAAGTAGACGTCTTCGTAGTCTTGTCGGAAGCCGATCGAGTATGTGTTGACGGTTATATTGAGACTTTGTGCAACGTCTGCTGCTGCTGTCTTCCACCCTTCGCCACCAATACCAGTCAGAATGGTGAAAGCACCCTTTCCTGCGAGGTCAATTGTGGAAATCCGCTCTATCGGAACCGCATTGTTGAGCCACACATGAGGTAGACGGCATCCTGGATATGTACTCCGGGTTAATGTCAAGACGGCGTTATCAGTAGGATGTTCCTCTCTAAACGACATCTTCTCATCTGCAGAGTAGACAGCCGAGCTCTCGTAATGCTGACCCATCTCCTCGCCGAGTGCGTGGTATTCATGTGTTGTTTCTTCAATTGCAGCTTGGAGAGCTTCACGACGAGCTCGTCCTTCTCTTGTCGGTAAAGTCAGTTCGTGGAGTGCTTCTTTTCGCTGGCCGATAGTCGGCAGATCAACTCCAAGAGCTTGCCAGACTGGGCCGTGATGCCGGAATGATTGGTTTGCGCGGGTGACGACGCTGTGGCCGACGGGTTGGCGTTCAATGGAGTATGTATCGAGGAGAGAGGGTGATGCTTGGCCTGGTCTTGTTAGATTGTACAGATATATGGAGAATATGGAGAATACCCTTGACAACATAGGCAACCTTCCATGCGAGGTTATACGCATCTTGTATACAGGTATTCGAACCGAGTCCATTCGACGGCGGATGACGATGAACAGCATCACCAAGGCAGAATCTAAAAAGTCAGTATCCATCAAGTCAACAGGATATAACACTTACATCTTGCCCTTGGAGTATGTCTTCGCAACAACCTCATTAATCCTCCACTTGGACACACCCAACAACTCCACCGGAATCGAATCATCACCAAGAAACTCTTTAACCCGATTCAACCACTCCTCATCAGTCGGTTTAGTAACCAACTCAGCCTGCCGATCAGGAAGAACAATAAACAACCACTCGTCCCACGGCTTCACCATACGCGCTATACACGCCCACCCAAACACCGGATGTGCCCGGTCCGGCTGGAGCAGCCAGTGCAGATTCCCCGTTCTATACTGCATATACTGCGACAGGTCAGCTTTGATGTGCACATTGAACGCAGTTCCCTGGTCTGGTCGGATGTCGAGAGGGAGATCGAGCTGTTGGAGGACTTCGCTGCGTGCTCCATCTGCGCCGAAGAGGTATTTCGAGTGGATTTTGTACTGTGCGCCGGAAAGGTTGTCTTGGAGGGTTGTCGTGACACCGGTTTCATCTTCGGTGAATTCTATAAAGGTCGTGTCGAAACGGCAGGTGAAGCCGTTCAGTGTGGCGTATCGAACGAGAGTTGGTTCAAGGAGGGTTTGGGGGAGGTCGACGGAGTCGCATGGGCTGGCTGTTTCGTAATCGCCCTGAAGGGTCAGTATGCTTTATTTCTTTTGAGACGGAGATAGACAAACTTTTCTTTTGGGATCGTGGCCCCAGGAGTGGATGCGGGCGTATTCCTCGCCGGCCATGCTGTATGCCCATCGCGTATGCATCATGTTGGATCCGTTCGAGGCGAGATGGTTACATTCTTTTTCTAGGCCGATGTCTCGGAGGCATTCTATCATGGTTAGTATTGTTGTTGATTGTTAGGTAGATTAACTCACCCATGGCTGCCATGTTGGTGATGTGTGCCCTTGGTGTGTCTGCATTTGTTGGGCTGGCGCTGACCATTATGCCACGTATTCCTGTTTTCATGAGCATTTATCATGGGATACGAGGAGGTAATATACCATAAGAAGCAAGAAAACATGCCAGCGACGCCCCAGCAGGCCCAGTGCCGATGATGAGAACATCAGTCGACACGCTGTGGATGTGTCCATTCACCGAGGGGATTCTCATTTTGACAACTGAGAAAGATGGAGATAAAGTGAAAAAAGAAAAAGACAGAGCTGTCATGACAGCTGGACTTTAATTTATAAGAGTAAGACAGCTACGATAACAATAGGGGCATGTGTGAGTCTGAAACAAAAATGTATATCCCCCACTATGACAGGGGCTGTAGATCGTGCCATTTGGCAGTTTAATTAATCAATCTGCTCGATAACACAGGGCCTACCTTGAGGTGAACAAGCAAATACCGGCATGGTAATTGAGATCTTCCGGTGGGATGGCAAAGTCAACTGTGCCGCTGGCGGTCTGATCGCGATGCCTCGTTGTCATTACAGACACTGAAGTTACTGAAGCAGCACACGAAGAAATCAAAGTTGATCTGCGACAGGCCTTCTGTTTCAAGACCCCGGCTAGCCTGCTAATGAATATCCTCCTAGTCTGCTCGTCGAGAAGCCGTTGGTGGGGGCTGTGTCGAATATATGACGGCCCACTTTATCAGATCGGCCATCTTATCTGATAATCAGCGTCGGCCGCGAAGGTCGGCAAGTAAGTCACGCATTGTCACGTTATGCAGAGGCATGCGGGGGATATTGGTTAATTGCGCATGAGACCAGATGATCTGCAGCCAAAAGCTGGATTCCAGCCCTGCAGGCCCATCTTGGCTGTGTCCATGACATATGCCATGCATCGACAAGGTTTGCCAATATTCAGTGTTCTTATAAACGTCGACACCGATGCTGTTCATGTTTATTTCATTCTATCCAGACACCCTCCATCCAGTTCATCATGTCTGATACCAAACTCGGCTTACTCATAGCCCGTCGTTCCTCTCAATCAAACCCCGACAGTACGTTCACGTCACACTTCCTACAACATATAATAATCCCAGCGAATAAAACAGCCTCAATATGGACCTTCCTGTCTCAGTTGTGGCCAAATAACTCGCAATCTCCCCCCTCGCCTATACATTCACGGGCCCAAGGTTCTCCCGCATCGCCTACAAATCCATTCTCTACATCGCCGGCGGCATCGGAGCGATCATCAAATGGTTAAGCTTTAGGCTATCGAGGAGGGGAGGCACGCATAGATTGCCATTTTGGGTGATGCGGTGGACGATCCTGACGTATGCCTTAATCGAGGATGCGGGATTTGATCAGATAAGATAGGGAATTGACACTGCATATGTCTATGATTTATCCATAAGGATTTGTGAATAAAATACCTTCTATTTAATTAAAGGTTGCATTTAATTGATAATGTAAGTATTAGGATAATCAGACTGACGGAACTGTCCCGTCCAGCTAAGCCTTCAGATCTGCATGAATATCCACTGCCCACGTCGTCATCCAAGAAACCTAATTTACTCTTCTCTGCCTTAAGCTTTGCTCGGCAGGCTTCTCTCGGCAATTATTGGTATTGTTAGTGTATGTTTCGACTCTACGGGTGGAATTATAGTAAACTGTTAGTCATAGTTCCCGCATCCTGCGTGTTAACGACTGGCTTTTTCGAATGTCCGTTCATGATCATCAAGGGTTTACAGCATTTCAAAGCCGCGTTCGCTGTATTCATTGTGCCAGTCATGCATATCTGATTATTTAGTGCGATTACCATGCCCCTCGTTCAGCAAGTATCAAGGCGACTGGAAATCGGGTCCAGCATATCGACAGAGAACAAATATGGATAATCCAGGCCACAGCTCACCAGAGGTTAGCTTGGAAGCTGCTGGTAGAGTTCTTTATATCCCTTCTCCCAGAGTATTATTTATGGTTCTATCCAGGTGTGATACTATTCTAATCACCCCTTCTATGCGCGTTATGATGACGTATCACCCACCCCTACTTTCGAATGTCTGACGCGACGTCCCCATCTCACCTTCACCATCCGTGATGTATGCTGCATCAAGATGTTTCCCGAAAAGATCAGTTCATTGCTTTCCGGTCCAGCCAAGGAGGACGACGAAGACTGTCGATCGGATGTGGAAAAGGGAACAGCGACAGCTATGACAGAGTCCGAAAGCAACATAGAAAAGAAGAACAAAGGCTGGTTTCAACGATGGTATATCTATCCATGACCATTTAAATAGATGTCCTATGAAATGCTGAACGTTTGCTCTATTCAGGTTGTTTGAAGGCATAGATGGCGAGATCCTACGGACCGTACGACGGATTGAGGTACAAGTAACGTGAGTGCTGATTAGACGAAGATTCAACCGACATGAACTGATAGACATCCATGGGCTGCAGTGAGGAGCAGGAAGCAAGAAGGAAAGTCGAACGATTGGAAAGAGACAAGTACTGGCTGAAAAGGGAGATTGAGCGGTTGGAGAACAAGGTTGAGTATGAAAAAAGTACCGCCAAGACTTGGGAACGTCTAAATAATCTCTCGGAGGATATGGCAACGAAGGCTATCAAAGCCCTCAAGGAACATCGAAAGAAATGTTTGACCGAGTGAGATAGGGCCATCTTGGTCATTTGTCTGATTTTGCCTCGATGCTTCAGAAGTGCATCTGCAAGACTGTTTGTAAGATTTAGCTAGAAAATGGTCAGTATTACGGATATTCCCTCGTGGTCTATGCAGATGTCTTTATCTCTTTGACTACCTAGACACGTTACCATAACGTATTTTCTATTTTGTTTTCCTGTCAATTCTTGACACATATTCATGCAGTAAGGAAGTATCTATTATCTATAAATATTCCACAATAATCCACCAAACTGGGCCAGATATGGAAAAGGGTACCTGATACCTCAATGGGTACCGCAGAAACACACAAGAATCCCCTAAAAGGAAAGGCCGGTTAGCCCTAATAGGCTTTGGAGATACTTTCGATAGGATCAAGACTGCACGATGAGCATCATCGATCTCTCTTTGCAACATGGAACTGGAATCATCTGCTGTGGGGACAGGCAGGTAGGCTTCCTGTTCTGGACTTCACCAGTCAGGGCCACAGAAACAAAAAAAACACAGCACAGCGCCAAGGAACGAAAGTTGTTGGTGCTGATTTGTTCTGATTTGTTCTGATCCGAATGATCTGTATGATCTGAATGATGTGAATGATCTGTATGACACCAAGTTATCTGCCCGGTCTCTATCATCTCCTCCTAGGATGCTTCTTGCTTCTTTACAAACCGCAAACACCATCACCATGCTTAGCGCATCTGAGATCATATCGCTGGTTTTAGCCTCCGTCACCTTCATCTTCCAGGTCTATGACCTTCTGCCTTTTGTAGGGAAATTCCTTGTACCTTCTTGATTACATATCTCTTATTCAGTCTATTCCAGGGCACAAACGGAGAGATCTTGGAGGGAATTGGCAGCATCAAAACCACCCTTGGCAAAAAAAGGTATCAATTTGGAATGAATCATTATTGATAGAGTATATACTGATGGTGAGCCATTGAGCTACGGGGCACATGTGAACAATCAATAGCTAGACAGTATCATGTAAGTGCCGTTGTAGACTCGGGGTGGCATAATACACTGCCCCCTTATATAGCAGTACTTTTGCTGTAGATGACAAAGTATACCAATTTTTACCGACTGCGCTGCGTAATCACAGCTGCAATCGCTGCACAAGTATTTCGACCTCTCCAGGTGAATGGGGTATTTCAATCCCCGAATGCATGTTCTTCGATGAATCGTCCAAGCGTGCGTGGCGTGCGTGTGCGTGGAGGTATGGATGCAGGAACGCAGCCATCAACGCCGATCAGGGGGCGGGTTGGGTGCGTCCTGCACATCAAATTTGCGTTGCAATTATTGCGTTTCAATGATAATCAAATTATCCAATACCTAACCGTAGTATCCGATGTTTTCTCGGTTATCATCGACTATCCGTCCGTATCTGCGATGCGTGTTAGCAAACGAAAAGCCCACTTGGGGGAAAGACCTACTCCAATAATAATCGGAACATGTAAACCTCCATATTTGCTTTTGTCAGGGAGGTTTTCGCCCAGTCGCGTCCAGCGCTTGCCATGTGTCTCGCAATCTCCTGTCCCTCGGCGTCGTTTTCAAAGTACCGAATCAACTCGACATACTCGGTTGTTTCATGGCTGACGGGGACATAGTGAACCCATGGAATCAGCGTATCTGCATGCCATTCCTGGAAATACGCCAGCTTCAACGGCAGACTGTTACTGCGCAAGAAGGCGTAAAATCGTCCACTATAGGCATTGCCGTCCATGTCGAGCAGATACCGGAACTTCCAGGCATCCCCTTGGTTGTCCAAGTGGGCTAGGTCGAAAAAGGCCAGTTGATCGTTGCAGTCTCCCTCGGCGCACTGCTTAACCTCGGTGAAATTGGTGTTGAAGAATTGCTGGTATTCCACTGCGGCCACGTCTGTGCGCTCCCATCCTTTCTTGCCGTGGGCTTTGCAGGCGCTTGTTTCGTTGGCTTCTTGGTATATCTGCGTTGTGTTCCAGGGATGTGCCAGTTTGGCGATGACTTGTTGTCTGAGCTGATTGCGCCACGCGCCCAAATCACTATATCCAGAAGTTGTCGATCCACGCCAATACATCTGGGGGATCTTGTCTTCCCAGTTGACGGCGAGGTCATCGTCGTACACGGTTTGGTCTCCATAGTACCAAGGCGATGGGTATGGGATATCCTGAGAGGATGACAGCTTGGACATGGAAAAGACCGGGGACAGCTCCTGCGTGATTCTGCAAGAATTGGGCCGGTCGAAAACTCCTAGACGATGCCGCAGTGACGGACTCTGACAGATATCGCCAAATGCCGTGTGGTTGGAGATGAAGCCCAACGGGCCCAATGCGAAATCGGTGGAATTATCCGTGCCATCGCCGTCGAGGCTTCGGGCTGGAGAATCGACAGGACAGGAAAGCCGCAAAAGCAGCCATGTCTCCTGGCGATCGATTTGAGCGAAACGCGTCTGATTCACCCGCTCGATGGGTTCTGCCAGTTCCTTGGGCGTACGCGAAAAGTTCCCCTCCGGCTGCCTGTTCGAATTCAGCCGGAACTGAGCCTCGCGGCCTCTCTTCACCATCTGGTCCAACTCATCATGCGGAACAACAACTCGAGGCTCATCATGCGCATTAAACCCAAGATCCATATCCGGCAACCATTGCGAAAACGTCTGGATCATAGCCATCGTCGCAGAAGGCTGAAAGTCTCCCTGGCCATCGCTCAGGTAAATCGGCGCGCCCTGTCGCACAGAAACCCCCATCAGCCCATTATCGCGACCCAGATTCTCCCTCGCCCGCGCGCGCAGAACACTCGGCTTAATACCCCAGAACGGCAGAAGGGAGTGGTAGATCGTATCGTATTCGTCGATGAGGACCGTATCGCGGGCTTTGGCGAATTCGTACCACTTGTCGAAGTTCGGGGGCGGGGGCATGTTGTATCGTCGTTTGTATTCGGTAACGGCTTCTGAGAGCGACTTTGATTGTCGTTTCACGGTCGCGTTGAACGTTTTCTCGCTCTCGGTCGCCAGTCGCAGCACGGGGTGATCGCAGGGGGCATCTTCGGAGAGGGGGAGGGGTTTGTAGAGAATGGGGACGCGGGGATCGGCGAAGGCGAAGAGGATGAAGAGGATGAGGACGGCGGGGATGGCGACGATGCACAGTCGGTTGGCTCGAAAGAAGCTGCTTTGGGGTCTTTTGGAGTTTGTCGCAACAGAAGAGTATCGCTCGTGCCGTTGCCATGGGAGGCCGATGTTGTCGAGCTCGAGCCATTGCGCCAGTTTGCGAAGCCGTATTCGCAGACTGCGCAATGCGACCGACATTGTGTCAATTCCGTGGTGTTCAATCACAATAGCAGATGTTGACAATAAGGAACGGACATGATTAAGAGTAACGACAGAAAACGAGGGATAAAAGATCTGGACTTTTTCAGTCAGGAGAATCGACGAAAATAGGACGGGGCTTGGATCCATTGGCTGGCATTGTGTGGTGTTTGACCCACGGCCGATCGCTGGATTTCCAGGGCGAATCACCGGAATGGAGGCGTTTTGGGGGCCAGAAGCATTACCGGTTGTGGAAATAAGGAAGCCATTCCGACACACAGACTGTCCCTGCGTGGATCGCCACTAGGAATTGGTGATTGTGGGGGTTTCTAAATTTGAGGGTTTCTTCATTCTCTGGATTTTGAAAGGCATCATTAATATTTATTTTTGTCCATCACCTGAGATTTTTATCATGGTTGTGGATGGTGGCATTGTCGATCTCGGAATATATATTGGTAGTCGCCGCAGCTAACCATGGTTCACAGGATATGTAGTGAAACAAATAACAATATATTTTCAATACCCGTCCAAACCCCTACAAGTCAATTGAATTATTTAATGAAACTGGCCAAACTTTCTCATAAACCAGACAATGCCAGAGATGCAGTATCTTTTGCAGTCGAATTGACGCCAATGCAAACGGGACGTTGATCACCATCCTTCAGATCAGCATACAATCCTTTGTCGCAGTCCGCGCCAACCCACGGATTCCATGAAGTCAATTGCTGAAGACTGATGCGTGTGTCATCCGTGATATCCTTGCAAAGATAGGCTGAGAAGTTGTTAGTATATCCAAGCAAAATGGGATGGGTAAGAGCTTACAGCTGCGATCATAGCCATGGATGATGGTGAAGCACGAACAGCTGCCAACTGTGCCAGGGTAGCCATGATCAACAGGAAGACATTGTGTATTATTTTGATTCCCGGCTAGTCATGGGTTAGTCTTGTAAGGATATGTCGAGGTTAGACGTACAGTCATAGTGTGCCATTGCTAGCACAGTAGCTGAAACCCGGTTGAAGAGCGCATGGGTTGACAAAAGCCAAACTTGGGTTCCAAGACAGAAAGGCTTCGAGTGGCACAGCACAGATATAGGTGCCTGCGAGACTTTGAATGTTGCTGCATATCATATTGATATTAGGTTTCCAAACCAGCAGATCACTACCTTCTAAGCCACAGTGTGCTGCTATAATGCTGTCACAAGTATCGTCGTAGTCCACGAGATACAATGGACGAGGGGCTGGGAGACAAAGAGGGCCGACAGCCTGGAGATTGGAGCAGGATGGACTCAAACCGCCAGCATTGACTATACCCAACGTTGATACATTGTGGGTGAGAGAGATGGAATTGCAGGTATCATTGGCCTTGACTGGATATGGACTCGAGCAAGTTGGCGTGTATGTAGGAACAGGCGAAGCTGTAGTTGTGGGATTCAGCGCGCAGGACGGAGGTGATGTGAACGGATATTTGGTGGCAGAGCAACTTGAAGTAGCAGATTTGAAATCTTCAGCAAATCCATCGTCGTATCCAAAGGGTGAATTGAGCTGGATCTGAACAATTCCAAACATGCAGTCGGAGCAGTTCTGAGCGGCAGTCAAGCGGGACTGGTTGAGGAACGAGACGAAGATTTCATCGCAGAATTTCCCTGAAGATCTACCTTTATTAGACAGGTTTAAGATTAGTGGGGAGAGAGACTAACGAATCCTTTCGGCACGATAGATCGTAGGTGTAGATATACCGGTTGATGATGAGTGTTGCAGGCCAATCTTGCCCATCGTAGGAAATAATGTCAGTCTTCTTACAGGCGTCAGCGATTGTCTTCCGAACGCGTGTGAGGTTGGGTCGAGTAGCAACCCTAGCCATTTTCTACTTCTTCGAGACGCAGTGAACTCTGCTAAGAATTCCCTCTAATAATTTAAACGGCCGATGTCTGACACTAGGTTTAAGGGGTTTCTGAAACGAGCACTTGCAGGAGAAGATGAAGGTTACGAGGCGATTCTGGCCCCCGTTCGTGAGGTGAGAAGACCGGGCTTTGAAGAAGGCACCACTGATATTGGGCTCTAGATTGTTGCTGTATTTGAATATGTACGCCATGATGATGTCGTCACTCGAATGGATGATGTGGTATTTGGAGTTTATTCAGCGCTGCAGAGGATCGAACATAACACAATTGGAGGTGAGGGGTGAGTTAAGCAATCATTCTATATGTTGTATAAAGGAATAACTAATTGGTTTTGGCTGCACACTGGAACGAGTTCTGTACGGGCGTCCGTCACTTATATTAAGAATATTCTACGCTAACATTTCTTTAGATCCATACTATTTCCAACAGGTTTCTGAGTTTGCGCGAACCTACGTTTCCGATCAGATCAGAGCTATTCGCAATGCCTTCAGAGAAACTAACAGTCCACTCCGCGAAAGCATAGAGAGGGAACTATAAGAGATTGAGAGGCAAATTCCAAACATGAGGTATTCCTTCGAGGGCTAAGCAGATGACGATAGAGTACCACAAGATTAAGATGTACGTACATGGTATCGTCAGGATACTGGTCATTGCATGTTGACAACAGATCCGACAGACGTATTCACATGAAAATCATCCCCGGTGGCCGTTCGTAGAAATCATCCCATGGAGTAGGGTCAAAGCACATTTCGCCATAAAACTCAGGACCAACCAGTCTGGAAAGCATCTTCACTCAACCAACATCCTTCTCACGGCATCCGTCAATTGGCTCATATATCTCCTCAGCTACTAGATCCTCCTCTCTAACCTGGTTAGCGCATGCCTCTCGCATAGATTTCTAGTCTGCCTTGACAAATTTCACATGCCCTATATCGACTTCGTCATGCGCAGGGGGCTGCGGTGCCTCGTAGACAACACGCCGCAGAGCGTCCTCGTCAATCTCTATAAAGTAGCTGTATCGAGGATATCCGTGGTTGACAAGGCCAAGACCTTCAGCACGAGGGTTTTCAGTTCTGATCGCGTCGGCTGCCCATGCTTGGAATCGAGTACGGAGCTGGGGTATGGATATTCCGTCTAGCGTATCGCAATCCTCGACATACGTCCATTCCAAGGTGTTGGCCAACTCGGGAGAATCAAATTCGGCGATTTCCTCATGGGAGCGCTTGTTTATGATATCCTTGAATCGAGTCCATGCTTTGTCGTCTGCGTATGTGCAGCGATAGATGACCCAGCCCCATTTTTCGTGTTTGAGACCGCGGAGGCCTTCTAAGATAGCTTGCGTTGGTGAGGGGCCCTCCATAGCCAGGGAACCTGACGAGACGAAGCTTCGACCATTAGGAGGGGATGGGAAACCGTGAAAGAATCGGAACGATTCAGGTCTGCGATCTAGCGGAGATAGGAACCGCGGCTGTGTGAAAGAACGACAGGAGGTATGTTGATGGCGGAGGCTATTTCCGAACCGACACGCCCGAGGAAAGGGCCTCATGACTGCGAGTTGAGGACAGGATAGAAGAGGTGAAGAGAATATGGGAAAAAGAGATGTTGAGGAGGTTGACATTCGCACGCCAAGATGAGGTACAGAGTAACACTGCCCTGATTGGCGAGGAAAAAGGCAGGTCAGGTGATGGCATCGACAGTGACAAGCAACATCGAGATGACGTATATTTGAAAGCATCGAGTTGCCATCACCAGTATCAGTCGTATATTTGAAAGCATCGAGTTGCCATCACCAGTATCAGTACAGTCATGCATCGATTGAAATTACATTCCTCTTTGATTCCCGCGCAAGTATCCCTCGATTGACCAACATGACTGCTACAACTAACACTGCTGCATGGCTCATGGCAGCCGCACACCCCTTTGCCGTCAAATCAGCTCCCACCTGGAAGCCCGAAGAAAACGAGATTCTCACCCGAAATCATGCCGTGGCAATCAACCCCATCGACGGCAGTCTCCAGACAAAAGCCTGGATGCCCATGGGCTACCCCACGATCCTAGGGGAGGATGTAGCGGGAGAGGTGATTGCAGTCGGTCCAAATGTGACGCGTTTTAAGCCCGGAGATCGTGTGCTCGGCCATGCCCTGGGATTCCTTACAGGTCGCGATCAAGATGGCGCTTTTCAGGCCCATACGACTCTGCGGGTTAATATGGCGAGCAAGATTCCTGATCGTATTTCCTATGAAAAAGCCGTCGTCATTCCGTTGACTTTTTCAACTGCATCTGCGGGGCTTTTTCAGGAAGAGTACTTGAAGTTGAATCTACCTACTGAACCTCGTGCCCAGCCTACCGGAAAGACAATTTTGATCTGGGGCGGTGCATCAAGCGTGGGCAGCAATGCCATCCAGCTTGCCGTGGCTGCAGGATGCGACGTCATCACTACCGCATCGCAAAAGAACTTTGATTATGTGAAGAATCTCGGGGCCAGCCAGGTATTCGATTATCGCAGTCCAACCACTACCGAAGCTCTCATTCAGGCCATGCAAGACAAGACTATCGCCGGTGCCATGGACTGCATCGGGTCTTCTGCTACCCAGGCCTGTATCGATGTGATGAAACAATGTGACGGAAACAGATTTGTGGTGACGGTAAATTCTGGTTTCCAGACTGTGCAAGATATTGTCACCGTGAAGGGAGTTATGGGTGCGTCGATCAAGGATAACTTTGTCAGCAAAGCTGTGTATGAGGATTTTCTACCAAGGGCGCTGGAGGAAGGGACATTCAAGCCGTCTCCTGAACCGGTGATTGTAGGCAACGGATTGGAGATTGTACAGGAAGCGCTGGATTTGCATGGTAAAGGTGGGATTTCTGCTCGGAAGTTGGTTGTACTGTTGGAATAGTAGAGATAAAGTCCAAATCATTGAAGATTAGTATTCTACTTGATATAGTCTTCGTATAAAGGATGGAACTCGCCTGCCATCTTCCCAGCCTACCGGTTCGAGATTGCCAACCAGGTCATTGCTCCCAGTGAGGACAAACTGAACAAGCCATACTGACTCATCCCCGCCGGCCTTTTGACCATCCCCCAAGCGCTTTTCCGATGGCTTCTTTCATGGACCATAGTCCATATTTGTTTTAAGGTGCTTAGGCACCAAGGCAGCAGCATGGTCATGTCTTTTGGATTTTTCTATGACTGGCCGGCCTACAACCATTTTGCATATCGCAATATCCGTCCCTTTATACTGCAAATTTAACGACATGCTTGATAACTGCGTCCCCGAGCTGAATCTAAGCTTTTGGGTCGGTCTTATACACTCCGATGTAGAGACAAAAAATATCAAAAAAACGTCAGCGACAGGACTCGAACCTGTGCACGCGAACGTAATAGCTTTCTAGGCTATCGCCTTAACCACTCGGCCACACTGACAATTGATAGCAGCATAGTCACGTATTCCGATTGGTCACGTTAATTCATCCTAGAGCATTCGTTGGTTCTGCCTATTCCGTACCATCCATCTCCAGGAGTAGGTACCCCCCATATAATATATCTGCAATTTTACCATTCCGCGGAAACAGAGCCGTGCTTGTCAGAACCGCGTTTTTCATCTTCAGATTTATTTCTTTACTCTGATACGGAATTGAATTCTTATTCAATTTCATCAGATTGTGCTTGGGACGGCCCTGATGCATTTTGTGGCATCGGCGAATGTGGCAATGCGACTTGTTCCTTCGCACGGCGACATTATCTCCAAGGCCACGTATCATTACTTGTCTTACGTGGGATTATGGAGGTTAGTGGTGCACCGGGTTACTGCACCTTTTAGTTGAGAAGTGATTGTGTGGAAGGGATATACTTGGACTTGGATTCTCGTATAGCAACCAGCCTTGTCTGACTCTAAATAAGGTTATTTTTACTTTAACATGACTCCGATATGTAACCGCGGAACAACACGGTTGATCTGACCTTCAGATCAATGCTACACCCTGCTACAACGCTTACTCAAAAGAGTGCCCGATATCAAGTCATCCTGTGAATCAGAACCATTCCTTCTCTTCCATCAGAAATGGTGGCTGAGATGACTTGTCCCTGCCCCACTCTTTCAGCCTCATCCTGTACATATGAAGCACATGATTGGCCAGAATGTAAGAATAAGCCGGAGGATCTGCAGTGACTCATGGGGTTATCCCTGCAGTGGGGCTATTTCCACCAATCAGAGGCACAGGATGCAGGCAGCGAGACTGTTGCCTTTTGCGCTCTGCCAGTTGGATGAGCGGAAGTGAAGAGAGCTGAATCTGACAGTGAGAATGAAAGGTATAAAGAGGGGGATCTGTCTGGTTAGAATGGACAGTAACACTCAGACTCAACATCATCTCTCTTTCCTCTCCTCTCTCCTATCCTTCTATCCATCATTCCTCTTTCTCTTTTCATTATCCTTTCAAGACAGTTTCATAGAACACAGCAACCATGGCGCAAATCGACAACGAAACCTTGAAGGAAGAGGACAAGGTGGTGCCCCAAAACACAGAAAACGGCACTGAGCCCTCGAGTACGTTTCTTGTCAACAAAAACGCAGCAGCAACTAACACCCATCAAGACGAGAAGAAGGAAGAGAACAAAGAAGAAGAAAAGCCACAGTACGCCCCCGTCGGCTCTATCTGCGACTACCGAAATCTCTACGAAACAAAGCCCGATGAAAATGGCGACACAACATTCGTCAAGGAGATGCCCAAGGATCTCCCCGAAGCCGGTGAAGACGAGGAATCAGCACAATATGCGGTGATCGTCCGGAATAAGAAGTCTTCTGACTCGCGGAAGAGTCTGGAGCTCCACTCGATTATCATCCAGAGTCAGGTGTTGAAGGAGTTCCTTGAGCCCGTGATGGAGGGATATCCCGGTGTCACAGTGTCTCTGGAGCGATTAGACTTTGGGGCCCCCTTCAAGCCATTCGTTCACCGATGGGAGAGATTTGTGAAGGCCAGAGAGGAGGCGACGGACCCTACCACGAAGGATCACGTCGAGCTGCTGTACAAGATCCTGCACGATGAGCTGAAAGACGTCATTGCGCGCAAGAGGGATCTGAGCAGCCACGGCGTCATCACCCACGATCTCCTCTGGACTATCTTCGAACCCGATGAGCCCATCTTTGCTGTTCAGGAGGGTAGGCTGCGGGCTTTCAAGTTCTCCTACGGCTACATGAACGTTTGCAAGGCACGGTATGAAGTCACTTGTAGCTACGTCGACCATGATGGAGATGAGTTCGGATGGCGCGAGGACGAGTTCTATATCCCCCGTTTCGTCGGCACTGGTCCCATCACCGCACTGCCCATCTTCCCACTCCGATACCACAAGCAGGAGAAGTCTATCCGCGAGTCTCTGATTGCACGCGGCAAGCTCTGGGAGGCACACAAGGGATACCACTACAAGGATTACGAAGGCCCCTCCATTGAACATTTTGAGCGATATGGCGAGGACAAAGAAATCAGAGCAACCCTCAAGGGCCGAGTCATCATTGACGCCGAAGCATACAACACCTTCCACCCCGACCACTCCGTCTGGGTTAGCAATGGCATCGCCGATGAGGACTTTGACGACAGCCACCGTCTCTGCGCAAACCCCATGGTGCGCGGCTACTCCATCAAGACCAAGAAGTGGCTTTCCTTCTACCTCGACGCCACCAAGGATATCGTCTGGGACACTCGCGCATTCGACGCCCTCGTCCTGCCCCGCGAGCAGCAGAACTTGAAGCAGCTCATTCTCGCGTTCGCCAAGGCACAGTCCAAGAACGCAGACACCTTCGACGACGTCGTCCAGGGCAAGGGCCGCGGCATCATCATGCAGCTCAGCGGTCCCCCTGGTGTCGGTAAGACTCTCACCGCGGAGAGTGTCGCCGAAGTCATGCAAGTCCCTCTCTACATGATGAGCGCCGGTGATCTCGGCACCGACGCAGAAAAGGTCGAACGCAGCCTGAAGGACATCCTCCGCATGGTCCCCAAATGGGGCGCTGTTCTCCTCCTCGACGAAGCAGACGTCTTCATGGAAGCCCGTGACGCGTCGGACTTGCAGCGCAACGAACTCGTCTCCATCTTCCTCCGAATGCTGGAATACTACGAGGGCATTCTCTTCCTCACTACCAACCGTGCCGAGAACATCGATCCTGCTTTCGAGTCTCGTATCCACGTCTCGCTGGCATACCCCGACCTCGACTCCGTCTCGCGCCGCCACATCTGGTCGCAGTTCTTGGGTGCCACGGCTAACACAACTGCTTTCACGAGTGAGCAGCTGGATAAGGTGGCTGAGGTGCAGCTGAATGGACGGCAGATTAAGAATATCATCAAGACTTCGCATCTGCTTGCTTGGGATGAGGAAAAGCCGCTCACGTACGAGCATGTCCAGACAGTGCTGAACCTGAGGACGATTGGAAGAGGCCAGAAGGTTTGATTGATGGGTGGTTTAATGACTCTATGATAGCTATTAAATAAAGCAAATAATAAAAATACTTGTTGAATAACTCTCTTGTGCCTATATTATATCACGCTCAGCCTTGTTGATCATAGACAAGGAAGGCCATACATGATACATCCGTGGCAATAACCAACCCTGCGGATACAAAAGACAAAAGTTATACATGTATCAGTCTCTGCTGTGAAAAACTTTGTTTTTTATGCCAAATCTTTAGCTCATAATGAAGAGAATTAAGCTTATCAATATACAGAGCTAATATATAAGCTTATTGGGTAAACCTAAACTATATTTTATATTAATATTGAAACAGCGATATCTATCTAGGGAAAGCATATATGATAGTGCTTTCCGAGACGCTTCTTCCCACAAGGCTGAGGATATTCAACCATGATTGGCAGGCACTTTCGTTTCACAATAAACCCCTTTTTGAGCAGCGCCTCAGGTGAGGGGGTATTCGGAGGGGTTTGAAAAGACAAGGCTCTGACGAAATTGGGGATGTTGCTTTCCCTTCATCGTTCTGCTCATCGTTTCGTCAAGGCCAGAGAGAAAAACATGGCTTCACAGCACCACCAAGAGCTTCCAGGGACTGAACAGCCCAACTCACCTGTCTCGAGTATTCATTCAGATGGTCAAGATCGACGTGAAAATCGAAATGGGGATGAATCTGCCAATACGGATACGGTATCACGAAGGAGCCACGAGCAGGAAGCCATCCCGACCCCAGCAGCAGACAAGCCCTTAGTCGCGATAGACGAGAAAGACAAGCGAGAAATCGCTGTGAAGAGATCCATCTGGACTGTGATCTCCGACTGGTTCATCTGGGAAATCCTTGCTGTCATTCTATCCGCTGGAACACTCATCGCCATGGTGGTCATCCTGGCCAAGTTCGACAAACAACCACAGCCAATCTGGGCGCACATGTCCCTCAACCCGCTGGTTTCCTGGCTGAGTACAGTTTCCAAAGGATGCATTCTTTATGGCATTAACGAAGCACTCGGACAGCTGAAGTGGGTGTGGTTTATGCAAAAGACTCGTCCAATGCCGAATCTGCGGACGTTTGATTCGGCCAGTCGAGGGTTCTACGGGAGTGCAGAGTTGATTTGGACGTTGAGATGCCAGTATGTATTCTATATAAATGGGTGAAATCTAGCTAACAGGATAGGCATTTTGCTGTCTGGGGCAGTCTGGCAGTCATCATGTCATTGGCCTTTGACCCCTTTGCGCAGAATCTCGTCCATTATTATCCGAATAGCGTGGAGGATACATCGCAAAGTGCACTCATCTCCAACACGACCTTCTATGGAACAGTTGGACCCATGATTAGGGGTGGGGCTGCGGGTACGTCTACCCAAGTGATGCTATTATACTTGAGTGACGAACACAGGATTCTGGGTAGACCCGGTGCTCAAGGCGAATGTGTACAACTCGCTGTTCAACAACGATGACTCCAAACCGTGGTCTATCCCGAAGTATACCTGCCCGTCTAGTAACTGCACCTGGGATGTCATTTCTGCAATAGAGGCACGCACTCTCTGTACAAATGTGACTGAACATCTAAACATATCCTGTGCTTCAAGGGTTACGCAGAACGTGACGTTTACTCATCTGCCCAACTGCACCGTTTCTCTCCCTCATAGCAATACTCTGGCCTGGTATATTGACCCCGTTATGATATATGTGCCAATCGTCATCAACGCCATTACGAACCAGTCAGAAACCTTGGTGTATAAAAACTCCACCTTTCCCATAATGCAAATGATCGCCCCAGACCGACTTGATGTAGTCCATGGAAGGGCAAACACCAGCAGATGGCAGGCGATGGAATGTTCGATTGAGCCCGTCGTGCACAGCTTCCGCCCAACCGTCCACGAAAACGTCTACCGCGAAGAGATGCTAGGCATCTGGAACGAAGGTTTCTTGTCTATTGACAGAAACATGACCAACGTGACACCTGGACTCTACTTCCAGCCTCCCTGGGGCCCGGAATACGGGATGCCGGCGAATGGAACGTTTGGGGTTAGTGCTCCAGTTTGGGCCGCGATGACGACGCTATACAAGAATATGTTTTCCGGCTATTACTCTGAGCAAGTCAGGTCTAGTGTGCTCTATGAAGCCCGATATCCTGATATGTACGCGGGCAGCGATGTCATACAGGCCTTTACACACGGTAACATCACGGGTTGTAATATGAATACCGTGGAGAAACTGAGCTGTGCAATGCACAATGTCGCACAAGCTATATCCAAATCGTTCAGGGATGCATCATACGTGGAGATGGGCTCGGATCTGAGCAGAGCCCAAATGGCGAGCGGGCGTGTCATGGCGAGCATGACTTATGTCGAGATACGATGGTGGTGGATTACCTTGCCGGCGTTGGTGTGGGTGCTTGGAGCTGCGACGTTGGTTGGGACGATGTGGAAGAGTCGACGAGGAGTTCCTAGATGGAAGAATGATCCGGTTCCATTGTTGTTTCTTCATCAGGATGGTAATACTGGGGTCTCAGAAAGGGAGCCAGAGGAGAAGGCTGATGGTCTGGAGGTGAGGTTGTATCACAGCAATGACAAAATGGTCTTGGGTGGACTGTCATAGTCCATTAAATGGTATGAGTAGGACCAGATATATGTGGGAGCTCATGATAATATATGTTCATGCTCGAGCTGTGTTCTATATACCGGATACTTTCGTCCAGACATTGGCTGTGTCTATTATACCCATCACGGAATCATTAAATGCATGGAAACTGTTTTGAGAACAGCACTAAGAGTCCTCTCCTTATCACTAGTGCCCTCGAATTTCTATCCTTGGCTGTTGCTGTTGCTGTGCTTTTCAAGAAATCTCGTTGCAAAATTCAGTGTATGTGTATGCCGCTGAGATTCAAACGCCCCCTCTTCTGATCGACTCATCACTGAGCCAGGGATCCTCGATAAGTTCCTTTGCTGCTTTCCTATTTTCTGGGAGCCACTGCAGCATCTTTAGTGCAAATGTTAAGAATTGATCCTTCTGCTCTCCCTCCAGGCATTTGACTGTATCCTCGATCTTGACGTCTTGTGGGATGATATTCCTACGTAGGAAATTCCATATTTGCGATCCAGCGTAAGTATATACCACGTATAAAGGAAGTACTGATACTGAAATGCGAGTGACATAAGGATCTTACCATCTTCATCAAAAAATGGCCCCCCGTACCCCTCCGATGCAGTCGTACAGAGCTTTCCTTGAGCATTTTGGGCAGCTGGGCTCCAGTTCCATTCCAAGCCCTCCCTTTCTCGGTCTACAATTCCCTTTGGCGGTGGACCAAGTAATGCAATCATCTCTGCAAGATGTGCATCCGGATGGTAGTTACCGTTGTCGTCAAAGGCCCGTGTAAACAGATCCCGAGGCGCTAGTAAATTCCACATCTGATATTGGTGAGCAGACTGAACGAGACCTTTGCTGTTGTATAGGCATACCATAACTCCTAGATTCCAGATGTCAACACTGTATGTCCACCCAGCACCCAGTATGACCTCTGGAGCTCTATAGTCATCCGGTTGAATCGGATGTCTATTCAGCATCGATGGATCTTTTTGGTTGTGTGCCAATCCAAAATCCGTTAGTTTAGGAAGGATATAATAAGACCTGAGAGGACCAAAGTCGTTGTGAGAGAGATATATGGCACGTCCATCGTGCACTTTCCGCGGCATTGGATTGGCTGATTGGGTAAGGCCAAAGTCCTGTATAACCGCTGGATCTTCAAATCCGACGAGGATATTGTCCACCTTTAAGTCTAGGATGGTAAGTTTCCATCTTGCAGGCCAACAAGATCAATACTTGCCTGTGTGTATGATGTTGCATTCGGAGTGTAAGTAATCCAAGCCCTTTAGAAGCAATTTGATATAGCCCTTCAGAAGACCCAAAGGAAGCCTTTGATTTCGACATCGATTCTGAAAGAGCCAGAGAGGCTCTCTCATTGGCTCGTATCCCAAGCATACATGTGTGCCATTTGGACTCTTTTCTTCAAAGTGTTCTACAAAGCTTCGTAGATAGTTGCGGCCTTCGTGTGGCGGGTTGGCGTGAGCAATGTGCCGTTCAATTTGATACTCATGTCGTGCTGCACTGGTATCTTTAAAGTCGCAATTGCCAACTTTCAAGGTCAGATATCGCTCGGATTGCCATCTCCACCTGTCGTTGGACGAGGTCAGTGTATATCGGGATTACATCACGTGATCCCCTTACCGATGGAGGTCTCGGACAAGCCAGACGGTAGAGGAAGTGCCCCAGCCCAGTTTTGCCAATGCTTCATATCTCTGATTGAAAATGTAACCAGGCTCAACCGGAAAATAGTGTCTCGCTCTGTAGCCCGGCACCCTCTCTTCCTCGATCGGGGTTTCCGCAGGAAGGTTCGCTGCCGAACCACTGAAGACCGTGCGGTTCTTGCGGCCAAGAGGGGATATGGCACAAACAGACTGCAAAGCACGTTTCGCCATACCAGAATGCTACTGGAATGAAACTAACGACGCACCAGACAAGCTGTCAACGTTGGACCTCACCTGACCCCTGTCGGAGCCGACTTGATCCGCTGCTCTTTCGATTACACCACCTCGACTCAGCCAAACGCCGTACCACATGCTCTGTACAACGGAGCTCCGGGAAGCTAGGTTTACGGAAAGCGTCCTATGATGGGGATTTCACGGCGATTGATCATCTTTTGGAGAGACTCTCTATGCCAGCTATTTCTATCGGACTAAACTTTTTGTGAATCGAAATGGTTCCATTCGAGAACGTCTATATGAAAGGTAACATCCTTATTTCAATTAGAAAAATACAAAATAATACACAATTGTGGGAGAATCAGACTTCCTAAGGCTGTTGTAAAGCTTTGGAATATGGAAAAAAAGTCAAGTTTTCGAATGGCGCCTCAACCCTCTTCTCTCGATATCGGTACAAATAGAGCCAACCCTTTGAAGAAGCTTCATGGTAAAGAGCGGCTTGAGCATTTCAGGACTCATTGTCGAAGGTTGTCAGCGCAGTGTGGGCAGCGTAGAACGCACCCTTGGGGTTGTAATACTCGTCGAACATCAAGGGCTTCGCGCCCTTGATCCAGGTGTACGCGTGCTTATCCGTAAAGCCCCAGAAGCTAATATCGGTGATTCCAGCGTCAAGAGCCTCGCTCATGACGGCACTGTAGATATCGGTTTCGAGTGTGGAGTTGAGCGTGTGGACATCCATTTCAGCGATGGATACTTCCAGTCCGAGGGCCTTGTAGGAATCGACCATCTCCGTAATGACGCCAGGTTTCGGGGCCACTTCGGTGATGTGCATCTGAAGAGCGACTCCGTCGATGGGGACGCCGTCCGCCACGAGTCCGGAGACTAGGTGGTAGAGCTCCTGGCGCTTGTTGGGGAGTGACTCGACCAGATTCTCGTTGATGAATAGTTTGGCATCAGGGTCTGCCGCCCGGGCGATACGGAAGGCATCTTGGACGTAGCCGGGCCCGAGGACTTTGTAGAAGTCGTTGGTCTGCAGACCGCCGCCCTGCGTTTTGAGGGCTTCGGTGACGACGTCCCACCGATCCAGCTTGCCGTGGTATCGGTGCATGATTGCCTCAAAGTGAGCGGACATGGCAGCACGGAACTGGGTGGGGTCGGTGATGTTGAGCAGGTAGTCTGGGTTGCAGCAGCTCGAGATCAGCCCATGTCCCTTGACCACCATGTCATGGTCCTTTGCAAAGCCCACGAGGCGGTCGATTGTGTCCCAATTGTAGTGCCCGGGGGTCGGGTGGATAAACTCCCACTTCAACTCGTTCTCAGGCGAGAGGCTCTCGAACTGCGTGGCAAGGACATTGGCAAACTGAGAATCATTGAGATAATTTGGATTAATTGCTCCGGACCCGATGAGAATACTCTTGCTTGCTGCTTCCTCTCTCAGCGGGCTGGTCCCGGTGCTGGTGAAGGCGTTTGTTCCTTGGATAGTGGCGAGAAACGCGGTGGTGAGGGTTGCGGCACCAAAGGCCTTGATGGTTCTGACTGGCGACATGTTCTCTGCTTTCTGATACTCAGCGATGAATGATTTGCGATTGTAGTCCGTCCATAACGAGGTATTTATAGGCGTTTGCGGCGAGAACAGATGACAGTATATCCAACATATCATCACGCAGTAGATACAGAGTGGGTCACTCCCTGCAGGACCCGCAAAGTACGAACACGAGAGCTTGTCTGTACGGGAACGAGGGCGCTCTCTGATTCGACAAACCACGACTGAGATCTCAGTTAAGCTCAAGTGCTCCATCCGTATTCGTACACTGCCGACCCACATACTTCGGGGATCTCACTTCGGCCATTCTTTGGTAGCTCCAGACAAGTCCCTGCTTTTTTGAATTAAAGTGCCTACTCGTTTTTTTCGTAGACCCATGTCCATGTATGTCGCAGGATCCACTTGGCCATATAAATCATGTACATTCAATACTCGATATACGTATACGAGTGGGGTGGTCATTAGGCTACTATTTTCCTAAAGAGGTTGAAATTTCAACGAGTACTAGATAGCGCAATAAGGATGGGGAGGGGGTTCTTCTTTACGCTGGTGAGTGTTTCAACTACTCCACAAGGACTCATTATTATGAAGAACAGCATGCTAAAAAGAATCCTTAAGATAGCTGAATGTGAGCTATTCTCAATGACCCCTGAAGGAGCGGATGATTGGCTGTCCCGGTCCGCCGTAGCGCCTCCTTGGCCGGATTAGGCAACTGGTGGCGTCGTTCATTCTTCATTCTTCTCCAATTTGTTCGTTCCGCCTTTGCCCGGCCTCCCTTACTCAGGAAGTGACTGTGATGGTGATGCTTGATATTTCCCATTTTTTATGTGATAATGCTGGGTTCAACCTTGAATGGTGACCCATACATAGCTGCAGAGGCAGCACGTCACAGTCAACGTGCAAGGAAAAGACATCGTGCACGCCACTTGAAATCTCGCCTAGGGTGTTTCTCCTGCAAGTCGCGACGGGTCAAAGTAAGTCTTCTAGTCTGCTTCGCCAAATTGTTCCTCCACGCTTGCCATTTCTATGCTGATCCACCGTGCAGTGCGATGAAGTTCGCCCTGTCTGCGGCTCTTGCGATTCGCGGAGGGAGCAATGCATATTCCCCGATCCACCAACAACTTCCCTCAAACCAATCAGCTCTTCTCGAGATCGACAAGAATCGACACGCCGCTCGAGGGACGGTAGTCTCCGTCATGCCCGATCTTCCCTAGAGCCATGGGAGGCGGGTGCTTCTGCGCCAGTAGACGATGGCCTGCGTATGGATGACCTCCTCTCCTTGCAGTTCTTCCATCTGCATACTGCCCCGGGGATGTCTCTACATCCAAAACGAAACATGGCATGGCGGCGGGTAATCCCCCGCCTCGCCGAAAAGCACCGTTATCTCATGCACCTCCTTATCGCCCTGGGCGGCCTTCACATGATCACGGATCGGCTGAGGCCAAGGCCGGGTGAAGATGACCACTCGGATACGGTAGATTTGCGGGTGGTACTGGATCGCTATCAGAGAGGGCTGCAGGACTTCAGAACAGAAGTGGCCAAGATATCCATCTCAAATGCCGAAGCCGTGTACGCAGGCTCCCTACTCCTCGTCGCCTTCTTCTATGCATCCCTCCACGTCCCCGAGCTAAATCTGGCCTGGACGACTGGCATTCCTATTTCTGTTCCCTATGACCCTGCTCTAAGCAACCAGACCCTTTCCCCAACTAACAGGCCCGAGGTAAGCTGGTTGCACTTGATCCGGGGGGTGTCGATCGTGGCCCAAGACCAATGGCCTGCCTTAAAGGCCAGCAGAATCCGGCCACTGGTACTACATTTCCATGGAGATGAGTACTGGACAGACCTTCCCTTTGATCCATCCTTGTCCAAACTCAGCCACTGCTCTCCTCTCCTGCAGGTATTCGCCCAGGGAGCTTTTCAAGCGGTCGCGGACTTGAGAACTTTCTACGCCCCCCATCAGCTGAGCCATAGTTACGGGCTTTCCTCAACATCCGTCTCGCCTCCAAGCGCATCGGAGGGGGCAGTGGATGGACTATCAATGTCCATAAATGTCCTGGAACGCGTCTATTCGCGCATTATCTCTGTTCTCCAATGTTCAGTCCTCGAGCATGGCTTTCCAGATGATTCTGATATTCAGGACAATCTGGAAGAGGCCGCAGTGCTAGGTTGGCCGGGTTTGCTTCCCGATGTCTTTATTGGCTCACTGGAGGTCGACGAACCAGGGCATCCCACCTGGGGACTTTCATTGATCATCTTGGCTCATTTCTATGTCGTCAACACATTGGTAGACCGCTGGTACTTGCGCGCTTTCAAGGATGAAATCCTGAAGATCCAAGAATCCGTCTCTAGTTTACATGACGCTGCGTTGGATCGGCTTCTTATATGGCTGTCGAAGATTGCCACCTCTTGAGCAGACTTTTAGCTTCGTGGATCTGACAAACCCCCATGTACTTTTCTTTGATATAGATAATATTTAGAGCAGGAGCCTTTATAGAGAAGATATAACCAGATAGTTTACAGTTCTCTTCTACAAAGTGCCTGATAGACACAGTCAGTAAACGCTTACATTGTGGTTATCTAGCAAGTCACTTCCTCCATTCATAATATTTCTGCTGCTTCTGTGCCCTACGAACCATTTCACTCCTTTAACAGATTTATATTCTCCCATCATCTCTAAGGGGTCAACGTCGGCATCTTTCTCCCCCGATCTTCTAGAATATCTACCTAAATATAGCGGCTGAAAGGCATCTGCTGCCTGGTGGCGAACTTTATCCTCTTCCGTACTAGCACCACTAAATATCTACTGTCATCATGAAGCCTCCAACTTTTACTTTAGTTCTTCCCCAACACCAGTCTATACATGTTCTACAACAATCCTCTTCTACCTCGTATCAAATTAAACATCCCTTTTAGTTTACCAAAATGGAGTCAGACGAGATAGAATGCTTCACTCGACGCTTCAACGCCATGGAAGTCACATTCCCTGATACTGCCGAAACATGGGTCTTGACTAAAAAGTTATCCGACACGGCCTGTCAGTATACTCAAAGCGACTTCGAACTTCTCGGCGGTCCCTCTGGTGCCTATGGTACATTCGAATGCCACCGTGCAGGCAACCCGAGCGACACAGCCATCATGAAGATATTCATGCAGTAAGCGGTCCCATGATTTGAATCATTAGATGCTGATATCAATTCAGAGTTCCACATGGAGGATCAGGAGGACAGACGCAGTCAGAGATGGCAGGTCAAGCTTCGGAAAAGCTCGACTATTATGCGCGGTCTGCATTGGAGGGCTACAAGCAGCTGAAGCAAGCGGGTTGCACGTCCACGCCTCGTCTGATGGGCTACAAAATCGACAGGCAGGGAAGGGATGAGCTGGTTCCTGGCGGATATATGGTGTATATGCTGCTTGGGAAAGTGCCAGGTGTTCAGCTCGACACTGTTTATTGGAGCATGAGTCCTGAAGTGCGCGAGAAGATCCGCGGCCTATTCCGGGTTGCTCTAGAGTATGAGCTCCTGACTTCTCTACAATATCCACATTGCTAACTTGACTGACATCACCTAGGGATTGTCTCAATTGCGGTGTTCACATCGTGGACACGAACATGGCTAATCTTGTCTGGGACGGAGATAATGATAAGATGTAAGCAAAACACTGCTAAAAAGTTATCAATCCACTCTCAATTTGTCAAGGTCTAATTTGAATTCGTTTATTTCACAGCTGCATCACTGGAATACGCAATTCCGAGCCTGCTGGGCCCCATAATGTCTGGAGAGATCTCGAGTGGATTTTGTGGGGTCTGGTTGTGCCTCCCAGGGGTTATATATACTCAAAGGAAACAAGAGTCCATCCGGGTACTCCTGGATGGAAGGTGTAATCAAAGACAATCATCTTGTCTCTGATATCATGAAGATACATATACACATTGACACATAGATTTAATGGTCTTTAGCCAACCTGCGCATCCTCTACTACACTGTAGAACCTGTATATCCATTTCATTTACGACAGGAATGAGTACATTTGTATCATTGTTTTTGAATCTAAGGATGTCGAGCTAGATAATGTTTATTTTCACAGCATCACTCTGCATCAGACCGGTCCTTGCGAATTTAACCATTGCCACACCAACAGACTGGAACGCCAACTCGGGAGAGGGCAAATTATCCGACGGCGCACGTCTGAGGATAATAGCACTGCAATTTCCGATTCTAAAAGCGACATCGCCATTCTGTGTCTTTGGCGGGGCTATGCCAACCGAAGCATGGTTAACTAGCAGACGCATCGTGTTCTCATCCTGGCGGCCGTTCAGAAAGATCGATTTCCCGACGAGGAGGTCGTGGAGGGATTTGTAATGGTGATCGTCCTTCAGGAACTTGCTGACAGAAGAACCACTGGGCGCCACCACAGACGAGCTAGTACTGTCCCTAGCCAAAGGCAGTAGTTTTTTCTGGATTAAAGAATCTGCGTGGTATGGAGAAAATCCCCCAGTAGAGGTGAGGAATGAGAACAGCCACTTCCAGGTTGCTTTAGGGTTAAACTCATGCAGCTCATAAGGCTTGACAGCTTCAACTGCTACATAGTATCCCCAGTTGAGCTTGACCTCCAATGTTCTTTTGTGTGAGATACTGCATATGATATCATGGTAATACATTGGAATGCAGTTTGAAGGCATCCATGTATCATCATGCGGAGGCTGCCTCCAGTCTGGAACCCACGAAGGCAATGTGCGGCTGTCGTCTTTATGACGGTGCATCTCGGCGTATAAAAGCAATTTGACCGGGTTCGATGATAGCATGGTTGCTGCAAATGCAGTATACACTTCCTCTACACTGGCGGAATAATCAAAGACATCCGGTACGCCGTCTGCGTAGATGGAGTTGTCCTCAGGGGTTGGGATATCATTTGCCAAAGCGGAGAGTGCATAGATTCTATCTCGATCGTCAACGCACCCGAAATGATGGAATTTGGGTAGCAGTGAGATTAATTCCTGTTGAGCGGTCTTCTTATCTCCCATCGACCAGTTTTTCCACAGCTCGTATATCGTCACTAGTGACTCGACGACATGGCTGTCCACTCGACTAAGCAGTGCAGTACCAGATAAGACATTCAATCCCTGAAACAGACGGACGAGAGATATCTCTGCACGGTTACAGCATATTACCACGTCCGGATTCAGGACGATCTCCTGAATAATCCACCGTCGACTGAACCACGGCATTTCAAAAAGCTGCTGTATCCGCATGCCTTGCTTTTCAATCTCAAATGCGGCCATACTTTCGACGGATCTATCATCTCCCTTTGTCTTCTTACAGAGAAGCTTCACGGCCTCCTCCCCATCCTGCCTGTCTCCCAACCAAACTAGCACCCTACTTGCATTCCTAAACACCTGGCGCATAAGCTGAATCTGGACTGTCTTTTCATCATCGTCCCCTTGGTTGATACAAATTGAATCAGCCCAAAGACGACGGACATAATGCGGAGAGCGAAATCGCGTCAACGCAGCGTGCAAATTCGGCGTAATGCGAAGGACGGTATTTTCAGAGGAATAGATTGACTGCGAGAAGATCGGAGCACCCCATGTGTATGAGATTGCTTCGTAAGTCTCCTCGAGGTTGTTGACGGAGATTTCCTCGATCCTGCAGCGGAGTGGGGAGTCTCTGTTGGGAGATGGGTCGAGTGCGATAATCCGGATGTTTGTTGGGGAAGCAAGTGGTTGGTAGGAATAGGATGCCATTGTGGGATTGATGGACGTTGACTATTGAAAAAGAAAAAGAAAAGAAGAAAGAAAGAGGGGCATTTAAGGTGAGGCTGAGATGCAGGGATATTGACAAATGAATGTGATTGGCTATACATTCAACATATTACCTAGGTAGTAGTATACTTTATCCACCAAATATCATTAATCACACCCCATTCTTCGCCCTCTCTCCAACCTGCACAACAACATCTTCTCCATCTCCATCCGTACTGTCCCTCGATGACGTCGGAACATCCCTCTTCCTCTCCCTGCACACATTAGCTTCCTCTACTTATATATTCCAGGGGACTCACCGTCTGTGAATGACAATTGAAGCGACAAACCCGGCCCAAAGCAGAAAGTAGAATACAAACGTCACCGGCCATCCCTTTCTCCATCTGGGGGCACCATCTGGACCGGCAGTGGGGAAGAGGAGAAGGGGGACCCAGATGTTGAATGAGTAGCCGAATGTCATCATGGAGCCCTTCAGCACTATTAGTATTGTATATAATACGGGCTTGGATGGGGCATACTAGAATCAGTGCTCGTTCTTCTGAGTCATCTTTGACGATGGTGTTGACTGTCGAGTATAAGATTGGACTCAGGCATCCCGAGAGACCGAAGAGATACCAGGCGACGAATCTAGATTGTTAGAACATAATATCCAAAGGTAGTAGAGAGCTTACTTGAGAGCAGTAGGAATATTCCAAACAATCATGCACAATGTCGAAAACAAACAGCAGATCGACACGATGGTATAGATAATCCACCCTGGATAAATCGCAGCAAGAGTCGATCCCAGCCACGAAGCAACAATCTGAATCGCATAAATAACAGTTGGGAGATTGTTGACCTGCGTCACCGAGTATCCCTCTGCCTTGAGCCACAGACTCATATAACTACTCGGATAGGCGGAGATGATCATGAAGCTGATAAATTAGCATCTCTCTATATCCAAGACAGGAATACTCACGCATAGCAGGTGATGAACACCCAAATATGCCACCTCTTCAACGACCGCTTGAACACATCCAATCCTAGCTTTCCTGGTCGACGGATATTCGCTCGTCTTGCCCTCTCCTTGGCCAATGTGATGTCGTTTTCAGTCAGGTAAAACGGTCTCGGTGAGTCTGGTATTCCAGGAAAGACAACAAACCCAATCAGTGCAACGGGAAGAGTAAAGATGCCGTCAATGATAAACAGCCATCGCCAGCCAGGCATCCCTGACACACCCGATAAATTGGTGTATGCAGCTGCTTGGAGATATCCGCTGACCATCGAGCCGAGTGGATTGCAGACAAACCACATTCCGGCTCGTTTGTAGAGTTCGGGGCCAGAGTACCATGATCCTTTTCTGATTAGCTCTATTCAATTGAGTTATAGGAAGATAAAGCATACCCAAGATAAAGTGGGTTCCCGCAAAAACAGGCGCTTCCAACGCTCCAACCAAGAAGCGAAGGGCGTAGAGTTGACCAACAGTAGCAACCCGACTCTGGGCGAATGTACAAATACCCCAGAGAACTTCAAGGCCGGGAAGAAGCCATCGTGCTCTGGATAGTTAGTTATTGTCGGTATATATAGAAAGAGAACGTACAAACTTGGCCGCGACAGCAAGAGTAGACCAGGAACCTGGAATACCACATATGCGGTGTAGTAGCAGACATTGAAATAGTTGAGCTGGTTTCCATTGAGGTTGAGGTCTTCTTTGAGGCCGCTGACGTAGGCATTGGTGATGTTTGTTTGGTCTGTTTGTTAATTATACAGCTGCATTGGTTGGTGGTGAGCTTACCCAGATACTTGACGAAGACTATTTTGTTAGCTGGAGTATAATAAGCAGAATGAATGACTTACAGCATAGACAAGCAAATATCAAAATAGAAACATCGAGTTTGAACAGAAGTCTGTAATGTTAGCTTCATCGCCATACAATGGCGTGTATACTCACTTTCTCTCCTCACTCGGATAAGACGACGGATACCAATTAAAAATCTCTTTAATCAACCTGCCAAACGTCAATTTCTCCGACTTTGAATTCTCCGACATCCTGGCTGTCAATATCGTCCACACATTCTTCAACCAAAAAGCCTATCTGCACCCCAACTTATATCACAAAATCCAATTTGTGTAATTCCCCCACCGCGTGTCGCCATTCCACCCATCAGCACACCAGATAAAAGCAAAACCAGTTATATGCAGCACAATCGATCTTATCTTCGGCATGTTGGCTGCCGGCACTGGATGGCGTGCTGACATCCCAGCATAACAACAGGTCGACGCTTGATGCCGCCATTGCGTGCTTTGCGTGATAATATCGACATCTGCGGGGTAGTATAGGGGCGGATATATTTATGTTAATGTTTATTCAGGATTCTGGTATTAGGTTGGTATAACCATTATTATTGAGTCAGAAAAGTTAAACATGCCTGGAAAGTTGATTGATCGATATGACCATGTCCCTGTGACAAAGGCGGAGCGTGAGTATCACAATACCATTATATTTATTATAATATACTGATTGACAGTCGACTGGGCTGAATTAATCACCCTCGATCTCAGCCAATACGAACAGCCGGGCGGAAAAGAAGATCTCGTCAAGCAGCTCGACCACGCCGTCCGCCATGTCGGTAAGCATACATCTTCCAACTATAAAACCGCATACTCATATTCAAGGCTTCTTCTACGTCAAAAACTTCAACATCCCCCAAGAAGAAATCGACCGTCAGTTCGCCCTAGGACGCGAATTCTACGCTCTCCCTCTTGAGGAGAAACTCAAGTATCACAATAGTGATGACTTGGTGCGTGGTGAGTATAATGGGTATAGACCGGCTGGACATCGCATGTAAGTCTTCTTTTCTTGGGCAGATAAATTAAGAATTAAACTAATTGAATAGCCTTGGAAACGGCATCAAGGATAACGTGCAGGTGTACAATATCCCCAAATTCGACGGCCATCATCACCGCCAGCAGCCTGCTATTCTCGCGGAGAATATTAAGGAGATTGAGGCTTTTAGTCGGGTACTCCACCTCCACCCATATATTTCCATTTGATGACATACTAAGCTGTATAGAAATGCCACACAGAGGTAGTCGAAAAACTCCTCCGCCTCTTCGCCATCCTCCTCCAACTCCCCGACGAAAACCAGCTCGTCAAAGACCACCAATACGACGTCAAAGGCGAAGACCACCTCCGGTACATGCACTACGCCGCGCGCAGCGTCGAGGAGAATAATAAAGTGGGCGATCTATACAGTCCCGGACACACGGATCTGGGCACGGTGACGCTCCTCTTCAGACAGCCTGTTGCTGCGCTGCAGATCCTCAACTCAGAGGGTCAGTGGAAGTGGGTGAGGCCTCAGGATGGGACGATCACGATTAACACTTGTGATGCGTTGACTGCGCTCACGGGGGGACTGATCAAGTCGAGTGTTCATCGCGTGCATGCACCACCGCCGGATCAGGCGCATGTTGATCGGTTGGGGGTGCTTTACTTTGCTAGGTAGCCTCCCCCCTTCCTACCTTTTCTTATCGTCAATACTAATAAATTGATAGACCCAACAACCACGTCATCCTCGACCCAATCCAAAACAGTCCCGTGCTGAACGAACTAGGACTCACCAAAAACGCCTTTACAGAACTTGGCCAGCACCTCACGACAGAGCAGTGGGTGAAAGTCCGCCAGACGCAGCAGCAGCGTCGTCTAAAAGATACCAAGATCTCGGCGGATGGGAAGTACACGTACCAGCCGAAGGATTTGGAGGTTATTCCGGGTTTGCATGCGAAGATTTATAACTAGTTTGCCTGCTTGAGAATGAGGTTACGAATGGAGATGATTGCTTTTCAGTGTTTCTGCCTGAGGTGTTTGCTTCCCGAAACGGTAAGCCGAGGGATAGGTCACGTGTGGTTCGGATAAGAATCCCGGGAGTGTGTTTTCCCTCGTGGACAGCCAATCAGAGAAGGGGAGATTAAGCTGCACTCCGCAAATTAAGCAGAGGATGATCTTCAAGCCAGGATGGCATGGATCATGGGGCTAGCTACATGGCAATCTGTTCTAGAATAGCTTAATCTGGCGACAAATATAAAGTGGAGAAGAAGTGAACATCGTTAGATATCTTGAAATTCGTGAAAATGCAACATGCTAAACTATATATACATGAAATCTCTAAAAAAACACCGTTCTAGAAAAGCGAACCCTTTACAGCTTGTTCTGCTGCTTGCTGAAGCGCTCGAATGACGAGACAGGAGGCGCCGAGTTGGGGTTGGGGTGGTGCTCCTTGACGGACATTTTGACGTTGTACTCGAGGTCGAGGGTAGCCTTGGGGTCGTTGTGCTTGGGCTTGAAGTCGACAACGAGATCGTCCTTGACGGCGAAGACAGAGTCAATGTCGAGGTGGGGGTCGTCGGAGGGGTAGATCTGGTTGATGACGGTGGCGTAGTCGGGGTGGGTGATCATGAGGTGGATGTGGGCGGGACGCATGGGGGAGCGGTCCATGAGGTTGAGAAGGACACCGGCGGGCCCGTCGGTGGGGAGGGAGTAAGGGGTGGGGTGGTAGCAGTACCAGTAGAACTCGCCCTTCTCGTTGGAGCGGAACTTGCCGCGGAGGTTGTTGTCGGTCTGGGTGGGATCTTGGAAGTCGTACTGGCCGTTGGCGGAGGCCTGCCAGATGTCGAGGACGGCGCCGACGATGGGCTTGCCGGTCTCCATGTCCTTGAGCACACCGTGCATGTAGGTCACCTTGCCGCCCTCCTTGGGGTCCTGGATGATGCTGTCGCCGAGTTCACGGAAGGGAGCGTTGGGCGACCAGAAGGGACCGAGAATGACGTTGGAGGTGGGGGAGACACCCTGCTCGGTGACGATCTTGTTGGCGATCTCATCGACGAGGCTAAAAGATGTTAATTTGGTAAAAGTTTTTTGTGGTGTTTTTTGACTTACGACTCAAGACCGATGACGTCGCAGATACGGTGGCACTCGTTACGGATGGGAGTGCTGATCTTTCCGATCGAGTTGATAAACTCAACACCCATCATCCACTCGGCAGGAGTGAGCTCGACCTCACGAGCAAAGTCATGGATGTGAGTGATCAACGAGCCCAGGATGACGCGAGCGCGCTCGGGGGTGTTGGGGCCCATTGCCTTGACGACATAAGGAGTGAAGTTGGGATCGAATCGGGAATTGGTAGACATGATGTGTGGTTGGTGTGAGAGAGAAAAGATGGTTTTCTGGGTATCTGGGGTATGGAGAGAATGATGGGAGAAAAGGCAGCGAGACAACGGAGGTCTATATAGGCCAACGGCCGTGGCAAGTCTGCATACCGAAGGCAGCGCAACGGCAAATCGTTCGGCTGGTCATAACTGCGGAGAGAACCAGGGAACAGCAGAGATAAAGTGCCAGATGGAGAATGTGTCGTGCATCGGCCAGCTCTGCGGCGCAACAGCCGAAGCGGCGGCAAGTCCGTGGGTTGGCCAGCCGAAGTGGATTACCTCAGCCCAGCCTATCAGACCACGCGTGATGCTTGCAACATCATGGGGAACACGCTGAACGATCAGGGCTACAGCAGCCAATCAGGCAGTCAGGAAAACTAAACCAGCATCGATGGCCTGAGCATCTCGACCGTGTGCTGTGTAGAGCGTGTGGCATACAAGCCGGGGTAAGTGTTTACCCGCGGCTAATCGCTCTGGGAGATTCTCCGGGATTTGACCCCCGCCCGCTACCCGTCGCTGAGTCAGCAGTCAGCCCTTTGGGGGATCATTTGCCTGGATCGACATGCCAGTCATTATCCGGGGCTGAGGCAAAGGCGGGGCGGAATAATACTGAATCGGGGGATGGGAATCATCAATCCACTGGTTGTACAGTAGGACCATAGTTAATCATGAGACATTCAGAATATCCAATTAGCTGTGGATAAACATATACCTTCAGAACATAGCATGAGCCATTTTACGTATCAGACAATTCGCGGAATTTTATCTCTTTGTTTTGTATGGCAACTGGATATATGGGGAAGTGTTCCAGAACACCCCTTTAAAGCTCACCCGACCGAGGGTTCGGAGTGGCTGCCATCAAACTTTGCCCAACAAAGAGGGGGTTATCCGCTGGAGTTTTAGAGGGGTGATGATCATCCAAGGCATTTGCAGCAATGAAAGCTGTGATGAATGAATAAGGCTATCTGTAGTTATATAAATGAATTCAGTCATTCCTATTCTGGATAATAAGCAAGTGATTTATATATATACTCAATGGTGTTATATATAATAATTGTGTTCAAGAATATGTAGTTCATTTAACTGCTGTATGTGATATCATATATATTGAAATACCAATACAAGAAATATATTTACAGAATGCAATGCATACTTACTAGTGACCATGGCCGTGAGAACTGTGTTGGCGCCGATCAAGATGGGCTTTATGCATGGCCTTTTCCTCATCATCTTCCCAAAGGATAGCAATGGCGCCATTTCTCAGGAAGTTTAACATCTAAACCAGTCAGAAAAAGTATCTTCAAAGTAAACAATAACATACCCTCAATAACCAAATTCGCCGGATCAGCAGGATCAACATGAACGCCCCGCTTATACGGCACCGCAGACGAAACATAAACCACATCCCATCGCGTCACGGAAACCGCACTGATGCCCAGTCCTCAATGTAGTGGAACCCATTCGCATCCAGATGACACACGGTATTCAGGGGTCCAAGCCTCCCGACCCACGGAACTCCAGATACTGGTTCTCTAGTAGATTGACACCGCCGACGATGCGGAGGATGCCAAGTGGGTTGGTGGTGCCGCTGTAGGTGTCTAGCGTGTTGCTGTCGGTGGATCCGTACATGAGGCTCACCGTGTAGTATCGTGGTTGGCCGGTCCATGATAATTCTTGGTTGACGGTCTTTATGAGTTTTATACATGGTAATGTAGATTGTGGACTGACTCACTGTCCCAAATTTGGTCTCATGAAGTGATTCTGTCAGTAAGTACGAGAATGGATTTATATCGTTAGTTAGATACACAATAGATACGTACAGCATTCCATGATCATCATTCTACCGATTGTTTCGTTTTGCACTATTCGATATTTCGAGACAAGAAAATCAATGTTTAAGCATCTCTAGTACTTCTCTTCGCGAACCCAGTCTTGTTTATCTATCCAACAGATATGTATTAGGGCTTGGGGCGAGTTATTGAGGTCATACATATCGATGATGATGGGATATTTTAATATCGGGAGTGATATCCTTGATGGCTGTGGCGATGACGACGCAATCTTTTGGTATAGCAGGACTTTTGGTCGAATCTACGAGGAGAAGCATGGACCTATGGATCGCCGTGTGACGAAACGCCTTGGATCAGGAAAGGAAACGTCGCATGACATTGCGGGAAATCCTCTTGCATGATACTATTCACATTCTACCTGGACTGATTCAGAACATAATCAAACGCCTCATCCAGAATCTGCAACCCCTCTTCAATCTCCTTCACGGAAACAGTCACAGGCGGCGCAAGACGAAACACACCTCCCATACCGGGCAGATTGACGATATTACACGAAAGACCTCTCTCCAACGCTCTCTCCGACACAGCCTGTCCCAACTCCGACCCTGGCGCTTTCGTGTCCGCACCCGAGATAATCTCAATCCCCTGTAAGAGTCCCCGACCCCGGACATCGCCAATACACCAGTACTTTTCTTTCAACTTGAGCAGGCCCTCGCGGAGTTGTGCACCGCGCTCAGATGCACGCTGGGTGATGGAGTCTCGCTCGACTATCTCCAAGACTTTATTCCCCACTGCAGCAGTGAGGGGATCGTTGAGGTGTGTCGTCAGCCAGAGGAAACCGGCTTCTTTACAGCCTCGCTCGATTTCAGGTGTCGTGCTGACTGAGGCAAGGGGGAGACCGCATCCCAGCGTTTTGGATAGAGCGAGGATATCAGGGACGATGTCGTCGTGTTGGAAAGCAAACATGTTTCCTGTCCGGCCGACGCCTGTCTGCGCTTCGTCCACGATGAGAAGCATCCCGCGTTTCTTGCATTCGAGGCTGAGACGCTGCAGATAGCCTCGTGGAAGATCGAGGATGCCGCCAGTTGAGAGGATCGGTTCCATGATGAACGCGGCCAGCGAACCGACGCTTTGCCGGTCGATCATCGCCCAGCCGAAATCCATCTCTGTCTCCCAGTCATACGACCCGTCTGCCTTTTTGAACGGCGAGCGATAAGCATACGGAGCAGGGAATGCCAGCTGCCCAGGCATACAAGGACCCCCGTTGGCCCTTCCAGCTGAATACGTCGCCGATCCCGCCCCCTGCGTCAGACCATGATAACTAGCCACAAAGGCCACAATCTCAAACTTGCCCGTGTAGCACTTGGCCATCTTAATCGCCGCCTCAGTCACCTCCGACCCAGTATTCAGGAAAAACGACTTCTCCAACGGTGCCGGTAGAACCCTCGCCAGCCGCTCAGCTAGATCAACCACCGGATGCGAGATCATGTTACTGAGGAGGTGGTCGAGCTCAGCGACGTACTTCTGTACCACTTGCACGATTTCCGGGTGCGAGTGGCCGAGCAGCGAGCTCATCTGGCCGGAGGTGAAGTCGAGGATTTGGCGGTTGTTGGCGTCGTAGAGTCGAGTGCCTTGGGCTTTGGTGATGACGACGGGGGAGAAGGGGACGCCTGTCGACATGAGGTATTTATCTGCCCTGGAGAAGAAGTTGGTTGATGCCATTTTGTTGGTTGGATGAGATGTATTGATGAAGGTGAACAGGATGGGATGTGGATAAGGAGGACAGACGGTGGTTCGGTTCAATTTATGGTATCTTGTGTCAGATGAGTGAATGTTGCCCGCGGAGTTGCCCGCGGGCAGATAACTACGGCCTTGGTATATTAGCATGCAATGTCCATCTCTTACTGTATTGAGATACTCTATCTTCCAAGTCCATCTTATTCTCGACCCAAACTGAGTGATGGTGTTTACCAATTTAATTCAACGTCATGAAAGGTTAAATTGCGCTTAATGTCAAGTATAAAAGCCATCTGATGACAATAATTCACAATATACCAACCATATAAATACTACAGGTCAACTTCTTCCAACCCCGTCATCCCCATAAACAACTCATCCAAAATAGACGGATCGATATCCAAATTCTCCTGAACATCCGGAAACAACTGCGCAGACACATCACCACCCGACTCCACAGCGCCGATCCTCTCTAATAAATCCGCACAATTCACCAAACAATGGTCTGCAAGATCCCAGCCATAGTTATCACGATGCGCACGGAGTGTAGTGATCATGTCATTCGCAATACGCAGAGGCGCATTACGGGTGGTAGTATTCTTCACGCGTAAACCGATACGAAGGAGGAATGTCGTAGCGGATGTGAGGGTGAATGCGTTAACGGGGATCCAGAACCCGTGGAGATCAGACTCGTTGAGTTCCTGGATGAGGTGGACGATCTCTTCGGCTGCGCGTTGTGCGTGTGTGTATGATGCAGCGAGGGTGTCGTCTTCTGTGTGGATGAGGCTTTTTTCAAGATCGAGCTGGATTCTGCGAAGAAGAAGTTTAACTGCAAGATATGAGAGGCGGAAATTGGCTGCACCTGGGGCGTTGAGGTTACTTCCCCAGAGGGCGAGGCGGCGGATGTCGTCGGGGAGAGATTCCTCCCAGTTGTTGAGCCATTGTTCGAGGTCGAGGGCTGAGAGGTTGGGGGATGGGTTGGAGACGGTGTAGATGTGTTCGAGATAGCGGCTGAGGACTTCGGTTATACTGGTGAGAGCGATGAAGATTGAGGATGCTGCGATCTGAGATGGAGGAGCGTCTGGGGGGCAGATGTCGTCTAGAGTTGGGAGTGGCACGTCGTATTGTTTGCGGTGGATTTGGAGAGGAGTCCCATAGGCCAGGCTGCACCTGAAGATATATTAGCAGTGAATATGACAGTCTCACAAGGTTTCTTTTGTACCACCGATCATGCACCACTATCAACCACCAGATGCGTATCCGAAACTTCTTCTCCAGCGGCGATATATTCCAATTCGACGGATCCCGATTCAAACCCAGCGCATTGGACAGAGCCACTGCCAGTCCAACCATTCCGCCATTGCCAAAGATTGAAGTACTCGGTCGGCCGCAGACATTAAGGATGATGGCCATCACCGTCGAAATGCCCGGTGATAAGAACAGCTCCGAATGAAGGGCCTCGTTTGCCTGATTCCAGATGAACCGATTGTCTGGCCTCCGTATATTAGGAATATGATGCCAGTACGTCTGGGCGTTGGCGTATAGATTGCAGAGTAAGGCCGGGGATATCTTCTCTTTCTGGCTGCAGTAGACATGCTGAAACGAGGCTTCGTCGAAGATGGGGAAGCAGACGTTGGCACAGGCGAAGAACCTCTCTCTTAGCATGTATTCCGGCTCAAATATAATGCGACTCACATATCCACCAGCCGCTTCACGTCCGGCTCGATGTATTTCTCAATCAGTTCGCACTTTATCGCCGCGAGAGATTGATTCGCATTGACGCCCAAAGGCCGTCTTAGAACGCTATTAAACAGTACTGGCCGCCCTCGATGCAAGCCGGAGCTCATCCCAACCAGACATCGTCGTCGGGCATCAGGGATGGCAGAAAGATAACTCTCCAGCACGTTATTGTCATCCGCAACCGCCGGACTCACCACATGCGAGCTATTCTCCCCCGACTCGGCCACGATGCCCACCAACGCCTGCTCATTATCCTGATCATCCACTGCCACATCCTCATCCACCCTAGCAATAGCCGACACACCATCTCCCGCCCCCAGACGCGGTAATATCCTAGGACTGCCCCGCTGCGCCAGATGCCGCCTCCCAGCCCTTCCTCGTTTCTCCACCCCCGACACCTTGACCGGATTTGCCAATCGCTGATTCAACCTGTCATCGACATATGGAAAAACGCAGTCAGTCCCATGCGCCTGGCACATGATACATATTCCCGAGGTTTTGGTCTTGCACCGCGACTTGCGCTTCTTGCAGGGCAAACATGCGGGGTACACGTGAGACCGGTATGGTCGGCCCTGGCTGGTAGCATTACGAGATGACTCTGCGTCCATCATGTCGATTGTGCAATTCTTAGATGAGGGGAAATGGCGAGGTTAAACCAGGCCGGAGAAGGCCGCGGAAGGCCGGACAGGACGGTTCCGCGGAATTTCCCGGCGGGATCAGCGGAATGCGGGGCCAATCATTTTGTAGATTTACGATATTGAAACAAGTCAATCAGATAAGATGTTATGTTAGATAGAAGAAAGCAGAGTTTCACATGACTAAGAATGGATTTCGTTTAATCTCTTCTGTGGCTGTAGTTATTGTATCTAGTCTGGCTGTAACATACACTACTTTGACAATGCCTTGCACATAGTATAAAGAGCATGTCTATGTCTGCAATTCCAACGTCAACACCGAGCGTATCCATATCCTGGCTACTCCTGACATTTTTCAAACAACTAGCCTAAACCTCCCGACGCGCCTGCACAGGCAAAGCATGCGGGGGAGCGTCAATCTGCGCAGACACCTTGGTCAAAAAGACATCTGCCGCAGTACTGTTGGTTGCGTAACTATCACGGAAGATGAAGTTCATGGGGAATCCAATATCAAACGAAGATGCAGCATCAATTTGAGCGAGATCTTCACCAGACAACGTCACGCTCAATGCCTCGATGTTTGCCTTGAGATGCTCGACTTTGCGTTGGCCGATGATCGGGAAGACATAGGGGGTTTTGTGCATGACGTATGCCAGGGCCTGTTGAGATGATGGTGAGCTATGTATCTTTCTTCCAGGAGGTCAGATAGACTTACAACTGCATGGAGATTTGTGTTTTTGCTCTTCGCAACTCGCTCCAAAGCCTCTGATACCTTGATATCATGCTCGCTCAGATTGGCAGCCCTTCCACTCCCGGCTTCATCCCCACCACTACGGGCCTCGGCAGACTTGAATTTCCCCTGCCCAAGCGGCGCCCACGGCGCAATAGCCATTCCCTGGTCCCGACACATGGGGAGAATCTCCCGCTCGATATCCCTAAACCCAGCATTCCATTTACCTTGGTACACCGAGAACGGACGCAAGCCGTTCGATCGAGCGTAATCGTTCGCCTTGACGACAATCCAAGCCGGTGTGTCTGAGATGCCCAGGTAGAGCACCTTGCCAGAGACGATGAGATTGTTGAGCCCGTGCATGACTTCCTCAACGGAGGTGGTGAAATCCCACCAGTGCACGTAGAGAAGATCAATGTAGTCTGTCTGCAGCTTTTTCAGGCTCTGCTCGACGGAGACGCGCATGCTTTTGATGGAATTGCCCACGTAATTGGACTGGATGGGCTCGGTGTCGCGATGCGAGGTGCGGAATCCGGTTGTGTATTTTGTTGCGATGCTAGACATGCCATATTAACATAAATCCATGTTCATCGTCATGAGTGAGAGATCACTTACACCATCTGCTCACGGTTCCCGCGCTCTTTCATCCAGTCGCCAATCCACATTTCAGATTCCTCCTGCTGGTAGTTGTTCGCTCTGGATGTTTGTTAACAACCGATCAATAGGTATATTGGCAGCCACATACGTATCTAAAAAGTTGCCGCCTGCGTTGTAGAAAGCATCAAGCAATGCAAACGATTGCTCTTTGCTGCATTCACCCATAAAATCCTTCCTGCATAATGTGAGATGGTTTGATGTCAAGCTGCCAAGGGGTAGTATCATACCAGGTAGTCCCAAAATTCATGGTCCCGAGACACAGCGGCGATACCTTGATACCAGCCGATGGTGCCAGTACTCGGTGGTAGCCAAGTAGGCTGGCTGGCTTGGGGGCAAGGGCGAAGACAGACATTGCGATATGGAAGTTGTTACTTAAATGAAGACTGAGAAGATCGTTGTTGTTTCATGTCAATCGAGAGGAATTGCCAGGTTTAAATACATCAGAATGGGTCAGTGGATCGCATTAAATCAAGAAAAAACAAGCTTGATTATAATTTTGCTTCTCATCATAACTTGGGATCGATGGTGGGGAGTTAAGGTCCTTTCAACGTGGTGATGCATTGTGATGACAAGTTTGTTCTGATTGGTGGCCCAAGTAACTATGATGACAAGAGACCCACCTTGATCCATGGTTAGGAAGCATCATGAATGGGATTGATTAAGAGATTGTTCTTTCTGGTGATCTTTATAAGTACTATTAAACAGATGAACACGCTAATGATGGTCTCTATGATCTCTCTTTCAAAACACATATTCAGTTGGCAGATGACGGAAATAAAGGCTTCTCACCCCGCTGTGCTCTCCAAGCATTCGTAGACCGGAAGAGACCCCAACAGCCCTGTATAACCCATCCCCAAGAGCGAGCAAAACCCTCCGTAACCTCCCACCCGTTCGGATCCCACGGGTCGCTCCAAACAATGATGCCCGAATATTCAGCATTCACGCTTCCTTGCCCTTTCAGGTCGAGACACAACTGAGTCTCATCATACGACTCTCCAGCAAAGATGAGGTTATCTCTCATCTGCGAAATTGGAAGCAGATCTAGCCATGGATGATGAGGTACAGTGCGCTGGACTATAGTGGGCTGTAGCCCAGGAGGGAGAAGCGCGTGACGGTCATACTGCCACGGGCCGGCGGTGTTGAACGGTGAAATGGCATCATCGTGCAGCTCCGCCGATGTCAGGCCTAGCACTCTTGTATTCTCCATCAGAGCCTTGGTGAAATTAAACTGGACTAGATGGAGTAGCAAGTCGGTACGCGGGGAGCCGACAAGGTACTGGTCACGCGCTATTGCTTCTAGATTGTGCATCATGGTCCTGGTCTCCGCTAAGTCGGCGTGCAGGATGTGGATGTGTTCGATTTGCCGGAGCATAAGCATCGTACTATTGCCAGCGCCAGGATGTGGTGTGGGTTCTGTGGAATTGAGCCCTGTGATGGACAACGCCTTGGTAGATCTCGTCTGATTTCCCCGCAACCCTGCATATGGGCAGTTCTCCCCGTCAGTCGTGTATTTGACTAAACTATGCCACATTTCAGACTTACGCCGCGCTCGCTGATTTAGACGATTCTGCAGCCTCCGCCGCACTTGAGGATCTGAAATCCCAGACCAATCCTCATCTGGCCAGGCTCTGATAGGTTCCGAGAATGACTGTAAAGCAATTGCTCCATCGGGCATTTTTGCTGTCTCTATGGGGGAGCTTTTATCAAAGTGGTTACCGGAAATAGTGCATTAGAGGTTGAGGATCCATATTGCAGTCAGCAGAGTGCATCTGCATATATGTATTGCAGCCCAGAGGGGGATTGCCACCCGCCCAGAGTGGGCCTTCGGGGATAACGTTTTTGTGTGGGTCGCACATGCTCAATTGGTCCAGTAAACAAAGAGTTCACAGGCCCACTTGTCATCAGGGTGCATGAAGCTAGTCCGATATAGGCGATGGTCCTCCTGCAAGGTTGCTGACGCGCTAGTGGTGGATCGCCGATAGAAATAGCATTTGATGAATAGCCAAATAGAACATGTTCATACTGAATTCGAGAATTATTTAGATAGAGACATCTACCAAGCAGCCAAGCCTTTTTCCATTGAATAACCTTCAATAAGGATAGGAGTCAAGTGGGCCAGAATAACTGGGGTGTTGAAATTCCTAGATAATGACTATCCAGCCATCCTGTATTTATAGCCGAAGAAGTAACTCCGTGGTCTGTGTAGTAGAAAGGCCAAGTAAATAGCGTCCAGCCGTTGCGTTTCTGGGGTACTCCTGATTTAGATGTAAGATAGGTTTTCGGAAATATACATACAAGCCTGCCTTTTCTAAGCTATAAACAACTTCTATGCTATAAGCCTCTAACCAAATCGTAAGATGAGAATCTCAAAGTTGCTTCTGTTTGCTCTGCCAGCCATGGCATTTTCCACCATGGCCTTTCTCCCAGACATAGTGAGTCGGCAGTCTGCCAGCTCTGACACGACGGAAATTATTCCAGGCTTAAGTGACGGAGCAACAACAGAGGTGGGAAGGCAAGTGAGAGACTGCCTTGGTGGCACGCAGTCCTGTGAAGACAATTCAACCAAGGTGTGTCCCTTCCCAGTCGCTTCAGATCCGTCTTTCTGATGCCAGAAAGAACTACACTGCTCCTGGGCCACTAGGCAGCAGTGAATGCACAAACGACGCATGCTGCGTGTGGGATTATATCCAGCGGGACTTGGTACAGATATTCCAAAGCCTCGATGGAACCTGCTCTCGTCTTGCCCGCTCCTCTGTGCGTCTTGGATTCCACGACGCCGGGACATGGTCAACCACCAGTGGGTATGGTGGAGCAGACGGCAGCTTACTCCTGAGCTCTGATGAGATCAATCGCTTCGAGAACAATGGTCTCCAGCAGGTCCGATCAACCGCCCTTGGCATCCTGGACTCTTATTCGCAATATGAAATTGTAGCCGCAGACCTGGTTCAATTCATGCATAATGTAGCAACGGTGGTCTGTCCGTTAGGACCGAGAATCGTAACGCTGATTGGGCTCAATGATAGCAGTGTTGCGAATCCATCCGGACTAGTCCCAGGAAATAATGCCACAGATGGCGAATACTTGATTGAGCTGTTTCGAAACAAGACCTTGAAACCTCGCGATCTCGTTGCTCTCGTTGGCGCCCATACTGTCGGTCAGCAGTACTTTGTGGATCCTTCTCGTGCTGGACAACCCCTGGATTCTACCCCAGGTGTCTGGGATGTCGACTTTTACCGCGAGGTCACCTCGTCCAATTCTCATCCGTAAGATCATCGAAGCAATCAGTTTGTTTTGATAGCTAACCATGGCTTGGTTTGATCCAGAGGGGGTTTCCGTCTATCAAGTGACGAAGCCCTTGCCAATACAGACGAAACTTCATCCAGCTTCACGGCATTTGGAGTAAGTGACCTTGATGTAATTCATCACAACCCAATGGATACCAACTCACTTCCCTTGCCGACAGGATCGAAACACTGGCCAGACAGTTTGGAATGCCGAATATGCCACTGCCTATGTCCGTCTTAGTCTCCTCGGGGTTGACAACATCAACCATCTTACGCACTGTACAAAGGTTCTTCTGGATGCAGTGACATCATTTTCATCTCCATCAAGCACTCCTACCTCGCCATCTTCTTCGCTGAAGATTCTGCGTCGGATATCATTGACTTCGGTGTTTGCTTGGGTGGCTTTGTTGGCTCCTGTATCTTTATTCTAAGGGGGTTTATATTGGTGAGTGTTTTTGAGAAATGTAAATTCATTCTTCACTTTCAATAGTAAGAGTGGTCTTATATGGGTAAAAGGTTAGTTTTGTATATCTAGCTACCGTAGACTTTCAGAGTAGATATACCACTATCGACATTGGAAGTATGATGTCTTAATTACTATAAAAAGTGGCATTAACCTGTCACCTATTAAGAAATATATGGTCTATTGTTTAATATCCATCTCACGGAATCTTTATATGCAAATTTATTTATTTATTTTCGTAAAGGAAAGACAGTAGCGTAATTAAGGTAATTTGCTATCATGCTGACATACAGGTGCAAATACTGAGCTATATCAATAGTGATCCCATCTCCACCGACTACAGCCTGTTCTTCAATTTTACCGTACAAAGTAAGTCACAGATGCAAGACAAGCACAGCCACAACCGGTATGAACCACCCCCATCAAGGAAAGCGGATGACAATCTTGTGCTCTAAATGGTCGCTGTACCGCCTGTAGTACTCTGGCACTTGCTCAATACCAATGACCGAACTGACCACAAAGCTAGGAGTAGCTCTATCAGCAGCAACCAGATCAACAAGAGCCTGTGCATGTTCAAGCGGCAGAATAATCCCACTTCCCACAGTCAAAGCCTTGCTCCAGAGCTCATAAACAGAAAGCGGGAACTCTGCGGGGATCTGATCGGCATACGGGGCGCCACGAGTGCTGTTCTCTCCACCTGTATACACGCCGGGAATGCCGATGCCGCCTTGGTTCGCGGTGACGGCGAGCAGGTTGCGCGGGATGATGCCATCCTCGCGCTGCCCGGTTGCATTCACGGCCTCGAATCCGACGCAGTCGACGGCTCTTGTCACGCCGTTTGGCTCGCGGGCGAGGATTTGCTGGACGGGGTCTGAGGCGTTGAAGCTGATGGGTACAGCGCCGATACTCGAGGCGAGTGCGAGGCGATCGGGGACTTGGTCAACGGAGTATACGCGCGATGCACCGCGAAGCAGGGCCGAGTAGGCGGCCATGAGGCCGACTGGGCCTGCGCCGAATACGGCTACGGTGTCGCCTGGCTGAAAGCCGGTGTAGGTCAGCGCGTGCCATCCGGTGCTGAAGATATCCGCGATCATCAGGTAGTCGAGTTCTTTGGTGGAGTTTCCGGTCCGGTTGTTAAAGGGAATGGGGATGAGGCTTTCGTCTGCGAAGGGAACACGGGCATATTCCGCTGCGAGTATCGTCAGTCATCAGTGTCATATGCAGGACGGATAAGTGGAGCTCACCCTGAAGACCACCATAGCCAGGTGTACCAGATCCAAAGGAGAGTGGGTGTTGCTGTCCATAATGGCCACTGTGGGCGTTGTCAGGGATGATGACATAGTCGCCGACCTGAAGCGAAGATACAGCGCTGCCAATCTCAGAGACATATCCAACTGCCTCGTGGCCAAGACCCCATGGAACGTCGGCAGCTCCTGTAAAACCATGGTAGAAATGCAGGTCAGAGCCGCAGATGGCTGAGGTGGTGATTCGGACAATGGCGTCTGTCTGGTTGACGATGCTAGGAACAGGCATGTCGATGACGGAGACGTTGTACGGCTGTCCAAACCAGGCCACTGCTCGCATCGTGGCAGCGAGGGTTCTGTTGAGTGCCATGTTGGATTTAATATGAGAGGAAACTGTTGGATGTCAATTCGATACAGACCATATCGTCTCTTTTATATCATACTCTCCTCTTGGCAACTAAATTGACTCGGAGTTAACATCATCAGCCCATCTCCTAACGATCTTGGCATTAAAGACCATTGTTTTCTACAATCAGTTACAGGTTGTAACACAGAGAGAATGATAATCCATGTCCAGCGTTGATCAATGGATGCAGGAGGCAGTTTAATGGCTGCCTGGGCATATCTCGATCATCATTGGATGATAACAACCTTGTTTGTCTATCAGCAAATAGGAACATAGCATGTCGACCCGCCCTTGGCATATAAGCAGATTGCATGGCATATGCATCATCATTCTTGTTGCTGCATACATACATCATTAATGACGAAGCTGCTCTGAATAAGGGGCAAGCAGTTGCAGATCGGATCTGCCTGGTTATCACAAGTAGTGATCGATTGCTTTATCTTTCCGGGGTTTCCCCTGGTGAAACATATATACACTCTTCTATCTTTACTAGGGATCAACTAAGGCCTTGACAAGTACAGCCCACAACGCAATAAAATTCTAAGCCAGAAGTTCAATTCAAGTTAACTATCTGGTTCAAATGGAGAGTAATGAACATATCAATGCCAGTAGATAAGCTCCTTTCCGCGAATCATCTCCCATCCCGCATTCAGAGCATCCACTACCTCAACAGGAAGAGGGCCTCTCTTCATTGCTTGCATATTCTCATCCAGCTGCTGCACACTACTTGATCCAATTACAATCCCATCTCCAAGCTCATCCTTCAACTGTGAGTGGTGCGAGAGCCATCTCAGCGCACACTCCACCTCCGTCAACCCATGCTTCCCTGCAACTGGTCTAAGGATGTCCAAGGCATCAAAGTATACATCGTGATAGTATCTCCGACGTGTAAGCTTTCCTGGTCCTGTTGCAGAATCAAACCTCCCTCCGGTGGTAGCATCGGCTTTGCCACGGTGATACCGATTCGTCAACATGCCCGCTGCCAGCGGGTTGAAGCAGTAAAACGAAATCCCATGGTGTCTCAAACAGCGTAGTAACTCCGGCTCTACCGCGCGGTGAAAGGCGTTGTAGATACCCTGACATATGCTCGGCTTCACCCATCCATTCTGATCACAGATGTCACAGATTGTCGCCACCTCCCAGGACTGGTAGTTGCTGATACCGAGTTTCTCAAAGTATCCTTCTTGGTGGAGTTTGTTCACTTCACGGAAGGTGTCTTCGAATGGGACGGTGCGGTCTGGGCTATGCAGGTACCATGTATGCACTTTGGATACCTTAAGTGCCTCGAGGCTGCACATTAGGCCGGCGCGAAGGTCACTGGGAGTGTGGTGGTATGCAATCTCCGCGAACGCAACGGACGGATTGGCTGCCGATGGAAAGAGCTTGGTGTCGACGTTCATCCCGGTCAGGTCCATCTTGCCGAGGAATTCTTCTGACGATCCGTTGCCGTAGATTCGAGCGGTGTCGATGTCAATATGGCCATAGCTCTTGAAAAGGTCGACCATTTTCTGGGCTTCTTCAACGGTGTGAACTGGGGTCCGGTCGTCGCCTGGTCATGTTAGCTTTAGTTGCTTTCGCATGCAAGTTTGGAATCAGATCACCAGGTTCCCCAATGTTCATAGCTCCAAAGACGGCCTTCATGGTTGAGGTAGGTTGATAGATACTTTGTATGGTTTTAGGATAGGTAGAAAAGGGCAGAACTGGTGTGTATGATTTCAGCAGACAGTGGCCCAGCCTGGTGTTCTTATATGCCCTTTGACTGAGAGGGAATCTGATTATGCGCTAGAGGTGGGTCTTTCAATCCCCACTATCTACGGCGTTATCCATTGAAATAGACATCTTACGCATGCAAGAATGAGGAATTCATTACTGACATTTAGCGTAGGAATGTGATCTTTTCTGAATAAGTCAATTTCTATATACTATCCCCGTGAGGCACCAATAGTTCACTCAGACTCAACAGCCGTACTAAGAGCAATCTCCCTAACCTCCTCCAAATTCTGCTTGACAGTATCAATTTTAGCCACCATCCGCGGGAAACAATCAGTCCCAAGCGGCAATCTCAACAGATGACCCTTGCCCTCCCCAACACCCTGCAACTGGATGACATCCAGAATTCGTTCAACGGCCTTGACAGGATCACCAGGCTGCTTGCCAGCGTATGTATCCCAGATCCCCATAGCAGCAGCTAGAGGCGTGCCTTCGTAATCCTTGGTCATTCCGGCCGCGGGCAGTCTATGCGATCCGATGAAGTTGGTCCGGAATGCGCCGGGCTCGACCAGCAGAACCCGGATGTTGAATGGGCTGAGTTCTGCTGAGAGTGATTCAGAGAGGGCTGGTTGGTGTTAATCACGATGCAAGTGTATGTGATGCGGGATTCGACTCACCCTCCACGGCAAATTTGGACATGGAATATGCGGCAGATGAAGGACCGGCCGTGAATCCGGCAATGCTGCTGATGTTGACGATGGTGCCGCTGCGTTGAGCTCGCATTAAGGGAAGAACGGCTTTGATGACTCTTACCACGCCGTAGATGTTTGTCTGGAACTGGATGTCAAGTTCATCCTCACTATATATTGATCAGTATGCCAACCACCTAGCAGTTGAATTGAATACATACCTGACATCCTCAATACTCCCCAACAGCCCATACCCCGCATTGTTAATAACAACATCAATCTTACCACCATTCTCTCCGATGGCCTGTTCAACCACCTCCTTTGTGCTCTTGCTCGTCACGTCCAACTGGAGCCACTTTCCGCCTAATGCTGCGATTTGGGGATAATCCTGTGCTGCCTTGGTAGGACTGCGGGCTGTTGCGAGAACTTTATGGCCGGCTTTGAGAGCACTTTCTGCCATGAGGGCACCGAAGCCGGAGGATGCGCCGGTGATTAGCCAGAGTTGGGGTGCCATGGTGTTGTTATTGGATTTTGTTCGATTTGTTCAAGAGGAATATAGATGTATTGTAGCTTGAATGCTACATATTTTTTCTGTTTTCTTCTTTATATATGTACGTCTGTCAGTGGTAGGTTCAATGTTCAACATTGATGTTATCCCCATTGCCATCAGCATCAGCATACAAAATCCCATAAATCTAATTGGGCGGCTTATCTCCGATAGAGTGTATGGACCCACCCTTAGCGCGTAATCCATTTCGCCACTGTGGACCCACTCTGGGAATGCCTTCATGGAGATAATCGATGGAGATTCTCCCACCTTTTCTTCAGTGCTGGTCCTGCGGTCGGAAATAAGGAGAACAGAGATTGTTGAATTCCTTTTTAGTAGTCTGTAGATACAGATTACAAATGAACCGGCAGCACGCGTAGCTGATCAAAAGAAGCTCTCCACGTCAGCCGTTTCTCCCCCCGTACATGACGCCAGTAATTCGTCGACCACATAATCTCCGGACACTCCTTCACCAGCCGCCCCCATTTCTGTAGAAACGTTTCGGTGATTTCCCAGTTCATCGGATCCCACGGATCTCCCCAGACAATGATACAGTTATCCTCATCCGGCATCGTCCAGAAGCCCATCAAATCGCGACAGAATTGGCTTTCGTCCATGTAATCTTCGTATTGGATGAGTTTGTCTCGTAGTCGTGCAAAGGGGAAGAAGTCCAGCCATGGGTGATGGGGCTGGCTCCGTTGTAGTGCTGTTGGTTGTAGGCTGGCTGGGATGGACTCTGCTGGTGTGCTCGCGGGTTGAGGGCCGTTGATGCTGAAGCGCGAGAGGGAATCGTCTGTCATTCCTTCCCGCGTGTATCCGAGGGCAGTGATGTTACACACAAAGGCGCGGAACACGTTCAGTTTCACCAGCGTTAAGCGGTGATCCGCACGTGGGTTTCCGCGGTAGCTCTGGTATGCAGCTGCCTCAAAGACAGATAGTAGTCGAGATAGCCCAGGGTGAGTTAACTGACAGTCCCTTGCAGTTGATCTATCATATTGAGATTCTCCTCGTATGAGATCGAGCAGGCTACTAAGATCTGGAACGACATAATCCGTCGAGCTGGCTGGTACAACAGCCGCTGTGGCTTGTTCTCGATACAGCTGTTGAGTCCGGGCGAGCTGCTCCGCTGCCCTTCGATCACGCCTTCTCTGCCCTATATCACCGTAAGCAAAGACCCTAGTATGAATCATGTTACTCACGCCACGCTTGTTGGTTGACTCGATTCTGGTTCCTGCGTCGTTCCTCTCTAGACGGCTCACGGGATTGGCTGGAAATGGCAATCCCACTTGCAATAAGGTCCCCATGCATCTCTGCGCTCGTGGACATTTCTAGATTGTCATCGGATGTGGGTTGGATCACAGTCACTGTGCGTGATTATGGAGATTACGGTGTAATAATAGGCTTTCAGTCTAGACTGTTTTCAGTACACTAGTCCTGAATAGGCAGGTGCCATGTCTAGTGTAGAGGAACAAACAAGTCGTTATATGCTCTCAACTTTTGTCAACGTGCTTATGGATCTCTATATCCCAACCCCGTCAGCATTGAAATGTTCTCTTTTGAATCTTTATCCGTCTTACTTTTTATTTGTTTCACAGTTAACTAGGATATTCCAGGGAACAAACACTGATATATATATATATACACAGGCTAGTAGGGTATCCATAACGCTGCTTTCAGCTACGTGCTGACAGCCAAGTGTGGGCCAATGAACTTTGGGATATCAATGTTATTCTACCTTATTGTTTAATATATCGAGGACCTTAGGTTAAGTTTATTGCCCGAAAACCTCCTGTAGGTCTGAAGATAGTAGACTATTATCATTAAGGGAATATAAAGAAGTAGGATTAGATAACCTAATTCTATGACAAAAGCCTAGTTCTAGAATACGTATTATAGCTTAGGGCCTAAGGATAAAGGAAAGATATGTAAAGAAAAGTGAAAGAGGGAGAAAAGAGAATAAGGCATAGTATAGTAAACTCCTTGACCCAGCTCCACGAGTGGGAAATCTAGATTGCCTGGCAAGTGTCTTTAATCTGATCAAGAAGAACCGAAGCGTCTTTCTCAGCGGCGTCAAAACCCTCTTCGATCAGTGACTGACGAGCCTGATCCCGCGGGGTGAAACAGACGTCGAAATGTGGAACGGGGTTGATGAATGTCGATCCCACACTCTTGTACATCGACTGCGGCTGGATATCACATCCTTCTCTGTCCTTGCCCACGTGAAAAGCCCAAAGAACGCGCGATGTGACGATGAATAGCGAGTCGTTGCCTACCTGTTCACCCGGGCAGGCTCGGTGCCCTAGACCAAAGAAAAAACTAGGCAAGGAGGGATCATCTATCCACCTCTCTGGGCGGAACTCCTCGGGCATCGGGAATGTGGACTCGTCGTGATCTATGGCCCACTGGTTTAACAGAACGGTGGAGCCATTCGGTATGTGATAGCCCATGTATTCGTCGTCCTCTCGCATGACCCGAGGAGTAAACATGGGCATCACCGTGCGCCATCTGACTGCCTCTTTGATGAAGGCGTTAACATAGGGGAGCTGTGGGATATCTTCAAAGGTCGGCAGGCGATCTGTACCAACCACACGGTCCAACTCTGCCTGCGCCTGGGCAACAGCTACAGGATGGAGATAGATGGCCAGGAGTATGGTTCGAAGGGCGTGGTACGGCGTTAATGCGGCCTCACCGAGGGAGCCCATGACATGCGCATGTTCAGTGGCATCCAATTCTTGCGCCGCTTTGTGAGTGGACTGCTGCTTGACCCAGTTCCACGACTTCGCCGACTGGGCCATCCGCAGATATCGTCCGAAGACTCGCGTGCGTCCATTGTACATGTCGTTGCATTCGTCTTGCCACTTGGCAGGAAGACAAGTGAGGAAGGGGAAGAACTCCGCCATGGGTCCGGTCACTGAGAAGGCCGGCTCCACAAGGTGTGCTTTTCGTCTGGAGAGGGCATCCCATTCCTCCAGGACAGACTGGTCCGGCCACATGGGCATCCCATACGCCAGTGTCAGGAACAAACCCGTAACGAATCGATGGAAGCATCGACTGAAGTCGTTGGTGGTGAGGAGGTCGTGTATCACACGCTGGCTCTGGACCTCTTGCAATGGGCGGTACTTGCGGGCAATGGACGGACGTAGAAAGGTCCCTTGCAGTGCGCGAGCCGCACGCCATCGTGGTCCGTACGGCATAAGCCCGGAATGAAGCCCCCGGGTGACCTGATCCAGGCCGATGAGCTTTGGACGTTCGCTATATTTCAGACTGCGTCTGCCGAGGAGTTCGTGGACAACCTGGGCGGATGACAGGATGATGGAAGTTTTGTGTCCATACTTGACAGCTATGACAGGACCATACTGCTGACTCCATTTCTGGTACACCTTCCAGACTTCAGACTTGGGAGCTTGGAGGAGATTCCCGATGATGGGGAGTCCGGGGGGTCCGGGGGGTACAGGCAGCCTGCGACGGTTCCTCGAGATATAGAGATATAGCAAGACCCCCGCAGCAAGAGCCCACAGAAGGCGCAAACTATGAGAGACTGGGTCTGACATTGTATCTTGTTCGGACGGGAGTTTTCACAAAGTCCAACGCACAATCGCAGGATATAAGAGAATGTGAGTGAAATGGCAGAAGATGGTTGAGCCGCAGTTCCTTCTCTTGGACACTGATAGTGACAAGGAGCCTCAGCTCTAAGCACAGCGCCACAACTGGTGGGGGGAATGCGGGCTTGGGCTACAGGCCGTCCTTGCATTGTAGACAGACGGCCTTACAAGGAGCAAAGGGCATATCGATGTTGGCAATGACACCAGCCCCCTCGCGAACGGGATTGGCTCTGAGTTGCGTCTCGAGCATTCCTCACGCGAACAAAGCGCCGAGCAATGTAAGCGGCAGCTACAGTGACACCAAAGATTAGATCTCAGACCCTTTGCATTCCACTGCCGTCATGAGACGAGCTGTTCCGGAATGGAAACCTAGGTCAGCGGCGCGGAGAAAATATCCGAGCTGACAGGGTGAGAAATTAGGATGTAAGAATGATGGACGAATTTGGGAGGCGAGAGGTTTTTCGGTTTTCTCCTTGCATTGATGATGCAGAGGGCAATCCATCAGAATGCAGCTGACCACCTGAGGTCCAGGTCGATGTATCCGCATGGTGCCCGTGGTTGGAATGGTTGATGGTGAAAGAAAAGAGTGCGCTGAGGCTGTCATGCGTTGATATAGAGGCATTTCCCATTTGACAGATTCACTGTAAAGACCATTCATTTCGTTTACTCTGGACAAGGCTTCGACGGCTATCTTTGATACACTCCACGATGCAATCATCCAAGAACGAAGGTCAGCGACACCTGGTCGGCATTGTCGGCATGGCATGTCGCGTCCCAGGCGCTTCCAACCCGAGCGAACTATGGAGCGTCATGGAGGAGAAACGAGACGTTGGGCGCAAGATGCCTTCCAGTCGGTTTAACGTCGATGCGTTTTACCATCCCGATGGTAAGAACAAGGCGACGGTATGTTAGATGATCCGAAGATTACTCTTGAAGAGACGACAGTTGATTGTTTTCATGGACCAATGCCCCGTTTGGGTATTTCTTAGATCAAGATATCGGGCATTTCGATGCAGGCTTTTTCAATATCTCCGGGAAGGAGGCTGAGGCGATGGATCCGCAACAGCGATTGGCTCTGGAGGTGGTCTATGAAGCTCTGGAGAATGGTATGTCATTGTCGTTGTTTGGTCATGTTGAGAAACTCACAGATGCTTTGTTCGATCAGCGGGTATCCCTTATTCCGATATTGCAGGCTCACAGACTTCAGTCTACTGTGGCAGTTTCACCAACGACTATAGCAAACTCATCGATCGGGATATGCTGAACTACCCGACGTACACAGTGACAGGTATGAGCATTCTAAGCACTGAATACGAGTTGGAGATCCGTCTTTAATTCCCGCCCAGGCACCGGGCAGAGCATCATTTCAAACCGTGTTTCTTACTTCTACGACCTCCATGGGGAGAGCATGACGATCGATACCGCGTGCTCCTCATCGCTTATCTGCCTGCATATGGGGGCGCAGTCTTTGAAGAGCAAAAGCTCTAACATGGTACGTCTGAGGATAAAGAAACCCTGGATGAGATAAACCCCGTGCCAACGAGAGGACCATTATTCGTGTTTAGGCGATCATCATCGGTTCCGCCCTCCACTTTGATCCAAATATGTTCAGCACCATGGCGGATTTTGGGATGCTTTCGCCGGATGGCCGCTCGCGCTCATTCGATGCCAACGCAAAAGGCTATGCTCGTGGAGAGGGGGTCTGCGCGGTCATCCTCAAGCGGGTGGGTGACGCGGAGGCAAATCACGATCATATTCGAGCGGTCATTCGGGCGTCTGCAATGAACCATGACGGCGCGAAAAACGGCATCACACTGCCGAATGACGTAGCCCAGGAGACTCTCATACGGCGAACGTATGCGGAGGCAAATATAGCAACGCGGGATACTGCCTACTTCGAAGCACATGGCACGGTAAGCTAAAGGATCGAGATACAGCTTCAAATGCAATGGCTCACGGATATAGGGCACAAAAGCTGGAGATCCCCGTGAGGCACGAGCCATCGGTAGGGTTTTCTGCTCCGATGACCGACCAGAACCACTGTACATTGGCTCCGTGAAGAGCTGCATCGGCCATCTAGAGGGCGCTGCCGGATTGGCGGCTGTGATAAAAGTCGTTCTCAGCATTGAAAAAGGCAAGATTGCGCCAAATATGCACTTCTCAGAGGAGAATCCGGACATCGAGTTTGACAGGTGGCGATTGCGAGTGCCGACAGAGGTCGTCGACTGGCCGCGGTCTTACGCCGTCAAAAGGGCCAGCGTTAATTCCTTTGGATACGGGGGATCGAATTGCCATGTCGTTCTGGAGGCCTACCTCCATCACAGTGCCGATGACGTCCCGTTCCCTACACAAGACGGCCGGTTGTACCTAATCCCAATATCAACCCACTCAGAAACAGCCGGCAGGCGAGACGTCAAGTGGCTTGCAGCCTATTTAGACCAACACCCCCACACCAATCTTTCCGACCTGGCATACACACTCTCCGTCCGTAGGGCAATTCATCCGCTGCGGACATACGTTGTAGCCGGATCTACACAGGACATGAGTTTGCTGCTAATGGAAAAAGGGGAATCACCAGACCCATGGACGAGAGCAGGCAATTGCAAAAAGATTGGATTTGTTTTCACCGGACAAGGAGCCCAGTGGGCACACATGGGAGCGAGGCTGGTTACCTATTCCGCAGTCTTCCGCCAGACACTGGAGCGCTGTGATGCACTCCTAAAAACACTCCCTGACGCCCCAGAATGGTCTATCATGGGTTAGTAAATCCAATGGTATTACCTGCCCTTGAACCTCGTGTGACTGACTCTTATAGATGAGCTGCTCAAAGAGGGAGGGAGTTCGCGGGTCAATGATTCGGAGTTTTCCCAACCACTCTGCACGGCAGTGCAACTCGCTCTGGTCCATCATCTTCGAGAATGGGGGGTCACGCCGTCCGCTACGGTTGGTCACTCATCTGGCGAAATTGCCGCCGCCTACGCAGCAGGTCTCATATCGCTCAGTACTGCAATGGTAACGTCCTTTTTTCGAGGGCGATACACCTCAAGCAAGCGCCCGGAGGCTTCCTTGAACCCCGGCGGCATGCTGGCAGTGGGCATGCCTCTGGCGGAGGCGAAAAGGGCTATAGAGCCATATCAGTCGCGTATATGTGTGGCTGCCATCAACAGTCCTTCCAGCGTCACCCTATCCGGTGATCTCGATGCTATCACCGCACTGAAAAGCCAGCTTGACGAACGGAAAGTCTTCGCTCGGCAGCTGATGGTGGCCCAGGCCTATCACTCCCACCACATGACGCCATTCGCTGAGAAATACCAGCAAAGCATGGAAGCCAGCCAGCTTTTCGAACGGGCTACCCCGTCTGATATCCCGATGTTTTCTAGTGTCACGGCGCGTCGTCTGACAGCGGAAAAGTTGGACGCCAGATACTGGGTGGATAATCTTGTCTCTCCCGTGAGGTTTTCGGATGCCTTGACCGGCACGGTACTCGACGAACTGGATACGCAGCAGATCGACGTTCTCCTTGAAGTAGGACTGCATCCAGCGTTAAAGGGTCCAGTGAAGCAGACTCTGGCAGCTTTGAACACCGATATACCCTATATCGGAACCTTGCAGCGGAATAATGATGACTTCAGTGCCATTATCAACACCGCCGGGCAACTCTTTCTTCTGGGTTATCCTTTAGCATTAGACCATGTGAATATGGATTCGACCAGGTCAAGTCAATCAAAGTGGTTGGGAAATCTACCGACATACGGCTGGAATCATTCCAAGTATTGGGCTCAGTCCAGATTGGCCACGGCTTATCTTCAGCGCAAGTACCGTCACTTTCTACTCGGTGTGCCACAGCCGGACTCCACGCAGCAAACAAATCGATGGAGACATTTCCTCCGGCTTAGTGAAGTGCCTTGGTTAGCAGACCATAGGATTCAAGGATCCACCGTGTTTCCGGCGGCAGGATACGTCAGTCTGGCCGTCGAGGCCGGCTTTCGAGCCTTTGAGGGCGAACAGCGGTCTATCCGTCGAGCTGTGCTACACAACGTGACGATCAAGTCCGCGCTCAAACTCACTGAAAACGAACCCGGAGTTGAAATTGTGTTCGAGCTGCGGTCTATTTCGTCGACTGGGACGAATGCCTCGTGGCAATTCCTGCTATGTTCGTATAATGCGGAGGGACAGTCCCGGGAGCACTGCAACGGCACTATCTCAATCGAACTAGGTAGCCCAATGTCGCTCCGTCAAGGACGACAACACGATCAGCTAGCTCGTCAAATGAAGAATACTGATCGAGTTGTCTCTTTTATGTCGTTGTATGACAAGCTGTCTGGCATTGGGCTGCAATACTCCGGTCAGTTTAGGCTCCCCGATGACCGAATAGAGTCATGTCCTGGATTTGCCACTGCAAGCTTGAGCCGCGGGCAGAGCAGTTCCACTTCCCACGAAGAGGATCAGTGCCTGTTGGATCCAGCATTTCTAGACACAAGCTTCCATCCTATTTTCGCGGCCATTGAAGCCGCAAACGCCCACCCTTTGACCGGAGCCCTTCTTCCCACCTCCTTCCGCACGATGGAGATCTCGGGCCTTGCCTTGGATAATGAGGACAGGCGGTTCCTGGCGGATGCACGAGTTCTCGCGGAAGCAAAGCAAATATCCTCCCGTTCTGTCGAGGCCAACCATGAGATCTGCACGTCGGACGGGGCCACCAGCCTGGTTTCGTTGGATGGCCTCGTGATGACCGCTGTTGGAGAAGCAACCCAGACTGACATCCAGCGCTCTCCGTTTCAACGAATCCACTGGCTGCCGGCATTCAGCTTTTTAGATGATACTGGCAGCCCAGCTGTCGGGACTGCCCACCATATGACTGAGATGCTTAGCTTTTATGCTCACCAATACCCCAACAGCTCCATCCTGCACATCACTTCAGATCTTACCACCACCCGTGATTTGCTTCAAATTCTTGGGGGCCGGACCCCAGAGCGGCGTAGATATAACACTCTAACTGCTTTTGCGGACTCCGAGGATCTGAAAGAAACAGAAGCGGCACGCATATTGCAGAATGATGGCTGGGGCCCGATTTCATGGGACGCTCCTCACAGTCAAACCTATGACTTGGTAGTGATGTCGCATGCAACCTCGCTCGTTCCAGGGAACTTGTTGAAAGATGGTGGATTCATCCTACGACCAGCCCATGTCGATTGGGAGCCGTCGCAGTCGCTGGTAAAACGGTTTTCACACCATGAAATAGAGTGCTGGCAGGAAAGAGGATCGAAGGCGCCCGTCGTCAATTCTCCGGGAGCGATTGGCATTGTCCGCACACACGACCCGGCGGACAGGACCATGGCTATCATATCGATTCTTGAAACCCTCGCGAAGCGGCCTGCGTTACAGACATCCCTAGACGAGATTGCACATGGGACTGTTCAAACACCCGAGGATATTGTGGTGCTCAGCAGTTTGGACGATGATGTTCTCTGCGACATGTCAAACAGCAAGAGAAGTGAGTTTGAGGGAGTCAAGGCAATGGCGACCATGCAGCACAAGCGTATTATTTGGGTTCTCGAGGTAAGGCTCACTCTTCCTCCCATATCAGAGGCGCTTCCTGGCGGACTAAACATCATGATAGGGTGGAACCTATCGACCCACGAACCAAAGGCAAGCCCTTATTAATGGCATGATGAGATGCCTCCGCAGTGAAAATAACCTGTTGCGTATTATTGTCCTCGATGTCTCCCAGGGGTCTGACGCCGAATGCATCGCTGCCTCTGTCCAACGTCTTCTGGCCGACACTGATGTTGGGGAAGATGAAATCGCCGTGCGGGATGGAATTCTGTATATCCCTCGACTTGTAATGGAAGATTCACTCAATCGCAAGCTACACAATGGATATGGCCGTGTGCCCACGATGGAATTCTTTCATCAGTCCCAGCACTTGAAGCTTGACATAGGAGGCACCGGAAGGCTGGACTCTGCGATGTTCGAGACATGCACGCTTGAGCCTCCCTTAGGGGACGATGAACTGGAGATTCAAGTTCATGCTTTCTCCGTGACGCCTCGGTGGTTGCAGACATCCTTGGGCAAGTCCCTCGGCAGCGAAGCCCAACATTCTATCTTGGATGGAGGTGGCACCGTCACCAGCGGGGACTGTGCGGGTATCGTCATACGCAAAGGTCGGAGCATTCGCGACCAGGACTTCGTCGTTGGAGACAGAGTTGTGGTCCTTCGGCCTCCCGGAGGCTCACATCGGAACGTCATCCGGTGTGCTGCTTCCTGTTGCCGTCGCATTTACGGACAGGACTTCAAGACTGCAGCGTCATGGTCATCACTGCTGAGCGCAGTCTGCTACTCCCTAATCCATGTGGCACAGGTCCAGCGCGGGGAGTATATTCTCATTGACGCTGTAGATAGCGGATTTGGGCAGATGGCCACTCAACTGGCTCAGGTGCGTTCTGTTCCCCTGCCAGTTTGTAACGTTCGACTAACTCCCCTCTCAGCACCTCGGCGCCATCGTTCTTGCTGTAACCCGTTCTGTAGAGCAAAAGCGTCAGGTAATGCGCCTTGTGCCGTCCCTGATGGATGATCAGATTCTTGTTTGCGACAGCGATGAGGGGGCATTGTTGGACTATGTGTTGTCAGTCACCAACCACCGAGGCGTCAGCGTCCTGCTCAGCAACCGGACAGGTCATATAGCTCATTTCCAACAGCGATTGCTGATGCCACTGGGTCGCTACATCAACTTTGCCGTACTGGAGCCACTTCGAGGAGATGCCAGAGAAGCGAGGACAGGCACAGACGGCAGCAGTACCGCCCCCCCTGGGATTATGAGCTTCCACCTAGATTTAGACAGTCTCATTCAACACAAGCCTTCGATCGCCGAGGATATTCTCAAGCAAGCCCAGGATTATCTTCAGCGTGGAATCATTCAGTTGCCCGGTAATACTTCGGCTTTTCCAGTCTCCCAGGCTCCAGAGGCATTACACTGGCTGCAATCCGAGCGGACGGCATCACATGTCGTTCTGACCAGTGAAGTCTCCAGCCGGGTCTTGATCAGACCGGTCACATACCGACCCAACCCAAATCTTTTCGACCAACAAAAGAAGTACCTGCTGGTCGGCGCTCTGACTGGCATTGGGGCTGCCCTGGCAGAGTGGATGGCCCGCAACGGAGCGCGCCACCTGGTCTTTCTTTCGCGCTCCGGGGACCGCAAGCCGGGCTCGCAATCTCTGATCCAGTGGCTCAAAGCCCGGGGGGTGCATTGCTCAGTCCATGCTGGCGACGTCTGTGATACTGCGACCGTGGAGAGATGTGTCGCCAGTATCGGCACGGCGCTGGGGGGCGTATTCCATGCCGCCGCGGTGTACCAAAATTCACCCCTTCACCTCATGTCCTTCGACCAGTGGAAGGCGGCACTGGCACCGAAACTAAACGGACTGGAAGCGTTGGACCAGGCGACGGCGCATCGAGACCTGGACTTTTTCATCTGCTTCTCGTCTGTATCGGTGATCATTGGCACCAAAGCCCAGGCAAATTATATCGCAGGGAATGCGGTCATGGACGCACTCATGTACAATCGGCGACAGCGCGGTCTGGCCGGCATGACGATGAATGTAGGCGTCGTCGCCGACCAGGGAGTGGTAGCCCGCGATCCCAAGCTGAGGGCCTTACTGGAGCGTAACGGCTATGGTGTGCTGGATTCCTACGAGCTGTTCTGCCAGGTCGAGGAGGCTGTCCGGAGCGGCAAGCCCCCGTTTCCCCCGACGGAACAGGGACCGGAGACACATCAAATTATCTCTGGTAGTCAGGTCATCAACCCCAGCTGTTTCTGGTATCACCGGCCCTTGTTCCGTGGCTTGGCTGCGCACTATGAGCATGAGAAACACGGCTCGGGATCTTTCGCGGCCTCAGGGTCGGATGAGCTCGACTTGAAAATGCGCATCAATTCGACGCCTGATGCTGCCAGTCGCGTGGATCTTCTGCTATCTGTGTTCATCACCCAGTGGGCCAGGATCTCGGGCATCCCGAGCGACCAGATCGAGCCCAGCAGATCGTTGGCGAGCTATGGGCTTGACTCGCTTGGAGCCACAGACGCGCGTAACTGGTTTCTGAAGACCGTTGGCGTGGATATACCTGTCTTTGAAATATTCGACGGCGCCTCCATACAAACCCTTATTGCGCACGTCGTCGACTGTATCCCGGTGTTATCTCTGGAACAGGAAGACAGGAAGGAAGGTCCAGAGAGGGCCGGGGAGCCAGTATCGCCCTCGTTAACACAGATACCCAGTGATTCCATCAGTCGACAGCATCGGCCGGAGAAGATCCCCATGTCATCGCATCAGCGACGATTCTGGTACCTGCACAACCTGGTGCTCGACAAGGCGCATTTCAACGTGCCGGTCGTCTGCCATCTGAATGGAGTGCCGGGCCACAACACCCTGCGACGGGCACTGGCGGCCTTCCGGCAGCGCAATGAAATCCTGCGGACGGCGTTCGTACAAGGCGACGACTTTCCCGAGCAAGTGCCCCTTGATCTACCAGGCTATGACATCCCATTGATTGGTTTGTCCACCGCTGCAGATCCTCAGCAGGCGCTTGTTGACCGGAAATCCCAGCTGCGGGCCCTTCCGCTCAACATCGAAGAAGGCGAAACCATGCGTCTGGAATTGGTGAAGACCGGTGTCTCCCAGTACTCCCTGCTGGCCAGCATCCACCACATTGTGTGTGATCGCGGCAGTTCATCGAGTCTTCTGACCCAGATCTGCGCATTGTACGATGCCATTGCTGCCGGCCACAGGGAACACTGGACAGTCCCTCCAGTTTCAATACAGTATATCGACTTCACCTTGTGGCAGCAAGACCTACTTCTTGGCCCGGCGATGCAAGAACACTTAGCCTTTTGGCGACAGAAGCTGGCTGATATCCCACCAGTCAGTGCGTTGCTTCCGTTTGCGAAGAATGAGCGTCCAACGCCGCAGATCTTTCGAACCTCAACTCACTACGCTACACTTGATCCGAATTATTTCGCACGCCTGCGGCGGATCTGTGGGTCTGCAGAAGTAACCATCCCCCAGTTCCTTGTTGCTGCATTCCGGGCTATCTTTTACGGGCACACGGGCGAGGAAGACCTCGTCATTCACATGGTGGATGGTCGTCGACCTCATCCAGATGTTGAGCAGAGCTTTGGCAACTTTCTCAACCTGATTCCCCTCCGCTTGCGCTGCGAGTCCAATTCGACTTTCGAGAGTCTTCTCAGTGACGTGAAAAAAACCGTGCTAAAGGCCCTCGCGCACAGCATTGTACCATTCGACCGCATTCTGGAAGAGCTGCGAGTCAAGCCCAGTCGCAGCCATTTCCCGCTGGGCCAAGTTGCGTTCAACTACCAGATCCATGGCCAGATGCTCCATTACCGGACGGCGGATTTTGTCATTGATCAGTATATTACCGAGGACATCGAAACGCCCTGCGAGGTTCAGCTTGAGGCCATTGAAGATGCAAAGGGGGGTCTCGGATTCCGTCTGCAAAGCTCCGAGGGCGTGTACAACAGCTCCGACATGAGTGCCTTCCTGGGGAAATTTGTCACCTCCCTGGAGTGTATAATCAAAGACCACCGCCAGCCAATTGCCGAGATGCCTATTTTTCCAATCAAGGACCAGCATGTCTGCAGTGGCATGTCTCCTGGCAACAGTAATGAAGCGGTACCGTTGCATCACCGGGGTATTTCCCAAGCGATTTCGCACTGGGCATCACAGACCCCCGCCGTCGTCGCGCTAACGGACTCGTCTGGGGCATCGCTGACCTACGCCCAGCTCGTGGAGGGAGCCCAGCGAGTGGCAGCAATGCTCCAAGCAATGGGTTCTCGCCCCGGGGATCATGTTGGCATCTTATCTTCCCCTGGAATCGACATGTTGCTTGGTCTGCTTGGTATCGTCTTCTGCCGTTGCGGATACGTGGCCATGGATCCCCAGGCAGGGGTGGAGCGGCTGATCTACATGGCTAATGATTCGGGCAGTTCCATAATTCTCATTGGAGACGGCTTGTCCCATGATGCAGTGAAAGGTTCATCTCAGCTCGATGGATTCTCCCAGCGCCTGGTGAGTATCAAGGATGCACTCAGAAACCCGACGGAAGCGGCTGTGCCAGTGGCCTCTGCGGATGATCCTCTCTACGTGACTTATACCTCGGTCAGTAACCTCCATTCGAGTTTATATCGCGACTTCAGTTCAGCTAACCCACGTAGGGAAGCACCGGAACCCCGAAGGGGGTGGTCATGAGGCATCGCAATGCCCTACCGATGCTGCAGACCCTGCAGGCCCAGTTTTGCTTCGGTCCCCAGGACCGATTCCTGCTCGCAACCTCCATCTCATTTGACTTGTCTGTCGTCCAGATATTCACTCCTCTCATGGTTGGAGGTCGAGTGTGCATCGCATCTGAGGAGACCCGGCATGACCCCATACGCCTAGGCGATTTCATGCGGTCTGCGCAGGTAACTTTTACCTATTTTACACCGACTCAGTTTGCCATGGTATTGGAAAACGCACCGGACACCCTGAAGGCCTGCCGTCAATGGCGTCACGCATTCTTCTGCGGCGAGGTGCTGCCTGTCCGACTCCTGAACGCGTTTTACGATCTGGGCACTGGAGCGGCTCCATACAATGCATACGGCCCGTGCGAGGCCATGGTTCAGGTCGCCATTCATCACGCCGAGTATTCGTCCCACGGGGCATCGGATGTACCCATTGGGCGTCCTCTTGAGACCGCAGAATGCTTCATTGTGGATGAGACCCTTCAGAACCTGCCGGACGGGGAGATAGGAGAGATATGTATTGGCGGGCCCCAGGTTGGCGACGGGTATCTAAATCAACCCCAAGAGACGGCCAAATCTTTCCTTCCCAGTAAGACGCCGCGCGAGTCGAAGGTCTTCCGGACCGGTGATCTGGGCTACGTGGGCCACGATGGCCTGATGCATTTCGTGGGGCGTGCGGCCGGAGATACCCTTGTCAAGCTTCGAGGCTTCCGGATAGATCTGCAGGATATCCAGCACAACATCCGCGACTGTTGCCCTGAAATCACAGCGGCCTGCGTGGTTGCGCGATCAGTGGGCGATGAGGATTCCACGATGGCGGATCGCCGACAGCTGGTCGCATTTGTCGTGCTATCCATGCCCAGCGATAAACAGGGCATCATCAGCCGGCTTCACCGCGCTCTCCACAAGCGCTTATCCCCCTACATGCTTCCATCGGCATACCAGGTCCTCTCGGCTCTGCCGTTGACCATTAGTGGCAAAACGGACCGACGCAGTCTAATACAGCGACCACTTCAACTGATCCGCCCCATGACTTCGGGGCGCGAGACGAACGGAAAACCAGGTTCGGTGGAATATCCCAGCATCTTGGAGTTTGTTCGGGACCAGTTCTACAGCATCCTCAAGTTAGACCCCGAGCAACCCGTTGGCGCCGACGATAGTTTCGTTGCCATCGGGGGGCAAAGCATGCTCCTGATGACCCTCCAGGGCAAAATCAATCAGCACTTCTCCGTCAAAACACTCTTGGCAGACCTTCTGGCCCTGCCCACGCCGGCCGGTATCGCCCTCACCATCCAGCGGGCGTTGGGGCATGGCGATGAGACTGCTGTGGAAACTCACGAGCCGGCCCATAATAGTGGACCAGTAAAGACGTCGCAGCCCGAGGTGGATTGGGAACAGGAGACTCTCCTGCCGCTGTACAACTGCTATCAGCCTCCCCTGGGCGGTCCATTTCCGCCGACTGACCGGGTGAACGTGTTGGTTGCTGGGGTAAGTAGCTCTTTCTTGCATTGTGGTTCCCGAGCCAAAGGTTGACCCCATCTAGGTGGACACATTCCAGGGCATTCATCTTCTCTGGGAGCTACTCGCCCACTCCACCGTGATCATTCATGTCATCGGCACCACCCATCCCATCAAGCACAGTGACCTTCTCCAGCAGCTTCAGCGGTTCGCCTTGATCCCCCCAGGCAGTCTATACCGCGACATGATTTGGGCCCGAGCTCGGTGCTACCCAGGGGATCTTGCCCGCCCGCATTTCGGCCTCACTGATAGGCAGTTCACCGATCTCGGCGCCAAGGTCCAGATGATATACAGTGTTGGCACACAGGTGTCCCTCGTGCAGGGCTACACGAACCAAAAAGAGATCAATATGAAACCTGTTCTTGACACGATCGAACTGGCAGCCTGCGGCCCCCACGTTTCCCAAATCCACCACCTCTCTACTTACAGCGTGCTCCACCTACAATCTTGGACTCACGCTCAACGTTCGCGCGCCGTCATCACAGCAGCCGAGGAAGCACCTTCCTCGTTCCGGCCTCCCCCTACAAATGACCAGGGATACATCAAAGCCCGTTGGGTCGCGGAGATAATCCTGACCAAGGCCGCAGACAGAGGAATCCCCGTCACGATCTATCGAGCTGCCCCGCCCACCGCGAGCACGCAGACCGGCGCATCACCGCCAGCAAAGGACCCCGTCAGCTTGTTTGCCTTGACGATGCTGAAAACGGGGCTGGTGCCGCGACTCGGGTCCGATCAGCTGCGCATGGTCATCGATCTGGTCCCCGTGGATGTCCTCGCCTCGTGGATGCATTGTCTGTCGATGAGCGCTCCCAGGGAACCATGCCCAGAAATACGAGGGAATAGTCGACTGGCGGTTCGCCACCTTGTCAACCCATCTCCTCTTCCGCTAGAACAGCTCCCCGCAGTGATTAGTGGAATCTGTGAGGAGGTAGACGAGGGCCAACTTGTCGCGCTGGACACATGGATTGCCAGGGTCGGAGACACATTCGTGGGTGCCAACGAACATGATATGTTGCTGTGGACGGCGCTGGTCAGGTTATTCAGGTCGGGTCATGTTATATTTCCGTTGGATCGGGCGCAGACCGAGCAGGCCTTGGACGGTTGTCCTGGGGCATTGGTTTGCCCCCCAGTTGATCGGGCGTACTTGGCTGGGTTGTTGTGAGCCGCGGTGTAGACAGGTCTCTTTCCTCAGACTTTTTCTCATAAAGAATCAAAAATGTACGGAAACATAGTATACTTTCCGGTATGAATAAACAAGTAGCTGATGAGAGTGATGCTCCTGGATTAATCTTTCGAGGGAGACAGCAAGTCCCCGTACATGGAACAAACCCCCTCAGCCTCTATTTTGCCCTTGTACAGTCCAATCCTGTGCGTTTCGAATATATCTGGCTCTGGCGTATGATGCGCGTTCTTTTGATATCGAACTTCACTGGACTGTGTAGAGGAATGGCAAGTCAGAGCAGAATTTGGTCATACGTTTTAAGGGAGCGTATGTTTCTTGTCAAAGCCAAGGTTATGGTACCTGTGGATAGCATCGCTGTCTATACTGCTCGCGTCTCCTGAAGAGACGGGAGCTGTATCATCGAGTCATGGTTATATGCGGACCTGCTTTTTTCGCCCTCTGTTCTTTCTTGGCGATTGGTAAATACGAGAAGAGGGGGAGGGAGAATAAACGGAAGACGAATAGACTAGTGATTTTCCATGTGTGCCTTGGGTAAAAATTCCCAGACATTTGCATTCACTGACTCGCCCACAAAACTGGAGTAACACTGGGATCCAGCCGGTTCAACTTCATGACTGTTACAAGACATGCCCAACCCAGATTAAACCAACAAGCCTAATGCCATGACTGCCATAGGTAGTTCCATCATGCCACCCCCACAAGCAACAGACTAGTAGACGATAAAAAGAACTTTTCCTGTGGCCATTCGACATCGAGCACATCCATGACTCAGACCTATCAGTCATGCATCCTCGCCCATCCTTTATTCCTGAGTAGTATCCTCGTCCTCATCACTTCCTCCCTGAGCCTTCTGGCCCTTGCTCTTCTTGGTCGGAGTCTTGGGCGACTGTCCCTCCGCACCAGACTTTCTTTTCTTGGGCGTTGGAGTGGCGGTCGGGGTCGCTGGGGTGCTACTGTTGCCTCCAGCCTGACCTTTCAATTTGGCCAGCTGAAGTCTCACGGCTTTCGGGGTGCATTCTACTCAAGTCTCATGTTAGTCTTTGGGTGTTTGTTTGGGGAAGACGCGCTCGAATCGCGGGGAGACGTACCAGGTCCCATGAATGCAGCCAGTCCTTTGTAGTCGACGTTCATCTTGGTGTTCTTGCACTGTTCAAGGACGCCTAGGAAGAGCTGGGAGGAAGGTCTTCTTGTTAGTGTCGTCGACTGACGCGGTTCGTGTTGATAAGGGCGCAGCTTACTCTGGTGTTTGCCTCGGAGTTCCACTGCATGGGCATTTTTACGGTCTCTCTGGTTCTTGAGGGCTGGGTATGAAGAGATGATCGTAGATGGGTAGGGCAATTTGGAGAGAGGTGAGGTTTGGAAGACGGACAGAGGAGAAAATAAGAGGTGGGAGAGGGAGGAAGAGAGGGGTGGAAAGTAGGGTTGGGACAGTAAATGAGCAACACCAAGTCTATTTCACGGCAGAACAATCGCTCCTCTTCCTTCTTTTTCTTTCTATTGTTTCCTCCTGTGTGTCACACGTAGCCAGAGCATTCTAAGAAGACCAAGACTCATATAACCATAGTAGCCAGTATATTCAGAGCAGAGAGATCAGAAAGCCTTTCTACATAGCGCTTGTATGGGAGCTATCAAACCTAATGATATCTTCCAGAAGGTCATCATCAGGACTAGACGGCAGTTCCAGATTTTGGTCAGTGAAAACAGCCTGCTCAGACTCTGGCAAAGGCGGACTCTGCGGCAGCTCTTCGACCTCACGGAACACTCTCAATCATCTTCAAGCGGCTTTTAAACTCCAAGATCCGGATTGCAAGCTTTTCCTCATTGAGCTCAGCCTGTGAGGAAGCAAAAACCCGCAAACGTTGTCTCCTGGCAAGACACTCCCATCCTCTTGAAGATGGCCTCACGGTCCCGGGGATTATTTCTGATAGTTGCCTCTGGATGCATCATTTTAAATGGCTCCAGCTTTTCCGAGCAGCGCTCTCCCAAGATTCTACTTGCGTGGATTGTTCTCGGAAAATTTGGGAGCTCGCTTCGGCAGAAGATACGAGAGAATCAGAAGCAATAACAATTTTGTCAGGGTTTTGAGATGGCCCTTGTCCATGAAGGTTGGTTGAATACATGTTCCGGGGAAACGGAGGAAGGTAGGCAGCAAAGTCAGAGAATGTCGGTTCCTGATTTCTGTTATAAAACGATGACGACCTACTGGCAGATGCAGTCATACTTGTGGGTCCAGGCTTTGTTTCACTCTACGGAATCCATGAATTTTATCAAATAAATATGTATTCAACACAGTACGAACAAAACATCTCTTCTTATGATAACTGCACCATGATATTAATCTTCATCTTCTCAAAACCCCTAAAACAGCACAGGACGATCAAGAGGAGAAGCATAATAAGATATAAAACCTCACATCATTTCCCTAAATATAATTAATGACGGCTTCCATACTTATTTCGAGAGTCCATACCTAGCTGTTATTGTAGCATGGAGTGCGACCTTGGGAAGTAAAAATAGAGGCACAGGAGAAAGCACCACCTGCATTACACTTGGTAGGAGTATTTTCATTTCCTTGAAGGATCCGACTAGCACCTGAACAGAGCTTTGTGCAGTCATAGTCATCGCCGGTCTCTGCATTCTATGGGTTGCATCAATTTGAGCCCAAGGTGAACTATTCAGTATTCGACCACTTACCATTCCATAAAGGCAACAGTGCGAGCCATCTGAAAACAGACATTCGCATTGCCTCGAACCAGAGCAAGTAGCAGCCAGGCTAAAGCCGAAGGAGGTAAGAAGAACCAACAGAGTAAGTCCTTTCATCTTTGAGTTGGGACTTGTGTTTCTAGAGGATATAGTGGTGAGTGATTGAGTGTAGAATGGTGATGTGAACACTTTTAGATTCGAATCAGCATCCCAAGGCCCTTCTTATATTTACAAATTTTAGTGTAGAAGCTGGCACTATTAATCTCCAGACAAGTCAGGACTCGGAAAAGGGAGATCCGGGCAATTAGGCTTGCCAAGAGAAGCTTCACCAAACGCCGAAGATAGTCAAATATTGATCTACGGTAGTATTGACTATTAAGCATAATCATGATATCTCCGTGTTATTTTCAATGTTGCATATTGAGGAATCGCCTCATACGATATACTGACTTATCCCATAGACAAGGTGGTAGAAAGCCATTTTTTTGCTGATAGAGTATTCAGTATCCTTGGTAAATGTGAACTCAGGTCGATGGGCGAACGCTGTAGTATTTTTTTTCCCCCGGAAACAGAAAATCTGACTAAAAGGAGACCAGATTGAATTATTAATTCGAGTAATATATTGAGTGGCAGAGTTACTGGGATTATCTTTAATCTAACTAATCATGCACATCTCTATTTAGGGAAATTCTGCAGCCTTGACTCCCTGACCCCTTCCCATCTCATCTTCCCTTTTACCTAAGTATAATAGCTTTTATATCCATAGTTTCTTGCTCTGGAACATATCTAGGAAAATTATGGCAATACTAAGCTGCGCAACCTAGTACTATCTCACAAATTCGCAGAAAGCGTTGAACAGACATCAGGTTTGAAGATAATCTATTATGGTACGGGGAAAAGGATGACAGTGGGACATGTCAGTCACCTGATGTTGATCATTTCCACTTCACGGACATTGTTTTCGCCCTTTACCGGAGTAGTTACTTAGACCCTTGCTCAGCATGTGACCCTGATAAAATCTGGCAGCGGCTTACCCACTTGATCAAACGCTGTTTGCGGATCAGCTTGAGCTTGTTAAATCCTCCGAGAAATAGCCGACATTTAGACTGGACCAATGGGATTAGGAACTTTGGAAGATGATTCATTCAGACCATATTTCTCGCTATTCCGCTGTTTAGCTCGTTTAATATATATTAAAAGGGGCCACTTCTTATCTAAACGAGTCAATTGATTGTTGCAGTATCGGCTGGGGCCGGAATCGGACTGGTCAACTGTCCTGCGAGTGGCATCACTATCTACTGCAGAGCGCCACTTTATGAGAGGTTTGGACTTTGGAAGATCAGCACACCAAGCAATATCACAGTGATCATTTGGTCCATTGCCATCTGTGGCGAACCAAACTCATGTGGAAAGCGATTCCAGAACTGGCGGCCTGGGATACTAGTCTTTTGCCTGTAGTGCAGTGGTATATCGCTAGAATGCTCCCTAGTGGATCTGGCTGTGACAGCACCAAGGTCCTCTCTGGTTACTTACTGCCTAGAAGGTTTAAAGTTATGCTTCCTATAGCTCTTGCAACAAAATGAACTATGTCTTACCTTGGGTCATACCTGTGGATTTATGGCGGCAGCAGACAGGAAGCCCTGTTCTCCACACCCTGTGGTCGTATGGACTAGGAAGGACATAATGGGTGACTGTATAAGATATATCATATGAAACTAGATTACTTTCGAGTTTTGTAAAACCAAATAACTTGAATAGCACCCTAGTCTTATTATGAAATGCCTGTAAATCACAACCATTCTACCTAACCATAAAAAAAAAAAAGAAGAAGAAGAAGAAGAAGAAGAAGAAGAAGCATCCAAAACAGGCACACTTATAACCATTCACTTCTCTAATCTAGACCTTATAGGTCCTACTGATCTAGAGCTTTAAGATTATTAAGTAAAACTAATATTAGTAAAGGTAAGAAGAGTAGTAGTAGGTATCAAAAATAATTCACTCATAGGTGGCTATCTACTATCAAAGATCAAGTTGATAGGTAGTAACAAGGGGGCATCAATGACATTCCGGTTGATTTAATTGATAGTCACGACCTGCATACATTGCATACGAACCACACCCCCCAAAACCCCAAGCCGGGTCAGTTGACTGGGAGGACGCCAGTCATCCATGGATGGGAAAGACACTCTTTAGCTTTGAGCCTCTTATCCACATCTACAAGAATCATTCTATCAATCAGGTCCAGGGCTGGATCTCCGACAGGATCCCAATAGGGTGATGGATAATCGAACCGACCCATTTTTATTTGCTGCGCGAGCGTGTATGGATTCTCGGGCGTATAAAGCTCATCGGAGAACGGCGGAAATCCACATAAGCAAATGTAGAGGACAACTCCTGCAGACCAGATGTCAACAGCAGATCCATATCTTCGGTGGGAAGTCGGCTGAAGGATTTCTGGGGCCACGTCTGAAGGGAGTTTAGCAGTTTGGTTAATGTAAACCTTTCTCATCGACAAAATTACTTACAGCTTGGTGTGCCACAAAGGGTGGCAGTATATCCTGAGGCCCTTGGTTCACTGTTGATCTTTTTAGTCAGGCCAAAGTCTCCAAGTTTTATAGTGAGATTCTGCTTGTCGGATAGTAAAATATTCTCGGGTTTTATATCTCGGTGCACCCATCCTCGATCATGCTAATATTGGACTCGATCAGAATTGTGATCTAGATTAGACTCAACGAGCAACTTACCAGGGACTGAATGGCCGAAAGCAATTGTAGAAATAAGTGTCTTGTTTCCATCTCAGTCAAATGGCCCTTTTCTATTATATAGTGAAAAAGCTCTCCGTCCATTGTGAGCTCCATGACCATATAGATCTTTCCCTCAGTAAACTCAGCAAATGTTTCCATCAATGTCAAAGTGTTTCTTATAGGATTATCTCGTATCTCTTGTAGGATATCGATCTCTTGTCTCAGAGAATGAACTTCGTCAACGGTCCAGTTGGTAGGACCGCGCGTAAAAATCTTGACAGCATACCTTACGTTCGTTACTCTATTGGAACAGACAAACACCTCTGCGAAGTGGCCCTTGCCCAAGGATTTGCCGAGAGAGTACGTTTTAGAGAAGCCTATTTTGTATCCCAGGCTTTGCATTAGTTCAGAAAAGTCATCATTTGAGGTGTCATTTTGCACACGTGTCGAGACTGCTCTGTGAGCAGTCTCTTCGATTTCTGGCAGTCCATCCATTATCCTCGAGCTTTGTCGTGGCAGAGGCCTGTGTGCAATAGCGTCATAATCTGCTGTGAGGCGATTAGCAAGCTGTTGTAAGCCTCTACGGGAAGCTGCAACAGCTGAACGGCGTCCGGCTGGCCCATTGGGAAGGGTCACACCAGAATCAGCAAGATAGATGGCAATAGCCTCTTGACCGGTACGTGCCGCAATGCTCAGGGCAGAATCACCCCACGTCGTTTCAGCCATCAGATCTGCTCCTGCTTCAGCCAGCATTCGAGCGACATCGAAATGACCGCCGGAAACAGCAGACATGAGGGCGGTCCAGTCACTTGGCGCCTTTGTATGTACATCGGCACCACCGTCCAACAGGATTCTTACAATATTTCCCTTTCCATTCTTCGCGGCTTTAAAGAGAGCCGTCTCATCCTTGTAATCTCGCGCATTCACTGCGGCGCCCAGGTCAACAAGGACCCGGACATTCTCTGTCTGGCCCAACGCAGCTGCACGGATGAGCGCGGTCTCGCAATCAGTCCCTTTGCTTTCTATTTCGTGACCATCGAGTACCATCTGTCGGATTGTTCTTGGAAGCTTAAAGGCAGAGGCGAGGACGAAAGCAGGTACACGTCTAGGGAATTCCTGGCTCCAGTTGAGGTAATGAGCCCCAGAAACGCTCCAGACCTGATTAGTAATCTCCACACAAGTTGCATTCGAGGTGAACTTGCGGAAATCTAGCAAAGGTAATTCTTCGTCCAGCTGAGAAGCCTCAGAGCCCCAATACCTGGCCGCATAATCGAGAAAAGGATATTGTTCCAGGCGATCGGACATACTCTTATCGGTTGTGCAAACACCACCTGAGAAGTTGGGGAGTGTCAAGTATTTCAAACTTATTCGCGTCAGACTCAATCTCGCCTTAGCAATATTTTGAACCTGGGTCCTCTCCAAGTACTGGTGAGCCGTATAATGGACAGCACGGGCCGTTTGTGACTCCCCATCGATGAGGATGAGCCCGCCACATACGCTTGTCAAAATTTCCTTATCGGGTAGATCATCTTCTTCAAGGCCTTCGTCTTCTGGAAGCTCTTGAGTGGCGTACATATGTTGTATCTCCAGGATACCAAGTGGCCTTCTGGCACAAATGACCCAGAACAACACAGACTCCGCAAGGCTAATGTCAACTGATGATTGGCTGTATATCCTCTCCAGCGCATTCAGATATGTGGCATCTAAAGTTGGAGGCAGAATCTTTAGAGAACGTCGCACCTCTTTCCGGTTTATCTTTGTGGAGAGAGACTCCACGTGAAGCTTTGCCAATAAGAACCTGTCAACCTTGTCAGAATTGCCTGTCTCGGCAAGGAATGATGGCTCCTTACATCCCCTGAGACTCTCCGATGATGGTCTCAATGATCTCATCTTTCAACCGGGGATCGGCGTGTACGTGCCTCTTGAGCCGGTGCTGCTGCGCTATCTGCTGGTCAAGGTATATTCTTATATCCTCACCTTGAGCTGATATGTCCAACCTTTTGGAACCGCTAAAATAACGCTCAAAGGAAGTTGAGAATCTCGAAGTACATAAGAGCTTGATACTGGGGTCGATCGACCGAAGAATCGAGACGAACTGAATGGCATCTTCGTCGGTTTCGGCACATTCGTCCAGGGCATCAATGATTACGTAGAACCCATTGAACTGCGCTACTGCCTTTCGGAATACATCCGTAACCTGTGCTAGAGTTGGTCGGGTGCCGTATTTCTTGTGCATCTCGTATAGGGATGAAGCCTCTGCCAGCAGGGTGTCACCCGCGGAATCCTGGAGTACCTGTTGAAGCAAGGCTGCCAGCAGAATAGTATGTGTCTGCTCCTTGCGTCGGCCGTAGTCGCAGTAAATATATGTGCATTTCGTGCTAGGGGAAGGAATTTGTCGTTCGAAATGATCAATCACCAAAGACCTGATGCGTATCATTAGTATCATTCGTTGTCTGTTGTTCCAAGACAACGTATACAATATCCCAGTGGATCGTTGGCCAAAGGAATTGAATGAACAGGACACCTACATGAGTCTGGTCTTGCCAGCTCCGGCTGAGAAGCCCAACGGTTAACCAAGATGCAGCATTATGACCATGTATGTAAGTGACTTACGTATTCCCGGACACCAGAGCATCTCAATATCGCCGTTCATCCAGCTACGAAATGTCTGATGCTGGAGGAACCACATGCCTGTTCCAGGCTGGACGCTTTCCAATGTGTCAATTTGCCTTGCACGAAAGGAAATGGGACTGACCCAGTCGATAATTTTCTGTGTCTCTCTCCCTTGCGATCTGGCATCGAGGTTCTCCATCTTCTGGCCCAAGTTGTCGATTTTCAGATTTGATAGCTTCCCCAGTTCTCTGAGACCAGGTTAGCATGACATATGCAATATCGTGTAGTTTAGCACGACAATAAAGGCACGACATACACCAGATCATTCTGCATGACCAAATTAAAGTGACTTTTCAGTCGCTCCAACGAACCAAGCATGTCCACAATCTCCTTCTTGTCAAAAGGCCACGAAAAATGCCGCGACAGCTGACGCAACCTATCTTGTGGCGCAAGCTTCGCAACGATTTCTTCCAGCACTCGCTTAAAAGTATTCACCGGGCCATCAGAGCCAGCAAGTGCCGTGATGGACGTGGCCTTCAATCCCTCGCCCGTGTCATGTGTACTGTCCGAGTCTTCGATCCGGTCTTGGAGCATTTCAAGCAGGCAGACAGTGCCCCGCAGCTCATCGCGAAGTCGCATTCGGTCGGAGGAGCCATGCTTGATATCTTTGATGTACTGGGTTGCTGTGTTTGCCAGTTGCAGTACTGCTATTATACTTGCTGTGACGCTCAAGGGGTCGCTCATTTTCTTTATTTGGGCCAACGCTCACTGCTTATGAGGCAATGTATGGGCAAGTGTGTGCGAAGCACAGCTCAGAGGTGGCTTGAAAACAAGGCTGGCCATTGTGATTCATTCACATTTAGTGCGGGGTGTTGGTCAGAACAAAAGTACTTGTCCAGCTTCAGTCAAGTGTTCACACATACAATTAATCTAATCAATCAAAGAAAATCGATCTAATTAAGTAAAACTTTAAATTAACAACTACCTAAAACCTAAAAATAAATAAATAAATAAAATCGCGGCCATGGGCCGCGTTACTCTATTATAGAACCCTGTGTGCCCATTGCTTCTTTCATCACCAAACAGTAATTAATACTCATCCAAGCTCTCACCACCGCCTAAGCCTGCAGCGCAGCTCCCAGTCCCAGAGCAAACCATTTAACCCTGATCCCCGAGCGAAAATACCACGTCGAGCTTGCCCAATTGCATTGGTGATGATAGCGATCGCCTTGTTTGTTGGATCCTGGAGGACACGGGGGTTACGGGGCCATCCATAGTGGAGGAGACCTATCTAGGTATTACTATTCCGTTCTTCACTCATAGGTACATACTAGTTGTCACAAAAAAGGCACTGCCCTATATATAGTCTGTTGTATTCGGTATTATCTATTCTAGTTGGAGTATACCTGATACCAGCCAACAATCCCACAAGCCCAAGGCTTTGTGCCGGAAATAATGTCAAACGGTGACTCGGCTGTCCATTGTTGCCCTCCGATCTAGACCGTTAGCTGAGGTGTTATTAATTGATCAAAATTGGGTATACCGTATGTCCAATAGATAGGGAGGCAAAGGATAAGACTGAGGCCTGAAGCGAGCGAGAAGCCATTGGATATTGTGTGATTAATTACCTAGTTGGATTTGAAAAATAAAGAAAATTGATAAATATTTGACATTGTCAGCCTTCAGGGTTGATTTACTAGTGCAGAGCGGCCGATATCGTATGATTTAATATAATCATAAAATGCTGTTGGAGGATTTACCTCACATAAGCTTTATTTAAAGCAGGATAGGCGGTTTTAAAATTTCAGCATAGGGATAGAATTGGTTACATAAAATTATGAATTGAAAATATATACGCTCGTTGACAACTCTTTCTTGTCATAATTGTGTCCTCGTCCATTATCATCTAGTGTATTAAACGAGACCTATACAAGTGGGTTAATCAACCATTCAATCTCATGTTCATAGCGTCTTCACTCACCACAGATACCAGTCAAAGCTTTTAAATAACACAATCATTGGGGTTCAGAGCATGATGTTTCATCCTATTTTAGCCATATATTAGTCTTATATAAGTCTGTAATAGCTAGAGATATATACATCAGGGTCTGAATAGCACTGAGGAATGAGAATGTTATATTCCCCCCCTTGCTCTTTACAAATATCATTAAATGAATGTCTGTTGGTTAGGGTTTTATTAGGGTTGTAGCAAGTACCAAGCAGCCCAAATCTAAAGTCAGCACAGCATTAAGCCTGCTTCCTAGCTGGACAAGCCTGGTATGACAATTAGGGGGCTTCCAGGGCACCCAGGGTGCTGGTGAATGTTACACTGAGGATAGAGAGACACATAATTAATGTTTTAGGTGGTTTTATGTTGGTAATGAGTGGATATGAATAGGATGGAGAGGCTTTATTTATAGCTAAGAAGATTAGCTTTATGTATTAGATATATCTCAGCTATATATCAATTAAGAAACTAGTGATATATAGTATGTGATAAAGAACATATAGATCTATGGAATATTAAATCCAGAGATAAGAAGAAGATCTGCTTTTTCTAGGGATTGCCTGTGTAGATATACCAATCAGGTAAGCTTAGGTAATAAACTTCATATAAGTTAATCAATAGTCAATACCTAGTCTAGAGGTTGGCTGTTCAGCTCAGCTATCGGTGTGTATAATCTTGACAGAATGTGTCAATAACCTGCAGATCCCAATACTCTAGGAATAGATCTCCATTGAAATCCCCAAATGATGCATACTCAGCAAAAGCAATCACCCTATTAAGATGATCGATGGGGTTCTGCATCCAGACTTGGAACTGCTGCGCGGATTTGATAATACTTATTGGCTAGTTAATTAGTATCCAGCAGTTTCCCCCTTTCAGAGTTGCCTCTTGTCCATCGTCGTTAGGCCAACTATGCTGAGTATAATTTCGCTCGTTAATGTCAAATTCTTCTCTGCCGACTCCAACCATTCCTGTTGTTCTTCAAACACCGCACATCAGTCTGCACGAACATAAAATTGATTGCGGGTATCGATCAGCCCATTTCTTGGCTTATGCCATGAATACTGTCTGAAAATGCCATAAACCAAAAAAGATAAATAAATAAAAAGACATGTCTCTCTACTCTACAAAAAGCAGAATCAAAAAAGTAGCAAATAAAAAACAAAAAAAGAAAAACATACAACAGCAGGGATTCGCTGGTGGTCACCCACCCAACTACTAACCTGCCGGCGTGTGGCTTAAGTACGGCTGAGCGGACGGGAAGCCCTGTTCTCCACACCCTGTGGTCGTATGTACTTGAAGCTATACAAGAGAGGATTATATAGGATACTATAGGAAAGAAAAGTTTTGATTATATTTAAGTTTTGTAAAACTAAATAACTTGAATAGCAAGATAGATCCCAGTCTTATTACAAATTGCCTATAAACCACAACCATCCTATCTATCTAGAAACAGAAAAGAGAAAAAATAAAAAGTATCCTAAACTATCTTATTCTGTATGACCAGATTAAAGTGACTTGGGGTGACTTGAAAGTAAGGCTGGCTACTGTGATCCACTTACAGTTAGTGCACGGTGTTGGTCAGAATAAAAGTACTTATCCAGCTTCAGTCAAGACTTAACATATATAATTAATCTAACTAATAAAATATAGTTAATCTAAGTTACAGTAAAGCTTGATTATAATAACTACCTAAAACCTTAAAAAAAATCGAAAACCCTAGCCCTAGGCTGTATTACTACTCTATTATAGAACCTTATAGTTATACCTGTAGCTTTACTACTAAATAGTAATTACTGCCCTAATGCTTTTAGTCCTATATAAAAAAGACTAAAAAAAATAACCAAAAAACCTATTCTGAGCAGCAGTAAAATCTAATAACTATGATATTACTTATTACTTAATATTCTACTACCAACAGAATAGGTGGCAGTTGTCTGGGGTGTCTGATGATTCCAGCATAGAGATGGAATCGTTTACATCAAATTTTGTGAATCAACATCCAATAAACGGACTCCTCGTTATTGTTATTGCAGTCTGATAATTTGTAACAAATGACTTCCTGTTACTATGCATGGGTGTTATTAGTTATTGAAGTTGCTATACGAATAACAGGAAGATGGCAGTCCAAATCTATCCTAATACTTATACCAAGTCGACATTTTAAAACCAGCAGCCTATCAATTTTTATTCTCGTTTATAGCCCAGATACATCTCTTCAGATGGAACAACATAACTCTTCATCTGCCTTGTATGGAATTTTTGAAGGCGCACCAACCATGCGTTCAATTATACCAAGGGAAAGAAATGCTCCCAGCTCCGGGTGGCCTGCTTGCAATACATATATATATATCAAAGAACCGAATGAGACGGCAAGCTACGACCACGGAAACCGGATCACCACCTTCGTCTCTAGGTGATCATTGAAACGGCGATAAGCCTCTGGCGCGTCTTCGATACCAACAAAAGAGCTAATTATCGACGCCGGCCGAGCCACTCCACTATCGATAAGCGGCAAGAGAGTAGAAGCATAGTCAGGCGGATAGACAGCACCAACCCTGTACTGCAGACTCTTTGCAAAGAAGGTGCCAATGGGGAAGTCAACGCTATTCGTCACGGCACTGCCTCGAGGAACGCCTGTGCTGTTCTGCACGTCCGCGTAGATACCAACACCGCCGATTCCGCCGTTTCGTGCAGTGAGGCTAATCATTTGGCGGACGACGATGTCGGATTCCATCTGCTGGGATTGATTGACGGCTTCGAATCCAACGCAGTCCACACTGCGATCGACGCCATCGGGTTCAAAGGCAAGAATCTGCTCGACTGGGTCGGATTGCATGAAGTTGATTGGGGTAGCGCCTAGGGAACGGGCTACGTCGAGTCTGTCGGACACGCAGTCGACGACGTACACTCGAGATGCGCCGCGCAGAAAGGCCGAGTAGGCTGATAACAAGCCAACGGGGCCGGCCCCGAACACTGCAACGGTATCCCCTGGTTTAAACCCGGCAAAGTCAAGGGCTGCCCAACCGGTCGCGAAGATATCGGAAACGAAGAGATAGTCGGCATCGCTGTCGGACGGACCAGAAGTGTTGCTCGCAATAGGAATCAGATTTTCCTCGGCGGCAGGGACTCTCACAAACTCGCCTATACTACTTATTAGTTAGGAAAAGATATATCAGAGAAAGCAGACGTACTCTGGCAGCCACCCAGGTCACCGCGATCAGGTCCCATACCAAAGGGGTAGGATGTCGCAGCCTCCGCGACCGTGTGTGGTTCATGAACCGTGTCAGAGATCACTACACGGTCTCCAAGCTGGAGATTCGTGACGGCGTCTCCTAGGTGGGCTATAAAGCCAATGGCCTCGTGGCCCATGGCCCAGGGGACTGTAGCGCTCCCGTAGTGGCCACGGTAGGTATGAAGATCTGTGCCACATATACCGGCCATTGATACCCTGACGATGGCGTCGGTGGGCGATTGAATAGTTGGAATTGGCAAGTCAACCACACTGACATTGAAGGGGGTTCCGGTCCAAACCACACCCCTCATAAGGGCGGATGCCGTTGTAAGGAGGGTCGAATAATTCATTTTCAGGCCGTGATGGCACCCGAAATGGTTGGAAAAGAATAGGGACAATATGTGTAAGGCGAACTTTGGCCGCTGAATGAGTGCTGTACCGGTAGTTTAGCCACCATGAGCATCCGGATATCCGGGAAACTTATACCATGCGTTGGAGGCTGACTGAGCAAGGTTGTATAACGATAAACGCTTGAAAACCCCCCTTTGTAAACATTATGAATGAGACTCATACTAAAGTGCCCCGCATATCTGTATCTCACTTGCCCTTTTGGGCTAGAACCATAATCAATTGCCAATGCCAAATGCATGCCGATCTTTCACAACGTGCAGACAGCCTGATGTGATCAAAATTTGGCTTGGAGATATGCTACTAAAATTTGGCACCTCAGATGCTGACGCCCTAACCTGAAACTTCCAAGTCTCTGGAAAAGTCAATGAGTGGAACTGGGAACTCCAGAATGATTGCACGATTTCGCCGCCGTTCAACTGAGAGCCGAACAAAGCAGATAGTCTCTGAGGAATATAAATACAGGCCTTTTCTCATCATGCCTCATTTAACACTACATGTTGTATACATCGTCCATCATGTCCGAATCTGCCCCCAAATTCGAAGGCTGGATGGGCCTCGACCGCGATTCAGCCAAGGGGAAGATGGTATGGCAGAAGTTCCAGCCCAAAGCCTGGGAAGAGTCTGACCTAGACCTCCGCATCACCCACTGCGGAATCTGTGCGTCTGATCTCTGCGTGTTGCGCAGTGGATGGGTAGGTGATACCCTTTCAGGCAGACTTTTAGTACGATCCCGCTGATTTGAATAGCGTCCCACCCCATACCCCTGCTGCGTTGGCCATGAGATTGTTGGCCTTGTCATCCGAGTAGGAGCACAGGCTGAAGGCTTTGTAATCGGGGACCGGGTCGGTGTTGGCCCGCAGAGCGATTCGTGTCGGGGTCGCATTGATGGAAACTGTATCGAATGCAGTACCGGGAACGAGAAGTACTGCACCAAGTTATGGACGGGGACATACGCTGGACGTTACCTGGACGGCAGCATGTCATATGGCGGGTATGCATTGTTCCACCGCGTACCCTCTCACTTCGTCGTAAAGATCCCAGATGGAATTTCCTCTGCTGCGGCTGCTCCCATGTTATGTGCCGGAGCCACCGTCTACGCACCGCTGAAGCAATACGGCTGCGGACCAAGGAAGAGAGTCGGCATCGTCGGAATTGGGGGACTGGGGCATTTTGGGATCCTGTTTGCAAAAGCCTTGGGTGCAGACTGGGTTTCTGCATTCTCGCGACAACCTTCAAAGCAGGTGGATGCTCTGAAGCTGGGGGCCGATATTTATGTCGCGACAGGGGAGCAGCAGAACTGGTCAGCTCAGCATATGAGAAGTTTGGATCTGATCATCTCGACCGTCTCATCGAACACGCTTCCGATCGACGAGTACATGAAGCTGTTGCGGCCAAACGGGGCTTTTGTGCAAGTGGGAAACCCCGAAGATGGGCCGTTCACCTTTCCAGCCGGAGCGCTAATCGGGATGGGTCTGAGATTTTGTGGCTCAAAAATTAGCAACCCCAGCGAAATGCGCGAAATGCTAGAGCTTGCTGAACGAAAGGGCATTGAGCCGTACGTGGAGGAGAGACCGATGGCCGAGGCCAACCAGGCTATCATCGACATGGACCAGGGAGCGGCTCGATACCGCTACGTGCTGGTGAATTGAATGGTGGCTTTGCAAATCCCCGAAAAGATTGATTGATTTGTTTTTTATCTTTATTCATTTTCTATTTTTTTTTTCTAGTCTTAGGCGGTTAGGTGGTTTGTAGATGTTGATGAAAAGAGAAGTTTCCCCGTAATTGTCTACAACGGAGATCTAATGTCATCATCCTTGTGCAGTTGGGGATAAAATGATTCTCCATTTAGTTTCAAGTAATGCACATATCGTAATAACGACTGCTTATGTGACTAGCCTTTTCTGTCCTAGGATGGAAACCCAGTGGGTACCTTGAAGCTGAAATAAGTAACAGATCTTGCTATCTATACCGTCATCTCCGACGGTCTATGGACTCAACTCTTCTCGATACAAACTGTCTCACTGACACTCGTGTCTAATTCATCTTGAATCGAAAATGCTTCCCACCGTTCAGCTAGGTGCCAATGGGCCTCGAGTGTCCGCACAAGGTGAGATAAGTTCACATGTTTTCTGGACAGCAGCCGATGTTCTTTTAGGTCTTGGTCTCATGGGCCTTTGCATGTTCTACGGATTTCCTCTGGCTAACGAAGATCGACTGCAGTTTCTCGACACTGCACATGCTCGAGGCGTCACTTTCTGGGATGCCGTAGACGTTTACGCTGACAACGAGGACATTCTCGCCACGTACGTACTCGAAGCATTCCAATGATCGGGAAGACCTTTCCGGACGAAGGTCTGGTCAAGCACCTTGGCCTGAGCGAATGTTCCGCTGAAACGCTGCGTCATGCTCATCGTGTCCACCCAATCTCAGCCGTTTAAGTCGAAGTGTCCCCCTTCGCCATTGACGCCTTGCACAATGGGCTCATCGATACGTGCCGCGAACTCGGAGTCACTGTCGTTGCGTACTCCCCTTTCAGTCGCGGATTCTTCACCGGAGATCCGAAGCGCTGAACATTTCGATGCGAATGATCGTCGCCGGATTCTTCCTCGGTTCTCGGCGGAGAACCTTCCCAAGAACCTGGAGATTGTCGACCGCATGGAAGAGCTTGCTTCGAAGAAGAATTGCTCCGTTGGGCAGCTCACATTGGCTTGGCTGCGGTCTATAGGGGAAACGGTCATTCCGATTCCGGGCACAACGAAAAACCGGAATTTGGAAGAGAATGTGGGCAGTCTGGATGTTGGGTTGAGCCCGAAAGATCTTGAAGATATCAACGAGGTGATTCAGGCTGCCGATGTGCAAGGGGATCATCATCCGAGGAGCATGATGCCGTATGTTTATGTCGACACGGTTCCTCTTGAAGAGTAGGCACCGAACTCCTAAGGGCCACTTTAGTCCATCGGAAGCAGAATTAGAGCAGCATCACATGAAATCAAACATGGGTTCATTGCGCATGTTCTGGTCCTGGTCGTCCATGTCCAGCGGACGCAAAGACTGTAACTGTTTCTCGCCCCGGAGAGTACGCCAATAATTAGTCGACCTCAACAGCTCCGGACAATCCTGGATGGCCCATCGATACTTCTGCATAAACCCTTCCGATAACTCCCAATTCTGAAATATCCAGGGTGGTCCCCAAATAGTCAACCCGGCATCCGGCCTATTAGTGTTCCAGAACCCCATTATATCAACGCAAAGCTCATCGTCGTCAAAATCATTGGCCAGAATAAGATGATCACGCATTCTGGGGTGAGGAAAGAAATCCAACCACGGATGATGCGGCACTTGCACTTGAATTGCAGTTGGTTGCAAGTTAGCTGGAAGCGTCGAGACAAGGCTATCTGGCTTCAACATGCAGAAAGGCGAAACGGCATCGGCCCTCATCCAGCCCGCATCCATGCCCAATGCGGCGAGGTTTTCGAAAAAGGCACGATACACGTTCACTTTGACCAGCGTGAGCAGATGATCGGCGACTGGCAATCTACTACGGTAGCTCTGATAGGCGGTCATTTCGAACTGAATTAAGAGATCCCGTGCGCCCTCGGGGGCTATGCTGCAGTTTTGGGTTGCTAGTATCACGGGCGCCCTAGGCAGGACGGGTGTGATATTGCCGCGCCTTGTTGGCTGGTCTCTGTCGTCGACTAGTGAGCCGATCTTTTTCCACCTCGACGGGTTCTTTTTCTGGGGATGTTTGATGAGCTGACGTAGTCCTATCCAGTCCTCAGATGTGAGTAAACGAGCAAGTGCATTGGCGCAAGGGCAGCCTACGGTATGTTCTCTGGTTAATTCGATTTTGTAGCTTGCGTCGCTCGGCGGGTGTGGCTCCTACCGACCAATCATCCCGAGCGGAGTGCTTCATTGAGAGCAGCTCAGCGTATTCCATTTGCAAGATAGTATGGATGATGACATGATAGAAGAATGGGAACCCTGAAGAAGGCGTGGAGAGAGACGGTGGCGACAATCAGCTGACGGTCTAACCTTTCTTGGATATTCCACTCAGACCTACCAAGCAGACGATGCCTTAGGTTGGAAGCTTTTCCATAACGGGCTAGAGGCATAAGCGCTAGTGTTTTACAGTTTATCATGGACAAGAAACGTTTATGAATGGCAACCTAATGATGCTCCTTATCGCTCATTGCAATGGCAAATCTAGAACGGTGGCGTATCCGAGGGCCGTATTTCGACAGCAGGAACGGAGCCGGAAGACAGGCCAGAGACAGAAAGGCCGGCGCACTGCTGGCCCAGTGAATTCCCAATCCTTCATACATATACGTTGTGAAGAGAGGGAATGCCGCCCCGCACAGTGATCGCATTACCGTCGCAGCGGCAAGCGCCGAGGCAGCATAGGTCACGTAGCTATCAACCAGATAATTGACCAGTGCTAATGCGACACAGATATTACCAAACCCAAACAAGGCGGTCCCCACCATACTAACGGCCCAGTGTATTGAGGGATCATTGGTCCATGCGAAAAGAAAGAGACCGATAGGTATCAGAACGGCCCCAACCTTGCCTGAAGGCAGGCGTGCTTCGGGAGGCAGGTGGCCAGTTTCGCTGGTTTTGAACCTCCTTGTGTATTGACGATTGATAAAAACCATGAAGGCTGTTGCGAAAAACATGCCAATTGCAATAGATAGGAAGGCGAGACTACCGATGCCCGGGCTCCATCCACGCACACGCTGGAACACGATTGGTAATGCTGCTAAAAGCAGATAGGTGGTGCCGTAGATGAAAGACATGTAAAGCGCGAGAACGACCACGATGGGCTCTTCGGATAGCAGGCGCAAAGGTCGGGTCGTAGATACTAGAAACCTCTGCGCCAGGGATCCGGGTGGGTTGCGATGATCGACGCTCGTCACATGGAGCCTCCCTGTCTGCATCGAAAGAATGGCGCCTCGCCGCCGGAGAATAACGATACCGAAGGTTTCGGGAATGCAGAGAATCGCGAGTATCAACATAACTCCCGAGTAAATCGCCAGCAGGCCTTCGATCCATCTCCATCCTTGGGTCTCGCCGAGGAATCCGCCCGCAATGGGACCAAGGACAGGCCCGAGAAATGTCGCGCAAGAGTAGAAAACGGCAGCCAGTCCTCTTGTTTCTGCGCTGTAGAGATCGGCAACAACACCTCCAGAGTTGGTGAGAGGTGCACTGCCGAACATGCCAGCCAAAGCTCGGAATATGACCAACGACGCAAAGTTGGTCGAAACAGCGGCCGCAACGTTGAACATGGTGAAAAGGCTGAAGGTAACCAGGAAGATGGTTCTCCTACCAAAAGCCTCACTCAAGGGGGCCCACAGCAAAGGCCCTATCGCGAAGCCCAAGACATACAGCGACAAGCCCAGTGTCGCAACCTCATCAGAGACACCGAAATACTGACAAACAGAGGACAAGTCTCCTGCATAAGCACTGGATGCAAAGGCGACGGAGAGAGTTGACAATCCTGAAAGGGCTATGATGATGATTTTTCTCCGTGTTCCGAAATTGCGGGCATTCAAAGCATCATTTGCAGACCAGGATATGATGTATGGATTATCTCGAGTTCCATTTCCGGGCCACTGGTCGTCGGCGTTTCCAGCGATCGTCCTGGAGTCGCTGGTGCCTAGCAAGAAGAACATCCAGCTACTTTGACACATACCAAGACTCTTGTTTTGTTGCACCATGTTCTGTCAAACACTGACCCCAGTATTCAGCGGAGATCTAGAGACAGTAGTATGGCATAGGGAAAGCTAGTAGATGGGATACCAGTCTACTTAAACTCCTCGTATTGATTCTGATTGGAACCAAGGACATAATCTACGGCCAGCATCGACTGCATCAAACGAGTACATTAAGGGCTAACCATTTTTGGCTAACGCAGTAAGCTCCTACTGTCTGTCAATCACGCAGTTCAATTGCCGTGCACGGAATTAGGAGCTAACAGAGTAAGCAGTCATTGATTTGCTAAACACTCTTTTTCTGGTACCTCGTGGCAACTAAGCCTTGGTTGTACTCCACTGGAGACCGTGATTAGTGGCATCTAGTGGGTCATTCATACTGCTTCTGGTTAGTCCAGTAAGCACCATTCATTCTGGATGGCCTTCCCAAATGTCCGTGGTGTTCAATATAAAAGAATGATTGGGAAACTTCAGCATCACGACCCCTGGTCGATATATCAAAAGTCATAGCATCTTGAGAAATTCACCTTCGCGTCAACTCATCAAACACCAATTGAAAATCAGTGACTCCAGAATGGCTACCTCGACACCAAACCATACCGCAGTGGCTGCTCCAAATACGGGAGTATTGAGTGATTCAACACCTACAGCAGACCGAGAATTCAAGTCTGTCGATACCGACCCGCCAAATGGGGGTATTCGGGCGTGGCTTCAGGTTGTTGGTTCTTTCTTTCTCTTCTTCAATACCTGGTAGGCTCTAGATTCTGCTCAAACCAGTCGGAGCAGTGCTGATGATCCTAGGGGTCTGATCAATTCTTATGGAGTTTTTGAGACATTCTACGAGGAAACTCTGCTCCAAGGGATCGCGCCATCGACAATTTCCTGGGTCGGTTCTTTGCAATCATTCTTGATTATGTTCCTGGGTGCATTGACAGGACCGATATACGATGCCGGCTTTGTGCTGCCATTACTGTATACGGGCTCGTTTCTTGTCGTCTTTGGCCACATGATGCTCATTTTGTGCCGAAGCTTTTGGCAGATTCTCCTGGCACAGGCATTTTGCGTTGGCATCGGAGCCGGTCTCATTTTCGTTCCCAGCATTGCAATTCTTTCGACGTATTTCACGACAAGACTGCCCCTGGTCGTTGGTATAGCCGCTTCAGGCTCCAGCATAGGCGGCGTTGTATACCCCATCTTGATACACAAATTGCTAGGCAGAGTTGGGTTTGCATGGGCCATTCGCGTTTCCGGCTTTGTCGCCCTGTTCGGGCTTCTCATCTCGTGTCTAGTCCTCAGAGTGCGCATTCTCCCTGCTAATCGCCGGAAATTGATTGACTGGGTTGCTTTCTGTGAAGCCCCATACACGCTTTTCAGCATCGGCCTGTTCCTCTGCTTTATGGGTCTTTATACGCCTTTCTATTACATCCAGTCCGTTGCGATCCAGAATAAGATAACATCAGAAACTTTGGCGTTCTATCTGCTACCCATCATCAATGCAGCATCGACGTTCGGACGCCTGGCTCCCGGATACATTTGCTTATGGACTGGGCCATTGAACATTCTTCCTCCGTGCGCCTTTGCCTCGGGCATCCTGGTTCTGTGCATTATGGCCGTCGGGTCACAAGCGCCCTTGTTGGCCGTTTGTGCTGTGTATGGGTTCTTTTCGGGGTCGCTTGTCTCGCTCATGGGCCCTATTCTTGTCATGCTTTCTCCGCATCATGGGGTCACTGGAACAAGGATGGGTATGTGTTTCACTCTATTGGGGGTTGCTTTGTTAATTGGGACGCCAATCGCTGGCTCGGTCTTGGATTCGTACGGTGCCAATATGGTCTGGGTGTATAGTGGTGTCTTGACACTTTCCGGGGGAGTAGTAATAGGGGCTGCTCGGATGAGCCTGGCATCCTGGAAATCATTGCGATAATCTGAGTTGCGATCGTGTCCACTGGACGAGGCAGGGCCCTCATTTGACCTGATTGTTATTTATAAACTGGAGTCTTGTCACGTTTGCTTTAATTTTACTCCTCAAATTCTGGTTTATAATGTGGGAAATATCCCATCGGGTAAGTTATAGTAGCCAATTATTGGATTGTAAAATTGCCAGAGATACATCCCGTCTTTCCCTTCTTATTCGCATACAGGCATTCTATTCTATAAGGAGCTCTGGTTATCTTATTTTACATATATGATATTCGTCACACGATCTACATTAGTATTGTCCAATGTATTCAATGTGTATAATGAGGGAGTTCTTGATTTCAGTATTATGATTATATTTCTTTTAAAGCCACAAATATTATATCATTATGGATAAGTTTATTGTGATGACCTACCGTTGCGTACTTACGTAGCGTACCACGACTGAGCGGACGGGAGGCCCTGTTCTCCACACCCTGTGGTCGTATGTACTACTAGAAACAACGTAAATGAGGACTATATCCATTGTTTTATTGAGATGAATATAATTGAGGTTTTATCAAGCAAAAACAACGTCTGCATAGTGCAGAAGTGAGGCAGCAGGTATCGACAATAATTCACTCGCAGATGGCGATCCGTCTGGAAGCGGTATCCGATCATCGAAGATCAGATCGATAGGTAATATCAAGGGGGCATTCGAGACAGTCTGGTTTATCTTATTGATAGTCACGACCTGCACACACTGCGAACTCTGCCATCTTTCTATTCTGATGGTTTTCTGCTCGACGTCAACAGCAATAAGGAGAACCAGCCTTGCCAAGCCATTGCTGCTGTCAAACCAGATCCCAGCATCAACGCGTAATCGAGAAAGAACCTCACCGATGCCAATCTCTACAACAAAGGAAGGAAATTCATCGCTAGGGCGAGTCAAAAGTGGAATCCAACTGTGGTCTGGTTCCTTGCTGGTACCTGATCCCATTCGCTGTCTACCTGCACCACCCGGCAGAAGCATGGTTTCTGATATCTGCAAGGAATCCAGAATGCGGGTTATCATCGTGCGGAAGGCTGCGGTTGCTGTTTCGTGTCTCCTTTCTGCGAACTTGATGATGGCATTAGTGTGGTTGGGATAATAGTGCACGCGCATGTGCGGCAAATAGTGCTTTTCGCGCTCTCTCTCCAACACCTCGAGATGTTCCTCTGACAGGTTGGTGAGTGCGACATATTGACTACCCCCTTGGTGCACGTGAGACTCATATTTCTCCTCCAGGGAGTCGATGCTCTTCTTAAGTGTTGTAAAGGTAAACTCGTTTTCTGCGGGGACCTGGTAGGCCTTCGGACTGATTGATCCAATAGATACTGATTCCGGGTGGTCTTCCATAGTGGTGAGCTGGGCAGACAGTGACTGAAATCTGTTGTGGACAGGTCAAGATGGATGTCAACGAATGACGTTTACTGGATGGAAACTCTATTCTGCAAGCATCTGGCCTGAGGCATAAATTGGTCATCAATTCTAAGGGATATTAAAATACAGACTAATTATCAGCCCTCTCATCAGCTGTTAAATCACTCTTTGCCCTCTCCATCCGCACAAACAACAGGATTATAGCCAACCCCAACGCTGCCACTCCAAACTGGAACCAAAAGACAGCCTTGTAACTCTGCTGCAGCCCATGCTTTGTCATATGCGACTGTACTATATCTGCCAGTCCCAGCATGAGCGCAATCCCCAGATGAAGGGTGCAGTTGATTAATGCCCCTGCTAGCCCCTGTCTCTTGCTGGGCATGTTCGTCGTGATGAACACGTTGGTTGTGTTGAAGCTGATGTCTATCCCAATCGTCCCGCAGATCATGGCGGGAAAGACGAATGCCCAGTAGTTCCCGCCTGTTGGAACGAGGGCGAAGAATAACGCGGCGCCACAGTATCCAAGGCTAGATATTATCATGAGAACGGTTCCGGGGAGTTGGTGGAGGATGACTCCGCCTACGACAGAGACGATGAGGCCACCAGCTGCCATGGGGACCGTCCAGGCGACGACTTGAAGTGGCGAAGCGCCCATGATGTTTTCCATGCTGCGCAAATTAGCACATGATGCAATAGTATAAGAGGGGCTGACTTACTAAAGAACCGCATAAAACAGGAATATCCCCAAAGTGCCATACAGCAGCAAAAGAGCCATTACTAATGGCTTGATATATTTGACGTGGAACAAGTCACCCGGCAGGAGTGGGTTTTTCGCCACCCAACCCTCCACATAAACCATCACCCCCAAGATGATCATCCCGAGAATGAAGCAGACATAGATATACGGAGTCCGCCATCCCTGCGGCGCAACAGAGCTATCTGCAATTGCAAATATCACCAGCACCAAACCAGGTATCACCAACGCCGCCCCCTTCCAGTCCATCTGGATCCCGAGCTTCCTGGTCTCTGTATAATCACGATGGATCGAGAAGATAGAAGTGGCGAGGGTGATTGCAGAAAAGATCGCACCGAAAAAGAAGTACCATCTCCAGCTGAGATACTGGCTGCTGACACCTGCGAAGAAGATTCCCGCGAAGAATCCTAATGCCGCGCAGGCTCCGTAGATGCTGAAAACGAGGTTCTTCCGTGGCCCTGGTCGGTATGTGCGACCGAGAATCATGATTCCGGATGGAAGTAAAGCTGCAAGAGCAAGGCCCTGTAGGGCTCGGAAGACGACAAGCATCAGCCATGTTTGGGATAGCCCTGAGATAATCGATGTGATCATGAGCCAGGCCACGCCTCCGGTGTATAGAATATATCCACCAAACATGTCGGAAAGACGGCCAAAAATGAGAAGAGTCGATGTCACAGCGAGTGAAAGGGCAGTTGCGGGCCATATTGAGGATGCGCTGGGGATGTGCAGCGATTCTGTCACTGTCGGTATGAGAACGTTGAAGCCGGACACGAAATATTCCTGATAGATGAATTGGAATTAGCTTGCGGATTAGATGGGAAAGGAATGAACTCACTGCCAGGATTTGAGACATCATAATAGAGAAGCAGAACATCACTTCAGTTCGAAGTGAGGTAAAACATGCTGGCCGTTGGCGCCCCAACTGGCCTATGGTTGCTTCGTCTGACTCCATGACGCTGGTTCCAATGCAAAGGAATCTCCGTTGAGTTACTGATGGCCATTCTCTTTGATATATATATATATTAGAAAGACGAACAGATTTATAATAAATCTCCCAGTGAAAATGTTTTATACGCGATGAGCTCTCTCCTCTGGGCTGCCGTTTTGGGAAGTTGGCGGGAGTGGGTCATTTTCTTTTCCAACGCCCAATCATGTCTCTCGCCGCTCTCTTCATTCTTCTAGACTCTCTGCACAAGTAAAAATCACGTGGGCATCAATAATTGTGTATTTCTATGTCTATATACTGCCAGCTAAAGCGTCTTTCTGTGTTTGATGAAATTTATTTCTTGGAGTGATCTATTCTAGATGGTAACTGCGCTGGAATAGAAGGAGATCAATGAAGAAAAGCCGACAACCGCTAAAGCAGACAAGAATAGGCGTAACAGAATTCGGGTTAACGTGACCGGAAAGAATATCATAAAACAAATGAGGAACCGGTGGTCTATTCTCGCGTACTCCTTCGCAACTTGTGGACCCTTATTTTATGTTCCTTCAGGTTGTCTTTCCTGTTGAATGATCTGGTGCATCGATCAACATTGCAGTGATATGATCTCGGAAATATGTGGATGGTTCTGACATGTCGGTCGAGCTCTATGCAGCGTCTGAAGTTGCGTTTATATCTGCAGCCTTCCCACCTGCATTTGTACCCGTCGGGATGTTGTCTATGCGCCATCAGGATTAGCAATTCTCGTTAAATTTTGTACACAAAAGTAGAATATACTCTGGCTGAAGCTGCTCAGCACTTTCCTGTTGTTCAGACTCAATATTGGGATGAGTCACCCCGGCAGAATTGAAAGACGGAGCGACAGTTGACTCCGCTAGGCCTTGTCGATCGTACATGGCATCATACGAGACAGCAGGTAAATTATATCGTGAATCAAAGGAAGTAGCATTGACCATACTCGATGTGTATGAATCTGTTCCGGAAAACATATCGCTCGATTGTGTTCCACCCCACGAGGAGTCCCAGGTAATAGGCTCAAGGTCTAAGGGGACATCGTCAATGTCAGGATAGGCTGTCAATGCCACCGGGCTGAGCGTAAGTCCAGTTTGCATCCAGGTGTCCTCGGTTGGGATGGAGATGGAGTCAACAGGCCCTGCAAAGTTATGACAGGGAGACCCCGCACTGCTGTAACTAGTGCCAGATGATGATTCGGAGCTGGGGGGTCGTGATTCTTGAATAATTGAGGAGCGAGGCATTGTCGAAACGTTCAGGAGTGCTGGAGGTTTGTTTAGTTCGAGTATGAAGCTGGATGGGAAGCAAACAAGTGGGAAACAAAGTCGGACCAGAAGCTTTGGAGACGTTTATAAGATGGAAAATCGATCAATGCGATTGAGAAAGTGCTGATAGCCATGTTTATATAGCCAAGGTCAGTAAAAAGAAAAGAAACAAGTCACAGGAGGAGAATGAGGATTAGGGCAATATCGAGGGGTGTGGCTAGTGACAGCCATCAGTCTTGTTGCGCCACGTATTCATTCCCCATCGGTGGCGCCAAGCCGTAGGGCAACGGTTATCATTGGTGGTTCGGATGAGGCACCAGCCACAGATACCCTTACCGCCTTCCTACCCCGCTGAGCGGCATGATCTGTCTCTCTCTTGGCCAATTAACTTTGCCCATTGACAGTACTCTGATCTTCCCTACAGAAAAACCCCTTCAGCTTTCAGAGAAACCCCTGGAAGATTTTTTTGTTCTATGCATGCCTAAGCCGGCGCTATCTCGAGATCAGCGGGCGAGAATTCCATTTCCGACCAGTAACTAACCTGAGTGAAATGCAATATGACGACCTCAGACAGAGATGCAGCTCCATCGCTTGGCCTAATCTTGAATTGGAATTTATCATATGCACTGGGACTGAATATCATCTCGTCCTTCGTAAAATATCACGTTCTAGAATGCTTCAAGTGGTTTATTTTCTCTGGTCACCTTTGTAGTTTGTGATGCTATAAATAGGATATACGACAGCCTTGTTGAGGGGAGTTTTCGCGACTGGGCTAGGCACCAATGAAGTTATCCAGAATATTCGTCGGATATAAATTCTACATTCAGATCAAGAAAGCCACGCGGATAAAATTGGCCTATATATAGCCTGTTGTAGATCAAAACAGAACGACATATATTCCTCATGGCATTAATATCTCCCCGACGATCCAAAAACATCCATCATCCTCTCGATCGATTTCGCATACACCTCCACCCCCTGCATCTGAAGCATCGTCAACTCCAACGAGCCAGCATTCTGAGTGACGAAACTCGTATATTCATCCCGAACAGTTCGATTTAAATTGATCTTTCGCACGCCACAGGAAATAGCCTTGAGGAAGAGTTCGTCGGATACGGGGTGTGTACCGTGGAGGACCAGCGGTGTGTTTGATACTGACTTGCCGATATTTTCGAGACTGAGTCAATTAGCAAAGGAAATCAAAAGAGAAATGCTTTGTAAACTCACCGTGGTAGATCCCAGAACTTCTCAGCACCACCAGCCGGATAAGGGCCGTGGATATTACCAAAAGATGGAGCCAGAAAGTGGACGCCAGTACGCTGAACAAACGCTTGAGCTTCGCCTGGTTTCGTTAGGATAGTTTCCATATCGACAGTGGGCAATCCATCCTCTCCACCCTCGATACGACCCATCTCAGCTTCGATGGTGATATTCAACGGACGTGCCTGTTCGACCACTTCCTGGCAGTACCGGATATTATCCTCTTCATCCAGAGTGGACGCATCGATCATGATAGAGTCAAATGGAAGGGCGAGGGCCTCTTTAACATCTTCAGGCTGGATACAGTGATCTAAATGTACTGCGATGGGTACACTCGCTGCATGTGCTGCATTCACCACATAGCGGATAAATTCAGGCCCTTGGAAGTGCATGGTCCACGGGAAGAGTTGGATGATGGCGGCAGAGCGCTTTCTCTCTGCTGCTCGGATGACAGCCATGACTCCATCAGTGTTATAACTGAGAAGTTAGCATCCATATTGCATGGCTCGGTCAAAGAACATACCAGTTGTAGGCGCCCACGGCATAGTTCTCTTGGGTGGCATGGTGAAGGATCCGCCACGTACGGTTGGTTGTAGGATATGCCATGGTGGATGAGATATATATCGAAACAGAGGAGGGGTTGCTGCAGTGGTCTCTGTGGGTTACTTTGTTGTCTTTTATGCTTTTATATATGCTTCTACCGATGTCGGACTCGGTCCGTCACCGATCTGATCACTTGCGGGATAAATTGTGACACTGCAAATTATATTCCATTAGAATAAAACGAGAATTGGTATATACAATGCATTTGATATGATGGTGAATTCATCAATGTGGTCTCATGTTTGTTGTATTCTTGTTATTGTGATGACTACCGTCGAATCGATATATAACGGCATTTGTTTAAGAGCTTCAATTTTTCCACAACGATAAATCTACGTCAAAAAAATGCATTCTGTCATTTCATACAAATTGAAAGTAGGTAACTCCCACGTGTGATATTTTTCAAACAAAATTGAAATAATCTCCATATAAATCTCGTTATGAACATCATGCCTCGGGATCTTTCAGTTTTGCCTCTACAAAGTCAAAGGATACTCGGATAGAGACAATCCAGGAATACCATATTCCTTCGCAACGTCCTCAAACATCTTCTTTTCAGCATCCGCATAAGGAATTCCCTCCTTTTGACGCTGAATACCTAATCGATACTCTGGCTCACCAGGGAAGAGAACCTTCGAGAAGCCTGGGGCAGGAGTAACGCCATGAACACGCTGAACAAGAGTATCCATACGAGCCCTGAAGTCATCGGTAGATACAAACACATCCGGCTTGATGACGATAAAAGAATGCCCGACATTCTGTGGCTTGGTGTCCTTGTACTGGTCTCCGACTTCACCACCAAATGCTGCCCCGGTCAACACGCCAGACATAACGTCCATCAGAATAGCAATTCCTGAGCCCTTGGGACCACCGATTGGTGCCATGCTGCCATTTAAGGCGACGTTGGCGTCTGTCGTGGGATTTCCATCTGCATCCAATGCCCAGCCTTCTGGAATGGACTCGCCTCGACGAGCAGCGCGACGGATCTTGCCCTTGGCGACGACTGACGGGGCCATGTCGAGGATATAAGGGACTTCGGTGTTGGAGGGAGCACCAGCCGCAAATGGGGAAATTCCCAACAGAGTCTCCTTTCCACCAAAAGGAGGCATTTGTTTGGCTGAGTTCGTGAAAACTAGCGAGATCATGTTGGATTCCAGAGCCTGTAGGACGTAGGTGGCAGCCATGCCAAAATGGTTGGAGTGGTTGACTGTCACCATCCCGATGCCGTAGATTTCGGCGCGTTTAATGGCTTCTTTCATGCCTCTTGTTGCGACAATGAAGCCAAATCCATTGTCGCCGTCGAGATGGGCTACTACCGGTGTTTTTTCAGTGATGGTGATGCCAGGACGAGCCTTGACTCGACCGTTGCGCACCCGGTCGAGATATTGAGGGAGACGAGCCATCCCGTGAGTGTCCTGATTATCAGCATATGTATAAATTGATATCAATAAGGTGACTTACTACTCCCCGAACATCAGCAAGGACCAAACAGTCAGCCATGGATCTAGCATCTTCCTCGGTGAGCCCCGCCTGTACGAGCAGCTTGGTGGCGAATTCGCCTGTTTGCTTGGGGTTTGCGTAGTATCGCTATTCTGTTAGTAAACCAGATATACAAATTCAGTAAAGGACCCACTTACAGTAGAAGCCATTTCGATCGATGTATTTTGTTAAAATTGACGTATTTCTTGCAGCGACCGAAGAACCTGATATAGACTCACTCACGACGGCGTCGGCCCGCGCCCGATGCCCCATCGGAACTTCCGATCGCAAGTCAGCCGAAATCAACAAATTAATAACGTCACTTTCTTCACTCCTTCCTTTCTCCATCAATCATCCAAATCATCATGTTTGCGAGGAAAATATCCCATATTCCTTTCGGTTTAGGAAAGCGATGGAGCAGCAGTCAGCCCATCGTGGCTGTCTTGTTCCAAGCAATTGATCCGCCCGTCATCAATGGAGTACGCAAACCGCGGAAACCAGGGGGTAAGATCAGGGAAACCACTCGACAACATGCTGTACTAACATCTCCTAGGTTATCAAGACTCAGGCGCGGATATCGCCTACACTTTACAAAATAAAAGCATCGAAGTCGTCACCCCCAAAACTGCCCCTTCAGCATCCAACCATGAAGGATGGTGCTTCCCCGACTCCGAAGAGGGCATTTATTCCGCCGTAAAGCAAGGCGCCACGCATCTCTGGGCGAACACCATCCTATTCACCTCGCATCCCCTTCAAACAGCACCAAGCTTGGACAGCTACGCCTCGACGCTTCGCGTAGTCGGCCAACCACCGAGTCTAGTCGAGAACTTTGACGATAAGATGTATCTCAACGACCAGCTCCGCGCTCGGGGAGGTTTCACCCTACCACAGTCTTGGACGGTGAAAGCCGATAACCTCGATGTGCTGGAATCAATCACCACCTTCCCCGTGGTTGGGAAACCGGTTCGCGGTCGTGGTAGTCACGGCGTTAGAGTCTGTCACAGTCTGCGTGAGCTGAAAGATCACGTTACAAGCCTACTTGATGAATCGCCGCTCGTTATGATCGAGGAGTTTCTAGCTGGCGAGGAGGCCACGATTACCGTCATGCCTCCTTCGCCTGAACGTCCCGACTATTGGAGTCTTCCTCCGGTGACGAGGTTCAACCATGCAGATGGCATTGCGCCGTATAACGGGGCCGTTGCGGTGACGGCTAACTCGCGGGTTATCACAAACGATGAAATGAAAGACCCTGCCTATGGCGAAGTAATGCGGCAATGTGAGGGTGTCGCCAGACTCATCATGGCTACTGCTCCTATCCGGATCGACGTGCGACGATTCAGGCCTGAATCTGAGTTTGCGCTTTTTGATATTAATATGAAGCCAGTATGTTCATGTTGGTCTTTTTGAATGAAGTTGCATTTGCTAATATAGATTAGAATATTACCGGTCCTGGTCGATCTGGTCGGGAGGATCAGGCTAGTCTTACTGCTATGGGTGCTGCTGCTATAGGATGGGACTATCCGACGTTGTTGCAGAAGATATTGTATAGTGCGTCGACGTTGGAGGCATTCCGCAAATACCAGAGTCCTTTCTAGATTGTATAACATGAATCCATTCTATCTGTTTGGTTTATTTTGTCCATAGTAAAGTAGGACGTACCGGAAGAATGTATTTGGAGGGCCTGTATATACATTTGCCATTCGTGTTACCCTTAGATGCCATCTATACAGAAAAAATCAAGAACGAAATGAATCTTTTTTTTTATTTCTATGCTCTATTTCAACGACCCCGGAACTCCTTGAAGACATCCTGAACACTCCGACCAGTTTTGATACCTTCAGCACATTTGGCATCGGCCGCGGCAATTCCCGGAATGACATCAAGGACCTGCTCCGCCAGGTCCTGAGGTAGAACAACAACACCATTCAGATCTGCAATGATATAATCGCCTGGATGAACCCAGGCATCCTGGATGTCAGAGTTAAGACGGAGAGGGACATTTATCTCAGAGGGGCGACAGGCTGCACCGCCCGCCGTTGTCCCGACTGATCGAGCGAAGAGCTATAATTATCAGTCAGGGTCTAGAAAATGAAAGGAAGAACAGACCGGAAAGTTGAGAGCACGGTGCTCGCCCAAATCTCGGACACGGCCATCAATCACGACGCCAGCTGCGTGGAGAGCTTGTGCACGGAGTGTCATAAGTCCCCCATACACAGCATTGACGTGTGGCAGAGGCTGTGATATGAAAACAACGCTGTTTTCAGGAACAGTGTCGATCTATTTTATCAACTTCTATCCAATATTGAGAGTCACAATCGACATACGTAGTTGGTAGATAGCTTAGGCGCTGTCTCATCAGACTTGGGGACAAACTTGACCGTATAGGCCTGGCCGATGATCTTGGTTTCCCCTGCCTGAAACTGTGGCGAGTACATGGTCAACCCTTCAAGGAATCCGCCATGCGGGTAGTTGAACTTCGAGAGACCATCCGCAACCTTGGCAGTCAGTATACTCTATCAAAATAGGAAAGATTCCGACTTACATCGCAGGCTCCCCACTCCTGGAGACGTTCGATAATAATTTTCGGGTCTGCTGGCATTATGATGATAGTCAAATGGTTGATGGAAGCGAAATGGTGCGTTGACAGTTGTTTAATATCGCTCGTGTGGATTCTTGGATCATCGGCTCGGTGCCGCGCCGTTCGCGTTGGTAATTGATCGGACCGATCCGATGACATGAATAAGCCGAGGTGCATATCGGATTCAATATAGAAACAGAAGAAGGTACTGCGTGAAGGTTTAGAATGACAGAATATTTACAATGGCCGGAAATGTCAAACCAGTTCCCTCTGGGGCTTGGGATACACACCATCATATTTTCGAGCCCGACCGTTTTCCCTTCGCAGAAGGTCGCCATTTTACGCCGGCACGCGCTTCTTTAGAACAGCTACAGAAGTTTGAAGAATCAATTGGTGTTGAGCATGTTTGCATTGCCCATGGTCTCTCGTATGGGGCCGACTGTTCATCTCTCCTGTATTATCTGGGGCAATTCCAGGGCTCTGCGCGCGGTATCTGCGTGCTCAACCTCGAGAAGATCACAGATGATGAACTAAACCGGTATCATGAAATGGGTATTCGGTCAGTCAGGCTCGACTTCTTTCGCTTCAATGCCGTGCATGATGTTGTGGCTCAGGTTCAATTGATTGAACGAACTGGGCATCGTCTGGCGCAGTGGCAGCAGAGCAATCATTCCGTCTCTTCTCCATGGAGTATCCAGATTCAACAGCCGCATCTCGAGTTTTGGCCAGAGCTGCGAAAAGCAGTCGCCAGATGCCTGGTTCCCGTTGTGGTAGACCACTTTGCCCTTATTCCCGCCAGCAGTCTCCGCGCCAACGACTGTACCACCAATATCCAAGATGCGTCGTATCTGGAGAAGAACGAGCAGGTTGGCCTCGCTGCCTTGCGAGATGCACTTCACGATGGTAACCTCTGGGTCAAGCTGTCGGCTCCTTATCGCTGTTCGAATCGCGCAGAGTCAGGCTACGACGACATGCGTTGGCTCGTGCGGTTTTTCGTCGAAGGCAATCCCAAGAGAATGCTTTGGGGAAGTGATTGGCCCCATACTCAGCGGCATCAGGATAGGAAGGCGAACGGCTGTATGGACGAGGAGCATTTCCTCTCAATCGACGATAGGGGTTGGATTGAGTCGATGAGTCGGTGGATGTCGGTGGACGAGTGGGAGGATATGTGGGTGCGGAATCCAGCGACTTTTTACGATTATTCGTTTTGGAAGAGTCATTAGTCAATGATAAAGTGTGTAGTTCCTTCATATTCATATATTCACACTCATCTTCTTAGAGGGATAGTGACCGTTTCTCTGAGCAATGTTGTCTTCCAGGTGCCAAGCTAGCATTGATGATAGTGAAATTGACGGCTTATTTGTTCACTGATATTTGTCCAAGAATCTCTGTTACAGGGCTAGGCTAGAATAGGACAGATGCCTTAGGCAACAGAGGAACAGACTTTCATCTGACATTCACCATGGCAAGAATAACTGGGTCTTTCCATTCACCAGAAGCTATCTTTAAAACTGGCCACATCCCAATACGAGGAAAATTCCTTTTCTTTTTCATCTAACAACAGAAAAATCTATGACTGAGCTTGCATCGCTGGCAAGAGCAAACGTCGCAGACTAGAATCAGAACGACCTTACGAGTACCCCCGATCCCAAGTGGTGACCGCGATGATACTACGAATTTGTCTTTGGATGTAAAGTGGGATATGAGAATTGTTCCCCGTGAGATAAATCCTGCCTTATTGATGACATCTCACGCATTCCAAAGATACTAACGCAGGATATAGCTACAGATTCTAGGGTTTGGGGAGAGGCGGACATCGCTGCATTTCGTGCTAGTTTCGTTCACACCAATACAACATCCGAAAACGAACAACCCCTGCCAGCCTACCATCCAGCCCTAAGAGCCTTTACCGAAGTCTGACTCCGCGATGTATTCCCAAAAGCGATAGGGGGCCATGTTCTGATCAGTCTTGTTACCAAAGCTTTCAGATATCCAAGACACCCAACAATTCAATTGGGTGCAGGACCTTGGAAGCCTCCGAGTGATATATGACGTTTTAGAAGCAGAAGCGATAGCTGATGGTGTTGCATCCGGGGTAGAACTGACCGCCTCATCAGACAGACCTGGGTTTAGGAATACTATATTGGCTGATATGATGGTAATGGTTTAATTGATAGCATATTGATTTACGAGCCTACTATAAATATAAAAAAGGTGAACTATAAATCGTAGCACAAATAACTTGAGCCCGTAAGGGAGCTACCCATTCGGTACTACAAACTGATCATCATCCCACATGGGCTGGGAAATCGCATCTAAGCTCACATTATTCAGCCATCCAAGGTCGAAGAAGTCACGTAGAATCCCTAGCTCATCTACCAGTATATTTGACCCTTGCTGGAACCATGGATCTGGTGCACTTTCGTCCATTGAGGTTGGTTCACAATCCCTATCTCTGGGAGGAAGGCTCTCAGGAAGCCGCTGGGGTTCATCGCGTAGCTGCTGCGATTGCTCGCGACCCCTGAATGTGACGAGGATCAACCGGGACAGCTTCTCACACGCATCCTCAGCCACTGACCATGTGCCGCTGAGGAATGTCAGTAGTCGGTGTGCGGCTTCGGCCCGTTCTAGATAGGTGGCGAAAGGTGTCGATCCCCGTACAGCAGGATTTGTCCAAAGGCAATAGAGCATGGTAATAGCAGCGACGAAAATTGAATGGGCAGACAGCCACGAGGAGTCCATATTTGCAAAGCGATGGAGTTCAGCGTAGAGGCGAATTGTCTCCATGGAGCTGTTGAAGCAGGCTTGCACCGCGCCCTGACTCGGCTGAGGAATCTGGGGACTAGGTCGGAAGAGCAGCATTATAGATTGGTGATATTTTAGTTCAAGCCGTTGCACGACCAGCATTGACAGTGGGTTTGAACTGCCAAATGGACGACCTCGCTGTCGCTTTTGCACCTCTTGCAGTAGGCCATGGCAGGCTGCTTCAGCTTCATGTTGCCAAACTGTGAGATTGTCTGGCCAAGGGAATCGCTGCGGAGATCGGGAGACGCGGTAGATCATCAGCTTGATCTCTGCGATAATCCGGTCAAATCGAAGAGAGTATATACAGGGCGTGAAGTGAGGAAGTGTCGGGTCTGGTGTATATTCGGCACTCTGGTACCACTGAAAGGCACCCAAGCCTACTTCATCACTTTGGTCAACCCCCGGAAATTCGACATCAATAGCCTCGTCTCTCAGTGTGAGGGGTCGCCCCAGGATGGTTGTCAAGGTTCGATCAAGCGAGTATGCGGACCAGAAGATAGCACTACGCGAATATCTTTTTCGACGCAGATCGCTCGACTCGGTGGCTCGATTAGCTACAAGAGAGAAAGAAATATTAGCTATGTTCAATCTCCTCTCGGTGCAGAGCGAAGAACAGATGACCCACGATTGAGACGCTGTAAGCCCAGATCCAAGCAGCTTGCAATGATTGTATGCAATAAAAACCAGGCGTTCAGTCCTTCAGGGCTGTAAAGACTGTGTATTACTAGCAATAGTAGTACCTGGACGCCTTCGATACTGTCATGGAGTTTAATCTGGTTGATATATTGCATTGCTGCAGCGAACAAGCCGCGGGAGCTAAAGTCGGTCTTGAGCTTCGTCTCCAAGAGACGAGCACCGATAGATAAGAGCAGGAAGACTTGGGCAAATCCTAGCGTTATTGGTATACTTTGATTCCATTCTCCCTTCTCCGCGAATCGATGGGCACTGTCGAGCAGGTCAAAGACATCGTCCTGTAGTAGAAATGGGTAGAACTCCGTTGCACTCAAATACGCCTCAGCATACTGTTGGCAGTCTGCCAGTGATGGAAGCCCAACGGGTTGTGGGATATCTTGGGCTGATCCTTGGGCCTGGGATTCATTGGAATTCTGTTTCTGCAGATTCAACGGCAGACCTTGAGAATTCGGCGCACTTTCGTAAATCAAGCGCGCAAAAGGAACTCCAGACGATGGGCCCAGATACTTCGGATCACTGCCATTAGCCAGAGACAATAAACCTACTTCGTGGGCCAACGGCTGATCGCGTGTTATGCTGCTTGAGATAGAGATCGCGGGCGACTGGCCCGATGGCTGATTGCTCTCTGGATGAGCTACTTCCGAGACCTCCGCAGAGATGTCCTGTTGTGACTGTTCGACAGTCGATACTCTGGGTGGTATTTCACGGGGAGAAGGCGCGTTTTGTTGGAGTGACTCAAGCTCTCGAACCCTCCTCTCTAGGTAATGGAGACGTCTAAACTGTCAACCACCTGCCCAAGCAGGCAACAAGGAAGGCTTACTTGCGAGAGACATCCCACGTGGAATTCCCTTCGAAACACTCAACCCCGGCTTTGGCACAATTTGTGCATGCTGGCAGGATCCCATCGCAGCGAACCTTACGTCGTCTACAGCGGGCGCATGCGATATGGCGTGGTCGCGAAGGGGAAGAAGTGGGTGGAGAAATTGTAAGAGGCTGAGAGCCAACAAGGAGTGATGGATCCTCGCGATTCTCTTCCGACAGTGTTGACGACTGCATGAGGCATTGCTTGCTCGCCGTCGCTGGGGTTTGCGGGTTGAGCAGGTTGACGGGGAAACTCCGAGATATAAGACCAAAGCAGAGCTGGTCGGTCCGAGGCCGTCTTCGGATGCATCCGACGGAGCAACCCGACGCCGGAGGGTGGTATGAAATTCAAACCATCAATACTGATCAGTCCTGCAAACGTTGGCGCGTCAAGTGTACAGTATCGGGGAAGGAGCAGGTGAAGTCTGGAGAAATTGCCCGGATTATTTTACTCCTGGTTAATGAGTTCTACTGATTTTGCCCTGCTATTTACTGTTCTATCTAATGTGAGCAAATATCTGTACCAAGCATCAATTTTTTCCTCTTTGATATTTTGAATGTTCATCGAAAACTTTTCCAGGATTCATAAGCCAGCTGGAGTGTGTTAGTTGCTTATTCAAAAAAAAAATTAGGAGCTTCATACTGAGGATCAACGCTCCGTTTCAATGTTCTCATCAAATCTATGGTTGGAGTTCCTAGTTCCTCTTCGAGATAATCCTGTTATGTTGTCAGCATATAAACTAGACACAGCGAGTATCTATGCATACCTTCTTCCCAATTCCAATGCCGTGTTCGCCCTGATTCTGGTTAATACGATATCCCTGGATTCGTCTCGGGCGTAGCTTACAGAAACAGTCCCTTCCATCTCGAGTGCTCTCTTCATCATTCTGGAGACACATGCTTTGACGGCTTTATATTGCTCAGGGTCGTTGGGATTGTACATGACAGCCTGGTGGAAGTTGCCATCTCCAACATGGCCTAGGACGGTAGAAAAAAGACCTAACTGACTAGATTCCTGTTTGGATAGTTCTGCAGATCTTAGAATCTTTCATTTCTAGGCATAATCGGTTTCGAGCGACTTACCAACAATCTCGGCCAATCGTGAAATCGGCACAGCCACGTCAGTCGACCAGATCTCAGTGCCTTCTGGCCGTACGGAAACCATTGCCCAAAGAGCCTCTTTTCTCGCCGCCCATAGGTTATTCCCTTCCTCCGGAGAAGATGCAAAATGCAGTTCATCGCTTTTGTTGCTGCGAAGAATATGCCGGGTTCGTTGGATGCTTTCGTCGATTCCTGCTCGAGTTCCGGAGAATCTGACAGGTCAGTTTGTTAGATATGCAGATTTAATGATTCGTCTTACTTGAGAAATAGAGTCGGCATCTCCGTCCAGCGTCTGCCTCCAGCTCCTCCATTCTGGTTAATGATCTTCATCTGCACTTCGTCCATGAATTCCAGAGCAGCCAGCGGGACGCCGTCACGGATCAATCTCGATGCTGCATCCGTTGCATCCCCCACGGTGGCAAAAGTTGCCGTCCCCACACTAGTTTCGCTGGGGACAATCGCAAGCTTCAGAGTCGCTTCCGTGATTATCCCCAGCGTGCCTTCGGACCCGGTGAAGAGTGCGTTCAAATTATACCCAGCTGACGACTTGCGCGGTCGTCTTTTTGTCTTGACCACTGAGCCATCCGGCAGCACAACAGTGAGATTAACCACCCAGTCCTTCATCGTTCCGTATCGCATCGCATTGGTGCCACTGCAGTTGGTGGCAACCATCCCGCCCACGTACGCCGTAGGACTGGGATCCATCGGCAGAAAGAGTCCTGTCGATTTTATCTGCTCGTTCACATCAACCCAGCGAGCACCGGCTTGGACTGTCACGTTCATGTCGTCCTCGTACAGGGCAATCAGTCGATCCATCCGCGACAGATCAATACATATGCCCGAGTGCGGAGCAGAAAAGTTACCCTCCACACTCGATCCAGCGCCAAATGGAACCATTGGGATGCGATGCTTTGAACAGATCTTTGCAATCTCGGATATGTCCTCTGTGCTTCCTGGATGGACAACAGCAACAGGTCGATTAGTGGTGTTGGACGTTGACCATTCCGAGTATCCGTGTGTTTCAATGTCGTCCTCATCAACGCTCACATTGTCTTCCCCGATAATTCGTTTGATTTCTTCAACAGCCTAGAGCCATCAATAAAAGGACCTGCATAAGGTTATTTGTACATACCTGAAGCATGGTCGGAATGTCCGCATACTTTGAAACAGGTTGAGAATCCACACCTACACCAACCCATGTTTTGGATGCGGCAAGTGTCACTGCTGCGGTTGCCACAGCCGTGGCCAGAATAGGGAAAATCGAAGATTGTCCTGATGAGCGTTGTGAAATGGTTGACGTCGCCAAAGGTCGGCGTGGTGGTCTTTGCGCCCGTGCAGGCAATCGTCGCCAACAGGCGTTAATCTGGCGTGGATTCCAGGTTTTCATGGTATGATGCAGTCTAGCTATTGATTCGAGTTGCCTCTAGTCTTTGATAGAGAGAAAGTTGAAATGATCGATGTTGTTTTAAAGATGGGAGCGTCGGAGTTAAGGCGTTATGCGCTAATGCATTATTATTAAGATGGCTTTATGTCTCGTGATTGGTCGGTTCTCTTGGCTATTCTGTATAACTCATTATGGGAAATAGAAAGGTCCCATAGAGATTGTCTAGTTCAACATCAAACGCCATATGGGGATTTGACGTCTAAAAAAATGCGTCTATCTTTCTAGGTAGGCAATGAAAGCAAAAAAAATATTGCCCATTTCGCTCACTATATGAGAATACATCTACCAATATACCGGCGAAGGATTACCACTACAATTTCTACAAAGATCCAAGAAAAACAATTGCAAACTTTAATGACCTCGGGTCACTTGCTATCAGCTATCAACGAGCAGATTCGTAAAAAGGAAAAACCATTAAAAGCGATAAAATGATTCCCAAATTCTAGCGTTCCCCCAAAAAGCGAACACCAAAGACCATGGGTACTTCCAGCGCATCCTCCAGCCAATATCGAACCGTGGGTTATGAATTTGAGATCCGTTGTAAATCGTCGCACGTGTGGAAGAGTCGAAATGCTAGAGACTTTTTACACAACTCGTTAGCAAAAGAACAAGCGAAAGTAGCCATGAACAGACTCACCTAGTTCTTTCGAACATCCCGTGCGGACTTCAACCAAGAAAATCAGTTCTTAGGAGCGATGCAGATGCCGTTGTAGCAGGTGCCAGGTGCGCAGTCAGCATCGCTGTGGCAGGCAGGGTCACCACCACGAGCGATGAGGGTCGAGTCGGTCTTCAAGCCATCACGGGCGATGAGGGTAGAGTCGGTCTTCAAGTCACCGCGAGCGATGAGAGTCGAATCTTCCTGAGGAGTGGCACGGGCAATGAGGGTAGAGTCCTGCTTGGGAGCAGCGCGAGCGATAAGAGCCGAGTCCTTATCGAGGTTGTCGCGAGCAATGAGGGTGGAGTCGACCTTGGAGTCACCACGGGCAATCAAGGTAGAGTCGGTCTTCGCGCCATCGCGAGCGATGAGGGTCGAGTCCTTGTTGTTGCTGTCACGGGCGATCAAGGTAGAGTCGGTCTTCAATCCGTCACGAGCGATGAGGGTGGAATCGGTCTTCAGGTTACCGCGAGCAATGAGGGTCGAGTCCACATTGAAGTTCTTAGGGGCGATACAGATGCCGTTGTAGCAGGTGCCAGGAGCGCAATCAGCGTCGCTGTGGCAAGCGGGGTCACCACCACGAGCGATGAGGGTCGAATCCTTGTTGTTGTTGTCGCGGGCAATCAAGGTAGAGTCCGTATTCAAACCATCGCGGGCGATGAGAGCGGAATCGACGTTGTCATCGCCACGAGCAATGAGGACACCGGAGGAAGCATCTAATTGTATCCGCCATTGTCAGCAAACAAGCAAGATCGAAGACAATTGTTCAATGGAGAGGAAGCAAGACTTACCCTTGTTGGGGATGGCAGCCGCAGTCACCGCAGTGATAAAGCCCAAAGCAAAGATGCCAGAAACCTTCATTGTGACTTTGTGAACTTGGATGTGAAGGCACAATGAGAATATGATCAGAAGAAGTTGATGCTGGAAGGGCGATATCAAAGAAAGTTGAGATCGATCGCAAAGGAAAGAAGCGATGGATGAGAGAGGATGGTGAGGACAAAAAGAAGAAGAGAGGAAGAGAGGGAAAGCAGGAGGATTTTATAGACAGATGGAGGAGTGTAAACAGACCTCGCAGAATCTAAGCGAAGCAAAATTTTCCCTCCAGACAGTGAATGATATCTGCATTCTCTAGCGCCATGCAGGTAGGATGAGGCCATTCCCGTCTCCCTTCACCTGGCCTATGGGAATCGCCACCAGAGGATCATGTCCGTCCTCTCTAGACCCTTCCAAACGGCGATCTCCATCCCGACGTCCCGCTCTTGCTTCCCCTCTGGATGGGGAATGACTCCCAGGTGGAGAAGCGCGAGCTTCCTCGAGCCTCTTTGTCGTCCCGATCCGGTAATCATCGGGGTGTTGGCTCGACGAATATCAAAAGGACCCACCGAACCCTCTGGCAGCTGTCATGGGATATCGGAGGATCCGCTCAGTTATCGTGCGTCACCCAGCCACCAGCAGTCATTCACTGCAGTAGGTTTCAGTCTGGGAGATCCCGGGTGCTTCGACCAGAGCGAGGGGAGAAGAGGGGGAATTGGCAATATCAGAGGTTGTATGGCAAAAGAGAGGGCCGATACAGAGTGGAAAAAGGCGGAAATACAGGAGTCCAGATTCTGAATCGATGCTGTCTTTGTTGATCTCAAATAACTTTATTTTGTATAGATGCCAGTCAGATAGCCTGTATAGCGTAGAGGAATTACACCGCATCAACAAGGATTTCCCGATCGCCAAACCCAACAGAACCGTATTCTTTATTTCCAACAGCTAATTTAACCTAGATTCAACTTCTCCGCGGTTCGTGTGCGACGCCCATCCAGACTGCCGGTATTTTTCTTTGTCTGATATCGCCGCTCCGTCGCACTTTCTTTGTCGCATGTCTGGGCTCTCCTCCACATCGTTCCAGATACAGGTCAATTTTTCCACCTCCTTTGCAAATAGGAATGGCCCGCCCGGTCGATCATGCCGGTTAATCCAACTGTGGCTTTGGAAACAATTTCCATTGGAAGATTTCAGGGGAAATATTGGGCCAGAAGGAGGCGAACTGTTGACCGTGAGAAACCGGATAGACAATCCCCACGGCGAGCGTTTGAAGGTAACCTTACGCTTCTGTTTGGTTTGATTCACAGAGGGTCTTAGAGAAATTCAGTCATGGGTGAAGTAAGTTACAGTGGACAAGAGCTATCTAGAGAAGCTAATAAGTCACCAAAATCACAGACTGAACTCCGTACACGGTCCTCGATCTACGATCAGAACAACAAAGAAAGTCTCAAAATTAAGCCATTTCCAAACTATCATCGCCTACTCTGATGGTCAGATTGACGTGTCATACAAATCAGACGCCCAGGATAGCTCTAAATCCAGGCGCCATCTCTTGTCCTCGAAGCGAGATCCGACCACCGATCGCCGAAGTCAGAGTCACTTTGGACATTTAGTATTCGGCCGTGTTCGGGGTACTCTGGCAGATCTACTTGACCTACGCTATGCCTATGTCATGATAATGATGGAGGGTGGTAGACTTCAATTCACAACTGGGATTATAATCGAGCATTGCACATGACAGGACAGGATAGGTTCATCCGTAGACGGTTATCGTCGAGTCAGTACCAGAAAGTTACTCTTCCCTTGTTTCTGTCTCTTTTCCCTGTCAACTGACCTACAGGTTGATATCATCGTGACCTGTTGGAAAAGAAAGTATATCGACTCTGGCTGATCATTCGTCTCTGGAGTAGGTAGATCTGCGGACGAACCGGATCATCCCCATGGTGTACGGTTGATTTTCTGGAGAGGTCGGCAATCGGCATATTTCCTTCGATGCGTTGCGTTGGCTTTCACAAACTGCTGGTGGGTTGGTGTATGGTGTTTAGTCGTGGTGACTTTGAGCTGTGCAGTTGATGGGATAGTTGAGCCGAGTGCCATGTCCGATTTCCGTATCGCTAGATGCATTGAGCAGATGCGCATAATTGAGAGACGTCTAGACGTAAATTGGAGCATGTGATCGGCTATTAGTCCTGTCTTGGTGAAAGGACTTCGAATGGACGGGTTCGTAGGATCTCTGCTCATAGATTTTTATTGTTTGGTGGATCATGCGGTCCTATCTACCATAAGTCTGACTATCAGTGATAATTCGCATCAAGTGCGATGAACAATTTTTGCATTATTTTCGCCTTTTTTAGGACTCGCCCTGGTATCATTTTGCGAGACTCGGTAGTTTACAGCTATTTCATCTCTCGGGTTATCTTTTCGTAAGGTTGGTCTACTCCTAAGATCTCTATGAAAAAGTGTATACGGGATGTATATTGCCAAGTCTATAAGCGGGAAACAAAACGATTGATATCAAATCTAGCAACATACAAAGAAAAATAATTCTAATCCGTACACATTAAGCCATTCCCGTGAACTTGAAACCCTCAAGGCGCAAGTATCCGTATATACAAGACCGGGTCAACGTCCTCACCAGACGGTTACCCTTCATTTGGTGCGACAACGCCAGTGTCTATCACCGAATGATACCTCCCATTTACTGGGGGGTTCCGGAGGGAGCGGGAACGCTCACAAACGGAGTAGGGAAACCGTCAGCTCCGGGGATGCCGAAGCCGCTGGGGAGAGGAGTCGGGGGAGGGCCCGAGGGAGAAGCGAAGGCGAAAGGAGGGCCTTGCTGGCGCTTCTCACCACCCTGGCCACCGAAGACAGGGAAGCCGGATGGGGGAGGGCCGGAAGGAGTGGGGAAACCACTGGGAGGAGGGCCCGAGGGAGTAGGGAAGCCGAAAGGAGGCTCATCCTGGCGCTTCTGAGGAGGTCCCTGAGGAGCGGGGAATCCAGAGGGAGGAGGGCCCGAAGGAGTGGGGAATCCAGAGGGAGGAGGGCCCGAAGGAGTGGGCAAGCCGCTGGGAGGTCCCGAGGGAGTAGGGAAGCCGAAAGGAGGAGGTCCAGCGGGAGGTCCCTCCTGGCGCTTCTGGCCCTGGAATGGCGCGGGGAAACCGCTGGGAGGGGGACCGGAAGGAGTAGGGAAGCCACTAGGAGGTCCAGAGGGAGTGGGGAAACCACTGGGAGGAGGTCCCGAAGGAGTAGGGAAGCCGAAAGGAGGAGGTCCGGCGGGAGGTCCCTCCTGGCGCTTCTGGCCTTCGAAGGGAACGGGGAAGCCGCTTGGCGGGGCGGGGAAACCGCTAGGAGGACCGGAAGGGGTGGGGAAGCCACTGGGAGGAGGTCCAGAGGGAGTGGGGAAACCACTGGGAGGAGGTCCAGCGGGAGGACCTTCCTGGCGCTTCTGACCTTCGAAGGGGACGGGGAAGCCGCTTGGCGGGGCGGGGAAACCGCTAGGAGGAGGGCCGGAAGGAGTAGGGAAACCACTGGGCAGGCCGGAAGGAGGAGGGCCAGAGGGAGTAGGGCCGGCGGGAGGAGGACCCTCGAACTGAGGAGCGGGCATGGCGAGGGCACCGCCCAAGAAGCCAGCCATGGCCATACCAGTGAACTTCATGTTGGGAATAGGCTGATAAAATGAGAAGAAAATCAAATATTCAAAGAGGGGATGTGCTGCGGCTCTTGTGAAGGAGTGCAGACAAGTATGGATATGAGAGAGTAGATCTTGAAGAGCGGATGTCGCCTGGTCTTTATAGGAATCAACAGCGCCTAAAGGCGTCAGTGACGCTATGTGTTGCGGGCGATCGCCATGACCAGCCACAAGTCGGTGCAGCTTGGTGCCTGGACTTTCCAGTTTGCATCAGGAAAAGACCATTGTTGATCGTCAGAAAGGTGGAGCATGGGTTTTCCGAGCGGCGAGCCTACTGTGATCGGAGGTTCGGCGAGTCGAGTATCGCACTTTTGAGTTTCGAGGACTCGTGGAGCGCCAGGCTTGTTGCATGTTACAGGTAATCCCCGATGGATCTAACCATTCAGCAAAGTAAGTATCGACAGGATGAGGGAAGAAAACTGTCACAGAAGACCAACCTCCGCTCTCCATTCGAAACGAATTTACCTCATTGACGATCTTTGATGATGTGGAAGAGCCCAGTCGAGACTTGCTGACACCACTCGCAGTATATCTGGGACGCTGCCTCGGCAACAGCGATTTGTCGTCGAGATGGACCCACGGAGGCGACAAGAAGGCCACTCAAATAAACTTAATCCTTGAATCCTGTGGCTGGCGCTTGCAATCACCAGACATCTTGTTGTGACGTCGAACCAGCCTCGCCGTTTCCATCTGTTTCATCGTGCCACCAGTAAAGAATAATCACCTCAGTATTGCAATTAATTGCGACCGTTTTGTGTGCTCGTTGCGTCTGCCTGTCACCTTGCCACATAGGCACATACGATGGATTTTACTTGCCGATAGAGTCGACGGCCACTGCAGATCATTGATCAGTGGAGTCATATCCATGGGCTGATAAACAACGGCAGCGTCCACACAGCCCAATCCTCTGGCCCAACTCGTTTCAGGAGTCCGATCGGCATGCCAACACAGTAACGGTAGTTATTCTGGCGTGGACCGTGATGGCGTTGGTGTCGTCCACGGGCGCAAAGATTCCGGATCAGGTCTCTTCCAGTTCCAAGAGTATTACAGTCAAGTGATAACTCTGTTCCACCCTCTTAACCCTAGAAAATGTGGGCGGCAAAGTCTGAATCCATTCAAGAGGCTAGGATAAATCTGGGACGCCTTGTGTTCCAGTGGGAGAGGGCGGAACCCTGAGTCGTCCCTGAGGCCATTGGGCGGGGGATCTTGGGATGGTGGGAGGCGGTTTGGTCAATCATTACCAGAGAATTCCACGACGGTGGAGAACCGAAAAAATTAGAGGTTGGCCCCTTTCCCAGACAAGTAGTGATCGCAGAACGTAACTCTGATTCTTTCAGGCTCAATTGCTCGAATGGCTGCAAACTCCAGTCAGGGCTTCCGGTCTGCCGCTGCCGAGGGAATGTGGCACAGGGCTGAGACAGAGATTTCGGTTCCTGGATGAATTAGATTCGCTTTATTTTTGAGACATCTCAACAGTATTCCAACCTCATCTTGCGATACTGTCAATCTAGGCTTCTAGAACCTCGCTGATACCCAGGCGATGATGACCCTGAACCGTGGGGATGGCGAAACGGTGAGTAATGATGATGAAATGGGAGTCAGGGAAATCCCCCAAGTCCCCCAAATGTCCCCCAAATCCCACCGGGCGGAAAAAGGGCATGACGCGGCCTTGTTTGGTACCTCAGGCGACAAGGCATCATCGCGTCCCTCGTAGCCCACTTTCCTTGGAGACAATCTATTTTGGTTTCTTTTGGCTTCTGCACACCACAAGCTACGGCTTTTTAGCATTGCATCGAACTGTTACACGAAATCCAACGCTCGCCTTCGATGCAGATTCCACAGCTGCAGGTACAAGAGCCATCATCCACGACAAATCCACTGATCCGACATCGGCAAGATCAGATAACAACGCCATATGGAGACTGGAATTCGCTCAACAAACCGGTGGTTATGGTGGAGATGCAGCATCAGGGGTCATAAATCAGGTCGGTTAGGAGTCCAGGACAAGGCGAATTCTAATTTTCTGTGATCTTCAAGGCTGTTAACTGAATAGGTCTAGGACTCCTTCTATCCCTGCGCCGTCCTTATCATACTTTTCCCATCTCAACTTACTTGCCTTAAACTAGAACGACCTCATCCCACTAGATTCTAGAATCAAGTCTCCTGCCGTCCCAGATGTGTCACTGTTTCCTCGATCTCTGCTCGGTTACAGTTCCTGGATCTATTTGACATGGACTCCCGCTTCAACCGCCAGTTCGCGTCCACTCATTAAGGCTTCATTTCTATCGCTTAGATTATCACATGCATCGGTTACTCTGCCGAGTATCGTGACCGAACAACCTCATACTATGTACATCAATTGCGATCATCATTCACCGGAATTACTGTCGTCATTCTCGTGTTCATTCAGAATGCACGTTCTTATCTGATCGGATCTCTACATTCCGTTGATAAAGTTGTTGTGGGTTGTCTTCGTGGAAAATTACTCTATATGACTTGGCCGACGTAAGGGTGGGCGAATTTAAATAGACTTCTACCTACCTGGCACCGTCTACTTAAGCTTACCGTGAAGGAATGAGCTTCTATGTTGGGTTGTTGGTAGTCTGGTTAGCGTGTTGGTCAAGCTACTAACTACTGCCCGTCTTTGCCTGTGCTGTCATTGAGATTAGCATACATCCCCTAGTTACCCCTTTTTTTCTCTGCACGCCTTTTCTCCGAACTATATCCCCAATATTGTTGCTGTCATTATAGCAAAGTTTTCAACTTTATCCCATGCAGAACGTCTCTGTAGACATGTATCCAGTCCCAACTATCACTACGACCATTCCCATCAAATCGGCACTCGATATCGGGATTTGGTCGTTCAACATGTAGCCACACTATTTCTGGTTCTCCCCCGCATTCAGGGGATGAAAAGGAGTATCCAATGGCCCCCAGCTTCACTAGTAACTTGTCGAGTTGGTATATGCCGTGTCGCGTTGGGGGCAAGAAGGGAGGTTCCCGTCCGTGAATGGCGGCAGTGGCTTCCACCTGAAGGATTGAAGGATGCGGTGTAGAAACCTGAAGGATAATAGTTATGAAAGGTGCATTAGAAATATCCCCCATACGAGGAGGCTTCAGCATACCTTGGTCGTAGGCAGAAAATCTTGTCCGAGTTAGGAATGTCCAGAAACGGCTTCATTCTGGTGTGCTTTGGATCACCCCTCCAAGCCCTCCCCAAAAACCACATTTTTTGTTTTTAAAATATCATAGAATTAATCTTGGTGTATTAATGGTGTTTCTAGTATCATCCTAGATGTTGAATATTAGGTTTTAGTGTTTATTCTCTGCATTATTTTGGTGTTGTGATATGGATAAAAATCAGTCGGTTATATATTTTGGCTTCATCTTGAGCGAGCAAGCAATATATATATCAGCAGAGTTGATAGTATCGTTGGGCTACTTCTTGACATCAAAATCACAATAGCTAACCATATAACAAAAAATTATCGTTATTTTGACATATTGCTGATTTCTTCTATTCGTAACCTTTGCATGACTGATTCATGGTGGTTGTTGTTGCTTCTTCTCTTGTCAACATATGACGCCATGCCTCTCCGGCTGGGCAACATCTGACGCGTCAACGCAGCGATCGACCAACCACTCTGTGGAAACTCGAGTACTGTCGCCCATATGCAAGAGACAAGATCTTCTCATGATGAACTCGACGTGAATTCATTGCGCAACGACGAATACCGCGACCGAATAAACCACGACACTCCTATCCCGCTGTTCGCGTTGAACGCCGGCACAATGGCTTCTTCCAACAAAGCACAAATTCCAGGATTGCTTCCTACTCCATGGGTTTGCTGATCCCCCAATATCCAGGTGTACATAAAATATGCTATCCAAAATGTTGTTATCGTGGCGATTCGACGGATCAAGGGCTTCAAGGCAAATGCCCCTCATACACGTCGGAAGCCTGTTTGAACAGAGAAATTCCTTTTCTTTAGCTTCAAGCATGATCGCAATCGGCCAGGATATGCGAATTTCACGAAGGTCGTTTTGATCGCGTGTCTTTTATGTAGCGCATCGATGCAGAGAAATAGGACGTGGACCGTGATACATTCGCACACAGGACTCGGCCTTCTCTAGCATTCTGCTGCCTCATCTGGGTTATCCCAGGCATTATAATCTCGCCAAAACCCCAGGGCTTGGTTTGGATCAAACCACGGACGTCTTTGCCTGGCTGAATTACGAATCTACCATGCCCGACGACCCGATGCCCGCCCTTGACTCATGTCTGGTAAGAGAATATCGCACCCCTGAACCGTACTGTTGAATCCGAAGTAGCACAGTATTCTAATACTCTATGCAGTGTGACAATTTCTAGTCTCTTAACGCATATCATTCGAGATCCAGCATTCTTCGTCTGAAATAGCGTCGAACCTCATACCCATGTCAGATTCAACGGCATTTTTCGAAGGATGGTATATCGCAACAGATTAACCCAAGACACCACTGTCGACAATATTAGTCCGTATTGGATACCCACCTCCGATCCGGGGCAGTTTCTTATACCCGCTGGCCGTGAAATGTCTTGAGTCTTGTGCAAGGCCAAACTATTCCCTTTCTATACCGGACATGCCAGGGGGCGCTATTAAGGGGCGAAGTCAGACCGTGGAGCTGTTATCTGACAAAGGTCGGCGTTCTATCTTCATGAAAAGTCATCAAGTCGCAGGATATTCAGTTTACCCAAATTTCTAGACCGAGCGATGGCCTTGCAATGATTTCCGAGAGAGCCGGATACAAACGCGTTAGTAACTGCGCGATGCCTAGATGAGACAGCGGATAGATTGGTGGCTTTTGAGAGGAGACCCAGGCCATGATGGATGCCCCGGTTATAAATAATTCAAGGCCCTCTATTTGTGGGTTGCTTGATGTTGATTTATTCCTGCATGTCACTGGCGAAGGGGATTTTGGTCTCGGTTTATAAATCCGGATGATTTTTGCTTGTCCAAAAACTCCACAAATTGGATCTATGCCGACTCCGATCGAATTTTCATTAATCAAAGCACGTTTCAACTAGAGTTGGTCGTCATGTTGATATAAGCTAACATCAATTGACGTGTTTTAGGGTGAAACATGCTCTTTTCAGTCTCGTCAAGATCGAGTATAAATACTCCGATCACGATCTTGAGTTGAAATGACCACGGCACTGGTTGCTTAACTTTGCTTAACTTTGCTTAACTTTCTCGTGTATACTATCTTATCCTGTTTTCAATACAAAATGCTTCTCACTCTCGCTCTTCTCCCAACCTTGGGCCTTGCCCTCGCCACCAAACGCGATGACACCTGGGGCGGAAGCGTATCCCTGGGCCCAACCAAGTCCACCATCACCAACGCCGTGACAACCCTCATCCCCGGCGCCGCACCCGCAACCCAGAATGGCGAGCTCTTCCTCTGGCCAGGAATGAGCAACGGCACTGGCGATCTCGTACAGACGACTCTCGAGAGCTGGGCAAGCAATGATTGGTGCGGCGCGGAGAGCGGACAATGGTGTGTTCGCGCGAGCTTGTTCGGAAGCTTTGGACAACTGGATGGAAGTGCCAGTGCTGTCAGTGGGGATGAGAAGGTCCGCATCGAGTATAACTTGGAATCGGATGGGGAGACGTGGTTGCAGTATGTGTCTTTTTTTATCCCTTCGTAATGTGTTGGGACTGGGATGGGTACACTGACATGTTGGTAGGAATGTGACCAACGCGGATACCGGCAAGGTGTTGTCGACCTTCTCGCACAACTCGGGCCCTTATATGACTGGGTATGTTAGACTTCATGAAGTTTCTTCGTGATATATAGGCTAATTTGTGTAGATATGGTACCGGGACCGAATGTGATAGTGATTGCACTGGCACGGTCGCAGCCCAGCAATACCTCAACACGGTCATCACTCTGGCTGAGGCCGATGAGAGCTTCGGCAGCACCATCGCTAAGGCTGGCAGCGCGACCTACGAAGGATTGAGCTCGAGCGAGGGCGGCAAGGTGTGGACCATTAAGACGATCAATGTGCCTGCCATGCAGAGCTCCTAGATCTACGATGTACAGTCGGATCTTCCCAGATGTATGTGCATATATTGGAGTGATAAAACGGGATAGCTACTTACTCGACAGTAATATTGACATGAAGAAGTAAATACATTTATTTGATTTTCATTTTTTTTTAACCATTCCATATATGTATATACAGCCAGCTGTATATTTACAGTTTGTTTTCCCCTGTCTCCCAACGACTACTCATTGAAGTCGACATGCACGGCCAAACGCACGGCGTCAGTGTTGACCTTACCACCGATGCCATCAATCGCGGCCATGTCCTTCGTGTATGCATTCACAACCTTCTCAGCACCGGTTGTGATGTACGAACATCTCGAGCCGGACGATTCACAGATACGCATTCCTTGCACATCTTGGCTAGCGGCCTGGGCCTGAATGGCCGAGACATCCCATCCTGACCAGGCCTTGTTCTTGCTGTCACCAAAGTCGAACTCTCCCCAGGTGCAGGAGTAACCGCCGTAGTTGTCGGTGGGCAGCTTGGTACCCTTAGCGGCACCCCATCCACCCTGGGAGTTCACATCGAAGGCAACGTACTTGGACTCGCCAGCTTCAATGGTAAGGTTCAGGGCGGAGTGTCCGTACCATCCGTCCATCTTTCCATCGGGGCCGATCTTGTTCCAGATGACGACGGTCCAGGGGTCCTTGTTGCTGCCGGTGAACTTGACGACATACTTGTAGTTGTGGGCCTTTGCACTGGAGACTTCGATGATGTTGCTTCCCCAGGGGCTACCGACATTACCCTTGTATGTGTTACCAGTGCCGGAGGCGGTGGTACGTTTGCCGAAGCCGGCTGTGGAGAAGGAACCGCCGGCAGGGGTGGCAGTCCAGTTGGAGGAATCGGAGGCTGTTGAGGTCTTGGTTGCAGCTGCGGTGTGGGTGGTGTGGGTTTTGGTGGCAGCTGAAGCTTCAGAGCGAGTGGAGGTGGAGGTGTGGAAGCTAGTGTGGGTGGAGGTGGTGGTTGGGATAGCGTGATCAGTGGTTTGGGTAGCAGGCACGACCTGGACGGTTGTGGTTGGGGCACCACCACCGGCGGGATAGTCAGTGACGGTCTTGGTGACCATGACGACGTCCACGTCGAGGGCAGTGGAGGTCTGGACCTCTGTGGCAACACCGCCACTGGCATCCCTGGCTTCGATGTTGGAATTCTCATGGTGGTGAGCATGGCGGCGGACGTGGCCGTGAAGGCGAGCCTCGACGGAGACAGCCGCAGCGAGCAGCAGCAAAGACTTCCACTGCATGATGAATGAATGTATGAAGGAATGTGGTCAGAAGCTCTGTATTCTGCACTGCAGACGAAAGCAACTGAGAAACGACAAACGAACGATTTAAAAATCGAAGGAACGACTAGAAGGAATGGCTGATGGAGAGGAAAAGGAGAGAACGGGGGGCGAGGATGGGGGATGTATATGAAGGCGATGGAGGCCTAGACTAGAAAACTGCCCACCACACTCCACAGACGAAAAAAATGAAAGAAAAAAGTCAAGTGGGACCGAACGCGCCAGCCAAGATTGAGAGTGAGAGAGGACACCAGTCAGCGTCAGCGTGGGTGAGACGCCATGGTGATTTAGTAGTGACTGTATCCTCTAGTCAGAGGTGGCTGAGGGGGGTGGAGGAGCTGATTCGACGGGCTTGAAGATTAGGGAGACGTCAACCACAGGACGAAACGGAGAATAAGAAGGGAAAAAACAAGAAGCACCAGTAAATAAAGCTGTGTTTTGATTTCCCCATCAATTCAGGAACGGGCATGCCATACGACGTCAGCATCCCCTCCTTGCGTCGTCACATTCTCTGGTGCCATGTGTAGCAGCGCTGGCATTTCTGGTGTAACTTTTCAGATTTGAGACACCAGCAGGAAATCTAGATCTTGGCCATCTCGTCCATGGCGAAAGAAATTTTATAGATCCAAAGTCAATGCAGCCTTCGCACAAATGCAGCATTTCATCTTGCCGATCGGCTCATCTCCAATTCATCTCCACGTGTGGCAGATGGATCAACAACAGATCGTCCCGCGCTGATATTACTCACTCATCTGACATCTGAAGCGGTTCATGAGGTTATTCATATTCTTCAAACACTGCGTGTTTCCTCCTGACTCTTCTCACCCATCCATCTCACTCTTCAGAGTCAGAAAAGAAAAACACAGTCGCACAAAGTGGGGCGCTTACTTACGTACGCTCTGGTCGCTAGGAACCGCCGGAGATGAAGCGACGCTGGCCTTCAAACTAGCGGCTGTTTTGATAGGACCAGCAGCACTAGAACTATCGACTATTGAGTTTAATAGGTGGTTCTGCTGGAGCGTTCATTTCGGAGTTCGGCTGTTCGATTGCAGCAGCCAAGCGTTGGTTGCCTTGTACGTGGCCTTGTCGGTGAGTTGGGTGACTGAATAATATTCCAACGGGCAATCAGGGGGTTGATGAGTCGTGGATGATTGAGCACGATTGAGAATGATCGATATCCAAGTCAGATATCGAAGACAAAAAAAGAAAACAGTGGCAAAATTGATGCTGATGTTTTGGTCAGACTGAATCGTGATTGGTCGTTATTCATAAATCCACACTAATTATTGTCACTCCACAACCACAGATCCGCGTTCAAATCTGTATCCAACAGAAGATTATTCTGCGCATTCAACTCATCCGTTGCAGAAAGCATCTGATTCAGCGATGTCCCGAAATCTCTCCATCCAAATAATAATTCCTCCTCCTGCATCCCGCCAACTGACGACAGGTCGGGCGCTTCCTCCAGATGTGACGTATTTGGCTGACTCGTCGGTATTCTGTCGAGACTCAACGGTGTCACTAACTGCGTCTGGTCAATATGCCTTTGAGTCGGTCGCTCAGGACGTGATGTTGGTGCGGGTTGATTGAGTGGCTGGGCCATTTCTTCCAGAAGTTCGATTTCCGATTTGCGGAACTGCGCGATGCGGCTTCCCCGGGTGATCATCTCGTCGAGCAGACTAAACCCCATTTCCCGGTAACCATGGTCGGGCAGCATATCAGGGATAACCACAGATATCAGAGATAAGATGAAAGAGGCGGAAAAGAGATTTTCGAGATCGAAAGGGAGAAAGTTTTCTAATACACGTCAGCTACGTCATATCAGTCAGCGATTGACATACCAAGGAGGTTCTGGTCGCGCAGAGCAGACAGTATTTTAAGTGATTTGATCGACGAATCGATACACGCTTGGATAAGAGTTCGAACGGGAGAGGAAAGCGTTCGGAGCCCATCGCCATCATCGAAGCAGTTCATGCGTTCCCATAATAGACTCAGAACGAGCGGTCGGACGGTGACGATGATACACTGAAGAGTCAGACTTGGCTTGTTTCAGGATGGAAATAGAAGACATACCAAATGGCATGATAACGTCAGCCGAGTTGTAACACCGGAGATTGCATCGACTGAGCTTTGAAAACGATGAGAGAAGACGTCTTCGAGTTCCCGCGACAGATTTGCCATTTCATGTAAGACGCTTCGCACCTTTCGCAGGAAGACCCCGCCCAGCTTGCCATCCGCACTGTACACGGCTGAAAAAGTTATTAAAAGAAAAATCTTATCTATACTGCTGACTTACTATTAATAACCCGTGTGATGACCTGCGAGATCTTCACATGCAAACTAAATGCAGCAGTCTGTTGTGAGCACGACCGGGGATCCCAGAGAACAGCCGTGATGTCTTCATCGTTGACCGAATTTGGTGCTCCGATAAGCGATGCGAATTTGCGATCGAGAATATATACTGTCCACCAGATATTGGTAGATCGCTCGGCCACCTTTTCTCCCAGTTGATCGACCGGCAAAGCGCGATGGAAGCCTTCTACTAGAGCCATACGCATGGCGTGACCGATCTATCCCATGAGATACAACCCTTCCGACGAAAGTGGGAAAGACTTACGTAGCAATAAGCAGAATCTCTAATATCCACCGAATGGAAGTAAAGCGCAACCATGGCTAGTACTTCAATCGCTAGGATCGGCTCCCTCCAGAGCGCAGTAATATCGGGCAACAGTGACATGGCTCTTGTAAAGAATTTCGTCCATGTGGATGTATTGGACGTGGTTCGGATCGGAGCCAGAAACGCCTCGCCAAATGCCAATATAACCAGAAACTGTACATACCACAACCGACACTCGTTGACCTTTCCAGCTGCGTCTTCATAGAACTCGTGGAGATTACGGAGAAATTCCTCTTCATCAAACAGTCGATACAAATGACCGAGATGAAATTTGACCGTGTTGAGCATGTAGAGAGCGTATTCTAGTGAGGGTAAGCCGCTCACATCTGGTGGATCGCTAGAAGCCGCTTGAGTTAGGTGTAATTGATATGCATCTCCGTCCACGGCGAAGGGAATTGGTTTGGTGTTGCTGGGATCGAGGCGGGCTTGGAGGATGGTGAGGGCGCGACGACTGAAGGACCAGGTGGACGTTGGTCCGAGAAATACTATTTTGTCAGTGATTGACTGCTGATTGAGAAAAGGTATATAGAGAAAACATACGCCAGGTTCGCTGTCCCTGTCCGCGTCCCGTATGCTTGAAGTATCTCGGCCAGACCAACGGATTCGAGGCGAATCGTTCTTCGAATCGAGTCTCGGTGGGTTCCGCCGTTTGCCCCTCAGTTTCTGATGCTGGTTCTTCTGGTAAGGCATAATAATAATTAGTATAGCCCAATTGAGATGTTTCAATTGAATTCCTTACCGTATTCGACACTGTTCACACTGTCCCCGCTCACACGACGCCGTTTCTTTTCGGACCCCAGCCCCTCAACTTCTTCGAGTCTCCGTTTCATCGACCGAAAGAGTCTGGCAATTAGCATGGAATAATAAATTGAGAAGAATAAGAGACATACTCCTCCGAAACGACAATCTTCCGATCCTCTTCAAACACGCATTCTTGGCGACGCTGCTGGCACTTGTCGCACGGATTCGTGCCGGAGCACTTGACCTTGCGAGAACGACATCGTTGACATCTGGCGAGTCAGAAATGGCGACTTCAAGATGAATTGATCGACTTACGCGTTTGTCGCTCTGCGCTGCCGACTGGAATCCATTGATATATACAGTATATGATGCAGCAAGAATTTGTTGGATTGTCGGTTGATATTATCGACGGGGATTGTTGCTTATCGGCCGTTATCGGTGAGTCAGCAACCCCGCATTTGGATAGGGAAACGATCGACTTTGGATATCTGGAGATACAAAATCAATTTGTCATTTGAAGATGGTTGGACTATACTGAGATAGAGATAAATTGATCCGGGAGCAGCTTGTGCATGTTTGGTAACTCCCTAGACATGCAAATGCGTTATAAACCAGATACGAGAGGGAAAGCCTATCTGGAATTCCTCTAGGCACTGTAATTCCATAAACTTGTCAAATCACAATGGGTTTCCCTATCCATTCTCCTTCTTCATTCTGATGATATTTATCCAGCATGAGAAAAGGGTAGACAGACTGACGCTGCGGCTGAGACCAGCAGGCAAGAGGCCAGATGCCCGCCCTCGGCACGGTTGTACTGCTGACGTCCCTGCATGTCCGTAGAAACAAAGCAATCCCGTTGAGCCGGACTGACTTACTATAGAGATGCCAGCAAAGTCAAGAAAAAGCAAAATCGAAGAAAGGAAGCTATCGCTGAATAGAGTGTGCAGGTGCTATCTTATCGCTTATCTTATCCAGCTATACCACGCTAAACCCTGTAAGGCAATAGATGCGCCACGGTGATATCAGCAAATCAGAGGAGAGTCCCGGCCCTTCTTCGCCCATCTCCATCTTGGCGTGTGAGTAAAAAGACTTGTTATTGGCTGTTATTCCAGTGGAAATCCACAGCCGGTGGAGAAAACAGTTGGATTGCCTCAGGGCATTCTCCAGATATGCGATTCCAGCAGGTTATAAAGACCCTGATGTGCCACGTCGCAGTCTGACTTTATCCTTCTTCTTCTCAACTTCTCCTCCTCCTCATCACACTCCATCATGTCGCCCCTCCACCCCTTTGACCCCGTCACTCCCGGGGAAATCCAACTGGCGGTGAAGATCCTCCAGAATGCCTTCCCTGGTGTGTCGTTGCGATACAAGAAGATTGATATCCAGGAACCAGCAAAGAAGGATGTCATCCCTTTTATCGAGGCAGAGAGACTGAGACAGCCTCTCCCTCCCAAACCCGCTCGCTTGCTGCAGGTTCTTTTCCACCGGTTGGATACCGGGGCATTCTTCAAAGGATTGTTGAACGCAGAGACTCGATCAGTGGCTTATATGAAGGAGTTACCGAAAGACATCCAGGTATGTTTCCTTCTTCTTCTTAAATTTTTTTTTTTTTTTTAAATAATTAGGAAATGGTGCTGACTCTTCAGGGCCCCGTTGATGTCGACGAAATGATCGATATCGAACAGCTTTGCCTCAATCATCCCGCCGTCCAAGCAGAAGTGGCCAAGCTGCAACTGCCGCCTGGAATGACTGTCTGCAACGATCCTTGGATCTACGGTTCCGACGACCCCAATGAAAGTCGTCGTTTGTTCCAGTGTTACATGTACATTATTGCTCTGGACCATCCCCAGAACAACCACTATTCGCTTCCGTGCCGATTCTCGCCTGTCTTTGATGGCATCACACGGGAACTCGTCCGGATTGATTATCTTCCTGCGGGCCCTGACACCATGACCGCTGAGACACAACCATGGAAACCAGTCGAGACTATCCAGTATGCACACGATCTTCTGCAAGAACCGTTGCGAACAGACCTCAAGCCGTATATCGTGCAGCAACCAGAAGGTCCTTCGTTCAACGCCCAAGGAAATGCCGTCTCCTGGCAGAAGTGGAACTTTAGAGTGGGATACAACAACCGAGAAGGTCTCGTCCTTTATAACATCACCTATGATGGACGGAACACCTTCTACCGTCTCTCCATGTCCGAGATGACTGTTCCATACGGAGACCCCCGTGCACCATTTCACCGCAAGCAAGCGTTTGACGTCGGTGATGTCGGATTCGGAATTACAGCCAACCAGCTCTCTCTTGGCTGTGACTGCCTCGGTCACATCAAGTATTTCGACGGCTACCGCGCAGACTCAAACGGTAACCCCATCCAGCTCAAGAACGTCATTTGTCTCCACGAACAAGACAACGGCCTGCAGCACAAGCACACCAACTACCGCTCAGGCGCAGCAACCGTGGTCCGCAACCGCCAGCTAGTCGTGCAGATGATCTGCACCGTCGCCAACTACGAATACATCTTCGCCTTCATCTTCGACCAAGCAGCCAACATCGAAGTCGAGGTTCGAGCAACCGGCATCCTCTCCACCGTCCCCTTCGATAACGAAAAATTCGGCTCCACCGTCCCCTGGGGAACAAACGTCGGACCAGGCGTCATGGCCCCATACCATCAACACATGTTCTCCCTCCGCATGGACCCCGCCCTGGACGGATTCAACAACACAGTCTACTACGAAGACAGCGTCCCCATGCCCGAAGACGACAACAACCCCTACGGCGTCGGCTACACAACCGAGCAAACCGTGCTCAAAACCAGCGGCAGCGCAAAGACCAACATCGAGCGCCACCGCGTGTTCAAAATCCGAAACGACAACATCATTAACCCTATCACCTACAAGCCTATCGCGTATAAGCTGCAAACAGCACCAAGCCAGATGCTCCTCGCCGGCAAGAACTCGTTTGGCGTCCGTCGCGCCGAGTTCGCTACCCAGCCTATCTGGGTTACTAAGTACCGGGACGACGAGCTCTTCGCGGCAGGTGAATTCACCAACCAATCGAAGGAATCCCAAGGCGTGGAGAAGTGGGCGAAACGGAATGACTCGGTTGAGAATGAGGATCTCGTTCTCTGGCATAGTAAGCTCCCCTTTATCTATTATTCACGAGGATTGCCAATACTAACATCATCAGCCTTCGGCCTCACTCATAACCCCCGTATTGAAGATTTCCCGGTCATGCCAATGGAAAAGGTCAGCGTCATGCTCCGACCGGACGGCTTCTTCACCAAGAACCCTGCGCTGGATGTACCCGCATCCACGCAGTCATTCAACAAGTCGACACTGCACCCAGAGCCAGCGGCATGCTGCGCCGGAGACAGAAACGTGAAGTTGTAATGAAGAGTACTAGATAGATGATATATATATTTCATGAATGATAATGAACAACTTGATCATACTTATCAATACCATCCACGTACATGCAGTGCCCACCCTAAGCCTGTCAAATGAATTAATTATCCTCATCGTCGTCATCCTCATCATCACTATCACTGTCACCATCCCCACCATCATCCTCCTTCCCACCAATCCCAGTATTCAAAAGACCATCATCACCTCCAATCCCAAGAAGATGGCCATCATTGACAACATTCAAACCGTCGTCATTCAAGAGTTTCGTACCAAGAACGCCGTCATCGCTGCCAATGCCAAGGGGACCACCCTTATCATCGTCGTCATCTCTGACGGAAAGCGAGGGTTTAGGAGACTGCATTGATATCATTGTTAGCCTTAATCTTCAACAGTGAAAGAAAGGCGGGTAAACATACACCCGCTGGGGCGGCAATCGCCAGTCCCAAAAACACGGCAAGAGGAATAAGAAAATGCATTGTAAAGAGTGACTTTGTTTAGATATTAAATTAAGTGAATGTAGAGAGTAATTATATTGTACAATTCAGCATGACTAGAAGAAAGAGAAAAAGAAAAGATTCGAGCAAGAAAGTCGTATTTAAAATCCGCATTCATTCAGGGGGATTTACCCGAACTTCCCCAGTCCTTTCTTTGCCAAGTCGCGATCCCCAGAAATGACGATATCGCGAGTTCTTGGCTGACCACATTCATGCATATCGGGGTGTTTTATTCGTCCATGTGGACTGTGGAGTGTTCGTTGTTGTTGATCGGCGCTTTTATTAAAGTCTGTCTAGTGTCTTTTGTTATGATCGTCTGGGGATGTGATATGTGTATTGTTTTTTGGATTGATCAGAAGGGATAATGTTTATGGTTTATCGTGGGTGGTTATGTGAATTGGGTTGTTTTTACAGAGTATTATGGATGGAGTTTAATGGGTATAGAAGATGGTCAAGAAGGGTAGAAATGATATAAATCTATTAACATGCGAACGGGATATCTAGAACATACAAATAATTATACAAGATTATATACCAGAAACATTATTAACTTCCTCCTTTTTAAACCTCCTCCTGGACGAGTAGATGCAGGCCTGAGCGAGAAGAAGGTTTATTCTAGTCCTTCTTTGCGCCCTTTGCGTAGGCAGGCTTGTCGTCGGCCTTTGCGACAGGCCAGCCGTTGTCGTACTCGAGGTAGGTCCATCCCAACTGTGCCTTGGTGAAGCCATAGCCCATGGTCTTGTTCAGGTAGTGGAAGTAGAGGACGTCCTTGTCGCCCTCGGTGCTGGCGCTCTCGATGACACCCAGACCACCAGGGGCGTAGGTGTTGCCGTGGTTGGACTGGTAGACGATAGTACCACCGCCCTTGAGAAGTTCCGTGCCGCTCTTGTCTACGAAGGGGCCGTTGATGTTCTTGGATCGTCCGACGCGGATGTTGTATCTAGGACAGTTAGATATGGTCATGTATGGGATTTTAGTAGAGGGAAGCTTACTCTTGGCCCTGCGCAGGGAAGCCCTTCTCAAAGTTGCAGCACTTGCCGTGGCTGAACCAGAGGTAGTAGTATCCGTCGTGGAATGTCATGTACGCGCCCTCCTCGGGCTTGGACTTTGCCTCGGGGACGAACGCAAGGTGAGAGGCGTCGGGGTTCTTGTAGTTCTTGACGGAGAGGAGGTCGTGCTCCAAGGGCAACGACCAGATGGTGGACCAGTAGCTACCGTAGAGCAGGTGAGGCTGGCCGGTCTTGTGGTCGATGATGAAGGCCGGGTCGATGGCGTTGGTCTCGGTGTAAGGAACGACCTCGGGCTGGTTCTGACCGGTCTGGACGAGGGCACCGTGGTCGGTCCAGGTACCTTCAATGCTGTCGGAGGAAGCAACACCGATGGCACTGTTACGGCTTCCACCCTGGCTGATGGCGTAGAAGCAGTAGAACTTCTTGGTGGGGTTGTAGTAGATGGTGGTGGGGGCCCAGGGACGAGACTTGTTCGCCTTGTTGATGACGCTGTCCTTGTCGAGGACGGCGCCGATGTCCTTCCAGGGACCGTTCATGTTGGTTGCTTTGTGGATGGGGACGTGGACGCCGCCCTTGAACATGTAGAAGAAGCCATTGTGCTCGACGATGTTGGGGTCGTGGGCAGAGACGCCCGCCCAGTTGGGCTCAGGGAAGGCAGTGGTTGGGTTGATGGCATTCGCAAAGTCCTCTTGAGATGGAACGTGCTTGTTATTCTCGTTGACAGGAGCCGCGATGGCAGAACTGGCGAGATACGAGACTGCCAGGGGCAGAAACCAAGAAGTGAACGAGACCATGATGGAGATGAAGAGGATTAAAGTTGAGATGGATGGGGAAGACAGATGAAACCGGGGAAAGGACTTACTTATAGATGATAAGACCCTTTCTGATGCAGAGGCACAGCAAGGATAGTGTGCAGAAGAGTTGGTGATGGGGCCAAAACAAACCCTGGGGCGCAGTCTGTATAGGCTAGTCGAGGTGTATCGCCCCCAAGGAATCCTTTGGTGGAGCTGCAGAGCAGATCTGAATTAATCGAATGCATCGAAAAGGAGTCTACATATCTGCATGAGTCTTATGATTAGAGAATATTATGATACTATTAATTATCATTCTGCCGACTGAGTCTATGCCACCTCATACAACCTGATACAACAACAGCAACAGCAACAATTAATAGAAGAATCGAGCAAATTAAAACAACCAACAGCCCAACGATAATTCCAACTCGATTCCAACAGGCGAATCATCCTTCAACGGCTGCCCCTTCGGAGATGTCCTTCATCCTGCAGCCCTGAAGGATTCATCAAGATTGCAATCCTGCAGGCGAGCCGTCTGTATAACTTCACCGACCGACAGCCGACAACCTCAGGCCCACCAACACAGCCGCTCAGGCCAGCAGCTTGTATGGCTGTCAAGTTTTAAATAATCTTCACTTTTATTTCGAATATGACTTGGCGATAATAATAAATAAATTGAGGCTCAGCAATGGCAAGATCTCGATCAGACTAGCCAACACGGTCGGGACAGGGTTATTCTTAGCATTCGGCCTGAACAACGGGATAAAACACGGGATCTGTGGAGAGAAGGACTGTCCAGCCAACACGAGTGAAGCCATGATCGGCTGAGAGAATTTGCATGTTTTGTTGGGTTGTTTTGGGGCTTTGGTTGGACGAGGCGGATTTGTTTTTCAAGGATCAGCGTGGCTTAGCCTGGCGATCGTCACTGATTGTGTTCTGACTTGGACGATAATTTGATTTATTCGAAAGATCATCATGCTCTTGTCCAGATGAACCGAGACGATAACTTTGACTGGATTTATCTAAGATTCATGGATTTCGAGTTTTATGTTCTGGATAGTGTAGTATTTCTGCAATTTCATTGCGTATACCGATGGATATGTTACGCTTTGCCCTTGATGTTTATCACTGTCCCAACGAAGACCACGAGGTATATTCAGATGGCACCGAAGTCCAGACAGAAAATCCTAAGCCTTTCCAGCAAAGTAGTGCCAGTAGGCACCAAACAACTTGGTTCCTTCAATGTAGTTTCTTCGGTCGATCTTCTCGTTAGGCCCATGAGGGCCATCATCCGACGCACCCACAGGGAGCAGCAGAAGACTCTTTTCCCCGAGAATCTTTTGGAGATACAATGCAACACCGATACTGTAAAGATCAGCAAACTGTCGTCTCACTTAATTTCCAGGAGAACTCACCTTCCACCCTCTCGAGTGTAGTCTGGATCAGTGTTGTAAACGGCCTTGGTGGCTTTGGCAGCCGCCGCGAAATTGGGGTCATCGGTTTTCGTCCACCAGTATGGAGTAGTTTCGGCTGAGGTTCCGATATTTGTGAGTTGGCATTTACTGCCCAGCTTTTGGAATTCCTCTTTGAGATATTTGATCACCGTCTCGTTGACAGTGTTACTATCCATTTTGGGCACGGTTCGGATGGAGAACGCGCCTGTCACCTTGTTCGGGATGGCGGTGCCTGGTTCGTCGCTGGAATCCGCACCGTTGATGCCGTGGATCGAGAGGGATGGATATCTCCATCGGTGCATCAGGATGTCGGTTGGCTCTTTGTAGAGTGGTATACTGGTGCTGCCAATTGCGTCGGTAAAATCTTTCAACGTGAAATTGATTTTGTCGTACAGGGCCTTCTCGTCTGCGGTGATTCGTTCGACCTGGTCGTTGATCCCGCGTATCAGAATGTTGCCCTTGTTATCGACTAATTTGGAGAAGAGACTGAAGAGGTCTGTCAGGGGCTCAGCAATCGCACCCCCGTAGATGCCGCTATGGAGCTGCTTGGGGGCGCCCTCGATGGTGACTCGGAAGTAGTTGATGCCTCGCAGGCCATATGTCAGACATGGGGTTCGGGTGGTGATCCAGTAATTGTCGGCAATAACGCCTCCATCCACGTTTTTGAACAGATCGTTGCCATGCTTTTCAAGAAACTCAGTGAATCCCTCGGACGAGCTTTCTTCCATGCCTTCAAAGCAAAAGATGAGATTGACAGGAACTTCAATCCCAGCCTCCTTGTGGGCTTGGATAGCATTGAGCCATGCCAGCACCGGGCCCTTGTCGTCCGTAGATCCCCGTCCATATAGCTTCTCCCCACTGGGGTCTTGGACTCTGGTCAGCTTAAAGGCCGGGTGTGTCCAGCCGGTCAGTTCAGGCTGGACATCATAGTGGCCGTAGATGAGAAGGGTTTTCTTGTCTGTAGAAATGCTCTTTCGCGGGGGATACCATGCAACCAGAATCGGGGGCAGATCGAGGTCGGGGTCTTCTGGATTCTTCTTCTGTTGCTTTCCCATGGAAAATGGCTGTACCTCCGCCCCAAGCTTTTTGCCCAGCTCGTCCTCCAGGAACTTTTCCATCTAGAAAGCATGTCAGTTTTTTTTTTTTTTTTTATCTTTCATACACGGCATATCTGTCCAGTCATTGAATACATACTTCTACTACATGTGGGCGGCTTTCAGCCTCACTCGAAACTGACTTGTGGGAGACGGCCGTGGCCAGTCCTAGAGTTGGAATGAGATATGAGTGGATTTCACACAAATAGAATGAATCACTTACTCTTGTCAATAAACTCGCCATCTGCTAGCTTATCGACTCTGACACGCACATATCAGTCAACACATTGCATTTCAATTAGCTTGGGCCACAAACTGATTATAAAACTTCTTCAAGTCTGCAGACATGATTGTTCAAGGTAAAGAGCTTGTCACTCAAATGATTGAATAGATAGCAGTGTAGAATCCTGGATTCGAAACCAACTCGAGGACCTTGAGAATTTGACGGCATATATATATGGCCGGGGGCTTATCCTTTTCCTGCGGCGTACAATCTCGAACTGGGTGCCTGGTTGCGATGCATTTGTTGGTCCTTTTCTTATGATATCAGGCCTCTCACTTGCAAATCATGATGTGTGTGAAATGAGGTGATGGTACAGTCAGCTTATGCATTCTAGATGCAGCTTCAGCACGTTGTTCTTGTTCAATCAGAGTCCAGAATGAGTGGTCGATCCATGTACTGCTCGCCACTGCTTGTCATTGATCATTAATGGCCAGCAGAATGAAGTCATTGCATCAATGTTGCTTTGTATACCCCTATCACTATAATATTTTTATTACATTGCAGATTTAACCTCTCAGCCCCCAGAGCTGACTTCATGTCACGAATATTGTGGGTCGTACTTTTGAATCAATACCTCATCGCCTGAGTGTAGGTTAGAGGAAACAAGGATGGGGAGACGTCAACACGGATGTGCCGGTCTTGTCCATGGAACATGCCCGATGTCAGAAATTAGATTGGCTGTCAAGTGTAGACGAAATCCACAGATTGGCTCAGCTGAGGTTGAGTTGTCATTCCGGATGCAATCTGCGCGCAGTTTACTTTTCCCCATGAAGATTAGGCCTTCAAATGGCCAGATCCAGGCTAGTGTTTCCCTTTATGGATGCATAATGATGATTCTTGATTTTTTACGGGAATTTACTGCTGTTTCGGTCATCGCATCCACGAATACCCTCATAGAACGCTGTGGAAGTCTCTCAGATCGACATGAGCATGGCAGCAGAGGAATCGAAGAGTCGATGAGTTTCAGCTCATTCAGCTCAAGCCACCATGGCGAACCGTCTCCACCGGCCTCATCGTGGTGCATTAGATCAACAGTTCACCTCCAACTGCCCCACCTTTCGACTTGTCATCTCGAAGGCCGACTGGGACAATGGAGTCAGCGTCACACCAGCAGACCTTGTCCACGTCCTTGTTAACCCCCATCGACCCTTATTTTTATTATAGAATATTCGAAAACAGACAGGATTTACTTGATTGCACGCATAACATCAATGATTCACCCTTATAAAGCAACATGATTGAACACTGAGTGAGCGGGGGACCGATTACGTAACCATGTGCGTCTCGTTTAACCGCGGGGTCGACCCGTTCGTCACTCTTCATCCACGGAGAACACGCAGATCACTCGATGCGCTGGGGATGTCGGTTTGAACAGTGAAGCTGAAATGACCAAGGCAACTTTGCATCCAGTGGTGAAGCGGATATGCATTATGCAACCCTTCAGCTCCATGACAGGCGCCCGAATCCAAGCTAACCATGGTTGCTTCAGGGTGTCACGTATCCCACCCGTTGAATGAGCTCTCAACTTGCTCCAACCCGCTCCGAATGCAGCTCAATACGGCTGTATATTGACGCCCCCTTTGTTTCTCCCTATTCTCTTCTCGATCCCATTCGTTGTTCCATTACGATTGCATTGAGCATGTTGGAGGCAGTGAGTAGGTGACATGGCCAAAAAGAGACATCAGGAAGCGGGGAACCTCATCCTTTGCATCAACATTGATTGGCCTTCTCCTCTCTTTCCTGATCTTCGCGTTCGTTTCATTGTCTAGGTCCAGTCGATCATTGTTTCCTGTTAGTGATGGAACAGGCTCCCAATGATCTTCGATGGTCAATCTCGACATTACAGCTGTTCGACCTGTTCGCCAACAGCGCCTCACCACTTTCTACCCCTCATACCTGATGTCAATCTTTCCTTCCTTGGCCAATTGTGCATGAATCAATTGTGAGGTGGCTTCGGGGGGCTGAAAGCACTCTGCAGCCTCCCCGCCCACCTGCATATGCAAGGTCTGCCTTAATGTGTCGCTGCGAAATGCACGTTGCATTCGCATCACAGCCAGCCAGCCACAATGGCAGTGGGAGACTTACCTGATGCATCTATTCCCGTCCATGCAGGGGAAAAAATGCCTCAATCCGCGGTCGCCATCAGCATCATGATCCAATGACTGTTACGGCCGTGGAGTCCATATGACCACTTCATCTATGGAGACAATGATCTAGACGGCGGATGACGATGGTGTGATCGAAATTGTTGCCTTGATTCTCGCCATCGTAACCTACACGAGATGCCATGCTCGGAGGATGAGAATGTAGTCTGGAAGAGATGATGCCATAGTTGTGACGTGACCACCGACCTGGAGACGCTATTGATAGTCAATATTGTCTATAAAAGCCTACTCTTCTCCAGGCTTGTTCTCTCATCCAGAATTCAAAAAGATTGCAGTCAATTCGAGTTCTTTCTGCGTGACATTCATACTCCTCTTTAATCAAGAAATCTTTCCATGGATTTGCCCATCATGAATGCGTCCAACAACGACGATTTCGAGAATCCAATTACCTACAAGCCTAAGCATGCCATTATTCAGGACCTGATTGATTTTATCAATCGGCGGACCCCGATTATCAATACCCCAAAGACGAAGGCTGAAAAGCTTCCAATCAAGACCGATAGATTATTTTTGTTCAACAAAGCCATTAAGCGCGCAATTCAGGATGGTGAGCAGGAAATGGGCGCGGAGAACATCACGAATTTGGATACATATCTCGAATTTGCCGACAAACTCATTGAGTGGACCCCTACCGTCACCTCCACGGGGGACGAAGTCCTGAGAAAGATCCTTGTGTTCTACTGGCCTTTCAATCAGCAGGAGCTCAGCGACCTTCAAACTCCAATCGCACCCACCTTTACCGATACCGATTTGAGGTGGCTTTCCTATTGGCTTGTTGCGTATGCGCGGCGATTGGGAGAGTACATGTCCCAGCCTGAGTCGGTTGGAAACATTTGGAGTTTCTACACCAGCGAGAAATATGGCCAAGGTCCTGGCGATGCAGACCGAGGCAGCGAAAAGTACGACCGCGGGCATCGCTATGAGCAGTGGAAAGTTCCCGATGGAGGTTGGAAATCATTCAATGACTGGTTTTCACGAGAATGGGCCGATATCAACAAGTCCCGCCCACTTGATGGAGAGGGTGATAACAAAGTCATTGTCCAGGGCGCTGATTCGGTATTTAACGGTCACTGGGACATTAACAATGGGATTGTTCATATCAATCCGGACGATACCAAATCTGCCGAAGTGTCTATCAAAATCAAGGGTATCGAATGGCCCATCAAAGACTTGGTCCGAACAAGCACTGAGGATACAAGGTATGACAACGGGAGCTTCACGCACGCTTTCCTCGGGCCGACCGATTACCATCGTCAGCATGCCCCTGTGGAGGGCTATGTGGTCGAAGCGAAGAACATCCAAGAACAAGTCTACCTTCAAGTCGCCCAATCCATAACCAAGGAGGGCAAAACAACCATCTCCCCCGAGCGTGATATTATTGTCAGTCCCCAAGAACTTCAGCGACGATTCGACAACACCGCGGAACTTGAGAAGAAAACCAATTCCGACAGTCAAGAGAATCTTCTCGCGCTCTACAGGGAGAACAATCACCTCGAACCAAACCAGTCTGAGCAGCCTAGTGCCAACGGTCCGAAACCCGACGTTGGTATAACTGCACCCGACCATGCTGGCTACCAGTGGTGTCAAACTCGTGGTCTCGTTGTGATTGACACTGACCTAGACAGCAAGGGCAATAAAAAGCCCGAGGGAGGCCATGGCCGCGTTGCAGTTTTGCCCATTGGAATGGCCCAGGTCTCTTCGGTCGTCCTCACTGTGAAAAAGGGAGATTACCTGCAGAAGGGACAAAACATTTCCTACTTCCAATTCGGCGGTTCTGATATCGTGACTGTCTTCGAGAAACGACCTACCTATAAGGCTGGTCTCGAAGCTGGCAAGACCAAGTTGCACATCAGAGAACACGTGGCCGATTGGAAGTAAACAGCAATAGGCAAAGATGATATGGGATTGGTTCTCTGAACGAAGCAACCTCTGGAGGTACTTGACAAGATCATGCTTTGTGCATAGTTTACCGTCCTACGGAACTACTCTTTGGCCCATTGCTTGAATGCAATGCTTCATACATTAGTCATGAAATGAATTGATCTTTCGACCACTATTCCCGATGTAGCTTTGTCATCTAATATATGAAGATTAATAGGCTGTAGGAGTCTGTATAGGAAGCCAGTATAAAGCAAGCACTAGGGAGGTAGTAAGTAGAATAGACTAATTTCAGTATAAAAGCGAATGCCAAGAAATGGAATTATATTTAAGGAAAAAAGTATAACCATCCACATCTTAAACAGCACTCTGTCCCTTTCTCGACTTGCGCCCCTTCTCAGACCAAGGGAAATGCAACACAGGGACAACAACGAAACTGTTGCTGCTATCTGCGATACCGCTGAATGCATTATACCACGCCAGGAACGCACCCAGAAGAGCAAAGAAACCACCGGATTTTGTCAATTTCGCGTTGGGAGTTTCCTGCTCGTCACGGAGGAAGTACCCGAGAGCGAGAAGGAGAATTGCCAAATCGACAAAGAAAAAGAGCGAAAAGAAGGCAAGCGTAGATTTCATGGTGCACATCAGCATCAGCGTGGTGAAGATGAACCAGCCCTGAACATGTTAATTCATCATAATTTTAATACGGGGATCTGGACGAACCATGAGATATAAAGCAAAAGAATCATAAAACATCGCAGGCGAGCCATTATCCGCTTTCTCAAGCCCAGCCATAATGTTGAATCCACCCGGTATGTAGATAATGGAAGTCCCAATCCAGAAACCGCCATAAGAAGACAAAACAGTCGCACCAAAGGTATTCCCAATGGCCATTTCCCTGCAACTCATTAGCATCCATTCAAAAACAGAATAATAGGTAAATAGGTATATCAGCATACCACATCCCAGCCAACAGCTGCACCAGCCCACCATACGCAAGCGCCACCCCAACCAACATATTCGGCTCCTTGACGCCCTTCACGTTCATCTCAATGCACCCCAGGACGAACGTCGTCAATGCGAACGCACACAAGCCTAGGGGCGCTGGGTTGCCGATTGTGCGCCCCTTGACGGGGCGGTAGAGACCCGGTTGGAACTCACCCCCAAAGGCAGGGAGACGGCTTTCGGCCGTGTTGACGTGTGCGAGGGGACCGTAGTGGCCATAGTCGATGTGGGAGGATTGGGTGGTGCGTTGGTGTTCGAGTTCGGGTGGGGAGGAGGTGTTGCTGGAGCTGATGTCGTCGATGTCGGGGGCTTTTTCGGGTTGAGACATGGTGATTGTAAGATGGAGGATTTCAGATAGAAAGGGGGAATAGCAAGAAGGAGGCTGTTGAGAATGATTGAGGAATACCACCAGGACGACAGCTTAATATAACCTCATCATCCATTCCCCCGGCATGTCCATCGGGAACCACCAGAGACCCAAAGCGGGGGATCGACGATACTATAATGTAATATAAAAGCAGAAGCGATCATAATGAAGCGTAAAAGGGCGTATTCGACCAGAGGCAACCACACAAGAAGTGGTCTGTAACAATGTACAAACGCAAAGTGCAGCCGCGATATTCGCTGCACGGTGGATCAGCATCCCCGCCATCTCCGCATTGGGCGACTTCCCCAGGGAAATGGTGGATCTGGGGAAAAGGAAGCTTGGGGCGACATGAGGTTATTGGAGGATATCTGAGATCATCTGGCGTGCTATTGGACGCCGTATCTGGGCATCTCTGGATAGTGCTGGAAGTTTAATGTTAAATTGTGGATAACGGCGGTTTTGGTCGGTAGTTGCGGTTCTTTACCAAATCAGAAATGGCCACTTTGGATGTCTTCATTCTTGAGATGCCGATCGAAAAGCCGGTTTTTGGGATTCGATGGTTGGCGGGGGATTCGTTGAGTTGATGACGTTTACATTAAGAGAGACGGGCTGTAACTGTCTTGGCTTCATCTTAGCGAAGGGAGAGACAATGCGATTTCAATTTATTAAGTAATGGATACAATAGTTGAAGTATTTCCTGTCTATAAAAAACGCCGGAAGAAATGCATGAATAGTGAGTGCAAGGGAAGTGATAGTCGCCACATCTGTCAGGCACCTCTCAATGCCAGATCTGGCAACAAAGCCCTGTATATCTCATCTCAATATCTGAACTCTCGGACAAAAGGCAAAGCAGCGAGATCAACCGAGACACCGGGTGGCCAAGACGACTGCATCCACTTCGGGATGGTGAAATTTTGCCGAGTACAGCCAAGTCTCTCAGGCAAATTATGCACAATTTGACTATGACCGTGATAGAAGTTAATTATTCATATTTATCTTGTGCTTGAATCGCAGACTCGGAGAGAAGTCAAGATGCCGATGCCATAGTCATTAGCAGTCATGACTGTCGTGAGATAGCAAGTCCAAAATCTAAACTCTTATATAAATATCATATAGCCGATATCAATCATATTAGTGCAATGCAAGATTCTTCATCTTATACCAATGAAATGCTTCGACCCCGCATATCGGCCTCACATTCCGACGCCGACCAGTATATCTATACACACCGGCCAAAACAACTTCTTCATTCCCGAAAGCGCATAGTTCCACCATGTTATTAAATAAATCAATCCCCAAGTCGATCCTCAACGGTCGCGTAATTCGATCCCTCTCATCCACAGCCAACCGAGGAATGGCGACTCAATATCTCAACATCCCTGTCCTCCCCGCAGACATCGCATTCGGGTTGATGGCTGATTTCCAAGCCGACACTCACCCAGACAAGGTATCCTTGATAGCAGGCGCATACCGAGATGAAAAAGGGAATCCGTGGGTATTGCCCAGCGTGAAAGAGGTACGTATACCAATCCACCATAACTACACACCGCACATGGTAACCTTGTTTTTTATACATATGATAGGCAAAACAACGCATCGCCCTCGACCCATCCTGGAGCCACGAATATCTTGGCATCGCCGGCTCAAAAACCCTAACCACCGTAGCGAAGACACTCATCTTCGGAACAGACTTGGCGGAAAAGGCAAATATCGCTAGCATCCAAGCCGTCTCGGGGACCAGCGCCAACCATCTCGGTGCTTTATTTCTGGCCAAGCATCTCAAGCCAAAGCGGGTTTTCATACCGGATCCGACATGGGTGAATCATCATACTATCTGGACTGAAGCGGCGCAAGATATTGAGCAGTTGACATATCCTTACTCGTACGTGCCGGGTTCGCGATCCGTTGATGTTGACAGGATTATCGCGAAGTTGGAGACGGAGGCGCATCCGAATGATGTTATCGTTCTACAGGCGTGCGCACATAACCCAACCGGTATCGATTTGAGTCAAGAAGAATGGGTGAAGATCGCAGACGTGGTACAGCGCAAACGGCTGTTTGTTCTCTTCGACAGTGCCTACCAAGGCTTTGCGACTGGCGATGTCGACGGAGATGCCTGGTCAGTTCGATATTTCACCAAGCGTTTCTTCGACAGCACCTCTGAGCATATCCCCGGTTTGTGCGTTGCGCAGTCGTTTTCGAAAAACTTTGGATTGTACGGTGAGCGAGTGGGCGCGTTGCATTTAGTCGTTCCTGGGGGTGTGTCTACGGATGGAGCACAGTCTCAGTTATCGCTTATGGCACGGGCGGAATACTCCAACCCGCCTCGATTCGGGGCACAAATAGTCGAAATGGTCTTGGGGTGTCCCGAGCTGAAGGCACAGTGGAATGAGGATTTGGTGACGATGAGCTCCCGGATCAAGAAAATGCGGACCGAACTGCGTCGGAAGCTCGATGAGTTGGGCGCCAGGGGGGACTGGTCGCATATCGAGGCGCAGATTGGCATGTTCAGTTATACTGGGCTGCGGAAGGATCAGGTCCAGCGCTTGCAGGATGATTATCATATTTATATGTTGCCTTCGGGGAGAGTTAGTATTTGCGGACTGAACGAGGGGAATATTGACTATGTGGCAAAAGGCATCGTGGAAGTTGTGAATAGCTGAACATGATGTATATATATGCAGATGATATCTATCTAATGATCTAGTTATCCTATTTACATTCGAATGCTATTATGTTCAAGCTTTAAATATGTTCATGTGTAAGGCGAATTCTCCGAACTCACTATAAAACTCACACCACAAATTAGGCGTTATTTGCACAAGAGAAGCTCTTACTCCCAGAGTCATCGTGAATTGCCTTCCCTGAGACATAGAGACCGAGGCCACACTAGGAAAAAATTAGCCAGATTAAGTATTAATTGTTTCGGAAGACGCACCAAGGTCAGACATAACCCGACAGTACCGATATTTACAAGTGTCAAAAAGATCTTTCGCTTGGAAGAGAAGTACACGCCTTTGTTCATAAAGAGCCAGAATATAGCACTCAAACCGTCTGTTTGGTAATTGTCAGCATATGCTCGTCCGAACGCAGATAAAATCAAGTACTTACACGTAAACCAACTGCCGAACAAAGCAGTCTAATGTTTTGGTTAGCATCAAAGCCTCGAGGAAAATGGTTGGGACAGAACGAACGATCAAACTCAGCAAGTTACTGAATACGGGAATTGCTTCGGCAATGATCCATGCAATTGTCCAAAGAACAAGGCCAATAGCCAACCATGAGCTGACGGCGACGAAGTCACGCTTGTGAATACGATCTGTACCCTTCCACAACCGTAGATAAATGTACTTGCATGAAACGTGGCCGTAGATGACACCGGCGATGAGAATCTATTGACACGGTTAACAAAGGGCACACGAAGGAAACGGACGACTGTCATACAGTGGGGAGAGCGACTCCATATGAGATTCTCTGCATAATAGGGCTAGAAGAGCCAAGTGCCGGGGATTTGACATCGACACCAGCGTAGCGGTAGATGACAACGGCCGCGATCAGATACAAGGCATTATCGGTAGCTTGCAAAAGGCAAAGGGCCTTGGGGAAATCGTTCGGGTCCTTCAACTCGGCGATGAAGCCAAAGTATGCGACATGACCAGCTGAGAGAAAATTAGAGGGTTAGCAAAACATTACCGGATTGATCCCGAAAAGGATGGCTCACCGAAAGCAAAGACAATGTTCATGACAGCCGAAAAGGCACTGATAAAATCAGGGCTGGTGGTAACGTCAACATGGCCTGACCCTGGCTTTTGGATTCCCAGACTGATCATGCAGGTCAATACGGCGGCAATAATGCTTATGAATGCTAAATGTGCGTTAGTTATAAAGCGACCTATATGTGAGAGCCCTGAAAAGTCTACTCACAGATAAGGGATAACCAGGATATCTTGGTCATGGTTCGAGGGATATTGCAGATGAAGGATGCGATTAATCCAACAACGCCGAAAACAATGGTGCACGTTCCGTGGTTTGTGACTGAGAGAAAGGTCAATAGACAGATAGAAAGAAGAAATTTGGCAACCAAGCTTACCTGAATTCATCGCAACCGTAAATGTGAGCAGATGGCTGCCCATGATGAACACCATAAACAGCAATTGACCGGCTCCGACAACCTCTCGTCCAATACTGCCTGCTATGATTTCACCAGCATCTGCCATGTTGACCACGTGTGGGTATCTCATTTTGAACTGCCCAATGACATATCCGGTATAAGTCGCTAAAATTCCGAGGCCAAGCAGTAAAATAATCGCACTACAAAGATGTTATCATGCTGCCAAGTCGAGTAATCTGTCGTTGGTTGGATGCATCACTTACGGGACGAGCCCAAGTGTGGCCACGGCGGCTGGAAGGGACAAAACACCGAGAGATACAGTTTCGGCAACCATGACTGGTAGGTTAGCTTGATATAGGATGAAGATATAGTCTCCTAGGTTTCACATACGCAAACCACATTGCCTGCCGCATAGTTACTTGTTAACAAGAGATCGCACACATGCAATCGGGCTTCAACTCACCACCACGTTAACACTTTGTATTTCACCTCGGCGAATTCCTCATTTCCAAATGCATCACCGGACGCATCATGATGTCCATCCTTCTCGAGATACTTTTCCTGGTCGTAGTCCAACGAGGGAGGTCGATTGTGTCCGAGTTGACCGACGGAGTCCTCGTGGAGGTCGAAAACGTTCGAATTTGCGACCATGAGGGGCAGTATGTACACAGCCAAATTTAGAGGAAGCCACTGAGTTGAAGGAAAGACAGGAACTGGCTCCAAGGGTAGGCTTTTCCGCGCAATTCAGTGGTGTTGAAGCACAGGGAGCAACGTGGGCTTGTTTTTCACAATATTATTGACGCCTGGAGAGGAACCAGAGCTTCTCCAGGTCTTGTTGCCTTCATCTAGAAAAGTCTACCACGGACTCATAGAGCCGTTTGGAATTGCCCCATCGAAACATATTGTACAGCTGTCATTGGTTGCATGGACGGAAGAACCCGATCTCGCTGATCGCAAATGAACACCGGATTCAGCGACCGGCACTGCTCAGGTTGCACTGCGAATGGCCTAGCGAAATTGCGACGTGAAGACCAACTTGGTGGGGTCTAGCGGCCAAATACCACCCAGTGTGAATGTGCATGCATTCTTCGGTGAGACCGCGAGTTGGTGGCAATTCGGCCATGTGTCTCGGTGCCGAAGAGGAATGAGAGAACAATCACAACGTGCTGGCGTCGAATCAGTGTGCAACCGACAAAGAAAGAGGCCGAGGGTACATCGTATGATTACCCCGTATGATATTATTCGAAGGCCAAGACAACATGCTTGAATCTCGTATGTAATAGAATCGTGGAGAGGTGTCTTTCCAGGAAAGATCGTCGGGAGCGCGTTCCCACTGCGACCGGAGACATGGACTGGAGACGAGTCTGGGGACTGGGGTTGTCACGTTACAGAGGCCGATTGCGGGGACTTGGGTTGGCAATTGAGATCCAATTCTACCTCCTGCATCACTGATCATCTTTTGTACTCCTTATTGAGGCATAGGTTAGATAAACAGCTAAGAGGTTTGGATCTCAACAAGCTTCCTTGCATATTGGGTTGGTGGTGACAAATAGAGTGCAAGGAGAGTAGCCACGTGATTCTCTACGGGGAGGACCCTAGCCCTATGCCCTAAGCAATCTAGCTGGGAACAGAACGAAGGCAAACAGGGCAAACAGTCCCAAATGCGGCCTAGCGTGTTCTGTACCAATGTCCCTGTCCCTTGGAAGCTCGACTCCATCATGGCCACCTAAGTGGCACTATCCGTGGCGTGGAGTCTTTTAATCAATTACCCCGCAGATCCATGTTGATATTTTGATCACATTCTCCATACTTTTCTAGCGAGAATGACACAAAGTGACAATGCTGTCAGGTCTTCTTGCAAGCAGCTATCTCCAGTACAAAAGAGACACTGATGCCGTGGCATCATGGCTCGCCACGACAGCCAAGAAATGTGGATACTCGGCAGACTTGCTGGTAAATAACAAGGGCCAGCAAGGCCCCGGAAAATCGAAGGGCAAATCACGGAAACCAGCCAAGCAAGCCCCTTCCGCCCAGGCCTACACGATTGCCGTCAAGGATTTTATCAGTTTAGCCGACTACATTATCGGCTCCAAGAACGCTCGCGTGGATGTCACCTCTACCTTTGTTTTAGCAATAAACCGTGCGATATCGGTCAGGAAGACGTACGGTTCACAAATCTTATCCACATTGCCCCGAAATGACAAGACGCTGGCATCAAATGAACGACACTCATATTTCATTGGAATCTTGGAGCACGTGCGCGACACTCTGCGGCCATTAATACCGAAAGAACTGCTGGGAGAACAGGAGGCCCCGAAGAGAGGAGCGGACAAACTATCAAGCTTATTTGAGAATTTGGATGTTTACGAGCCATCAGAGGAGTTTCTGAAACCCCCTGACAAACCTCCTGTTCATGATGCCAAGCAATATGAACCACAATACAAAGCGGAGGAGGCGGAAGACTTTGAAGAAGCACTGCTTGCATTCCAACTGCTACTCGGTGACTTGAACAAGATTCGGTCGGTGGTTTCACAAACATGGGCAGGCTATAAGGCTGGAATATTTGACGTTGTCACGGCCTCAGTGACGTCCAATACTGCCATCGACATTGCTCGCCGATTGGAGGAAGACATCCAAGGGTTATTCCAAAAGCATGGTGGTTGCGCAAGAATGATCCAAATGTTATACGTGGCACAGTGCATCGTACATGGAGAGAATGCCAACCACAAAGAAAAGGCGGGAGATGATATGAATTTCCGGATGTATGATGTGGCAGAGGCAATCTTTTGGCCCACATATGAGCTCTTGAATGCGTTTACTCCTCTCATTTTTGGTAACAACATGCCTATCTACAAAACGGGTCACTACGGCATTTACGACCCGTCGCAGGATCGGTCCAAACTGAGCGCCAGGGAGAAATTCCAAGAAGACAAGATAATCATGATGGAAAGTCTACCGGAGTTTTATCTACTCTGCAAAGGCTGTGATTTTGATGTCCCTGCACAAGATGAATTTATCAGTGGTCTGCAGGTGATGTTCAAAACCAAGAAAATACCAATGTGGCTTGTTTTGGCCGCACAGGTGTTTTTAGATGTCAACCATGAGTTCCGAGGAGATGTCGACCGAGCCTTCAATGATCTCCAGAATGTCGCAGGAAAAATGGAGGCTTCTATCTTAGGAAGTCTTCGGTTCACAAGCCGGGTTAAAATTGAAAACTGGCCACGAATTAACGACAATGCGTTTCGAGACGTTCTCGCACGCATCAACGAGTGGGTAAAAAACGATCCTATGCAGGTGGCTAAGAGCCGACTCCGACGGCCACTTGGCGAACCGTTTATGATCATGAAAAGACATCCCACGTTTACTGGCCTTTGGGTATACACCCTCAAGTCACTTTTCCAGGATATCGGTATCACGCTTGCCAACGCATACGGCTCCGTGCTTTACACCGGCTATCTATATAATGCCGTCCTCCAGGAAAAACTACTAACAAAGGAATGGAAAGACATGGAGCTGCTGATAACACTGCATGATAATTTCTTCGTTGGTGATCGGCCAGAAACACCCGAAGAATCGCTCAAACGTTTTGTCCTGAGCATGGGTGGTTCTGTGTCGGAATTCTCCAAGAACAAACGAGGTAGAGGTGGTCATAACGCACCGGCGCTGTCCAGAAAGGGACCAAGGGGCCTCACGCCACGAGCACCTGTTTCCTTGATGTTCATGGACCGTTTCTGCCATGGCAGTCGTAGAAGTGATTTGTCTGTACAAGACCTAGAAGAAATTCTCTCCAAGGGAATGTGGGAGGAAATACCGGAAGAAACAGCAGATGCCAAAAAGAAGGAACGGTCTGGTGATGATAGCGACGTCCGCGTTTTCGGTCGCAGTCGCCCCATGACACGAAAGTAGTGGCAAACTCACCATCAACTCACACCAACCCAGCTACTCGAGGCCTTGCGCAATTCTCTTCTCGGAGAGTCTTACGAGCTAGCCTTCGACTACTGCGCGTTGCACTTACTTTCCTGGACGTTTCTCCGATTGATTAGAGAACGCACCCATGACAAACTGGTACGGATGTATGGTCCGATGTACATCGAAACGGAAAACCAGCTTCCTTTCGTTGTTGGCTACATCTTGATGGCCGCTGTAAACATGGACCAGATCCGCAATGTGCTCGTCAAGAAAAAGGAGGACATTGTAACGAGCGAGCTTTTGCTCCAAGCGGCTGGTGTCTTGGGCAGCTCCATGGATATCGGCAGTGGGGCGATTATATCGAAAATGATCCGTGAACGATACGCGGTTCCATACGCCATCGAGGGAGAGACATGAAATGGTCAATTTGTCTAGGCTGAATATAATTGAATATTCATTTTGAAATAAATTGCCGAACCATCTAAGCATCGGAGTGAAGCGGGGAGAAGCATTGGTCATCTTGGAGGAGCGCCTTCAATCGCCTCCATTGGTTTTGATCGAAGACACTTACTCAATAACACTTCCATCGTCGATGTTCTCGCCCTTTTTGTGCAACAAGGTGAGTGACTTGAAATAGAACCTCGCATTTACATACGTCGGCCAACCACCGGCCTAGCATCTGACTGCACCAGTCACGAATACGGTTCAGAGGTCCTGTATGGTGAAGTTGAAATATTTCCGACAGATCATATTATGTTAACCGAATGAAGCAGGCCACGATTAGTAGTTCATCCCGCGCGCTAATCTGAGACAACTAATTCTCAGCCACCACCAAGAGGCCTTGACTTGTTCAATTCTATCTTGTAAAATACTGGAACTTATGATGTGTAGATAAGCTTTCATTATATAATTCTATTTTTAGAGTGGTAGATTCACACAAGGCTTCCACCCGTCACATTAGATGGCTGTGGTGGCTGTTCCGGAATGTCCGGCTGACTGCCGAAGGTTCGAGAGAAAATTAAGGTTTATAAATGCCATCAACCTAACAGAGACTTGTCCGTTGAAGAACACCAAACTTAATAAAATTTCAACACAACCAGCCGACGCGATTGGATACCAAGACCCTGTCAAGGTCAGCTGCACAAATGCCGTCGAATAAAGATCGCTTGTACGTGGCCCTCTATGCGCGCGGAGGAGCTCCAACGATGCCAGGAAAAGAAGACACGTGAGATCACCATGCCAAAATCCTGACCCATACGGAGGGGCTGATGATGATCTAGATACCACTGGGCATTGATTGTGGGACCAAAGGTCGAGACGCGAGATAAACGGGGTGTCCGTTACCACGTGATAGAGGAGCCAAGGTTCGAGGGAGGTTCAAAATGGTGCTTCAAGGAGCAATCATGCGCACTTAACGCCACCAGTATGCTGCTTGTGCGAGTCATGATCGGAAAGGTCGAGGATAGAAAATCCTTGGTTGGGATTTTGCACAAAACCCCTATTAGGCAGGGCGAAGAAGGGTGGAATTGTGTATCTTGGGTGAAGGAGGCGTTGGAGACCCTGCAGGCCGACGATAAGACGCTAGGCACAAGCGTTGTCGAGTGGCAAAAAGTGCGCGATGAGGCGATGGAGTACTGCCAGCGGAAGAAAGATCAGCACCGTTTTGATGGCCAAGGAGACTTTGATATGAGCAAGCCCCCGACATATGATTTGATCCGGCGAAAAGAGACCATCACATGAGGAGGGGCCTAAGGAATATTGCTCAAAAACTTCCAAAGCGCCCTTGACGAATTTGTTCCATTGCTAGCTCTTCCGGCATTGGGCGAAGAAACTTATCAATCTCATTGACCCAGAAAGAGTTCTGTGGATTGACTTGGCAAGCAGTGGTGTATTCCCAGTAAGACGGATACCACCCAGCAGTTTCCCAATCAACAATACCCACAACATCATCTCCATCGGCCAGGATATTGAGACTGCTCAGATCACCGTGTGTGAAAACCAAAGGCCAATATCTGTCATGTCGTTTAATTAGGTCCTGAATATCAAGATCAAGACGAGGATTATAGTCCATGCCCGTACGTAAATGTCGATGGAAATCTTCAAGGGTACGAAAGGGGCCGAAACGCAAGGGGCCAGGTAAACGGCAGTCGTAAAGTGAGCCGCCATCAACAGAGGCGATGCCGACCCCTTCCGGAGGCTGGAGAGCTCGCATCTCCTCGATCATTTTTTTAAGTTGTGAAAGAAGTTTAGCCTTTGACTCGTCACTCCGCCGCACCCAACCAGCACCAATCATGTCTCCTTTTATCCTCTCCATCACGATGTATGTCGAGTCATGATGTTTAAACGCACATAAAACTTTTGGAACTGGAATCGACGTGTTTTGCGCTATAAAACGCATCGTCGAAGCCTCGGTTAAATCCACCAAAGTGCCGTACTTGACGCACAGTCGGTCTGTCAACATGAGAACGCTCCCAGGGTGAGGTCGGCTAGATCTGAGTGCCTTGATTGCTAGGAGAATAGCGTATCGATAAAGAGGCTTGTCGTTGATCGCCTTCGATGCGTTCTGTGAGTCTGGGGGTGTGACATTTTCCTGTTCGCGGGACATGAAGTTTGTTGCATTGGAAGAGATTTTTGGCGGGTATATTTCGTGAAATTCAGTAAAACGACATATAAATAGGAGCTGAAGTCAAAATCCCATACCAAACGATGCAAAAATGGGTATCTCGAAAAGACGATGATGGTGTTGGACTGTTGATAATGCCCCTGATGAGACAAGTCGCACACGTGACATGAGGGGAGCTTGAGCTTGTTTGTGCTGTTTGCACTACTGCCTCAGGCAGGAGGAATGTGGGGCCGTACCGTCTCCACGTGCCACCCGACAGACAGCCTCGGCTTCATCCCTTCACGAACCCATTGACAATCTTCAACCATTCTGATCTCGATCTTTCATCTGTTCAGGGATTTTCAAGATCTACTTCAGATCATTGCCGATGTTAGACATGGCGCTTTTATATCTGCTGGCGATACGGGCTGCCGATCGTGCTCTCAACTCATCGCCCTGCTCAAGCTTCAAATTCAAGACGCAGCAAACTTACTCAAAGGTCATGTCAAGATAAATATACAATTTCATCACATTAAATGAGCTATATGCATCCAGGCTGTAACATGATAGCCTGGGAAGTATTTGAAAGAAAATGAAAAGTCCGCAGTGAACTCCCATCAGGCAAACTCCCTGGGAACACCACTCCTCTCCACCATTTTCAAGTACCATGCCGCAGTCGTAATGCGCAGACGTTTACCCCAAACGATCATGGGGATTACTGTCAAATGCGCAATGATACACATGGCCATCATTTGGATAAAGGCATTTCCATACCCAGAGTGATCAAGCCAGGGCTGCACACAGAAGACAAATGTCATTCCGATAAGATTGCGGAAGATATTAATAACCACCAGGGATTGGGGTGCAACAGCTCGGTAGGAGTCGAGAATATAAGTCTGCATCTGTTAGTGGCTGTCAAATCATCAGATAAGGATAAACATACCTCGCCAATGATAGATGAAGCGGTGAATCCGAATCCCATCAGCCCCATCCCAATTACAGGACAAGACCAAGGCAATCCAACCTCTACGCCTTTACCATACATGACCAAACCACCCGACGTGATGATTGCTGTCGCGGCAAGGAGAGAAAGGCGGTGCTCGGGCTCGCGAGTACCCTTGTTTCGCTTTGCGACGACGAGGACGAACCAGTCGCTCACGTTTCCTGCGAATATGGTTCCGAGGAGACTACCAATTAAGGCGGCGGCATTTGTTAAGCCGACCTGCTCTCCGTTCCAAACATAGGGCTCCCCGACGTAGAACTCTGATACGAATTAGTCATTGATACATATCTTGGGGGCAAAGAAACATACGCGACTCGGTGGTGAAAATCGCGGCCCACCAGCAGATCGACACACCCGTGAACATACCCGCCCAGAGGACTGGGGGGAAGAGTGCCAGCTTGTAAGGGCGGAGAAAGAGGTCCCTCCATTTTTCGTCTGGGTTGACGCCCCATGAGTGGAGAGGATGGGTTTGGCGGTAGGATTTCAACTTGATCGACGAAGGTGCAGTGGGTGATTCGGGGTCGGTGGAAGCGACCTCTTTGGGGGCATAAGACCGGGGATAGAGAGTTTCCTCGAGACCAAAAAGAAGAATCAAAACCATGGCGCCCTGATGGGGGTTAGAAGAAATACTAATAGATTGAAGACCAAAACTCACAAATCCAATTGCAGTCAACCAGAAACACCAACGCCAGGACAGATCGACATACACATATCCAGCGACCAGCGGCTATACAAATCAGTCAATACGCTCATCTGGACAAGGTAGGCAGTACTCACGACGACAAAAGCCCCGGCACTATACGACAAAGCCCAGTATCCAACCTTGGAGCCGATTTCATGGGCAAAGTACATATCCTGCAACGAGATTTGAACGAGACCTTCCTTGGGACCACATCCGATGCCCTAGCCACGTCAGCGACGATCACCACATATCGAGTAAGTTGACGCACCCAAAACACGTTAAACGTAACCCAAACGCCCCAGTTGGTCTGACGAGCCCCAATAATACTGCCGACCAAGGCGATGATAAGGCCGATGATGTATGCGGGCCGACGACCAATTTTCATGGCCACCGGCGGCCAAAATGTTGCCCCGACACCACTGAAGAGGAAGAGGATAGCACTCCTACAGACTCAATTGTTAGATGGCTTTCAATAGTATCAGGGATGAGGTCATACCCCGTATTTAGCCCATTGTAGGTTGTATTCAGGTCGACCGTTAGACCATCATATGCGACACCATAAAAGTTGATTCTGCAGACCGTCAGTTTAACTCAATATTTAGCAGACAGTGTGGAGACATACAGTCCATTCATAAAAAAGGTGTACACACACAGCAGAATCAGCTGCAGATTCTTCCGACGAGTTGACCAATTCTGGAAAAATCGAACGAAAGTTAGTTTACGATCGACAAACTTCCAGATGTAACGTTCCAGAAGAACAAAAAGAAAACACTCACCAAGGGATCGTTGGGATCTTCACTGGGGGGAGGAATAAGGACGATGTCATCGTGTTTTCCTGAGGCGTGTTTGGTGGATGTCTGGTGGGTGACTGTGGATGGGTCAGCATGAACATGTAAGCAACAGCAACCCTATGCGACCTATCACACGCATGTGATAAGGTAGTTGTGCCAAAACCAACAGTAAGGCCCATCCAGCTGCATGCAAAAAAAGAAAAAAAATTAGAAATTATAAAACCAACCATCGACTAGGAAAACAGTCCCTGGAACAAAAGACGATGCATCAGAGACATGGTCAGACACGACAGATGCCGCAGTCGAGGGGTGTTCTGGTCTCATGACGGATATAGACGCTTCATCGGAGCCCTGGCTAACCATGAGGACCGAAAAGAAGGAAAAGAAAGCAAGACAGACAGAGAGAAAAAAAGGCAAGTGAATACGGCCGGGATATGTAAGGCATGGATGCTTTGTTGCTTCGCCAAGGTCTGTTTGACTTTTGGTACCCCTGCGCGCTGTGAGGCACTCTATACAGGGATGTCCGGGTCGAGTCCGTTCAACGAACCTCGCCTGTCGCTGATTCGCTAGCATTGGCCAATGAGAGCGAGTGCCCACTGCGGGATTGACATGGGCTAGAGCTTAGCTGCATTAGTCGATATTTAGGTAAGTGGCCCACTTCCGCCCGGGGTGGCGTTTTGGCCATGAACTGACAAACAAGTGGAGTCGCAATTGGCACGATGGAATTAGGTTGACTGGTTGACACGGAGGGAATCTGGATTACACTTCGGCCCGTGTTTGTCTCGGTTTAAATCGCTCGATCAGGGTTTCATTGCGTGTTCCTGAAGTAACCTCAAGGTTGGCAAAAAAAGTCTTGAAAAAAGTCAAAGTGGTACTATCCTACTAAGACAATGCTGATCCCAGAAATATTGCCGCAGTCATTATACATTTATGTCAAATCTCTATGAAACAACTAGGAAAACTAGCCCCAAGTGCACTTACTCCCTATACTGAACCACCTGCACCGTCCGAACAATACCCATCTCCTCATCGCGTTCCGTTCCCGCCCCCGACCCATCCTTCCCAGCAGTCACCGTGGTGTGATTCACACCATGCCGATCCATCGCAACCGGATGCAACTCAAACCCTGACTCGCTTGTTGTTTGAGTTTGGCTAATCTTCCCAGTCTCGTCGTCGGCGGCGCAGCGCACAATCGACTCCATCGAACTGGCCCGATTCGGCTGCGATCGAAACCGGTCCCGGGACCGCAGTTGGTGGTGGTATTGTGCTGTTGGGCCCGATGCACCTTTGGTATACCCGGACCCGGCGAAGCTGTTGAAATTGAAGATTTGGCGGAGGAGGGGCCAGAGGAGGGGGATGTTGCCGATGTAGACGGCTGTTGATACTTCTGCCACGTACCATTTCTGGGGGGTCAGTGTTAGAGTGTGAGATCTGTACTTTCGGGGATTAGAACGTACTAAGAAGACGGGCTGGTATTGTAATGTGAAGTTGTAGTAGCGGTTGAGGATGGCCATTAGGATCTGTGATGTTAGGTATATATCTCTTATGGGCGGATTGTACGTACGACAAAAACTCCTAGACTAAATATAGCACATAGCACGAGTTTTCTGCGATCGTCAGTATAGCCACAGGTAGGTATAGCAGAATAAGCGCACCGTTTCATAGGCAATCGAGAGCGAATTAATATGCGCAGAGGAATACACAGCATTATGATATCGGAGGAAATGTTAAAAACAGTCGTTGTAATCAGATGATTGTAGTAGGTCGCACATTGCGCTGTCTGTGTTAGCAGTGAGAAGAGCAGTATGAAGGTCACACATACATTGTACAACCGGTACATCCCCTATAACCATTAGCATCATCTTGGACAAAAAGCGACAACACGATAACACTCACAATACATGGTGATCGGAGGTCCACACCACACGGCGCAAAAGAGAATCTCAACGAGAATATAAGAAGCAACAACGTAGACCGCAACGATCTTGACAATCGTATGCTCCGTCAATCCCTTCCTGCTCATCGTCAGCACCATCTCACAAACCGCGACCAAGTCCATACGTTAATCGATTATAAATCAGCAGCAAACACCCTTTGATCATCCACAACGAGGCGAGAGTAAAATGCTCCAGCGCAAAAGTCATCTTACTCCCCCAGACTGCATCTTCGCGACCTTTCTTATCTAGTTGTTCTGCTTCTCCGGCGGGAAGATAGTTGCTACCGTACGTGGCGGTTTCGTTGACGCAGACGATTACGCCGGTAAAGGTGATCTATTCATTTTCAGCGCTGTATATTATGTGGGCTGTGTAGTACCGACCGTCACGACCATCATGATGTAGTCGTCTGCTTCGAGTTTCTTCCATGATGATCTTGCGATGCGTCGTGATATCCTGGGGGTGTCAGAGAGGATGCGACAAATGCGAAGGGCCAACCGACATGCGAGCTGCGATGGTAAATATCCCTGTATGTATTAGATAAATACTTGTAGGATTAAAAGAATGTTTTACCTATCACATAGAGAGTCCATGACTCTATAGCCAGCTCTTTGGAGAACTGGCTCATTGTCGATAGGCAGTCGAGTCAACTCGACAACGGCCATGGATAATCACATAAATAAAACAGTCAGGCTGCAGAACAATAATCAAATAATAAAATAAAAGACTAAATTAAGCGGATAAAACTTCACGGCGCAAACAAGGTTAAATCATGGCGGAGTATGTAACCAAATCTTAATCCCACAAAGCCTCACCGAGAATAAATCAGAGGAAATCAGCCAGCTTATTCTTCTGGCTGCTACTGCTATATGTTACACATAAGACGCCCCCAATCAGCCTGTCTTGGTCTGTCACTGCGCAATTTTCCCTTGTTTGGGATCCCTGCAGTGTAATATCCCCCAGGCGGTTGGGCAGTGGAGCTCATTCGCTATATTTACGATTACACTTTGCCTGCTGCGTCTTTAGCCTCGCAACCTGCATGCAAATTCCAAATTGAGGCATTTTCCACTTCTTCTCCGCTTCTGCTCATTAAAGGAAATGCTGTGCACCGTACATACTCATCCCTAGAAACAAGTCCAGCAATCCTCCTACATCATAACCCCCTCGTGTTTTGACCATGGCTGCCGAATTTGCGAACCACGTTTTCGATTATCTGATCGTCGGTGGGGGCACTGCTGGGCTGGCTGTCGCTGCCCGACTCAGTCAACTCCCCTATCTCACCGTCGGCGTCATCGAAGCCGGTCCGGCCGCCCTCGATGACCCTGCTATCAACATTCCGGGTCGTTATGGCGAAACCATCGGCAGCAGGTATGATTGGCAGTTTGAGACCGTCAGCCAGTCGGGTTTGCAGGGCCGTTCGCTGTCTTGGCCGCGGGGTAAAGTCTTGGGAGGCACCAGTGCGCTGAATTTTATGGCGTGGAATCGCGGGAATCGCGAGGATTACGATGCGTGGGAGGAGTTGGGGAATGAGGGGTGGGGGTGGGAGGGTTTATTGTGCGTGTCTTGCTTTTTATTTATTATATATCGTGTGTCTGCTAATTAATGGCGCAGGCCCTTTTTTAAACAGAGTGAAGCCTTTCATCCGCCGGATGCTTCTCACCAGGAACAGTTCCGCTCATATTACGATGCCGTCGCCCATGGATCAGACGGACCTATCCAGACATCGCACATCAGAGAATATGGCCCTGCGCATCAATTCTGGCATCAAACTTTAAACAATCTCTCCGTCGACACCAGCAAGGACAGTCTGTCTGGCTCCAACACGGGCGCATGGAACTTGATCGCCACAATTGACCCCAAAACACAGTCGCGCAGTTATGCAGCTAATGCATATTATCTCCCGTTCTCACAGCGCCCGAATCTTTTCGTCCTGACTGAGGCGACCGTCGAGGAAATTCTACTCGAGAAGGAGGAAGACGAATGGGTCGCTAGGGGAGCTAGGGTTGTGTGCGACGGGGAGGAATTCACAGTCAACGTATCGCGAGAAGTCATTCTCTCTGCTGGGAGTGTTCAGTCGCCTCAGTTGTTGGAATTATCGGGGATTGGGAATCGGGATGTTCTCGAGGCAGCGGGGATTCCTGTCAAGCTGCATAATCCGAATGTTGGGGAGAATCTCCAAGAACATATGAGTATGTCGTCCATGTGATATCAAGTCACGTACTAACAGCACAGTGACGGCTACTATCTTCGAAATCCTCCCCTCCATCGCCACTCGTGATGATCTCCAAACAGATTCTGCCCTGGCAGAAGCAGCCAATACCGAGTACGAAAACTCTCAAACAGGACCACTGACAGTTCTAGCATGTTCAGTCTCATACTCTCCCCTATCTCAATTCACCTCTCCAGAAGAACTATCCACACTCCACTCGCGCGCTGAATCCATCGCCAAAGAATCAGGCCTCCCCCGCGACACCATCCTCGCCCGACAATTCCAACCAAACACAAAACTAGGCCAGGTGGAATTCCTCTTCGACGTAGGAAACTGGAGTCCGTTTTTCAAATCCGAGCCGGGAAAGAAATACGCAACCATGCTACAGATGCTACAATATCCGTTCTCCAAGGGCTCGATTCATATTCCTCCCCGCACAGGGGACAGGAGGATCAGCGTAAACGACAAACCGATCATCGATCCACGATATTATCTCGGAGATGGGAAGATCGATTTCGATATCATGAAGATGGCGCAGCGGTTTACGGATCGGATATGTTCGACGGAGCCTTTGTCGAGTATTATTCTCTCGCGTGTTTTTCCGCCAGTGGCTGAGGGGGTCGAGGATGAGTTTGATGAGTATGTGAGGAATTATACAATTACGGATTGGCATCGTAAGTCTTCTTTTAAAGATTTAATATTCAAACTAACTGACGATATAGCCGTTGGGACTTGTGCCATGGGTGGATCGACAGGTGAGAAAACAGGTGTGGTTGATGAGAGACTGCGTGTTTATGGAGTTCGCGGATTACGAGTGATAGATGCCAGTATCATGCCGTTACAAGTCAGCGCGCACATCCAAGCGACCGTGTACGCGATTGCCGAAAAAGGGGCTGCGATGATACTTGAAGATGCATAGTTCATCAAATATTCTAACCAACTAGACAAAGCGTCCTATTCTAGGCCAAACAATATATCAACTTCTCAGCCACAATTCACGATTCATACTCCGTCACTATCTCCGGTGCTGACTTCAAATCCCACAAAGAGCCATGTATAGCATGATGAAACAACCACTTCTTACAACTCCAACTATCACAAACCCTACTACTAGCCACCTCGGGACTCCATGGCCTCCTAGGAGAAACAGGCACATGCAGCATACTTATCCTCACGGGCACATCTCTCAACGACTCCCTCAAATACCCAAGAAAAGATCCTTTCAAAAACGCATCCTCAACACCCGGAATAGGGTCCTGAAAATGTGCACCCCCAACCCGCACAACAACCACCGATTGCAACGCCGGCAACTGTCTCGAAAACGTCTGCGTGACGGCACTATTCAGCCACATCGGACAAACCAGAACCAAATGCGTCAGTGCATCGCAACAACGCAGTCCGTCGAGGAACTTCTCCGAGTGAACGCTGATATGCGCCAGAGCGAGACGTCGTAGACGTGGCCAGTGCGCCCATACCGGAAGTAGTCCGTCTGAATCCATCGAGCCGGAGAATATATCCATATGCACAGCGACGAACTCTTCAATCGCTGTTAACCGGGAAAACGCCAACCGGGCTAATACAGATATCGGCGTACCGGGTTGTTCGCCTGAAACGTTGAAGTGGAATTGACTATCCAGAACGAGTCGCGTCAGACAGTGTCCTACGCGAGTGAAGAAGCCATCAAACACGTGCGCGTGTCGCGAGAGTTCATCCATGGGCATCGTAGATCGAAACTTCCAGTTTTGTATACTGGAACGAGGGAGTCCCTCGCCTTTGATTTGGATTATCATGCTTTTTGGCTGGTTTGTAGTATGCTTCGTTGCTTTTGAGTATATCGACTGCTTGTCGAGGAGGCCGTGGAGGAGAGCATCCATGCTCTTCCCGCTTTTGATATGAAGACAGTGCTCTAGGAGGAGTCGGTTCGCGATGTGATGCGTGATCTTGCAGACGAGCGTAAGATTGAGCAGTGTCTCTGTTGCTGGGTGAGATGGTGGAAGGGCGAATGGTCGGTCTGCGGGGATGAGAAGGGAAAGTGTATGCCAGATCAATTCGGGAGGGAGAGAGAGTAGCATTTTGGCTAGTTTATTTAGGAGATAGAGATGGAAATTGAGATGGGGAGGGGAGTTTAATAAATAATGGCTAGATATTTCTCCATCACGGACGGGATATTCCTTTGAGCCATGTCAAAGGAGCAGTGAATGGCAGACTGGGACATCCAGCATTGAACCACAAGCAGAGAATAGGTAGAACAAAGAAATAGTTTATATACCCTTCCTTTCAACTTCTATCATGAAAGTATACAAAGGTACATGGAAAGAAGATATGTTTACCATTTCAATCTTGTCGTCTGCCAAAAATCCTAATATATGATGCAGATAGGATATGCATAATTATGCAGTTGACAGATCTACTGCTAGTGCCTTTGCATTGCAGATACCAACCCACCATCTCGAATATCGACAAACTATACATTTGAGTTGGATTATAATTTGGTTAGTTTAGATACCTACACAAGGCTAAGATAGCTGATTCTTTATGACTTGTCGTCTGCAAGCGATGGTCTCCACAGACTATAATCTGACAGCTGGCGGTTACCCCGCCTTGTCGTTATATAACTACCTAGCCCATGTCCTGTGACAATTTTCAAATCAAAAATAAATCATTTATATCGTCCTTGCTGTATAAAATGCCACCTCTCCCACCGTACGAATATACCGGCCCGGTCGACTGTACCGTCGCTCCGGATCCTAGTTCTCTCAAGGATAAGAGTGTGATTATCACGGGTGGTGAGTATCTCTAATACTATAATTGGCATTTCTAACAGTCTCAGGTGCAAATGGAATGGGTGAAGCGATAGCCCGGACTTTAGCTTCTCATGGGTATGGCTACTTTATCTACATCTCATAAACTGACTTGAACAGGGCCTTTGTGACGATTGGAGATGTCAATGAGGAAAGGGGGAATGGAATCGCTGCAGAATATCCGTAGGTTTCCCCATTGATGTATTATACATACTAACGAAGTAGAAACATCCAATTTGTCAAATGCGACGTCAGAAACTGGGACGAACAGGTGAATCTATTCAAAAGTGGGATTGAAAAATCGCCCCAGAAGAGCTGCGATATTGCCATTGCCAATGCGGGGATCGCGGCAACGTTTAAGGATTCTCTGGTTGCGTTGGATGGTATTTCCCTCCCTTGGAAACTCTTGCATATCTTGCTGATGAATCAGATCCACATGGAGAGCCAGTCAAACCTGACCTGAACATCATGGATGTAAACATGAACGGGGTGCTGTATACCCAGAAACTGGCGATGCATTATTTCCGCGCACAACCGGACGATGAGAGTCGAGATCGCTGTTTCATCATCACGAGCAGTTTAGCGGCTTATCTTGACTTTCCGGTATGTTTAACTAGAATTGCATCATGTCTGGTGCTGACAGAATAGCACAACTGGGAGTATGTATGTGCCAAGCACGCCATCAAAGCGTTGATGAGATGCTCCCGGCACTTGGGATGGCAGCAGGGTATCCGGATCAACACGCTTAATCCATAGTCTGTCACTTTTTGACTCAGAAGAGAGTATTTATGCTAATGAGCTTAGCTTTATGAAAACGACCATTCTGTCGGATGAAGTACACGACGTACTTGAGTCAAAGGGCGTGGAATATGCACTCCCTGAAGACGGTGCTGCTGCTGTTGTCAAGATCGCTTGCGATAGAACCATTCCTGGTGAGTAGCCTTGATATAGAATTGAATCACATCTAATGAGAACAGGACGTTCGTTCTATATTGTTCCACGAGCGACTGCGAAAGAGGGCTTTTTAGACGGAGACCAGGACGACCATCAAGGATCGCCAGAGTATATCAAGGAATTCCAAAAGTTCTGTCTTGCTGGTGTTGAGCAGCCGTGGGAGTGATTTGGATGTACTATGTGGTGTAAAGAGATAATCGACCACTTCCATAAACAAAGTCGGAGCATATCACCATGATGGCAGCAGCCTGGAGATATTAGCATCATCTACACCCTCTCGAACAACTCACCAAAGATAGATCAACATCCGCGGCCACTTCAGCCTCCCATTCAGCTCGATGAGCCATGTACTTTCCCCTCTCACTAGGTAAACCACGGGTACAAGATGCACCGTCGAACATGTTGTGCGTGATGGATATGACCTGCCGATCGCCAACTGTGACATAAAACTTGTAGAGATACGCCCCTGGCGCATGCACATTCATCGCAACGTGTCCATCATCAACGGCATTCTGAAACGAGAGGGGGAATTCAACTTTCTCTTTATTTGGTGCTCGTTTCGCTGTGGTAGATGCCAGAGTCACACCATCTCCACCGGGTAATTTAATCGCCCACGATTCCTTGAACATACGGGTATGATAATGGATATCGAAGAGGGGAAGACCCGATGAGTCACGAATCTCGCGACATGATGGTTTCTTGAATTTCCTGCCCGATGCTGTGAATAGAGTCGTGTTGTCTGACGCGTCGAGGATGGTGTAGTCTTTCGATGAGCGTTGTCCTTCAGGTCGATCTGCGATGGGTTTCAGAAGTATGGTTCGTTCGAACTCGGCGATGAATTCTTTGCGGAGGGCGATTGGGTGTCGAGGGGTTTCAACGGCTTGGGTATTCATTTTGTGGACTGATATTTCTTGGATGAAGGTGGCTATGCGGGGTATTTCAGATAAACATGTGCGGTTGATCATGGAGCGGAGCACGTGTCAAATATGCCATAAATAGCATCAACGGAGTAATTGGTTGTAATCAACTGTAGAGAATGATTAATACATAGATAATAAGTAAAGACAATACCCCTTTCGGAAAAATGCCACTATTCGCAGCTGCCAAGTTCTCCTGCCAACTGTCTGGCGGTGGAGATTCTGAATGCGGGCGGTATTTCCGCATCGGGTATTCCATCCCACCGCGTCAACATCCCACGCTTAAAGACGCCCTGTTCGTCCCTGCATGTCGATTAAATTCAATTCATCCTTCAAGCATTCCCCCTTGCCTATCCGAATTAGCCAAATTGGAAGAGATGCTGTCTGCGCATGATCATCTCCTCTGGCGTCAAACCACCCCCGGTCGGTGGGAACGCGATCTAGACGAAGCGGAACAATGCTACACGTCGCTTGAAAGGGCGTATGAAGGCACTGGTCGACATTTCTTTGCCATTTCAGGCCATATCTCGCTTTCTGTTGCTATCGATAGAAGCTCGTCGCGTTCAAAAATAGAAGCCCGGGTCCGAGAATCGCTGCTAAGAGCGTGGGTTAAACTGCGATATGATCATCCGACGATCGCGTCTTGGGTTGAATATGACATCAAGGAGAAGAAGTGCAAGAAGATATACGAAGCCTTGCAGAATATCGATTCAGAAGATGACTGGATGATTGATACCTTTATCCTCGTGTCCAACGGCCAGACAGGCGCGGAATGGTGCAACTCAGACCCGCCAGTTCCCAGACTTCCAACTCTGTTCTTGGTGAAACCACCGTTGGATGTTCAGGGAGATGCCACCGTTAGATATGATCTCGTTCTGCGCTGCCACCACGATATCATCGACGGCGTTGGGACCCTGCACCTTCTCGACAACCTGTTTAAACACGCCTCCGAATCCTACGCGAACCTAAGGTCCTTTGTGAGACCAAGATTTGGCGATGAATGTATCAATCTCAGTCCTCCATTTCGTGTCGTTGCTGGTATTCCGACCGAGATGACAGCGAAGCAGAAGGCTGAATGCGAGGAGATTGTATCGCACAATGCCTCGCTCCGCAAGAATGTTGAACTAGCAACCGTCCCTTTCAAGGCTGGCATCGAGAAACCAGGAGCCCACCAGCGAGTTGCTCTAAAACTGCCCAAGGAAAAGACTAGTCGAGTATTGCAAGCTTGCAAGAAGATTGGTGTCAGCGTGACCCATGCCTATCATGCTGCGATCGCAATCAGTCTACGCGATGTCCAGGAACGGAAGACGGAGGATAGAACCGTCCGGTATATCAACTATTGCCTCATTAATGAACGCAGTCACTGCAAGGAGCCATACAGTACACCTCAACATGCAGCAACGGTATACCACTCTGTGTCGGGAAAAAGTCTAATCGTCGACATGACAGTGCCAGCCATGAACAAACAAAACGAAGACGACTCAACCGAGAAGGAAAGAAGAAGAGAAGAATTCACCCGTGTGGCCCTCCGCATGAAAAACCACTACCTCGACATCCGCAACGACGCAGACCATCTCCCAATGACCCCATACTACTGGTCGATGAACACGCCGGAATACCTAGACCCTTCATCGCATGCAAACCCCCCTATTCCCAGTCCAAACCAAACCCCGTCTGCATCTATTTCAAGTATGGGGATCGTGGACCAGATCATCTCGCCTACCCAAGGTCCATTTGAGCTTGATAATCCTTGGGTGACAGGGGAAGAGCTGGGGACAGGATTCGGTCTGTTTCTGGGTACTTGGAGGGGACAATTGACGTTGAGTGGTGCATACAACGATGCCTGGCATGATGAAGAGGAGGTGATGGCGTTTTTAAATCGGTGCAATGACGTTGTTTGTCAGGGTCTAGATCTATAGAGTATTAGATATCTTGAGCCAATGTAACCTACGAATTTGATCATCCATTGCCAAGCACATCGGGCATATCGAGGGACACTGTCGTCGCCCATGATCGAGATACCGTAGTAGAAGGTAAGCCCGAGCTCTGCTTGAATACGAAGTACGATCGCATTCAGCGCTCATAAATAGCGTTGATCGGTTGATTCAAAATGCCACATCGATCCTGGGTATGGTAGTATACATCCGAGACAAACTGGCAATACTACCAGAATAGGCAATTCGAACAGAATCCGGGGAGTGTCGGCATTTGTAAGGCATAAACATATCCTGCATTAGTGGATTTGTAAATTGCAATTGCAATTCGACATCCGCACGAATTGATCAAAGCTCAGCCAGCCGAATATCGTCAAACTCGACAACACAGTCACGGTACCTTGACTACTACTCGAATACCCAATCTACTATCTCGCCACAATTCCCTTAACATACTATTATTCCAAGCATCCACAACGGCCTGCATTAGTCTACCCCGCATTCTGTGTTAGGGCCATTCTTATCCTGCATTAGCTCACGCACTGCAGAGTTGTCCTGCATTATACATTGACATCCAGAAGGGTTCAGCCGAAGATTACCCGGAAGAAACTGGGTATACATCGATCCCTTGCGTGATGATATATTGGAAATACGGTATACGAATGTCAGATGAGAATGCGGTCGGATAGCAGTTGAAATTAAGTCGTACTATGTCTAGTATTTATAGGCGTAAACACCCCCAAATTCCCATCAAGTCATATCAAAGTTTGTCATAATCACCTCCAAATACCACATATCCAACATGATCGTCCCGATAATCCTCCTCCTTATAGCAGCCACTGCAGCAATCGAATACGACTACATCATAGTCGGCGGTGGCACAAGTGGCCTCGTCGTCGCTAACCGTCTATCTGAAAACCCCGACATTTCTGTGCTCATCATCGAAGCTGGACCATCCGTCCTGCACAATATCAATGTGACTGACGTGGACCGCTATTCATACGCCTTTGACACAGAGATAGAGTGGGCGTATGAAACTATACCGCAGGAGTTTGGGGGACGATCGCAGATTCTTCGGGCTGCGAGGGCACTTGGGGGGACGAGTACTATCAACGGTCAGTATTTTACTTCTTTATTTCTCTGAGGTTATCTGTTCTATTGCTGACTCGAACGAGAACAGGACTTGCATACGTCCGCTCAGAAGACGTCCAAATAGACGCCTGGCAAGAAATCGGGAATGAAGGCTGGACCTGGGCGAATCTCCTCCCCTACTACCTGAAAAGCGAAAACTTCACTGTCCCAGATAGCAAGCAGATCGAAGCCGGTGCTACATACACACCCAACTATCACAACTCCAACGGGCCTGTGCAGGTTTCATTCAAACACATGGAAAAGAAAGCGAACGATCTCACCTCCGTTTTGAACCGTACATTTGACTCTCTTGGACTGCCGTGGAATCAGGATTTGAATGAAGGCCATCTGCGAGGGTTTACATTTCATCCGTATACCATTGACGCGGATGAGTATGTGCGACATGATGCTGCGAGGGCTTATTATTGGCCGTATGCAGCTCGGGATAATCTGCATGTCAAGTTGAATACATTCGTTAATCGGATTGTATGGAGAGGAGAGAGGGATGGTGATGATATCAGTGCAGCTGGCGTGGAAGTGGCAGGCGATGATGGCGTTTCTCGTTTCAACGCAAAGAGAGATGTTATTCTTGCTGCTGGCTCTCTTCGGTCTCCTGCTATTCTCGAGCTTTCTGGTGTTGGGAATCCAAGGTATATCAACCATCCTCTCTGCTGGGTATCCGAATTAACGACTTCAGCATCCTCGAACAATACGACATCCCCGTCCGCATCAATCTCCCCACCGTCGGCGAAAACCTCCAAGAACAACTGAACACCTCCATGATCGCCACGACAAACACACCCATGACCGGTTCCAGAACAGTTGCATTCGCCTCTGTATCTGACATATTCGGTGACTCCGCTTCCGACATTGCAGCACTCACCCGCGCACACCTCCCCAAATACGCCAACATAACCGCAACGGCCAGCAGCGGCACCATGAAAGCCGACCATCTGCAACAGTTATTCGAAACTCAGCACGATCTTATATTCAAAGATAACATCCCCATCGCCGAGTACATCTTCACAGCTGGCGAAAAAGACTTTCAAGCTGGATATTGGGGTCTGTTACCCTTTGCACGTGGAAATGTGCACATCACCTCAGCGGATCCGGCAGTTAAACCAGCGATTAACCCGAACTATGGGATGATTGATTGGGACGTGGAGATTCAGATCGCCATGTCGAGATATATTCGGTCAATGTATCGGACTAAACCGCTGAGTCAGTTTATTCGGAATGAAACGCTTCCTGGGTTGGGTGTCGTTCCTGAGGATGCGAGTGATGGGGTTTGGACGGATTGGGTGAAGGAGCAGTGTATGTCTTTTCTCTTCATTTTCCCTGCTTTCTTTTTATTTGATGGGAGCTCTAACAGGTTCAATAGATACACCAAACTACCACCCTATTGGAACTGCCGCTATGCTGCCGCGGTCTATGGGAGGTGTAGTCGACAACAAGTTGAAGGTCTACGGCACGACCAATCTGCGGGTTGTGGATGCTTCTATTCATCCCCTTCAGCTGTGTGGTCATCCAATGAGTAACCTATACGCCATCGCAGAGCGACTGTCGGACTTGATGAAGGAAGAGATGTAGAGTTGATCAAGGAACACGTTACTGGACCGCGTAACTGACGAGCGAGAGAAAATTGATTCATTTCGATGTCATGTAATCGAGTGCAGTGTCCTAGAAGTATTTTCATAAATCCATAAAAAAAACATCGTATCTTCGCCACCCCTAAAGCTTGGCCTGCTCCAAGACAGTGAGCTTCCTCTGCGGCGGTCCTCCTCTGCTGCCATCACCAGCCATGATTGACCCCTTAGACTCGTGTGGAAGACGCAAGCGCCACTTCTTCCGCAATGCCTCGGAGGCTTTGCCTTCAAAGCAGTCTGCAATGTATTTACCCAGAACTGGGAGGAATTTAAACGCACTAAAATACGTCAGTCTAAAACACTAAAACTTGGAAAACCGAAGAACTTACTGCCCCGCTCCACCAGTAGCCACAAACAATCCCTCCATACTCGGATGGTTGTCGATGATAAAGTCTCCTTCTGGGGTATCAGTATACCAGCAAAGACGACGGTTCATCCACGGCCGATCCCCGAATTCCGGGAACAGCTGACGCAGTCCCTGTCGGAGCGCATCATCCGCATCATCGGGGAGAAATCCCGACTGGGCATTGCTGCTGTCGATTTTCGGGGATGAGGTGGATTGACGCGCGCCGTCTACCTCGACGTTCACCTCGGATTGGTAGCCAAATCCGTGGCGGGCGAGTTTGAGAATGTTGCTACCCGGTGTGGGTGGGAAAGAGAACACTCCTGTTGTCATGTTGATCATGACGGGGGTGTTTTCAATTCTGCGTGCCTCTTCGCGAGTCAACTGGATGAATCCGACAGGTTGGCCGGATGAAGACGCAGCGTGAGGGATATGTAGGAGTCGGGGAGTCCAGGCGCCAGTGCTGAGGATGACTCTCGACGCGAGCAGATGTCCGCCTCCGACAAGGTTGACGCCGACAACGCGCGATCCTTCTCGACGTAGAGAACGCACCGTCCCCCGAGGCCCGGTGATCAAGGTAATACCGACCACACTGCACTTCGATGCCAGTTTCTGGATACTCCCCGCGGCATCCGCCCAGCCAGCAACTCGATTCAGATATCCATTCATGCCAGCCAAATTTGCCTGCACGCCGGAGTAGAAGCTGCGGAGCTTACTCGCATCCGGCATATCCTCTACCTCACCACCGGCTGAACGTATCATTGCCTTTGACTTCTCAATGTAGCTGTGTCCCGGTGTTTCAGCGAGCAACGCATACCCGGACTCATGGTACATGTCCTTGTACTCGGTTGACCAGCCTTGAATTGCCTCGCGGGCCATCTTGTTGTAGACCGGGTCGGCATAGTCACTGCGAATAATGCGGGAGATATCCACGCTGCTTCCGTCTACCACAGGGGGGACGTATCGATCGAGAACGGTGATGTTGGCGTATCCTCGTTTGTTGAGCTCCAGGGCGGTTGAGAGGCCGAATACACCGGCTCCCACGATGATGATGGAATCGCTCTGAGATGCTGCCATTTTGATTGTCTTTTAAGATGATTTTAATGATACCAGAAACTGCACCCAGCGACAACGATATTTATTTCATTGCACTTCAGGTGATAAGAAATGTCCAACGAATCATAGTCCGGCATGTCCGGGTTCTTGGCAGACGGGGAGAAGACGGACCCGGGCCGCGTTCCGTGGCGGGGAATGAGGGTGTCTTCACCCCGTTATGGGCCCTTGAGCGAAACCCACAGAAAACTTTGTTTGACTCAAGCAGTTTTGCAAATTCGATGGCCTGATCTAATGGATGAAAAGAAAACCGGATAAGGTCCGGGTGTGGCGGGTCCCGAATGTGTACTATCCACAAATGTCGTTGATATATATCACGCCGATCAAGCCATTCCACACAGACAAAGAAAACAAAATTTGTCAAATTTATACAGGAATTCTGTGATATTTGGAAACATCTCGCCGTTTATTATTTATATCGAGTATTATAATTTCATGTCGGATTAAGACTCAACCAGTCCTCGAATGCCCTGCCGTAGTCCTGTAGTTGTAGAAATAATGTGTCTCCGCCCGCGACACCCAAGCTAGGATCAACAACGGACCCATAAAGGTCAGATGAAGGTGTTTGACCTGACCCCAGAACATGCATCGGGCTTTCAATCTGTTCTGGCGGGTATGTCACCAGCTCCGGGGCGACGGCTTTGTGGCCTGATATGCCCGCGGATCCAATCAAGGCAAAGTCTGGGTCGGGCATGTCATTTGCTGACGAGGTTCTTGAATACTCAATGCTATCTTTGGCGAGTCCCGGGCCGAATATATCATTGCTGGGATTGGAAGTTCTGCTTGCGTGGGAGTAGACCAGAATTTTCCAAAGAAGCTGAAGGTTTACGGACCATTTTCGATTGTGATTAGAGGCACTAGGTGTATCCGTATCGGACATCCGGGCACCTGCTGAGATGCTATCGCGTAGTTGTTGGAGTTGTCGAACCTAAATAGCCTTAGTAAAATAGGACAAAATGTAATAAACATGACCAACCTGTCGATCAATATGTGGCCATCGAAGCCCCATAGCCTGTAGGAAACGCAAGCATTTATCAAATCCAAGCTGCGCTTTTTGATTGAAAGCTGGATCCTCCACGAAGCTGTGTTGGAGGTAGATGGTAGCAACGATTGCTACACAGTGTGCAAGCGTGGGGTCGGAAACTTCGAACCCTTTCATCTCAATGAGATCAAGGAAATGTAGGATCCAGCCCGAGTGGAGTGTGAGTTGCTCGAAGGAATTGCGCAAGAACGACTGTGGCATGGTCCTTCTAAAGTTCCTTAATCGCATAGATAGAAGGAAAGGGTGGTTCAGAAGACAAGGAATGGCATGGTATACCATTTGTAAAAAGAGAAAAGCCGCCCAGTAGTCGCGCCTTTGGTGCAGCTCAACTGGTGAATGATCCTGAAAGCGACTAGCATGCAGTCGGTATCTCAGCGGAATGCGGCTATCAAAGTCTGTGTGTCGATATGTGATGATGGAATAGTCTGAATATGGAGACCACGGAGGAGGCGCATCCACACCAACATGAGATTCGGCATAATTGCACGCCACAGCCCACACCTCGCTGACTTGGAGGTTAGTCACACCGATGCCACGATCCACCCTGGCATCACCACTACCCCGAATCATGGATGTTTGGGATCTGTGTGGGAGAGATGAAGGCCCCCAGCCGAATTCTCCATGCAAGCTCGCACCCTCGTCTTGGCTAGGTCGTTGTGAGAAACCCAGGATATTTTGAAGCATGATAACAGCCGCGAGGCATAGCTTCCGCTCATCACGTTCCGTTTCCAAGTTTTTCAAGGATTCCGGGGAACAGATCCTGAGGTTTTCCATGAAGTAACTAGCAAGTCTGATATTCAACCCAGCGCGAATTACATTGCCACCTAGAGTTTTGTCAATTTCAAATAATAACATAGCGACTGATGAATAGACCTACCAGTAAAGTCCAGTATACTAAGTAGACAAAGTACTTGTATTGTCGACAACTCTACCGCCCCTCCCGCGAGACGAGCCATGACAAGCTGACATGCCCTGTCTGTCTTTTGTCTTATCTGGAGTTGTGTATGCTCACCTGTCAGCCCTCCCCCACCGAAGCGCATACCAAGTGCCTGAACCGCAAATAGAATCTCAGGATCCCGAGTCTCGAGCGATGTAGCGGAGGTACGCTCGTTAAACAATAAAAGAGGTTGAGCGTTGCAGTATGTTAAATATAATTGGACAGCCGATATATCCGACTCATGCCTGGGAATTGTCAGCAAGGCAGTTAGGAAAGAAGAGAGGTAAGTAGACTTACGCAGAAGGAGTTCCCGCGAGAGACGCATCTTGAAATGATATGGGATAAGGTTGTAGATTTGGCGCTGGGGCTGTAGGCGAGGGTGCACGCGGTGGAGCTGATCGTCGACTGCACAGATTCATTCCGATGAGCGCTGCTGCTCGATAATCCAGATTGAAGAACATACCCGATGCAATCCATCAAGTCTTCTAACTTATCCTCAATTTTCGACATCCGGTATCCCTGTATTCATCGTTAGACACATATCCTTTAGACTGATCAAGTGCATCGCTTACTATCTGTCTCGCAAATCCCACTTCTTCTTCCCCGGAATCCCCGGTTGCATAGACGCATTGCTGGCCTAGTCGCTCACAATACGAGCAGATCGGCCTTTCACCCGAGCAGCGGGTCTTCTTGCGCCTGCAAAAAGCGTCGCGAACATCAGAAAAGATAAATTAACATAAATACCCTGTAAGATGAATGCTTACCGGCAAGGCTCGCAGGCCTGACGGGCCCGTTTCACCGGTCGCTCATCCCCGGTGGAGGCCATGATAGAATGATGTGAGGGGATATATCAGAAAGAATATATGCCAGCTAAAGGCATCGTGATGCATCACAGCAACATGATAGGGTCTTTTTCTCCCACGATTCAAGGTAAAGGCAAAATGTCCATCTTCTCAAGAGACTCTGCTTCGACCTTTGCGGAGGTCAGCTGACTTTCACTTACCCAAAAGAGACTAGCGATATCCACAGTCACGTGCGGAAGCTTATAAGCAATAAAATAGCATGATGCAATGGCCAATTAGAGAATGGAAAAGTTTATATTGATTGAGGGTTTCGTAAAGACAAATTATTAAGGAGAAAAAAATATATTCTATATTCTATATGACTCGAAATCTCTATATGTAGAAAGGAAGCTCTAAACCTGAATGGTAGTTCCATTCTCCTTGCGGACAAAGTCAAGGAAGACATTCAACTCTGGACTCTGTGCGCCATCAACAACAAAAACTGCAGGCTTACCATAAGGCGCTGCAACACGTACTGTCTGTCCGCCATGGTAAGTATTTCCAGACCATACATGGGTAAAGGTACGTCCATTCTCAGCACCAGGGAGGTAGACCTCCACCGTCTTGGTTGCAGGATCCAAAACTGGCGCGACATACAAGTCCCGTCCGAGGTAAAAGCTCTGGTAGCTGATTTCCCGCGCCTTTTGATCGTTGGGGTGGTAGAGAACCGGCATTCTCAACAATGGCCAGCCGAGGTTCTTGCTCTCTGTGTCTAAGATCTGACGACGGTAGGGTCCCAAACTCTTGAACATTCTTGCGTTGTACGCATAGTAGTTGTACGTAGAGGTGTTGGTGTAGAACTGGGCGTTGGCCTGGGGCACATTTCCTTCGTGGGATCGGAAGACTGCACTGGACACAGCGGCCAGCTCTCCCCAACGTCCAAGAAGCTCAGCGGAACGGGGGATAGCACCGGATGAGTTTGCCACTGTTGGAGGGTGGAAGACAGTGGTGTAGCCGCCTAGGTCGGAGTGGCTGTGAGCGTATCCAGACATACCCATCTGGCCCTGAATGGTCACTACAGACTTGATACCATCGTTGAGGGTCCAGAGGGTAGCCTGATCACCAACCCAGAACAGGTTCATGTGTCTGTTCGAGCCCAGAGATGCAGAGCGATGGAAGGTCACCATCTCATCGAAGAGTGGCATCTTCTCTGCCACGGAGCGCTGGAACTTGGCCCAGTCACGGGGGTATTGGTTGTGGTAGAAAAAGGCGTCCGATGTGATATTGGCAAGGGAAGTGGCTGGGGTGATGGGTGTATATTCTCCAAAGTCCCACATCACACCGGAGATGTTGGCATTCCACACCTGATCGCGCAGTACGGCCGCAAACCAGGATCGGGTTTTCGAGTTGGTAAGGTCGAGGATACCGGCTTCAATTCCCTTACCACTAGAGATAACAGCAGTAGTATTGGTTGTAGAGTTCTGGACCATGTAATGGCCCTTGGTGGCTTCGAGGTAAAGGTTACGGCGGTATCCATCTTCCTTGGTGCTGACGTTGGCGATGAAGGGGTTGATATAGGCGAGGGTCCGGACTCCCTGCTCTTGACGGAGGTCTTGGACGAATTCGGCCCATGTGGGATACAGTTCACGATCGTTTTCCCAGTTCCACCAGAGACGAGAGATTTCAATGTTTCCGTAAGGAGCTTCCTGGGAATGAGTACCAGACCTGAATAGTTAGCATGTGTTAAAGTGGCATTAGGACTAAGTCAACATACCAATCCTGAAGCCAGACACCAGCGACGGGACAGTTCTGCTTCAGTCCCTGATCAACAATCTTCTTCACCTTGTCCTGTCCTCCTTGAATACCCAAGATAGCACCATTGTCCACCCACTCGGGAAGAGCAGGCATCTTTCCAGTATAATCTGTGAGCATTGTAATCGCGCCCAACATCGACTTTGCCTGCATAAACTGTCCGCTGACAGTGAGGGCATCGTATCGAACCGTCACCGCAGCAGGGTGTGTGAAGTCAAAGGACGCATATGCAGTGTCTTTCTCTCCAAGATAGAAGACATTTCCGGATGTGGTGATGTACTGGGGGATTGCAGTATAGGTAGTGAATCTGTCGCCACCGCTAAAGTAGCCCTGAGAGTTCTCGATAGCAGTGTATGGCTGGTCGCCTCGACCGACTCCTTGCTCGCGAGAGAAGATTGGGATGGTTTGGTTCTTCATGGACGCGAAAGATGCTTGCGCACCCATTCCGTAAAAGTCCTCGGATGCATCGGATGCGAACTTGAAGTACACCCTTTCAAGCGGAGCGCGCTCGTTGCCAGGTCGGACAGTTATATCGAACTCGACACGATCAGGTAGCTCTTTTGGCACCCAGAAGCTCACACTGTAGCCAACCGATTGATGTCCACAGTCCAACAGATATCCACTAACCGACACATCACGACCAGTATGACTATCCTGACGAGGGGAATGGGCGATATGGGTGACATTCTGGCCGCGACAACGATTCCGATCGACGTTGGTGATGTTGAAGTTTCCGTCCGAGCCAACGAAGTTGTCTTTTCCAGAACTGGCACTGAGGAAGTTATGGCCGGCGACAGAGGAGAAGATGGTCTTGTTGTGCTGGGAAATCGAGATCTGGTTCGACTCGGAGTGGTTGAGGCGGAATTCATTTCCAAGATTCCACGTTGGCTGAGATTCGCCCAGCGTCAAGCAAGTCGCGAGGACTCCCAAGGCTCCCAGATAAGAGGAGTAGGAGGGCATGGTCAGTGAAGGTCACGAGGATGGCAGCACAACAAACACGGCGAATCAACGGCAGATTTATAACTTTTTCAAGCCATGCTGGCAAAAGAAAATGCCGCATGGACAGCAACTTTCTTCACTCTAACCTTGTATAAATTGATCCCCAGTATTTTCCATGCGAGAGTCACCAAGTGGACCATGTCGGCATATTCCTTCAAATGCGCGGGATTCCAACCGCGAGATGCGTTGCTGTTTCTCTTCTTCTCCCCCAGACGGGGGACGATCCGGGCAGTCTCCGGTCCTCTTTTCAGGGCTGAATTCCCCTCATCTGCAGTTTTCCCTCTCCATTTCCCCACTTGCCACTGCTGCTTGTCCGGCATGGGAAATCTCTACGGCGGACTACCCCGGTCAGGGTAATTTTGACGGTTTGTCCCGGAAGAATGCATCTCTCCTGTATGACCTCATTGTCTTGCACTGACATATCGCTTCAAGAAAAAACAGATTAAGAAAAATCCTTATACATCGCTGGCAACCTTGTCGCCAAAATCGCCATCTCCTCCGTACAATGTTTCAACAACGCCGTACTCATCCCATCGGGCACTAGCTTGACGCGCTCCTCAGCCTCTGTAACGCCTTCTGCATCTCCCAGCCAAAATCGAGATCGCATCCGACACCCATCCGGCTCATCTTTGATCAAATGAATCAAATGTCCATAATACGTCGCGCTGTTATCGTCATTCCAGCTTCCAACGCGACCGCAAATCGCCGTCGAGTAGCCTGCCTCTTTGAAGAGATCTTCCCAGTCCGGTCCGAAATAATTGCTTGGGCTGAGGAAGGAGATTTTCAGTTTGGCGATTTCGGTCCCAATATATTCATGGACGAGATGGTGTCCTCCTATAAACAAATCATCAACATACTCCAAAGTCATTAAACGGAAAAAAAGACCAGGTATACCAATATATGTAGAATCATTATTCCTCGCCCCCTCCCAATCCGAGAAAACATGATCTCTCGGATGCCACAGTTTATACTGCTCGGTATTATGAATCCACCCAAACCACCAGTTAATCATGGCGCCAGTGCAGTCTCGCATATACGTCGACCCAGCGATATGATGCATCCCATCTGGAGCAACTGCATATCCAGCTTCGAGAGGGAGGTAGTCGTGTTTCAAGAGGAAGGGTGCATCGCGGAGGAGTAAAGCCTGTGATGATGAGGTAGGATCGTAATCTTCCATGGAAGGGATTCTAGGTGCCATTTTCGTAGACTATATTTTGAGGATAGCAAGAATACCATGGTGCAGGGTGTCTTATATGTGCTTTTTTGGTGGTGGTGGTTGAAGTGGGAAAAACGCGTCGTGCGGGGAAAAAGAATGCTTTCCCACTTGTTTGTGTATGTGGGGAGATGAAGCTATTCCCACGTGCTATCGAGAATCTTCACTTGCGGTGAACTGGGAGTATTAATACCCACCATCTGGATTTTGGAGACTGATTTTCCACAGTGGAAGTACGAAGCATGTTTTAATATCTCAATGGATCTACGAATGGTGGGAAGACATACCAGGTCGGCTAACGTTGAACAGTGACATGAAAACTGAATTCCTAGAATATCTAACTGACAAGATAAACAAGCCAATCTATTCTGATTCTTTTCCAAAACTCGACAATTTGAAAAAAAAAAGAAAAATCCCAATCATTCTAGGTATCTCGTGCATGCAGTAAACATCACGCCAAATCTTCAATAATCTCCTCCAAGTTATGTATGTATCATCCTTCACCACCTGCAGCTTCCATCGACCTCCCAAGAATCGGATCCGCACTGACCCTTGCAAGCACCACCCTGGCAGGAGTAACAGTGTCCGGATTTCTTGCAATCGAAATCTCTGTTCTTGTAGAAACATTCGGTACTTCCGTCGATGTCAAAGGGGCCGATAATGAGGTTCTTAGTTTTAGACGCGGGGACGGTGGTGGTATAGATTGCCTATTGGAGAGCCATAGTTAGTGAGTATAGACAGTAGAGGAAGGAGAAGAGCGATAGACGTACCTTTTGAGGGGAGCATGTTGGGTAAGAGTACCAGTCCGGGAAGGTCACAGTGTACACAGCGTATTCATAGGAACAGTTGTCTAGATGTGAATTAGCCAGTGACTCAAATGGAAATGCAGCAGCAAGAGACTCACGAGAATCAGGACAAGCTTTGTGTGTGGCGACAACCATACCGGTCGACAGATCGCCCTTGTGAATAGGAGGCTTCGTGGTAGTCGGGGGCTCAGTCGTGGTAGCCGCGTGTGTAGTCCGAGATGGGAACGAGGTAACCCAGCCATCACTGGCGTGTTTCTGGACATCACCGTAAAGCGACGACAAAGTGGCCGAGATCTTAGACTCTTGGGACGTGTTGCGCTTGAGGCCTCTCTTGGGGACCCTGTCTCGCACTCCTATGCCGTATTCCGCAGCCGTGATTGTCGCAGTAGAAGAAGTTTCGCTGGTTGTGGTTTCGCCATCACGATCGCCGCTGGGAGGGTTTTCGTTCGATCCTCCACCTGCAGCGCCGCCTACACCACCGAATCCGGGAGGGCAGAGAGGACAGCCGGGGATACAGAATAGCTTGCCTGAGTGGGATTATAAGTTAGCTATCATTCGAATTGTATTCAAAACAAGAGGCACTCACATCCATGGCCACAGCCCTTAGTACACAACGGAGCAGGAGGACCGGTCTTGTGCTTTGTGGTACGGGTGTTCAATACGGGATCGGGCTTCTTATCGGTAGTTGTGGGATACGGGTGAGGCGTAACGATAGTGACGGTTGGCTTCTGCGTCTCGCCATCGAGGACAGTCGTCGATCCTCCAACAGTCTCAACGTATCCACCGGTAATCCACGTAGACGAGTCGTAAGTCAGAGTTGTAACATCGATAGTCTTGGTCGTCGCGCCCGTGATTTTGGTAGTTCCGCCGATGATACTATGAAGAGGAAGGGTTAGCATCCTCTCGAAGACCATAGGTAGCAGGAAGGGTTCTCGTGCGGAGTCACAGTAAGAGTAACTGGAGAAGGCTGAACGGAGCTCGTCATGTAGATCTGCTCGGGCATGCCACTCGTGACCGTGATGGCCCAGACATCAATCGTCGTGTCGGTGACTATTAAGATGTTAGCTGGCGTGAACCGACAATTCTTAGAAGTGTACTTACTCGGGTTGATGTTAATCACGGTAGGAGCGGTGACCAGGCTGTATGAAGGGTACAGCTTGGTGCTGCCCTTGCTGACGGTCAACGTCTTTGTCGCCTCCGAGTAGTAAGTGACGGCAGTGGTTAATGGCGGGAACGAGATCGTGGTGGGCTTGTCGAGCGTCAACGGGGCAGGGATCAAAACACACGGAGGCTCGCAGGTCATTTCGGGATTCTCGTCCTTCCACACAGCAGGGTCAACATGAACAACCTGACCACCTCTGCCAGTTGGAATTGGCGTCTTTGTAGCGCAAGCCGAAGTCGGGCAATATCCATGCGAGCATGCAAAGCCACAAAGCTCCTCATAGAGAGTGGCTTCCCTGCCGCTGGCTGCACTAGCCGTGACAGTGGTCGAGGAGGGGGCTTCAACAAGGTCGCCGGTTTTGTTGCACTTGCAAGAGGAGATCGGGCAGAACCCATAACGGCACGAGAACTCGCACAGATCAGCAAGGCCACCCTGACCAGATCCTTCGATACAGGCGTGGGGGGTGAAGTCGGAGACTTTGGGTGTCGTGAGAGGGACTTTGACGGTGCCGCAGGCGTTGTCAGGACAGAAGCCGTGATTGCAGTCCCATGAGCAGAGACCGCTGTAGTTCTCGTCCTCCCCGGAAATGGGGTATCCGTGCACGTTGGTGATATTCGGCTCTGGACGTTGAGCACCCATGGCTCTGCAGGTACAAGCACCAATGGGACAGTAACCATATTCACAGGAATACTCGCAAAGGTCTATTCACGATGTTAGTGAAATGGAATTATGGAATATGAGAATGACATACCTTTGAAGTTGACAAGCGCAGTGCCATTAATGCACACCTGGTCCGCAAGACTGAGGTGAGGAGAAGCTGAGATGGAATCCGATGACTGTGCGCTTCCAACCCACGCGTTGAAGTTGGCCATGCCGTGAAACTTGTCGCAGTCGATTGTGATCTCTTTGCCCTTGACCTGTGCGAGATTGCGGTGGTTGCGCGAGATAGTGACCAAAACAGGACCAGTCTCACCGGAGATTTTGGCACTGCCATGATAGATACCAACGCCACCATCTGGTTTCCATGTCCAGCTCGCGGGGAGTTTCTTGCCGCCAACGGAGACAGTCACATCAGCTTCAGATCCAAGGAGAGCGGAGAAGTAAACGTTGTCGTGCATGATAATCTGGGCGTCGAATTCGTACTGGAGTTGGCTCGCCGTGTTGCCGGAAGTATCACCGTCGTTGCAAAAGAGAGCAGGCTGAAGCCGGTACCAGGCAACGATACCTTCCTTGTCGATTTTGGCCGTGCCAGTCTTGTACTGATCGATCACAAAGGGGAGAAACAGACGCCAGCCATCATGAGGCATATCCGCGGCGTAGTTGAAAGGCGCGTTATCGAAAGCTTCAAATGTGTGATCACGAAGGGGGCCAATGTAGTGGGACTCTCCATAGTCGTTCCAGGTCAGGATCTCGACAAACTCGGGCTTGACATAATGCACCTGATTCCAGCGGTGGTACCACAGATCATCACCACGCCAGAGCCAGTTCTTGTTGTAGCGAGGCAAGTTCGTGTAGAACCAAGGAGAGACCGGCATCATGTATGGCATGGCGATACCACTCTGGTTGAGGTACTGGAGATAGGAAGCGTCATCGTAGGTTTGCATGTCATTGGGACCCCAAGGCCAGGCAGCCCAGCTGAAGAGACCGTCGACGACACCGGCGCCAGTTTCCAATGCCTTTTTGGCCCCGAGGGAGGACCAATCTGGCATGAAGAAGCAACCCGTGATTTTCTTGATGACCTTCCAGTCGTCTGCATTGCTGGGCCCTTCGAAGGTAGACACGAATGGCTTCTTGTCATGACGGTAATAAGCCTCAGACGGGGTGTACGTTTCCAAGAGCTTGATCACGTCTTCCTGGGGCCAAGCGCCGCCTCCGGCGTAGTCGAACGAGAAAAAGAGTTGAAACTCAATGTTTTGGGCAACGTTGAAAGCAGTTGAAATGGCTTTGTCGTTAACAGGGTTGCCGTAGGCGATATTCAGAGCGAAGGCGTCGATGTGAGCGTCTTTAGCGAGCTTAAGGTCATCTTCCCAGTCGCTTGTCGAGTAGTTGCCCGTATTAGACATCTAGTTCAATAGTTAGCAAACAAAGCAAGTCAAGGGTAAAGAGATTCTTTATTAACCATGAAATGAGCAAACACTGCCGCTGCTTGAGCTTTGGCAACAGCCAGCAAAATGACTGTCAGAAGCAACGGCCTCATCGTGGAGGCAGAGCCTACAAAAGGCTTGCAGACTCTGGGAACTTGAAACGGAGGTTTTCGACGAGTATGAAGGAAGGAGATGAGAAGGGAGAAGGAAGATAGATGTAAATTGAGGAGTAGAGAGGTGCAGAGAAGAAGAAGAAAGAAAGAGGGCGAAGAGGGGAGGAAGTTTAGAGGAGATATCAGCATGAAGATATACCAGACTCACCGGGATTTCCCGTTCCAGCCATCACTCAGTGAATGAAGCAGATATTTTTTTTCCTTTTCTTTCCACCCTGGATCCGGCCAATAGAATCAGTGCGAGCAGAAAGAAACACGGGATTCTCCTTGATATCCCATGGCTGGTGCCGTAATCCCGGGTGAGTCTGCATCCGAGCCTGCCCTTAGCGCCAGAAAGGCTTCATTCACTGATCGTTCTGGGACTCACCGATTGCCCTGGAGGGTCCTGACGGTTTTCACCGAAGATAATGACGGCCGCCCTCTCTGGCCAGTGGATATCATGGTCTTCTTCCTCTTTCCAAGGTCCAATCTATTCTTCCTTTCTTCATCCCCTCACCTCCCATCTATCTTGTTGATACTCGACGCCAATTTTCGACGCGTGGAGCTTCAAGATGCGCTTCAGCTGCTGGAAGCTTATCCTCTTCTTCGACCTGCTGCTTCCTATGGTGGCAGGCCAAAGCTTTCGCTACACAACTGGTGCTAAAGCTGGAAGCTGTGATGGCAATACAGCCAAGCTGGACGCCTGGATTGGAGAATCGAAGATCTTAACCAACGCTGCAAAGAAGGCTATCGACAGTGTCAGTACCAACGTTGTGGCTCAGAAGCTGTTCACCTCGTGGTTCAAGATCGACTTTGTGCAGAAGTCCACCGGTGCTGTGCCCACGACGGAATCAAACCAGGCCTGGCAGCGTGTTAAGCGTAAGTCTCTTTCATATATAAGACATAGACTGACTGACTGATGAATAGTGACCTTCGAAACGCTCTATGACTTCCTCGTGAGAGACAGAGGATACCCCGGCATGCAGGATCCCCCCACTATCTACTGTGATGGCACCTTTGCTCAACTCGTCGGTTGGAATTCTGCTGCGCTGGACAGCGAAGGCAACTTCATCCCCGAATATATCGGAAACAAGCCTACTGGACGGTTTCTAAAGGTCCGAGATATCTATGATTACGTCAAATCTTCCATGCCCGACGTCAACCCGTATTGGGTCAATGATGAGAGAGGGTACATGTTTGAGTATGAACACGATGCCGATCTGTGCAGGTCAGACGCACTGGCATACACTATCGCTGGCTATCGTGGCCGTGAGTACATTCGCCCGGGCGTCCTTCCGAACAAAACTCCCTTCCGAGACGTCATCTTGATCTGCGAGTCCTTGTTCACCGGAACACAGAGCGGCACTACCGAGCTGGGTAAGAATGACGGTGCCTATCGGGATCCCACAAAGAGCGCCTTTGATATCGCCGAGGCCTTTTCGGACAGTGCCACCTTCTTCCACGAATTGGTTCACCTTGTCACGGCCCATTTGACCTACGATCCGTTCAACCCTGGTCGTTTGGACCCAAGATCTATGTACATCAACGACTTTGCATACGGTATGTCTAACCCTCCTGACCATTCTATTGACGATTTACTGACTTCTATAGAACACGTGGACGCCCTCAATCTCGATCGTAACCATGCTGCTGACAACGCCCAAAGTTACGCCTTTTTCGCTTTGGCCTATTGGTACTACATCAACAACTGGGGAAGTAATGTGAAGCCAATCACGTTTTACTCTGGCACTGCAACATTCTGGGACTGGCCCAACTAGTTGATGGATTGTCCTTCTGGAAGGTCTGGTCGATTGGAGGACTGGACTCGGAATTGGACAGTGGTTATTGACTTGTAAAACAGAGTACTACATACTGAGGCTTTCATCTCCATGCAGCAGTGATTCATACAGTCACTACCCATCATACTTCTTATCGTAGCTCGAGTACTCGTAACCAGCCATCTTGATAACAAAATAGTCTATTCATTCTCTATAATATATCCTCCCAAATCTCCTTTCTAAGGCAAAACATACCCCCCATCAATAAGCACATCACTACCAGTCATATACGTCGAAGCATCACTCGCCAAATACAAATACAATCCCTTAATCTCCTTAACATGCCCCTGTCTCCCCAATGACGACATCCGATACGCCTCATTCAACGCAAGCGGGCCAGCGCCCATCTTCGTATCAAAGAATCCGGGGGAAACGATATTAACGCGTGCAAACTCGCGCCACTCGCGCGCAAGCGACTTGCCAAAGTGCGTCACGAACGCCTTGGACGCGTTGTACACGGGCTGGTCGACGGGGACGTTGACGATGTGTCCGCTCATGCTGGATGTTATGATGAGGTTGCCGAAGCCTTGGCGGTGGAACACTTCGCCGGCGTATTTGGAGCAGTAGAGGACACCGTCGACTGATTACTTAGTCACGGAGTGGTAGTGGTGAGGTGCGGATGGGGTCTTACCGTTTACGGACATCTGCTTTCTGTATTCTTCGAGGGTTTGTTCCAGGATAGGTTTGGAGATTGCCATTCCTTGATCTCGTTAGCAACTGAATTTATATCTGGATTGGTTGTTCATACCGGCGTTGGCGATAAAAACATCGATTTTTCCGAAGTCTTTGACAACATCCGCGATGGCGCTTTGGACATTTTCAGGGTCCGACACTAAGTGCGGGTTAGACAACATCCATATCAAAATAGTTGAATATACCCACCATCAACCTTGTAAGCAGCTGTTTTGACTCCATGAGTCTTAGCCAAACCCTCTGCCTTTTCAACGGCAACAGGATTGCTGCAATTGCGTCAGAAACAAGCCATAGTATCTACCATTGAATACTTACGAATTATACCACATGGCAATATTGCCACTCGCCTCGGCGATACCCTCAGCCACCGCATACCCAATTCCATCCGCAGCCCCAGTAACAACAACCACCTTGCCCTTCAGCGAAAGCTGCTCGAGAACATTAGTAGGCGTGTTGGGGAAAGGGCGAGGAAAGCCCTCTCTGAGGACGGTGCAATCTTGCTCGTTCATAGACATGTTGGCGTGGATATAATAATGACAATGACGGTAAATTGTGAGTAGATTTAAGAAGAGAAGAAGTCGACATGGCCGGCTATAAATGTGTAGCTATAGCAGCACCCCGCATTTGCTCCGAAGTGCCACCGGGCTCCCCCACCTTATCGGGTGACTGTCAACCGATGAGGATATCAAGGTAGAGAGGGGCAGTTGGATAGAGGCTATGATGTAGTTCGGCGGACACACGACCGAGCGATATTTGACTCACTTGGTATACGGGATAACATGGAATACCATGGATGAGTGGTGTTCTTTTACTTTTGCAACAGCATGAACTGCAGTGATAAATACGTGTGATTGCTTTCCATTATTCTGTACAGTGAAGCCACCCCTCAATTGCACTTTTAGCTTCACTTTATATATTGGTTACTGCATATTAATTCAACTATATTTCTAGCCAAAATTAAAATGCAGAATCGGTCGTCAGTGATCCGAGCTGTCAAGTATCGTGTGATCGAAGCAAGGAATCTGTTTTGTGGGGTATACCCCGGTTTTGCCAATACGTAAATTACATACACCATATGGCCGATATAAATGCTCTTTATTCCTTGCTAGTTTATTGTTGTAAACTAAACATTTCCTTCTGCAACTTCAAAATGCCTGTTAGTGCAGCCGTTGGAGGGTCGGACATTGCCTATGGCCCAGCAGGTTGGTGCTCAATATAATACAGATGAAGATGATGCTGATGGATGCAGGATACAAGGGCCTAGTCAAGAACCCGTATATTCTTCTACAATCTTTCTTTGCCAGTATTGGGGGTTTACTATATGGGTATGTTGTACCTGGTGTATATTATTTATGCTAATTGATACAGATATGATCAGGGAGTGATATCGGGTGTTCTTGTTATGAACAACTTCGTAAGAGTCCTCCTTCCCCCATCTCCAACATCTCTAATATATATGAAGAAGAAAACATTCCCCCTCATCGCCAGCAACTCCACCCTCCAAGGCTGGATGGTCTCCATCCTCACCCTTGGTGCCATATTTGGTGCCTTCATCAACGGCCCCATCGCAGACCGATTCTCCCGTCGCTGGTCAATTCTCTACGCCAACATCATTTTCCTCATCGGATCAGCCATTCAGGCTGGCTCGATAAATATCCCCATGATATTCGTTGGTCGGTTCATCACCGGTCTTGCTGTTGGAATGTTGTCTATGGTTGTCCCGCTGTATATTGGTGAAGTGGCTCCTCCGAATCTGCGTGGTAGTCTGGTTGCGCTGCAGCAGTTGGCGATCACGTTGGGTATCATGATTGCGTTTTGGCTGGATTATGGGACACAGCATATTGGAGGGACTGGAGATGGACAGTCACCAGCAGCGTGGAGGTTTCCGTTGTCGTTTCAGTGTTTTCCGTCTGTTATTCTTATCTGTGCGACGTTCTTTCTTCCCTATAGCCCCCGCTGGCTTATGCAGACCGGTATGTTGTCCTGACTGCCACCATCTCAGTCGACTAACAAGATCAGGCCGCGAAGAACAAGCGCGTTCTGTCCTCCTCCGCATCCGACGCGTCCCAGCCTCCGATCCCAGAATCTTCCTCGAGCTATCCGAAATCAAAGCAGCCACTCTCTTCGACCAGGAAACCAGAGCTGCCAAATTCCCACATATCCAAGGTCGGCTTCGACTTGGTTTCCACGAGTACAAGCAGTTGTTCGTTTCTCGCCATCTCAACCGTCGTCTCATTATCGCTTGTTTTCTGCAGCTTCTGCAGCAGTTTTCGGGGATTAATGCGATTATTTATTATGCGCCGACGATATTTACTTCGGTTGGGCTCAATGGTGATTCTGTGGATTTGTTAGCGACGGGCGTGGTGGGGATTATCAACTTTTGCTTTACCATTCCTGCGATCATGTTTCTGGATAGGTTTGTTTTCTTTAAAGCACTCACTCGAGAGTAACGGCTGACATTTACAGATGGGGTCGACGAAATATCCTCATGGTAGGCGCAGTGGGAATGGGCGTCTCCCAGCTGATCATCGGCACACTCTACGCTGTATACCAACATAGCTGGGAGGAACATACAAGTGCCGGATGGGCAGCAGCAGCATTTGTATGGATATACATCGCCAACTTCGCCTTCAGCATCGGCTGCGTCAACTGGATCATCCCATCCGAGCTATTCCCACCCGGCGTGCGCTCCAAAGCCGTCAGCATCGCTATTTCAACAAACTGGCTCACCAACGTAAGTCCACCCTCATCCCCCACGCACATTGTTTATCAATCTAACAAAGAATCCAGTTTATCATCGCCCTCGTCACACCCTACATGCTCGACTCAATCACATTCGGCACATTCTACTTCTTCCTCGCCTTCTGCGTGCTGCTCTTCTTCTGGGTGCTGTTTTTCGTTCCCGAGACGAGGGGTATTCCGATCGAGGATATGGACCAGCTGTTTGGGGGGAATCAGGGACACGAGGATCTTTTGCGAATGGCGGGTATAAGGGCGCGGTTGGGGATTGTGCCTGAGAATGGGAAGGATCCGGAGGGACCTGTTGTTGAGGAGAGGGAGCAATTGAGATGAAATCATCCTGCTTACTTCTGTCCGTGTACATATTCAATTAATCCTGCTCACTTTGGCCTCATACTCACAAACTACTCTAGTGAGCTTGTCGAGGGCGACAACTATTTGAGACCGGCACGATCCTTTCTCCCTCTCTCCTTCTTCCTCTCTCAACCATTCCACCTTCATCCTGTTTTCATCTCTCTCTCCAATTACCCTTACTTTTTTATTTGTATGAAATTTTGCATCTCGTCCCTGCTTTTCCTTTACATTGACCATTTCAGTGCAGCGTTCAGAAATCCAAGATGCTGTTTACGCTCAGCTTTTTGAATTTTGATCCAGTTCCAGGGATCTCAAATTTCGCATCCAAGGACAAATCAGTTTGGGGACAGGCTGATCAAATAAAAGGGCAAAAAATATTATGATTCCCAAAAGCAACCTGATAATAATTGGACAGCTATAGCCAACGCGTGGGGGCAAGATGTTTCGATCCATCTGCAAGGGGAGTCTGGATTTTTGACGAGTTCTAAGCCTCTCAAATCCCTCACCAATCGAATCAAAAGGTGGCACGATGCCAAAAAGCTTCTTAATCGGGCCACGTACAACAGGATTATAGCGGGCAAAAAGCTCAAACGAAGGCTGTCCGAAAAGAACTGAAGAGATTGAAGCTCAGTTCGATGTATTCGAGCTAATCATACCTCTAAACTCTGGAGAACTAAAGGAGCCCACCGGTCTACAAATCGATGGCTGGGAGGAGGTAAACCTGGTGGCAACGATCCCTCCACCAGAAACTGCTGAAGTTGTCGGGTTAATTAAGAAAGTGCCCAAGAACTCGCTCAATCTTGGGGGATAGTAAGTCAACACCACCGTTTCATTCCTCGCAAGATAACACTTACTCTTATAGTCGTCTCCTAGTTTCCCAAACAAAGATGAAATCTGGTTGATATTTGCATCGTGGAACGATGATTGGAGCAAGTATATTAGATCGCACCCAGGCGGTCCACGAAGAGAGTGGCCAAGGATGCCTTCCTCTGGATGCAGTCTTACGGGCCGTGGGATATCAACAAGTCTGCCGATATGGAAGAGTTCGCTAAGATAATGCTGGCGGTTTCGATGTTCGCGGAGCGAGGAGCTGATGTGTCCTCTAGCATGTTGCAAGGCGACTGGAGGGCAAAATAAATCTACCAGCCAGGGTGAGGGGAAATACACAACTGTAAAGAAGTACTTTATCTAGACGGAAGCTGCCTTGGTCGGAAAGGAAATGAAGAAAAGAAAATGCGGCATGTCATTCACTGCTCATTCGATGTCTGCCCAAGGAATCTTTGTTTAGGCCACCACCACCCATCACTTGCATCTCAGTTCTTGCAAATCCCCAACTCTATTCTCAGGGTGGTCAAAATTGGTTCATGTTGGAAAAAGAAGAGAGCAGCATATTAATTATCTAAGACAGTGTGATATTTCCTACATATATCAGTCTTCTAAGCCCTGGTCTATATAAAATCACCCTTCAAAATATATTTTAGTATACACAACTGCGCGACTAACAATATCGACACTTTATCCTTTCCCCTCAATACTGCTTTTACTCCATCTTCTCCTCAAACTATTTCTTAAACACAATCATCCGATATCCCTGGGATGAAATGGCGTCACATCATCGGCCAACAGTCACCCGACGGAATACAGAAATATCACACTCAATAACCTCACGTGGAGATCTCGGTTTACTGCATTCCGATCGTCAAAATGCATACAATCGGGTATTATTTTCTGGATATTTATATTCTCGCATCTAGCTAACCCCGATAAAATAACAAAAACAGCCTACAATATTCATTCGAAATGGGCTCTATCGAAACCACACCCCAGATCCCGTGGATGCGCCTGGGGGAAGTCGACATCAAGGCCTCGCTGACACCCCCGCCCGCGCCGCTGCCGGAGAATAATACCAGTGCGGGGGAGAACGCGAGACGGCGGTTTGCTGTTACTGGGAATGCGATTTGTACGTCCCTTCTCCCTGGAGTATTTTATTTTGGTAGATGCTGAGAGAGAGTACGTAGTCACGGGCGGTGCAGGCGTACTCGCACTCGCGTCGGCACGAGCACTCCTCGAACACGGTCTCCAGGGACTCGCGCTGGTCGACTTGCCGTCTGCTTTGAAAAAGGGCGAAGAGCAGATAAAAAAGCTGCAGAGTGACTTTTCCGACGCGAAGATTGTGACGGCAGCCTGCGATGTGACCAGCGAGGCAGATGTGCAGAATGCGGTGCAGACTGCAGTGGACCAGTTGGGTAATTTAAACATCCTCTGCTGCTTTGCAGGAATTGCCAAATGCGTCGCATCGGCCGATATGAGCATCGACGAGTGGCGAAAAGTGCAGGATATCAACACGACTGGGTCTTGGATCACGGCGCAGGCTGTTGGGAGGTATACACTCTACTTTTTTCATCAACTATTATCCTACAAAAATTAACCGACCATGTACTGCAAATAGACATATGATATCCACCCAAACCCGCGGGCGAGTCGTCTTCATCGCCTCGATCAGCGGCCACCGCGTCAACTACCCCCAACCGCAGATGGCCTACAACGTCTCCAAAGCCGGCGTGCTTCACATGCGCAACTGTCTCGCAGCAGAGTGGACACAGTACGGCATCCACGTCAACTCTGTGTCTCCAGGCTACATGGACACCGTCTTGAACGAAGGCGATCAACTGGCCGCCCATCGGGGCGTGTGGGCGGACCGAAACCCGATGCGGAGAATGGGATCGCCGCAGGAGTTGACGGGGCCGGTGGTGCTTCTGTGTAGTGATTTCGGGGGGAGCTATTTGAATGGAATTGATATTGTGGCGGATGGTGAGTTCGATCTGGGAATATTTTGGTTTTGGTGGAAATGAGTTTGCTAATTGAGTGATGCCTAGGGGGTGGACTTGTCTTTTGATCTGTGGATATGATTGATGGAATAGCTTTCCGTGATGCAGAAGACTGTGGAAACCAGTGGAGAGGGTCGTTATACTTGATGAATAATTACATGAACACCATGCATTAGACTGCATGCGAATCCCAGTCCGCTTGAGAATTCATAATCTCACGATGTTCAATCCAGCCCCTGAATGTTGGGCAGGAAGTAGCATCCTCTTACGGAGTAGGAGTACTCGATAGTCGATATCTGAACAAAGAACTGCTGTCTCGAATCTGGGCCATATTCCATCTGGGCCACCAGCAAGTCCAGGCTCGTGTGGACCAACGCCAACCTTAAAATAGATGGATATAGCTCCGATGTGACCTAACTAGCTGTGGTAGGGACAAACTAATCCAAATACCCATCGAGGGAAGATTTTGAATAAATGTCAGTGCCAAATGAACTTTGTACGTGGCGTGGTGGAGTTATCCACCATGAGAGAGAGACATCGCAGACATCGTGGAGGACAATCTTGACATGGATAGAACGAAGAAGGAAATAGCTGACGAGACACCCAAGACCAAAAACAAGAAATACTGTATCCACGTTGCAGGGTCGTTGCAAGCAAACAAAACAAGCATTAATTCCTCCTCTCCACGAGTGTCATCCCCCTATCCTCCTGGCAAAACCGGCTAATTTAATCGACGATGATTCTCGATGCGCCAATAGGAAGCAACACCGGCCCTGATATCTCACCTGTAGGGCGAGACAAAGAAACGGTGGTTTGTGATGAGTGCAAAAAGCAAAAACCAATAAATGCAGGCACGCGCATAAGCACTTTTCCCCCAGCGAATGAAGTTGATTGTGGGTTGCTGTTAGTGGCATTTTGTATTATTAGAAAATGCATGGGCCAGGGGTGACACTTCTGGGGATGCACGTTGGCGATCGAAATATTCCTGTGTGAGCTGTCGGACGTCTGATTATCATTTACATCATTACGAGTACGAAGACAAAATTTAATAAGGAAATAATCATGAAATCCTCCTTACATTCCTCTTGTGTCGAGTCAGGGATAAATGTGATGTATAACTGCTCTCTCCAAGGCTGCCGCAAGTGACAAATGACTGCATCTGCCGTGCCCCGCTGTTCGCGCCGTCGCAGATCCAACGCAATAGCGCCATGACCAAACAAGATTTTGCTCAAAAATTAGTTGATGAGCTAGTTGTTTGTACGACTGGCATCAGGTCTGGACTGTACAACATCACCTTGCATGTCGTGTCTATCAGGGGATACGAAGCTCAGTGGCAATCATGGCTATATAAACTGCTCCCATCGCCGGTGTTTCCTCATCCATCAGCAGCGATCAAAACCAACTCCAGTCACTCTTTACTACTTCTCTTCTTTCTTCAGTCTTTCTCGGCTTCTTTATCCCTCACTTCAATCAATCAAAATGAAGGCTACTTTCGTCATCCTCGCTCTCTCGGCCCTCGCTGCCGCCGCTCCCGTCAACGTATGCTTTATCCATCTCCCAATCACCCATTATCCAAACTAACATTATCCAGGTCAACGCTGACGCTGAAGCCAACGTTGCCCTCAAGCGTGGCGATGGCAAGCTCATCGACGTCGAGGCCTTCGAGCACAGCTTCAACTCCCGCGACGACGGCCTTCTCGGTCTCAACGTCCTGAACCACAGCTTTAACAGCGGCAAGGGCAACGACGACAAGGGCGACGATGACAAGGGCGATGACAGCGGTTCCGAGCAGCCCCCCTGCGGCTGCGAGGAGCAGGGCAGCGGTGACGACAACGACGACGGCGACGACGATGACAAGGAGCACGACAAGGACGGCAACCTCATTGACGTCAACATTGGCAACCACAGCTTCAACAGCGGCAACTAGAGTTATTAACTTGACTCTGGCCCTGAGCTGATCGTGCCGGAATGTCTGGAATGGTGGTTTTCGCTTCCAGCCTGTATTATTTTATCTGCTGTTTCTTGACCACGGATTTGTTGTATGCCTTGCGGAGTACTACTACTGTCTATACTTGATACCATTTTTATATACGTATAATCAATATTCAACAATATCCACTGTCTATATTTCGTTTTCTGTGTAGTTGTCGCAGTTCTGGACAAATTAATTGGTAGTTATTTGTCGATCGATATGTGCAGAGTGTGGGGTGCATAAATAATGCATGCATATATTCCGTGCATAACTGTACAAGACAAACAAGCTCCTTTCCCCAGTTCTTTAATTCTTCAACCATCAAAACAATCTGTTGCAATCGACCAGATGCTCGATATCAATGATATTAATTAATATATATTAAATCTCGATATGAAGTGGCCAATAGCACAACCCCATCGTTACAGCCGACGCTCGTCCGACGGAACAACCAAAGATAACACAACATCGCCTTACTACGTCCGCATCTGCAGTGCGACTCTACAAATGAACTTAACCCAGGGGTCAGAGGAATACAAAATGTCGCGTACCCGCCTCCTAAATTGTCCTGATGGAAGTCTCAGACACAAAGTGAGGTACAATGCGTTTCTCAGCCGTCGCATTACTGGCCTCCTGCACATGGGCATCGCTGGCTACGGCCATCCGCCCTCCTAAACCGGTTCCCCGGCCTGTATCTCGACCAGTATCCAGGCAATCGTCTACTTTCGAAGGCCAAGCAACGTTCGATCAGCTTTTGGATCATCATCATCCAGAAAAGGGCACTTTCTCGCAACGGTACTGGTGGAGTACTGAGTTCTGGGGAGGGCCGGGTTCGCCGGTGTGTTGGATCAATCTGGATGGCTTGTCTGTTGCTAATGTGAAGATAGGTGGTGCTGTTTACTCCCGGCGAAGAATCCGCAGATGGATACGAGGGCTATCTGACCAATAATACTCTGACGGGGGTTTATGCGCAGGAGATCCAGGGCGCGGTGATTTTGATCGAACGTGAGCTTTTCTTTCATCAAACAATATGAGGATACCTGCTGAACATAGTAGACCGTTATTGGGGTGGTTCTTCGCCGTACGAGAATCTGACGGCGGAAACGTTGCAGTACCTCACGCTCGAGCAGTCTATTCTCGACCTGACCTATTTTGCCAAGACGGTTAAGTTGGAATTTGATTTTAATGGTAGCAGCAATGCGCAAAAGGCAGTATGTGCATCTTTCCATAGTATTGACTTTAGCTAACGGCCGTAGCCATGGGTATTGGTTGGAGGCTCGTACAGCGGTGCATTGACGGCGTGGACGGAGGCTATTTCTCCAGGGACGTTCTGGGCATACCATGCTACCAGTGCCCCGGTCGAGGCAATCTACGACTTTGTATGTCTGTCTGTAAGTAATTATACGAATCTGCTGACGTTGTAGTGGCAATACTTCTATCCCATCCAACAAGGCATGGCTCAGAATTGCAGCAAAGATGTCTCGCTGGTGGCAGAGTATATCGATCATGTTGGAAAGACTGGCTCAGCCAAAGAGCAGCAGGATATCAAGGAGTTGTTTGGCCTCGGTGCCTTGGAGCATTATAATGATTTTGCTGCGTAGGTTATCCACCCTATACCAGAGAGAGTCTAACGTGGGCAGAGTTCTTCCCATCGGACCGTATCTTTGGCAAGAAAACACCTTTTCCTCGGGATATTCCGACTTTTTCCAATTCTGCGATTCTGTCGAGGTAGGAAACCTCGCCCTATCAGCATATTGCGTGACTGACCGATCAGAACGTCGAAGCAGGCGCAGCAGTCGTCCCTGGGCCAGAGGGAGTCGGTCTGGAAAAGGCTTTGAAAGGATATGCCAAGTGGTTCAACACGACTATGCTTCCTGGATGTGAGTACCCTCTCTGTATTTCAAATGGCCATGATCCATCTAACAGTTTCAGACTGTGCCGACTACGGGTACTGGAAAGACGAATGGAGCGTCGCCTGCTTCGACACGCATAATGCCTCCAGCCCTCTCTTCACGGATACCTCGGTCGAAAACCAAATGGACCGTCAATGGCAGTGGTTTCTCTGCAATGAACCGTTTTTCTGGTGGCAGGAGTATGTCTCTTCCTTTGTGAGGTTAATATCTGCTAACTGGATACAGTGGCGCCCCCGAAAACGTAAGCACCATCGTCCCCCGTACCGTCGACGCAGCATACTGGCAACGACAATGCTCGCTGTTCTTCCCTGAAACGAATGGATATAAATATGGCAGTGCTAAAAATAAGACTGCTTCCACTGTCAACGACTGGACGGATGGTTGGTTCTTGACTAAGAATACGACTCGGTTGATATGGACGAATGGGTAAGTTATACCCCACAGATCATTGCTACGTAAAGTCTGACAAAGATAGACAATATGATCCCTGGAGAGACTCAGGCGTCTCGTCTGCCTTCCGACCTGGTGGCCCTCTCGTCAGCACCCCCAATGAGCCAGTACAGATTATTCCCGGCGGATTCCATTGCTCGGACTTGTACATCAAAGATGCTACTGCCAACGCGGGCGTGAAGAAGGTAGTCGATACTGAAGTTGCACAGATCAAAGCTTGGGTTGATGAGTACTACAAGTAGATAAGATTCTTATATCTTAAATCCAAAATCCCTATGATTGAATCTCACTCAATCCCACAATCCGGAAACTTGACCCGAATCCGTGTATTAATATCTTCCATCGCATATCCCTCTCCCCGCTGCAGCAACATCTCCCCACAATGCTGCGTATGTGTATACGGGGCAATATACGTATCGATAGCCTCCTTCCCGGGTCCCAGCAGCGCGCGGTGCATTTTCTGCCACATGTACACGCAGTGCTGTACGTGATACTCCCAACTTACATATAGTCCGTCTAGTTCGCCGCGTAGAGCTTCCTCCTTGGGGACGGGCTGTGTCTTGTTTCTATCAAGATACCATTTCCAGTCGACGAGGTCGTCGAAGGAGGAGGATAGTTCGGCGTCGTAGCACCGGTCTGGGAGCCAGCAGAAGGTGATTATGTCGAAGTGGCACCCGGCAGTGTGGGCTTGCGCGGAGGTGTTGCCGCAGGGTGATTTCATGAGGCCGGGCGTTGAGGGTTTGGAGGAGGGGATGTAGGTGTGGTCTGGGGAGTCATGGTTGTGGTGGGAGGAGGAAGATGTCAGGTCCATGGGAGATAGAGAGGCAGAGGGCTTCCAGTATATCACGTTTGAGACAGATTCAGGAGAGGCGAGGTTGAGGGTTGTGATGAGGAGACTGGTGAGAGTCAAGAGGGAACTGAGAATGTTATACTTGTTGACTGAATCCAAAAGAGAATAATTCTAAGTAGGTTCAGGATGAAGGAAGAACCAAGAGCTACCTGAAAGAAGGAAATGGATGGTATGTCCTCTATGGTTGCATCCGAAATGATTGGCAACGATAGAAGATGGGATGTGGTGTGCTGCAAGACGTCTGACATGCATATCACCCCTCCTTGGCCATGAATTCGACATTTCGTACTTTTGATTTAATATCCGCGATAGAGATGGACGTAAATAATTGATAACTGGTTAATTGCTACTCAAATAACGGAAATTAATCGACAGTCTGTGCCCGAGATTGAGTATGTCCAGCCTGAGAACGCTTTATCTTGTCCAGCCAAATCCTGCTTGATTTCAACAGGATCTCCTGTCTTCTATGATCTTGCGACTCTGAGACAACAGAACATGGACAGCTACCAGGAAATTTTCAAGTGGGCCTTGCCCTCGAAAGACCAGCGCAGCCACTATACAGCCGTACACGCAGGGGAAGAGAGCGGAAGCTCAGACGAAGTAAACCTTTTGTCAGAGAAGATACTGAACAGGCAGCATGGCAACTCTAGCAAACACCGTCTGATTCTGAACATCATATTGTTCATCGCACTTATCATCGGCGCAACTTCTGTCTTCATAGCATTCATGACTCACTATACCATTGTCCGACGAAATCTGGTCAGCGTCAACCTACCATATGGGAACCCGATCCCCCCAAGTATGTCCTGCCAGAATGGCACAATTTGACTCCGCTAACGACTCCAGTCCCCTTGGAAAAAAGACATTTTGGCCCGGCCGAAATCTTCACCGAGCGATCAAACCCCCGCAGCGACGCTGCATGGGAGGCACTTGCAGGGCGTAAGACACCCCATTCATTCTGGTGTATTCTCTTGGACCGAGTCAGCGGCTAATCTGTGAAATGCAGCAACGCTGAATGACCAAGGCTTCATCTACATTCCCAACTGGGAAGAGCTAAAGCTGCCCCGGGGGGGTGTTGTCCACGGAGAAATGATGTACGGGATAAGCATGTTCCATCAGCTGCACTGTCTGGTAAGACTTTTCTATGCTGCATGTGGCAGTAAATTAACTACCGCGCAGGGCGCCATCCGACATACATTCTGGCAGCTGATGGACGGCAAGCTGGATCCGGCGGCCTTTGAAGCCATGGACGGGGATACGACCGATCCGGGATTCATCCCCAAAGGACATGGTCTATGGCACATTGAGCACTGCTTCAACTATGTGCGCCATGCGTTGCAATGCTATGGCGATACCACGATCGAGGTCCCAACGGACTTTAACGGGCAGTTGATCTTCATTGGCTGGAACACGACGCACCAGTGTCGCAATTTCGACGCGATCTGGGACTATACCGTCAAGCATTCGACTTTGGATCACTTGGCATGGATTTAGCCGATGTAAGAGAGGGGAGGGAGATGGCTCGGGATTAGGGATTGGGGTGGGTGGCACGGACACGCTATGGACATAGCACAATGAATGCAGTTTGCAGATAACATAGGGCAATGTATTAAATAGCCAATCAAACCAGGTGTGAAACAAATTAAGGGATGCAAATCTGAGGTCATATCAGCCTTGGGTAGCGCAAGGCAAGGGGCAAACAAATTAGTCGTCCAGCCGGTCTTTGGCTGACGGCGATTCGGCGATCCGGCGGGTGGAAGCGGGGAAGCTATCCACTACCTTTGAGCACCGATCATCGAGATGCAGCAGACCTAATAAGCCCCATCAATTAGATAGCCAGATTTATAGTATTCATGCAGAAGAGATTGACTTGGCAGATCCGATACTGATAAGGAACGACAATCAATGGAGTTGTATCCATGCGATTCTGTCGACAGCCAGTGATGGGATGATGAGATCCGGGTTCCCCGAAATGGATTTCTCAGCGTCAGACATCCAGCCCTTCCATTGAACCCTGAAGATAGCAAGAAGCTCGATTTATCCACGCACTGGTGATGCAGCATGGATGTGATTCCTCATGCAAAATGGGGAACATCGAAGGGCTTATGTCTCAGTTACCTCTGCGGACGGCTGTTTTGGGAGGGATGACCACTTCTTTGCTTCCTGGATAGGAGATGTCGGGTGTCGATTGAACCTTCACAGATTGACCAGTGGATGAAATCACGTCGAGGAGGAGGTCAAGCGACACCATCATCGTCATAGTCCGCTCATCGTTGCAATCTGACATGCACTGCATGAGGGGGATGGCCTACCACGGCTTCGAGGAAGCAGATAAGCCATCCATGGTGCGGGGGAGGCTGTTGTGTAGCACATATAACAGTCAGATCCTCTTTCTCGATCAAAACAGATAAGAGAAGAGCAACTCGTTACCTCCTGCTATCTAGAGAAATTTCACTTCATTTCCAGGATCAATACTCTTCGTGGCGACCATGAAGCTAATCAATGGTCTTTCTATGCTTACCCTCCTTGCGGGGCTGGCGATTGCCGCACCTGCAAACTCGAGTACTTATCAATCACACGGAATAAAAGGTCTTGACTGGTCCACGGCTGATATGGTCTAGGGGAAACTCTTGACAAGCGTGAGGATGCCGAGACAGCAGAGCCACTGCAGTGGATCAAACGCGATGATGCTGAGACAGCCGAACCACTTCAATGGATCATGCGTGTCGATGCTGAGCAGGCGGAGCCATTGCAGTGGATCAAGCGCGAGGATGCTGAAAAAGCAGGGCCATTGCAGTGGATCAAACGCGAAGACAGCGAGACGGCCGAGCCTCTGCAATGGATCAAGGCCAAGCGCGAGGAGGCCGAAAAGGCGGAGCCCCTTCAGTGGATCTGAGTATTCGTAAGTCGTGTCTTTTCCACAATCCGGTGGACGATGGTACTGACATCCAAGGTCAATTGGAATCGTGCCTAAAGCCGACGCTGGCTGTCAGCAATTGATTTGGGGATTTGTAGGAGGGTATTCAGCCTTGAACTCGGGGAGGAGTGTATCTAGCTCACGTCTAGTGTATGGTAATTCAATAGGTATGGAGAGATGAAAGCAATATGAGGAAGGTCCATGTTTCATGACTGGATGTGCGTAGTCGTCTGCTTGTCAGTAGGATCAGCCAGCAGTTTGATGCAAATGAATTGATCAGCCATCCAATTGTCTGGGATAAGGGAAATTGAAACCTCAGGCCTTCTTGAATGACATGTGACACGAGGTAGCACCCGCAATTTGGGCTTTGTTTGAATGCTCCCCCAATCCACCAATCGGAATGCCCAGACCTGACAGGGACCATCTTATCTGCATGACTAAGTGACCAGGTTCCTCACTCCTCAGGCAGCATCGCGTGCGTGGACTCTTTGTCTGTATTTCCTCCACCCCACCAGAGACTTTCCTCTCCATGTTGGATCAAGCGTTTACTGTCTGTTCTAATCACTCTATCAAGGGCCTCGGGGTGATGGCGATCGTGATGGACTTGAATTCCTCTGTCTCTTGGGCGGGGGATATGTCAGATAACACATTCGGACCTACCAGTCACTCCAGACAGTTCGACTTCACTCTCACCTTCGAGCAATCGATCCTGTCCATCATTCCTTCAGCGGTCCTGCTCCTGGTTGGACCACTCCGACTGCTGTATCTGTCTCGGTGTCAGTCGAAGACCAGTTCTGAGCATAAGCACTACCTGTTGAAGCTGGTAAGTGGCCTCTCCCCCTTACTCGCTTCCACCAGCTGATCGCTCCTAGGTCGCAGCCTCGATAAATCTGGCCCTACAAATATCCCTTCTCGCTCTATGGACCGTATCACCTTCCGCGCGGACTTCAACGAGCACCCCGTCCGCGGCCATGGGCCTCGCGAATGCGGTGATCATCATTGGACTTTCCTATGTCGAAGACAGAAAATCAACCAGGCCCTCGGCGCTACTGACCGTCTATCTGCTGCTCTCGATCCTGTTCGATGCGACACAGGTTCGAACATTATGGCTTACCCATCGAACCCCCATTGCAGCGGTTCAGAGTTCGATCATCGGGACGAAAATAGTGATGCTATCATTAGAGTCCCGAGGCAAAACGTCGTATCTACAATCTCCCTACAAGGAGTATCCACCAGAGGCGACCAGTGGCATTGTAAATCTGAGCTTCGTCTGGTGGTTGAATAGACTCTTTGCGACTGGCTATCGAAAGCTAATCGGGAGCCGGGATCTCTTTGATCTTGATCCTGGCCTCGCATCAGCTACTGCAGGTGAACGATTGAAACGCGTGTGGAAAAAGCATGGTCAGAAAATACCTCCCCTGAAGATCGTATATATCGGAGCGGTACTATACTAATCATGTATAGGCATCTCTCAAGACAAGCGCTCCTTGCCTTGGGCCTTTATCCGATGTTTCTGGTGGGAGTTTCTTACGGTGGTATTTCCTCGACCGTGCATGATTGGGTTCAGCTTTGCCCAACCTTTTTTGATCTCCGCGGCTATAAATTTTGTCGAGAAACCGACAACCCCCGAGACGCGAAGCAATGGATATGGCCTTATCGGGGCTGCGCTCCTGATTTACCTTGGACTAGCGGTATGACCCATATTTCGGTTCGTTTCGTCGCTAACCTCGACAGCAGTTGTCCAACGTTCACTACAGGCAACAGTTCTCTCGGGTGACAACGCTATTCCGTGGTGCCATGATTTTTTTGATCCATGACAGGACCTTGACGCTTCAGGATGGCTTACACACGGAGAGTGCCGCTCTGACATTAATGAGTACCGGTGAGTAGGAAACGCATCTGATCACTAGAACTTATATCCCAACGCTCATGGTAAACTTTCAGACATTGACGGAATCATTGAACATTTGGAGAACTTTAATGACGCGTGGGCGCGCACAATCGAAGTGGCCATAGGTACCTGGCTACTTGAGCGCCAACTCGGTGCCACTTGTGTGGTACCACTTATCCTCACTATCGGTGAGTAACAGGGACTCATATTACTAAAGCAGTAGCCTTCAATACTGACAATCCTTTCAAGCATGTCTGGGCGGACAGAAACTGGTAGCAAGGACAATTGGGGAAAATCAGCAGAACTGGAATCTTGAGATCCAGACGAGAGTCAAGAACACATCCTCCGTGCTAGGGTCAATGAAAGCAGCCAAGATATCTGGCCTTTCCAACGCATTGGCCCAGAGCCTCCAAAGGCAACGAGAACAAGAGCTCTTTGTGTCTCGCGCCTTTTTCAAAGGTATCATGTGGTTAAATGGTCTAGGTAAATAACCCCGGGTTCTTGCACTGGTGATTTCTCCACTAATATCGAGCAGCAAGTGTACCCCGAATATGGTCGCCTGTTATCACGTTCATTGTCTATGCAATCCAGGTACAGATTAAATCGGAGTCACTTACCACCATCAAGGCCTTTACGGCTTTGAGCATTATCACCCTCGTCACTACGCCCGCTGAGCGACTGTTGGCCGTTTTACCCCAGCTGGCGGCAGCAATGGGATGCTTCAGCCGGATACACGAATACATGGTCTCTACGCCAGCAAAAGATAACCGTATTGGAGGTGAAGGATCTGAATCGTTCGATTTGGAAACTGGACCATCTTTTGAAGAAAAGAAGACGCTGCCGCGGATGCTAGTCACAGAATACGACGAGCCGGAAGCCGCCATCACACTGAACAAAGTTACCGCCCTACCTTCCCAAACAGCCTCATATCCTGCACTGACTGATGTATCCTTTACGACCAAGACTGGGTCCCTGTTGGTTGTCACTGGCCCTGTCGGCTCAGGTAAAACAACCTTACTCAAAGCAATCCTGGGAGAGCTTGACTGTCAATCAGGGATTGTATATGTCAGATCCAGGAGGATATCCTATTGCAGCCAGAATCCGTGGTTGCTGAATACGACAATCAAGAAGACAGTCACTGGTATCTCCGATGACGAGGTTGACGGAAAGTGGTATAAGACCGCCCTATATTCATGCGACTTAGATGAGGATATCCATTCTTGGCCTGAGGGGGACCAAAGTGAAGTTGGAAGCAGAGGACTAACTCTGTCGGGTGGCCAGAAACAGCGACTGGTACGTCACACATATCCGCATTCACAATTTGATTCAAGTCGTTGACATTCATGCCATTTCGTAGGCACTGGCTCGTGCAGTCTATAGTCGCCAAGATATAGCTTTACTCGATGATGTATTGAGCGCCTTGGACGTTCGGACCCAAGATATAGTAATCCAGCGACTTTTTGCGAGTGATGGGATATTTCGCCAGCTAGGAACAACTGTGATTCTAGTCACGCACAATGGTAAGCCTCCTCCGCTTACCAATTGAAGTAATCCTGAGTGATTGATTGACAATGTCTTTGTACACTAGCTCGACTGCTTCATGCTGCAGACAGTGTGATCTCGCTGGGTACAGACGGGCGAGTTCAGCTCGAAAAAAGGACTGGAGATGACATTGGATACGCAGGCTTCTTTCAAGATACTCAAAGCTCGGGCAAAGGAGAGCAAGACGACCCTAATGACGAAGTCCAGGATCAGGCAACCACCTCGCCAGCATGCGCCCCTAACCTCATAAATGATATCGAAGATCTCGATCGATCGAGGCAGATGGGAGATTTGTCTGTGTACTCTTACTATGCGCAAACAGCTGGTCCAGTCATCATCACTTCATTCCTTGTCGCCCACGCTGTTTTAGCTTTCGCTGAGAATTTTCCTCAAGTGTGGTTAAGCATGTGGACCAAGGCAGGGGGCAGACACCTTCCACTCTACTTATCTGTTTATGTGGCTTTGGCACTCGCGGCATCCGCTCTTACTATTATCTGCATCTGGCTCGTATTTCTTAAACTGATGCCGAAATCTGCCATTTCTTTACACTGGCGCCTTCTGGATGCTGTCATTCAAGCACCGCTCTCCTTCTTCGCTTCTACAGATAGCGGTGTGACCCTCAACCGCTTCAGCCAAGATATGACCTTGGTTGACCTGGCTTTGCCTATTGCGCTGATGTCTACGAGTGAAGCATTTTTCAGCTGCCTCGCCACTGTTGGCTTAATCGCGACGGGATCTGCGTTTATGGCTGTGACCATCCCATTTACCCTGGTTACACTGTACCTGCTACAGAAGATATATCTGAAAACAAGTCGACAATTACGGTTTCTTGATCTGGAGTCGCGAAGCCCCCTGTATTCCCACTTCACCGAAATACTCGAAGGGCTTCCCACAATCCGGGCTTTTGGCTGGCAGGCGGCCTCAACCAAGGTTCTGATCAGGTACCTCGACCAGTCACAGAAGCCGTACTATATGCTACTCTGCGCTCAGAGGTGGTTGAATCTGGTTTTGGATATTGTGGTCATGGCGTTAGCAACTATTGTGGTTGCATTGGCTGTTAAGCTTCGCGGTAGCACAAACGCTGGCCTTCTTGGTGTGGCCTTGAACAACATCCTGGGATTTAACCAATCACTATCCTACCTTATCACATCGTGGACCACGATTGAAACTTCCCTCGGTGCGATAGCTCGTGTCAAATCTTTTGTCGAGTCTACTCCGTCTGAAATCCCGCCACACGGAAGCTCAGACCCACCGGTGGGGTGGCCGACAAAGGGGGAGATCAGTATCCAGGATCTCTGTCTGAGTTATCGCGATGGGGCCTTGGTCTTGGACAATATTTCAATGCTGATATCTCCAGGTGCAAAGATTGGAATCTGCGGTCGGACTGGAAGGTATGTTGGCTATGCTCCAGCAATCGTATATATATATTCTGACAGTCCTTGCCCACGGTCTAGTGGCAAAAGCTCTCTCATACTCGCTCTACTCCGTCTTATTCATCCAACACAAGGCAAGATTATCACCGACGGCATCGATACGGCAACCATGTCTCCGCCCGCCGTGCGTGACGGGCTCATAGCCGTTCCGCAAGACCCATTCACGCTACTAGGCTCAGTCCGATACAACGCAGATATTATGAGCGCGTCTAATGATGAGGAAATAATTGCTGTGCTGAAGCAGGTGGGTGTGTGGGAGGCGATTCAAGCGCGCGGAGGTCTCGATGCCATCCTCGAGGACCATCCGTTATCACAAGGAGAGCAGCAGCTGTTTTGTCTGGCACGGGCCATCATCAAGAAGCGGACCACCAAACATGGATGCCAAGTGTTGATATTGGATGAGGCCACGAGCAGTATGGATGCGGAAACGGACCGACAAACTCAGAAGGTTTTGAGAGAGGTGTTTCACGATTGCACGGTGGTTAGTGTGGCTCATAAGGTATGTCCATGTGTTTCCTGCTTTCCCTGCACTAGTCGAATTGGAAACTGTTTCACTTTCTTTTCTTTCCTTCTCAGCCCTCTTTAATGATTATATACGCGAACTCACCTTGACATAGCTGGATACAATAATCGATTTTGATCGCATCGCGGTCCTGGAGGATGGACATCTAGTCGAGTTTGATACGCCGGACAAACTTCTTGCACGGGAGGGTGGTTTATTCCGTCGGATGTATTATGCCACAGACATCATAGCGTAACGATAACATGATTTGCAAGCAATATGATTCCCAGTTCATAGAAAGACAGTACATACGACCACAGGGTGTGGAGAACAGGGCTTCCCGTCCGCTCAGCCGTACTTAAGCCACACGCCGGCAGGTTAGTAGTTGGGTGGGTGACCACCAGCGAATCCCTGCTGTTGTATGTTTTTTCCTTCTTCCAAGTTTATTTTTGTATTTCTCGTCTAATACGTTTCTCGTTACTTGTCCGTTCATCCCTGTTAATCTTGCGGCTTAGGGGTATTTCTATTACTTCATCAAGTTGCCTGATATGATGTTTTTGGGCCATGTGCAACTTGCGCTGATTCCTTGGACACGGTCTGATGTCTTGCACATTCGTGGCCAGGGTCACTCTCAGAGAATAAGCAGCTTGTAGAAGGCTTGAAGTATACAGCAGTGCGTTCAGAACGTTGTTGGAAAGTGGCAGTCCCCCCTCCCAAACATACATACCACGCAACATGATCGTCCCTCGGATGAGGAACTGCTCTTGTTCATGATTATCCAGTTTACTGGGCCCCATAAAGCCGACATAGTCTGGCAATTTGGTGGGCAATGGTTACTGATATCCGAGTTTAATCAAAACGAGAGGCTGATAGCCCAAGTGAACGGTTTATTTTTCAATAGTGTGGATGCCATATTTAGGTGACAGTCTGTGGCTAATGAGATCAACAATTCCAAAAGCAATGAAAGTGACAAAATGATATTCTCAGCTGCTAGGCTCAACCTTGTAAGCTCTACCAGACTTCCGTTCAATCCATGCATAACGGTGCTTATCGTTCGCATTTGAGGAGCCCCAGGTATTTCTGTCTGGCCCTTTCAAGTACTTGCCAAACTCCGTTTGATCCACATGCAACTTCCGCTGATCCACAGAGGGAAGATGACCTTCCTCGAATTGCGCTGACGGCGATATTTGGCTCATGGCCAGAATCGCTTCGAGGGAACGGGCACCATGTAGAACGTTGGGAGTAAACAGAAGCGCGTTCTGAACTTCTTCTTTGATTTGAAGCTCGTCCCTGACCTTGAAGCCTCTTTCAAACATGCTTCGAAGCAGTATTGCGCGCCGAATGGGGAAATATTTCCCATCATTTTCGTTGAGCTTGTTGGGTCCCAGAATGTTCACGTACCCTTTCAGGGCACCTTTGAAGTCTCTCATGAGCTGAGGGTTCTCCGCACAGTGGTGGAACAAACCGATCGAAAGTGGCTTGTCTGCCTTGTTTTTTTGCAGATACCAGGTGGCCACATTCTTGAGAGGCTCATAGTCGTTGCCTGTTTGTTTCTTTTGGACGTGACCTCGAAGTCTGCTCACAAAGTCGGGCAGCTTGGCGCCTGGAAAGGCTTCGTAGTTCAGGTTTGTTTCTGGAAATCCATTGAAGTGGGGGGTCCCCTGGTCAAAGACAAAGATGGCACGCCCGATGGGATGGCGGCTTCCATGATCGAAGAACTCGCCATCTTGCATCGGAGCGAGAAAGTATTTTAGCCATCCCAGCTTCTCGGCGCCGAAATTGCTATCGAAGTTTTTAAAGAAGACAAGTGGAAGGTTCCCTTCCAGTGCCTGGTCACGGATTTCGTAGAACCTTTTTTTCAACTGGTTATATTCAGTCATCTCGGACAGGTCCAATTCAATTGTGTTAAAGTTTTGCTTGCCGTCAATATCTCCAAGAAACTCCTTGAGTTTGGTTTCTGGGGTCTGACCTTGGCCGGGTGGAATGGCATGAGCGCTGGAGCTGATGGGTTTTATGTCTTTGAAGAAGTCACCATAAGTGGTCTTGGTGCCTCCGATGAAAATGTAGATACCACGGCCTAATGGTCGAGTCACCTCGCCATCCATGTACTTGCCCTCTGTGATGGGCTTGATAAAATGCTTGAGCCACCCCAGCGATCTTCCCCGGAAAGTCGAGTCAAATTCATCGAAAAACACAATCGGCACCTTTCCGGAGAGTCCCTTGTCCTGAATAGCTTGAAATGCCTGTCGGAGATCGTCTTCCTTGCGAAACTGCGAGAGATTGAATTCTAAATCCGTGATTTCTTTCTGATGGGCAGCCAGGGTGGCCTTGATGACCTCCTTCACACCAAAGGATTTCCCAGAGCCCGGTTGCCCAAACACGGCAATGGGCAAAGGGGTCTTGTTTGTCTTATCCTGATACCAGCTATCGACCGTGTTGGCAATTGTTCGGAAGCCATCGACTTCTCCCCGATCAGCCGTCACCAGGTTGCCAAACTGGGCACTGGGCATGTATGGCAGTACACATCCAAAGCCATGTTTTAACGTATCCCATGCAGCCTTCTCTGGGGGGCATGGCAGACTGTCAAGAACTAATGGCTGCTTGAAAGCCTTTTCGTCTGTATCTTCTGCTTTCGAGACCAAATCCAGCTCGACAGACACCAACACCGGTTCTGAGACAGTTTCAAACTTCATGCGGTGAAAGACTGGATCGGTCCCGCGGGGCTTGCCCTTGGGGAACTTGATGGCTGCGAAGCGACGAGACCATCTGATCCCAGTCATCATTGCATCTCTGGCCTGCCTTATTCCGAGGTTTTCAATGCAATCGACAGACCCTTCGGCCAGAGAAGCCACCAGACCAGCCACCCAGGCAGCCTTCAGCTGCTCCCTCAGCTGCTCCCTCAGCTTATCCGTCGTAATTTCCTCCGTGGTGTCGGGGTCTTTTGTATTGTCCACATCCTTGTCCGAGTAAGAGCGAAGAAAACTACCTTTGGCGCTGGTTGGCTCGTAAATGAGATGGGCCTTGGTGTCTGTAGCTTGGAAGCCCTTGTAGATTGCACCCTCAAAGCCGAGCGGGATTAGAAGGTGGAAATACTTGTTCTGCGACCCTATTTTGCTGCATAAAGCTTGGAGCGCGTGGTTCCAAATATTTTCGACTGTCTGATCCCACGACAGACGACGATCTTTTTCCTCCGACCCTGGTAGTTCTTCGGCGTCAAAGACAAGCAGGACGTGTCTCTTCGCTTCCTGGGCCTTGCTTGCCAATCCTTCCCACGTTCGAAGATTTCTTTCCATGTCACCTTTCTCCCCCCATTTCATCTTACCCACGATGACCTGGGAGTCAGGCTCGTCAGCCTTCCTTTCGTTTATAACGTCAACTTCGAGGCCGTCGGAAATGAGAAACTCGGTTGGTGTTTTCTCTGCTTGCGCCGGGCCAGGCTTTTCCATGCTACCTTCAAGCAAATTGTGCAATACCGATTCTTTGTCTGGTACCTTGAAGTTGATTGCTTTCTGCGCCGTGGGTGGGGCGCCGACGAACTCAGCTAAAAACGGGAGTAAGCCACTGTGGATGGGGAATAAGTCTCGGTGATACTTACTGTCTCTGTAGCCGATACCATAAACCAGTTTGCCCTTCTGGTAGTGGTTTTTTACATTCCCATGGCCCGCTGCGACATGGACCTGGATACGGTCACCGTCCTTGTGTGCAGTCCTAGTCAGTAAACTCGTTTCAGGAAAGTGTCATTACCAAAAAGCAACTCACCTTCAAAGATTTCAATAGGTCGCTGTGTCTGGTGAAAACCCTTCCTTCGTGCTGGATGAAAATGTGTGAGCTACATTCGTCGTGAATCCAAGGATTGAAAGAAGATAATCGATGCATACCCATTCGTGTTTCGCTGCCACGCACCGATTCTCATGGCTCATCCATCTAGTATCTTTTCCAGAAATTGACAGTTCGAACCATGCCCGTTTATCTTCGGTGGGTTTAGGCTCTTGGTGGGAGAAGGTCGTGAGCTGAATACTGTTGAGCCGCTCCAGGAGTGAGCCGCTCAGTTTCTAGCCGAGTATTACAGATTAGGCTTTTTGAATGATTGTCAATGGCAGAATGGAATCTTACTGGTGATTCAAACCACAGCCTGGTCCGCGCTTTCTCGGCCTCCCCTGACAAGAACTCGCATGACTCCTTGGTGTCTTTTGATTCGGTCACAGAATAACCGCATGGGTAATCACAATTGATGTCTGGAACTTGATCAAGAGTAGACTCATCAATAGATGGAGTAGTGGACGGAGTAGTAGACGGAGAATTAGGCACAGAAGGAGACCCAGTACGAGAGCTAAGAGACTCAGGAGAGGGGCTTCTACCGTCACCACTCATTTTGGTTTTGGTGCTATCGGGCAGTCCTTGGTTCGTATTCTTGCTTTCTGGTATCTATTTGCCAGGAACAGAAGGGGCTTTTATGTCTTCTCATATCCGAGGACAGTCGACATTCTTGCGAAATTGAGAGAAAGCAACTTTCCAGATTTCAGAACCAACTCACCAGGCCGCACCAGTATCCCGATGCCCAACAGCCTACATGTAATTGCATCACTGTCTCTGTTGTTTGCAGGTCCACATCCCATACAACACAGACGCATGTGTGTCTAATCGAATCAGTCCTCTCGTATTATATCGCAATACTCGTAAAAGAAAGATGCGTAACATATCACATTCCCCCGTATAAATTCCGCGTTGTCGTGTTCTTCCTCTATCGACCAATCTTCTCGCCTTGGCCATGTTGCCTTGTTGATCGGCATGTCAGTTGACCTTCTCCTTTGGATCTCATCTGCCTGATTGAACCTGCTACCAATGGGATATTTCATATCATCTCTGAAGATCTCTATTACGACATTCATCTGCCCAGCGAACACCATCTACAGCATAACTTGCAACTCTGAGTAGAGTATCTCGGCATCTCCGGACCTAGTCAGACCAATCATAGCATAAACCCACCATTCCTTAATAGATCAGTTGATACAGCTCATCAAATCCATGGCGCCGAATCCACCACATTAGCTGAAGATGTTTGATAAATCCAACCAATACCAAACTTGGAACGGGCCGTGCCGACTCCACCAGCCCCACTATTCTGGGACGAACAACCAACGGAAATGCCACCCCCAACTTCCGGTCCACTCAGGATGTATTCCTATTAGCCTTCTCATCCTCCATTATATTCTCATCTTGTAGTTCTACATGGATGGAACGGGTGAAAGTGGGGTGATGACCACCATACATGAGCTTCTATCTTATCTTTCTACCCAATATGGATGTGTTTCAGCTAGGATCAGCGTTAATCGTGGCATCACAGGCAAATTCTCAGCCAGCCTCTTTCAGCTGAGGCCACCAAGGCCCCGCATTTGAGGCATATCGCAACCCCACCTTAACGAGAAAAAATATTCGAGTCATCGCCCACCTTTGGGATATTGGGATTGGTTTTAGCTAGGCCTAAACTATGACAATTATAATTAATGATCAAACGTAAAACGTTATATCAAATCACATAGTATAGTGCGTTAATGTATTTCGGAAGTATAAAGTCAGCATTCGTGTAGCATTCTAAAATATGAGGCTGTTGGATCGGAATGGTCCTGCTTGGAAATTATCAGGTCCACTCTTTTTTCTTTTTACGGGATATACACGACAGTCTATGCCGTCTATCTATTTCTATGGAGCTACGTGTTAATATGTCTGTGATATCTGCGTGTGCTGTACATTCTCTCTGAGTGCATGGTGCATCATGGCTGAGTCCAGTATGGGTATACACAGTGATATCGAAAAAACCTTCCCAAATTTGCGATACTGATGCTGATGGTGGTTGCGATATACAAGCTGTAGTATGAGTTTTCATATGGCTTGCATAAGCAGAGACACGGAAACGGATACATAGATATCCTCGTCCTTGATGCAGCCTACTGGGCACCAATGGCATGGACCAGTTCTGAGCCTCGTAGATGCCTGAGCCTATTGGCAGTACCATCTACTATTTTTTGATTGATGCCTGATCGGCGGTTCTCCAATTATCGTTTGGGTAGGTGAGCTTCATGCATAGGATTTAAAGTTCCCCCAAAAAAGAAAGAAATGTAGACAATGAGGAGATGGGATTGTATTATAGTCGATGCTCATTCCATTTAATCTTTCTTTGTCATTACTTTCACAGCAGAATAGTATGATAATAGGCACGGTCGAGCGGATACGAAATCAAAATGATGAAATATTCGAATCATAGCTGAGAAATGGAGAAATGACCAAAAAGTGAAACTTCTACCACCACCATGCATCGTTCATCTTTTCCAAACATGGCATCACCAGGTTGCACAATACATGACAGACTGGATGGATAGCGTCAAAAGGTACGAACCATAAACTGAGCCCTTTCGCCATTCAAAAAAAAGCATCATACGTCAACGCAAGCTCAGGGACTGACAGGAGGCGTACTATGGTGAGAACTATCCCCTCCTTCGGCAGATTAATGACGGCTGGGATCTAAATGGTGTTTCTTCATTTGAACAGGGCATTGAGAGGAGGAAGTATGCTGTTTGTCCATTTACCAGGGCTCCTATCCATAGGCAAATCGCTACGTCTGACCTGGATTATGATTGGTTTTGGATGATGACGCCGGACTGCGTGGCGTCAGCATTTTACATATTCATAAAGACAAAGTACTAGGTGGGATGAGGGCGTGGTAGTCGAAACGAAGCAAGTTGTTATTTATATTCTATCCTTCCTTCCAAGCAAATACAGACCAAGTCCGAAAAGAACCGGGACTTGGCCTTCAGTTAGAGCCAAATGACCTTTTCAGTAGACAATACGGGATAATTAGACTTCTTGTTTGGTGGTATCCCGGCATAATGCTCTACCCTTCTCTCAATCCCACCCAACAGCGCTGGATGCTTATCCATAATCGGCTTGAATATGTTGTTCACCACATATTCAATCTTGGAGCACGGCGCCAAAAGCTGGCAAACCCAGGTCTGCAGCCGATCACTAGGCAAGGTAGTGGCAAATAGCTCATCAACCACATCCAAAAACTGCGGGTACTTGTTCCAATGCCGTTCTGCGGTGCGTCGGAATCGGAGGCCAGCGAGATAGTGAAGAGCGGGGACGGAATACTTGTCTGCGAGAACGTACATGCGCAGAGATGTGAAAAGGGCGATTGGGTAGTCTTTTTTTGGTCGTTTCTGGTTATTGAAACGCAGGAATAGTTTCTCTATCCGGCTTTGTTCTCGATAGACGTTTCTGTCTGTGTAGTGCTCCTTTTCGGATGGAGGGCAGTCGGAGTCGTCTGAATCATACTGTAAGGGCTCTGGGTCGGGCTCGCCGGGGTTGGGGATATAGTCCTCATCAGAGTCGTCATCTTCGAGTGTTCCTTCGTACTTGTAGTCCAAGATACTCGTTGGCTGGGCAGCTAGAAACAGAAGTGTGTCAGTAGTGCTCATTCCAAAGCTATGAGACCTCAAACCTGGATCATCTTCCGGGTCGATGTATTCTTCGTCCTCGCGAAACTCTTCTGGACTCATGGTTGCGATCGGTGATGGCAGTCCATCGAAATACTCCCCATCAGTGTAGTTTCCCGTATACAGAAACTGGAAGAATCGTTGCAGCATAGCGGGGTCATCCTCGGAGAGGTCGATTGTATTCGTGCAGGTTTCCTTTTGATATTCAGCATCCATCCGATACACCTAGACAGGAAAAGACCAACCCTGAAAGACCCTCTGCAAGCACCGTCAAAAAAAGAACTCCGAGGACACACAATCGCCCGATGCACCTGAAACTTGTGATCCCCACAGGTTACCGTCAGGTCAGAGTATTTGCCTGTTTCAAGTAGCGATGATATCGAGCAGTGGAGCATCGAGGCTGTGATGTATCTGATGTCATCGCCACCGGCAGCAGTTATCTGCTTCTGATTGTGCTGGTCATCCTGTCGCTGACGGTGCGGAAGGTATTGAGCCGGAGGGGACAAGGCGCTAGAGGAGCCTGACATGATGCTGTAGTCCTAGAAATCTGTCTTCGAATATATGTTGGAGATTCTTGTGTATTATATCTGGGAGAATAAAGTACTGGTGGCCGAAGATCAGGCAAGAGCATTCCGGATTCTCAGGCAGCAATCGTCGTTTATAGGCATCCACCACGTAAGGGACACTATTGCCTAATCTTGTGAATTCTATATGCACACTACAGAGAATAGGTGCTTTTACTGTGTTACTATGTGATTGAAACTTGACATGAGAACTGCAGATATATCGCAATGATAAATACAAACAGTCAACCAAACTTTTATTTATTCTCATCCTCAATGGATAAAAACGGACATCCAGCACAGTACTCTGACTGCTTATGTGATTTTGACTCATTAGTCACGTGGTGTGATCTGGGTGACTCCTTTATTCATGTTATTGATGTATTGTTGATTAGATGGAGGAAAGATGATGCTGTGGTGATACTTTCTAGGGTTCATGTTGATGCCTGCTAGTCCATATTAGGTATGTTGTCTCCTGAGGCATACGTGGATTCAGGTACCACTTTTGGGTATGATGTCATATTTTTATTCTGTTTATTTTATCTTTCATTTTATCCCTCCACACAAGATCATAAAATGTATATTATCATTATCATTATCATTATCATTACTATGATACGGCATCTGCATAAATAACGCATGAATTTATCATGAATCATTTCTGGGTATTGATATATATACTCGGTATGGATCACCGCCGATCGATTGACATTCAACAAGCTTTGCTGACGAACGTTGCATCTGAACAACTGGCCATATATGCAGCAATAACTGCAGTAAATCAATTAAACCGGACAACCGGCGGAGTCCGATAGAGCTATTGATGCAGGAATAATAATGCTGACATGCGACAGTCAGCAGACAGACAATGGTTCGCCTAGCCGAAGGTGCGACGCTGCGGAGATTAATCGACAGCACTAGGCAATGATAAACACCGCCACGCTACTGAATTGATTAATTAATTAATGATGCGTTCTCAGGAGGGGCCCAAAATGGGCCTATTTAATGCGCCCTATTTCTCTCGGCTTCAGCCAAGAAAAAGCTTGACTGCAACTCCCTGCATTCACTCGGTCAACTTTCACGATGCGCTCTTCCACGCTGTTGGGAGCGCTGTTTCTCGTCGTGCCTTCGCTGGCTGTTGTCCATGAACATCTTGCTTCTGTTCCTTCGGGCTGGAAGCGTATCTCCAATGCTCCCAAAAGCGACAAAATCGTCCTGTCGATCGCTTTGGCTCGCCAGAATCTCGACCAGCTCGAGTCGAAATTGGCTGCTCTGTCGACCCCTGGTGAAGAGCAGTATGGGCAGTGGATGGACCAGAAGGATGTCGATGAGGCATTCCCGACTTCCAACGATGACGATGTGATGGAATGGCTAAAGGCAGCTGGTATCTCGCATATTCACCGTGAAGGCAGTCTGTTGAACTTTGCCTCGACGGTCGGCGAGGCCAACACGCTGCTCAACACCACCTTTGCATACTACACGAACGGCAACGCGAAGAAGCTGCGCACGACGCATTACTCGCTCCCAGACAACCTGGCACCTTCAATTGATCTCGTCTCGCCGACAGTCTTCTTTGGCAAAGACCATGGCGCTGCTGCCCGGTCGCACAAAGCGCACAAGTCGTCCAAGGCCATCAAAAGAGAAGACACTTCCAACTGTGCGGATATCATCACCCCCGCGTGTCTTAAGGAAATGTACAACTTCAAAGACTACACCCCCGACCCCTCGTCTGGTAGTCGCGTTGGTTTCTCGAGTTTCCTGAACCAGTCCGCTTTGTACTCTGATCTGGCCACATACGAGAAGCTCTTCCAGATTCCCAGCCAGAACTTCTCCGTCGAGCTGATCCACGGAGGGGTTAATGACCAGAACCCCAACACGGCGCAGTCTGACGAGGCCAATCTGGATGCGCAGTTGCAGATTGCCGTTGCTCATCCTCTGCCAATGACTGAGTTTATCACTGGTGGAAGCCCGTAAGTAATCCACCACTACGGAGAGCTGAGTGTATCTAACGCGATCAGACCGTTCATCCCCAATGCCGATGAGCCCAGCGACAACCAGAATGAGCCGTATCTGCAGTACTACGAGTATTTGTTGTCCAAGGAGAACGCTGCTTTGCCCCAGGTTATCACCAACTCTTACGGTGATGATGAGCAGGTAAGCAGACTGGCTTTTTATCGCTTCATCGCTGACCTTTCAGACTGTCCCTGAATTCTACGCCAAGCGAGTCTGCAACCTGATCGGATTGATGGGTTTGCGTGGTATTTCCGTTCTTGAATCTTCTGGCGACACTGGTATGACTCCTCATCTCATCTGTGACTCCTGCTAATAATCCTAGGAATTGGGTCTGCCTGCATGACCAACGACGGTAGCAAGAAACCCGTCTTTACTCCCACCTTCCCTGGAACCTGCCCCTACCTCACCTCTGTCGGTGGTACTCAGTCCTACGCCCCTGAAATCGCCTGGACCGGCAGCTCCGGTGGCTTCAGCAACTACTTCCCCAGAGCGTGGTACCAGAAGAAGGCTGTCGAAGGCTACCTCGCTCACCAGATCACCCCTGACACCAAGAAATACTACTCGCACTACGCCAACTTCAGCGGCCGTGGATTCCCGGATGTCGCAGCGCACAGTGACTCTCCTTCGTAAGAACACCTTCAAAAACCATAGCATATCAAAAACTAACAATAATTCTAGTTACGCAATCACCGTCTATGGTCAAATCGGCGGAATCGGAGGCACATCAGCCGCCAACCCCGTCTTCGGTGCGATCATTGGTTTGCTCAACGATGCCCGCCTCCGCGCTGGCAAGCCCACGCTTGGTTTCCTGAACCCTCTCATCTACAGCGAGGCGTGGAAGACCTTCACCGACATTACTGCTGGCAAGTCGGTTGGGTGCGATGGAATCGACCCGCAGTCTGGATCGCACGTTAATGGATCGGGCATCATCCCCTTCGCCCACTGGAACGCAACCACCGGATGGGACCCGGTGACTGGATTTGGTGTTCCTAACTTTGAGAAGTTGAAGGAGCTGGTTTTGTCGTTGTAAATATAGATATTTGTGTGAGTGAGGTTTGGTGTTTTCTATCTTGTCATTATATATTCTGCATAATTAAATATTAAATTGCATTGTCTTTCATCCATCCCCTCATCTCTTATCGTACTTCGTATCCCCTGAATATCACTGGAGATATCCACACTCCTAATGCATGTTATTGGTGCACAATACTGTGCATAAAGTACCCACTTTGCCAGGGGTTTTTCCGCCTCCGACTATCGCTGATCTTTTTTTATCTTGGATCTGTTGTCTTTTTCTCGCGCATAGACCAGACCGATCTTTCCTTTCTTTTTGTTTTCATCTATCATCATCATAATGGAGGCCACACGGTCATTCCTCTGCGCCGCCTGGCAATCCGTCGGCTTCTGGAAAGCCGCTGCCATCTTTTTCGCTCTCCTGAATCTCAAAACCCTCCCATTCGTCTGGCATGTACGTTACCCCCCCATCCCTACATTCCAACCATCAACTGACAAAACGATAACCCTAGATCCGCGTCTACCGCTACTTCTTCAAACATGGCTACCTAATCACCCCCGCCGTGGAACAACCCACCCGCCCGAGCACTGAAATCCTCAACCCGGTCTCCATCTTCTCCCGCGCGCCCATCATGGAAATCGACTTCAACATGCACAAGTCCAACTCGACTTACTTCTCCGACCTCGACGTGTCCCGAACAGCACTCATCTCCAGCGTCGTCGTGAAAGGCGCCGCCCTCCTCGAGAAGCGACTCGAGGCGCAGGGGAAAAAGGGGTTCCTCGGCTTCATCCTCGGAAGCGTGTATACGAATTTCAAGCGCGAGATCCCCGCCTACGCGAAGTACGAGGTGAAGTCGCATATTGCGAGTTACGACCAGAAGTGGATTTATATTGTTACGTACTTCCTCAAGCCTGGGATGAAGGGTGTCAAGAATGGGGAGAAGGTTGATGAGGAGAAGTTGAAGAAGGGGCTGTATGCGGTTGCTATTAGTAAGTATGTGCTCAAGAAGGGGCGGTATACGGTTCCTCCGACGGAGGCGTTTGAGGCGGCCGGGTATGCGCCTTTCTTTGGTGCTGCGGCGGCGGGGGATGCGTCTGGGTCTTCGAGTGCGGTTGAGGATAATGCTACTGCTGCTGTGCAGCGGAAGGAGCCTGTCGGTGAAGAAGGCAAGAGTGATGAATGGGAGCGGTTGAGAGAGGAGATCGATCGCGGATTGGTTGTTATGCAGCCGTTTATTGACGAGGAGGGCCGGTTGCTGGATGACTTTGTGGCCAAGATGGGAAGGCCTGGGTTTGTATAGATTAGATATGATAGATGGATAGATTTGTATTATAGATAGTAATTGTTGGTCTGGGATGGCCGTGCTGGATAAGATACCGACTGGATTATTGATCGGCAGGGGTTTGAATGCTTCTTGGTGGAGATTGCATAGATTTGTCATTGAAGATAGTGATAAACAGTGCCTTGATAATATTGATAGATTGACGACTGATAACGAGCAATGGCCTTGTTGGTGATCCCTCCACTGATAAGCCAAATCGACCACGATCCTATTTCCAAGCCAAGAAAGGTACGGTTTCCTATTTTGTCGACTTAAACATGAAAGAATGTGCGTCATATCTCCTTGAAACCTGCATGGATGACGGTTAGCAATGCGTGACACTTTCCGTGGATAATAAGCGGACAACAGTACACACATATTAAAACCTCCCCATGCAAACAAGCTAATCGACACGATGTCTAGATCTAGAATGATTCCCTGGGTTTGTAGTATGGTATATGATTCCGCGAAAAAGACTTCCAAAATATGCAAGTCGAAAAATTCGTACCGGTACAGGCGCCTGAGACTTCAGCAAGCCGTGCTTTACCTCTGCCTAAGAGGAAGCTCCATTGGCATCTGATCCGCCATTGTACCAACAGGTTGATTCGTCATTTGCTGAAGGAATATCCGGAAATTGGGCTCGGCCGTCTCTAGCGTTGTGAAATCAAACAGCTTCGACATCCAAATGTTGAGGACTGTTCCATTGTAGAAGGCCTGTGGGATTCTTCCATGCTGCTTGCCCATGAAGGATAGGACGAAGACCTGGGTTTGAATTATCGGTTAGAAATGAAACTGTGCAAGAATAATGGTCAGACTTACCGGGATGACCATATGCTCAGATAGCTCTGGAAGCTCCATCCGGGTAATGATTGCGGCAAGAATGGACATCACCTCCCCGCGGAACAGCCTCTCTTGCTCTTGGATATTATGCTGGAGAATGAACATGGTGTGGGGGTATTGTGGTGGAAGCTGCCACGCCACCGATGGAGTGAAAAACCTCCTTTTGAACAAGTCCTCGTAGTAATAAGAATGGAAAACTGTTTCATCGCAAGCGCTAAACAAAAGCAGCCACAGTTAGCATATACTGAAATTATTAACAGGGGGGTGCTTCCTTACCCTGTGTTCCATGGAGTTAGTGACTTGATCGTGTCTCCCTCATCAGCGAAATTCTTCCTGGGACATCCCCCAAACTCCCACTCCATGCGATATGCAAGAACGACTGCGCTGCGCATGGCGGTGGGCCGTTCTGATAGTTTTTGATCAACCTGGCGTTACACTGCACCGTCTCACGAACCTCTCCGTCGTAGTCGAAATCTATTGGGTGTTCATGAAGCGCTTGTAGAGGAAGAGGCTCAAAGAAACACGGCCTCACTGGTTGTGAATAGCTGCCATCGTCAGAAATAAGCAGAGAACGACAGTAGATTTTGAGGTTTCGGTATTCCGAGGGCTCAAGAAATGGCGACGTCAGGGCTTTCACCATTTCATACATGCCGTCGAGCTGGGCGATGTACTGCTGGCGGTTGAACTGTGCTCCCTGGCGATCATGGGTGTTTTTTGAACGGGATGATAGATTAGCACTAGGCCTGACGTTCTCCGAACCAGACATCTTTGTGGGGAGTCGTTGTTGTCAGGCGAAACTATGATGAGCTGGTGGAGGAGGAAGATGAAGAAAAGAAGACAAAGAGGTGGTGGCTGCCTAGATCCCAATTCGCCCGGGAATGTCATGGTGGATCAAAAGCGTGTACACATTATGAATGACATTTATAATGATGGCTAACATGAGGCAACCATTTGTTTTCATAAATGATATGAATTTTTGTAAATAATCAGCGTTGAGTATTGTAGGCAAAAAAGTGAACAAGAATATTGAAGTGGTGGGGTTCCCAGAACAGACAGTTTATTTGAACAAAGTCTGATGTACAGGAAAGCCCATACTAGTGACAGTATCTAGTCTTTAAGTCATTTCCAGAAAATTATTTAAATAGGAATCAACCTACTGGATGGTGTAATCATCTAGTCTCTCACCCTTACTAGAGAGGAGTTTTAGTGTCACTGCATGGTAGGTTATAGATTTACCCAATAAAAACCTTATAGTTATTCGTATTATTCTCTTTACAATCATAGAATTTGCTGAAATGTGCAGACATGTTCCGTTATGATGGGCCTGCAAAATTGCTTTTAATCAGAATATGGATACGACCGGGACTTTGAAACAAAATCTTACAAAGAAGGCCACAAAGCATTGTCAGACATGTTAGATAAGAGTAACATACGGGAAGGTGTAGTGTTCAATATACTTAAACTGCCTCATCCTCCATTTTCGCCAATACCAATACTAGGCCGCTGTCTGTAGCGCCTAGGTGAGAAAGATGGTACGTAAATGTTATATCCTAGGATCGTTTAATACTGCGCTGCTACTTACTTTTGCTCCTCCCGAGGTTGTTGCTTGCCAATTCGAACCTGACCTAGCCTTTACCTTTTACCTAGGAAAGAAATTATAGAATATACGATTATACCGACAACGAGAGACTTGTTAAATTTGATAACTATGTAGCCAGACTTTGGTTGTATGGCATGAAAATCCACATGTGCTAGTCCATTCTCACATCTCCAACTTATACTGCTGGGATTGTACAGAGACTGGGCAATGACAAAACTGCTTGGCCCACCAAAGTTGCTCCTAAATCAAATAAGGCATACGGTCAATCCAATATATCAAACAAAGGCAATCAAGCGTCTCGGTCAACGATCAACAAATGCTATCCAGCTCAGTGATCATGCTGGGGCCAGAAACCCAACAAAAAGCATCCTGTTATCTGCGATGCTTGCCTGGAAACTTATCAGTCCATATACGCGTAAAAGGTGAAAGAACAAACCCAGTTTTCATATCCGGGGCTTTCCTATAATGCCCTACATAAATTCGGTGACACAACTGGCAAGGCAAGACGTAAGCCAGCCCGAGCACGTCAACCAACCTGTCAGGTTAGATTTACGTTACCACATGCTATGTAAACAATGGAAAATGATTACCTTCGCTAACACAGGATCTACTCGCGCTCATGTCAGTCATGCTTCCTTTGCTAATAGGTGAAGAAAAGGAATGTGGACGTACGTAAATGCTTGCTGGCAGTCTCCAACACAGTCACAGAGCCCGCCCGTGATTAGGAGCGAGAAAAGGAGCAAGAGGAACAAGACTTGAGAGGAATTGACGGAGTCCATTCCGGATTTCTTATGATTGGCAGCAATGAAACGGGCTGAGTCGAAGGCAGTGTAGCTTCAGGGATGAAGAGACGCGGATGGATTTAAAAAAAAAGAAGAAATGGGCAAGAAGGCACTTATAGACAGATTTGGTGGATTCTGATATCAACCAGCCTCGGCAGCTCCTACTGCCACTGTGGCAGTGTTGCTGTGGTATACTTATTTCCTCCCGAGTTAATTTGATTCAGCTGATCTTTCGCCAAGCATGGCTTCATGGGTTTGCCTATCAGTGGGCTTCTATTGGATGGGAGGAAGTAGCTTCCCACGGAAAACAGAGGGGGTGGGCAAGTACTTTGGTTCAAAGCCTAGCGCTTGCCAAATCCGGGCGGTCTACGCAGGCTAGATGTCAGCCAGCAACCAATGAGTACGATAATCTCTGCAGCGTTCGCATAGCATTTTGTAACAAGAGATCATTTTTTATCGAGATGCCTGTGTAATCCAACACTGATAGCTGTCTTCCCAGATATCGTGTGGTCTACAAGGGTATTTCAAAAGATCACTTAGTTGCATACATGTACAAGTGTGGTTATATTAGACTATACTGGGATACCTTGAAGGTCCCCGCTTTCTTGTGTGGATGGAGACCCACACTGTGTAAACACCTAGAAAGCTAAATATCTTATTTCGTTGGCTATCAGCTGATGGACAAAATCCATCATAGTCCCACGAGCTCGTTGAAAAAAAAAAAAAAAAGGCGATTTAGAAGTCAATCAAACCATAATATTCAAACCACGAAAAAAGTAAATACTGGTGATAATTGACTCAAAGAGGGGCTGAAAGCCTGTACGCCATGTCTTTGCCACTCATCTGCCAAAACGTACGCATTCAAAAGGGCAGCATATTGAAAATATCGCTCCAAAAGTCCCAATCAGTCATTGTATGAGCATCGTCGATAACCTGGCCAGCGTCGTTGACTGTGTCCTGCTGGTCGGGGATCCCGTTATGGTTCAAATCCCACATGCGGGTTGTTGAACCATCATGATTCTTCAGTTGGCTGACTTCAAGAATAGACCCACTGGGCATCACGAATGACTGGTGCTCACTTAAACAGCATAAAGCGACCAAGCCACCACTGGATGCAAGAGCACTAGCGACTTTGATCGTTCCGCAGAATCTCATGATGGCAAAAAGTCGGTTCAAGATAACCTTCTTTTCGTCGCCATTTCCTTTCCGGTGGAAAACGTTACTCGCCGTAGAGAGGAATGATTTCGCATTCTCCTTGTCGGGAACAAAGGTGGGAAGAGTCTCGGCAGCTCCGTTTAGGTACGCAGATATATTTTCAGCAGCTTTGCGTTCGGCGACAGCGTTGCCAGATGCCCGGGCATTTTGCCAGCTCACCGTTTCATCGTTGAGCTTTTTCATGCATTCCAGGAAAACTGCATCAAGGCGAGAGGATTCGGACGACATGCTGGCGAGTATGTTTCACGGAGTGTAGAGCAATGTGCCTGAAAAATCGATGGAAATATCTCGAAGATTCCAGAATGTATATAGAAAGAGGTCAGGTTTATCATAAGAACAAGAAGGTGGGTAAGTTTCATTTCCCCGCATGGTGGCATTTTTTCCCATGGAAATTTGAGTCATTTATTTTCAAATTTGTATGAAACCAAGACAGAGTCGAGGCAGTGCATTTGATGCCAAGTGCTTCATCCTTATCGTGCCAATAAAACCGAAAAGGATGAAAGCCAATGAAAATTGGCGCAATAGAACAGGCATACACATCCATCAGAGATACATTTCTAGAACAGCCATACCGTCATAGACTGCACATGTCATGCATTCAATGTGGTATAACAGTGACGAGTTCTGGCAACAAGAAACTGGCATAACTATCTTTTTGTCTCTTACCATTGAATATATCTGGCTCCTAGATTGAGATATTTTCTGGAAAAACAGCGAACATGAAGAATTACACAGCATTCACGGATTCCTCTGAGTATATCAGCGTACCTATTGAATGGGTGAACGGGGATATGCATATGGGTGCAAGCGGAGACGACGAGGAGACCACGGTCTCTGCTTGTTCGTCCTGCTCGGCCTCAAGTGTTCCCTCGAGCTCTATCATGGATCCTGGTGCTCAGACCCATCCGCGACAACCCTTCTTCGGCGGACAAAGTCAGCCGCAAGCTAGTACACAAAGGCTGTTTAAGTCTGTCACTGATTCTCGAGATTCAAATGAGACCCTCACAGAAGGTGAAGCCCATAACAGGCCTGGAGAAGACGTTGCTCCGCAGACTCTGTCAATCATCCACTCGTTCGTACTGGATGCATTGGATGGCTTGCCGCGAGCTGCCCTTGACATGCTGCGAAGCACATTCTCCCAGATGCGTCGTCCGCTGCAGTCCTTACTGGTCCTTTATCTTACAGTGTATATTGCGTTATGGGGTCTTATATTCCTCTATCAACATATGGGGGAGATCGTATGTAGCGAGCAATCACCCCTGCGCAGGCTCTGCAAGAATGATGCTCCGGCTGTGCCCCCTCCGAACCAAAAAATGTACGCGAACTTCAGTCAGACATGCAAGGCACAGGAAGAGTTGGGCACAGTTTTCAAAAAGGCAGGGCAAGGCGCAAACCTGGCGCTTAAGATGAAGAGCAGCGAACATGCTGTCAGAGACCTTGCCATGCGAGTGAGCAGCAGCGACTTGGACTCTAAGCAGGTTATGGCCCAACACCTGGTCCAGATTGTCCAGTCCTCGGATCCTATAGTGAGGTGAGCTTTTAGCTGGCAGCAGGATTGCTAGTCGGATGACAGTCAAGGTGCAAACGATTAATATTCTCTCAATGATAGTGGCCTTTCCGAGCTCAGTGCAAAAGTTAGCACGGTGGTGAATAGTGTGATTGCAAACGATAAATATGCAATAAGGTCACTCAGGTCTATTGAGGCGCATAGGAAGTTGCAGTATTCGCCGGTTATCAGGGCACTGACAATCATCGACCCGTTTGGTGTTTTAAGGTCTCAGACTGTCCTTGCTACAGACGAGGCAGAGCTCAAAGACAGTTTTATAAAAACTGTCGCCTCTATTGTTAAGGGAATCCCTTTTCTTATTGAAGAGGCTGAGCGCGTTAAACAGAAGCTTCGGATCCTGGAAGCTGCTGTTCAGGCCATTTCCCATCTCTCTCGCAAGGAAGAGCTTATCTGGGAAAGCAGAAACCCATCAACACAAAAACGCGATATACTAGAGATCCTCTGGGACTTCCTCACCAATGATAAGATCAGGCGCATGGAAGTATTCCAGAATCATTCAGTCCTGCTAAAGGATCTAGCCGGGTACTACAAAGAGGCAATCAAGGTGATTGACGATACGATAGTAACGCTGCATGATATACAAAAAACCATGAACCAGTTTAGAGACGCCCATACAAGACAGGTATTTATCGACAGCGAGACTCCCCTTGCGGTTCGCATTGATATCATCCGTTCTGCGGTGGACAACCTGAACAACCAAATGTTGCATTTAGGCGGAAGAGACTGGGGAGATCGATGGGAGATTGAAATGTGATGAGGGACCTCCCTACTGTGAGTCATATATAATAACCTGGACTGGCCTATGGAAGCTCTCCATGTGGAAGAGCCGGTACAATACACCGGGGGTGCATCACCACCACTGCTTCCCCTATCTTTATTTGATCTTGTTTCAATGTGATGGATTAACAGAGACCTGATCTGCATTGTGCTAATTGTTGTTTTTTACATGTTATGTATGTAAACTCCACTCACTTTCCCTGCTTTTAAATCGAAGTTGTACGAGTCACAACTCGCTGATATTTCATGTTATTTTTTAAACTTGTACTATATGTTCCCCTTATCTTGATTAGCAAGTACATATGACCACAGACTCGACTCGTGACACGCTACTGTTATAAACGATATTGGGGTCTTGCGGCCAAAGAAGTGTGTTGATTCCCGGGTATGTTCCTACATTGATGGAAGAGTTCCTCTCAAGCGGCCTGTCTTGTAAATAAGCAGTCTATGCAGCAAAGAGACAGCAGTGGGATCGAACTGCAACTCATTTCGCGGGTGAAAAACCGTCTTTAAGCCGTCTGTTATAGCATTGCTGTCTCTCAGGTAGTGGCAGATGGAATTCCAGATCTCTCGATGAGTGACTGTCGACTGACGGAATCAAAGGGACCATAATGGGTTGAGGGAGGGAAGAGGAGGGATGGCGGGGATGAGGCTGATATCTGCTCTTTCCCCATTCACTCGACAGCGGAACTTCGCTTCATCCCCAACCTCTCATCTTCAAAAACCTCTCTTCATTACCTTCATCTGTCCGAATTTCTTCTTCTTTCCCTATCGATCATTATTCGACGGCAACATGTCTTCAAATGAGGATCAAGCGGTGTCACCAAGCGCGAGCCATCGCCAACCCTCCTCAGGTGGAAGATCCTTCCAAACATCCCAGACCTCCATCGATGCCGCAACAATAACACCAACGACTGAAACAGACGATCCGATAATATCATTCTTTGCTCTCCTACTTTACGCACACCGAAAGATGATATCGAGATATTGCGCGATGATTCGAGCAGGGATAAGAGTATTTGCAGGACAAGATATTGAGAACTACACTGTGTATCATAGGCTTGACACAGAGCTCGGACAGCGCTTGGGGGAATGGAATAATGTCAATGACGAAAGAGAACTCGCCGTCAAGATACCACCAGAGTCCGCGGGCCCACTTGACCTTGACGATGATGATCGCCGATTTCTAACACCACGAAAGGACACGCGGCCATTCGATGATCAGGTGCAGGCTCATATGCGTTTAATGGATCATGTATCATCTGAAATAACGGGCCTGACACGAAGACTAAAGCAAATGGCCACACAGATTCCGATTGGAAGTATAGACATGGTTAGCAAGCCAGTCGCGTATCGAGTGAATCTACGAGACTTGCTGGACTTGATAGACTGTGGGAAAAGAATATTTGCAGCGATGTTCAATGTTTACCGGAGATTTGAAACACTCGCGCTGTCATTTACGCTCGGAAGAATTCCGGACTATACAATGGCTCCGAAAATGTAGGGAATATTCCCGATGATATTCGAAGGCAGTGAGGCGATAGCGGGCGTTCGGGTCTGTACTCAGATGATTCTTTAGCAGATAATGATGACTGACAGGATTTGCCTATCGCATGAGCTGGGGAATCCTCCCTATTGTCAGTGCAAAGTTATAGAAACAGTCAATTGTTTTTCCATTGCCATCAAGGCCGATATCGCGGGATATTGTATTAAAATAGGGTTAGAGCTGTACCCGGCAGGAAGGGCTTGCTGCATATACTCGCCTTTTGTCGTTGGGCTATGTTGATTATCCTTGTACTATGGATGCTAGAAAAATTGGATTGTCAGCTCATCAGGGTTTATAGAGTGATATTATTAAGAGAAAAGGCCAACAGCCTTCTGCTGATTGACCGGTAACTTGAAGCTCGTGCGTCGCATGTGAAACATGTGGGCTTTTTGTCTTGCAAATGAATCTATACCAGGGAGGCCAGCAAGCTTTGTGTGTATCGTTATGCACCTCGGAAGTTTTAGATAACTGCTGAACACCAACTGAATGACAGTAAACATGAACAGATCTCGTAGATATGCTGGAATTGAATAGGAATAGCGCCTGGCAAAATACTGGTGACTTGACGAACAGTTCAAATGACACCGACTTGAATTTTGCCATGTCAACAGAATCAAGGTACCTCGTGAATTTTTGATCCTACTGATCATCATCTCAGTATAATCATATCCAAATTAATGTCTCTCTGACTAGAGCTGCTTTCTCGGGGCACTGCCTCCCTTCTTCTTGCTATACCCACTCCGATACACCCCATCTTCACCCACCAACGTAATCAACTCGCCCACATCCTTCGTAGCAACGGATACAGCAATTGCCTCAGTGTTCACATCCTCCCCGGTGACACGTACAGACTTGAGTCCATTCGAGTCACTCTGCGCCAGCAGCAAAGTCTCTCCATCCTCGGCCGTCTTCTCATCGGCAATCAGAAACACCCACGCGTCAACTCTGCTTTTCTTGGCATTCTCTGTGAGAAACTGTGCCACTTTTGGAAGATCCCAGCCGAGAAATGGGGATTTGAAAGAGTCAATGGGGGGATGAGTTATAGAGTCATAGTTGTACGCCTGGATTGCCTCTTTGCTGGTTTCTGTCAGCAGGATGATTGTTGGCGGGGACTTGATCTCGGTGGCTTTTCGATAGGCGTTGATCAGGATGGAGGAGAGGGTCTGTTGATATTAAAATTTATTCTTAGATAAAATGCTAAGGATACATACCTGAGGGTGTACCTCGTGGGTAATAATAAGAGGAATCAACGACTCACTCATCGTGTATGGTTGATGAATGCGGTGTTGATTTAGAGTCGTCGTTTCTGGCTGGTGATAAGTACCCCACATAGATCCGATCAACCAGTAAAATACGATTTAGTGGAGCATTGCATCATCCTGTCGATCATTTAGACATCGAGAATTCAACTGGTCAGTCCAAGCTTTATCAGTTTATACATTGCAGCTGCCGGAATGTCACGGCTTCGGTCATCTGGAGTGCCTCAGTCTTATTATCCAGTATCAAGGAACCACACTGAAGACTATGAGGGAGCTGCAATAAAGAGATGGCTATCGATTGGTTTTTGATTGGTTTTTTGCTCATATATATCGGGCTTGGATTACATATCGTCCTGAAGTAATCCCATGTTAGATGAAAATGTATCAATGACCAATGGATCGTACTTATCTTATCTCTTTTCTTCAGCCAGATCTGAATAAACTCCGGTGGGGTATGATAAACAAGCGGGGTATATTAATTAATATCTGTAAATTAATGGCTGATCCATTCCACTAATCACCGCCTCGCATTGAATCGGGCCAATATATAAAGGCAACACTGAAGAGTAAATTATATCCTAACAATTCAAACATCAGCATGGCAACTCTATCTCACATTTTCGCAGGTCTCTTGGCCTTGTTGAATTTCTTCTCTCTAACAACTGCATTTACCAATCCCATCCGAAACCCCGGAGGCAGTGATCCCTTCATAGTCTATACCGGGGGATATTACTATCTGCTAACCACCACCTGGTCCGATGTTGAAATTGCCAGAGCAACCACAATCGAAGGACTTGAAACAGCAACTAAAAAAGTAGCTTATTCAACATCCACGGCATCGCGATGCTGCAATGTCTGGGCTCCCGAGGTTCACTATCTTGATGGGAAGTGGTATATTTACTATACCGCTGGCGATAGTTCTGATCTAGATGGCCAGCGACTTCATGTTCTGACTGGTATGACTACTGCTTTTATGATGATATAAATATTAATCAGTATAGGCGGTGCTACACCATGGGACGAGTATACCTATTCTGGCCAACTCACCACAGAATGGTCCATCGACGCCTCTGTCCTCCGCTTCAACGACTACGGGCCATATCTGATGTTCTCCTGCTTCCACGGCGTGACGTATCAATCCATCTGCATCCAGCAACTCGGATCCGATTATGTCTCTCTCACAGGCGATATCCACGTCATCTCCCAACCCACTGAATCCTTCGAAACAAACGGCACCCCCGTCAACGAAGCCCCAGTTGCCTTATACTTTGGTGGAAACACCTACATCACATACTCTGCGTCCTACTGCTGGACACCGTATTACTGTCTGGGCCTACTTACTTGGGACGGGACGACGAATCCCACCGACGCAAGCGCATGGAGTAAACACAACGGGTGTGTATTTGCGTCAGCGAATGGAAACTACGGGTCTGGACATAATGGTTTCTTCACGAGTCCGGATGGATCGCAGACGTGGATTGTGTATCATGCTACGACGAATAGTGCGGGGGCGTGCGATGATAGTCGGTATACGATGGTGCAGTTGTTGGGGACGCATAGCGATGGGAGTCCGAATTTTGGGGCGCCGGTAGATTGGTCGCATGTGTATAGTGAGCCGAGTACGTAGTTATTGAGCGTGTATATACTCGAGCTTATGAATCGATTATCATCTTGTCAATTGATGCCTCAAACGCCAGGCTACACAACGCATCCCTGTCACTGTCGCGCCAGGGGCCGTCGACATCCATGTCATGACCATCTTCCCGAACAAAGTCTAGATGTTCCACAAGGGTGGCCATTTGGTCATCTCTCAGAATGTCAGAAAAACTACCTAACTCGAACAGCTGTTTAGGCGAATACCCTAGGATCTGTTCCGAGTTTTCAGACCACGCGCACCACCAACTGGTTAGGCGACTCTCATAGGGCAACCATGACCCCAAACTTTGGATAGCGCCAGGGATACGGATCGGCCCGTTCTCACAGCGTTGTAATGATACTTTTCCTCTCCCAATGGCCACCCATGGCCGTTCTCTGCCACCACATGTTCATGCCGGGAAGTGATGTATCTATGGGGCTCTGGCGAAGTAACGAGGTCTGACGACGACTGGAAATCGCTCACAGCAGGGCCTGTAATATCTGAGATGGCGGGGTAAGGAGCTATATTTATACTTTCAGTAATAGCATGTGCATCGTCTGGTGAACCAAAAGCCAGTGCAGCTGGCTGTGCGCGATGATACGAGCCTTGTTGAGTCTGGTCGGCCGACGGGTTGATTGAGACGACTGAACGAATGGGAAAGACACGATGAGAGCCTTTGAGGCTTACACTGGGTGATTTGCAAGCATCGTTTATTCTTCTGGTCGAACCAGACTTGCGCCTGAATGTGGCACTCTGTTGTGAACTATGCCAGCCGGGCGTGCGACCACTTTTACATGGGTTTGGTGATGGCATCTCCGTCAAGTCGAGCCATAGGCCTTCGTAAGAGCGTGCAAGATTCTAGTTTGTATCGAAGGGGCTTTGGAGGGAAGAATAATTGATTTTGAAGCAGCACTTCAGGCTGGTCATTGACAGTCAAGCTGGACAGACCTCTCGAGAAGCTCTGCAGAAGCATTGCTTCCAAACATATCGGAGAACCTGCTAGGCTAATAAAACCCAATTAAATATGCATTCTGAGTGGCGCTTTATGCTGGGTGTCTCAAATTGTAGTAATAAACTTTTCCTGGAACAGACCCCTACTATCAGTAGGGTGTCAGCCTTGCTAGATCTCGAACTATCTTCAGCGCTGCCTCGGGCGAGCCCGGCAAGACTAGCTCAGAATTAACAGCCCCATTTGAGCTTAGTTTAACTAGATATCTTTGGTGTCTTACCGTGGACTCGGGTATTGTAGACACTCATAATGATGTTTAAATGTATGCCTTGTTCAAGCATGCTACAAATAGTATATACCTGCAACCAATTTTTGGTTTATCATTGGAATATGGAAATGTAGGCAAATTATTCGTCTTGTTCACCTTGAAAAAAGTTCCTGGCTCATGCATAATTTGGCACTGATGTCTTGCTCAAGGAGGGGCTCCTTATATATGATTGGAATGGTAAAAGTACGCCAAATAATCACTGAATTCGTAGGGTAGCTTTATTATATCTCTATAAAATTTTCAATAACGATGTAATGCAGGCCTGCTCTGATACACCGACTCAAGAGTTGCCCCAGTTCATGTCATATTCAAGAGACATTGGTAGTTGGAAACGAGACCCTGGCTTAATATTTATAACCAGCAAATAGGACCGATAGCTACCTAAAGCGTAATTTCGGAGAGCTATAGTCGGGTCCATGAATAGCAGAGGAATATCCGAGGGTTTTAAGATGTTATATAGACCCAAAAGGAAAGACAAAGACGGATAGCAGGCCACTATGTGAGAGAAAGCATGGGATCTTGAATAGCATTTCTTAGTCGACTGATCTTTATCGTTTGATATCACACTTATACTAGACTCAACAACCCCAATCCTCATTTGTATCCAACCTCGATCATCACATCTCCGTTGTTATTGAAAACAGGATTCTGATACTTAAACGTGCCTTTTCCGGGAACCACAAATCGTGCCGAGTTGTTGAGGTCCGTTTGCAGCTTGGCCGCGATATCATGTAGGGGAGCCTTTGCCAGGCTGTCCTCGAGCTGTGTTTTCATTTTGTCGCAGGCCTTGACCAGTCTGTCCATGACACCGATGGCCATTGCGCAGTCAGTTTTGACCTCGTCTGCGCCAACTTTGAAGTTGTTTTTGGCGAGGTCCAGCGACAGGGAAAACCCTCCGTCTTCTACGGCATTGAGAGTGACTTTTGTCTGCCATTCAAGCCAGACGTGGACTCTTCCATGGAATGTCAGTCACGGCAGGTGGCAATTAATCAGGTTGGGTTGAACGTAGACATCACTCACTTGTAACTGCAGGCCCAGGGGGCAGACATCCCACCACCACAGCCACCATCGGCAAGGATATTGGTTTTACCAGATAGATCGATGATATTAGATCCCGGTTGTGCCTCCATCCTGTTCTTTGTAGTGCCTACCGACGGATGGGAAGTCCGTCAGTCAGTCATTCTAAAAAGGCTTCTGTCATCTTTGCTTGGACGCCGAACTTACATGTTATCTCGAGCCGACCGTGTGTCTCTTTAGTAATTTTATGCTGCTCATCCTGGGGCGGATCTCCCCAAGTCCATGACATGGAACCATCGGTACTAGGGGCCCAGTTGAAGAAATTCATATCGCCATGCCCGCCATCTCCAATCCCAATCTCCCAATCCGGCTCCGTGACCTGACTCAAATTGGTACTTTTAACCCACGCGTACGTCGCGTTGTTAAAGAGATGAAGCAGCCGGGGCCCCGTGGTGCGCAGGAGATAGCGATCCCAGAAGATCCCCTTCTCAATACACATGGTGCCGTCCATTCCGTCAGAGACAAAATTCCCAGAGTAGGGCAGAATCGGCTCGGAGGGGAACTTTTTACTATCAGTCATTTGCAGATACAGGAGCATGTTATTGCGCCCGTTCTCGAGGCCCTCCTTTGGTTTATCTTCTCCCGGAGCAATGTACTCGTATGTCTGCAATTTCAAAGACGTAGGAGGGAAGCTGGGTGCATCTGCATTGACCGTGTCTGGTTTTGCGGTGTGTAAGCCATATGCAACAGTGCGCTTTCGTCGATCGATCATCGGTCCTTCGTCGACGAACCACTTTGCCAGGATTCCGCCAAGGGTAATGATGTCGTCCGAGTCCAGATTCGCTCCCTTGAAATCGCAATGTTTCATACTAGGATTCGTTTGAGCATAGTTTATATTAACAGAGGGGAAGCATCTCCGTACTTTGGCTTGATTATGTCTCCCTCTGAGAAGTGAATTAGCTCAGGTAGCAAGCTTTTGGGACATCGAATATCACTTACTATTGAATGTCAGGAATAACGACGTCAAAGAATAGTCGCCTGGCTGCTTAATTGCACCTCTCACTTCCTTGTCCTCTGCGGAACCCGGCTCAATGGTGGCCAGGTCAATCTGTACGTTGAAAGCCACGGTCCAGCCTTTGATCTCGTAATCGACTTTTCCGACTCTTCGGAGAATATTAGTACATGTATCTGAGGTTCCATGGTCATACGAACGAGTCCTCATAGTTGAAGTGCAGTTTCCCTGAGCCAAACCTCGCCATGTATTCGAAGCCGGCACGGCTTGCGCCCGTCACTTTCAGGGAAATCAGAGGCTGTTCAATTTCGGCATCCAGATAATGGCCTGCTTTGCTTTTGCATTTCACATGGGCGAGCTCCGGGTGCTCTTTTACCAGCTTGACTAGCCCTGCATTTATGGCTCGTTGGGAGACTGCCGTGATCTGTGTACCGTCGTTTTATCCGACTGCCCTCGATATATGGAAGAATGGTTGCTTTTCTTACCTCGGAAAAACCTCCCAATGAGGTCTGAAGGCGCCTGGCAAGCTCGGTGCTCATTCTGATGCGTGTCTTTATTTCTTTGTCTTCGGATATGCGACTTTTGGTTGGGTCGAGATGTGATGGTCTAAGTCCTTACCTGGACCTGAACACAAAACTTTACGTGACTGCAAGATGAATGTTTTCGTAGGCCTCTGCTTCCAATGGAGTGATCAATCTAGTAGACGACATAGTGCCCTTTTTATTTTCAGCTGAACAAAAAAAAAAAAAAAGTGCTATGTTAACCAGACACATCATCACATTAATAATCATCCTTATAGCCAATCATTTTTGATAAAGCTTCTTTGTCCAGCGATCTGTCATTGAATCATCTAAAAAGTATCCAATCCCATTGACGATCTCACCATGTATCGGAGAGGCCGAGCTGTCCAAGTTGTTCGAGGCCATGGATCGACATGACTTCAGCTAGCCACTGCGAAGAAAAAGAAGTGGAGTAGGTAACATTTGAAATCACCACGTCCAATAACACTGTTTCTTCCCCGCTCCCACCTGGAGATCATTCTGCACATAGCCATGACAGGCAGGCAGTAGTTCAGCTTTGGATCATGTATCTACGATGACATCACCCTTTTCGCTCAGCTGCATGGTGTTACGCAAGAACCCCCAAGCGGATCACATCATGTCCATTTCGGAGGTGCCGAAGCAGAAGAAACCGGGCAAGATAAAAGGCTAAATTTTTGGATTGGTCCAGTCAAATTGAAGAAATAGAAACGTCCAATATAGAAAAGAGAGCTGGGTATTGGTTTACGGCTACGAGGCAACACACCAACCTTTCAGGTATGTTTCTATTGGGCCTCAATGCGCATTGCAAGTATTTAGTCAACCCAATACCTCGTCCCTCTCTTTATACTATCTCTATCTACCCAAACAGAAATAAGCCAGTTTCAGTGCAGATCGAAGATGAGTACCCCCGCCATCCAGCCCAGGACTCCAGCCCAGTGGCTCGAGTACGCCCAAAGTAAAATCGTATCATCAATCCCATTAAGACAAGAGAAACGCTCAGAGCAGGTAATTGACGACGCAGACTTGTTCTTGCAAACGCCGATTCATGGACAGATACTAAAGTGGCACAGAACACCAGCATTCAACGAGACGTTTACCTAGACGATTCTGCAATCATCAAGCAGCCAGAGCAGCTACTGTACGTTTACACAGATGTCTTTGCATTGACCAAGCCTGAGATCACCATCTCGCCTCCTGATATCGGTCTGGTCCGAGTCCAGACAAGGGTCCTAACCGCAGATACGCCCGTCCATCTGAATGTCACACCTGGGACTACTGGCTGTGAGGTGTCGATTTACGCTTCGCTTCTGAACCAGCCGATCACCGTGTCAAGCGGTGGCGCCGACCCCGTTCATCTGGATCTCGGTCCAGGGACGGATCATGTTGGAGTTCGCCTGATGATCCGTCCGGGTCAGGTGCATGCTATTTATCAGAAGCACTATAATCAGGTGAAAGATGAGGACACCCAGGCCAGCCTTGAGACGCAGTTGCAGATTGCCCTCGCGCTCTGCTGGAGAAGTATCCCTGTTTCCATTTCGCTTTGCTCGTATGTTGTGGCGGTAACTGCCAACCCGGCGCTATATCCACGGCTCAATATCCAAGCAGTAGCATTGGGCCAGCAACTTGCTGCGCAGGCCATGACGGGTCCTGATATGGGTTATGCACCTGTGTTGAACATTGATAGCTACAAGGAGACCGTACGTGATGCGCTGCGGGCTGTGGCTGCGTTTGAGGAACAGTATGTTCGGTTCCAAGATAAGAAGGAGTCTCTGGACGTTCAAATCAAAGCCTGGGATACTATGCTTGAAAAAGCCAACACGCAGAGACAGATCCACATGAACCTGAGGAGGCTGGCTCTGGACAAGTATAATGATGCCCGAACCGCCGTTGCTCGCTGCCTTGAACAGTTTTTGGCCGATAATAAAGATATTAATTCTGCTGCACAAGTGTTCCGGCGTGGCCTGGAGAATTGGGCGGCCAAGGAATTCTTGAAGGCCGCATTCGATATCACCATTGGCGTGCTGAGTACGTTCATCTGCATTCCTTCTCCCCATTCAATCTACACATTTGTGGTGCCCTTCTTACGATAGAATAGAGTTTACATCGGCCATCGGCAAGTTCGCGGACGACCGCCCTGGCAAAGGTGCTGAAGCTTTAAGCCAAGCAAAAGCTGCAATCGATGCACTGCGGCAGGCATGGCAGCTGCCAAACCAGAGAGAAAAGAGACTCTCCCCAGCCACGCTGGAGGGCCTTACTAATTGCATGGTCGGGCTTGAAAAGATGTACCCTATAACAGATGAGATGGTGGAAGGGGTGAAAAAGTTAGAGTCTGATCCGAACGCTAAGATACCCACACTCAGCGACATCTCAGGCGGCCGGGATGGCGATGCCGATGCTTCGGCTATTGTCACACTTGCTGCGTGGGAGAAATGGTGTCTTGAATCTGACCAGCAAGTCGAATTTGGAGTCAGTCAGGGAGTCGAGGGTGCTTCTGCATATCGACTAGCTCTACAGAAACATGGGGTTAGTGGCAAGGCGCTCGCGCAAGTTCAAGCCGAGGCCGTAAAAGCTGGACATGAATATATCCAAGCCGAGCTGGAACTCATCGGCTGCAATAAAGATATCGCAGACTTGAAAGAATTGCGAAAGAATTTTAAGGGTCAAGAAGATGTCTATGCGCAGGCTGAATTAAAGTTCTTCAAACGCTTCCTGGCCATCCGAACCAGTCTTGTGATGGAAATGCGCAAGTTGGTCTGGGCACACAAATACTGGGCTTTGGAGGATTCTACGGTGATACTTGATTCTGGAAAGCTATCTGCCGATTTCCAAGCTGATCTTCTTACTCTGGACTCGGAAATGGAATCCGCAGACGAAAAATACGCCACTGATTATCAACGTAAGTCTATTTCAACCTGTTTTGACGGAGACAAACTGATCTATCGGCAGCATTTAACTGGACTGTACCCTCTTCGGATGTGAGTCTGCATCTTTCTTTTTGCGAACTAGTATCATATAAAACATTAGGACAGATGAACTGACATTATAAAAAGCTTCCTTCCAGCTACGGAGAGCAAATGATCGAAGGACTAAAGGGCGATACCCACAGCGCCAGCTTCACACTTGCACCCGCTGATCCAAAAACGGAGCCAAACTTTGCCAGTAAATTCATCAATGGCTCCCACTTCCGTCTAGATGGTCTGGAGACATTTCTTCGTGGTGTCGTTCCCAGACCTGAGGCTGTAAAGAATGGGGTCGCTCCAGTCGACATGCAGATCCTAACCTCTGGTGTCTATTCAGACACCAAAGATGGGAAGATCTTCCACTTCACCAGTATTCCGAGAAGCGTGCGACTTTCCTACGATCTCACGGAATCGGGTGCTCGCGGTGACACGCATATCCATGCGACGTTCCCAACTAAGGAGCATGCTGAACCGACACCTTTCACGCAATGGACTATCAAGTTGCTGCATCCTGAGAAACTGGATCTCAGTGGTCTGACGGGGGTTGATTTGGAATGGACAGGCAAGGCTCGATTTGAGGGAAGTAGCGAGAAACTATCCGCAACTTAGGGTGCAGTTCGTTCGATTCATTACGATGTAAGACATCTAGATATACTACTACGATGATGCTGGACGAGCCGACCTTGTCACCTATTGTGATATGTTTAATAGCTGGTTCTATCAATACAGTTCCTACTGAGTCAACGCTTAATAGGACAATAACAGACGATAGGTTAACTTAGAACTTAGAAGGCTAGTATTGGCTGGTCTGCATATATCCAGCTACAGATCGTAGTTTGCCCTTGTCTGTTTCTTCAGTTTCTTTTTCATATCACATTAGTGGGATAGAGCAGCTAGAAGGTCTTTATCCTATCTTATTTTTTGATGAGGTGGACTATTGGTTAATACTTAATTTGGTCATTCTCATTATACCTGATCATGACCAAAATGTATGGTCAATAAATAACCCATGATCATTGTCTGGTTACAAATATATAGATATTTTTGAAAACTACTAGGGGCTGAAGAATAGAAAGCGAGACACAACCTTTGTGAGACTGGCGGGTTGAGTTGATCGGATGATGGCGACAATGCGATAATGACAACATGTCCACGCGCATCGACAAAGAAAGATAATCGAATGCTTATCAGCTCTATCTGGGTAAAGATAAGGGCACTCGTATGTTCGTCACGTGTAGGTAAGAAAGTTGGACCACGTCGCCGATCGCAGCCTTGTCTGTCAGCCAGCCTGATGTTTCGTGCTTGTTGCCAACTTCAAGAAACGACTTGAATTCAATCCAACTCTCACCACTTAACTGATAACACGAAGTCAACTTCATACTAGAGGGGATAGGTATGGATGGATTCAGCGCAGCCGCGGCTGTCTTGCAGGTGGCCCAAATGGCCGGTCAAACCGCACTGGAAGTCTATGACTTTATCTCTATTATTCGAGGTGCACCCCGCGAGATCGCGATCGTCACTAATGACATCCAATCGTTTCACACTCTCGTCTGCAATCTCGAGAACTCCTTGCGTACCGACGCTGTATTTTCCATTGTCAATACGGACGCAGAGGTCAGCAACTCACTCTTGAATCTTCGGAGCCCCATAAATAATTGCAGCGCAGCGATTCAAAATGTGCGGGAGAAAATAAAGCCGCATTTGAAAATGGACGCCTCTCTCCAAACAGCCGGGGTGGAAACCGGAAAGCACACCCAAGCACCAGTCCGCAATACCAAGATCAGCCGTATGGACGTGCTGTGGTACTTTAAGCGAAAGGAGGTCTTTGCGTTGGCTACAGAGCTGGAACGCACCAAAGCTACATTCAGTGCCGCTATGGGAAACGTTACACTGTATGTGATTTTGATTGCCATTCTTCTCTTGATATTCCGATATTCTTCTTCAATCCAGCGAGGAAGCTAAGTCAAATGCAAACAGCCTTCTCACAATGAAGACGAATGCCATAATAAAAGGCAGCACAGTCCTTCAGGGCGATTATCATTTCAGCAATGACCTTGGAACTGCATTAACCAAGTACGCTGCCTCGGTGGTGGATGTGCGGTCAGAGGATCAGTCAATTATATCGCAGACAGAATCAACAATTTCCGTAGCGCCTCTACCCGCTGCCCCATCCGGTATAGAGCAAGCAGAAGGGCTGAAATCTGCCGTTTCGAACAACTCTGTCTTTCTTCTCAAAACGCTCTTACAACATGTCCATGTTGATTCACGGGACCGAAAAGGACGCACAGCACTATCTCATGCATCCGAGCAAGGGAAACTAGAGATTGCCAGGCTATTAATTGAGCATGGGGCATCTGTATCCGCTCGTCAATGGAGCGTCAGTGGCTGGTCCGAGGGTCGAAACCCGTACTGGGAGAGTGGTGCCACTCCGCTGTATTATGCAGTGTCTCAGCGTCATACGGATATTGTCCGGTTACTGCTGCTACATGGAGCCAACCCGGAGGCAAGAAAAACATCCGGGTGTCCCCTCGTGCAGACTGCTGCTGGTGTGGACTGCATTGAAATTGTCAGGCTATTGCTCGACAAAAAGGTCGATGTGAATGCGCGAAACTACAAGGATGTATGCAATCCCCCCCTTTCTTTCCTCGAGTATCATAAATACGTCATGGCGAGACTAATAAGTTCCTTGAATAGGGATGGGCAGCTCTGCATGCAGCCTCAAAAATTGGCAATACAGAAATAATAAAATTATTACTAGAACACGGAGCCTTCCCTGACATTCCACTCAGACAGCCTGATTCAAAAACACCACTACATTTGGCCATCGAGAGTCAGAAACTGGAAGCCGCCGAAACTCTCCTGCAGTACGGCGCAGATTCCAACGCACGCATGCTCGAAGACGTGACACTATTACACCTCGCTGCTGCGGGAGGCTGGGTTCCCGGAATTGAATTGCTAGTAAGCAATAGTGCGGACCTTGACAGCAGGGACGCCTTGCTTCATGAAACCCCGTTACATAAAGCTGCAAGAAATTGCGAGATGTTGGCTATAGAAAAGCTATCTGAGCTTGGTGCCAATACACGAGCAATGAATGTCGATGGCCAAACGTATGAGGAAATCCTGGAGTGTGCGAGGGCCGATCCAGATGAGTGGCGAGTAGATAGGCATTTGGCGATCTACATGAGTAAAGATATGTGGTGGTCTCGGTAACTGGCATTAGCGACTATACTATGTCTAACGGCATATCGGAATAGACATATAGTTGCAACATTTATTTCCCCCGTAGTATAGGTTCAAAGGACCTTCGCTAGATACCTTCTATGTCGCACATTGATCCTAAACCATCCAATTCAATCCACTCCATGATCACCTGAAGCTTATCCTTCGTAAGGCGTGTGGCTCTGCATCCCTTCAGGTCTTTGCCTTCGCCTTCGCCTCAGTTCCTGTATTCGTTAACATTGGAGTCACAGACATACTTCCCGGAATCATTCCTCTTACTGGATACCAACAACAGAGACAAATGATCACCTTGGCTTTAGTGATAGTCGGTGCAGTTCGTGTTGAGTTCGCCTGTCATACAGCCAAGGGTTTCATGTAACCTTATTTCTGAAACAGACCAATCAGAGAGCCCCGTGCCTCGTGTCAGATCAAGCTTTGATCTCTTCCAAGATTGCCCCGGTTTGACTGTTTCATTCGATTAATTTATTGATGGCTCCACCCAATGGATAATACGGCATTGCTTGGTATGTAAAATCGATCATTCAATCTGAGTACAAGTAATTACTTGTTTACCTATCTAGTGCCGCTACCAATCCCGAAACCGGCGAGGGGGTTGCCATCAGAAAGCTTACCAGTTTTCAGCCTCGCGAATTTTTCGGCTTTTATGACAACGATTTCAGCTTTCCCCAGCCATGGAAAACGTCCATACCCGCCCACGGAACCGTGACGGGTTCAAAATAACCATAATCTGTGCTCTGCCACTCGAACTCAATGGATTCATAAGGCTTTAGTATAATATAGGTAAGTAGCTCCCTTCTCTATAGGGAGCTTATATAAACCTAGTCTGATTTACTTAAAATCACCATGTTTCTGTACTTCAAATTCTTGATATATACCCATAGTCGTGTATAAGCCTCATTCAAGTCTTTCAGTAATTCGAATCGCTTCTGACGTGGTAGTATCACTCCAGTCAGAAAGGAGATCTTCTTCCTTCGCTTCTGTTTTATTGTTTCGCTTCCATTCCCCTTTCTGCGCTCTAGCCTTGGTAGGTGATTCGAGGACACTCTTCTGATATTCTTTCCGTCGCTTCGATCTCTGAGTTCCACCTGATGTCGAGGATGCAGAGTTATCTGCAGGATCATCGGTAAGATCATCCAAGATCTCGGAGTCTGTGGGGCTGGGGGACCGAGGTGGAGTGCGTAATACTTTCAGCTTCTTGTGACTTTGCTCAGGGTTGGAAAATAATCGTTTCCTCGCCTGCGCTGAGACACTTGTATTACTTTCTTTACTTGGCGAAATGTTCTTGTCTGTCTCTTGGTAATTCTTTTTCGAAGTGCTAGTCGGAGTCACTACACCAAAGCGCCGGATATCTATTGTCTTTTTCGGTGTCACAGGCTCCGAAAACCTGGGTAGAAGATGTTTTATCTGAGGAAGCTCGTCGTACCAAATGAATATACGACACCGACTTGCGCTTTCTCTTTGTTGTTTACATGCCAAATCTTAATATATTAGTTATGTCGGTTTGGATGGGAAGATATTCACTAACAGTCCCTCCCAAGATACGGGGTTTTTGATGTTCTTCACTTGGGACACGCGCATGTCAAACCCACACTTACAGCGGAGATCTCCATCGCTGTCGATGCTTGCGCCTTTGTAGGTGGATAGAAGGCCATGGGAGGCCGTCTCCGACCTTTGATTCATCTTGGATCTCGGAAAAAATAAGCTCTGATAATACTCAAAGCAAGTACGATGGGGAAGTGAGTAATGTGTTGTGTGTGATTTAGCAGAAGGCATAAGCAAAAGGCGGGGTAAGGAAAGCGCAACCTGCCTCTAGCGTCTACTGGACAGCACAACCCAACTGGCCGGCGATTTCATAGGCAGTTCATGAGTAATAATCTCATGATTCAGTACTAAATTACCTTGTAAGCATCAGATAGCAATACATGCTACACTTTTGACGTAGGCTGCAAGAAATTGAGAGTAGGGCAACATAAATCATCTTTTGTGGAGGAAGGTGACTGCGGCTCCTGAGATCGTCCTGACTGATAAACACTTGATAATCATTCTCTTGCCTTACTACCAATACTAATTATATGCAGGACTATACCAGGTTTTTGAACGCGTTGAGCGACTCTCCTACTAATAGGTTCCCAAAGGAACTGGTAGATTAACCCAGTGGTTTCAATTGATCAGCTCCTGAAGGGGCCGGTTTATTTGGCAAATCCTATACCACCCGTCGGCAAAATTTGACGAGTGCCTCTCCCAAGAAATTGATCGCTGGGAATTCGACCATACCGTTGGTAAACGTGTGGTACTACGAGGTCGCTATTCCACACCTGCCACGGAATATCTTACTGGATCAATGGAGATGTTGTCATGTGCATCGGCCAGCCGGAGGAACTCCTCTATATTTTCATTCGCGCTATATATATACTCGGAGAGGTGAAACCACCCGTTGTATAATGTCCCGGAAAGGCGGGCGGCTCAGCCGGGGTTTCAATGTCGTCTTGAGGATCGCAGCGGCGGATTGGATCCGCAGCTGAAACATGAGGCACCGGATTTCGTGATGCTGTATCCCGTTCGGACGTCTTTTGAAACGCAGTCTGCTCCGATTCCAGTCTTGATATCTCCCGTACTTGAGTTTGAGAGCTGGATGGTATACATTGCTGGGTTGGCACTAACATTCACGCAGACGTCGGGGGCGGCCGCGCCGGAATGTAATGTTTAAGAAGTAACAAAGTACTTGGAGGTATAACATGAGAGGGCTTGGGATAAGAGGGATTTTGAGTTGGAGAGCATGTGTGAAGTATTCTGTGCGGTGAAGGTGGTTTCGCGGGAGGGTAAGCCCATGGCTTGGAGTTGTTTATCTAAAATATAGGGAGCATATTTCGGGAATCGGGGTTTATATGGTATAGTCATCCTCATCGGCAGAAGCAAAAAGGCGGACTTCTATCGTCTGTACGATCTCAATCCAGTCTGCTGACATGGCCATATTCATCTGCGTGCGCATGGGCTAGGAACTGATATTCAGTAATCTGCGCCAATTGCATATCTGTGCTGTAAACCCAAGCGTCCCTTGTCAAAATGTACTATGATTACTTTATACGCTTGAGGCAGTAATTTATAAGTTGAAGAGTCCATGGTTTTTAATTCAAAAGCTATATATAATTATGGTCTTTCCACCATCACCCACAGATATTCCATTTTAAAAATTGTATATACAAGGGATGTTCATACACATCCAAGACACCATAACACCCTCAATGGCCACCGCAATGCGTAACAAGGCAGACGAACACACTGATATCTCAACCTCAATATGAAAAAGAGAAATTCCCCGATACCATGATAAATGCCAAGGTCTAGGGCTGAAGAAAGCCCGCAAGGCCATGACGTGTCCCGCCGCTGAGCCACGCAATAAACATCATGCCAGGCCTGGCCTGTTCGATAGGGCTATTAGTTTCGTCTATTATTACAGTTATCTCCCACAAAAAGATCTTGAGATCGTGGGAAATAAAACCCGATCATTACTGGATCGAGTATGGGCGGCCACCTAATCAGTGTGGAGAATGTTAACAATCGCGCGCTGATCATTTCCGCTGCGGCATTTTGATGCCAAAAATAAGCTTGTTTCCCCACATTCAGGTACATTATTATACATTCTGAAGGATGTGGGAGGTTATATTGGATGAATATGACTTTATTCTGATATTCAATGGCAATTCATGTTTCTCTGTCTTTAATCCCATTCCACGAGAAAATAGATGAGATTGAGGAAGAGGCTATTAATAGCAGCAAACAGGCTCATCTTAACCGTAAATTTAGATTCATTTTATGTGGGGATGAATCGTAGCGTCTTTCCTCGGAAAAAAGAGAACAATCTATGGGACATGCGCTGCTTGGCAGCACTGTTTGATTGCGTTAAACATCTCACGATCTTGTTCTATCTGGTTGATGGCTGGATAGATAGTGCTAGTTCATGCAGCTAATTCCTTCATGGCTGACCTTATGGATATCTCTAGGCATCAATTATCTCTATTATGCAGTGTATGTAGAATCATCCGAATGAGCATCATCAATGGATAGCATCAGATCCAGATAGTCTAGAAGAAGCATTCAATTCTGCCAGAGTTATGTAGCGATATACAGCTATGATATTATTCAAAATAGCAAGTGAGATATCTAACGCAGTATTAAGGCTATCAAGATAAGATCACGGACAATCCAAGCAGTACTTGATAAGACTGCAGATCGCATGACGAGGCATCATCCCGCTGTGGACAGAGAGGATCTCGAGATGCACCGATTGTAGTCGTCATCCATCGTCGTCAGCCTGTCTAGCTTCAAATGTCACTTCTATAGACTCAGATATCCTATATAAAGTCGACAAGCACCTCCAGTCTGTCTCAACCATCAACAGCAAACATCCTTCAATCTCTATCATCTTCATAACTCATTCTCTGATTCTCAGACCTCAACTTCATTCAAAATGCAGTCCACCTTCACCCAGATCATCCTCGCTTTGGCTGCCACCGGCGCCATCGCCTCTCCCCTCGCTGCCCGCGACAACTGCGGCGTTGCCCCCAGCGGCTCCGGCTCTGCCTCCCCCATCAGTTCTCCCTCCGTGACCACCGCCGCTGCCTGCCAGGACAAATGCCAGGCCGACGACTCCTGCAAGGCCTTCCTCTTCGGTCTTCCTGACAGCGCCTCCGCTCCCACCTGCGAGCTCTTCGCCGTTGCCCCCGCCCAGGTCCCAGCCCAGGACGACAGCAACCTCCGTGTCTACGGCCCTGACTGCTCCAGCGTGCCCACCACCAAGCCCACCGCGGACCACCCCCAGGGCCAGAACGGTAACCAGAAGCGCGACGACACCTGCGGCAAGGCTCCGTCTGGTCCTTCCTCGAACAGCCCTTCGCCGCTTGCTACTCGCACCGATATCACCACCGAGGGTGACTGTATCGCTCTTTGCAAGAAGACTAACGGCTGTGAATCGTAAGTTGATTGTCATTTGGATTGTGAGGGATAAAAGCTAACTTGAATAGTGTCGAGGTCGGAAAGCCCGGTCCTAACGGTGACGCCGAGTGCATCCTCTTCAGCGTCGCTGCTTCTGAGCTTCCTCCCCGTGACGATGGTGCTACCCTCGTCGCCTACGACATTGGCTGCTAAATAGCTCGATTCGGTCACTGGGTCTTATTTTTAGACTCATTACTACCGACGCTTCGGCTTGACACCGTTTAATCTTGTATCAAAACGTGGTGGAAGGGTAACCGTTGGTGTTACTGTTCGACTGACAACTTTGTCAGTCTGACCTGTATTCAATACACTTCTATTGTGAATTACATTCGTTAGAAACATATTTCTTAGAATCATACGTTATTATCTTATCCAATTTTTAGTATAAAACGAGTTGGCGCACAGGCCGAAATTAGGATATATATATAAACATGTGTTTAGGGAGATAAAAATTGGTTGTTGAATATATTTTCAATTCCCAAGGCACACACAATATATGTTTGTATACTGTTGTTCGTTCCCAGCAAAACCATACGCAAGTTCTCTATGTATATACTTCTAGCATGACAGAATCAATATCCAACAATCTAGCCATCCAAACCAGGACACTTCTCACTCGTCTTATCCGTGATATCTGAATACGGCGATGGATCAGTCCAAATCACATCAAACCTAGCCCTCATCAGCATACTTATTCATACTACCCTTCGATATATAAACTCACCGATCATCCGGATAATCAGGGGCATCATCATCCCCCAACTCCTCCACAATATCCGTCAACTTCTTATGCTCCCAGCAGATCAAAATATTCCCGTCCCCATCGTACTTGTCGACGACTTTCTTGACGCACTTGCTATCGTCACGGCTACAGGATGTATCAACCGTAAGACCTAGATCGGTGGCGAGGGGTTCGACTGTTTCGTAGGGTCGTGCTTGTTTGCCGTCTGCTCTGGGTTAGTTATATAGATTCATGGTAGTTGGTGGAAACATACTGCTTTTGGGTGTTTGTGCGATGATATGGCCGATGTTGTACTTGGAGTCTTTTCCAAAGACGGATCGTAGACATTGTGCGCGGTCGAGACCTTGGGCGCTCAATCCGGTGCTGCCATTGCTGGGTTTTTCGCCGTGTCGGATAAGATAGACTGTCGGTGAGGCTGTGGCTATGGCGGCAGTTGCTAAAAGGCACGAGATGATGTTGATATACATTTTGGATGGGTAGGTAGTGTAGTGGATGATTGTAGATTGAGTAAGAAAGGTCAATGGCTGGGTGGGAAGTTGTTTGTTCTTATAATCAGTTTTAATGATAGGCACCTACTACCTAAGGTCCTTAATCGATCTGACGAATGAAATCAATAATTTGCACCATATGCCCTGATCCTTGACTAGGTCTTACTTTTCGACCTCGGATACGCGGTCCGTCCTTACGATGTATTTCCTGGTTCATCCTAGTACTGCCCTATCACTAGATAACGCGACGGAGCTCTCTGCATGAAGTGGGATGATTACTTAGACTTTCAATAATTGAGCCAGAGTTGATCGACTTGTTCCTGAAGTCTAAATGGCCCCCACACTACAACATAAGCTGCACCGCAATGGCACTGAATCTGATACACACCCCTGTTCAAAAAGGCCAGGAGCAAAAAGAAAATAAAAAAGAAACAGAAGAACTGCAATTGTCGACACCAGTCGGACTCGAACCGACGCCCCCGAAGAGAACAGCTTTCTAGGCTGCCGCCTTAGACCGCTCGGCCATAGTGTCTTTCATAAAACGTTATATCCTGCATTAACTATATATTGCAGCTTTGCGAACGATGTGCTGGATATCCGGGAGAATCAGCTTGGAGAAACCGGGCTACAACCTTACAATAAGTCTGGGTCTTCCAGTCCCACACCAATTCAGAGCAACAGGCAATAAAGTCCGAAGGATCGAATGTAACAGTGTTATTATTATTATTTTTTTTTTTTGATTGGCTGGATTATACACTGCGAAACACGTGGTGCAGTGACTGGTAATCTGATGTTGCACCCCTGGTCTCCCGTTGTACTACCTTGCAGGGCAATGCACTTGATATCTGTCATGACTCTGCAACCACTACTCAACGCTAAAACCGATATAATATCTATATTTAGACGGTTGGGGAAGGCTTTGCTCTTGCGACAGTTCTACGATAAACGTTCTCTTCGTGCAATTGGGCCATATGATTGGCTGTTCCTCTCTGCAACCTGAGCAATAAGGCTGTGCAGGGGCACTAAACCCAATCAGCATGCCAAGCCTTCTCAGCCCCCACTCCTGATCCAGGAATGATCTTCCATCTTCTCTGCAGCCCCTCAACGAGTCAACAACCTCCATTGCTCAAATAAAATGCAGCCAAGCTCCCATCACCTGACTACTGAGGTAACAATCACCATACCCCTCACTCACCGCACTCATTAATCCAGAATGCCTCATCTTCCAGACGAAATTCTCCTACAAATCGCCGGCCATGTCGAGCACCAGAAAGACCATCTCTGCTTTATTATCGCGTGCCGTCGCTTCTATGATGTACTACTACCAACCCTCTATACCGATGTCAAGCTCTTGAACCGACAGCGGCCGTGGGCTGTCAACGACACCGCCCAAGTGCGTTCTTTCCTCCGCGCTGTTTTCCGAAACCCCGCATTAGCCCAGAATGTGCGTTCGTTACGGCTGGTCCACCCGTGGGCCGACTTGATTTCAGAACTGGGCTCGGATAACGACTACTTTGATGATTTTGACAAGGCGATCGTAGATGGAAACACCAGCGAATATAGTGTGGAGGATATGGATGACGCCATGAACCAGGTCCTTTCGACGTCTTACATTGCGGAAGATCTCGAGGAACAAGAGCTCGGAGAGGACCAGGCGATGGTGGACGAACTGATGGGCGGGGCAGGCATCGAGTCGGACCTTGAGAGGAGGGCATGGGAGCTTTGTCTCGAGTACGGATTCGCGGATGTTTGGGTCGCGATGCTGTTGCCGCGGTTGAATAACATCCGGAAGTTGAGTCTGCGGTTACCAGATGGCGGGGTCTGTGTCGTGCAGACGTTGAAAAGAGCAGCAAGGCAACCGAGCTCGGTGTTTCCGTATTTGAGTGACGTGTTTGTGGAGGATTGCTCTGCATTGGGCTGTACAGAGGCGTATAGATGGAACAGCTTTTTCGCATTCCCGTCCATGCGAAGGATGCATGGAGTTCAGGTAGCCGAACTGGAATCACCACAGGCACCGACAGCTTCATCTTCAGCTACGGAAATCGATCTTTACCAATGTGGTGGTGGTCAGGGAATGAAAGACTGGGTTGGACGGTGCAAGGCGCTGAAATCATTCAGAATGATTAGCGGCAATCTCGATCTCACAGAAGTCCGATTTGACCCCAATGCCTATTGTCGGTCTCTCACGCCTCATAAGGAAACGCTGGAGTTCCTCTGGCTGGATTGTGGCTCTGCAGGCGGAGAGGGCGATTCTGTGGAACTTACTGAGTCCTTTGCTACTTTCACTGCCCTCAGACATCTTCATCTGCGATTGGAAAATATGTTCAAACGAATGAGCAACTTGTTTCCACCGTCCCTTGAAGCATTATTTCTCCGTGAAGGAAACCAAGGGGAAACAGGAGGTATCCACCACCTGACAGACATGATCCGCTCGCGGTCTATGCCCAGACTGTCCCGAGTTGATCTTGAGATGGGCATGGACAACAACCACGAGGTCATGGCAGTATTGCAGGATCTACAAGTAGCATGCAGCAACGCCGGTGTTTCTTGTGTGCTTTGGGAACGGAACAGTAATGAGGCGCAGGATTATGCAAATTCGACCTGGAATTCTTTACATGGTCGTGATTGTACTTTGACTAACTCGACTGATGATCTAAGAAATTGATGGAATTTAGTGTGGGAGCATACTAGTATGAAGAATATCAACCCCGCACAGAGTAATGTGAATATCCTTTCACTATCTATACATCAAATCTGTTGCCGTCAGAAATGCCTTACGTGTCTCACGGTCTCACGTTCAATGCCCCCTTGCTGGTGATGCTTTAGAACACCGATCATTGCTCGATTTATGCAGACCTGCTGTACTTCCATCCTCAATTTGTTATATTGTCGGTCAGTCCGGTTATTGGTGCGTTCGGGTCTGTTCGGTGATATGAGGTATTACAAAAGTAAAGGTATTCTATAAAGTGCATTATCTTTGTGCTCGACCTAGATAAAACGAAAACTACAACCTCACAGCTTGTTTGATACCAAGCTTCTGCTCTATATCCTTGTATAAAACACGCTCAAGGACCTCCAATGGCTTCACCACTTCCGGATGCTCAACTGGCCCTGTCTGCATATACAATGCTGCACTGATGCCGTTCGTCGTATCAATCCACTAATAGAAGTCAGCATAACGCACCATCCAGACTGATACATACCCAATGTGTATTGAAGTCCTTGCGCGTAGTCCATACGCCAATGCCACCGAGACAGTCTTTCGGCGTGGTTGGATATGGATTCCACCCAGATAAGCTCTCGGGCTTACCGATATTGGCCAGCCTGGCCCGTTTCGCAAGTAGATCTGGACGTTGTGCTGGACAGAATGTGGTTCCGGTTGCTCCAATAACATCCCATATATTCTGCCTGCAAAAGCGTTCCAGAGACTGGCCAGTGGCTGCTTCAATCTGCCATTATTAGCACTTTATTGAGCTAAACCCATTTATACGGACCACTTTTCCCGCGCAATCCACGCCACAGCCATAGACAAAGCTATCTCCAGGTTCAAACTCGAGCGGGATGTTACGGCCTGTCAACGGCCAGGATAGTTAGTGGCTTACTGTATAGGTCGGTCATACCGGTGGCGTCGATTGCCGAGAAAAGAAAGCCATGGTTGGTAGATAGGGGGAGGCTTTATATCTCGCGATAACGTTGTCTACTGCAGAAGCCATATTATCTGAGATTCCCATTGCTGAATTATGTTGACACAGACAGACATAGTCTAGGTATATATACCTGTCATAACCATTTCACCTGAAGACAAAGATGCAGCTAGAGTCACACAGAATTCAAGTTGGCAAATATCATATATTACGTTGTTTGTGACACTGAGCTGGGTATCACCTCAAATATATGATGACAGTATTGGTTCCATTCATACTAGGTTGGATTTAATTTATAATATGATAGTAGGTCATGAACTGTAATGTGAGTTTTCATAGGTTCTCTACTGTCTATACTGGATATTGCATGAACGAGAACCGGGAAGTTTGAATACCGAGAATGCTGCATGCAAGGAAGTGCATCTCAATGGAAAAAGTGTCCAGGTGGGGCAGGTGAATGCACACCCAGTTCAGCTGAGCTTCATCTGGCCATTCAGATTCCATCTTGACACCGAAAGCGGGGCGTAATTCCCACGATCTGGGGCGCAGGTCAATAGCTGAAACGAACCCGACGGTCTGGACTTGACGTCACATTGAAAATTAGACGAGCTGAAGTTCAGCTGAAGTTGATCCCCTTTACAAATACTCCTCTTCCCCCTCTTCCCACACAACCCAACGACTATAATCCAACAGCATAACACCATCAAAATGCCGATCCCTCTCGATATTAGTCAGTCTTGATATTGCGCTCCTTTTTACCGCCCTATATATTTGCTGATATTTTATTCTGGTGTTTAGATTTCCCCAACGGGCAGGAATTCTTCAATGATCTTACTGCCGGGGAGTCCTTGTCAACTGAAGATGCTTCCCAAGCCATTGCCTTTGAGGCCTGCAGACGCTTCAATGAGCATATTAAATACGATCATGACCTTGGTAGGTGGCTGCCGTCGTTGCACTCTTTTATCGTCTATCCTTGCTCACTAGTGTGTTCTTTCTGACACGATACAGAAGGAAAATATGCGGCAATGACCAGCGAAGGACCGAATAAATTGGATAGCTTGATACAAGAAATCATGGGCGAGGTTGAGGGTGATATCCCAGCTACCAGAGATGATATCAAGCCGCTTGCTAAGCAGGCATTCCTGCGTGAATACAAGGGTTCCTACGGGGCCTTCTGATTAAATATTCAATATTTTCGACTGCACATTTGATCATAGCGCCTCTCATCCTACCCCTCTATATTAGAAGCGGGGAGCTCGATTCAACTTGGAGATATTTGATTCATAGGCCATCCAAACAGGTAATATTCTAGATCAGATCCGATGCATAGATACATTCCGTTATTTCGCAACCGGAGACAATTCCCTAAAATCTGACATCGCCTGGATGCTATAGGGACTGCTAGTGTCATCTGCCTGTGAGCGATGTGGTTTTTCACCGTAGGTTGTGGAGAGAAACCTGCCATGTTCCTCGGCATTCACAGCTCCCCACGAAAACGGTAACTCTACTTTAATGGTATACTGCGCAAGCTATCCACGAAACCCCCATCCTCCTCCTCCCGGACTGTTGATCTGCATGATTTCGCCAGCCTCTAACCGAAGCGCTGCTTTTCCACCCAAAGACAACGTATCCAACCCAGTTCTATCTTCATTCCATTTAAATGCGTAATTCCCCCCAACCTGCCCTTCATCTCCCCCATTCATCCCATACGGAGCGACGACTCGACGGTCGCTCAGAATGCTAAACTGAAGCGGCACTCGAGCTTCAATCTCCCGCACTGCTCCATCTCCTCCTTTGTATTTTCCTTTCCCGCCAGTTCCATGGTTAATCGCATGTCGTCTGACGATAACGGGGGTTCGCTTTTCAACGACTTCTGCGTCTGTGATTTTGGTATTTGTGGAGTGTGCCTGCACCGCGTGTTCACCGTCCCAGCCAGGTCCAGCACCACACCCCCCGCCCACTGTCTCGCCGTAACTCCAGCCTGGCTCTATAATACCTGTAATAGGATTCTTCCCGCCCATTCCCCAGCCGAAGCTATTCGCGCAGCCGGAAAATGCAGCACAGGATGCAAAGGCCCGTAGTATCACGTCGATGACGCGCTGGCTGGCGAGTGTACTTCCGCATATCGCAACGGAGGAATTAGGACGAAGCACTGATCCCTTCGGAATGCGGATATCTATCGGCGAGAGACAGCCGTCGTTGAGCGGGATGTCGGCGTTGACGAGACAGCGGAGACAGTACATGATGGCCGAATGTGTGATGGATATCGGACAGTTGTAATTCCCCCACATTTGGGGGCCTGTGCCCGCAAAGTCGAAGATTGCGCCGCCTGTCTTCTTATCGATGGTGATGCTGATGCGGAGGATGGTACCATCGTCGAAGTGGTCTGTTGCGGAAAGGGGCATGGTGCGGGCGTGCGCTATCTGCTTGAGATACGCCCGTACGGCTGTCTCGGCGTTGGTTTGGATAGCTGCCATGGCTGTCTGGATGAATGGGAGACTGGATTCGGTGCAGAGTTTCTGGAGAAGAAGGATGCCGCGTTGGTTAGATGAGATCTGCGCTTTTATGTCGGAGATGTTATCATCCAGTCGACGGGTTGGACTGCATCCGGGGAGATCACCAGCAGCCAGAAATGCCCTTCTCAGTTCATCTTCGAGAAAGACACCGTCATTTACTATCTTCATAGACCGCACGTTGAATCCCTCCTGCCATAGCTGTTTCGAGTCTGGCATCATCGACGTGATACCCTGACCACCAATATCCGTATGATGACCGCGTGCAGCAACATAAAACGCAACCTCTCCCTCATTATCGACGAATACCGGTGTAATCACCGTCAAATCAGGCAAATGCGTCCCACCACACTCCGGATGATTCGTGAGCAGCACATCACCCGCTTTCAACTTCCCAGCCCATAATCGATGTTGATATCGAATCGCATACTGCATACTGCCCAGATGGATGGGGATGTGCGGTGCGTTAGCGACTAGCTTCCCCTCGTGCGAGAATATGGCGCAGGAAAAGTCGAGACGTTCTTTGATGCTCGTTGAGATGGAGGTGCGTTGGAGGGTGTGCCCCATTTGTTCGGCGATGGACATGAATCTGTGGGAGAGGACGGAGAGCTGGATGGGATTGATGGTTTGTGATGTTGATATAGTCTCATCTGGCTTGGTGGTATCTGTTCTTTCGAGAATGACGTGGTCTGGTAGGAAGTATGCAGTGAACTGAGGTTCTACGAAGATGGTCTGGGTTGCGTCGATGAGCAATGCAGGGCCTTGTCGTCGACCTGGTCTGGGGACAGAATCGAGGTTGAAGATAGGAACATCATTCCATGTACCATCTATAAAGACCTGTTGAGAAGATGCTGATTGAGCATCTGGTTCTACCCTGGCCTTCTGCAAGAGAGAATAAGGGGATGCTGCAGTAGAAGGACTGCTTCGCCCAACACCGCGGACTTTGATGGAATCGATGTCGATATTCCTCTGTAGGATGAAGGAGAACTCCTGCTGATGTCTCTTTATGAAAGCATTTCCATAATTCTCTCCAGCGGGCTTTGATATAACCAAGTTGGTGTCAGTGCCTGCATATCGCATACTCAGAGACTCGTCGAATTCAATCGTACTCTCGTCAGCGCCTTGTGAGACCAGATCTTTCTTGACTTGTTCTTTAAGGACATCAATATGTTTTCTGATATGGTCAAGCACATCAAGATGGAACACACCAGCGTACGGTGTTGATAACTCAGACTGCAGCTCAGCCTGCGCTATACCGACTGCAGACAACAAGGACGAATGTCGATGAACCACAACCCGTCTTATCCCCAATCTATCAGCAATAGAACACGCATGCTGTCCTCCTGCACCTCCAAAACTAACCAGATAATGGCCACTAGGCGCATATCCTCGCACTTCAGTTGCATTCCGCATTGGCCGCGTCATAGTCTCGTTGGCGACTGTCAAAAAGCCCTGCGCAACTTCTTCTGCTGTAAGAGTCTGTTCTGTCTGTTCATTCACCTCCCTCGTAATCTCCTCAAACTTCTTCTTGGTACCTTCATAATCCAAAGGCTGATCAGCCCCAGGCCCAAATATAGTCGGAAAAGCAGACAGAACCAGTCGTCCCAGAAACAGATTCGCATCCGTCACCGTCAACGGACCTCCCTTTCGATAACACGCAGGGCCCGGATGAGCACCGGCACTCTCGGGCCCAACGACAAACAGTCCATGGCGCGCAAACAGCATCGATCCACCACCCGCGGCTACCGTGGCGATGTTCAACATGGATGTGGTGATCTTTCGACCGGCGACGGTAGTTTCTGTGAGATAGTCGTAGGCCCCGTCATATCGACATACATCGGTGCTGGTTCCGCCCATGTCGAAGCCTAGAAGGGGTGTTTTTCCATCCTCGTCGAAGCAGGTTCGGGCAATTCCTACGACGCCTCCTGCTGGTCCGCTGAGGAGAGCCTCATTTCCGCGGAACTTGGCTGCTTGTCGTAGTCCGCCATCTGAGCTCATGAATTCCACTCGTTGTGGGAGAATTTCGAATCCGGATTGAAAGGCTGCCACGTAGTCTCTCACAATGGGATATAGATACGCCTCGGAGGAGACGGAACTGCTGCGATTGAGAAACTTGATCGTAGGGCTGATCTCGGATGCTTTGGTGATATACTCGAATCCCATTTCGCGGGCTATGTCAGCCACTAGATCTTCGTGATTGGGATAGAGGAAGGAGTGCATGAATGAGATGGCGAGAGATGTATATCCGGCAGACTGCACATCTGCTAGAACCTGCCGAACCTGACTTTCGTCTGGTGCCTTGAAAATGCGAATAACCTCACCACTCGCCGTCCTCACCAAGGCTGGATCAGTGATGCTGTCCTTTTTATCCATCGGAAACGGATTCAAATCATAATCTTCAATCGTAACCCGCTCATCAATCTCCACAGACGTAGCGTGCAACGCCGGCGGCTTCCGCACATTCAAATCAAACAACTTCGGCCGACTCTGATCATCAATCACACAGACATCTTTAAATCCCTTCGTTGTGACAAAAGCGAATTCCCGTCCTTTTCCCTCAAGCAGTGCATTCGTAGCGATGGTCGTCCCAATCCGACACGATGCAATCCGTGACCCGTCCAGTTTTGAGTCAATTGGGATTGGCCGTCTCTCGATGATTTCGAGGGCTCGGCGAATTGCTTCCGTTGGGGCATCGCGATAGGTTTGGGGATCTTCGGAGAGGAGTTTGAAGACGAGCTCTGCGTGGGGGGTTTGGACGAGGACGTCGCAGAATGTGCCGCCGCGGTCTGTTTTGTTAGATATTTCTTTTATGATATAGGGATACTAACCAATGGAAATATTGATGTCTGGTGTCATTTTGCTGGTGAGTAGAGATTGGTGTTGATGTTTTTTACGGTCTAAATTACATCGTGGATGCCTACATTCAATCTTTATTTCAAACCAAAAAGGAATTTTCTATCCGATACAAAGCTACAATTTTCACCAGGAATAATAAGATACCCCTCACTGACGGAAATACGCCGAGTTGATAAGAAGCGGGGATGGTCTATTTGACGCCTTTTAGCGGGACGATGAGGTGATAGCCACCACAATCATTCTTCTAAATTGTAGAAAGATATGCCCTGATCAGTTCAATAACCTCATGATTCTGTTCAATATGAACAGAATGATTGGCATTCTCCAGCACCTCTAAACGCGCACCAGGAATTCTTGAAGCAATATATCGTGATTGCTCCGGCGGACAAATCCAGTCCTTCTCGCCTACTATCACCAACGTCTTCGCAGTGATTCGTTCCAGGCTATCTCGATAATCGAATAACTTCTCGCTCTCCGAGTATAGATCATCTAATTATTAGCATTATAGCTAACAGACCAAGAAAAACTCACTATGTGCCTTGGCATTAAACACCGTCTCTAGATTCCGCTTCAGAGCGATCTCCGCATCGAATGTCTGGCTGTAGAGCGGTGCTGCTGCGTACATGACAAGCTGGAATTCAAGGTCGCTTTCGAATCGACCGAATATTTTATCTTTCAGCATGTTGATGGACAGGTTCGGTGCGCTTGATGCTCTTCCTTGGAGAACTTGGATGGCGGATTCCTCGTCTGGTATTGTTAGTATAGAAAGATCAGATGGGGGATACTCACGGTGATATGATGGTGCAGTTCCACGTAGAATGAGGTGTGATACATGCAATGGATAATTAATGGCATATTGCTGTGCGAGAAAGCCGCCAAAACTACCTCCTAGAATAATACATGGCTTGTCTGTGAAATGACGGCGAATAGCCTCAATATCCTCAACAATCTGGTCGAACGTATACGGCTCCGTCCGGGAACTCTGTCCATGACCTCGATAGTCGAAAGAGAAAAGTCGATATTGTGAGGATAATGGCATAAAGGCTTGGAAATCAGATTTATGGTCGCCTGTTTTGTTAGTTTTGGCATATTGTACACTTGGGATTCCTACCAAATCCTCGACCGCCGTGGAGAGTAATTATCAACGGTGCATTTTCAGGGCCGGAAAGACGATATGCCAGTTGGGCGTTGTTGATGGAGACAAACTCGACCATTTTGTTTGATGTCTTGTTCAGGTTACTTCTGATTCATTATGAATAAATATCCCTGCGTCGGCCCCGCCCCGAGTGAATCAAGTCACTATCGCGGGGATGTCGTGATGGACTATGATAAGATCAGTTATATTTCATCTTTCGTTCTTTCCAAGATATCAACTACACAATGGCATCAAAATACCCCAACACCACCATCTCAACCCCAGACGAAGCACCAAAACAACAAAAATGGCTCCACTGGCACGAACCCAACACCTCCCCCGCCGACAAAAAACTCATCCTCAAACTCGACTGGTTCCTCCTCAGCTTCAGCTGTCTCTGCTTCTTCATCAAACAACTCGACGGGAACAACGTCACCAATGCCTACGTCTCCGGCATGTCCGACGAGCTCGGGTTCGGGCCAGGCAATGAGCTCAGCTGGATGAATACGTATTTCAACATCGGGCAGATCCTGGGCGGTCCGGTGTCGAATCTTGCGTTGACGGTTGTTCGGCCGCGGTTTTGGTTGCCGGGTTGTTTGGTGGTGTGGTCGGTGTTTGTGCTGTTTTTGTTCAAGTGTGAGAATGCGGGGGAGTTTTATGCGTTGCGGTTCTGTATTGGGTTCTTTGAGGCTGCTGCGTGGCCCGGGATTCAGTATGTGTTGGGGTGTTGGTATAGACGGTCGGAACTGTCGCGGAGGAGTGGGCTGTTCGTCATGTCTGGGGTGCTGGGGCAGATGTTTTCGGGGTATCTGCAGGCTGCGTTATTCAAGGGGATGGAGGGGAAGGGAGGGATGTCTTCGTGGCGGTGGCTGTTCATCTTTGACTTTATCCTCGCTATCCCAGTGGCTTTGTATGGCTTCATCTTCTACCCCGACACACCGCAAACGACCGCTGCATTCTACCTCTCCGACTGGGAGAGAACACGCGCTCGACAGCGCATCGACGAAGAAGGACGCACACCAGTGGGAAAGCTCGATCTCAGCGTGTTCAAACGCGTCTTCCAATCCTGGCAGCTGTATACATTCTCCCTCGGATATGCGCTGTGGACACTCACGTGTGGCTCATACGTGCTGCAATACTTTAGCATCTGGCTTAAATCCCTCGACACATACTCTGTCCCTCAGATCAACAATATCCCCACCAGCATGAGTGCAGTCAATCTCATCTTCATGCTCTGCACAGGCTATATATCCGATCAGATCGGACGACGAGGTCCTGTCTGTTTTGTTGTCGGCTGTATTCTCACCTTTTCCTTTGCAGTCTTCACCGCGTGGCCGTCTTCAGACAATCTCAAAATGGCCGCATTTATCATATCCGGTTGCTATGGATGTTACACGCCCCTGTTAGCTGGCTGGGTGAATAGTTCCTGTGGTGGTGATCAGCAGTTACGGGCGTTTGTCCTCGCCTTTATGGTCAGTGTTGGACAGGCTGTCGTTATTCCGTTTCAGCAGCTGCAGTTTCCCAGCGGTGATGCTCCGACCTTCTCCAAAACACATGGCTGGGTGGGCGGGCTTTGCTTTGTGGTTGTCTTGACGCTATGGACGGGATTTGGAATTGAGGCTGTACAGAGATGGAGGGCAGAGGAAGATGTAGATGAGGTTTAAGTGGTATATAACTATATAACTATCTTCTAATCCAGTGTTATATACCAACTTCAGCACAAGTCGCTCCTCACTTGACCGCATACTGGAATCTGAAAATGTCGCCCGTTTCTCCATACACACCGAGGGGCGGCATATTTCTGAGATATCCGAGGAAGTTGCCCTTTGTATCAGAGACTTGGACGCGAACGGCATCATCGTGATCGATGTGCAACTTGTCCGTCGCCGTGACATGCACGAACTGGAAGTAGCAACTCTCTGCCCACTCCGCACCAACCCAGGTGTAGGATCTCGGCTCGAGCCCTTCACAGGGCAGGGTTGCTCCAGCGTATTTGCTCGCCTCCATGCTCCACCAGATGTAGCTTCCACCGATTCTAAGCTGCAGAGCCGTTAGAAAGACCGATAAGGCCAAGTGCAGGACCGAAGCGACATACCCTTTTCCTGAATGTTTTTGCTTTTTCATCCCAGATCTCGTAGTGTTTGCAACCGGCTGTGAAGCACTGGGACTTACCAGCAGCTGACGGGGTCATTTCAACGGACCGTTTCAAAGATCGAATCCGGTTGATCTCATTCATCCCTTTGTTTTGGGATGGCGTAGGATTCATTACCCAGGTGATATCTAGATGTGTCCTTGTATTAGCCATCGCCCTCAGTGTTGCTAGATGGTTGCCCTTACTTCCAAATGGATTTTCTGGCATTGCGGTTACAAACTTGTCATCTTCAACGGATTTCAGCCAGAATTCCACCCAGCCCTCGGCCATTTTGGGCAGGGGCTTGGGGGCCGGCGTGGTTGTCAGCTTATTGCCGCCTGGGGCAGGAGGATCCAACTTGAGGAACTTCTGTTTGACGTCTGCATAACCAGCGATCATCGATATCATCTCTTCAATAGAAACGAGATCCTCTTGCTGTGAAAGTGTCAGTCAAGATATAAAAGAGTCAACGAGGAAATACCTTGACGACTCTCCAGTTGTAGTAGGAGCCCACGGTGCTACACCAGGCAGGGGGGCTACAGACATATCAGCACAGTTTCATCATGAAGACAGAAGACACCCACTTGTTGCACAGCAAAGTATCGCCACCCTTGGCCTCCCAGGTCAGACTGTTGCTTAGCCCACTGCTGGACTTCTTCCCCAGGTGGTTGGTGGCATCCCCCTTTTCGCCACTGACAGAGCCCTGGGCATAGCTGCCATACGAGAAGGAAGCAGCAGCGGCGATCTTCAGCGAGCTGGCCTTCTCCTCGACGCTTTCCTGGGAAAAGGCATTGCTTTCCTCGGTGGAATGCAGCCGTCCACCAAGCTCAACGCGAGTGGCCACAAACGTTCCGTATTTCTTCTTGAAAGACTTCACATCTGCTTGGGTGGTGACCACCGCAAGATCTTTCTGGCATTCGTCGGACAGTTCCACGCTCTCTCCGTCGAGTTCGAGAACTACTCTGGGGAACTATACAAGATCTGTCAGTTCACTGACCGGGTCATACCGTAGTTACCCACATTATAGGTGATGGTCATGCGCTTCTTGTCCACCAAGCTGTTGGACGCTGTTTTGTCCGTGCTTTCCGATTTGTATCCAACCTTGACTCCAGCACTGACTCCAAAAGCTCCTCCACCACTGTCCATATCAGCAAAGGCGAGGGTATACACAACGGATCACTTACACAGCAAACTCGGCCGAATGTTCAGCGAGCGAGCTATCGGCGATGGCATTGGCAACAGATGACTTGTTCTCCGAAACACTGACGTAAGAGTTATCTTGGACCAGAAAACGGGGAATCCTCAGCTTGTGCATCTGCAACGGATTAGTTCCTATCTATCAACGCCAGCAGGGTAAGGTCGATGCATACCACTGGAGTCTCGCTAGCATTGCCAGTTTTACTGGCCACACTCTTCTCGCCTGCAGGGTCTTTGCTGGTCGTGGTTTCCTTGACTTTGCTGGCACCGCTGCCACCACTGAACACAACCTCAAAGTCGTGGAACTGGCGCGTCTTCAGCGTCAGGGCTGGTTCGATCAGTAATGCTCATTAGTAAACCGTTGAGTAGCTTACCAGGGTACATGGCGCGCTCGACCCTTCTCTCGCCGGTGCTCAGCTGCCTCACGTAGTTGCCATGGAGGACGGAATTGTTCTGGAGAACAATATACCACTCTTTCTCGCCCATTTCAGCCGGATGCCTGTCTATGTCAGTATCGTTGACTCCCTGCTGGCATGGCGATCTTACGTAATCTCGCTTTTGCCGGCGGCGGCCATGAAGTTCCGATGATCGTATGAGCTGCCCAAGATCTTCGACCCGGCTTCCAGCAGATCAGGTCTCTAAAAGTTGTTTCAGCATATCGTCTGTCTTGAAAACATTCCAGGCCTCACCTTGAGCTCAATCGCGAGTTTTTCTTTGAGAAACTCCTGCGTCTCTTGGTCCATCTCATTTGCAAGTTTCCGCAGCTTCAAGTAAACCTTGAATGAGTGGCCACTGCTGTCTTCTTTGCGAACCTGGTTGACGATCAGCATCCTTCAGCAGATAGGACTGGGTCCACGCACTGGCTGTTGTCCTTTCTTGCCTTTGTTGGCGCTTTCGCCCTCGTCTGCTTCTTTGGCAGCTTCCCCTTCAGTCTCGGTGTTGTGCAAAAAGTCCAGGTACATGTCGAAGCGCAGTGAATCGTCCACTTCCGCGCCGACGGCATTGCAGAATTCGCTCGACTTCCTGTGGCATCATCAGCTCTCGTTGGAAATATTAAGTGGTCTGGCTGACATACTGTCTCCAGCTAAACGCCTTCTCGCTGATCAGCTTCTTCCGAATATCACCCAGCGTGGTTTCCTGGACGTTCTTAATACTGCCGATGGTGACGAATTTGTCCATCTTGCTTGTATTGGTCACAGGGTTCCAGAGGTAAATGAAGAATTTGGCCTGGAGGTCATTTTTATTGGCTGCACACATTATTAACACTGTGATTCCTTACTGTCGGGCAACCTACCTTGGTCATTGTCTGCTATTTGCTTTGCCAACTGGTCAGGCGTCATCTCGTCTGGCTTCTTTTCACCTGCCTTCCCATCTCTATTGCCGGTGATCTTGCTACCGACCATGATGATAAAGTAATAGTGAGAGTGAAATAAAAAAGATGTTCGATTTACAGCAGTACAAAATATATGCCCAAGACAATCTATCCACCCTGCGGTCAAGGAAATGCACAGGTATTTATCATTTCTGCCCTCGGTGCATTGCCCTACCGTCATTATGAATAAAAGCTGTGGACCTTCCCAGACAATCCACTTGCACGCAAGGTGCAAGCAATGATGACGGATGGATCTTCAGCCGAGGTAAATCCATACTCCGTACAGTAAAGGCGTGGAGTGATGGATAGGCGTGGAGTGATGGATAGGCGTGGAGTGATGGATAGGCGTGGAGTGATGGATGGGAAGGTGCGAGTGTGCAGTTTCCCATTGGGCTATACCCACTTGTTGCTCATCGAGTGAACCATTCGGGACGAACATCGCAATCTCAATCCAAACCATGGCCAAGGATTCCCCGCAGCCGGGTTGGCAAATCAGGAGAAGCCTGGATAGGCCTGAATGGGAGATCAAGGATCCATCCCGTCATCCGGGGCGTCAGGAGGGTCACGTTCTTCACTGCATCTGTGCCTACAAAGTACAAGACGGGTCCTGCAACCTCCGTCAATCAGGTATATGATACTGAGGTTGTGGATATCCAGAGTATGATTCTTTCTGCTGTCCGAATGCATCATCATGCCAGGCATGAAAATGCAAAAACACTCAAAATCAGGGAGTGGGGCAGTGGACGAACTGGTAAACCTTGGTACCCACCCCGGCCAGTGACAGTTGCGGTCCTGCCAGGAACTGGCCAATCAGACAGACAGACACAGTTTAGCTGAACTGATAAACTTCGGCAGATTGAGATGACATCACAAGCATGTCATTCAATGTACATATATTTCATTGCTTCTACAAAGCCATCCATAGCTGTTTGGAACGCTATCTTGATCAATTATCTGCTCATTCTTCATCAAGAAACCAAGAAAGCAACAGACGAGGAGATTGGCAGAACTGTGGATACCTGTTAGTGTGCGGCTGACGGTGCATTGGAAATGTCTCCTACCAGACTGTCTCCGTCTCATTTATGCGTATTGCTCGTACTGGAGATCGCCAGTCCCGAAACTGCTGGTGATTGGATTTGAAGTGGTTCATCCGAAACACAACAAGATGCTGTGGGGCACTCTTAATTCTGCAGTTGAAAGGCAGCCAGTTATATTTATCCGTGTCTGGTGGTTGGTTGCCGATGTTCACTCTTGCAACTCATATCATGCTACGGCGGAACATACTGCGAGCTGCTATGGCGGGCCATAAACAGTATTTACAAGGGGAGCTGAATCGGGCTTTTGAAGCGAGATCCTCCCATCACTGGCTAAGCATTCAAGGTTGAGATAATTCTCTCGCACTGAATAAATCTTTCAATTGGGCAGTATGGCGATAGGTCGAGTATGTGACCTGCCATCTTTCCTACAAGCCCTCGCCTTTGACTGGGTAGTCGAACTCAAAGGCGGCCTGTGGCATTTGGTTAGATATATTAGGATAGCCACAGGACAAGCCTGGATCGTCACTGGCAGATATATGTAGCTGATCAGTCTCCCAGTTTGCAGTGAACAGAATGATAGCTTTAACACCGTCTAGATGAGGCCCAAGTGCGGACGAAGTCTCAATAGCCAGCTTGTGCATTGTGCAGGATGGGTATGAGTCTATAGCATGGAAGATGGATATGAATGGATAGAGACCTAGATTGTGATGGTATCTTGATTATCGAGATCAGAACATATTATATATGCATTGATATCCAAGCCCTGCACATTATTTTTACTGAGCTTGGTCTGAATTTCATGATAATCTATCTGAAACAACCAATGTATCTTTTTAGATAGTATTAGTCAAGATCAATGCATTCTAATGATGCATATTCGAGGGAAATTGTCAAATATGAGATTCTTGTATGAATGACGTCATTCCTGTATCTTCTCCTTGCATATGCACGTGCCTACTCCGTACAGTCTGCACGGCACTGAAAGTCAATATTAAGCATAAGGCAACATCCTTTGTCATTTGCTTTCTTTTTTGACCTCTATCCACAACAAATTCCGGGAATCGATATCTCATCTCAGTTGCCCATCAATAATGGCCTGAGTCATGAAATAGACTCCGCTTCCGGCTACTGCCACCGCCGCTTTACCCCGCGTCTCTGATTGGCTGTCTTTGTTGGCAGGGATCGCCGGCCGACAACGGCGATTCGGTCGGCGCACGTGACGCGGTCGCAATCGTCGTTTTTTCACCTCATCGTCGAATGCCCAATCTCCTCCCATTGACATCTCGCATATTGCCCAGCATGTTCTGCAGCCGTGTAACACTAGCAGCAACTGCTGTCAAGCGCTCCGTGCCCTCATTCCGGACTCTGGCCACCGCAGCCCCGGTCGGCTCTGCTGCCCAGAACCACAAGGTCGTGGTTATCGGTGGTGGCACCGCCGGTCTCGCTGTCAGCCACCAGCTGCTTCGCTCGGGCAAATTCGTCCAAGACGACATTGCTGTTGTCGATCCTTCAGAATTCCACAACTACCAGCCTGGATGGACGCTGGTCGGTGGTGGTCTCAAGAACAAAGAGGATCTCCGAAGACCGTTGAACAGCTTGATTGATCCTAAGCTCAAGTTTTATAACAACGGCGTCGACACTTTCTCCCCCGAGGACAACTTCCTCACTCTGGGCAATGGCGACAAGGTCAACTACGAGCACCTGGTTGTCGCGCCGGGTATCAGCGTGAACAACGGTAGCATCAAGGGCTTGCCCGAGGCTCTTGCTGACCCCAGCTCTATGGTCTCGTCGATCTTCAGCTACAACACCTGTGACAAGGTCTTCCCCACCATTGAGAAGCTCAAGAGCGGTAATGCCATTTTCACCCAGCCCGCCGGCGCTATCAAGTGTGCCGGTGCTCCCCAGAAGATCATGTGGCTCGCCTTGGACCACTGGAAGCGAGCTGGTCTGTACAACCCCAGCAACCCATCCGAGTCCGCCATTAAGATCAGCTTCGCCACCGGTCTCCCCGTCATGTTCGGTGTGCCCAAGTACAACGCCAAGCTTGAGGAGCTGCGCAGAGAGCGCGGCGTGGAGGGACTCTTCCAGCACGACCTCGTCGCCGTCGACGGCAACACCGCCACCTTCGCCCGGCCCGACGGACAGGAGCAGGTGAAGAAGGAGTTTGACCTCCTTCACGTTGTCCCCAAGATGGGACCCCACGCTTTCATCAAGAACAGCGCTCTCGCCAACGAGGCTGGTTTCGTCGACGTCGACGACAACACCACCCGCCACAAGAAGTTCTCCAACGTCTGGTCCGCCGGTGACGCTTCCAGTCTGCCCACTTCCAAGACCGCCGCGGCTGTCACTGCCCAGGCACCCGTCCTCGTTGACGGTGTCCTCAAGGCCTTGGAGGGCAAGGAGTCCGAGGCCAGATATGACGGCTACACCTCGTGCCCTCTCACCACCGAATACGGAAAGGTTCTCCTTGCCGAGTTCAAGTACGGCGGAGTGCCCAAGGAGACCTTTGGCACTCTTATTGACCAGATCAACCCCCGCCGTGAATTCTACCACCTCAAGAAGGACTTCTTCCCGTGGGTCTACTACAACTCCATGGTCAAGGGTACCTGGGGAGGACCCAAGGGATGGATCAAATAGAGGATACGTGCGGAGTCATGTGTATTATACGCTATGAGGCAATAAAATTATGACAGCGTTGAATAAAAGGAATGGAGCGCTTGCTTGGTTATAAAAGTCGATTCGCGTTTATATTATTTCATCGATATCCAGCTCATTCATTTGACAATCTTACATTTTAAGCAATTCTTGATATTGTAACTCTAAAGATAAGAAGGCTCTACCCACTAAAGGCATTATCAAGCACTCTCCATTCCCTCCTTCATCTCATATATCTCCCTCGCCCTCTCCTGCCTCAACTTCAGACTCCGTCGGGTAATATAATACCACGAACCCAACGTCAGCAACGTAAGCGGCACAGCTATAACCACGAAAATCCAAAACTGACGCGATATAGTGAATATAGGGTTTGGATTATCGTCTCCGCTGTCAAAGTCGAAGAGATTCATCCCGAGGACGGTCTACGTCTACCGTGTTAGAATGGCTTAGTTGGGAGATGGGTAAACTCACCGAGACAAAACTCGCGGGGAGGTAGATGAGCGTCACGAGAGTGACGACTTTGACGGTGGCATTGTCGTCGATAGAGTCGTTTGTGAGTCGGAGCATTTGGTTGTTGATTTCGATGGTTACGGCTTGGTTTTTGAGGGTGAGGGAGACTGCGAGCTGGGCTGTGTTAGTATCTTCACTGAAGGGGAAATGTTGGGTATGTGTATACAAGATCCGAAATGCCCTGGATCTTCCGCTCAAGAACCCTGACGCTTTTCAAATGGCCCTCGAGGGTGGTTTTATGATATGACAATTCATCTGACACTTTTTGGAATTGGGCTTCCGTTGACAAGTCCTTGGAATGAACGAGGGTGTTGATATCCTCTAGCTTCGTAATGATGGTTAGAGCGACGCCTAACCGGGCAGGAAGAGGGAGAAGTTTATCGCCCAGATACTGCGGTTTGAGGAGTCTGATCAAACCGGCTCTACTGTCGTTTGTATTGGATGGATCGAGTGTGAGGGCTATATCTACCTGATAGAGTGTTAATCATGTTCTACATTGGACTAATTGGATTATCACTTACAGTCTTGTCGATTTCATCGCCTAGATTCCGAATACACCATCGCCAGTTACAGAGGTAGGAGAGCACGAGTAGATGCATTGTACACCAATTACCAGCATCATGACCGTGCTGCATGATACTTTCTTCGATCTGCTGTTGGATTGTGGAGTTTCGTTTCGCGTGTAGGAATATCCAGAGATTATTACGCCCTGATGGATCGAAGCGATGGAAGACGCCGATCTGTCGGATCGTCCAGGAGATGGTGGTTTGGGTTTTGTATTCTTCGGCGTATGCGAAGAGATATTGGATGACTGTGATATTAGCAAAAATAACTTATTAGGAAGTGTATAGACGTACCGTATGAACCATCCTCCATCCGTTTGACCGTCATCCCCCCATGTCCCGCATCTGAACTGCGCGGTTTATCGCCGAATGAAACGGCCAGATCGAAGAATCCAGTGTCGATTTCATATATATTCATCAGTGTTCGCATTGTCTTTTCGGTTATCCCGAGTGGCTGCATTGAATTCTGCGAGCATATTGAGACGATGCGAGAGCGGGGTTTGGGGGTGGTGGTTAGATGCGCGTCGAATATGTCGCTGTTGGTAAAAAGGGTTGAATGGGGTTTGTTTGATGCTGAAATGGTTAGAATTATCCCGGATAGAGGGAATGACTTACAATCATTCTCTGATAAGTGGATGTGGGCTTGTTCGGGTTGGGTGATGAAGGCTGGATGGCGGAGATGAGGGCGGATTGATTCGTAGTATGATGGTTCCATGTTCATTGTTAAGATGTATTCTAGGAGAAACTAAGAGATGGTAATAAATATATTGATATGCTGTATACAGCCACGAAGACTGCGGATACACTTCACTTCAGCCAAACACAGCCACGGATGCTACACGGATATAGATAATGCTAATTCACTCTGTCGGCTTCACGAAGATCACTTATCAACATCAGTCACTCATCTTTACACTATTAAGTCTTCTTACTCAAGTTCATACTGTCTATAATATCAGTAACTATAAAACCAAAGCATCAAGTCAACTTACATCCAAAACCTGCCTCGGAGCCTCAAACACCCATCTATCATTAATATGCTACACCACGTCAGCCGGGCAACCCAACCAGGATGGCAATCTTACACGGACTGCAATCATATACCCAAACAGACTGCGCAAACGGCTCTCGAGTCTCTCCTTTTGGATATACCCTGTCGCGTCGTGGTCGATGGCGTTGTGGACCAAGTTGCCCGTGGCTCGGCGAGTGATGGAAGCCATGTGAGCAGAAAAGACAAGATGACCGACTTACGATGAAAGGCTGTGACTAAAGAAACAAGTGAGGGTTCTGGATAAGAGCCTCAAGCGGGGTTGTGGTGAGGCTGTGAGCGAGGCTGATGCTATCCCCGTTCCCGGTATGGAGTGTGGTAGGTGGAATATCGATCTTGGAAAGTGAGCTATCGATCCATACATCGTCATCTGCTTTTTCATGATGCATGAGATGCGGAGAAGCGCCTGATTTGGGATAGATCGTCGTCTCTTTGTAGTGTGATTCGACAGCCTCGTCTATTCATCTCGTGTCCGGATAGAAGTGGCTGATACATCCCCAGATTAGTGGCAAACAAATGTTCCGGTCTGGTCCTTTTATTGAGTCCACTATGAAGCAAACGTGGTGTCATGGAAAAAGGAATATATTACTACGGGTATTTGATAGATTATCACAAAGGGAAATTACGCCTCACCCGGAAGACTCGGGAACTTTGTAGAAGTGAGGCTATAGTTGGATAGAAATGGTTTTGTATATATACCCAGTATACTTTGACGCATGACAGCAAATAAACACTTGACCTACAACGTAGCAATACGTAGGACAGCACATCAATGCAACCATGCAAAAGCCTCTTCACAGCCATCAAACACGACGGTGAGATATTCCACCATCCAGTATAGTACTCAGCCTGATTGCAGATTTCCACAGCAACCGCAATCCCCTCAAAGACAGAACCCCCGAAGAGCTCGAAGATGACGTCCGCAACTTCCATCAACGCCTCGAACTCGGCGACGTCCTCGATCTGGACCTCCTCCTTCGAGCAGCCCGCATAGCCCGCGATCCAACAGACCATGTTCCCGGTATCACGCCCGCAGAAGAGAAGACGATCAGGTCAGAGTCCGAGTCGGAGTTTTACCAGCAGACGAAGGATCTCAAGGTGACGATTCTGGCGATGGCCTGTGCGGCTATTACACAGTAGGTCTTTCATTCTGGGGGCTGTATACTGGTTAATGTGAGGCAGAGGATGGCAGCAGTCGACGATTAATGTGACTTCGATGGACTGGCAGATCGAGTTCGGTCAGACGGATAATGCGTTGTTGGCGGGGTTGGTGGATGCTGCGCCGTGGTTGTCGGGGAGTCTTCTGTATGTCTTTCTGCCTATGATAACTTATACTGATGAATTCAGTGGAACGTGGTTAAGTGATCCTCTTCAAGAAGGAAGATATGGTCGACGACCAGCATTGTTCATCTCTGCTATCTTTTGCGCTGCCTGTGTCCTTGGTATGAACCACTCTCGCTATACCTTCATATACTGACATTCAAAGGGAGTGCTCGCTGTCGAACATGGCAGCAACTTCTCGCCTGTCGCGTCTTACTAGGAATCGGCGTATGTCTACTTCTCTTTATAACAAGTATCTATCTACTGATCATACAGATTGGAGCAAAAGCATCCATCGCCCCCGTCTTCGCCGCCGAAGCAGCCGTCGATCACCTCCGAGGACGACTCTTAATGATGTGGCAGCTCTTCGATACTTTGTATACCCCCTTCTCATTCCACATAAACCCATCTAACGGCATTAGTGGCATCTTCATCGGCTTCGCCTGCGTCTGGATCGTCGATCGCAGCTGGCGCGTCCTCCTCGGAAGTGCCGCCGTCCCAGCCCTCATCCTCCTCTTCCTCGTCTTCGTCTGTCCGGAATCACCCCGTTTCCTTATTCGGAAGAATCGATACAAAGAGGCGTTTGAAAGTCTGCGTCATCTACGCAAGACGGACCTCCAGGCGGCGAGGGATTTGTACTATATCCATACGCAGTTGCAGATTGAGACAGAATTGCTGTTACAGACTACGCCTGCGCTGGGATACAATAAGCAGGTTTATCAGCAGGCGCTGTATGAGATGGGCTTCTTTCAGCGTGTTTGGGCGTTGTGGGTGAAGCCGAGGAATCGGAGGGCTTGTTTGGCTGCGTTTTTGGTCATGGCGGCGCAGCAGCTGTGTGGGGTGAGTTGATCGTGAGTGTACTATGCTATGTACTGACTATATTCAGATCAATGTTATTGCATTCTACTCGTCGACGCTCTTCAGCAGTTCTCGAAAACAGCCAGATCATCCTATCAGCCAAATGGCCAATGACCAAACATGCTGGCTGAACTTCGGTATGTCTTCTGTTAACACGAAAACCCTCAAGCTCATCTTAACTAGGTTTTGGTCTCTCCATCTTCCTCTTCACCATCCCAGCGTACAAATACATCGACGGACGAGGTCGTCGCATTCTCCTGCTGATCTCCCTCGTCGGTATGCTGTTCACCCTCCTCGCTGTCGGCTTCTTCTTCCGAATCACGAATGATGACCATCGCAATGGCCTGGTGGCAACCTTCTTGATTATCGTATTTACCTTCTTCTATGGCATTGGGGCTGGTCCGGTCCCGTTTACTCTCAGTGCCGAGGTATTCCCACTTGCTTTTCGGGGTGAGTCAAGTGAGGCCTTTCATAGGAACCTGCACTGACAGAATCGACAGAAGTAGGAATGAGCTTCAGCGTCATGATAAACTTCCTTGGTTTAGGCCTTTTGGTTCTCTTTGTCCCTAAATTAACCGAGGTTCTGGGTAAGGACTCGACGAATGACAATGAGTTGTATTTGAGACAGTCGCGTTTCGGACAGTCGAATCTGTTATTTCTGTTTACGTTAGTTTCCTTGTTCATGTTTTAATATGCTATGAATGGTCTTGCTGACATATCTTAGTGGACTAAATGCTCTTACATTTGTCCTCGTATTCCTTTTCGTGAGTTGTCAAAAACAACGTATGTGAGGATATGTTAACCATAAGCTAGGTTCCAAGTGGCACGGCAAGGGTCAGCCTGGAAGAAATGAATTTTATCTGTATGTCTCAGTCTGGCATCCATGCCAAGTTGATGCTGATATCACAGTCAATACAAAAACTTCGGTGCATGTCAAAAATCATATTCAGAGATTCAAGGAGGTTCTGTTTCGCCGAGATAAACCAGTGGATGATGAACAGTATGATATGAGGTCTCATGCAAGCCCTGTTTGATTGTCATATGAACAGTGATTATATTGGTAATATATAGATTGAAGAAATGATGAGAATTAAATATGATGAAGAATTGAACAACTAGGTATATCAATAGTCTCAACACGATTCATGATTGAAGAAAGTCAACATCATACGGAACAAGTCAAGAATCAAGACTCTTCCGATAAATTCGGCTAAATCGTCCAGTTTGGCGCCTCACTAGCATCTTCATTTCCGACGACATTCGGTGAGGAACAGGTCTCTCTCCATACTGAGCTTCGTGTTGAGCAAGCCGCTGCGCAAGTGGATAGTAATCTTCTGTCACCGCAAAATAAAGCGGCGTGAACCCTCTTGAGTCCGCCATGTTAACATCGGCCCCTCCCCCAAGCATTGCATCCAACTTGTCCCACCATGGAGGGTTGTTCTCATAGTTCTTGACAAGAGTAAGCAACGGTGTCTCCTGATTGGTGGTTCGATGAATGTCGATAGGCATTTTGCCGTGGAAGAGCCGGATCACCTCCCCTCCCAGCTTGCTCCAGGCAGTGTAGTGAAGACTTGTGTATCCATCTGAGCAACAGGCGAGAATGTTTGCTCCTGCTTTCAGCAAGGTCTCAGCTATATCAGGATAGCCGTGTCTGGCAGCCCTCATAAGGGGCGTGATGTCGTTCTTAGACCGGCCGTCGACTGAGGCACCGTATCCCAGTAGCAAGCTGACCATCTCATGGCTTCCAGCATCAGTGGCAAGCCGCAGAGGAGTGTGTCCATATAGGTCGGGGGTCTCGAGATCTAGCCATTGTCGCTGGTTCAGAAGCATTCCGATCGCCTGAAGATTGGCTACTCGAATAGCATGAATTAGCGGGCGATCATTTTCATGCTTATCTTCAACATCCACAGTCCCAGCCAGCATAGTTTCTATTCCTCTCGTGTCGTTTTTCTGAATTGCCTCCACGAGATACTCGACTGGCACTGTAGATCTGCCTGATGGAGGTTTGTATGGTGTGACATCACTTGGTGTATCTGATGGTGGTGGTGAAGTGGTCAGACTATATGAGCCCAGATCAGATGACGAGCTAGTATCTAGCTGATCAGCGAGACCTGTGAGATCGTGCAGTAGGCCGCAGACATTTTGCGCTGATGGCCTGTTATCTTTGTCGATGGCTAACATCGATAAAAGCAAGTCTCTGCATTCTTGCAAAAGCTGGCTAGAATAAGGCAAGCATCGCTCAGGAAGTTCGTTCAGCCATGCTTCGATATGTGGATTGAGAGCTGGAGGCGACCCTCGATGGAAATAATCATTCTCATAATCCGAAATCCCATCCGCGGCTTTAGACCTCTTCTCGTCCAGTCTCGCCAGCCCTTCATGCCCTTCCAGTTCGAGTGCCAGAACCCGGACAAGGATACACCCAAGAGACCAGACGTCACTGCGACGACCGTATTTCTCCCCTAGGCAGACCTCGGGTGACTGATATGGCCCTTTGAAGCGAGCTGGAGCAGTTACGTGCACCGTGTGAGTGAAATTATCGGGAATGCCAGCAGCATTGGATGGTCTTCTTTCCGGCTGGATAATGGTCGAGATACCAAAATCAGATATTTTCCATTTGCCCACTGGGTATTTATTCGCGCCCCCCTCCCCATAAAATACTAGTATATTGGCCGGCTTCATATCCCTGTGACAAAACTCTTTCACTGAGTCTTCGACTTGTATACCACTGTGCAGAAAAGCCAGCGCGCCGGCTAATACTGCTGCTTCGGCAAGAAGGTCTTTGAGAGTGAATGGTCTTGTAAACTCCCCTTGGAGAAATTTCTCAAGATCCATGTCAGCCAGCGAGGAAAGAACATTGCACTCATTACCGATGGTGATCGTTGCCAGGTGGGGAAGGATTCGGTCGTGTTGGCATAGGCTGGAGCGCAGCAAGTTGAGGTTTCTGGTTTCACGGTGAAAGTCCCCCCTTGTGATGAAACGTTTGCGAGCAACCTGGATGTCTTTCTGGATTATATCTTGTAAGCCTTGGCTGAGGATCACGACGTTGAAAGTTGTACCTTATTCAACAATCCTGGGTGCGCTGGTTCGAGATCAAAGTGCTCTCCAGCCACAATCTCTTTGGTGACCTTGCCATACCCCCCTTTCCCGATTATTTCTTCGTGTGTGTTGATGAAAGGAAGCCTCCATTCCTTGGATACGGGGCCGTTTTCCCCTTCTTTCAAATCCACTGGGCAAAAAGTGTATTGATTCTCGAGAAATCTTCCAGCCCACAGCCTTCCTAGATATGAGTTGTCCTCCAGTGTGGTCAATGTATTCGTAGGGATCATCCGGTCTGACCGGTCTCTGTTTCCTTGAGCGTCGAAATGGTCGAGAAATACCTGGCCAAACCGGTGCCATTCCGTCCAGCCGATATAAACCAGGATTGAGATGGTCTGGATAAATTCGTCTTTCACTATCGGAATACAAGGCTTTGGAACACCAAGTCTCATCAGATCGATAAACCTTTCCAAGCGACGCGAAAATGTCCAGATAGTTGTCAGGCTGCTTCGCGTCACGAAGCTTTCCGCTGGGATGTGCCGCTTGTGGATGGTATCACTGAGAGCAAGGACCAGCTCCTCTCGAAGCTCAGCCTTCCTCTTGGAACGGGAGAACATTGTCCATAGGGGGTCGACAAAGGGGCAGAGTTGTTGCAGAGTGAATACCAGCTTCTTCTAGGCAGCGACACGGGCAGTCATGAGCGGAATGAAAGATGAACAGTGTTGTGTCCGGGTATGTCTGCTGCAAATATCCATGGGGGCTAGTGTTGTTCTGATGGCAGGCTCGGTGGTGGATGGGCCAAAAGGAAGGAAGCAAGAGGGAAGACGTGAGATGGAGGGAAGATGGGGGATGGTGACAACTGAGGCTGACTCTTGGGGATATCTCCATCCATGTGACCTGCTGCTGCCAATGAATACCCCACACTCTGGCGCCTCAGCCACAGCCTCATTTCCCCATGATTCATTAATGGATAGACGGCCAAGTCCTGCACCTTCCGAGTGTTTCCGTGAATTCAAGTCCAAGTCTCAGCGGCACTGTAAACCCCATGGTTACCTCAAGTGTCAGTTTTCTAGTCTGTGAGGTCATCTGAGTTCCCCGCAAATATATATAAACACAAAAGATGCAGGTCCCTCAGTCTGAATCACACATAAACAGGCATACTAAATAAATCTCTTCGCAAATAATACGATCCTTTGATCCTCAGTCGTATTCATATCTGCAATTTTGATAAAAACCGAAATTTCCATTTGTACGACTCGATTATAGCAAATCATCATCGTCTGTCGGCGATAAGATCTGTCTTAGATCCGACCCAGCCAATGGATCCACTATTCACACCTTTCCAAAAGCAGCAAAACCTCTACAGTTCCACTATAGACAGTGATATGATGGAGATAATCTGAAAGGTATATATATCATGCCTTCACCATAATCTAGACTTTAGTTCATCTTAATCCAGTTTCAAAATGCCCTTCAAAAGCTCCCCAGCATTTGATGAATGAATATCTATGGACACGGGTACATCATCCGCCAGCGGTGCTGCCTCAATTGCTTCAGAATCAGGTCCCGATCAAAACGGCTATCCTTCTCCAAGTTAGATATCAAGCGCTCGAGCCTGTCAAATCGAATCCCACGAGACTCCAAAGCCTTCAGGATTATCCGAGTGACTACACGGCCACCGTCAAAAGCAGCCCAGTGAAGAGGTGTTTTGTTATTGACATCTTTCAACAGTGGATCGGCCCCACGGGCGAGCAATTCCTCCACAACTGTTTTATTCCTGTGTTGAGCTGCCCAAGACAAAGCTGTTCGGTCAGATTCGTCCATCATATCTATTTGAGCGCCCCTGTCCAGCAATAGCTTCACAACTGCACGGCCCTCATCCGTGCCTTTGATTGCTGGAATTATGATTAGGGGACGGTCTTTGTGGAAACCACTGGTGGCTTTGTAATTCACGTCGAAGCCGGCGTCGAGAAAGAGGTTGATTACATCTGTATTTAAGCCACACACGGCGTTCACTAGAGCAGGATGGCAGTCGACGTTTTCAGGACGAAAGTCTACGCCTCTGCTAAGCAATAGCTGGATAATCTCTGGTGTACTGGACTCTGCCGCTAGATCAAGGAGGTTCTGTACTTGATAGGGTCCTCGAGTGGGCGGTTTGAGAACCGGGCTTAGCTCTGTTGCATCAAGAAGCATTCGAATAACTGCAGAGTTGCCATGGTGTATAGCCTGTTCTAAAACAAACATCCCACGATCACCACCCTTGTCGGGGTTGGCGCCTCGTTGCAGCAGCAGACGAGTAACAGCTTCATGTGGTGTAGCGAAGTAGAGAGCCCCCGAGTCGCATGAACCAAGTGTAAGCTTGCCCTCTCGGTCCAGGATCTCCTCTAGAAGCGACACGTGGTTGTTAGTTGATGCCTTGTAGATCGTGAGGGTGACTGCATGATCGAGCTTCTCGGGGTATCGATCAACGATAGAATCAAGTAACATTCTGACCACTTTGCTGTGCCCATTTGTTGCCGCGCGGCTTATATTAAGCTCGCCATGGTAAGCCTGTAGCGGGTAATATCCAGCCTCCAAAATTCGCTGAAGCATATATTCATTACCACACGCTGAGGCAACGATGAGCAGCAATTCCAGATCATCTCCACTGCTAGTTTCGATCTTTAGGTCGACATCAATCCGTTCTAATAGCATCGCGGCCATTGCTTCGGCCTTCTGGTCCACTATATACGCTAGTGAGGGTGCATCGAGTCTGTCCTGAAGGTCCGTATATGCACCACTGTCCAGCAAGAATGAAACAATCTCTTCTTGGTTATTTGCAGCAGCTCGTATGAGCGGCGTCATTTCGTCATCGTCTTTGGCTTGTGGATCAGCACCAGCCTCCAGTAGATATTTCACCACATCGACATTCCCGCCAGATGCCGCCCATGACAATGGAGTACGGTCACGAAAGTCCCGTGAGTTTAGTCCACATTTGGCTTCTTCCACCAAAAACCGGACAGCAGCTAATGATCCTCGTTCTGCCGTGAAGCTCAACGGCGCCCTTCCACTTTGCAATCCTGGAAGGTATTGAATCGCTCCCCGGGAAAGCAACAACCTAGCCACTTCGAAGTGCTCATTCAACGCTGCCAGCATCAGAGGGCAGTAATCATCATATGCAGTTTGCATGTCAGGAGAGAGTCCAGCCTTATCCAGCAGAATCCGGACGATTTCCAGGTATCCTTTCTCTGCTGCATATGAGATAGGAGAGAGGGCGGCAGTGGAACATAGCTCATCTATATCCGCGCCTGACTGTACTAGCTTTTGTAGAGAAACATGATTGCCGGTTTGCAGCGCGTGGTATATTCTTCTGGCGTCGCAATGCTTGGCGAAATCTGAATAAAGACAGGGGTTGATGAGAGTGTAGAGAAACCGGCAGGTTTGTGACAAGGAATTAATTTCATCTGCATATTCTAAATATGGGGGTATGAGTTGGAGGATTTCGTTTGGTAGCGATAGAAGATGCATCTTGGTTTGTTGTTCTTGGCTTCGATCTGATTCTCCGTCGATCTGCTTATATAGTGAAAGTCACATGACTTGTATAGCAGTGGGCTGTGCAAAATTTATCAGTACATGAATCCCATTCTTTTGATTGTTATTCTATAATACATTATTAACATTATTAATAGAAGCTTAAGCATATTCTTTGCAGAAAGTAACCATCCCTCCACCAATATCCGGATCGTGGATTTACAGAAACACGGCAGCCAAAGCCACAGCAGCACCCCCGGTCAAAATAACAGCTTCTCCTGTGACATGTGCAACGCCTCCAGTGCTAGTGCTGGTAGTCGAAGAGTTTGAAGAAGAAGCAGTAGAACCACGGGTAGACGTCTCGAAGCTTCCAGAACTTTCAGTAGACTTGGCGGTCGTAGCCGAAGTGGCAGTGCTTGCCTCAGTCGTAGCCGTGGCAGTGGCATCAACACTAGTAACAGATCCAGCAGTGACAGTCACCGGCAGGAGGGAAATGTCACTTTTGTCATACGATGCAGTGCTGACTCCCGGGAAATTCGCTGCAGATCCGCTCGCCGACTCCGTGCAGACAGCCGTGGTTGTTCCTCCAACAGAGCAGATCATTGTCCAGTGCCTATAATGGATGTGTATTAGCAAGATTTCTATTCGATAGAAACCATATTCAACTCACATGTCATCAATTGGGTCGTCCATCACCTGTTTGGTCGTTGTAGGGCCAGCGATCAAGGTGAGACCCAGGCCCATGCCGCAGTCCGAGCCATCAGTGCCTGGGGGACAATTGATGCTGTATGTCGTTGCAGTAGCATCCTACGCATCGGTATTAATTGATGATCGTCAATGTCAGACAGGAACGGTGGAGAACTCACGTTGCCCACGATTGACGCTGCCAGTGGCTGTGGGTCTGCCTGGGGGATAAACATGGAGATCACGGTAGACTCGGCGGAGACTAGACCGGCCAAAAAGAGGCCAAGGAGTTTGCGTGTCATTGTGAGTTGGCGATAGAACAAATCGATAGAGGAAAAAGACGTGGAAAGAAGAAGCCGGAGAGATGAAAATTTCTGGGAATTGATGGGAATTTGAGGCGAAAAATTCCAATCAAAGGGAGTGTCTAGTCTAAAGACTAAATATAAATCTGGGCGGACCCTGGATCCAGCGTTCTAGACCAGGTTTTTAGCGGCGGTAGATTTAACCAGCCATAGCAGTGGAATATTCGAGATTATTTGATATTATACAGGCGAAATTAGTAGGCTCAGATACAGTGTTATCTTTATTCATCTTATCTCATTTGCCCTATACATATGCCGCACATATATATGTCGATCAAGTAACGCAGAAGATATTGGGACGAATGTCTAAAACTCATGTGTGCGGATCTAGCCGAGTCACGTGGAAGTTAGATCGCCAAACCCGGCTGTCTGGAGCCATGTTATTCCGATCGCTGCCTGAGGCATGGATTGCCATTGAGGCTGCAGGACGACGAGCAACAACACTTCTTCTATCTCGCTTTTCAACCAACACGACCTCAACGTCTCGGTTATCCTTTGAATATTGACCAGGGCTGGTGTAAATGTCGAATATGTGTCTTTCAGATCGTCGGGCCGTTTGAAAAGAACACACAGGCGACACGGACGTCAATGGCCGCTTGACGCCCTATGAGTGAAATCAAGCACCGGTCAAAATGCTGCGAGAAAGAGTTTCCAAAACTTGCACCAAGTGCAAGTCACGGAAAGTGCGTTGCATAAGTATGTCACACCGCGGAAAAAAAGCAATTTCACTCCACCTAACGGCGCGCAGGGTCCAGAGAATCGAATTCAAAATGTGTGAACTGCTTGGTGCGTCGAACCGGGAGGCAAAATGCCACGCACTAGACTGATGATGTCTCAGAAACGAGGAGATGACTGCGATTTTAGGCTATCCAAGAGGAAATTCCTGGATTCTGAAAGCCCTCCCGCCTCTAGAAGCCTCAGTCATGAGCGCGTGGAGCCGAACGAGCATTCTCAGTCTGTATTAAGCTTAGGTCTGTCTTCCACCTAGCCTCTCCTGACTTGGTATTTTGCTGATGGTATTTAAGATGAGCCATCCGCAGTGTCTTATAATGGCACTGGATATGAGAATCCTGATCAGTATTCCCTCTATGTAGATGAATTGATCGAGGATCACCGGGCTACTGGGAGGACTCACCATTTACATCCATTCTTCAAGGTATGTACTGCTGACCCAATAGTGTCTCAATCTTCTCATCATAACTCAATAGGCCCATGAATGCTATAGTAAGAGCCTTTCCTCAAGCGTGGACAACACATTGCTAATATTTCGCCAATAAAGTCGGCAGTGCAAGTGTAGGATATTTTTCTGAAAGTCGAATACAGGCACTAGCGAATCGACTCGGTCATAATGGCGTTGAAACACTTCTAGAAAGAATTTTCCTGGTTGTGGAGGGCCGGTATGAACGCCATAGCCAAGACCGGCCAGGGCCTGGGACCGGTCAACTATGGGAAAAACCTGGAGGTTCCCCCGTAATCTCTGAGACTACGAAAAGGCTCTATCTAGACTGTGTGTTTTATTTGAATAGACGTGGAAGCTACGAAACTGACTTCACAAGCATACTTTAGTCAAATACACCCGGTCTATCCTTTTCTAGACCGACGGGTCTTTGAGGAAAGGGCTTTGAGCACCAATCTCCCATCTGCTCTCCTAGCAGATACTTCATGGTCTGCTTTGTACCACGCTGTCATCGCCTTGGGCTGTCAGTATCATGACGGTGGTGCCTTCGAACCCGGAAAAGGCGAGTCTGCAAAGTTCTTCCAAGTAGCTTTAGGCTCCTTCCCAGAAATTGTCGTTGGCCCAAAGACACTAGAGAGTATCCAGGTCTGTGCGTTACTATTTCTTAATTGATTCTTGACTAATCTTGACATAGGCAATCACCGCGATGGTAAGTAAATTGCAAGCTTCGGAGTTCATCTCGAAGCCAGTTGACTAACCAAAACAGGCCATCCTTTCTCTCAACTTTTCTTACATGCACATAGATGGACTGCTTATTACAGAGGCTGCTCGAATAGCACAGCGCATGCGATTAAACTCCGCTTCAAATTACGCGGACCAAAATACCCGATATCGAGTCTTCTGGGTCATTTATACTTTGGAGAAAGCATTTTCTTTCAACCAAGGCTCGAGCTCGGTAATTATTCTCATCTATACTCTCCAAATTGGCACGCCGTTAACATGCCTTCAGGTTATCATGGACTCGGACATAGGCTGCCCGATCCCCACCGTTCCCGAGTCCATTTTTGGCGACTTCAACTGGCTGCTAGCATCCGTTGGTCTTGCCCGCCTTCTTTCGAGGGCATATCAAACACTATTCTCTATTACCGCAACCTGGAACACAGAAGCTTCGTACTATGCGAAAATAGATAATATGAACGATCTTCTCGAACGTTGGCGACAGTCAATACCACTTGTTTTCCGGCCTGGGGAACCATTCCGAGCCCAATCGTTCCATAGTTCCTGTGAGACATATATTGCTCTGCGGACACATTTCTTTTACTATGACGCACGTATTGCACTTTGTCGGTTGACCCTACACCTAGGCAGAAATGATGACGGTCCACGCCAAGTCAGCTGTAAAAAGGTGATAATGCAAACATCACGGTCGATCATTGAGCTACTGCGCTATATTGACATGGAGCCTTACACACCAGTTTTGTAAGTATCCTTGCTGTCTGCTGCACAAATACCCTGACCAACATATTCAGCATTCTTGCCCATTTACCTCTGTCGGCGCTTTTTATTCTCTTCGACCTTGTCATCCATAATCCAACGCATAATGAGACGTCCAGCAACCTTGCTTTATTAGAGGTTGTAGGAGGGCACTTTAGTCGGCTTGAATACTCAACTGGCGGCTCAGTACCAAGTTCAATACTGTCTGAGTTTGCTTACATTGCTCGAACCTTTGTCCGGAATTATCGGTCTGGACAGCATAGACAAAACACCGTTCCAGATTCGATGGGCAGCATGGTCAGTAATGACACCTTGCAAAATCATCAAAACATCCTGAACACAAATATTCCCATGCTACAGAATCAGGTAAGTGTTCTCTCTTTCGGTGAAACTTTTGCACGCCAGTAACATCTTCAGGTTTCTGGGCAGCCGCCCATCATAGCGGCTCAGGATCATACTTCTCTATTCCTTCCTACATTTGACACCATGCCTACCGACGATGGGAGCTTTACTGGATTCAACGTTACCGATCTGTTCGGGGGCGTCGTTCCTTCCAATCAGGATTTCTTCTTTGAGCCTGCTTAAGTCCTCCTGTTTCTTGGGCTTCTACTCCGAGTTGCTCATACCTTTCTCGGTCAACAGCTGTGAGTATTATGAACAGGCTGGTTCATTCAGGATGCCAGAAGCGCGGAAGATCTTCCTTGCAGGAACATGCAAGAAGGAGGTGCAGGCTCCTATCTCATCCCAGCAACGTAGCAAGAAAAAGATGGTATGTCCATATGCAGCTCATACGAGCGGGATATTCGAAATTCTAACATGCGAAAGAGAGAAAGGGGGCTAGTAATTATTGGATACGCATGCCATGGTGTTGACTATGGTAATTAGTTCAGGATCACGTCTACAGGAGGGTAGGTCTCCTATCCTAGCATTGTTGTTATGGCTTCAGGCTGATGCTCCAGTAGTCCATTCCAACAATATTGCAGGGAGCTTCATTCAAAAAATCCAGACGATTCAATGTGGGAAACACTTGAAGACCTTATTCGGCACTATAGATGTTCACATCGCCGAGTTCGTATGCAGCTGGCCAAAGCTGGGACAATTATATCATGGACAGGCACCAACCCATAGTAAATTACTAGCATCAACAACTCGAATCGATAATTGAATAAAATCATATATATCGCTCTAAGCTTAATTCCATTATAACTTATTTTAGCTCAAGAGTATGATCACTGTTAGATCTGTACTAGTGTCGCACATACGATATGGAAGGTTCAGATCGGCCAAAATCTCCGAAGAGCTGTCAGAAGTACGGAGAATATAGTGAGTCTTGCATATTGAGCGAAACGTTACACTAACCATTGACGAACTTTGGTGTCACTACTCGCAATTTCTATCGCGGATCTACCGTCTGGATATATATCTCTACTCACAAGAGCCAAGCACTTGGCAATGTCCGTACGGATAGATATACTTTCCCACACAACATGCCGATTGCAATTCCATAAATAAATAACTCTCGATTATCGCATTTCATTGCTTTTTTTCTCTTGGCCTTTCGACCGATTACCACATTGGGTATTAGTTTGCGACTCGGTCTTCGGTATTCGCTGAGTCACCGCAATTTGGCCCCATCTCGGCGCTCGGTCATCGGTGCTGGCCCTGCTCCAGCCCGACCAAAAACAATTAAAGGACCAGGTATTTTCTCTGCCTGGAATAAGACGGACTTGCTCAGCCCTGGTGTTAGACTTTTTTTTTCGGCTGTCAGATTCATCGTCATTGGCGTGTTGATTTCATAATGTGTAGCCTGATGGAGCCCGAACGGGTTTGGTTTCCCCTGGTGCCTATACATACATATATCCAACGTCTCCCTGGACTGATTTAAACGCTTCTTGACGTGTCACTTCATTTTTATTGCGATAACGATAACGATAACAATACTCCGATACGATCTTCCAAGATGGAGGGAATATCCACAGAGGATCTCAAAAGCTCCTGCTATGCCCTAATCCCGGGCCTCGAAACGTCATACGGGTATAAGCCGTCGCTGGCTGCGGGAATCGTTTTCTGTGTGCTGTTTGGACTGTCAATGCTCTTGCATACGGTACAGTTCACCTGGTCTCGGAAATGGTGGTATTCGGTGTTTGCAGTCGGGTGTTTGAGTATGTTTCCATCAGCGTACTGGCTACGGTTTGAATATCTGCTAACTGCTATGGTATAGCTGAGGTCCTGGGCTGGGCAGCACGAACATGGTCTTCAGAATGTCCGTATAATGGAACTGCCTTTCTGATGCAGATATCCACCTTGATTATCGGTTCGTCAAGTCCGCCCTAACACTATAAAAACACCATCTAACACCATCACCAGCACCCACCTTCTTCACAGCCGGCATCTACGTCGTCCTAGGCCAACTCATCCGCATCCTCGGCCGCGAAAGTTCCATCCTCCCTCCCAACATGTACCTCTGGATCTTCTGCACCTGCGACGTCATCTCGCTCGTCGTGCAGGCCATCGGCGGCGGCATGGCATCCTCAGCATCCAACGACGTAAACGGCAACACAGCGCCCGGCACAAACACGATGGTGGCGGGAATCGTTTTCCAACTCGCCTCGATAACAGTATTTGTCTTTTGCGGGCTCGACTTCCTCAACCGCTGTCGCAGACCGCATCTGCAGAGCCGATTCACGTCCAAAATGCGCATGTTGGTCGCTGCGACTGCGTTCTCGGTCGTGTGTATCTACGTCCGCAGCATTTATCGGACGATTGAGCTGCTGCAGGGCTGGAAAGGGTATTTGATTACCCATGAGTGGTTTTTTATTGGGTTGGATGGGATTACCATGGTGTTGGCGGTTGTTACGTATAACTTCTTCCATCCGTGGTGGTTTCTTCCTGAGGAAGGGAAGTCGTCTAAGGAGGAGGGAGCGTATCCTTTGACTGATGATGGGGATTATTCTGCTCGTAGGGTTTAATTTGTGGGGGATGGTGCTTTTGCTACTTATTTGCTATAGACGGTTGCTATATCTCAGTCTGATTTCTATATTATAGAACTTGCTTACTTGCTTGATATTAGGCTATATATTGCTATGCTAATTGGATAAGATTCATAAAACATTATTCAGTGCCCAATAAACAAGACTGGGGCAATGGCGCAGCTGGGAGCGCGTTAGACTGAAGCGTCAACTTCAGTAACAGGATTACTCCGTTTATCTAAAGGTCGCTGGTTCAAACCCGGCTTGCCCCATTCTTTTTTGCTTTCTTTCTTTTTTGCTCAGCACCAAACCAAACGTATTACATTAGACTTCAAAATTATTTAAAATAAACAGTTCCACTACCCAGAAAAGACGTACATGAATGGCCCGTCAACACTCAATTGAATTCTTCGTGGGAAGCTGATATCCCATCACTCATTCTCATGACCTTGCTTTCTGCGCAGCCTTGTATACAGACCCTCGACAGAAGCCTGGTTGATATCACCGGAAGGTGTAGCATCCAGCGCTTCTTTGACAGCAGCAACAGCCCGGTCAAGATCGTGCTTTTCCTTCGTCAGAGCTTGATGAAGAAAGTGAAAGTATGCGGCTTTTTGGAGGAAGCTAAGCCTGATGCTGAAGTTGACGGATAGAGTCAGGCATCTTTCCATGACCTCAAGTGCCCAATTGGTGTCGTCAACATTGTCGGTCATGTAGCACTTCGACATGAGCACGTTTGAAAGGTCATCGAGAACTTGATACTCCCGTGGATGACCTTCTGGTAACGCGTCAATGGCCTCTTCAGCAAGCCTAGTAGCCTCATCAAGATCTTCCATTTCTTCTGTGATGTCGTATCGCTCACTCAAATAGCATGCTAACCGGCACAGATATAGAGGTCGGTCAGGGTCTTGGGCCGGTGTGCATTCGACAGCTTTCACAGAGTCATCGATGGCTTGGTTGATATCCTCCATTCGCTTGTCGTCTCTGAATTGATAGTTGAATGCACATGCGCGTGTATGCAGAGTGCGAGGCCGGTCAGGGTGGCCCGGTGGTGTGATGGCGACTGCTTCCTCCGCAACCTGGATAGCTTGCTCAAGAATGAGAGGATCACGAACTTTTGTTGCCTTGCGCCTTAATCCCATACTCAAAATGGCGAGCCTTTTTGCAAATTTTGGATGATCGTCGGGTGTTTGCTCTCTGACTTGTTCGGCCAAAGTGACTCCATACTCGAGGTCAGCAGTCCCACCGTGCATGTTTTCGATTCTGGTAATGAGGCTTTGGCCCAATGCACTGAGGATATCAATGCGATCGGGATATTCCGATGGCAGAAATCCGACGAATGCCTTTGCTTCGATATGAGAAGCCAAGGTGGAACAGCAGAATATCGACACGGCGAGATCCACCGGCATCTCAGGATATTCGACGACCATATCAGTGAGTGTTTTTGTCTGCTCTTGACTTTCCTCTGGCCCATGACTGTTGATCAGATGGATGATCCACTTGGAGAATGCATAATCTCCAAATGCAAACGTTGTCGTACACCACTGGTGATAGACGGCCATCGTATATGAAGGAGCATCTATACACTCTTGAACACTCATGAACTTCCCTTCTTTTATAAAAGAAAGCGACAAGTACTTAATGCAGCTTTTCGCAATAGTCTGTTCACAAGATTTGATGGAAAAATCACCCAACCAACCCACTTGATCATCAAATTCACTGGACAGGAGGTAATCCTTGACCGTCTGGTGGATGAAGTAGATTCGGTCATTGTAGATGTCAAAGCAGAACCCACACGCTTCAAAGATCCATTTCTTAAAACTCTCCGGAGACTGTAGCTTCATCTGATCTTCCGTTTGACAAGAGGAGTAATCCTTCAAGTGGAGGATCAATGCAATGTTCATTTCCCTCAATGTCAATGGCCTCGCCGCCGCCAGGACGATCTTGAGCATCGTCCTCACCTTGAAGTGATTATTCTTGCGAACGTCTCGCAAAAATGCCCCATAGGTACTTGGAAGATCGTCTGGCAATGTTTGAAAAATGTCCAGCCAGTCTTCGGAGCTGACTTGCCGGCCTTGTCTCTCGAGGTAGTCGAAGAGCAATTGCACAAAAAGATATGTACGATCACGGCCTGCCTCCAACCGATCAAGAAGCTCCTGCTGTGTGTCTTCATCAATATCCTTATCTTTGGAGAGTTTCTCAATATGGAAGTTGGTCACGTCGGCAATATCTCTGCTCAGAGATTCACGGCAGCCGGGGTCATCGTCCCAGTTCATGATGGAGGCTTCCTCAAACTCCTGGAGTATATCGGGCAGAGGACGTGTAGTAAGCAGGAACCTCACTCGCGAGGTTGGAAAAGAAGAATGGTAGTTTCTCAATGCCTTGATCAGTGGTTTTACTTGATCATGATCACATTCATCAAGTGCATCCAGAACAACGACCACACTACCATGACTGGTGTCCTGGACTGCAGCATTAAAGAGAGACCAGAATTTCCTCGAGTCAAGCTGTATGTCATGCGTGTCTAACCGATCGGCCCTGTCGCTCACTGCATCAAGTGTGGAACATTGCTTGAGAAGCTCATATATGATCTTGCACAGAGCGGTTCTCGGGTTGGTATGTCCAGTGCGGTCCATGAAGAAGAAAGAACAGATGCTGGTGGGCTTGTATTTCGGCAACTCCTCCAGCAAGTGCTTTGCGAGAACGGACTTGCCAGTTCCAGGATGCGCAGTCAACACCAATATACCTCTTTCCGCGTCCGACCATTGCTTGAACTTGGAATGGTGAAGAACGCCCTGACCGGTCCCGTCATGCGGACTAGAAATCTGACTGATATGACTTGCGTAGATGTCGAGATCGAGATGCGAGGGATCGGGCTTGAACTTATCGACGATCTCTTTTCTTCTCTGGGAGATGGCTGCCTTCGCATTCTGTTCCATAAGTTTGCTTTGGTTATTATTGGAGTCACGGATCTCCTTCAGGATGTCGGTCTGCTCCTGCGAGGAAAGGCTGAGAATGTCTCTGATCTCTTGAATCCTGTCCCCCATGGCGTCGAATTTGTGTTGGAATTTCACCTTGTGGTAAGTTGAGATATAACCGTTGAGCTGCTGTTCAGCATCCTTGATATCCTGGATCATCTTCGCCCAGTCATCCCATTTCACGATATTCCTCGCAATGGTAGTCTTGGAGTGATGGGCTCGAACACTTCGTAGCTGGTATTCAATTAGGAGCTTATATAGCTTCACGATTTCCTTTCGGATTGTTGATTTGAGTTCGTGGAATTTCTCAGGGCTGTTCCAAGCATCCGCATCGAGAAGATCGATTAGTTGAGTATACCACGGCAATATGGATATCACATAGTTGAGTCCAGCTTGATTGGCATCAGTCTGCTCGACATTATTGACAATGACCTGTATAATGTCAGTGCAGATTCTATCGTCGATTCGTGCGGACTCACTGGGACGACAATCAGACAAGTCGCCGCCCAGGCTATCGATGCAGGTGGACACGCTGAGACTGCCGAATCGACAATAGCTTTGGTCTTCTGGATAGAGGATGAAACAATTGAGATGATCTCCCGGCCAGTCGATGACTTGTTGGTTTCTTCCAGGCCTTTTTCAACTAATGCGTCAACAAGCGCTTGACGGTCTTTTTTATCCAGGCGCGCAAGGTCGCTGGCTATATTGCCTTTTTCTGTTCAAAATCAGCATCCATATATAATCAGAGAAAGCAATAGTACGTTGCTCACCGTTACCATCACTGTCATCACTATTCAAGGCGCGCTGACTATCTGAACGCAGATCACGCAGTTGCGACCGAAGAATCTTCTCATATTCATCAACCAATTCCTTCTTCGAGGCATCATTTCTCAGTTCGTCGTATGCGTCATCCCAGATCTCCTTTGCAACAAGTGTCAAATCCTCGTGGGTGTCTTCTTTCTCTGCAAGCTGCGGCTTCTCCTCGACTGATGCGGGGGCTGACTGCAGACCTGCAGAGGATGACTCGGAGTGTTTTTGGCGATCATTCACAGCAGAGGTAGGAACTTTCCTCTTTCCCTTCCTTTTTAGAAACTGAAAGCAGTTGCAGAGAGCCATCTTTGGCACTTGTGGGTTTGCCTGAAAGTCCGAGATGGACAGAGGGGAGAGCAGGTGCTGTCAGCTGACAGTTCGGCCTTAGGCTGTGATGGATTGCAGCCATCACAAACATGCCGTTTTCTGTCCAATCAGATGTGAAGCTACTTTGTATAATCCCTGCTAAATGTTGGTGGATTTGGTGATTTGATTGGTGGCTGATTACTCCGCTATCAAAGATTGATAAGAATAAGGTAGCTCTTCAAGTATGGTTTATTGATAGGCCTTGACCGCTAAACTAAATAACTGATCAAAGCTACTCTGTGCCTTCTGCAATTCATTCTGATACACTGGAACTGCATCAATGACCAATGCACCCAGGGACTATATTGTCAATAAGTCAATATTATGGCTAAGGTACTAGTAACCACTCACCTGAATAGCCTTTTCGGATGCCTTGAGAGAATCCGCAATCTCGTTTCTCCAAGGCCACTCGAGATCTTGTTTCTCTATTAACCGCTCGAATATTTCTTCGTAGTTTATAACAACCTAGCTCATTAGTATACATACACACGCTGAGAGAGCTGGTATACCCTATCAAAAGCTTCAAAAATGGCCCTCTGTTCTTGATCCGAGTATTGCTTCTACTGTCAGCTAGATACCAAGATTTATAGCAGTATACTTACAGAGAACTGCATCTGCCCTGTATTCTTGTGAACAGTGTTTGCAGTATCGTGGATAGAGGATATCAACGGCAGGGCATTTCGAATGGTCGAATCATCCAAAGTAGCTATGAGTAGATTCTTATGGTCGACAGTTAGGTCTTTGGATAATCTCCCGAGTATTTCGCAAACACTTCCTACTGTCAGAATCATTTTGATGAACTGGAATGATTGTCTTCTGGTATAGCTAGTAGAGTAGGAGTGTCTGCAATTTATAATATGTCCGTAGTCTTATTACAATAGAATTTAACTTTCACGTCATGATAAGTCCCTTGCTGACCTTTCATCATCCACTGATCAGTATACGTATTGATCGGCTGAGACATTAACAATCATAATACCAAAGTACATATCTGCGCAAGCTCTAACTTTATACTCGCGGCCCAGAGGTGGGAATGTCATGATAGACTTTGTGCAGAACGCCTCTCAAGTAATCATGCTGTCAACTGTACAACATTTGTGATCTTCAGACGAAAAAGATACTCTGTACAACATGTCATATGCATGCCTTTTGCTGTGACAGTTTGTACGACCACAATAACTTTAAAATCGCGGTCAGTTGGCGCATAAAGATGCACAGTTGCCTTCAGGCGGGATATTACCGTATATAGTAATCGTCCCGATATATCTTTTTTGTTCTTCTTCAGGCAGTATATGTTGCTCTTCTAAGAATAATAAGTAGGCATCATCTATTTGTCTTCAGATACAATAAATTAGACACGGAATATAAAAACTGCAGACATAACATCAAATGACATCATCATTATGAGCGGACCAACCTACCCAAACAGGAAATCTGCCGCCATCAAGAAAACAAAATCTGATCAGGGGTTTTGACTTCTTTCTTCCATTTACAGTTATCACTTTCACTCTGACATCTTCAAAATGCTCAATTTGTACGACTGCAATCCCTAGATGAACCAGCCGTGCTAACATGCCGCAGCTACCGAACCCAATTGGCCCGTCGGCCCTTGCTGACGCAGTGTATCACCACTGCTGTATGTCGCAATGCAGCCTTGATTACTGAGTACTGCTAATACAATATAGAGTCTGTTCATCGCAGGCGATGGTCTAGCCCAGCACGTCTTTGAAAAAAATGAAGAACCCCATGATTTTGCACGCACAGCGCGAATGGGCGTTTACGGTGGCGGTAACCATCCATCCATCCCATCCCTTCATGTAAATAATACATCCATACTAACCACAAAAAGCAATCTTCGCCCCAATCGCCTCAACCTGGTTCAAGTTCCTCTCGACAAACATCAACCTCTCCACGTCGCTTCGGACCGGCGTTGCGCGCATGGCCACCGACCAGATCTTCTTCGCGCCAATCGGTATCTCCATCTTCTTTGCCTCGACATCAGCGATGGAGGGTAAGGATCCCGTGGAGAAGGTGAAGACGAGTCTGTTGCCGACGTACAAGATGAATTGTATGTTGTGGCCGTTTGCGCAGTTGATGAATTTCACCGTCGTGCCGATGCAGCATCGCTTGTTGTTTGTTAATGTGGTTAATTTGGGTACGTCTTCTATCTTGGGGTGCGGATTTGGTGCTGACATTGATGACCTTTAGGATGGAGTGGTGTTTTGAGTTCGATGAGTGCGTGAGATAGATGGATAGATAGATATAGATTCTTCAATAGATTGTTATCCAAGAAACCTGGTCCATGTAAACCGAATACGAGCTGACTCACCATATCTGTTACATATATCCTCTTACGGAGGAATGGTCGGTACGATATACATAATATCGTGTTTAGAGTATACTAATGCCGTAGAGTTGTTGCCAGGGTACTACATCCCGTCTTTCATACAACTGCCGGATCACGACATACTGAACTCAAGGTGAATCGGAAAACGGATCCCCGGAGATAATTCGGTCTTTCAGTTCGGATCAATACGTGGCGATTGATGGACAGCCAGAATTACAGGTTTGTTTATGGATTCACATACAGAATGGAACTAATAAAGATAGGTTTATCTTCACCGTCCACTGCATGAATTGTCTACATTCTTCAAAGCCGGTCTGGTAATGGATGCCCTGGAAGAGCCTACGTTTGATAAAAGTGCTACTCGGGAAAGATAGATGCAGTTGAAAACTTTCGAGAGATGCCACATGGCATTTCGGATGCGAAAGACAGATTTGTTCAATTAGGCAGTATGATAGTCATTCTCATCATTAGATGCAGCCAGATATAGCAACGCAATATGAGCAGCCAGCTGCAGTATGCCGAAATAATAAACCCAAACTTTTAATAAACCATTCCAAAAATGCAATCAATCAGTCGCTAATGCAGATGAGATCAGGTAGATCATCATGCCATGAGATGCGCTCCGTTTCCAACACGCTCCGTGTCAAGCAGGGAATATCCCCAGTCCCATCCGTCAAAGTAGCCAATTGTTCGTTCGAGGTCGTTCTGCGCAGTCCAGGGTTGGATTCCGTCGACGGAGACGCGTGGTCTGGTAGCGAAGACGACGGATTCGAGGGTGCCATCGTGGTGCCAGTGTTGTTTCCAGCTGGGGTTGGGCTGTTCCATGGCTGGGAGAGTAGGGAGGAGTCGGCCGATGTCGGGGCTGTCGTACTTGTCTGCTGGGTAGAGGAGGGGTGGGGGGTCTCGGATGACTTCGACGAGATCCATGAATGAGGACTTGGATGCGATGGCGTTGCAGGCGAGCATGTTCCGGCGATCTTGGTATCGGGGTTGGCTGCGGACTTTTTGGAGGAAGCAGGGACCGAGAGAGACGAGGTGGTTGCAGTATTCGTTGTAGCCGTGGACATCGTCAACTATGGTTGTTAGTGTAATTCTTTCCTGGGCAGTGGAAGTAACATACCGATATCATCCTCTTCAGGATTGGGATACAACGAGACCATCTCCACCGGCAAAGACCTCGGTCTGAGCGCCTTCCACCGAGCATCCGATCTAGGAAACTCCCGTGCCACCTCGGCAAACATATCACGATACTGATCACGAATAAACACCCAGACGGACCCAAATTCCTCCACCTCCCACGGCGGCATGGTCCCGAAGAACAGATTCCAAATCTCATTCGTTGTGAAGTTCTTGTACCATGTCGACGACTTGCGCGAGCACGGGCTACCAGGTTCCGACTGCGCCTCTGCCTCCGTCTCTGCATACTCCCTTGCGCCAACGATGTTGTAATACGTCTGGATACGACACAACGCTCTCAGAATCCGTGCTCGTTCTGTTTCAGACAGTTGCAGGGGCAGTTGCTGCTTCCAGGTCTCCTGGTCCACCCAGGGCGGGCAGGGCGCGTGTGACTGGTACGCTTGGAGAAGGGCGTCAAGCTTCTTGTACAAGTGTAACAGCTGGATACTTTCGTGGATGTTGGACGGTGCGCCAGCGCAGGTGTCCTTGCGTGATTGTGAGAGTTCGCCATGACGACGGCGGCGGTCGAGGAGGGCGATGATTTTCTCTTTGTTGCTTGCCACATTGGCGTAGAGGCCTTCTGAGCGGATGGCGGCGACGGGCTCGGCCAGGTCGACGAGGCCGTAGAGCCGTTTTGCGAGATCGAGGAGGAGGTCTCGTTTGGCAAGGAGATAGGTGTCGTAGTAGGATGGAGAGGCGCAGACCAGATTACGAAGAGCATGGACGTCTGGGAGGGATTTGAGGATGAGGATGCGAAGCTCTGTAGGGAGATCTTCAAACGCCATGATGAAGGGAGATCAGGGGTAGAAAGTCAAAAAAATCATAGAATGGAGTCCATATCCGAGAGAATGAAAGGCGGGGATTATTGTAGTATTATAAGGAAGAAAGGATGACTCCAATATGATAGACTGGATTGAGGCCATACAGAGCATGTATGGTGCAACCAACCAGCATCGCCCGTTTGGCCGGCCCGGCGTAGGGCGGTGAAGCATGACAGCATGCGGAGGCAAGGCGTTGCGCATCCTCGCGCGCTGATTGGCCCAACCGGCCGACTCGCCCTGGCGCAACCCCCAGAAAAAGGAAAATCCTGGGGTTTCTGTTGGGTAAGCGTTAGGTAACAGAGTGGGTCCGGCGCGGTCTAGAGTCTCCGGCCCCGGATTGCTGGTCCATCACGCGATGGGAATGCGCGGTTTTTCTGGTTCTGGTAGGGTAACAGTTTGCTCGCAGTGGCTGCCATTTGGCGAAAATTTCTCATTCTTGTTGAGTTGCTGCACGGATGATGTAAGCCATTCAGTGATCCAAGGGGCGGATGATGTCATTCCGGATAGCCGAGATCCGCAGGTACCCGTTTTCTTTCTCTATCACCTGATGACTCCTATTTATAGGGTAGACTGTAGACTGTTACTCTCGAGTGTAGAGGTAGACAGGATCAGTGATTGACAATCTCTACCCCAGGTTTGATCACCCGAGGCATACAAGGCTAGCCTTAATCCAACTCCATCTACTTACCAGCTCAGCCGGTCTGAGAGCATATAGCTGAAACAGGAAATGCCGCGTTTCATACAGCTCAACAGGCATGGACGCATGCAGACCATGTTACTCCCCAATGGTCCCATTGGCATTCTTGTCTAGCCTGTTTACGTGGATCGCGTGAGGAACTGGAAGCTCCTGTGTAGCTTGAAATAATCCCTGTCTTCCCCGCACAAAACAATCTACGAGGTTCGTTGGTCGATCACATGAGTCAGTGATCTGTCAACGAGATGCGGAGATCATATCAGTAGTTGGAGAATCTCAGACTGTGTTTTCATTTTTGAGAAAAAAATAGTTCAAGGTGCTAGTAAAGTCAGTATGCTAGGCATTACGTATGGTAAAGGCATTCGAGATACTATTGGAGGATACCCTTGTCTACAGGGTCATTCGTTTATATTCGATATTTCTGCCTCTACTGTTAAATATGATGCGCTTCGGCATATTGAACAAAATATATTTTTACATGTTGTCAGGTCTTATGCAACAGTTTCTCTAGGAATCCAGACATGGATATATAAAAGTGCTGTTATGTTACTTTGCCACCTGGTAGAGGTATATTTCATGCAATCCTTATCAATGCTACTCGAACTACCCGGATCCTTTCTTATCTAGCAGTACCATACGGACAGTTTGTTACATGGCCAATTTCAATCTCAACCATGCCCAGTATAGCCTCATTCTGTCATACCTTTTTATCTGAGGGAAAGTCAAGCTTTCTCCCCCGTTTCAGGCGCTGTTCGATGTTGCATTTGCTGGCCGTGTTGGCAGCCATGGTGTGACTGTCTGCTAATCACAGAGTACACGAGTCAGTTATCTTGGTGGCAGTGTATAGCTATAATCCCGTCTGCCTAATATTCACTTACACCATAATAATAAGGCCAAAGTGACGGTGACCATCCCTGACCGCATCCCCAACCGGTGGAGCATTTATGCAATAATAAGTGGGTAGGTTTGCTTTTTCTGTCGCAGAGTTTTCAAGACTGATCGACCAATTATGATGTGATCTGCGCGGAATATTCTCCCATATTGCTGTAATGTGACAGGCTGGCAGTATATCTTGTTATTTTTCTTTTTCATCTTGTGTCTATTAGCCAATATGCCATAGCCTCCATCTACTTGGTTTAGTGTCTATCCATTGCATTAAACTACTGATGAACTATGGCAATGCTTTAAATATATTTCACCATCGCCATCTAATTCTAACGCCCCTGACAGTCAAATCAAAAATCAACCACACAACGCCTGCACATAATCCACCACACTCCACGGCACCTCATAGCTCAGTACAGACCCCCGCACCGCCACATCCCGACTCATCCACGGAAAGACATTATAGATCAACACCACCCCAACCACGACATCCACCATGTGCAACACAGCCTGATTCAGCGGACTCGACTTGGACCCGCCCAGCGCATCCTTCACCCACACAGTCAGCAGCCCCTGCGCGACGACCCCAACCGGCTGCGCGATGAAAAACATCACCATCCACGCTGTGGAACGCACGTCAAGGGAACCAGAGTATGAAGCGGCCGCGTGAACGAAGCTGGAGAGGAGGAAGCAGAAGAGCAGGACTGGGGGGCCTGGCGAGACGACGGATTGGGCGACTGTGAGGAAGCCGTTTTTGAAGAGGTCGTGCCAGAGTTTGCCCCAGAGGTCTGTTCTACGATTAGTTTTGGAGAGGTTCATCGGAGAGTGGAAGATAAGTACCCTTGAGTCGCATTCGTTTGAGGTCTGTTACTTTGCCGAAGAGGGTGGGATATCGCCAGGGTTCATCGGATAGGAGGCCCACGCCTAGGAGGGCGATGGATGCGTGCAGTCCGTCGATGAAGCCAAAGATGAACAATGCCGTTCCGATGATTTCGGCTGGGATGGTCAGTAGTGTTCACTCAGCAGAGGCAGGTATCCATACCAACAGTGAAGAATGGATCCGATATAAACCTCCAGTCCACGAGTATATGGTGGGAGAGATCTATCGCAGTGTACGCGATCATCAGCCTCGCAACCTGCTTGAGGATGCATTTCGACCGAGAGTGGAGATGGTCTGCAGCGTCACTTGCGCTCTCGTTCAGCACTGCATATCCGCCTTTTGGAGTGGCGTGTTCCCATCCAATTCCGCGAAAGTTGGTGGTTAGGTCTAAAGTCCAGAGAAGTCTGGTATAGCCGAGTGGTGGTAGAGACTCCCAGTGGTAGCCATCTTTGTTCGGACTCTTTCGAAGGCGCTTTATTTCCCTGATGCGATAGAGAAAGAGAATGTTGGCAGCCCAGACGATGTACCAAGAGGAGAAGAAGCCGTTCATATAGTTGAGCAGGGCATTTCCGAATGGAGGATTGAAGATGGACGCGGTGGCGCTGGCTGAGATGGCAATGTATACAGCCAAACGAGGCAGAATGGACCAGTAAACAATCTCGGCAAATAACGTCGAGCACAACAGCACCGCCGGAGGGACGAACGGCAGCAGCATGATGGGAGATGATAGCGCAACAATTTAGGTCGCTATTGCAGCTCACCTTCCAGTCGGCCTTTTTAAATTGGCCTGTTCAGCTACTCCTTTTGACGGTGTGGATGGATGGATCATACTACACACCCCTATTTGCGCTAAAGGAGGAAATTAATTAGAAATACTGGTGCTTTAATGGAAGGCTCCTCGCATATGACCTGTCACATCACTGAAGATAGGAGATGCATATTGAGTGGCTGTGTGGCTGTTCAAATCACACAAACTTATCTGATCTTCTATATTGTTGTTGGCTTTGTTAAACATGAAGATAGTACAGACAATAGGCAACATGACCGCCTGGTGTATGGAATATAGTATGTCTACAACTATCGTAATCATAGCGAGCATTCATCACCATCTACAACAAGAAAGAACACGACAAAAGCTGTCGCTATCGGTCTCTGCTTGACAAATACTAGCATAAGCGGTTCTAGTCGCAGATTCCCCATTATCTGTATATCTTTTGCGACCAGATCAACACCAAAAACGGCCGGAGTGCCGCAAAAAAAATGTCCGATTGATGCAGTCATCTCGTTATTGGCAATATGACCAAGTTCCTGTTCGATAGTAACTATAGCTTGCTTGAGTCCGAGGAGCACCGATATGTGCTCAGGGATATCGAGGATGCGAGTATCAGTAGTGCGGTCCGGGTTTATGTCCGTTCTTGACATTGAGCAAATTTGATAAGAGACTTTTTCCAGAGTCTGTTGATCGAGCGCGGGGTTATAGCGGTGTACGACGCGTGCTGTGGATATTAGATGCAGGGGGATCTATGGGAATGGTTGTGATATTTGTCATGCTAGAGATGCACCGTTAGGGACGAGTCTGAATAAGGAATCAATTCAGCCAGAAGCGGGAATTCTGGTGTTGGCCGATGAGACACCACTGAATAACAATGTAGATAATACTAGTATATCGACATTGCAGCAGACTAACTGTCCTATCTAAGCGAAACCCCTCATGCATACCGCAGACTCGCATGAGATAATTTGATCATCTACCTAGATTCATACGAATACAGACATACTCATGCATCCCAGAGGGATGGATAGTCGAGGCTAGTCATGGTGGATCTAAAAGCGATTATGTCGCTACTGCGAAAGTGGTTTTCCGATTTGGGAATATGGCTTTTGGCCAAGGGGACTTGGGTGCTGGATGCCCTCTTGGTGATGAAGGGACGAATGAGATGGAGATTCAGATTGTTGATCAGATTATGGCTGCTGTTGAGGTTCCGTTTGTTAAGATAGGTGTGTAGTTCGTTAGTCATCCGTTATAGAAGTAATCACATCACTTCAAATACGCCCCCTTAGTCTCCTCGTGAATAACATCAAACAAAGGCTTTGCACTGAACCATCCAGCCAACGGCGTCCCAACTGTCTTGTATGTAAACGCCGCATCCTCATCGTCGACTTTAATCGTCGTTCCTCCTCGTCCAGCAGCCGCTGCATCCGCCATCAACTGCGCATGGCAGCACTTTTCCAAACTAACAAACCAGAAGACCGTCTCTTCAACCGTCTGACCAACGGTCAGTAGCCCATGGTTCTGCAACAGAGCAGCCTTCTTATTCCCCAACGCAGCAGCGATATTCTTCCCCTCCTCCTCGGCCAGAACAACCCCGTTGAATTGTTTGTATACAACATGGTCCTGCATATATTAGCCATCACCCACACATTATTATTTGCCAAGCAACAGGGGAAGTACATTATGGAAAGCACACGCATCCTGCGAGATAATATCCAACGGCCGCCCAAGCGAGCAATACGCCCGTCCGTTGAGACTATGACTATGCGCCGCACACATCACATCCGGCCGTGCATGGTGGATAGCAGAGTGGATCATGAATGCCGCGGCGTTGAGCAGTCTCGTTGGGCCCCCGTCGATGATCTTCCCTTCGTGGTTGACGAGGATCAAATCAGAGGCTTTCATGAGTGAGAATGCCACACCGAAGGGGTTGACCCAGAAGGTGGTCGGATCAACGGGGTCGCGGAGGGTGATGTGCCCGGCGACGCCTGATATCTATATTAGTATCTGTGTGCTATGTTTTGAGGTATTTATGTGGATGATACCCTCATCATAACCGTTCTTGCCAAAAATACGAAAGGCAGCAGCCAGTCTCCCCTTCAGATATTCTCTTTCTGCGAGTTTATCTTCAAATACTGGGGGTTTGGGGAAGGTCATTTTCACTTTGGCCTTTTCAGCCCCGGTTTCTTGGGTTGAGGTTTTGGGGCCCATGTTGATAGATTCGGTGGCTGCTGGGGGAGACATTTTGCTGAGTATACTGGATAGATGGATGAAGAGAAGAGAAGAAAGTCGGTGATGAAGTCCAGCAAGATAAAAAGATAACAGCCGACAAACCGAGGTCCCCCGCATTTCCACATCGGGGTAGACCCTGCAGATCATCTGCATAAAGACACGCTGAAGAATAACAATCATCATATTGGACAACTGCTCTAAATCTCCCCATCCACTCTAGTCACATGGTCACACCCAACATCATGCACCCATCTATCCTTCCGATGATGATAAATCTCATGTCCCACCCCCCCAATCCGCAACTTGTGGTCCGCGTCCAACGTGCCCGCCTTGACCAGGATCTTGCCTACCAAGTGCCCCGGCTCAGACGTGAGAGGCGAGCCGCAGTCGCCGCAGAATTGGCGCTTGATTTTGCGCCCGTGGTCGGTGTCGCCGTAGTAGACCTTGGGGGTGCCCTGTGTGAAGGAGTGTTTGTCTTTCGGGACGCAGAAGTTGGCGGAGAAGGCGGAGCCCGTGTAGTGTTTGCAGGTTGTGCAGTGGCAGAGGGTGAGCTGTTTAGGATTAGATGGGTTAGATGAGGTTGTAGATGGTAGATGGTACCTTTGGGGGCTCTATGTCGGCGGGAAGATCGACTTTGTATTTAATGTTGGAGCACATGCACGAGCCGGTCCACGTCATTTTGATAGTCCGTATACAGTAGATAGGTACTAGAGTCTAGAGAGAAGCTTGGATGGATTGAGTACCCTTGGGACAACCAGCCCTTTATACACTCTATATCGCATTCTTTTCAGAGTCCTCTGGAACAAAAAGGTTACACCCTCGCGTGTGATGGCCCCGTGGTATCAGTTGGTTTCCGGCCATGAAGCCATTCGGACTTTCCGATGTGATTCAATCCAGCTTGACCGTAGTTTGAGATACAGGAACACGTCATTCAAAATACAAATATCAAATTGATTGGATAGATAATCCAGATAGTTCAAGATGTGTATGGCCGGATTAGGAAGGTATAGACTGGATCATCACGTGTCCCTTGCTTTGAAGGCATTATTACATTGGAAAAATGTGGGAATAGCATCAGATGTACGAGAGATTGGCTATTGAAGCTGCGAGGGATGTGCGGTCTGCAGGTGGACTGCCAACTATTGATTCTAGTGACTGGCGCCCTTGCTTAAGACACTCAAGATACCAATACTCAATTGAATAAATTATGATATTTGTATTAAAAGTCTACAATAAACCTTTCCCCCGTATTTGATTCATCTCGTCAATCAAAGCAGCATATACCTTTTCATCATGAACATCCTGCGTTTTAATCGACCCCAACAAAGGCTTCATATCCGAGTCGCAGATTGTGTCGTAGAGTGGCAATTCGCCTGTTTGAAAGTACTTTCGGATCGCTGCTGCAATGCATAGAGAGGGTGCTGCAATGGTGGTGTGCTACAAACGCTCAGTCATCATTATCGTGGTGCAGGAATAGAAACACTTACGCCTTCAGATTCCTGCTGGAGGACGGCGGATCCCGGAAAGTGCCGAGACATTGTATGGGCGCTGGTGTTATTAGCCATGTTCGATGAAGATGGATGACGACGTACCTGTTCAATGGCGTCACAGGGTCTAATGTGTTGCTGACGAATAGCAGTGGGTGCGATGTGTTGGCTGTATACGGTCCTATACATTATTAGTAGAGTTATAGATGCTTGGAATACACTTACCGTCTACTCTCCACTTCCCTGGGGCCTTCCACCCCGTGCATGCCATCAGTAATTGCGCCCAGTAGTCTCCAAGCATGGTGCTGTCTTTTCTCAAATCATTCCACATCTCAACAAACCCTCCCTCGTCCATCACGCCCAGAAAGTCTGCATCTGAACACATAATCGCAGACATGGCGTACAACTCATTCTGGCCCGGTGGCATGCATTCTCTCGAAAAAGGACCGGCTTGCTGACACTCCAGCGATGGATAATAGGGCGTCCGGGAAGCCTGCTTCCAGTCCGCCATTGACGATCCGTTTCCTAGAGCTAGTTGGCCGAGATGCTGTGCCAGTAGTGGGAACCCAGCCATGGGCTGATACATGGCGACGCGGACGAGGTTCTTCAGATCGGTTGGTGTGATTACTTCTGGGCCGCGAGTCGCAGAGGCTGGAACTGCGATTGTCGTGTTGGAGATGCTTTCTTTCAGAGTTTGGTATACTTCTTTGATAGCAGCGACTCCGCCCTCGCGATACATCGCACATAGCTCCGGCCCGACTTGATCGCAGTATAGAAAGAATCGCTCGAAAATGGCGTCTGCGTCTACGACGGAGCTGGGGCCTATGCCGTGGTAATACCGTTCAACATTCACCACTCCATCCAGCAGCATTCGGTCAATGCGATCGGGGAACATGGTTGCAAAGGTTGTTCCAAGAAGTGTTCCATACGAGCGACCCCAGAAGAGGAGCTTTTCCTGGCCCTGGTTCCATCGTGTTCTGCTCGCGATGGTCTGCTCTGCATCGTAGCCGTTTTTCTTGTCGTGTCGTTTCTGTTCGATCTTCCCTTGCTTTCCCCGCCACTCAGCCTGTCGCTCGATGATTTCGATCATGTCTCGTGCTAATGGGGGCGTGTTCATATGGTGTCCCAGAGCTTCATCTTCGCCATCCGAGGCAGTCGCAAGAGCCCTCGAGCATCCCTCTGCCAATGCCTGGTTACGCTGCCAATTCCGCATGAGAGAACCCTCACCAGCACCCAGCAGCCCATCTGCTTCTGTCTGCATTTCCCAGTTGAATTGCGAAAAGAGATCGGGAAAACAACTGAACCCAGGCGTGGTGTTATTCACACCTCTCGGATCGAACCCGATGATATCGAAGTACTTGGCTGTCTCATCCAGCTCAATATCAGGATTTGCGTCCGCATCGACGATGGTCTGCAGATTGCGACCGGACCGGAGGACCTGGAAGACTCCCGAACCACCGGGACCACCTGGTTTGTTAGAGATGAAGATAAAATAAGCATAGGAGAAATACCAGGGTTGATCAAAACTGCTCCTCCATATCGGGGATCCGTCGCGGGCACTTTGGCTGGAAGACGCGTCAATGCGAGGGCCATTCGACGGCCTCGTCCATCCGATCGCTGATAGTCCATCGGGACATCGAGACGGGCACACTGGAAGCCATCGAAGCAGTCATGGTAGTGTATCGAGGTGGATGGCGTTATCTACGCTGTCAGTATGGCATTAATGTATATGCGCATATAACATACATGATTCCAGTCAAATGGTTCGATTATCTGCAAAGTCGAGATGGTCGGAACAGGCAGTTTCCACCATGTCAACATGCCGATCGCAGCGACCAGAAGAAGCGGATATCTTCCATGATGCCGGATGCGGTGATGACGATAATTCGGAGAATAGCCTGGTCCTGATTTCTCCTCCATTATCTGTCTGAAATATTCAGTCAAGGCATGCCACTGGTGGTCTGTACTGTATGCGGATGAAAAATATTCACATCGTGGGGAGATCCGAAATAAATCGAGAGAACCCGCAATTGATCGACATGCAAGAGTCCCTTGGGCTTCAGCTGCTGCAGAAGGAAATGGTCATGATAATTATCGACGCTGCGATTCGACGAGCGAGTCGAGATAGCTTCATGGATGGGTCTGAATGGAACTGCAACATGGACTAATCTCAGCCACAGTCAGCCGAGTCGATCGGGCTGATAAGATGAGCGGTTCGAGCGGGATTTCCCTTCTGGCATTGATTGTCGCTTTATTGATTTATTATTGTCTGTGCATTATTAAATGATGCTTTTCAGCTCGTTTTTTCCAGCCATTGAGACCATCCAGGATTCTCCCTGGGCCAGCTCGGAGATTCTTCTCCGGCCAGCCCGCCATATTCCCAATCCGGTGGCATTTCCATCAGTCAAATGATACGATCCGACAATATGTTTCTTGGACAGCTGTGCATTTCCATCCATCACTTCAAAGCGAGGCTGCCGTATGACTGGCTGGATAATATACGCGTTCAATTCAGTAAGAAGTATCCTCCACTGCTCATCGCTCAGATCCTCCCCAAACAGAATCCCCTCACCGCGGCCTTCTCGGAATGGTTTGATGATATGCTTGTTTTTTACCGTATCCGATTCTTGGCTTTTCCGGATCAGATTATTCAGTCCCAACGATCCAGGAATGACGGTAGGAACGATGCCTTGTCGGAGTATCTCTGCCTGTGCTTTGTCGAGGACGCCACGATCCAACAAACTATCCAGTTCTTCAAGCACAATCCCTAGCATCCTTTTATCGTCGACTAGAAAAACACTGCGTATATCACTAACACAACACAGTGCTAAATGACGAAGAATGCCACGCGGAAGAGACCGAAGCTCGTGCTGGAAGAGCAGCATTCCCACTTGGTGGATAGGTTCGGCGTGATTGTTACGGTCGGATTTGCTGTAGAGTGCAAATCCTGTCGGTGAATCTATATCCGGGATGAGATACAGATCTGACGACTTGATGACTCGTGGCTGAATGCCCCCTTGCCGTTCAAAATATGCCAGCAGCAGATCTAAAAAGTCACACTGATAATCATCCGCCACGAAATGGATTGGTAGATTCAGATCGAACAGGCCAATCTGGCTGTTTATCATCTGGACGAGTCAGTGCTGAAGTGAACATTCATATCAATCGCCTACCTCCTCCATCGTGGATGTGGTTGATAGACACCCTGCTTCGGTGGCCATCTCGGTACACGCAGCATATCCATACGCTACGATCATCTGCGTGTTGACTGAGAACCTAGAATTGATTTCGCAAATGCGGATGTTTTCAAATTCAGCATCTGCATTGTCTGTAGTTGATTCGAGGAGAAAGTCTGCCCTCCAGTGTCCTTGACACTCCCTGAAGGGTCTTATATTCCCTTTCTCAGATTGAGCATGAACCCACTGGACATGTCAGACCACGACCAAAAGGCAGATACAGATGACATACGCGTAGAATCTCCTCTTCTTCACCTTCAACCGGCATTCGGGATGGAAATGCTGCCTTCTCATCCGTCCACCATCTTTCAACAACGTCTGTTAACGCAATTGACAGCGCTTCATGCAACCTTTTCATCCTCTCAACCAGCGATTGTGATACGAGAAGTGGATAAGGCGGAACGCGGTGGAATCCATTTGGATACTTCTTTGCTCCTTGGCTTATAGCCGCGAAGTGAGAGTTGAATTTTTCAAATTGCTGTCGCTGGATCTCGCTTGGCGTAGACTTTGGAGATACAGGTGACTTTGCACTTTTGGTTGAAGCCAGGCAGATCTGCTGGATTGTCTCTGGTTGTTTCATTCTGGCTAATTGCAGCTGGTAGATGTTTTGCAAGGCTATCTGATTGAGTTTGGTGAATTTATCATCGTATCCTCAGTCGAATGATGGATAGTTTCACCGCTAGTTGAGGTATTACGCGAAAACAAGTACGGAGTAATTCGTGCACTATATACTCCGTACCCACTAATTATGTACTTGGTTCTATTGTTCTATTGAAATTGGCGGGGCCTGTTCCTAACGGCATTGGGTTTTGGTGCGATCATGGTGTCCATGTCGCCAGTTGCTCCTCATACAATTGATGGAGTAGTAAGTCCCCATGGGAAATGTGATTGCTCTATTCTGAATTTAGCCCTGCCAGTCTTCGATATGATAAAGCTTCCATTGCTGATCTCACCTGCATTCTTTCCCTGACTGACATCGTCCGAGATGTTTGGCTCAGGGTCATTCAGATGTACTGTCAACAGAGCCTCTTCCGCAGCCATAGGGAACTATGTGTTCGGGATAAGCTGATACAGTTTGCTGGCGTAGATCTATTGCGCGTGTCAATCCCATGTTGAGTATTCTGTGTGACAGTACAATGTTCCTTGATATCTCAGACATAAGCAGATATAATTTGGATATAAAAGTTTCAAATCCAAATCGTAACTCAGCTGTCCTCTTAATGGTTGCCCCGGCGTTTCTTCTGCGGCTGTTTCTGGGACTTGTCGTGAAGGAACCGAGCGCGGCTCGCCGTGCCATTCTCTATGATACGCAGGTGTACAATGTGGCTATCATAATGCATGTTTTGCGGCGGGGGAATTGGGTCTACCTCTTCACGTATTTCAGGGAGGATGCCGCGCTACAGGGTCTGGATGCGCTCTTCGTCCGACACCAGCCTCGGAAGACGCGACTCTAATGAGCTCAAATAGTTGGCGAAGTCGGTGACAGATTGGTAGGTACGCTGTTTGGCATCAAAATACCGCTTCATAGCTGCGGCTGCAGATTGTGACCGATCAAGATTATCTCCCAGGAAACAGCAAAAGGCCCGCCATGATATCTCTCGTCCAGCTGAGTCGACCTCTGCTGTCCACTGTTGGGAAATGTCCTGTCACGTAGCGTAATGCTTCCTTGATTTTACGGTCCGCTCGGTCGGGCCCATAGTATTCGCGATCTTCTCTAAACCACGCCCTCATACGAATATTCCATTCATGATATTCTTCTCGAGACTGGCCGGTGTATACCGTCGGGACCGCATGACCAGAGGGACCCTCCTCACTCTGGCTTCTATCTTCCGGACAGAGCCCAGCCCATCTTCTGATTCCGAGTGTGACCTCTTGGGCCCTTGTAATGGTTCAGGTTCACTGGCCCTCGGGAGGGTGGAAAGAGATGGCGGAGCGATTCTCGGTGTCTCGACGGTCGGAGTTTGAATCAAGGTCGTATCCAAGCGATGTTGTGCTTCTGCTATAATTTTTTCTTCGCTTGCGATCGCGTCGCGCAGCTCGAGCATCGCGCGGCGCTTTGTAGGTTCCTCAGCTCCTGCTGCAGTGCCTGGATTCCAGGGTCGTTTGTGTCGTCATAGTGCACTTGGTCTATTGTGGACGAACCGGTGAATTTTGGGTCGTGACGATAGTGCGCCGTGGATGCGAACGGTCAACGGGCCCGGAGATTTGGCAGTCCTCGGTCCTGGATTGACGAGAAGGTGGGATTGAATCATGGAACTGAGAAATTCAACTTCGCGTCGCGATGTGGGTCACGTGGTGCGGTACAGGTCACATTGCGATTTGAATGTCTGCAAATCAACTGACAGCGCAGAATATTCGATGGCAGTCCATTAATATTCTGGTCTGTCAAATTCCTCTTTTCAGGAATTGATAGGTTGATCTATCGTGAGTGATGATCCCGGATCTTGCAAGCCAGCGAAGGCCTTCACCTGACGGATTCGGCAGCACAATAGTCGCAGTCGCACAGCATCACATTCATCCAGATCTATCAGAATCACGATCCATGGTCAAAGCGACTGCAAAATTATATCAAATTATTGACTCTTTGATGAAGATGAACCGCAATGGTGGTGCAACTAGCAAAGATCGACGCGGTAGTTTCTCGTGACGGTGGATCTCCACTGCCAATTCTACGCCGAACAGCTTCATCCCCGCACGACTATTGCTGATCAGCCCCGACTGCCACGCCCTTCACGTCTTGCCGGTGTTTAAACAACAGGGATTAGCCGTGTGATGGTGCCCAGTTGGTCTGCCTGCATGCAAATCACATCGACCGGGAAGAATAGATTGGAAATGGGCAGGAATGATTGGTAAGTGCTATCATTCAGCTGGCTGACAGCATGGCTTGATATGGAGGCTAACCATCCCGTCTGCTGGACATGAAGTTGATCAAGTCGAGATATGAAAAACATCTCCCAGTCGCTGCTTCTTCGCTGCTGATTTTCATCCCTGTCTTTGGCATCACCCCGCATCATCCCTTTCGGAGATGGCGATAAGCCCGACTTGATCGCTTTATCGTCTTATTTCCATCAAAATTATCGACGTTATCCATCATCGATGCCAGTATAGATACTGGATACTCCTGCCAATATGCAGGCCATCACTGCTGTCAAGCGAGCATTTATCAAGGACGATACACCTCACCAGGTCTATTTCACCGAAAAACCTCAAGATGTGCAGCCACGATCGTCCATCGACGCTGAGGCCGAGGCAGTGGGAATTGCCAAAATCGAAGCGATCGAGAGCATTTGGAGTCGCAAAGGACGATATCTCGTCTATGCTGGGTATGACATGATTTCTCTTCTCTGCTTCTAAACTAACCTCCCAGACTGGCCATGATTATGATCATTTAGTAAGCAACTTTGCCCTCATATTTATCGCTTTCTAACCATCCAGCGAACTCGATAATTCTACCGTGGGAACCTATCGCAACTATGCCACTTCTGCCTTTAATCAACTCTCCATGCTGGCCACTCTCAACACGGCGGCCAGTATCATCACCGGGGTCTGCAAACCTCCTATCGCCAAAATGTCCGATGTCGTAGGACGCGCAGAGACCTACATTTTCACCATCTCCTGTTTCATCCTCTCCTACATTCTGTGCGCATCATCGAAAGATTTTAATACATATGCCGGTGGCTATGTCTTTTACTCCATCGGCCAAGGTGGCACTTCCATGCTTAACTCTGTCATCGTCTCTGATTTCTCTTCCATGCGATGGAGAGGCTTCAGCTACAACCTCCTCTATCTCCCCTTCCTTATCATCCCCTGGGTGTCTGCCTTTATCATCGACAGCGTGGTCAACGGCATTGGCTGGCGTTGGGGAATCGGCATGTTTGCTATTCTCATGCCTTTCTGTGCCAGCTTCATCATCATCACTCTTCTCATTTTTCAACACCGCGCCAAACGTTCGGGTGTTGTTCTCACAGAACGACTCAATTTATATACCTTCTTCTCTCGCATCGACTTGGGCGGTGTCATTCTCCTCAGCGGCGGGTTCGCTCTCCTTCTCATCCCTATTACCATTGCTGCTACAACTACAAGTCGCTGGAGAACCCCGTGGGTCGATGTCTTGATTGCCCTCGGTGCTATCTGTCTATTATGTCTCTATCCTTATGAAAAATACTTCGCCAAATACCCCGTCGTCCCGGCACGATACTTCCGAACCCTGTCCGTGGTCATCCCAGTGTCCCTAAGCTGCATTGACAATATCAGCTTCGGCGCCACCCACACCTATCTATACGCCTGGAGCATTGTATCCCACAACTTCTCTCCCCGCGATGCTCAATTCCTCACCTACACCAATGGCGTCGCGCAATGTCTCGTCGGAATGCTCTCCGGTCTGCTGATGTACCGCTTCCGCTCGTACAAATGGATCGGAGTGGTGGGTGCCATTGTCCGACTAGTCGGGTATGGAGTCATGGTTCGCCTGCGGAGTAACGACAGTTCCACTGCGGAGCTGTTCATCGTGCAGCTGGTGCAGGGCGTGGGCAGTGGTGTCATCGAGACGGTGAATATTGTCGCTGCGCAGATTGTCGTCCCACATGATGAATTGGCGCAGGTTACTTCCCTAGTCATGCTGGGTGCACTGCTAGGGAATGGAATTGGATCTGCGATTGCTGGGGGCATCTATACGGAAGAGCTTCGGAATCGGCTGCGTTTTCGGATGGGTTCTGGAGTGAGTGAGAAGGAGGTGAATACGGTTTATGATTCGATTACAGGGGGATTGCCTGCTTGGGGGACGGCTGAACGGACAGCTGTAAATCAGGCAGTAAGTTTCTATTCCCCATATTAAATGATGTATACTGACGGTTTAGTACTCGGATGTTATGGGGTTTGTACAGGGCATTAACTACAGTGTGACTATGCTAACCACTGCAGGTATATTACGATTGCCGCCCTGGCTATTTCTGTTCCAATTGTTATACTGGCCTTGTTCATGCCAGACAACAAACTTGGGTATGTTCATTCTGATGGAGGATGTACACTGCTGACTCTTGTAGGGACCGCCATAATCTCGAAGAGGAATGTTCTATGTCCTCGGAATCCTTCGAGGACTCGGAACTGGATGAGACGAAATGATGTTATGATCTTGATTATCTATTAGAATACAATCTATATACTATATGACCTGTTCAGTCCACTCATTTCCCCGGCGATCCCAAAACACAAGTAAAGTTACGGCCCGGCGTGCCGTCCAGCGCATTCTTGACCAGATTCCACACATTCAGATCATACGCTTCCCCAATATGGCCAACAGGATCCCACTCGCACGTATCCTGAACCCACCAATTCGCGACTCCATCCTCATGCACAAACGAAGTCGACGTCGGTGTCACCAACTCATCATGCCGCGACGCAATCACCGTCAACGAATTCCCCTTTTGCACAATCGGCTTCCCATCGTTCAACTTTTCCACGGCCGGCCCATCAGGCCCCAGATCATTGCACGCAGGACACCCAACCAGATCCAACACATCGCCGATCACCTCCCGCGTCGTGTTACCCAGGATATACGCCAGATCATAAATATTCGCGAAATTCGTGCCCCGCGTCGGCGGCGCAATCGCAACAAGCTTATCCAGCATCGGCGCGACAGGCTCAAACTTGGGCACGTACAGCGTCTGAAACGCGCCCTCCGAGTGGCCCACCAGATCGATCTTGCCTGCACCCGTCTTGTTGGCTACTTCGACGATGTAGTCGGCGATTTCGCCCGCCGACTCGGAAATGGACTTTAGCCCGCCTACGAACGGGAAGAGCGGGTAGTCGCCGTAGGTGCGCGCGTAGGTGCAGTACCCCTTTGCCTGCAGCCAGCCTTGGAGGAAGTTGATGTCTTCGTAGAAGGTGGCGCCGAGGCCGTGCAGGAAGATGATGGGGTTGGGGTGGGATTCGCTGCGGCAGGAGAAGTCGTTGATGCCGGTTGCGATGGCGGGGGCAGCGGCTGCCAGGAGGGAGAGGAACTTCATTGTAAAGAGTGACTATAAAGAGTGACTATACAAAACAATAAGAAAATAAAGAATGAATGAATGACAAAAGAGTGGTTCAGAGAAAGAATGACACCCCCGTATTTTTATTTATCTGCAGTGCAGGCTGACCTCGAATTCCGTCAATTTCTTCATCAACAGCCCAAGTGGGCCGGATCGAGCCGCTATACAAACTATTGGAACCGATGGCGTCGATCTGCGGAAATTCACCATCATCACTGGCCAGAATGACCCAGCAATTGTCAAATTTTCGTGTTTGGTCCACTGTTAATCTGGCGTCTGGCTAATTAGAAGAAGGACTGTTATTGCATGTGTTGGCTGAAACATCGTCATGAGACATGGATATCTTCATTATTCACTACGCATGATTCCTGTTCTTTCAGGTAGTAAATAATGGATGGTTACTATAATGAAGTAAATGCATTCACCCTAAACAGGTATAAAACCAGGAAATCCCTTCTCTAGATCTTCTACTCTCCATCATCTCTACACTTCTCTTCAATATACATACAACTGCTTCTACTATATATAAATCATCTTTAATATACGTCAACCATCCTCCAGATCTATCAACACATATCACAGATACAAATCGACGACATCCAATCCATCCGATGGGAGCAGAGCAACCGTTTTCGATAACCCAGTCAATAATACATAGCAGTTCAGTGAAATGAGAATATCGTCCACGCAATAAATGATCCTGCCTACATCTGGGTCTGACATCCTACGATATTTCTCGCGGCTCTATGATGTTTGCCAAAACATCAGGATGGCGAACCTCTGTTGCCAGGACAAGTTGAGCAGCCATACTGCATTGGCAAGGATTAGCTGGTTTTCTCTTTGTCTATTTACTCGTTAAATCACCATGTCGCATCGCAGACCAGCATAGAAATTCGGGAATGTCTATGCGAGCCATGGAGAAGAAACCCCTGCGGAAATCTGGCACTTGACACAAGATGGTTAATCCAGTGGACGCTATCCCCAGCCGACCAGAATGTGTAAAGACTCTTTGTACCTGGAAGCGAAGGATCCTGCTATAAAAGACCTTTACATTATCCAGGAACAACATCCATCGGATCAACGTCGACGCAGGGTAGACTGTAGCCTTACTACATCAAAGGATGAACGACATGCTCTACGTCGAATTCAGTCGCTCGTCTTCAAAGCGCTTGCGCCAACTGTAGCTTCCACTCGAGAGGGAGCCAGTGCAGCTATTCTGATAAAGCAGTTGCCACTGGTTATGGCATCAAAACAACCTATGGCTCTGGGGAATGTCCCCATCGAGCGTTCCATCCTTCGTGGTGCATCTGTATACCAAGCATCAACACAACTGATATCATCCTCAGAGAGATCATGACCGAAGTCGACATTACCATAACAACGCCAATAAACGGTACGTGATTGGACGCCACGATCGCGATATTCGACAAGTCATCTTTCTATTTTGGCCCTGGAATATTGATGGTCCTAACCACCACCCCAACTCTGGTGCTTAATGCAAGAAGCCAGCGTAAAGGGCATCTGCCTCTGATTCATGCTCAAACACACCACGCCGAAGATATTGCCATCTCATCAGAAAAGTTGACTTCCAAGTCGGGATTCATCGAGACACCAGAACCGCAGATCAGAATCTCGCTTCCTACTATAGAAACCGAACACCTGAGCTTGTTGGTTATCACCCGGACAGAGTACCCAACCCGGATGGTCTGTGTGTCTCTGTATTGGCAGCCAGTCAGGTGGATATTGAGTTCATGTTCATTCTACTGGGCGTGCGTTCAGCGTCTATCAAGTTTCTTGATCTAATCGACGATAAGTCCCGGAGTGCCATGATAGAAGTCGATTAGGAAGGCTGTGTGTGTGTTACCTATTGAGCATCGATCTACATTGCCTCCGACACCGGTGGCTGATTCTACATGTTTGTTTGGTTGATACTTTCATATATGCATGCCTGGAGGATAGAAATGATAAAATGTGATTAGACAACCCCGAAACCGTCATTAGGTATCCAAGTATAACAGTTACACCCATACAATACAATATCCCAAGCTAAGAACATACAAACAATCCACAATCGATACACCATAAAACCCATACTCCATAACCAAACAGAAACAGAACGAAAAAAGCGACAATCATTCAATGTCGTACATTCATTGGAGGTAGGTACCCCCTTGTCCGTTGACTTCGACCTGCGATCTGCCAACTGAATCACAGATTATTCCTCCTTCGGCGGGGATGCCACTCCGGGCGGAGATCCAGAACGAGGCGAGAACTCGCGCATTTTACCGCCCCACAAACCGAGGGAATGGCGCTGCTCGACTAGTTTGAGTACTTTGACCATGAATTCCTGTTCTGGGCCGCCGTCTGGCAGACCCTCCCAGGCTACGCGGACGGGAAATGCGAGTCGGTTGATCATGTTTCCTGGCGCGGTGAGGATGTACCATTCTAGACTGCGGCAGATGTAACAGGCAAGACCGTATTGTTCTAGAGGTCCCACGCGGTCTTCAGGACGAGTGTCGGCTGATGAGAGGATGAGGCGGAATGCGCAATAGACGCACATCGACTGGGCGAGACGGAGGTCTGGGTAGGAGAATTTGGTGGGGGTGATGATTTCGCCGGTGCGGGGGTTCTGACACCGGAAGATAGGGAAGCCTTCGTTGCCGTTGGGCTCTGGGCCGGCGGGGACTTCTTCAGGGGGTCCATCTGGGTAGTTGTCGACCATGACGCGTTTCCATTCGTAGAAGCGGAGAGTAACGTCAGCGACGTTGTTCCATAGGGAAGCTTGTTTAACTGTTTTTTCGTGGGCGCTGAGGATGGTGGTGGAGAGTGCGGCATTGAGGTTATCGTATTCTTCGAGAATGCCGGGGATCTCAACGGCCAGGTCGAGGAGGTAGTGGACAAGGTCTTTTGTGGTCGTACCAGCCGACCAGGGAATTGTTTTCCATTCTTCTTGGTTGAGGAATGTTGCAGAGCGAGTGATAAGAGCAGCACCGACCTGATTGGTTAGTGGTTATTGGTGGAAGCAGGCAAGGATACACACCCAGTATGGTCGGAGTTCGGTAAAGAGCAAATGTTCGACTCCGTACATGTGATTCTCCGGTCCGCGATGCTCAATCAGACGCAACGCACCGTGAACATGGGCAGCGACCGATCCGCTCGAGGTACTCTCGACACTCTGCTGGCAGTTAGCATAGTTTAGAGTAGATATGCGGAATAAATACCTCAAACGCCATCAGAAGAATGACAGTCACCAACGTCGATTCCGCCTTGCTCCGCTCCGGATCCTGCAACGCTTGTTGTAGCCCTTTTAGCACGCGGAAATTCCGCTCAAACCCAGTAAGCTCGAGCTGTTTATGTCCAATGGATCGGCCAAAGAAAGCCATCGAGACGGCTTCATAAGCCTCCGAAATCATAGGGGAGAACATGCGGATTCCGGCCGCTGCGCGAAGGGCTCCCGCTCGTCCGTGCTTGTGGTTGACCTGAGGGCTGAAGGCATCGACGAAGCGTTCGACAAACAGATCCAATGCCGGCCTGGCCGAGGAAATCGGAGGACCGAGAGACGAGGACGACGAGGAGGAATCATCGCTGTCCTCAAAGGGAGAGGCAAAGTTGAAAGATGCCGACCGGTCCGAATCGTCGATAAACACCTCTTCCACATCCTCATCGCCCTGGGAAATTTGTCTTCGAAGCGGGAGATCTTCACATCATGCAATGTCAGCGTACGCCATTCCCGTATTCCCGATCGGATTTCCAATTGAACGTACCCTCTGATCCCTCCCATGGCCCCACCGAGACGACCTGCTTCTTCAATGCATTATTATGGGCATTTCGGATCCCGCCGACGAGCTGATCCACGACTTCCAGTGGCGCAGAGCGGATGGAGTCGAAGAAGCCATTGAGCTTGGCGAGGCGTTTTCGACTTCGCATGCGATGATCTGAAAACGCACGTTGAGCCGTTAGTGGGGATTGCAATTCAACCGGGGACCTGCAGCGATCGGATGCATCGAAACCCACCATAGCTATCAATTCGAGACCTCAGATCACGGATCTCCAAGCGGAGATTGCGGATCTCGTCGGCTTGGATGATGGGGCCCTCGTCATCGGGAATAACCTCGAAGACGCACTTGGAGGGGTATCCGTGGGCGCAACAGGCATGGCAGGGCTTGACGCGATCGCACTGGAAGGATCGTCAGAAAATCAGGGGTAAATTAGAGATGAGCAGGAGGCAGAAAAAGAAAAGCGATGGAATATTGAAATTAAAAAAGAAATTAAAGTAGAGAATAAGGTAAAATAAGATAAAATAAGATGAAACGGTCGGGAATGACGGAGGCTTCCGCCAGAGCAATCAACACACACCTTGACCTTACGGAGGCGGCAGACCTTGCAGGAGCGCGACTGACGGTTGATGGGCTTCTTCTTTGCAGTGGGCAGCGCGGCCTCAGGGTCGTATACGACCATGGCGGGAGATAATAGTGGGATAGGAGCAATAGTGGAGGAATGAAGGGGCAAGCGAGGGAGGAGAGAGGAGGATTTCCATGGTGCGCGGCCAACGACACGGCGGGATTCAGGGCCGTGAGATCTGGGACGAGCGAAACCGAGATCTGAAGCCGAAGCGAAGTGGTACGGTGGAGCGGTATGAGTCAGCATGATGCAGCATTTATGCGGAGCATCTGCTGAGTCAGTATATGCAGCAATATTAACGTAATCCACGGCCGAGCCGCGAATACGACCGAGCCGCGAATTTTCGCCGCTCCGAAGGTATTCTTGAAGCTTTTCAACCACCAACACCATTAAATTAAATTAAATATTATATGAATATGAAGCTATTTACTGGGGCAGTTTCATATTGTATGTCCAACATTCTAGCAGCTACTGCAGCGTGGTGGAGCGCGTTAGCAAGGCATAGGTGTATTTCTAATAACCTACTCAATAACCTGCTCATTAAGCTGCTGGACACACTCATGACCTTCCTGTACAGAGATAAAGAGGTTATCCCCTAGAGAAGCACATTTCCTTGCTTTTTTCTTTATTTTCTGCTCATTTTCAGCCCGTAGAACCTTTATCTCCTGTTAGAGAAGAAGATTCATATTCATTGCCATAGATGCAGCCTTTTTAAGGTGTTGAATATATAATACTAGACTGCTAGAAAGGGTTCTTTTCTTTTAAAGACTTCTCTATAGGCTTTAAACTTTGCAATCAATTTAGTAAGGATTCTGAGGTATTTAAAAAGCAGAAGAGATTAACCCATCAACTTTAATAAGAGGTGGTGTTAGCGTATGAAGTTAGAAGGTGATTTTCTTAAGAACCCAGTCTTTATTTAGTGGTTTAAGACCAGCTCCTGTGAAGCTATTATATATATTCTTCTTAGTAAAGACTGCTGCACAGGCTGGAGGATATAGGTATAGGAAATCCTCTTTATTAATATAGTTATTTCCAGCTGTCATCATCCCCTTAATAAGCTTTCCGTATGCGCGTTTAAGTGGCCCAAAAACACCAACATTAAGGGGTTAAAGAAGGTGAGATGTATATGGAGGCATGTAAAGATAAATAATTATATTTCTCTTATAAAAATCATTAAATTCAGCAGTTTAGTGGCTTAAATGGCCATTAAGAATAAGCAACCGCTTCGCGCCAGTTAAGTATGGTCTTGAAAAGGGTTTATATACCTCTTTTAACCACCTCAGGCCTATCTCATCTATTGTCCAGCCATTTGAACTATTAGTAAGCCTCTAATCTAGAGGTAGGTTAGGCTCTTAATACCATAGAGCCTGGTGTTCTTTCCCCTTCAAGATAACCACTGGTGGTATAGAAATCCCTTTTAAAGCTGTACATTTAATGATTATGACCCATTTATAATTACCCTGGATAACTCTATAAGGTCTCTCACTGTACTCTACTGCAGTAATAACCTTAGATATTATACAGAGTTTCATGGCAAAGCCAGTTTCATTAAAGTTCCAGATATCATCTTAATATATACCATGCTCTTAAATAGCTGTATATATAGTTTAAAACCACTATTTTAAGACCTCTAGATCCTCCTGCTTTACACACTAGTATGTAATCCTCTAATTATATCTTATATGTACTTTAGGACAGCGTTTAACAAAGGAATATAACTAGTTAATCTTAATAACTGTAGAAGGGTCCTGTATACACTCATAGAGTAAAAGCTATGCCATTCCACGCAGGAATTCTAGTCTAATTAAAAAGCCTTATCTATCTGCATCTAGCAGTAGCTGGATAAGAGTTTCTTCTTTAAAAGCAGTCAATTTGTGGCCATTGGCGTGTGTTTCAGATCATGGTTTAATACCAGCAAGCCAATTGTGAAGTATAGATTCAGGTATGCCAAATATCTCAGCAGCTTTTAATTTTGATTTAACTTTTTTCTCTTTCCATACAGAAATGGCCATTTGAATATGAGCTTCCTTAGATAAAGGCATTTTATATGAAAATATGAAAAAACTGACGCGTTGAAGGTGGTTGTTTGGAATATTTAGTGGGAGCGGCGAAAATTCGCGGCTCAGTCGTATTCGCGGCTCGGCCGTGGATTACGTTATGCAAGCATAATGTGATGAGTCAGTTTATTTATACATGGTGAGTCAGCAGCTATGCAAGCATAACATAATCCACAAGCGAGCTGCGCACCCAAGCGAGCTGCGCAACCCCCAACATTCCAACGCGTTTTAATTAATTAAAGCAGTTCAATTCATCACCATGCCACCAAAATCGCGTCAAATCGCTCAATATTCAGGGAATCAAGAGGGACAGATTCTATTGGCTATTTCTGCAATTTAAAAGGGTCAAATACCATCTATATAACAAGCAGCAGCTGTATTTTAAGTTCCTGAATTAACCCTTTAAACCTGACTGCATGGAATCACTCCACGCTTAGAAAAGCGTGTAAATAACCATAAATTAACTTAATTTAAAGAATAATTGCTTGTCTAATGGATCCTTTCTATAGATTAACATGGAATGCCCCCCCGGCCGGCAACTGTATAAGAAATGGCTAATATTCTCCTAGTAAAGTGTAGTTCTATATCTACATAACCTACTGGTAAGAACTGGGTCTATAACTTTGTTAAACGCCACCTAGAATTAAAGATAAAGTTCTTATAAAAATATAACTATCAGCGTGTACAAATAGAGGATCTAAAAGTTATAAAAGAATAGTTAAATTATATATAAATCACTATTATATAATATAGGATTGCTGCAGAAGATATCTATAACTTTAATAAAATAGGATTTATAATAGGATTAGTTATAACTGCTAGGGTTATTACTAGCTTAGAGGCAGCTAGTTGTCTATCTCTTATCCAGCCAGGAAATTAGGAATAGGTGACTTCAATTAAATCTGTAAATGTAATAGGATGGGCTTTACCTCCATGCATTATATTTAAAGGAAAGACCTATATAGAAGGCTGGTATGAAGACAATACCTTACTAAAGGATTAGATGATTGAAACCAGTGATAATAGATGGACTACTAATGAGATTAGATTAAAATGGCTTTAAAAAATCTTTATTCCAGCTATAAATAGCTGTATAGTTGGAAAAAAACGCCTCTTAATCCTTAATGGCTATGTATCCCACTTAGCCCCTAAATTTAATCTTATCTATAGTAAGAATAATATTATTCTACTCTACATGCCTGCATATTCATCTCATCTACTACAGCCCCTAGATATTGGCTGTTTTGCTATTTTAAAGCGCTTATATAGCTGCTTAGTGGAGCAGAAGATATAGGTTAGAGTTAACTATATTAATAAAATTAACTTCCTTACTGCATATCCCCACGCCTGTACAGAGGCTTTTAAAGCAGATAATATAAAGAATGGATTCGCAGCAGCTGGACTATAGCCATTAAATCTAGAAAGAGTGCTTTAAAAACTAAATATTTAACCTCATACACTAACACCCCCAGGGAGCCGCTCCACTAATTCAGTGCTAAAAACACCTTATACAGTTAAGCAACTGGAAAAGTAGGTATCTATAATTAAGAAGCTGCTTCAGGCATGTATAGAGAGTCCTTTAAGTCTAATAAAAACAGCACTAGATTAACTAGTTAAGGGTTGTTAGATAGTAATAAATAGTGCAGTTCTTTTAGCAAAGGAAAACAGTGATTTATAAGCTGCCAATGTAAAGCAGCAGGATAAAAGAAAGTGATCTACTAGGCAGATACCTAATCTAGGAGGCTTAACTGTATAAGAGGCTCAGGATGCAATACAATGTGAGAATGAGATCAGAAATGACCCTGCACCTGTATCTACTGATCCTGCTGCGGCTGCATCTCAACGGCCTGTACGAGCGCCCCCGCGCTGCAGTGACTGTCATAACATTGGACATAGGCGATTGCAATGTCCTAATCGCAATCGCAGCTAGTTTTTATATAGAAATGCATTATTTTGTTGTTGAATTGCTTCATATTTCAACCGCGGTCGGAGAGTTGCGCAGCTCGGTTGGGTGCGCAGCTCGCTTGTGGATTACGTTAACTATGTCTGCTGATTCAGCAGTTATGCTCCACTGTCCGTGTTTATCCTGGCCACTCTAATTGGCTGCAGATGATAATGCCATTATAATGATCAACATTTACCTACTCTGTCAGTTAAGTACACTAAAAACAAATTCATCTGACCGGTTATGTGGATCGCATTCAGCTCGTTCAGCTCTTCAGCTATTCAAGCTTTCAGCTCAGCTACACGGCAGACAGCCAACTCATAAAGTAAATGACACACAAGGTCCACCAGCTAAACTCGGTAGCATGGAATCACCAAACCATAAGGCCCATACACGGCTGGCGATGTCCAGTAGGATACTCACATATGCCCCAATGCCTTGATCTGCCAGGCAACTAGCACATATATTCATCCCGATCATCTAGTTCGCATCGCGTCAATTTCAGCTGTGGACCGTCATCGGCATATAATAACCTCCATGATGTCGTCGCGATTGCTCGTCAAATTCAACATCAGCACCAGAGCATTATGGAAAAAACAGTCAATATAGACCTCGTCGTCATCGGAGCTGGTATGCCGTGTATGCCCCATCATCACTAGATCAACTAACGATTCAGGATGGTTTGGTTTGGCCGCTGCCAAAGCCTATATCGACATTAATCCCCTGCACAATGTGGTCATCCTAGACAGCGCTCCCTCTGTAGGGGGAGTGTGGGCAACATACCGTCTGTATAAAGGATTGGCGACGAACAACATCGTCGGTAGTTTTGAATACAGCGACTTTCCCATGGATGAGCGATTTGGTGTTCGTCCAGGGCATCATATTTCCGGAGACTCCATCAACCAATATCTAGAAGCGTATGTGGATGAATTCGGGTTGCGCAGTCGAATACAGTGTGACTCCAAAGTGGAAACAGCCACACATAGTCCGGATGAATCGTGGGTTCTGCATATCACTCAGTCTGGCAGTTCCAGATGTCTTCACGCCCGCAAGATGATTGTTGCAACGGGCCTCAACGCAGAGCCGATCATGCCGACATTCGCTGGTCAGGAGGAATTCCAAACTCCTCTCTTCCACTGTCGTGATTTGGCTGAAAATGAATCGATGTATTTAAAATCCGAACGACCCGTGACGGTCCTTGGATGCAACAAGTCCTCCTGGGATACGGTGAACGCCTGCGCAGCGTCCGGCCAGCAGGTCGACTGGATAATTCGTGCTTCAGGACATGGTCCGATCTTAATGGCATCGCCGTATTTCACGCCATGGAAGGTGAAGCTGGAGAGAATGCCTTCAACGCGACTAGTCTCCTGGTTCAGTCCGTGTATCTGGGGTGACGGGCGTCTTCCCCGATTTCTGCATCGCACATGGCTGGGTCGAAAGGTGGTGAGCGCATTCTGGAAGGGCATGGATAAGTGTATTCATCCCGTAGAGCAATATAACGCCCATCCTGAGATGCAGAAATTGATGCCCTGGGGAGACGCGCCGTCATTCAGCGTGTGGAATTATCCCACCGACGATCTTGTCGATGCAGTCCGCAATGGCACAGTCAGGATTCACATCGCCAACATCACCCATCTCTCCTCTCAGACTGTCCATCTTTCAACCGGGGAAAGCCTCCCTTCAGCAGCACTGATTTGCTCAACTGGATGGAAGCCCTGTCCGCCCATTAAATTCCTCCCAGAAGGGATAGAAACAGAACTGGGACTGCCCAGCGGCAACGACATCGACGAGCAGATCATCGACGCAGCCAACAAACACATCCTTGGTCGGCTTCCCCGCTTGAAGAAAGAACGTCACGATAACCTGCCCAACTACAAGCCCATGACCGATCAGGAGCCAGACCATCCATACCGACTCGCACGGTTCATGGTGCCGCCCTCGATGGTGTCCGAACGGTCCGTCGTCTTCGTGGGGGCAATACACACCTTTCACACGGGTCTCGTCTCCCAAGCACAGGGTCTCTGGGCAGCAGCGTATCTCAGCGACCGACTCACCATAACCCCGAGTAGCGAGCTGCCGGCGTCACTCCGATCGGGCAAGCAGGGGGACGCAGCCAGTAGAGAAGAGGACGTGCTGTGGGAAACGGCATTACACTCGCAGTTTTGCAGGCTCCGGCATCCCGGGCCGCTGGGCAAGTGGCATGGAAACGTGGGGTTTGATTTACTGCCGTACTTGGATTTGTTGTTGAAGGATCTGGGCTTGCAGGGACGCCGGAGATCCGGGGTGAAGGAAATGTTGGGCTCGTATTCGGCGGGGGATTATCGGGGGTTAACGAGAGAGTGGAGAGAGAGGCAGCGAATGGGTGTGGATGGGTGACATTCATGATGTTGATACCTGAGTCTGTACATATGATGATGATAATGATGATGAATATTGAATCACTGTAATGGTGAATGGCCGTGGGGGTGGCGTCTCGCCCGAGAGACACGGAGCTTCAACTCCTCTCAGACTGCCGATAACAGGGTTGAGGACTGCCGCAGAAGATCGCGGACATGCTCCGAGTGGCTGGCTGGCTGGAGGTTTCATAGCAGAAGTACATGATGTCAATAACTTCCCCGCTGCGGAGGAGCCCCGATCCACTGCGTGTTTTGACTCTTTGGGAATTGATGGAGATACCCCGGATTCTGTGCTTCTTCTGATTGGATGGGCGTGAATTCCCCTCCCGTGTCATGCGATCCCCCACGTTTTCCCCAGACCCCCGCAATAGTATAAAGTAGTATAAATACCAGTACAAGTAAATAGTAAATAGTAGTGGACAGTACACAGCCAGTCAACAGAAATGGCAGGCATCACAGACCACGATGCAATGGGCGAAAAGGCCGAGATGAGCCACGAGGAAGTGGTCCATCTGACCCAGCTCACAGAGGAAGAGAAGCGGATTGAGAAGAAACTGCGACTGCGCATCGACAGTCTGATCATGCCGCTGGTGATTCTCGTCTATCTGCTCAACTACATTGATCGGTATGTCTACCATATCCATATCTATCGATCCAATGCTAATTCAGTAGTAACAATTATGCGGCCGCCAAACTCCAAGGCCTCGAAGAAGACCTCAATCTCGACGATCAGAAATACCAAACCGGTCTCTCCATTCTCTTCGTCGCCTATATCCTCATGCAGGTCCCCTCCAATCTCCTTCTCAACTACATGGGCCGTCCTTCGCTCTATCTCGGCTTCTTCACTGCTGCTTGGGGATTGGTGTCTGCTCTGACCAGCCAGGTCAAGGGATACGGAGGCATTGTCGCCTGTCGCTTCATCCTCGGTCTGGTCGAGGCCCCTTTCTTTGCTGGTGTCCTCTTCTATCTCTCCAAATGGTACACCAAGAAAGAACTCGCCTTTCGCATGTCCATCTTCTACTCGGGCTCTCTCTTCTCCGGCGCCTTTGGCAACCTCATCGCCGCCGGTATCCTCAACGGCCTCGAAGGCCACCGCGGCCTCTCCTCCTGGCAATGGCTGTACATCATCGAAGGCGCCATCACCATCGCCGTCGGCCTCGCCATCATGGCCATCCTCCCCGACTTCCCAGACACCTGGCGGCTCCTCGACCCGGAAATGAAACACGTCGCCAACCGACGTCTCGCCATCGAAGCCGCCGAAGCCGACGTCGACCAAGCAGGCAAAATGAGCCAAATCCACGGCATGAAACTCGCCTTCACCGACGTCAAGACCTACGTCCTCGCCATCGCCTACATGTCCATCACCGGCGCCAGCGGGTTCCAAAACTTCTTCCCTACCCTCACCGAAACCCTCGGCTACACCAAGATCATCTCGCTGCTTCTCGTCGCGCCCCCCTACATCTTCATGGTCGGCTACTCCCTCGCCCACTCCTACCTCTCCGACAAATACAGCAACCGCTTCTGGTTCTTCGTCTACCCCATCCCCATCACCATCGTCGGCTTCGTCATCTTCATGGCCACCGAGTCCTTCGGTCCCCGCTACTTCTCCTTCTTCCTGATGGTGTTTGTCTTCGCGCAGAACGGCACCGTCTACTCCTGGATCGCGAACGCTATCCCCCGTCCCCCTGCAAAGCGAGCCGCCGCATACGCATTCATCAACTCGGTCGGAAACTCGGCCAGTATCTGGACGCCTTTTACGTACCGCGAGAAGGATGCGCCGTTTTACCGTCCCGCGCTGGGGGTGTGTATTGCGCTGCAGGTGGTTGGGCTGGTCATGGCGTTATTCATGTATGTGCATCTGCGTGGGCTGAATAAGAGACTGGATAGATTGGAAGATGAGGATGTGATTCTTACGGACGAGGAGATAAAGAGATTGCAGCATACGGCGGAGGTGGAGGGAATTGATATTGCGGCTGCCAGACGGTTGCAGAAGGGATTCAGATATATGATTTGATTTAATTAATAGTAGTTTACATAGTGAATTGTGAACAGTGATGTGACATGATGATATTTAAATGTTCGATTGCAATGTAACGTTAATTCGGGTGGCGACAAATCGATTACATCAACACATCCAAAGTATCGACGGAAGTATCGACGGTTTGAATTTACTTTTATTCAATTAACCTCGGAAATCTTTCTCCTGCTGTCTGATATCATACCTATTATTTTCATCATTTTCAACATGTGTATCGCCGTGTTATCGACCGCTCATCCAGACTATCGCCTCATCATCGTCAACAACCGCGACGTACGTATATCCCTCTCTCCAAAAGACTACATCTAACAGAATAGGAATTCCTCCATCGTCCGACCTCCCGCGCAGACTGGTGGCCCAACAACCCCAGCATCCTCAGCGCCCGCGACCTCGCCCGTTCTATCCACGGCACCTGGCTCGGAATCACCAAGCAAGGCCGACTCGCCGTCCTAACCAACATCCACGAACCCAACTGCGAACAGGCAGTCGGCATCTGCAGTCGCGGGGAGATCGTCAACAGCTGGCTGGAGGGATCGGGGGAGAAGCAGCAGACGACAGCCGAGTTCGTGGACGCGATGATGGCCAGCAATGTGATGGATCACATTGCTGGGTTTAATCTGATCTGTGGCTATGTGGGCGAGCCGTTGGCTGTCATTTCGAATCGGGCGAATCCGCGCGTTCACTGGATTCAAAATCAGCCGGGGCAGACGGTCGCGATGAGCAATACGGGATTCGAGGATCGGTCGTGGCCCAAGGTGATTATGGGGGAGAAGTTTGTGGATGAGGCCATTACGGAGCAGGTGAAGCTGGGCGAGACGGAGGATGAGTTCATTGTGAGGTTATTCGAGACATTCGCGACTGATACCCTGCCTCGGCTGTCTGAGGATAGTCTGGAGGCGTATCTAGACGAGTTTCCCAAGAGTGTATTCATCCCGACCATAGGAAGCAGCAAGGCAACGCAGACAGGCTATCTCGAGGGTGCCTACGCAACGCAGAAACAGACCGTGGTGCTGGTTGGCCTGGACGGACGCGTGCGATACGTGGAACGGACGCTGTACGACGAGGACGCAAACACGGTGCCCGGAGCAGATCGCTCCTTTGAATTCACGGTGGAGCGATAAACCGATGAGTGATTTTTCCTGTACATAGTAAATATTAATCGTCAAAGTTCAACCCAGACATGTAAAATTCCCAATTGCGGTGTAGAGAGCACATTCCAATCCCACTCTGATATCATCTTGCGGGTGGCCGCCTCATTAATTGGACAACCCCTCCATTCTGCACGCTGCCCCCTTGCTGATTTGGCCACGCAGGTGTTGTGTGTCCATGGCTTGCTGCTTCGACTGTGGGGGAGGGGAGGTGGCAATGGAGGGGGATTCCGCCGGTTCTGTGCTCTCATTGCCCATCGAGTGTCGTTCGTTTCGCGACCCAAAAATGGCTTCATCTCCAATTCGCCGGATTAGGCAATATCACGTGACTCGCCCGTTGGTCGTGCCAGATGAGGTCATCGCCACGAGGAATATATATACGCTCGAATGCCGTCGTCAATAGGATTAACTTCTCAGCCTTATCCGTCATTCTAAGTGTTATCATCAGTAACGCAGTACCAAGTCATCAATATGCTCCCTCCATCTCAGTTCTCGAGAACCTCCCGCCTCGCCCGTATCACCACGCATTCTACTCCCATCCGCTCCTTCTCCATCGCCATTCCCGCCAGAAAAGCCGATGCAGAATCTCCCAAGCCTCGAGGCTTCCTCGCTGAGTGCGTTTTACCCTTGTCCTCTTTTCTCTTTTCCCTGGATGCGTCCGTGGGAGTACCATTCATGGCATCCCCTGGCGCATCATTCATGACGTCACGTTCCAGACACTGACTTTTTCCAGAAAGGATGGGTACTCACGGCGAGAACAGGCGTATGAGGGTCTGTATGTCAAAGCCCATGAGGCAGAGAGGTATGTGCTGTTGTTTTTGATGATATGACATGAGCTGATGTAGTAGGCTGTTTGTCCTCCGACGCAAGATGAAGGAACAACGACGACAGCTGGAAGAGTTGGACAGGAGTTTGTGAGAAGCATCTTAACATTCGATATCGTCATTTGCTAATCAGACAGCCATGCAATTTCCAAGGGACAACCCAGCACTGCCCAAGTGTAAAATGACTGACTTGACTTGATACCTTTTGTTTTTCGTTTGTTTATTGTTTTATGATCTACTACGATGATCTACGAAGTGCATTATTATGATCAGATTGAGACTCCAATTTGCCTGGTTCGTCACATTTGTATATATGCGTGAAGGCAAAAAGTCCTTAGACATTGCTTAGATTGTGTCTTGTTGCACAGGATAGATAGATGTGCCTGTTCAATATATATTTCAGTCGTTTGTCATCACAGTATTCGACATGCACAACGTAGATAGAATGAACAGATCTATTATAATTTATAAAGTATTACTTTCAAATATATATTTATGGTTAACATATATTCAGCATTTATCAAATGAAATGCCTCCACGTTGATACCGCCTGTGCTTTAGACATTCCTCGCATTAGAGTATAAACACCAGCCAGATCTAAGTATGATGCCAGATATATGCCATGTGATAGCATTGTATCCAAATATACCTCAATCCATCCATGAACCTGGTGAGTGCCTTAAGAGTAAGCTGACCATCACTACCATCGCACCGTGTAGCTGCTTATATCCAGTTTAATACAAAATCAGGCCAGCCTTACAGCCTGTGTGGTTGGCAGCACGGACAACATTTCCCAATATAGCTCTGCAAGCTGTCAGACTCAACGCCAAGTCGGATGAACTTCAACACTGTCATGAGCATTTTCAAGGATCTAGAATGCATCTGCCTTGTTAGGAAACCCTGTCGATCCCGAGACAGTCGCAAATTCGTGTCAGAATCATATCTTATCGTCGGCCTTTAGCGAGTGTCCGAGGCCGAGATACCGCGCCAAGTCGGAGTCAATCTGATGTCAGAAAATGTAGTCACAAACTGAATGATATTGGATGTAGCTATTGGATATGGCTATGTGAAAGTGATGTGTCAAACAGACATGCAGGGCTGATTCACAGTATGATCTACGGAGAATATTGAATTGAGATTTCACCAGTATATACTTGGAGCTGCTGTGGTAGTTTGACTCCTAATTTAGGATGATACGAACGCCGAGTCTTGTACACATACAACACCCCTAATCTCCTATTAAAATTTGAAACTGCTAATAAAAGCCCTAATAAACTCCTATTGATATTTCATCGCCATGTGCTGAATTAAAGCCCCTCCAGTCTAGTCACTAGTAATCCATCGGTCGAATAATTCGCCCGACCTGGCCGCACTAGCCAGATACAGCTAGTATTAGCGGATAAACCACCCATTTCCGATGAGTCAGCGGGGAAATGTCGTCCATCCAAACACCGGCTACCGATCAGGCCCCCACCCTCTGCCCTCCCATTGGCTACAAATCTCGTGACTCAGCGGAAAAAACAGACGCCCGTGCCGTGTGGGCCCGCTAAGCCCGAAACGCCCCACTGCACGGTTCTTCTATGGCTTCTTCTGCGATGATTCGGCCAATCCTCATCAATCATCATCGCATCACAGAATGGCAGCTGGATCCACGGCCCAGGCACCGTCGGCGCTCGGATTCGGCCTCCGCTGCTTATGGCCGGTCCGATTGTGTTATTCTTTTTTTCTTCTTCTTATGAATAGTCGACGGCTCCCCTGTCTGTCTCTTCTGCAAACCGTCTTTCTTTCACTCCCCTCACTATACGGTATCGTTCACCATGGAGGACCAGGGACACCCCCAGTCGTCCGGACCGCCGTCTGAGATCAGAGACGATGGAGACAGCAGTGCTACTGTCTTCCCTGAGGAGAAGCCCAACCAAGTCAGCCGGGCTGAAGGATGGGCTCTCATGGCCGAGGTCAAGAAGCAACGCGAACGAGAAGTCGCCTCGGGCTTCAAACGCAGAGAATTGGGCGTCACATGGAAGGACCTGAGCGTCGAAGTCGTCAGCGCCGAAGCCGCCGTCAACGAGAACGCCCTGTCGCAATTCAACATCCCCAAACTCATCAAGGAGTCGCGCCACAAACCTCCGATGCGTTCTATTCTTCAGAACAGTCATGGCTGCGTCAAGCCCGGTGAGATGTTGCTGGTGCTGGGACGCCCAGGCTCTGGCTGCACCACTCTGCTCAAGATGCTTTCCAACCGCCGACTGGGTTACAACTCCATCCAGGGTGACGTGCAGTTCGGATCTCTCACTGAAAAGGAGGCTGCTCAGTATCGCGGCCAGATCGTCATGAACACTGAGGAGGAACTTTTCTTCCCTTCATTGACCGTTGGCCAGACCATGGACTTTGCTACCAAGCTCAAGGTCCCCTTCAACCTCCCCGAGGGCGTCGACTCTGCCCAAGCCTACCACGAAGACACCAAGCGGTTCTTGCTCGAATCCATGGGCATCTCCCACACCAACGACACCAAGGTCGGTAACGAGTACGTCCGGGGTGTGTCGGGAGGAGAGCGTAAGCGTGTTTCCATTATCGAATGCCTGGCCACCCGTGGCTCCGTTTTCTGCTGGGACAACAGTACTCGAGGTCTCGACGCCAGCAATGCTCTGGAGTGGACCAGGGCCATCCGTGCCATGACCGATGTCCTGGGCCTGTCCACTATTGTCACGCTATACCAGGCAGGAAACGGTATCTATGACCTGTTCGACAAGGTGTTGGTGCTGGACGAGGGCAAGCAGATCTACTACGGCCCCATGACCGAGGCCCGTCCCTTCATGGAGGACTTGGGCTTCGTCTGTCGTGATGGCTCCAACGTGGCTGATTTCTTGACCGGTATTACCGTCCCGACTGAGCGCAAGATTAAACCCGGCTACGAGAGTCGATTCCCCCGAAACGCTGACCAGGTTCTGGCCGAATACGAAAAGTCGCCCATCAAGAGCCAGATGGTGGCCGAGTATGACTACCCGACTACTTCGCTGGCCATCGAGCGCACCGAAGACTTCAAAGCTGCTGTCGCCAGTGATCGGTCTAAAAGACTCCCCAATAACAGTCCGATGACCGTCGACTTCCTCACCCAGGTCCGAACCTGCATTATCCGACAGTACCAGATCCTCTGGGGTGATAAGGCGACCTTCTTCCTCACCCAAGTTGCAACCATCATCCAGGCTTTGATTGCTGGTTCTCTCTTCTACAACGCCCCCAGTAGCTCAAGCGGTCTCTTCATGAAATCTGGTGCTCTCTTCTTCTCTCTGCTCTACCACAGTTTGCTCGCCATGTCCGAAGTTACCAGTTCCTTCAACGGTCGACCGGTCTTGATCAAGCACAAGTCCTTCGCCATGTTCCACCCTTCCGCCTTTTGCCTTGCTCAGATCACGGCCGACATTCCCGTGCTCCTCTTCCAGATTAGTACTTTTGCGCTGATTGTGTACTTCATGGTTGGCTTGACCATGTCGGCATCCGACTTTTTCTCTTACTGGATTATGATTTTTGCTAGCACAATGGTAAGTTCGCTCAACATCATGTCAAATTACAGTACTAACAAAATGTAGTGCATGACTGGTCTTTTCCGAGCCGTCGGTGCATTGTTCTCGACCTTTGATGGTGCATCCAAGGTTTCTGGATTTTTGATCAACGCCCTGATCATGTACACCGGATATATGATCCAGAAGCCGCAAATGCACCCGTGGCTGGGTTGGATCTACTGGATCAATCCTCTGTCATACGGTTTCGAGGCCCTTCTTTCCATTGAGTTCCACAACAAGGTAATCCCCTGTGTGGCGAACAACCTCATCCCCAATGGCCCCGGTTATACCGACTCCCGGTACCAGTCCTGTGCGGGTGTTGGTGGCGCCAGGCTTGGAGCCACAACCGTTAACGGCGATGACTATTTGGCTTCTCTGTCTTACCGCCACTCCCATCTCTGGCGAAACTTCGGTATTGTTTGGGCTTGGTGGGCACTGTTCGTTTTCGTGACCGTTCTTGCAACTTCCAGATGGAAGGCCGCCGCAGAGACCGGAAACTACCTTCTCATTCCCCGTGAGAGAGTCGACAATGTTCGTGGAAACGCCCGTCCAGACGTGGAGTCTCAAGCCAACGAGAAGAGCTCCAACTCGGCCAAAGAACCCCAGACCAGTGAGGAAGAGCTCAACAAGCAGCTTATCCACAACACCTCGATTTTCACATGGAAGAACCTTAGCTACACCGTCAAGACCCCCAGCGGAGATCGTGTCCTGTTGGACAATGTTCAAGGATGGGTGAAACCGGGCATGTTGGGTGCCTTGATGGGCTCTTCTGGTGCGGGAAAGACTACGCTTCTGGATGTGTTGGCTCAGCGCAAGACTGAGGGAACCATCAATGGATCTATCCTCGTCGACGGTCGTCCTCTTCCAGTTTCTTTTCAGCGATCCGCCGGTTACTGTGAGCAGTTGGATGTACATGAACCATTCGCGACTGTTCGCGAAGCTTTGGAATTCTCTGCCCTGCTCCGTCAATCGCGTGATACACCCCGGGAAGAAAAGCTCAAATATGTTGACACCATTATCAACCTGTTGGAATTGCACGATATTGCTGATACATTGATTGGTCGCGTGGGCGCTGGTCTGAGTGTTGAACAGCGCAAGCGTGTCACTATTGGTGTTGAACTTGTCTCGAAGCCTAGTATTCTGATCTTCTTGGATGAGCCTACTTCTGGTCTGGATGGCCAATCTGCATACAACACTGTTCGTTTCCTGCGCAAGCTAGCCGATGTTGGCCAAGCTGTGTTGGTGACCATCCACCAGCCATCTGCTCAGTTGTTCGCAGAATTCGACACTCTGTTGCTCTTGGCCAAGGGTGGTAAGACTGTCTACTTCGGTGACATTGGTGACAACGGTCAGATTGTTAAGGATTACTTTGGTCGCTATGGCGCCCCATGCCCTCCTGGCGTCAACCCTGCGGAACATATGATCGACGTCGTCTCTGGACATCTCTCGCAAGGCCGGGACTGGAACCAGGTCTGGCTCGACTCCCCTGAACACGGCACGACTACCAAGGAACTTGATCGCTTGATTGAAGGCGCTGCATCCAAGCCCCCTGGCTACAATGACGATGGATTCGAATACGCCATACCACTCTGGCAGCAAACAAAGATCGTGACCTCTCGCATGTGCCTCGCCTTGTATCGAAACACTGACTACATCAACAACAAGTTCGCCCTACACATTGGTTCTGCTCTGTTCAACGGTTTCTCATTTTGGATGATTGGTGACAGTGTTGGATCTATGCAACTGCGTCTTTTCACCATCTTCAATTTTATCTTCGTGGCCCCCGGTGCTCTGAACCAATTGCAGCCGCTATTCATTGAACGTCGGGACATTTACGACACACGTGAGAAGAAGTCGAGGATGTACTCATGGAAGGCCTTTGTGACTGCCTTGATTGTCTCCGAGTTCCCCTACCTGTGCATTTGCGCCGTGCTTTACTTCGTCTGCTGGTACTACACTGTTGGCTTCCCCAGTGACTCCAACAAGGCCGGTGCCACTTTCTTCGTCATGCTGATGTACGAATTCGTCTACACCGGAATTGGTCAATTCATCGCCGCCTACGCCCCCAACGCCACCTTTGCTGCTTTGGTGAACCCGGTCTTCATCGGTACTCTGGTTTCATTCTGTGGTGTGTTGGTGCCTTATGCGCAGATCCAGGAGTTCTGGCGGTACTGGATCTACTACCTGAATCCCTTCAACTACCTGATGGGCGGTATGCTGGTGTTTACCGTCTGGGGCACCGACGTCAACTGCAAGGAAAGCGAGTTTGCCCGATTCAACCCGCCCAACGGATCAACCTGTGGCCAGTACATGAGCGATTACATGATGACGGTGGGAACACGGATGAACCTCGTCAACGCCGATGCCACTACCGACTGTCGCGTCTGTCAATACCGCACTGGAAGCGACTATCTCTACACGATCAACCTCAAGGACTACTACTACGGCTGGCGGGACAATGCCATTGTGGTCATTTTCGCCATCAGCTCGTATGCCCTTGTTTATGTGTTGATGAAGCTGCGGACCAAGACGTCCAAGACGGCTCAGTGATCTCTTCTCTTCTCTGTTTCTTTTTATAATTTCTTTTTGTTTGAATATTCCGATGGAAAAGTATCGATGACGGTATAATGTTTATAGACTTGCCATGAGCATTTCAGGAGTTGTATGATTTACTATCTACTAGATACCTGTGATATCAATTAATAGACTCACATTCTTATAATGAAAGTAACCTAACATAACATCGTAAACAATAAACAAAGCCAATCTTCACTCAACCCGAACCAACACCGACTTGGCTGCAATCTTCATCGCTAACTCCATCACCGACCCACTCGCCAGAATCTCCAGAATCGGCACCGTACTCTCCATATTCTTCGCTATCCAATTCCTCATTTCAACTGCCACATGCGAATCAATCCCGTACTCAGATATCGCACTGGAAGGATTAATACTATCCACGGGAACAGACAGATGAGACGCAATCTTCGCACTCAACGCCACGTAAACCAGCCCAGCCGCGTCATCGAGGTTCTTGACGGCTTTCAGGTCTTCGTGTAGTGTATCCGCGCTCTCCTCTGCATTGCCGCCTGAAAGGTGTAGATATCGTCGACGGAATTGCGCGAAGAGCGGCGCGTCAAAGTTACTCAGTGACTGTCCTTCCTTCCACTCCCCTAGCCCTGTTACTATCTGCGCCGTCTTCATCTTCACATCCTCAGTCGACTGCGACTGCATAATCGCCTTCTCAACCAACCCCATCAACGTCCCCGTATCCATCCCCACGAAACCCTGCTGCGCCATTTTCGCCGCTAACTCTTTATTCTCCGCGAGATAACCCACGTCTGTGATCACGCCTAGATCGAGTGCGATACCCGGTAGTCCGAGTGTATTTCGGTACGCGGCGAATGCGTCCATGAATGCTGACCCTGCCGCGTAGGCGGATTGTGTCGCATTACCGATTACCCCGCTGATGGAGGATAGGAGGAGGAAGAAGTCGAGGTCAGCGGGGAGGTGGTGGTGGAGGTTCCAGGTTCCGGCGTGTTTGGGGGATAGGACGGTGGTGTAGTCTGTTGCGGTCATTTTTTCGATGTGGATGTCCTTTCTCCGTTAGTTTAGAGCCATTGGGGGTATATAGTATATAGTAAATAAGTGAAGCATACTCGTAAAACCATCGCAGCTTGAATAACGCCCCGAATAGGAGGCGCCGTCTCTGCTAGATCAGCCATCGTCGTCTGCACGTCTTTGCTATTGGCAACATCGCAGCTTTGAACAATCACACGCACGCCTTTCTCTTCCAGTTCGTCGACGGTGGCCTGAGAACCCGGTCTGGATGTACCGCTGCGACTGACGAAGATGATACTTTTGGCGCCGTGCTCGGCCATCCAGAGGGCTGTTGCGAGGCCTATACCGCCCAGTCCGCCGATGAGCATGTATGATGCGTCTGGGTGGAGGAGGGTAGATGTGGTTTTTGGGGGTGTTGTCTGGAAACATCAGCTGGTTTCTTGATTAGTTTGACGAGGGGATTACCTTGACGAGGTCGTTGGATGTAGTCGTGACGACGACTAGAGATGTTTGGTCTTGATTGACTGCTTTGATGGCTTCGTTGATGCTGGAGATGGGATATGTTGACTGTGAAGGAGGTCCGTAGAGAATTCCCTGGCTGAATAGAATCATCACCTTACTCCAGATATTGGCCAGGATATCTGGTTGTTCTTTTTGTAGATTTGCAAAATCGAATGTGGTAAAGGTGATGTCTTTTGTGAACCGTGGCAGGGAAAGACGACTTGTCTGTATAGCTTGCGTACCGACTTGGATGAACCGACCATATGGTGATATACATTTCCAGAGAGAATGGAGTCTTCTGTTGTCTGGATCGTGGCAGTCAATGACAACGTCGACTCTTGATGTTCTGATGATCTCCTTGATAGAAGACTCTGCGCCGATGAAGATCTGGTTCTCTGGAATGTTGAGCGAAGACAACATCATCTTTTGGCTTTCTGATGCCACAATAGCCAATACATCACATCCAACAGCATGGCACATTTCCACCGAAGCCAGGCCGCATGGATCAGCTGCGTCGTGTATCAACACCGCCTCGCCTGTACTGATCCTCGCCAGACGATGCAGCATATAATAAGCCGCACAGTATGCCACTGGCACCGTCGCACCCACTTCATAGGATAGATTATCGGGCAGTTTCTGGAATGCTGATGCCTGGCCATGGTAGATATTCGCTGCTGTTCCTGAGCCCAGACAGGCAACGCGATCACCGGGCGTGAAGCCCTCGACGTCTTTTCCCACGGTGTATACAGTCCCGCTGCATTGACAGCCTAGCAGGGATTCTGGGCTCATTTCTGATGCAATTCGTGCATCTTGTTTCGTGAGACCGATTGCGTGGACGTGGATTCCGACGTGGTCGTCTGGGAGGTCAGTCGGTCTGTGATCATCGTCGAAGTGAATATCTTCATTGTCATCAACTACTGCTCGAAGGGGTCTGTCTTGATGGAATGGTTCATCGTGGAGAACGTCCAGACCAGCAGATGCAATCGACTCATTCAATGCAGCATCTTCAACAATCCTAGGTATCAGAATCCTCCCATCACGCTCCGCATACTCAGTATCAGCACCGCTCAATCTACCCACAAACAGATATCGAAAAAGATCTGAAATAACCCCCGCAGCACGACACCCATCAAGAATATTCCTCCCATCCAAGTCCAGCGTGACGATCGGATCAGCACCGGACTCTGAGCGAGCTGTCCTCGCAAATCCAACGGCTAATCCTGCGTCCGGGTTTGTGGGGGATATTGTGCCTCCGCGGGTGACCCAGAGAACGCCCGTGCTGTATAGGAAGATTTGCTTGAGGATGGAGAGAGTTTCCTCGGATGGGCTGGCTAGGAGAGGTGTTTTGAGGTCGCTGAGGATGATGCAGAGTCGGCCGGCTGGGATGGCGTGGGCGAGGTCTGTTGTTTCCACGTTGGAGGATTGGAGGAGGGATGTTAGGGTTGTGGATATGTCATTTTCTTCTTCAGTGATGATGAGGATGTCCAGGGGTGGTGGTGGTGTTTCTTTCAATGGGCGTGAAATGGTTAACGAGACATCGTGACATGGAGTGACGGAGAATTGTGCTTTGAGGGCATCATCCCACGCATTGTCTATCCTGGACAAGCTGCCAAAGATAATACAGTCTGACAGATTTTCACGATGGACAGGATCAATAAACACCAAATGGCCATCATCTCGAAGGATAGATCGGATATTCTTCACTGCCTGATCTCTCGACTTGGCCGTGTACAGCCCATTCGAGACGATGACAACATCATACTGCTTGTCTGTAAATCCCTGGGCCTTCAGATCCCCATTGATATCCAGCTTCTTGTAATTGACCCACTGGCTCCATCTGGTCAATTGCTGCGTTGAATTTTCAGAGTCATCAGTCAGGGCATACTGTCCACATCGAGGAATGTCGTCTTCGCCGGTGAGCTTGTCTAGGAAGATTGAAGATGCAGCTGCACCAGATCCGATCTCGAGAATCGACATTTTTGGATTCTTGTGGCCCAGCACGTTGAGGTATACAGAGGCTTGTTCGTAGCTCTGGATGACACGGGGTGTATTCCAGTATGTGCTCAGTATATTGTCGTCTAGGATGCTTGAAACGTCAACTTCTCCTTTCAAGATAGCTGGAAGCTGTTCTCCAATGGCGCAAAGCAGCTCATGTGGTTCTGTATCAAGTTTAGAGATGGTTGGATATTTTCTTGCAATTTCGACAAGACAATGCCACAGCTTCTTCAGATGGGCTTGTGGTGAGACTTCCGACTCGCTGACTGCATCCACTGCCTTTTTGATATATAACAGTGCACTGTCTTTATCCAAGTCTTCTGTGTGAACCTCATCAGCCGCAAGAAGCTTCGCGATATCCTCACTCGACAGAAGATCCGGATCAACATCCCATTTGAAGCGATACGCAAGACGATCAACCTGCTTCGCACTGCGTGTCGACGCACCACTTGCTATGCGTCTGCATCGCAAACCCGTGATAGACACAGCAGCACCGTCAGCATGATGTCTATCTCCAACCTCAATGGCAGCAAGAACATCACCACCTCCTCCCTTCCGCACGCGCGCGTGTATACTCATCTTCCCACCCGGAACAGTATCCACCCCCCTCGACACATATATCTCATCTATAAACACAGGAATAACCGGCTCCTCCGCCATCTTTATACCAGCCGATAGACTAGCAAAGATGGAATGGAAGAAACTATCCAGCGTGCATGGATGGATGACGAACGGATGCTGAAAGTGCATCGGCATCACGGCTGCGGTGTCGGGGATGGTGATTTCAGCCACGCAGACGTCTTTGGTAAAGTGTGCTGCTGTCATGTTGGCGAAGCAGGGTCCGTATTCGAGGCCTGCGGTGCTGAGTTTCTCGTAGAAGGGTTGGATGTCGAGAGTGCTGAGGGTGGATTTGTCGATGGGTTGTTGGATGGTGTCGCTTTCTGGGTTGCTGGTTTGCACTTGGATGTTTCCTTTGCAGTGTTCGGTCCATCTGTTGTCGTCTGTCACTGAGTAGACGTGGAATGAGTAGACTTTGTCTGAGTCTGAGTGGATGGACTCGGTCTTTCGTAGTGAGGTCATGACTTCGGCTGCAGATGTTTCGTGGATGACCAGCGCAGACTGTATAGAGACATCTCGAAGACGATATCCGAATACTTCATCTTGAGCAAGCTGTGACACTGCCTCAATAGCCATGGCGATATATCCAGCCGCGGGATAGACAATGTTAGACTGGATTTTATGGTCCTTCAACCATGGAATCTCCGACACTCTGATAATATCCCTCCATCGAGGCTCAAACGGACACGCCATGTTATCTGATACTCCCAGGAGATCAGAGCGAGGGAACTTGCGATTTCTATACGTCTTGCTCAGTCGGGGTTCGGCCCAGTAAGACCGGGAATGGTTCCATGCGTATGGAGGCAGATCGACGACGAGATGTGACTCATGTTTCTCTGGATTATTCAATGCCTGAAAGTTGATGGGATATCCAGAAGTTGCCAATGCTGCAGCCATTGTCAAGGCTGTGTTTACGGCGTTCATCTTGCGTATTAGTGGACTGGTATATGCGATATCCGCGGCATCGAGTTTGCCATCTGCTTTGAGAATCTGCTTGATCGACCCGGATAATGCAGAATGAGGCCCGACTTCGACTAGACAATCAACGCTGACCTTTTTCGCGGTGCGGGCTCGTTTGAAGCGTTTAGCTGCAGCACCTGCGTTCTTCTGGTTCGTCTCGAAGCAAAGCGTGCGGATGGCATCGACGAACTTGACCTGTCCAAGGAGATTGCTGACCCAATATTGAGGTCCAAGATCAGAGGCATAGACTTCTGTTCCTGTCACGGAGGAAAAGAACGATGCCTTTGCCATCTCCCTGGGTTTGATGTTCGATATGAACGCGAGGTATTCATCGCCAATCTGCTTCATGTGATGGGAATGATATGCGACGTTGACGGCAAGACGACGACTGAATACCTGCTTGTCGCTGAGGACGCTTTCCAACTCTTCAATTGCTGGAAGATCGCCAGAGATGGTCACTGTTGATGGGCTGTTGATGCAAGCCACCACCACCTTTCCTGATTTCAGTCTGTCCACATACGGCTGGACGTCTTCGGCTGACATTCCTAGCGCCATCATGCCCCCTTTTGTCTGTCTGTCTATAGGTAGTCTGCTGGCAGTGACGCCGCGATAATATGCAACCGTCATGGCATCCTCCATGCTCAACACGCCCACTGCGTATGCTGCTGCAATCTCCCCGCTGGAATGCCCGGTGACAGACTCGGCATAGATGTCCCATGTAGCCAGGAGATCGACGAGAGCGATCTGCAATGCCGAGCAGATGGGCTGGCTGTGAAGGGGATGGCTTAATCGGGTAGCATCTTGGTTTTCAAGAATCTCATCTACAGTCGTCAGTATTCAACACCGTATTGGGTAATATCACACATACCAACAAGACAATACGGCGCTCCAATCTGCGCCAAATGAGCATCAATCCTCTCAATCGAGTGTCTGAATGCTGGATACGCATGGAATAACTCCCTGCCCATGCCACACCACTGTGCGCCCTGCCCAGTAAAGACAAACCCCAGACTAGGCTTTTTGGCTGTTCGCTTCGGCTTCACATTTCCGGATAGAGCTTCGACTAGACTCGCTGCTGAGCTGCCTATCACGGCTGTCTTCCAGCTGAGTTTTGTCCGACGTTGGTTCAGCGTGTAGGCGAGGTTATTCAGGAACTCATCATCCCCTGAGTCTTTTCCTAGAAGATATTCCCGTAATGCTTCGGCTTGTTTAATGCAGGAGTTTTCGTCAAAACCGGAGAGTGTATAAACTCGCGTGCGATGGGTTTTCTGAGTATGACCGTTTCCGTTTATTTCACCATTTCCATTTGTGGCTTGGATAGCTGATGTTTCTATTCGGTATAGACCCTTCAGTCCTCTGTTTGCTAGATATCCAGCCGTGTCTTCGAGGACGATATGGGCGTTGCTACCACCGTATCCGAAGCTATTCACAGACACACGATGCGGACCAGGACTCTCCCATGCTTCAGTATCCAGCTGGATCTTGAGCTTCCACTCATCCAGCAGAATTCGCGGATTCAACGTTTTGAAATTCCGATTCGGCAGAAACACTCGATTCTCCAGCATCAGCACAGCCTTAATCACACCCGCAACACCACTCGTCCCCTCCAGATGCCCGACATTCGTCTTGATCGAACCAACCCGTAACGGTCTATCCGCCGCACGACCGGGGCTAAACACCTTGGCCAACGCCCCTGTCTCAATGGGATCGCCAGCCTGCGTTCCCGTGCCATGGGCTTCGACGAATTCCGTCTCGAGTGGGTCGAGCCCCGCGGTGCTGTACACGTCGCGGATGAGGGCTTCTTGCGAGGCGCTGCTGGGGAGTGTGATGCCTGGTGTGCGGCCGTCTTGGTTGGAGCCAGAGCCGCGGATGATGGCGCGGATGGTGTCGCCCTCGCGAAGGGCGGATTGCAGTGGTTTGAGGATGAGGCAGCCGATTGCTTCGCCGCGGGCGTATCCGTTGGCGTCTTCGTCGAAGGTGTGGCATCGGCCGTCCGGGGAGAGGAATCTATCCGATTAACTTCCTCCAAAACCCAATATTAAAGAGGTACATACTTCATCATACTCATCGTCGACATAAACTCATGGCTAAGAACGACATTCACACCCGCCGCAATCGCCGTCGAGGCATCACCAGTCCGCAGACTCTGACACGCCAGATGCAGCGCTATCAGACTCCCCGAACACGCGGTGTCAACTGTCACGCTGGGTCCTTTGAGGTCGAAAAAGTACGAGACCCGGTTTGCGGTCATCGCCCGTGATTGCCCGGCGTTGGTGCATTGGTACATGGGGACCGAGTCGGGATCGCGCAGGAGCATGTCTGTATAGTCTGCGCTGAAGGAGCCGACGAAGCAGGCGGTTTTGCTGCCCATGATGGAGGGGAGGGGGATGCCGGCTATTCAATGAGTTTGTGGTTGTTGGATGGGGGGTATGGCTTACCGTTTTCGAGTCCTTCGTAGGTGACTTCGAGGAGGAGTCGTTGTTGGGGGTCCATGGCCTGGGACTTAGTGAATAGCTTCATATATAGGTATATAGATACTCACTGCTGCTTCATCGCTGGTCATGTTAAAGAAAGGCGCATCAAACAGCGAGACATCTTCAGTGAGAAAGTGTCCTCCTTGCACATTTATCTACATAATCAGCATTATTTTTACTCTTATAGTGAGATAGACACACCGTCCCATGCCGTGTATTATCCGGATGATAAAAAGCATCAGGATTCCACTTTCTCGCTGGAATTCGACTCCATCCTTCTCGTCCTTCGACGATCAACTTCCATAATCTCTCAACATTGGTTGCATCGGCTGGACCCCGGAATCCCATTCCCACGATGGCAATGGGCATGGATGCATCTTCGGATAGGATTGAGGGTACTTCATCTTGGATTGGATGTGTATGTGTAGGCATTTGGAGGTTGGAGTTGATGGTCATTGTGTACAGCAATTCACTAATTATCTAGACGAGTATTATCATGAATAACTATCTAGAAAGACTGATCTTAATAGAATCAGAGAGCAAATAAATAGAACAATATTGTCCGTTCTACTCGAGTAACATGCAAAATGCCCCGAATCGGCGAGATATACGCGAATACCCTCACCTTCCATCTATGTTACACTACCAGATACTCAACGCCTCTATCGCCAACTTCCTAATCGCCGCCGCCATGACGGCCACATTCTTCCGATCATTCGGGATATCATGGCCCTTGGAATGCACCACCCACGTCGCCCGAGACGCATCACACAGCCGGTGCAACGCCAACGAATACTCAAACAGCCAGTCTTTGGCCCCCGCAATGCTCACCGTGGGGATACGGATATACCCCTCCAACCCGGCATCAAGCACAGGATCCTCACCGGGATTCATCCGAAACGGAGGCAGCGAGTTGACGAAGATGGCGCAGCGGAAGAGCGGCGGATCCTGCGGGTATAGCTTTGCGTGGTGGATGAGGAAGCCCGAGGCGAGGGTGCCGCCGTGCGAGAAGCCCAGGATGCCGTCGAAGGGGCCCTCGTCGGCGATGACTTCGTAGAGGAGATCGTAGGCGTCGAGGACGGCGTCGTCGCTGTCGGAAAAGGACCGCGGGAACTTGTAGTAGCTGTAGTACGGGCCGTCGTAGTAGCCTGCGATGCCGGGGCCGGGGTCGGAATCGATGTCGCCTTCGAGGAAGTGGAATGTCGCCGTGTTGTCGCGTTGCAGATCGGTCATGAGGCCATCTGGAGGGTTAGTGGGAGGTGAGGTTGGTGAGGTGGTACATACGCAGCTGGGATTGGAGGATCTGGGCGGTTAGCGAGATGAAGCCAAAGTGGGTATACAGGCGATACCTTTTGGTTTGTGCCCCAACCATGAAGACACAGCAGTTTGAGAGGCATTCTGTCTGAGGATGATACACGAAAAGTCTCCGGATGGGATGATGATGCTGGAAACAAGGCATTTGGACGTGCCTTTTATATTTGATCCCCGTGGCCGGGCAATTGCATATTCGGTGTTTTTGTATATAGTGGCACATTTAATACTGTTAAAGTCCCCGGTTATCATTTACTATCTAGAATATAGATGGTTACACTAAACATTAGTTCAAGATGAGTGTTGAAAATCACCGCTGTCTGAGGTTATTCAACCACGGTACCCTTGGCAGTATGGTGGCTGAATATATATCCATCCACCAACATAACCGACTTGATAAACCCAAGAAATATAATGCATACGTGTCAATATAGTAACAACAAGTATTTCAAATAAAATATTCAGATATGCCAATAAAGCAGCGGGATCTGGCGGAATCACCGGCGATGACGTAGGGCACTCTGCCAGGGCGATCCCGATCGATCGACAATACAAAAGCACCACCTCAGCTTCATTTCCTCCCAACCCACCTTTCGAAAGATCGTCACATTATCGCATCATCACAACATGCCCTGGTCCCTTGCCATCCCCCAGCCGGTGTTTGCCTCGCCCATTCTCTCCGTGGGACTCCCCATCACCACTGGATCCCTTGTTGGCTATCTGGTCAACCGTGAGCATCCCCATCCCTGTCTGGTGATTCCACGACTTTGCACTAACAACACCAGGCCGAGGCACCAAAGACAAATATTACGCTCTTCGTCAACCTCCTCTGTATCCTCCTCCATGGCTGTTTGCGCCCGTATGGACTACCTTATACGGGATGATGGGCTACGCTGCCCACCATGCATTCACCACCGCATCTCCCGCTGTCGATGACCTCACCACCACCGGACAGACTCTCTACACTACACAACTCGTCCTGAACAATATCTGGATGCCACTGTTCTTCGGGATGCGACGACCAGCGCTGGCGTTGGCTGACATTCTGCTTCTGGGAGGAAATGTAGCGGCGTTGATGGGGGTTTGGTGGAAGACGGATAAAACGGCGTTTTGGTTGATGGCACCGTATGCGGCCTGGTTGGGATATGCAACATATTTGAATGCGAGCTTGGGAGTGTTGAATGACTGGACGATTGGGAAGAAGAAGGAGTAATCTGATACAGATTAATGTATAGATGCTATAACTCAGATGAAACCGTGTTTCTGCATGGTTTCATCTATCTTTATTATACTTCAATAGTCTGTCATAACAGGGGCATTATGCAGAATAATATTATAGTGCTAGATAAGAAGAGTCAGCACCTTATCCACCGATACAACCGAGTATTAATAGCAGTCCAGACTCGTCCACTGTTTGGGTCTGGCCCAACTGAGTTTGAGCAAGATGAGAGGCCTGAGGCCAGTGGATCCAGATATTTATATCGTCTGCCTACTCTGTCTGCTCTGTATGGCCACTGGCAAATGTCAATCACACAGCATAGATTAATGATTGACCGATTGACATGAACATCTTCTTGTCTGTTTCCCCTCCACCCATATTGGCCAATTCTTCCACGGGAAATTCTTTTTTGTCAACGCGGCCCCTGGGTGGATCCATGGGTGGGGCTGGTGGAGTCGACATCACTGGCCAATGGCTGCTGGTGGCGTCTGGTGGCGTCTGCATGGCACTCGCGACATTTACCATGTGGCCTGTGATTGGCTCCTGGAGCGCACGTTTCCCCACTTCCTTGTTTGCTTTCTTCTTTCGTTTTCTTTTTCTGTTGGCTGCAAATCTAGAATTCCGCGCTTTCTTGGTTCTCGGATATTTCTGGACTTGCGATGACTCGTAGCGAAGCACGCACTGTCGTGCCCAGAGTCTAGATTATCTGCCTGCACAGTACACAGACAGCTTCTCGTCTAATTGGAATTGCTACTCGGAGAATAACCATGATGTGCATGCAGTAGAATTCACGGATGATCGTGCGTGGCATGAGATCATCGCCACTGTCTTCCGTTCTAGACCGGCTGCTGTCGTTTTCCCCACCACCGCTGCAACATCCCATATCCTCTTTTCTCCTCCTCCTCATCTCCGTATATTAACTCTCGCTCTGCCCAAATGATCTCCCCATCTGTTTCATCTTCCATCCCTATCCCATCCTCTCGCCCGCCCAATTCCTTCCTCCACCGTTCATCCAGTCTTCCTTCGTCCAACGGCTGGTTCGGGAATTTGCGTGAAACACCTTCGACCACCCGACTGTCCCAATGCCAGACCAGGCCGACTTTCACCATGATAACAACAGCCATGATACCCTCGTCCCCGAGGATCACCTAGATAGAGCTCCTACAACAGACCTCACCAACACCGGCGAGGATAGTCAACCCCACCCCACCGTCAACGACGAGAATGAGGAAGATGCGCCCATAGAACCTTCCCGACACACCCGGGTGAGGTTTCGCTCCATCAGTCACCAGCAGAGCTTGGAAAATCCTTTTGAAAACTACAGAATCGACACCGATCGAGATCATCAATCTCACAATGCTATTCTATCCCCCGTCGACCGGTCCGCGGATCTTGCGGATGTCAGTCTGGCACCGACAGCGCCCGACGACGAAGATCGAGCTCGTCCTCCGCCTCCCGCAGTCGACTCTGACCATTCCGATCATGAAAATCAAATACCAGAGCGGACGGAATCTGCCAAACATCGATGGAAGGCTGCTGGACAGCTTCTCCGTCAAAAGACTGTCCGTCTGGGAGAACGGCTGGGACGACCCGCGGATGATGGAGAGGCATTGGGGGCGGCGCTTCTTCCGGATGATTTGGAAAGAGGCATTTCAATGCATGAGATAAATGACGAGAAGCGCAGACTGGGCGAAGATGAGAAGCCCAAGGAACCGCCTGCCCCCAGTACAGAGGCCCATCGTCTTGTCCGGACCATGACAATGGCCCAGGACCAGGCCCGTCGCCGTAGACCTCGTGGAGCATATGCACGATCTGGTGCAAGCACCCCCGAGGGCTCTCTTCGCACAGACTCGTGGTATGGCGGACGCCGTATGTCGGGTGGTGGAGGTATCCTATCCCAATTGCTCAAGTTGCACGCCAGCCAAATGGGCGCCAGCAAGGATAGCCTCTCCACCGACGTCTCCGATACTGAATCTCCAGGTTCCTCCGGGGCGGCTACCCCTCAATCCGGAGCAGCCACTCCCAAGAAGCAGAAGCTCAAGTGGTACAAGAAGTCAAATCATCAATCGACTGCATCGCTGGTGCAAGCGTCGATGAATCTCAGTCAAGCTAGCCTGCCTACCACGGCTGATTTCATGCCCAAGCCAAAGCCCAAGAAAGGGAAGAATCGCAAGACCAGGTTGGAGGATGAAATTCGTGTCACGGTGCATATCGCGGAGATCCTCGCTCGGCAGCGATACATCATGCAGCTCTGTCGGGCGTTGATGCGCTACGGAGCACCTACCCACCGCTTGGAGGAATACATGCAGATGACGGCGAGAGTGCTCCAGGTTGATGGTCAATTCCTGTATCTACCTGGTTGTATGATGATGTCCTTTGACGACCATACCACCCGTACAGCAGAGGTGAAATTGGTCCGCGTGGTGCAAGGCGTAGACCTTGGTCGTCTAGCAGACACACACAATGTTTATAAAAATGTCGTTCACGATCTGATCGGTGTGGAGGAGGCAATTCAAGAACTGGATTTCATCATGAAGCGCAAACCTCGCTTCAATAAATGGATCCTCGTTCCAACATATGGTCTGGCCAGTGCCGCCGTTGGACCGTTCGCTTTCGGAGCCCGGCCAATTGACATGCCCATCATCTTCTTCTTGGGGTGCCTGGTCGGACTGATGCAGCATGTCATGGCCCCTAGGTCTGTTCTCTATTCCAACGTGTTCGAGGTCAGCGCTGCGGTTTTGACTTCCTTCCTGGCCCGCGCGTTTGGCAGCATCAGTGTCACTGGCGCTGATGGCAAGCCAGAGCGACTCTTTTGCTTTTCTGCGCTGGCGCAGTCCTCGATCGCTTTGATTCTTCCTGGTTTCCTGGTATTGTGCAGTAGTCTCGAACTGCAATCGCATCAGATCATTGCCGGGTCCATCCGAATGGTATACTCCATCATCTATTCCCTCTTCCTGGGCTATGGAATCACTGTGGGAACCACTATCTACGGACTTCTTGATGGCAATGCGACCTCTGACCAAAAATGCTATCATCTCGATGTATACGGCAGTGAATACCTCCAGCGTTTCCCCTTTGTCGCAATCTACGTCGTCTTCCTGGCCATCATCAATCAGGGTAAATGGAAGCAGACGCCTATGATGATTGTGATTGCAGTCTGTGGATATGTGACCAACTACTTCAGTACCAAGAAGCTGGGGTCGAATTCCGAGGTTGCCAACACGGTCGGCGCCTTCACCATCGGCCTTTTGGGAAATCTCTACAGTCGTCTCTGGCACGGACATGCTGCGACTGCCATTCTCCCGGGTATCTTCGTCCTCGTACCATCGGGTCTGGCGTCAAGTGGTTCCTTGATTGCAGGTATCAAATATGCAGACGAAGTCAGGGAAAATCTGCACAGTGGCAATAGCTCCTCTGTTGCTACTACTCAGGATACCTCGCTGGCGAGTTTGGGATTCGGTATGATCCAGGTGGCTATTGGTATTACGGTCGGTCTTTTCATGGCCGCATTGGTTGTCTATCCGTACGGCAAACGACGGAGTGGACTTTTCAGTTTCTAGATATTTGCATGATGGATGGGATATGACTTTCTGTACAGTACATTGCATGGTTACAGCGTGGTTGAGAACATACATTAAGAACATACATACATAGAACATAATCAGCACATTCAACATGGACATGATTTATTATCCCAAATTTCATCAATTAATTAATTAATTAAACACATCTTAAGCTGCTGTTGCTGTTGTGTGTCCCCTTTCTGCCAACCCCGCCCGCACGTGCCCCCAAACCTCCTGCCACGCATCTTCGGTTGTCCCTGCTTCGATGCCACCTCCTCCCTTCTCCAATACCACCCCATCACAAGCTCCGGGGAAGGCTCTCATGTCCGTTTCTTCTCTCCATATCCTGTCCATTGGACCATATACGCGATACTAATATGTCTTCCGTCGACAGGAGCCGTGTTCGCCCGGCACAATGCCCCCGAAAAGATACTCGAACGTCTGGTTGACACCAATGACACCCTCGACCATGCCCTCCAAATCCCCTCATCCTCCGCAACCCAATATGTCGCCCGCTGTTCCTTCGCCAGGAACCCCAGCCATGGCTTCTACACAGTCTCCGGTTCCTTCGCCGGTTCCTCCTCCAGTGCCGCATGCTACTCGTCCAACAATGAATCGTCCTCAGCAAGCCCCGCAGCCCCCGCAGCCCCCGCAGCCTCAACCTCAATACTCGATGCCTTCGCCGATGGCCCCTCCGACGGCTCACCAGGTACCGCAGCAGATGCCACAGCAGACGCAGAGAGTACCACAAATGCCCGGTCAAACATACCCGCAAATGCCACCGCAAATGCATCACCAGGTGCCAAATTACATACCTCAGCACAATCAAGTACAACACGCACCACGGCCTCCGCAAATGCCACTCCCCGGCGGCCCTGCTACAGCACCGCAAGGACCTTCGACTACGGGGTCGGTCTTTGAAGCGGGCATGATATTCCCATCGATTCAAGAAGCGCGCGAAGCTCTCCTCACTCATACCGTTGCCGCGCACGAGTCCTACCGAGTATACAAATCAGACGCAAGACGGTACATGACTCGTTGTCGGAGCCGGGACTGTGACTATATGGTCAGGATAACTTGGAGGAAGAAGCGTTGCGAGGCGTACGTGTCTATTTACAAACCGCATACGTGCAGCCCAGATACGCATGATAACTGGCGCCCCGCTGCGTCGATAAATTACCTCGTGCCAAACTATCAGTCGCTGTTTGAGGGGAATACCAAACCGACTGCGGCGCAGATTCAGGCTATCGAGCAATACAAGGGCAATACCATCCACTACCATCAAGGGTATCGGACTTTGAAGGCGATTGAGCGCAATCTTTATGGAGACGAGTCGGAGTCGTTCCAAAAGTTGCCCGCATTCTTGTCGCGTTTGGCAAAAACGGACTATAGTGGATTCTGGCGTTTAGAGACTAAGGACGACGTATTTCAACGGTGCTTTATTGCACCCGGGGCTACTATCAATGCGTATGAGCATTGCCGGCAATTTCTCACGGTTGATCGGGCCCCGTGGAAGACCAAGTGGGATTTCTCGCTGCTAGTAGCAGCAACCATGGATGGAAATAACCAGGTACTTCCAATCGCGTGGGCCGTCATGCCTGGCGAGACAGAGGATGATTGGAGATGGTTTTTGAATAGCCTTTTGCGGGCTTTTCCGAAAATCCACGACCCGAGTACGGTCCTCATGTGTGACCCTCGATTACCAATTGAAGCTGCTATGCAGAAGGAACTACCAGCAGTCTCCCACATCCACTGTTGCGAGCACCTGTCACAGATGCTCATGGATAAATTTCGCCCGGCCGAAGAAGTCCGCAAACAATTCTGGAAGGCGGCGCGGGCTGAGTCTGAAGCCAAATTCGAGCAGGCTGTTACACAGATACGAGATGATAAAGCACGGCGATGGATTCAATCCATTCCTCCCGCTAAATGGGCCAAGTTTGCGATTCCAGCCCCGCGATACGATCAGTTGACGTCCACTTTGTTGGACTCGTTGAATTTCCTGTGGTTGAACACGCGTAATATGCCTATCCTGCGGTCTTTGTATTTTATCTGGCTGAACATCACGGATCGGTTCCACCAATGTCGCGAATACAAGTTCAAACGTTCTTCTAGCACACTTACCGATTTTGCACAGGACTATATCACACGACAGAAGCAGTTATCTCGGACTTTCCATGCGGTGGCGAGTTCTCAGGATCAGTTTACTGTCTTTAAAAATGCCATGGGATATGTGGTGGACATTCCGACGGGAACGTGCAGCTGCTTCGAGTGGCAAGACTTGAAACTGCCTTGTCGGCATGCACTCGCAGCCATATCCTCTACCTCCCGATCCATCAATGAGTTTGTGCACGACATATACTCGATTGACACTTACAAAGCAATATACTCAAGTGTTCTAATGCCTGTTGACATGCGCGACCTCGATAAAGGTGACCAATGCATTGCTCCGGAAATGAGGAAGCGTCGGGGCCGTAAACCCAAGAACCCACCTCAACAATCGACAGAACAAGGCAATGCTTCTGGCACGCAATCACATTGTTCTGTCTGCAGACAAGAAGGGCATTCTGGACAGAGTGATATATGTCCCGGGAACATGAAAGCCCGTGGAATAGTTGCTCATCAGATTGGCGACGGAATTCGATTGCTGGAGCATTTACCGGGAGAAGCACCCCTGCCTATGGCGGAGCCCACGACTGCAGCTGCACCAAAAAACGGCAACGAAGATCTATCGACTTCTATGAATGGAAATGGCGAAAATGACAATGATAGTAACAGCAGCGGCGACGAAGCCACTCCCGAGCCAGACTTTGCAGTGATTCCTCCATTACCTGAATGGGACCGAATGTCGTATCAATCGCTATCCTCACCTCCAACTGACAAAGAAGCGGAAGAGACGCAAGCACCAGATTTTCCACCACCGCCAGAAGATCCAGCCGGGCGGCGGGAGTGGGCTTTGGATGCGAAACGGAGGCTAGATGCGGTAAAACAGTACATTACGGCAGAGGAACAGAGTCGACTGCAAGGGCAGATTCTAGATGTTCTCTTGCAGGATGATTACTAAAATTTCATCTGAGGTACTATCACTATAATTAGTCATAAAAATAAAAGATAAAAGGAACATACAACAGCAGGGATTTACTGGCACCCAACTACTAACCGCTGGCATGTGTGGCTTAAGTACGGCTGAGCGGACGGGAAGCCCTATTCTCCACACCCTGTGGTCGTATGTACTGGACATGCTGGTAGGGTATAAAGGGCAGATGTAATGAGTATAGATACTTATATTGATCTAATTGGATAGTTTGATTTGACCATATATCTACAATCAACTGCTGTCAATATCCACAGCCAGTAGCAGGCACCAGGTTGAGTCTATAGCCCGGAAACAGAGTTTATATTATGGATATCTATCCAAAGTTGGTTCCACCATCGGAGAAACCGTCAGTGACTCGGTTATAAATAAACTCCATTCACCTCTACTTATGATAAATCACTTTCAACACCCATCCACATGGTTCAGATGAGTCACAGTAAATCCAACACATTTGTAAAAAAGAAACAGAAAAAAAGAAACAGACGGTATCATCCTCCGACTCTCACCATCAGAGCTCATGCTTGACAGCATCAACAAAAGTCTTGCAGTCAGTCTCTCCGCCCTTCCATTTCTTGTCCTTGGGGTAATCCTTGGCTATAGCAGAGTCAGCTTTATCCGAAAGGAGGACTGGGAATACCATCATGCATACCCTCTGTAAGAGCCTTCTTCTCCTTCTTAGACGAGACCTCTTTCACAAACTCAATCTTGAGCGCGCTCTTTCCAAGGTATTCCTTCTTGAAGTTCTTCTTGTCGTATTCCGTGTCCATGTCGTTGTTCTTGATGACCAAGTGGTGGTACTGGCCAGAGACCTTGTGGCCCTTCTTGTCATCGCCCGTGATCTTCACAATGGCAATGGCCGTGTGGTCGAAGCCGTACTTTTTCTGGATGGTCTTGATGTCTTCGTTCTTCTCGGTCTCTCCAGGCGATGCGCCTTTAGTCCACTTCAGAGTGAACGCATACGTCTTGTCAGCCTTGAGACCGGAATGAGCGGCCGCAAGCAGTTTGTACTCGTATGAGTCTTTGTCGTTCCGCTTCTCAAGGGACGAGTCGTAGTCCTCTCCCAGGTCGTCGTCGTAGTCATAGTCCTCCGAGTCGAATTCGGATGCATCGAATTCTTGGGGGCTGGAGTTGAAGGTGTCGACCTCGCGCACCTCGTTTGTGCCGATGGGGCTGGCGCTCACACCGACAGAGAGGGCAGCAAGGAAGACGGAGAAGATGGTTGAGAACTTCATGATTGCTCAATTGATTGATTGATCGATGAATGAATTGTTGATGATGATGAGAGTGATTGAAGAGGACGGAAGCCCCAATTTATATTCATTTTCGCGGACAAATCCCTCGTCTGCTGATGTTTGAAGATGGTGCCATCAGGCCTACAGTCCATCCATTTCATCATCTCACTTCATCAGGATCTGCAGTCGCAACAAGTATTGTTTGAGAAGATGTTCCAGTCAGGCTGACTGTACGGAGGAAGAGGTAACAGATGAAGCTATTCCCAGACCAGGAAAGATCATACACACAGTCAGCAGAGACCTTTGTCAGCCTACAGTATAATGTTTCATCCTGCTGGGGCCATTCTCTAGTAATATTTTATTTAGCGCTGGGGCGACAGTTCCTCCGGCGTAGGGTCAGCCTTATGGCTATTGTTATCGAGGCGATGTTGTGGGGGCCAGGGGATGTCAGCCCCCGTTGCCGCCAAGCGGGGCGCAAATATAAACCACTGACTGTCTCTCTTTCCTTTACTCTTCTATCCCCATCTCTCTTTATTCGACGATGGATCCCAAAATCCAAAAATGGGTCCAGGAGGACATCATGACCCCCGATGGCGTTCTGAAATTCTTTGCCGAAAGATTCGCTGAAAATGACTTTACCGATGCCGAAAAGCATCAGCTCCGTCGGACTTTCGACTTGCTTTCCCAAGACGGCATGCTCCATGACTTGCGTTTCGAGGCCCACTTGCAAAAGAAAGTTCTTCTTCCTTCCTCCTTGGAAGATGCAGGACCCATTCTCTATCGCAGTCTTCTCTACCTGTCGCAATTCCCTTTTGACCAGAAACCCGTCTCATCCTTGACCTTTGATGGCCTTGTTCGGGCACTGAGCTGGGCTGACATGGAAAAGTCCTTCAAGGCTACCGGTGGGGGCTCATTTACTCGAGCCAAATCACCTGCAGATTGCCGGAGAATCATTTTCCAGAGTCTGGCCACGACACGCGACGGCAAGAAGCTGCCTTTTGACGTTGAAACGGCCAGGAAAGAGTCGGAACGAAGGGCGTTTGAATTCTATCCCCACCAGGAGGAATGGCTTGCCGGTGAAGTCAAGACCAACAATGACGAGGATGGCGATGAGATGTTCCACGATTATCTGGATATTCTTTTCGAAGTGCAAGACACTGAGCTGGGATATGCACCGCTGGGCCGAGACGAGTTCCGTCCTTTGGCCCAGCAATTCCATGGCAAGGACTCGTACTTGCATCATCTCACCATTCCCCAAGATCAGTTTCGACTGTTTGTCCAGCTGCTCGTGTTGGGCTGTTTTGGCCGCTCCGTTACTCCAATCGAGGAGATGCCAGAGTTGGATCATGTCGTTGATCTTATTCTTGCTCCGTTTCTTCAGAATCCCAATATAGGCATTACTTGGGATGTGTTTGACCGGGCTTCTAAAGACATGGTATGCATCTTCTCCCTTGTCGTCTCCTTCAAAAGCTGACATCTCCAGCCTGGTTTATTCGACGGTCTCACCCGTCTCCTATCACGCTTGTTTTACACTCCCCCAAACGATAGAGGTCCACTTCCCAAGCCAGGATCCATCGGCACACTACCCATTCTCTCGCAAATCGCCTTCTGCGGCTGGGATGCCGAGGAAGCACTCTGCTTCCCTCCTAAATCCTACAATGCCTCTTCACCCATCACCGCATCAGCCCTCAAAGACCAAATCACCGCCTCGCCTACCCCGCTCGTCCTCCTTGTCTCTGGTAAACGAGTCACGACGGGAGAAAATGTGATCTTCGGATACTGTCTTCCATACTCAGTACCCGGTGAGCCCCATCCCTCCTTTCTGTTCCAGCTGGGTCCGACATATGATGTCTTTCGTGCGAGGGATATCGATCGTCCGAGGTGTTTGAAGGAGGGGGATAGCCTCATCCTTGGAGAGAGTGGGAATGGAGTGGCTGTGAAATTCAACCGGGACTGCTCACACGTGACTGTTTCTCATCGCGTGTCTGGACAGAATAGCCCTGCGTACGCTGCGACAGAATCGAGGGGAGACTGGGAGGCAGCGGTGGACGTGGATGGAATTGAGATTTGGTCCGAGGTATCATGATTGCTTACGTCCATATAAACTGAATGATGAATATGAATATGATAATGGCATGGATGCTCCTTTTGTAGCGTAATTGTCAGCAATATTCCCACGGCCTGTCAGGAAACCATGAGTCAGATGTAGTATTCATGATCAATTCCTTTGGTTTTGGCCCAATACACCCATTCCTACTATTAATACAGCATGTCGTGACACTCGACGTATAAATTCATTTCTCTGTCCTGAGTCATTTTTGAGAATTGGCAATGGGAAACGGCAAGAAGCTAGGGGATATGATTGAGCGATTTGATTTCAACCCCACCGAAGCAGTGAAGAACGCCACATGTGATATTTTACCCGGGGTTTAACCTATGAACCCTGCAGTGATACCATGCCATATGCCGATCGATCATGTCTCGGGTATACACGCGAGAGAGGAGACCTTGGCAGTAACACAGTGCCTGGTATTTCTGGATATTGAGGAACAACTCTCCTGGATGGTGGGTCAGACATCCATACCGGCCAAACGAGTTTTTGAGGCCTCACCGGACGGGTCTAAATTAATGCGCGGTGGGACTGCAATGTAGATGAGGCACTTTCTTGCTGCCTTCGATCTGGGATTGTTTTTGTTGATCGTCTGTAGGCATCCATGATTGATCAGGCTCATGTCCTGATGTCTCAGTGTGCGATGTGCGAAGTCCAGGGCGGACGCGCATGGAGTCCACGTGGTTGACAGACATTCCCATTTGACTCTCGACTATCTATCTACCATCTTTCTGATCATGAAAATGAGGTTCAATCGGAGATGCTCGAGTCCTGATCTTCTCAATATCGGGGTATACGGAAATTCCGACGACATCATCACGGGGGATCCGAGAGAGTTCCCCCCCGGGCAATAACAGCACTAAGCAGGGCCAACCCCGCAGGAAACAGACACCAACACCCGTTCCTGGCCAAATGGGCAGGAACCGTTGGCGGATTGATTGTTGGCCGCATTTTGGGTTGTCTCAATATTGAGGCCTACCAAGGCTGATGCTACCCCGCTATGCCGCAACGGGAAGGGCGGCCGAATATCGAGAGAAACACGAACGAAGAGGAAGAAAAAGAGGGGGAAAAGAAAACATCCTCGGAGAATTGAATATATTGTGTAACATCGTGTCTGTTGTATGTATATTGTCGCTAATCAATTAAGCTTCCATGTTCTGGCTCACCTATGGCTTGTCTGGTCCCTCCCATCTGACTGCCTGTTCTGGTTCGGGTTCCTGATCCAGACGGCGATATCCTGGACCCTTGGGTCGACTGGCAATGGAAGCGTGCTATCTCGGCCCTGAAACCTAGCGTCTGCGCTATACACGCCCCCCGTCTGCTGCGATGGATGCTGGTAATGTCGAGTTGAGTTTCACTGGGCCTTTTGCTCTCAATTTTGTGACCTCCGACCGTCTCACACGCCGTGCCGTGTCGTCCCAATCGGACAAATATATCTGCATGGGCATCTGAGATGTGAAGATTGAAATCTCCCCCGAGTATAAAGACAGGTCCGTGGAACGGATGTTTCTGGCCGCCATCCCTCATCCATTCCAGCAGAGCCCGCGGCCAGCTTGATTCCCTCCTCTTCCTCCTCCCATCCCATCCCATCCATCCGATTCACATCCACGCCTACCAGCAAGATGATGTTCCGATCCCTCGTCCTCCTCGCCCTCGCCCCTCTGGCTCTGGGCAGCCCGGTGCCGGACACCGCCGCCTCTGACTTTGTCGTCCGCAACTCGACCATCGAGGCTCGTCAGCTTATGGACTCGAACGATGTCGAAAGCGGTAACTGCCAGGACACAACCTTCATCTTTGCTCGTGGATCGACCGAGATTGGAAACATGGTGTGTTCGGACATGTGATGATATCTCGTATAATATCTGAATCTGACTGGAATAGGGAACCGTCGTCGGACCTGAGGTCTGCACCAGCCTGAAGACGAAGCTGGGTGGAAAGGTCGCCTGCCAGGGTGTTGGAGGAGCATACACAGCCGGACTGGCTCAGAACTTCCTGTCGCAGAACACCGACCCAGCCTCCATCAAGGAAGCCACCAAGATGTTCACTGATGCCGCTCAAAAGTGCCCCAACACTAAGATTGTGGCTGGTGGATACAGGTCAGTCTCTGCCCTGTCATGTCTTACAAGTCAGCTACTAACAACCACCCAGTCAAGGCAGTGCTGTCATCGACAACACCGTCAAGTCGCTCGACTCCAGCGTCCAGGACATGGTCAAGGGTGTCGTGCTCTTCGGATTCACCCGGAACCTGCAGGATGGAGGGAAAATCCCCAACTACCCCAAGGACCAGGTCAAGGTGTTCTGCGCTGTCGGCGACCTCGTCTGCGACGGTACGCTTATTATCACTCCGGCTCACTTGACATATGGTGCCAATGCGGGTGATGCCGCCTCTTTCCTGGCTGGAAAGGTGGGCTCTGGTAGCTCCTAAGCAAAGGAGAGGTTGCACTTTTGTTCGGTCCTTCGGATGATTTAGCCTGGATGGGTTAAACTCGTGTATGTTTATTGGAATGTCCGAAAAAAAAAAAGAGTCATGGAAGAGGTTATGATTTCCTGTGAATATTATGGTATTTTTTATTTTTATTTCTCTTCTTCAATGAGAACCTTGCTGGCACGGAAGAATTTTTCCCATTTTAACCAAGATAAAAAGACACGGACAATCTAGACTTTCCCAAGACACGCGAACATTTCCCCATGTTGAAAAAGGAACCACACACGAACGAGAAAAACCCCGTCTAACTTTGCAGCTCGGATCAGATAAGTGCCACATCACCGGATCATTACCGCAATAGGCAATCCTGCCCAGTCCAAAAGTGGCGTGGACCGGCAGCCGCGGCCGATCTATTGGCGGGCATACGTCACCCATGTGTCCCGCAAGCAGCCGATTTCGCACAATAGACAGTCGAGTTGACATACGCTGCAAAGTACAAGTACTCGTTCAATTGGCGAGCGGGCCGTGTATTCCCAGCTCGTCCTTTTCGTTTGCATTTTGCTCTATTTACATGCTGATCATCATTGTCTCGTTTGCTTAAACATCTTTCTCTATATATCATCATATCACATATCATATCCTACACCATGGCCGTGCCAATCGTCGACTGGAACGGAATGCCCCGAGGCGGAACTGGTCTGGAAGCTGCAACGCGACGACACTGGGAGCGCCAAAAGCAAGAAGCCCGAGAGCGGCTGGCGATGATGGAGCAGCTGGAAGCCGGGGAAGACGAGGAAGCGAAAGCAGCCAAGCGAGGCTCGGCCGACTCGTCGGAATCAAACTCGAGCAGCAATGATGGGAAGAGTGGCGAGAAACGGCGCAGTTTTTGGAAGTCGCTCAAGGGGGGGAAGAAGAGTGATAGTAATGGGTCTTCTTCGTGATCGTCGCTTGCTTCTTGTCTCTGTGAGATGAACTGCGTGACTGGTGCATGTTAGTTATGGTTATAATTCACTACCCTTAAGTATGTGACTTACCCTATACGCCCTGTTTATCGCCGTTTGATCAGGAGCATCCAACTGACAAACTCTAGTAATAAGTCCGATGATTCCGACGCCCGAAAACGTTTGATGATTATTCTCGTTCCCTTGCACGATACGATATCGATACCGTCTTCCGAATTACCCCCGTTGGAATAATGAACAAAATGGAAAGAATTTAAAAGGAGTTAATAAAATGCGTCCTCGAGGATAGATACCGAGTTGACGACGGTGGAAAAAAAAAATTATAAGGATTAGGTTCAAAATGCACGATTTAACGATTCTTCTAATCAAATCAAATCATAATCAAGACATTCTATCATATCATGAGCAGGCCTCGATCGCCCGACACGCGGGATATGGAGCCCGAATATCGTTTTTATATCGCTCGGGGTCGTCTAGAAACTTTCGTCGAAAGCTTGTACAGTGGCCGCCGGTCAGGAGGGAACCGCGACAGGCCGTGTCGAGCGCATAGTGGAAGAACTGGGTGTTTTCTCGGTTTTCGGGTTTCTCGAACATCATGCTCTCGACGTACATGGCGTAACTGACGCAATGGGCGCAATGTTGGTGGCGTTCATAGTGGGTGTAGAAGAAAAGCAGGCCTTGTAGGGAATTAGCGGAGATCTTCCGGAGTAGCAAAACTCAAAACTGACCGGTCGCAAGGGATAAGGCCAGCACCGATAAAATAACATTCCTGGCGCGGATGAGAAAACTCATAATGGCGAGAGCATGAGCAGATGAAGAAGCAACAGAATGAAAATAAAAGAAAAGAAAAGAAAGAAGAAAAAGACAACAACGATCGGCTGCGGGGACAAGGAGAAGGATGGGGCGAAGAGCCACGGGCTATCCCCGATGCAGGAAATGGGCCAACACGTTGCACGAAACTATTGCCATGGCGTATGTATATATAGAAACCCACAGCCTTACTCTTCAGCATTTGCCGGCCCATCCAGCGTCAGATTGTCCCATTTCTCCAAGAACTGGTCCAGCTCTGCGTCCTTGACCGAATGCCCGTCGTTTTCCAGCACCGTCATCGCAAAGTTGGGGTATGAACTACTGAATTGCTTTCGATCCTGCGTCCTCCACAGATCGTTTTGGAAATCCCGGAACAGACTATGGCTTTCGCGTGGCAGCTCAATATTGTGGTGCGTCGCGGTCAGTTGGATGAGCCGAAGGATTCCTCGTGAAAGCAGCCATCGTCGCCCGATCGAGCGGATGACGATGCACAGATCAATAAAAGCGTCGCTGCTTTCGCGATCGCTCAAGTCGTCAAGTAATGTGAAAGCCGCGACAGCCGCCCATTGCATGAAATTCTGGGCGAAATACTCCATCCGCCATTGCGAGCAGAAAATATTGATCAGCTCGCGCACCTTGAGTGCTGACGATATTCGCAGTTGTCGCGTCGGAGATTCGGATCCAGCGGATCCTGGAGTGGGGGCGGAATTCTTCAGGAACCCGAAAATGGTCAGGATACCAACATAGTATCGCAGACTGGACGGTCAGTATAGAATAGCAGGAAATTGTAGAGCCAAGTGTACTTACTGGAGATCGACAACACCGGGTGTCGTCGTGTTTTTTCCCAGCGCTATACATTCAGGTACTGTGGTGGTCCACTCCTCCAATCGGGCATAAAACTCGTCAACCTTCGGTTCGATTTCAGAGTGAGGTAGTTTCTCGTCATCGTCGAAAAAGTAATTGTCCACGTCCCAGAGAATGACCTGTAGGTTCGTTACCGCATTGATGATGCAGTTTGTATGTGCCGGTACAGGCTCCATCTGGAGAGGATATGGCTCCCACACGTCCTTTTCATCATGGTCTTCGGGTAGTGGTCCAAACTGTGGCTTTTTATGGGGCGCCGGCTTTTGCAGGGCCATGGAACTCGCTCTGTTGCCAATTAGATTCAGTAACAAGGGGGTGGCTGCTAATCTTACGTTGTGATGCTGAACATGCCCATGACTGAAGAAGCCAGAGTGTGAATCATCTCTGGCGTCCCTTGGTCATTCCCAACCAGTCTAGATCTCAACGAAGTCATCTCTCGAGCAGCTTGGGCGGATTGGTTGAGGTACATCCATCCAAGGCGGTCCTTGCCGATCATACAGGTACTGCAGAGTCAGCCAGGGAGTCACAAGGGAGTAGTTTAGACGACCTACCAGATATACATAGCACCAAGCCCCTGGAAGGTTGTCAGCGTGACCTTTCCTTCCTCCTTGTCCAGCAAACGCTTTGCCTCTTCGTAGAAATGCATCCCCCGGCTGGCCTGATCGCCCGGGGTCGCAAAAATCTCATCGTAGTCGGAATAAAACTTGGCCGTCTGTTAGTAGTGAAGCAGACAGGAGAATTGTCAATACTCACACAAGCCTCTGCAAGAATGATATTAACCAGAAATGAAGAGCAATATTCGCTGTCTAAGCGGCCCGACTTCATATCCCTGATAAAAAGATCCCGGTTCATAAAGTTCGTAACCGGGTAATTCCAGGTGAACCAGAGCGAGATGAGGTGCGAGACTAGATCATCATCGTCCGTGACAGTCGTCCAGGGCTGAGCCGGGACTCTGAACAGCGGAATGTCAGCCAATCGCCTCACATCCATGACTTTTCGCCGGCTGTTGCCCTTGTCAAAGTTCTCGGCCAGGCGCAGTCGGATGTGGTCCATTGGAGCATCGCTGCGGATGAGGTTGAACACCTCGTTGGCCTCGCTGCGGTTTTCATCGCGCAACGTCTGCAACAGCCGCATCAGAAGATCGCGATCCTCTTCCAATGCCTCAATCTTTCGTTTCAGGCCGGTTTTACGTCGCCCATCACTGTCATTATCAATGATACATTCAGTCTTGGCCACAACGCACGGCTCACAGGGTACACCCCCCAGACACTGGACAGGAGTCAGCGACGAAAAAAAAAAAAAATCCTACCCAGCGACTCAGGATAGAAAGGGTGAAACAGGGGCTTTTTTTTATCCACCTACCCTGGACTTTCTTTTGCGGCATTGGCCACAGGCGATTTTGGCATTTGTCCGACGATTGTCGACGACGTCCGCGGGGAGCCCCGGTGGCGCGGGGGTTAATTTCCTGAGATGGTCTCCCATGGTGTTGAGTCCACGGAATGGCGACCCTAGGGGAGGAACAAAGACGAGCCAGGAGAATGGACCTCGAGCGAGCCTTTTGCTTCCATGGCAATCACGGGTTTCTGCAGCCTGGCTCGATCGCGACAGACAGCGTCGACGCTTTCGAGAGGCTTTGGGAGGCAAACGATCAGTGCCTGAGGAATCCACAGCGCCGGGTGACCGGAGAAACTTTCCGGACGGATGTTCTAAGCGCGGAGCGCTGATTGGCTGGCCAGGGATGATGATCGACCTTGCTGATGAGGACATGGCGATGATTTCGGGATTCAAATTAGCGGGATTACGCCAGAATAGGGATGAGGCGTTATCAATAGCTTCAATAATCATATTAATCGGGCATAGTGCTCTTTTTGTTTAATTTGAAATCGCATTGCGCAGAGGGTCCTTCCGCTTCTGGCCTAGCCCGCTTGGATACATCACAGCGTGATCTGCCAGGGAATGTTTGCTTGATCGGACTTCTTCATCATCACCACCACACTTGCTGCCCAATGCACATACTACTGTGGCGTTGCTCGTTCTCGTTTATGCAATTACTTTGGGAACCCGCCCGATAAGCAAGGGGATTAGCCCATCATTTGCGCTCTGGTGATCGAGATCAAAAGTACCACCGCCAATCATCTCCCGAGATCGAGATCCAGCAATTGAACAGACACCACTGCTCACTACTGTACATAGTATCACACGGAGCATTTCGACGTAGTAGTCCGTATTGTGGATATCTTTCAATGCGATTACCAGGTAATGGGGTGTGGACTCGAACCTTGGTTGTAATGCTTATTCGGCCATCTGACCATCTGGCCATTTCCGGATCCACAAGGCGATTTGTGTTTGGACATCGGTGCTCCTCGGAAATACAATGGCTGTGTTTCCAGACACCTTTATCCACTCTTGCTTGAACCAATCTGAATGGCTAGGCCGAGAATTCCGAGATACCACACAAACTCAATCATGCCTGAAGAAGACAGCCGGTGAAAACCGAAGCACAACACATACTTCACATGCTTCCATCATCATCGACATCGTGACTCACTGTCAACGCCCTGCAGCCTGAAAAGCAGGGCCAGAGACTCGTAAAGGTCAACTGACCTGCCGGTATAGAACCTCGACGATGATGGTGGAAATGAAGTGGGGTAAATTGGGTATTTGGAATGTGGGCTGTTCGACAAGGCAGTAGTCCTGTGGAGACCGTGATGGTCTGTTCTAGCGTAACCAAAGGCTAGATCTTTCGAACTGAGCATTTTGATGAATGGCCAGAAACTATCTACACGTGAATAATCTTACCTTATTCTGTTGACATGGTTGTATTCCTGGTCACCACTTGCTGCAGTATCACTAGCTTACCCGGGTGTCACAGCAGGAAGCAGTGCCGCATTCCTAGATGACACATACATCAATTTACCTGAAAAGAGGAACATGGCCCGAAGCATTCCTAACTGACAGAACTTAATGGAGTTATGCACTAAAGTAGTGGAACTTCAAGCATGCAGGAGTAATCACTGTCATTATATTTATCTGAACACCCCAAGTAATGGATGAAACTGCCAGCCAGATAGTTACTTTATCTTTAATGCTGTAATATTTCTTTTTCGCAAATGCAATCAAGTATAATAGGTAACACGTATGCGAGGTCTAGAATGCATCGTTTAATACTCAAGCGTCTGTTTAATGGCATCGTATATCCCTAATCACCGGTCAGACGGTCAAATTGAGAAATCGGAATCGAGACAAACTTACTGGTAACATCGGGGAGAATGAATTTCTCATACGTCAGACCCGTATGCGTACTCCATCCTGCAACGCGTTTCACTGGTGCCTCCAGGTTCAAGAATGCACCATCCTGGATAGTGGCAGCCACTTCTGCACCTACACCATAATTGATCATACTCTCATGCACGACGATTGCTCGCCCTGTTTTCCGTACGCTATCGAGTACTGTCTGACGGTCCCAGGGGTATATCGTACGTAGGTCGATCAATTCTACATTGACGCCCTTCATTTCCTTCTCGATCGCTGCGATCGCTGCCGAGCACAGGTACAGTGGTTGTCCATATGATACAATTGTCACATCATTACCAGGTTTAATCACCTCTGCCTGGTTGAGGGGAATAGTATAGTATTCGTTGGGGACGTGTTCGACTGCAGCTCGGTACAGGATCTTCGGTTCCATAAAAATCACCGGATTATTGTGTTCGAAAATCGCAGACAGCAAGAGACCCTTTGCCTGCGAGGGGGAGCGGGGCATCACCACCTGTACGCCGGGTACATGGGCGAAGAGAGCTTCTGGGGATTGAGAGTGATACCTGCGTCAAGCCACCGAGTCAATAACTGGTCACGTACCAAGGGGGAGGGGAAGAGACATACAGAGCCCCGTGTCCGACAGCACCACACGGCATCCTGACCACCATACCACCTGCATGCACGCCCGTTGCGCCCTCTCTGTACCTAAACTTGGCAGCTTCGTTGACAATCTGGTCAAATGCGGGAAAGACGTAATCGGCAAACTGGATTTCCGCGACGGGCTTCATGCCCTCTGCCGCAGCACCGATGGCAAATCCGACTATCCCTTGCTCTGTCAAGGGGGTATTGAACACACGCTCCGATCCGAACTCAGTTTGTAGGTTCATCGAGCATCGAAAGACACCGCCGAATGCTACATCTTCGCCAAAGAGCATCACCTGGTTCGATGTAGAAAGGGCGGTTCGCAGGGCGGAGTTGATGGCCTGGTAGAGGTTGAGGGATGTGGAAGTAGCGGTATCCGGGATATCCAATGAACTCGATAACGATGACGACGTATGGTGGAGTAGAGGCGTCGACCTGTAGTCGATAGGGGCGTTGAGACGTGTTGAGGATGCCGCCGAGTAGAGCCGACAGGGCGGATGTCGTATCAATTTGGAGATGGCGCGGAGAGGAGGCATTTTGAGGGGAAGATGAGAAGCAAGGAATAGAATTAGAGGCTGAAGAGGAGGATAGACAGAGAAGAATTGCAAACTGCCTTGATTTATAGCGATTCACTCGCGAAGGAGAGGAAATCGCCCTTCTTCATGCGGGGAAGAAACGCCGCGGCTAACCGAGAGTGGGTGCCTGGGGATCGCTGCCTTGGTGCCTTGGGGATAGGGAATCCACAACACCAAAACGTCATGCACTTTATTTGATTTTCTCTATCAGAATTCCGCGCGCTCTCTCTGCTTGATCCTCAATGTCAATATCCCACAGCCACCGCAGTCTCTCGGAAAATGTCTGGCGTAACTTGTCCTCATCGTCACCAACCCCATCCAAACACAAACACAGCAGATACGCATTTTCCTTGCTGGTAGTCACGACCTTCTGACTCCGTGGTCGGCGAACAGCATCATACGCCTCAAACGCTGCCATGGCATGCTCTGCTTCTGTCACTCTGGGATCGCCCAGTAGTTCTGCCAGCACTTGTGCATCTTCAATGGCTTGGCCAGCTCCAGCGCCCTGGTGAGGCGTGGATGCGTGTGCGGCGTCGCCCAAAATGGCGATACGCGATCGGGCGTACGTTGAGATGTGAGGATGTTCGAAAATGGCCCATTGCGAGGGATCTGGCATGTGCTGGACACGTCAACTCCATCGTCAATTTGCATGAGCAAGAAACATACCTCCATCAAACTGTTGATATATTCTCCCTTATCGCCAAAATCGCGCTTCATGTCATCCCTGCAAGCTGGACGAACCCAGGCCTCATCTTCCCACTCATCTTTGAGGATATACAAACCCACATTGACTTTCTTCGCACGCATAATGGGGTACGAAATACCGTACGCCCCTTTCCCAACATACATGGTCGACACTCGTGCGCGATGATCCCCAACCGCTTTGACCATCGTCTCCATGTCCAGTACAGCTCGATATCCATACATGCCGCTATACCGCGGCAGAACCTGTTGATACTCATCCGGAATCATGAATTCCTTCACCTTGGACTTAATCCCATCACATCCAACCACGACATCTGCCTTCGCCGATGTCCCATCTTCAAAGCTCAAGTCCACCCCGTTCTCACCCTCTACCAATTTAGTCAATCTCTTCCCGAAATGCGCAATCTCGCGCGGAATCAGCGTCACCAGCGCATCAAGAAAGTCCGCCCGTCGCACCGTCGTCTGCCCCGACGGTAGCGCTTTCAAATCCATCAACACGTCTCCCGCATTCTCTCCTGTCGCCCATACAACTTCAAACCAGGTCTGTCGGAATCGTTCATATCCGGGACTGTCTGCGTGTGTCGTGATAAGAGAATCGTATATACGTCTGATTTGGGGATCGATGAGCGGCATTGCGCGGTGTGCAGCAGGACCAATGGTAAGTCCCAATCCGACTTCTTTGAATTCCGATGCTGCTTCGTAGATTTGCACCGAGACATTGCGTTGGAGAAGGCCAGCGGCGAGAGTGAGGCCTCCAATGCCGCCGCCGATGATGGCGACGGTGAAGTTTTTGCCAGCCATGTTAGGTGGGTTTATTATGCGTTATTGCATTTGAGATAAGGAAGAGATACTGAAATGAAGTGATATTAATTAACAGCGCATTATTGGTCTTAAATGGGATTGTTAAGGCGGGATAAGCACTTGTCAATTACCCCTCATAGAGTGGGGCTCAGTCAGCATTCATTTGATAGTGGCATGTGTATACTGTCTTCAATTAAACTGATATTATAATGAATCCCTTGTTAGAAGTAAATATAAAATGACAGATCCCTTCATATCGCCCGCCGTACTTATCAGTCACATGAACTTCACCTCCAAAATGTTGACTTCAACGTTGTCCTTCAACCACACGTCAACATGCGACCCTCGTATCGATACTTCACTCAATTTCCGCTTAGACCTCTATTTTCAACCCCACATCCTCGTTTGATATGCGCATCTAGATTACCCTTCAAATCTCCCTGCAGACTAGTGTCCAACAAGGCAATTCCTGGATTCATCTGCCACGGTGAGCGAGGAACCGCATACCGACTTATCCGTCCTCTGGGATCGCAAATCCACAGCAAACCCCCTCATATATGGCTTGCTGTAGATTATTCAAATCCTGATATTCAATATGTCATCAAACAACCTTCGGGCAATAATGAAAACGCCCTCTCCGCCTTCAACCACGAGTTGGAAATGCAAAGAGTTTTCGAAAAGGAAGCGATGATTCGGAAGATCGTTGATTATATTCCCAACTCAGAGCATGTTGGATCAATGATAGTCCTTGAGGCATTTACAGATTCGCTCTGGGAAGCTCGAAATGCGAGGTCGTTTACAGAAAAGGAAATCAAGTGGATTATGAAGGCGTTCTGTTGGGTGTCTTTACTGTGCATATGAAAGGACGGGTTCATACTGGTAAGAGTCGATTATTCTGGAGATATCTAAGCTAATAATGATATGCTTCTAGATCTAAAAATGGAGAATGTTGTACTGGAAGGATTTGATCATTCCAAGCCGCATAAAAATGTCGATCTCATTGTCAGGCTTGCAGATTGCGGTGCCAGTAAGTGAGTCTTCATATGTATACCATCTCTGACTCTTTATAGTTAGCAAGCCATCCACGAGAGAAATCACCTCTCTCACATATCGGAGCCCTGAAGTTCATTTTGGAAAACCCTGGACTCAGAGCACAGATGTCTGGTCCTGGGGGTAATTGTCAGTGATTACTTTCGAGGAATATATATTGAATGCTAACTTTATCCTAGTTGGCCCAGTTACTCCAGACTAAGGTTGATTTCAAATCTCCGGGAATATATGACTCAATCTGCACGGGAACACTGGAAGAAATGACAAAAGCTGTTCGCGATAAACTGGCAATTGATTTTGATCTCGCCTCTGTCCCATTCTATGCGGAGGACGAGCAATGCGCCAAACTGTTGCCTCCACCGCAGCCAGAAGAAGCGTACATGTGGGCAAATGACATGGCAGAGAAAGGCGTCGCAGGCGAAGATCTCCAGCTTTTGGTCGGAGTCTTAAACCCGGATCCTAATGCCCGCTTGACTGTGCGCGAGATTCTCGAGAGTGGATATCTAGAGGTCTAACGTGTCAAAACATCGTCCACAGTGACATGTTTTACAGTGTATATGGAATTCTACTATCTTAATACCATAAGTGCCTTGTCGTCGTTAACTTCGTAAATGTATAATATATGGCATATGCGTCAGCTTATACTGGAATGGACCTTGTAGATAGTATCCACACATTGCAAAATGTGTCTTTGTACTTTTTTTGGCTAATTGGTATTCTGGCTGACATTATATATTTAGTCTCACAATAAACTAGTAAATAGTTCGAAGGTTCCTTTCTGTACACTCACGCCATTCGATTGACAGGCCAAGAAAACTGTTCACCTTTTCCTTGAACAAATTGCAATCATCGCAGATCTCAAAGGTACTAGAGCCGATCAATATCGCCGGATCCTTCAAAGTAGCCGGTGGCATAACATTTGAGGCTGAAATGGCATTGAGTCGTTGGAATAAATCTTTTTTTCTCTCAAGAGCTTGCATCCGATGTCCTAGCTTTCCGAATCTCTTCACTTCAGGGTGTGCTTCGAGGTCGATCAGTTGTTGATCAACACTTCTGATAGCCTCCTTTAGTTTGTTGACAGCCGTTTTGTCATATTCCTTTCCAGGAATATGGTCATCCTTGTCAAGCAACTCGTAGTTGAGGTTTTCCTTTTTCCTCTGGAGATCAAATAGTCGCCGAACTGGGGGAGAGAAATATAATGAGAGCATACGATCCTCCAGATCCATGCTTTGTCGCTCTAAACACCTTACAAGATCTCTATATTGCCGCAGAAAGACATGTCGATCCACAAAGTAGGCAATCAGTTGTTTTTCAGCGTGAGATGCTTGATATTGCCCCGGCAACGTTTTATCCCTTCCAGCGTCGGGGGCCAGTTGATGGCCAACTATATTTGCCAATTGCATCACCTTGTCCGTCCAGTCTTTGCCACTCAGTAGTATCGAAGATTCCTGGTGAGCCCATCCGCTCATGGCTGCTATGTTTGGGAATCGACTGCCCCTGACCAACACTGCAAGTGTTTTGGATTCTCGAGATATCGGATACTCTGCCATGGGGGCATGCAAAGTCATGGCTTGGCTGGCTCTTGTGAAAGAATAACCACTGGGGTTTGGTGCTTTTGATGCAGACTGATGACTTGCCGTGGTTCTCGATTTATCTCCGAGTATTCGCAAAATATTTCGCCGGTCATGGTCTCTCTTGAAAGTATCCTCCTTGTAAGCAAGTTCACTATGTGTATCCCCAATAATACCACCAGCCCTCCTGTATCGTTCTTTTGCATTCCTTCTCGTTGGCTGAGCAAGATCTGATGCATCTCTGTTTTCATTGTCGCGTAGGGACTGATCAGCGCCTCGGGGTAGGAGCAGCTCCACGTTGTCGAGTCTACCCCAGAGAGCCGCTTCCATGAGTGCAGTTCGTCCATTCTTATTTATCGCATTCACATCAGACCCACGACAAAGAAGTAGAGACACCATGAGTGGGCTTCTCTCCATCGAAGCCATGATGAGACATGTATCACCATTTGAGTCTCTCCCATGAAGAAAAGTCGATGCGTCGGTGGATTCATCGAGGTAACTTTTCACTTTGTAGATCTCGCCAGTGACGCAATCAGATATTGCTTCTGTTATTCGCTTCTTCGTGAAAGACTTTCCATGGCCCAAATCGTAGACAACCTTCTCCTTAGAAACGTCGAAAGATATTTCTATTTCGGATGCCTTTGGAGGACTTTCTGAGATGGTTGCCTTCGAGGAAAACGTCTTTGATAGGGTATCCTCAGACTCTTCCTCTAGATACTGGGCCATGCCAATATTGATAAAACGAGCGTTTGGTTTATCGATTTCATAAGCGACTGTTCCAGATTTCCGATCGATGGGAAATTCAAGCCTGTATGAATTACCCGAGTTACAATGTGGCACACGAAGGCCATCCTGATAATCGCTGGGGTTGAATCCATGTCGATGGGTTTCTTCGCAATAAGGGCAGAGAATGTAGACATTACTATTATCCCACCATATTACATTGGCTGAGGGTATGTTTATGCCCGACATTCTGTTTCTTTTGTTGGGTTCAAGAAGTGTAGGAGTTGACGGAAGTTATCTTCTGGATTCTCTCTATCGCTGCTTCCCCGCACGATGACACGATGAATACATAAATGGGTTTCATTCCGCTGATAAGTGGTCATCTGACTTTCCAATAAAGATTCAATATATACAGTTCTCCTTTACTATTTACAAGTATGTACACTGATACACTGAGATCATACCCGTCCATCTTCATCCAAGGCCACTAGATGGTATTTTGCTCGACGATGTCGGAACCACCGACAGACTCCTAAAGCCACACCAGCACCACTAGCGACAAACCCAGCAGTCAACATCCAGTAATGCGATACCAGAACGTCTGCGAGATTGAATCTCTGCCCCCGTTGGAGCACTTCACTAATCCCCAATGCCTCCCCATGCGTATCGAGCGCTGTAACCCGGAAATAAGGACTACCCATGTCCTCGGGGATTTCAATAGCTGTTTCGAAGCCCCCTTTTGGAACCGTGTCGATGACGTTGAATGTCATGCCGTCGATATCCTGCAAATCCCATACTTCCAACTGCCAGGCTACGATTTCCGTCGCGCCATTCCAGCTCGCATAGATGTGGTCGTCGACGACAACTGCATCGGGGAGGGTGTGCGGTCTACCAACCCAGGTGCCTTTGGAGATGCGGTATGATTGTACCCGACCAAAGGAGTAGTAGGCTGATGCGCCATAATGCACATCACAGACAGGTTGTCCATCTGGTGTGAATTCAGAATATGCAGCACTGTGTCCCCAACCGACAAAGGCATTTCCAGTATCGAGAATCTGCACATTGCCCTGTGACACGGCCCGCATGTCTTGGGGGTGATAGTATGCTGTGTTCAACGCTGCCGTACGAGCAGAGATATCAAGCTGGATGGAAACTCCCCGACTGGATATTTCAGGGTCTTTGCGTGAATGTACGGAATTGTCGAATAGTGTCAGACTGCCGTTTTCATGCAATCGGGCATCGTGTTGCCAGGCGAAATTCGTTGCCTGGCCGTCTGATAGATCGGTAAATTCGTTTAACTTGCCGCCTAATACCCATGTGACATTGCCTGTTTCTCTATCAATGAGAATGACAGCATGCAGATGACGAGAAGAGATGAGATAATTCCCCTCCTCATCTTTATCAGCACTGTTAATGTGGAAAAAGTCAAAACCCGTACTGCGTTCCTTGCCATCTCCACCTAGTGGTTCATAGGTGGCATTGATGGCGAAATGGTCTGAAGCACGCCATTCAAAGAGCAACTCGCCCGTCTCGATGTCAATGTCTTGGAATACACCATCGTGAATCCAGCCTCTTTCCGATCCACCGACCGAGGATAAATCCGTCAAGACTGGATCGTAAATCGTCACTAGGGCCGTGTCGTCCTTGGTGATGTGGAATTCGTGCAAATCGCCTCCAGAATACCCGATCGGGGAGATCTCATATCGTTGTGTATACGATGAGTCGAGCTATCACCATCAGTTATGCTGACTCTATTATGATAAGTCGACATACCATATACCACAACCCCTCACTGCGCCCTTCAACAGTAGATCCCTCCCAATACGTGAGATAATCCTCCCCCCGGTACCTCTGCACTTGAAAGTTCTGCGTCGTACCCCAATTCCATTTCATCCAGACTAAATCACCCTTCGCATCGAGAATCATCGGACCAGGATGGGCGATTGAATCCCCACGGGGGGCCAAAAACGTGAATCGATCATCGCAGCCACTACCCCATTCGAATATCTCGACTTCAGGCGACTCATACTCGAACGAGACGTAGCTTCGTGATGGTCCAAAGCCGTGTATGCCCAGGTCGTACGGGCTGAGGTCGGAGCGGAATCGGAAACGAGTGAGCTGGGGGATTGCGAAGGTGTAGAGGAGGTAAAGAAGACAGATTATGGCGATTGCGATGCTCGTCATCATGGTATAAGAATATCTGTGAGAGCCATGGCGAGAGCGCTGGCGAAAAGCGCAGGAGAACATTTGGTCATGGCGTAGCGAATAAGTTGTCAGTTCAAACAACCATCCTCACTGGAAACGTGGTGTTTACATATCCCCACCTCCAGAATAGGAGAACAGGAGATGACGGAGAACACCATCCGACAAGTGAGTTCCATATCGTCTTGGCGTTGAGGCCTCCGAAGCTGTTTCGGAGTGTCTATCTTGGCAATATGGAGTTGTATCTCCATCTTGTATACAAATGGTGGGGGTAAGGTCGGTTAGAGAAGACAGATGATTGTGATTGACGAGAGTCTTGCCAAGGGTGGATCGGTGGATCTGGACGTGAAGCCACGAGTCGTCTGGATATTCTCCACCAAAGGAGATATCGGAGATGATGAATCGTATTCGTATGTTCGTGGAGACCACGCGGCCTTGCGTCATGGCGGATAAACTATTTAGATCTTGTGAATTTTTTATATTTATATCAAAACTATCTTGAAGCTGAACTTCTGAAGTATTGGTTAGAGGAAACACTAAATACCTAAATTTCTTCGGCCACTAAGGGATAGAAGATGAGCACATGTTTATCTGCATCAGTCTAAAGGCCACATGTACTTATGTTTATCTTTGTTGTAATGTTTATCATAAATTAAGATATTTATACATGACATTCCACTGATGGTGTAGCATAATGCTCATAGTGACACAAGTCAATTCAATCCATTACATCTAGAATTTGAGGACCTGTGAAATTAAAGCTGAAAATGATGGCTTTTAATACCAGAAATGGCTGCCTTTCCACCTATAACTTTAGAGGGCGAGCCAGCACTTTACCACCCACTATCCAGTACTATTATTATTTTATACCTACCTAGTATTATTAGTTATTATCCTACTGGCTATAATTATTAGTACTTATTTAAGTTATTCCCTAGGATTCTACCTATAGCTAAAATAATACTAATAATAGCTCCCGTTTATAGTATATTTTGCGATGGGATGTACGTAGTTGGACAGGTGGTTAGATAGTGCAGATGTACTTTATATAGAATGGCTGTCAGTCTCTATTATACATGGACTATAAGTAATACTCATCTTTACCCAGAATACACCATCTCTCTATCCATCTATTCTTAACATGTAACTCTTTTAACTATTTTCCTAGGCCACCCTTACTTTTACTACCCTTGCTACTCCTAATCTATTAGATATGCCTTTTATACCCACTCTAACACCTACCCTTACGCCCACTGGCACCCCACCTCCCATGCTTAATCTCTCTCTACCATCTAAAACACCCTCTGTTTAGTTAAGATAGAATTGTATTAATATGAACCAGATTAGTAATTCGATTAAGTATAATACCTTTTCTAATGTGTCTATAACCAGACTGTTACGTTGGGGATATAGTCAATTAGATATAATACTATATAGAGTAATCATAAATAGCAGAACTGTCAATGTACCCAGAAATAATAGAAATGTATTACTATAAAGATGGGTGTAAAATTATCTCCATGAACTGAAATTACATCACCTTGGTACTATGCATGCCAAGAGCAAGAGCTGAAACCTTTTTCAGCAACTCCTCCCATTGGCCATCCAGACCCAGTGCGGCTGAAGCGGGGTATCAACAACCTTTAACCCATCATTCCTCCGTTCTTTCTTCACACACTGAAATATTTACGTCCAACAGTCAAGGTAGGTCCCCTATTCTGACGCATACCACTCTACTAACACCCGCAGATGTGGGAAGAAAGAGAACACGTACAGGCGATAGCCAACAGATCAGCTGATCGGTTCTCCCACTACACTGACGAAGTCAAAGACAGCATCAGCCAGTTCGACCATGACAACCAAGGCAAGGCGATTAACTGGAATGTAAGACTGGACAAGGAGATCGAGACATTGGAAAGCAGCCTCAACCGTCAGTGTCTGCAGAATTTCCGCATGTCGTGGTATGAATACGAGCGCCGGTCGGATATTGACGAGGAGACTGAAGCGCTGGTCAAGCCGCACGTTGACAAGGTCGACGCCAAGTTTTGCGAATATAGGGACAAGACGGTTGAGTCGCTGAAGAGGAGACGCAGGGAGGGGTTTTCTGGGGGGTGGGATGTTCAGGCTTGGTATGAAGAGTACAAGCGCTATTTGGATGATCTTCAGGAGTATATTGCTCATATGAATGATGATGTGAACGATGAGTCTGATTAGAGCTTCTGCGCTTGGAATGGTTGCCATATATTCTTTTATGGCAGACTTGATATCTCTATTGGAAATACAAGCTGCAGAATGAGGAGCTGTGGAATTAACTCCGTTATCTGCTCCGCCAAAAATACCGCCAGACCGAAAGGACAATCCTAGTCATCTTTCATGGTCATAATGGCGCATTTATAGTCTTCAACGACATTCGATGAACATTGCGTAGATGACCTATGGTCAATTAAAAACAGATTATGATCTTATTGGTTATATAAATGGGTGCATTATATTCGCAGGGTGAAGGATCACATGACTACAGATCCCCTTACCCGATCCAAGCTGGCACATCATATAAATATTAGTGGCGGCCCGACCACCCACCGCCTCCGCTAGTGGGTGGTCGGCGGCGTAAAGGAATTTTCAGCGTAGAGGAAAAAAATGAATATTCAATATTTTTGAAGCTATACAAACCGCCCAAAATGCCTAAATCATCTGAAAATCGCGATGAACGTGTCAATGAGGCATATGAAGCCGCTCATCTTAAAAAAAAAACCAAATATCACAAAAATCGCGCGAGAATATGGTGTTCCCTACTGTACACTACATGGCCGTGTTACGGCACCTTTATCGGTGACCATATCAGGCAGAATCAGGCGGTCAAGAGGAAAGGATATTCTTATTGCGGAGAATTACGATTTGCTATTATCACGCTCTTTACGGCCACCATCTGGCAAACACTGCCATACTCACGTGATATGGTATACAGGTACCATGTCTTGGCAAACATACCATCTGGTATACCATCATGAATGGTATACACCCTGGTATACAGGATGGTATACCACTGGCATACCCTGCGGAGGACCATCTGAAGGACCATGGATATTGGAGAAAGATATATAAGGACACTCATCCCATGTACTTAGATAGTTCTTTATGATCAATACAAGTCATCATTCTATAGTTACTATTCCATCACCTTTCTAATTGTTCTACCCACTTGTTCATATATCTCCAGCTTAATTAAGAAGTATACATACTTCTTGGCCTTGCTTCTCTCTTTACCTACCTTACCGCGTTCTCAAGCACCACAGCTCACAAGAGCACCCCAGTTACTGTCAATGTCTTTGGGTTAGGATCACAGGTTAGTATTTCCCTGGCTTGACTCTCAGTTTATAGATTAGGTACCATTGCAAGATCCTAGGGTGTGACACATTAATTACCTGTCTATATAAGTGTATGAATGATACCTAACATTGACACCAGTCCATCTTAAGTGATTGACTTAAAATATCATGGCTGGAAACACTCCAGTAAGTAATGTGAGCTCCACAGCTTTATAACCACCAGCCAAGAGTAATGAGGAACTCTTAGGTATGATTAAACAGCTTCAGGAAACCATTTCCACACTTAAGGGGTGCCTTACTGTTAAATCAGTAAAGGTCTGACTACCCAAACTATTTAGAGGAAAGAGATTACAGCTTTAAATGTTCCTAACACAATTGGACACCTACATCAATGTTAATAAAGAAAAATTGGCATATGATGCTGATAAAGTGGTTTTTACTTTAACCTACCTCACTGGGAGTGTATTTAATTGGTTTAAACTATTTCTCCAGAACTTTCAGGAAAATAAAGCATCAGGATAGGATGATGATACCAAGGAGATCTTCATATCTTATACTAAATTTAAGAAGAGACTTAAAGGGACCTTCAGTAATATTAATGCCACCTAGCAAGTAGAGTGAAGACTGTGATAGCTTAAACAGATGGGATTAGTACAGCAGATAGCTTCTAAATTCCAGCAGATTATATCCTACTTAGACTGGGACAAAGACGCTTATATGTCATGCTTTAAAGAAATATTAAAACCTGATGTACAGGAAAAACTCATTTAATAAGAATAACTGGACTCCCTGGCTAAATTTATTAAATCAGCAGTTAAAATAGACAATAAACTTTATAAATTTAGAAATCAGTGCACTAACTACTAATTTAGAGGAAACCAGCACATAACTAACTATTAATTAAACAACAGCTGAAGAGCATAACCAGCAAGCTAAGGATATACAGATCCTTTTAGGCTATAACTAATAGAACTCAATGTAACCAGCATGAGACAAAAGGGCATGATGCCAGAAGAATAGGAATGATGGCATAAGGAAAAGCTTTATTTCTTTTATAGAAAACCTAGACACATGATAAAAGATTGCCGAGTGAGGCAATAACACAACCAGAAAAATCAGAACTAAGGAAAACAACTCTAAGCCATGAAGGAACTCAGAGCAATGAATAAAGACCCATAACTCTGGAAGCTCTATTAACAATATACTATATTAAGCGAAGAAGAGATCGATCAAGAACTTAACATAAGAAAAAGAGGACTAATCAAAACAACATGGGATAATTGAACAGAAGAAGAGCTATAACTAGAACAGTAAATTAAAGCAGAATGCTACCTGGATGACTCAGTATTAGATAATAGTTATATATCATATAATTAGTTAAGACTAGACAGCAAGGATCTGGCCCTACTTAAACCAGCATGGACAAACGAACCAGACAAGGATAACTAGGACTATGTAAGCTGTCTTAATGTTAAAGACACATTTAACAGTGTAAGACTAGAACCCAAGACTCTAGTATTATTGCAGCATGAACAATGAATCCACCATAAACCTTTTAGCATACAGAATGCACTAAGATAGAATCACAGAGAGCCAGCTCCTATAGGTAAAGCAGTTAACTAAGTTCAGTGAGCTATTAATCCTTTAGATGAAGAGTATGGTACTTAATGGGAAGGCCCAGCATCCTACTGGGAGGGACTCCATAAGTTACCTGAGCAACCTTAAAAAACCCCATAAGATGACTTTGAATTAAATGAACATATCATAAAACTACTAGAAAGAAGGCACTATTTTACCTAATATAGGGTAGGGCAGCAAAACTGAGACAGGGCACATGAATGAATTAATAAAATCTTAAATAGAGCCCAGAAGGAACTGGATGAGTTTAAAAAGGGAAAGTCACTATTAGTGAATAAGATGCAATAGAGCTTCTACCTTAGACTTATTACTAAAGTACTCGGACAATTAGTAAAGATGATGATTAACTCAGGCATAATAGGAAACTACATGGATCTAAGATATAAACAGTAGCTAGGTATACTTAGGATCAAGAAGGCCCAACTGGAGCCACTCATGGGCCTAAATAGAGAAGACTTAGGAGGTTATCTTATAGATGAATTAGGATCTATACCCTTAGTTATAATAGGTCATAAGGAGTAACTTAACTTTAATGTGACACTGTTGGGACAGTATAATATAGTATTAGGGATTCCTTAGCTTAGGAATCACAACCTAGAAATTAACTAGAAAGCTAATATGATACGGCTAGTAAATTGTAAATGCCCCAGACTGGTAGGTACAGGGGATAACACCATCAGATCTCAATAACACGCTCACGAAGGAGAACTTAAGAGCGGAGTTAAGTGATTAAATGAGGTGATTAACATCATGATAAGTAATAAAGCAACCAAGATTTTGGCAGCCAGTAAAGCTTCAGATTAAGTATAGCTAGCATAACTACCTGGATAGGCACTAGAAACAGCAACTGAATACTGCAAAAGAACTATTATTAAGGATGTTACCAATAACTCCTAGGGGGAAAGATATTACTCTAATACACTGGTGAAGTAATCCTCAGACTAGGATAACAGCTCATGGAAGTGTAAGTACACTAAGGAACTTATGGCAGACTCCTAGGAACCACTATGTCTACCCTAAGAGTATACTGCATTTTAGAAGTTATTTAAGTAACTATAAGAACCATAATTACCAGAACATGGACCCCATGACCATAAAATCCCTCTGGAGGAAGGGAAGTAACTAATCTATAAGAAAATCTACCACATATTAGATAAAGAGACTGAAGCACTTAGAGAATATATTAATGAATAGTTAGTGAAAGGCACTATTTAAATATTATAATCACCAGCAGGACACAGTATCTTATTTATACCTAAAAAGGATAATAGTCTATAACTTTATGTGGACTACTGACTACTGAATAATATCACTATTAAGGACTGACATCCGCTACCTCTTATTTTAGAAATCCAGGATTAAATCAGAGGAGTAAAATGGTTTATAAAACTTGACATTACAGATGTATATAACCAGATCAGAATCACAAAAGGGGAAGAATGGAAAACGGCATTTTAAATAAAATATAGAGATTATGAATACTTGGTAATGCCATTCAGGCTAACTAATGTACCTGCATTATTTCAATGATTCATCAATAAGGTATTAAGGGAATATCTTAATATCTTTGTCATTGCTTACCTTGATAACATCCTAATATTCTTGGACAACTTTAATGAGCATATTTAGCATGTCATGAAGGTACTCACAAAACTTTAGGACGTAAAATTATGGCTGAAACTTAAAAAATGTGAATTTTATGTCTAAGAAACTGATTTTTTGGGACACTGGATCTCTCTGGAAGGAATACACATGGATTAGATAAAAGTACAGGCAATCAGAGATTAGCCTACACCAAAAAATCTCAAGGAACTACAGCAGTACTGTAGATTAATTAACTACTACTGATGATTCATTGACAACTATGCAAAAACCATGACACCGATGTTCAAATTACTTAAGAAATCAGACCTCTTTAAATGGACTTAGGAACAGCAGAAAGCATTTGAAGAATTGAAAGAATAAATCATATAAGCACTAATTTTAGTATAACATGACCTGATAAAAGAGACAACTATTGAGACTGATGCATCAGACTATGCGATTAGTATGAGAATGATATAACCAGGAGAAGATAGGAAATCACAGCTAATTACATTCCACTTAAGAAAACTAATTCAAGCTGAACTAAACTATGACATCTATGATAAGGAGCTACTAGTGATAGTAGTCACCTTTAAGACATAGAGAGTCTATCTTAAAGGGGCTCAGCATTAAATTCTTGTTAAGATGGACTATAAGAACCTCACCTTCTTCATGATAACCAAAGAGTTGACGTGAAGGCAGGCAAGATAGTCAGAAGTCCTCTTAGAATATGACTTCTGTATTGTACACTGTAAAGGGACAGAGAACAGCTAAGTAGATGTACTTAGTCAATGACCAGACTACATGCTTAATGGAAAACATTATAAACCAGTAATCCTAAAATAAAATGAAGATGGCAGTCTTAGTTATAACTACTGACATCAGATTGTAGCTACCATAAGCATTAGATCAGATGAGTTTAAAAAGAAACTCATCATGGAAAC